TTCCTTGAAGAGCGTATTGACGTATTTATTTAGGATATCCTTGAGATGTCCCGGATTTCATTTTAGCTCTTGAGGAGCGTCCGGTATTTCGTTAAGAGCAAGGCAACAGACCGTGTCTTTTTCAAACTTGTTCCGTCGCCAAGCCTTATTGAATCGCTTGGAAGTCATTTCTATGACTTGAGGATTACGAAGGGCATTGGCTTGAGCGAATCGAGATACATAATGAGGTGCGGCTTGTAGAGGACAAGTATCCACAGGTTTGATGATCCAAACAGGTTGAACGGGTCTTTTATCATAGACCGGATCTTGTTGCACATCGAAGTAAGGGTTGTTGTGTTTCGGGATGTATTCGACGTCTTCCCAGTTTCTTGAAGTTCTTTCGCACTTGATGGTGACAGACTGCGGTGCGTTTGGTATAGGGCCGTAATTGGTCCAGCAAAGGATAGGTAAGGTACTCATCGAGAATTGTCCAGCGTAATTAAAGAAATGCCAGAAAGGCATTCCAATAATAGCGTCGTAAGCCAGATTACTGACTAGCCAGGGAAGTTGTCCAACTAAGAAAAGCGACTGGGATTCGAGATCCCATAGATCTAACTTTTCCGAAACAACCGTATCGAGAATCATGTAGGATTCTTTGTCGGCCAGCCATATCTGCTTTGGTTCGATACGTTTCTTGGGAAACTTGTGCTTTTTGACGAATGTCTTGTCAAGGAATAACCCAGTTGCTCCGCTATCAAAGAGAACACAAGCAAACTTGTTTCCGATGCGACAATGAGAGACCCAGAGTCCAGCAGACAGTGGTTCGAAGGCAGGTTTATCTGTAGGATCGTATGTTGTAGGCCGAGCAGAGCTACCGAGGGGCTCTATCGACCTTGGAAAAAACTCGAAGATTGATTTGTAGTAGTACTTGTAGTATTCGCAGAGTTGACGGCGTCATCGAGAATTTCCGTAATGCGTGACCCAGCATCAACCTGATTCGCTGAACCTTGTTGTTGATTAGGTTGGCGACTGCGCTGCGGAGTTTGAGCGCCACGACCGCGCTGTCAAAAACCACCGCATTGGTTCTGGGTTTGAAGTCCTTGCTGTCGATTTTCGGGATTTGACCAGCATTCAACCCTCCAATGTCCCATTTTGTTACAAAGAGGACAAGGAGTTGTTGGACGTTGACGAGGGATGTGAGTAGTTTGCCATTGTCCACGTCGACAAAAGGGCTGCTGACGTTGGTAGGAAACTTGACCTGTAGTGAGACGACTCACTCCAGGGGGATAGTATGACGTACCAAAAGCATTGAGCCCAAAGGTCATATCATCTAAGTCTTGCTCAAATTCCGTAATTCGAGGATTGGTGTAAGGGGCGAATCATCCGCCACGACCACCGCCACGACTACCCCGACCGCGGCTGGCTCCACGGCCGCCACGAGCACTTGATGCCGAGGCAATCGGACGAGGCGTATTGGCTTGGTTGCCGTCAGTGAACCCATGAGCCACATGAGCACGACGAGCTGCAGTGATAGCTTGATCGAGAGTGATAGGGGTGTTGATATTGGTAGTGCCCGAGACTTCGAAGTTTGTAACGGCTTCAGCGAGATAATGACCGATTACCGTATTCTTGAGAAAACCAGCCTTGAAGTATCGAATCTGATCGATAAGGGGAATGGTGCCTTGAGTGTTATCAAGACGATGAGCAGCTTCGAGCTCATTATTGGTGTCCTGAAACTCCTTGATGTATTTTTCGAGAGAGTCACCAAGCTTGAGACCGGAGAGCTTGAGCTCAATAGTATTACGCAAGTTGCGAGGATAGAAGTGAGCGACAAGAGCCGTTCCAAAAGCTGCCCAATTTGCGGGAGGTCCACCGGCGTAAGTCGTATTGCACCACTCGAGAGCAGTACCCTTGAGGTAGGTAGTAAGCGTAGGGGCGTACTCTGCCATAGTAAAGGCTATGGCGTTGGCAGCTCCAGTGCCGTCTGTTCCAGCTGGTACAGCCGGGACATTCAGAGACTCGAGAAAGTTGTGGTGAGACGTAACGAACTCTTGTATCTGTTTGGCAGCTTTGGCGCCATGGTATTCGACGAGCTTGTTCTTGCGAGCGTCCATAAGAAGTTTGAAACGTTTGGCTCGTTGGTCGTCCTGCGTAACAGCACGCTGCTGACTAGCGAAAGCAGCTGCGACAGCCGCAACAAGAGCTTGAGTCTGTGCGTCCATTCTTGCTTGTGAACGAGTGTAAGGGGGACGTCCGGTAGAGGGGCAACGTTGACGAGGAATGTCTTGGTGATGCTAGTGGTAGGTGTTGCTACCATGTAACGTCAGAGGAAACGTAGACGAGATTGGGCCCTTCTGAGAGGGCTGAGAGCAGTGTATTGTAGTGAAGAAAAAAGTAAGAAGCTCTTCGCAGCGGCCGCTCGACTGACAGCTTTATATATGGGCTGCCAGTGGGGCTTGCGTGGCTTCAGTGAGGCTGGGCGCCTTATATAATGTATCACCGAGAGCTCGGGTGGCCAGCCCGGGTCTCGGATCAAGTAGAAGTAAAGAGGTATAATATGAAATACAAGTGAAGATGAGATTCCCCGACAGTGGACACAATGCCCTATTTAGGTGAGTTAGTGTATTTCCGCTCCCCCCCCCCCCCCCTCAGCTTCTTCTTTTGTCTAATCATGGTCCACACCTGCCTCTCCACAGGCGCCTGCTGTGAGCTCTCACGCCTCTATGAGCGCCGTGGAATGCGGCTGTTTTCCGCTATCCCGCTGCGCAAATCTCAAATCCAGTCATCTGTTTGGATCGACACGCTGATCCTAGGCACACATATCCTGGATGTCGGCCGACGTTGCGTGGGGAAACTCACTGGTGAACGCAAGCAGGAGCTGTGGGGGCAGATTCTCAATGTGAATGTAAGTTAAGTCTGTACCCTTCTGTGCTTGATTCAAACAGATTACGTCGCTGATTGACGGATTGTAGGACAAGGTCTTCAAACATCGAAAGAAGCTTGGTCTCAAGTTTGATGGGTCAATTAGCACCGACGGGTATTCCGTTACCATCCACTTCAAGACGCCAGGGCTCAAGTATGGGTGTCGGGCCCGGAAGCGCAGCAAGGCCCAAATGCGGGAAGAAGTCAAGCAGCTGTATTTTGAGCATCACATTGATGACTTAAGGGAGGCTCCAAACATCGTCTCCATTGATCCGGGCAAGCGTTACCTCCTATTCTGTCGAGACAACAAGAAGGAGCGGCCATTTCGGTAAGTTTCAGTTGATTACTACTGTTGGAGGTTTCATACTCCCGAGTCCTTAGTTAGGGTTCCCGTAGCTAGGTTCCCCTTGTGACTCACCTCCCGCTTACGCCACGCTTACGCATACAGGAGCTTACTCTTTTCTTCCCTTTCGGACCTCGCGTCCTCTTTTCTACACTTCAGACTTCTCTAAGAGACTTCAATACATACTTCACAGTACTACATCTCACAAAACATAGAGTTCGCTCAGTCACCTGCTTCCTCTGCCGACTACTGCTAAGTACTACTGCCCTGCTGTCCCCACCATCCCCCAACCCCCCCCCCCCCAACCCTCGACTTTGCGGAAGATGGTGCGGAGGTGTTTGCGGATGTTGACTTGGAAGGGGTGGTTCCCCTGTTTGCGGACACGGGCAACGAAGTCGGTCCAGACGGCGTTGGCGGCTTCCGCAGCCATTTTGGCAATGAGGGCCTCGGTGGCGCTAATCATGGTGTAGCGGTTGCCACCGTCGCGGATCTGGGCGAGGAGTTTGTCGATAGAGTTGGACGAGCACGGAGCTGTCGATGGGAACGCCGCCAATGAGGGAGCGGCCGCGGTTGGTTTGCTTGTCGCCGTCGTGTGTCATATCGCTCGTCACGTGGCCCATGTTGATGACCTGCATGACGGTGTCGAGGCCAACCCTGTCCTCGTCCCCGTCTCCACCATCCCCCCCCCCCCCCCCCTTCACTGTCCCCACCATCCGTTGTCACATTCTCACAAAACACCGCCCCTCATCAGATATACATCCAATCAACGGGCGGTCGGGACAAAGTCGCGGTACGTTCAGAGAGACATGACAGAGCGGAAGATCAATGCCGGCGTTGCTGAGATGGAATCACAGATTCCGTCGCACAAGAGCATGAACATCGAGGCGTTCTCAGCGTTCATCGTGGATTACGAACATGCAGGTATGATGTATCATGTATCGTCTTCAAATTTGGGTCAACATGGGCTGACATCCATATTCAAGATCCCGCCCTGGATGAGTTTTACCAGGATGAGATTCATGTCGCTCGCAGGTTCAAGGCGTTCTCACTGTGACAAAAGTCTGAGAGCAAGCTCATCAAGAACATGCGACGCCGGTATGAAAAGCATTTTTCGGTCATCTTGGGTGAGATTGGAGCGATGCTGGGAAAACGATGCGCTTTCAGGAGTCATCAAAAACCAAGGGGTGAGTGACCATCATTGTTCTTTATGTACTATAATATGCTAACTCATCATGGAATTTAGATTCCGCACACTCTTTGCAAGAAACAGCATTCCATGCTACTTGCTAGATGAGTATCGAACATCGTCCGTGTGCCCCGACTGCCATGGCCGTGTGAAGAAAAACATCCGACAGCGGCTGTCATCTCGGCCATGGCAAGCTAGAAAGGGAAGAATGGAATTCGTCCATGGATTGGTGGGTTGCCCCAACCCTGAATGTATCAACCAAGACTGGGCGCCATTTGAGATTCCTGGAAGACGGCCACTACGACTACGGATGAAAGTGCACAATCGGGACGTCCTAAGCACCAAGAATTTCCTCTCGATTGTGCGTTCGGTGGTGCTTGGCAATGGCCACAGACCAGACGCATTCTCCCGGTAGTCTAGAGTTTTCACCCGTTCCCATTTTCCGTGGTGGTTATCTGCCATCCACATCATTGTACCTCTGCCGGAGGCATCGCCGATGATGGCAACTTGTATCCTGTATCTACATAAAAAGACAAATCTATCTTTCTACATAACTCTATCCCCACCCCACTACATCAACCTAGGAAACAACGGTCTCTGCACCGGCACAACCGTCCCCTCCCACCCCTCCCTCACAACCACTTCTTCCCTCCCATCACCACCCACCCACCTCCCCCCAACCCGCGCGTTCCCCCACCCCCTCTCCCCCTCGCCCACCGCAAGCCCATCCAACAACACCCCCATCTTCCCGGGCATCACGGGCTGCAGGAGTATCCCACATACACGCACGGTTTCGATAGCGTAGTACAGTATCGTGCGGAGGCGGTCTTGGGCGAGGATATCGGCCGCGGCGGAGGAGGAGGGTGAGGTGCGCGCGAGGAGCCAGGGTTTCGTGGCGTCCCAGTGTCTGTTGGCGAGGGAGATGGTGTGTGTGATGTGTTCGAGGGCGGCGGCAAATTCGGCGTTCTCGTAACATGTTTCTACAATGCCTAAAAAAGAAAAGGTTTCGAACCGCGTGTGGGGATGACGTTTCAGCGGGTGTTGGGGGAGGGGCCGGTGGGTTCTTTGTGGTCTTACCTGGGAGGGCAGCCAAACTATCATGCAACTCCCGATCGGCGTCGGTGAGTGTTCCCGGGCTCGAGGGCGCGAGCATCCGTTTATTGACTTTGGGCGCACAACACCGCATGACCAGGTTTCCAAACTGCCGTTCCAGGTCTTTCGTATACCGTTGATGTATCATCTCATCCGAAAAATCTACCCCCCCAAAAAAAAAGGTATCAAAAAATCCAGCACACGCATCTGAAAACCATCCACTCCCCCAGTGAAACCGCACGAATAAAACGCACCCGAATCATAAACCAATGCACTATCCCGCATCAAAAACCACCGCACGGAATCGACGCCGTAGGTTGCGATGGCGGCCATGGGGTCGACTACGTTTCCGCGCGATTTGGACATTTTGACGTGGTGGCGCAGCCAGTGGGCGTGGGCGAGGATCCGGATGGGTGGGGGGAGGTTGACGGCGAGGAGGAAGGCGGGCCAGTAGATTGCGTGGAATCTGCGTAGATGGTCATTCGGGTATTCAGTATGGATTGGCGCGGATGAGGGGATTGAGAGATTTTTTGGGAGTAGGACGTACTTGAGGATATCCTGCCCAACAACATGCCACGCCGCCGGCCACGCCCTCTGCATCCTTGCCCTCATCCCGGTCTCACCCTCCGTCCACGGATACCCCAGCACGGTCAAATAATTCGCCAACGCATCCAGCCACACATACACCACATGTTCCTCATCCCCCGGCACGGGGATCCCCCACTGCATGCGTGAGCGAAGACGGGAGACGGAGAGGTCTGCGAGTTGTTCGTGGGAGTGGGTGGTGAGGGTTGAGAGGATCAGGTGGTGTTTTTGGGGGGGGTGGATTGCTGTGGAAAGGAGGGGGAGGGTTTTAGTGGGAGGAAAGGGGGAGAAAAAAGGAGAAGGAGGGTGGGTACCCGTGGGGTTTTGTGTGAGCCAGGATTGGAGTTGGGATTGGAAGGCGCTGAGACGGAATTTGTAGTTTTCTTCGGTGGTCCAGGTTACGGGTTGGCCGGTTTCTTTCGAGACCTGTGTTGACCAATCGTCAGGTTTACCAAAGAGATCCGGGGGAAATTCAAAACGACTATGCGTGTACATACCATCTTCGTAGTCCCATCAGCGGCCCTAACCTCCTCAACCTGCGTCGCGGGATAGAACGTCTCATCCGAGACCGAATACCACCCTTCATGCGTGCCCTTGTAAATATATCCCCGGTCTCGCAAATCCGTCTACATTCCATCCTCATTAGCCCGATTGCCAACCTTGAACCATTGACGTAGCTCATATCCGAAATGTCGTACCCAAAGAGCCTGCACAGCGCGTTTCTGCCTCGGTTCAGTCGTCCGGATGTAGTCGGTGTAGGAAATGTTGGCGGCTTCGAATAATGTCTGCGAATGGATTTCCCCTTCCCCATCAGGAAACCGTTTTGCGTCCTAATCCATAGGGTAGTCCCACCTACCTTGAACTTTTGAGAAACCTCATCGCAGAACTTCAACGTATCTATCCCTTTCCTCTGGGCAGCTTCCTGAATCTATCCTTCACAACCACATCGTCAACATTTCCTTCATCGCGCAACATCCCGCCGGCGACGGTAACCAGCCTCACCTTCTGCCCATGCTCATCCGTCCCCGTCGAAAAAACAACCTCCCGCCCTTTCAACTCGTAGAACCGTTTTAGCACGTCGGCGAGGACTGTTGAATACAGGTGTCCGATATGTGGTTCTGCAAAGCAAAAAGACGGGTATTTCAACACAAAGATCATACACATGCATACATAGGAGTGAAATGCACAAACCTGCATTGGCGTAGAATATAGGCGTTGTGATAAGCATTGGTGGTTCATCTTTCTTCGGTTGCTGGCGGCTGATGAAGGTGCGGTGGAATGCTCGCTTCTTGAGGGAGCGGTGGGGCTCGAATTTGGAGACAAAGGCTCGATGTCGGGATAGACATGGCCGGAAGAGAGCGGGGAGGGTGTGGGATATGCTGGCTGATGCCATGGCTGCTAGTCCTACTTTATATAGCAAAGCGCTTCCCGACCACCCCTTCCTTCCAGTGGCCAACACGAAGTTACGGAAGTTCCGAAATGTCAAGACTGTCCGCGCGTGAGAAGCCTCTTCCGTGCGCTTGTGAGGCTGCGCTCGCCGCTTGCTCAACGACAACCCACACCCACCACCTCACTCTTCCAACGGCGCCAGAACAAACATAAGAACCGAAGGAGAATGCTATAGGCCATCGCCTGCTGGTAGAGCTAGGCCAGTCCCAGGACTCTCCCCCACCGAGAATTACCACACGGGGCAGGAACCCCGACTCCGCCCCGCCCGCCACATTCGCCAACATGGAACTAATCCCTGTAATAGTCGTAACGACCCTCTCGACCATCCTCATCCTCGCTCTCCTTCTCGGCACCGCCTACCTGCTCGTCACCCGGCACCGCAATCGCTCCCTCGAAACCAAAAGACAGTACTTCCAGCTCGAAGATAACCGCGACATTGGGAAGAACGGGGTCGAGAAGAATGGGGCCGATTTCCATCACGTCGAGAATAACCCCCTCATGCATACGTTACCTGCGTTCCTGCAGGGCAACGAGGGGTTACCGACGTATGTGGTGATTAAAGATGCGAGGCCGAGGAAGAAGGATGAGGTGGGGTTGAGTGTGGGGGATGTGATGACGATTTCCATGGTACGAAAACAAAAACCCGATATTGGTAGCCCAAGGAAACCCATACTCATACAGTTTGATGCGATTTTCCAAAGACGTTTACGGACGGATGGTGCCACGGGTATAACCACACCACCCGACAAGTCGGCATGTTCCATATCTCGTCGATTGCTAGTTCGGAACGACATTTGCCCAAAGCGCTCAAACCTCTCTCTCCAGCCCATTCGCCACCCCTCACACCACCACCTACAACCATCAACGACAACACAGACGACGCAGACGCTATCCTCACACCACCACCCCTCCCCAACAATTTAACATCACTGCTCCCGGTAGAGCAAGTCCAGCGCAAACCCGGCCTGTTGATGTCAATGGTCAACCCCGAAACAGCAATGGGGATCGTCTCCGACTCCATCAGCGCCGAACGCCGGGCACAATATTTCGAAGCCACTCTTCCCGAAATCATCCGCAAGAAATCAACATCCTCCCAGTCGAACCCCGGGTCACCGCGTCCCAGCTTCGATTCCGCGACGAGACCGGGGATCACGCGCGCACAATCGGCTTGGGGGGTGTTACGGGTCGGGTGGAAGGAGGCGGTGAGGAAGGAGTTGGATGCGGGGTATGATGAGTGGCTGGCGAGGAGGGAGAGGTTTGATATTTGGGCGCTTGTTGCGGAGAATTATGGGAGGAATGGATGGGCGGGGAGTGGGAGTGGGAGTGAGAGTGGGGGGTCGGTTTGAATGAGGACTTTCGGCGTATGGGTGCTGAGGACGTGGAGGCGGCGTAGCGCACATTGAGCTGAGAGATGTACATATTGTGTTTGAGACGCGTACATATGGCCCATATATACAGCCGACAACGAAAGTGAAGAGGCAAAATTCGGTACAATTGATCGTACAAAAGACTAGGTAAAGAAAACTACATAACTACAAGCGCAACAGATATCGCCGGGTACTCGTAACATATTAAAAGTGGGGGTGGTAGGTTTGTGTGAATGTTTGATGAGGCACGTATTTGCGGTTTTGATTGGATGTGTGGCAGCGCGGATATTGTCCACTTTCTAGAAAGCCTTGGGCAAGAATTTCCCAGCGAGGGCTGCGAGGATTTCTGCTTTGCGGTCTTTTGACAGCTGCAGAACAGGACAAAAAAATATATCAATACCGTCCCGGCAAGTGTTGGAAGATGAGGAATATTGTGGGCCTACCTTAGCGAAAGCCTCGTAAACCGCGACACCCTTCATATCGCGCACTTTCCCCATCTTCTTCCCGGTGTAGGCGCCAAAGAGGGCGCCGGGGATGTTGAAGACGATGAAACCTACGACGAAACCGGCGACTCCACCGACTGGTTCCCAGAACCACACAGGCTGGAAATAAAATGATCCAAAAATACGTGAGCTCATCGAAATGACATGCAATACGTCCACCGCATGAAAATATGATCGAACTCACGTTAGGAACCTCCGGCACCAAAAGATCATCAAACACATTCCCAAACATAGCCTCAGCGTTCACGGGCTCCTCGCTGGGGGCGGCATACCGCTTCTTTTCGCGGCGGGCGCGGTCGTAGGCTGTTCGGCGGTTCTTGTCGCTGAGATAATCATGAATGGGCGTGGTTAGTGACTGAGGAGGGGAGGGTGGGACGGTGAGGGTGGGATGCAAATTACCTTAGGACGAAGTAGGCTTGGGCGATTTGTTGGAAACGGGCGGTGGATTCGGTGGAGGGGTTTCTGTCGGGGTGCCATTTGAGCTGCGAGAGGTGGGAAGAAAGACAATAAGACACTGAGAAGAAGCCGCTCGCTTGAGCGTGGCCGTCCAACGCATGCCGGCCTCCCCCCAGAAAGTGAAAATACTGCCAGCAGTCCACGTCCTGGCCCTGTGCCGTTCCCTAGATCACGGGCGAGCTCTACATACCGACTCCTTGATATAAGCCTGACGCACGGCGTCCTCGGTAGCGTCCTGCTTGACGCCGAGGACAGCGTAGTAGTCGATGTTGTCGTCCATTTCGGGCATAGTTGCTTGGTTGGCTGTTTCTTGTTGTTGTTGTTAGTTGGTTGAGGTCTGTTTGCTTAAGTGGGAAAGTGAGAGTTGTCGGAATGGGGGTGCGTTGCTTGGCATGGCTTGACGCATGGCTTGATGATGGGCACCTTTTGGGCGATGCGCGCATGCCTTTGCGTCACTCTCCCTCCCAATGCTCCCATGTGCGCGCGCGAGAATGATGGATGATGTGGCGTTCCATAATTCATTCCATCTCGGATCCGCTTCTTGCAACAACTTGACCCACTCACTATACCTGGCCCATCTGCAACACACATCTCAGAAACCCTCCTTTCAACTCCGCAGCCTCAGGTCAGAGTACACTGAGCCATGTCCTTCCAGTGGAGCTCAAAAAATCAGGCCCAGAATGTAGGTCCCAGGCTCCTTCACTTATCGCACTTTATCCAAGTGAAAGTCTCGTACTCAACAATGCTGCATTCCATCAGGGCGTCGAGGATATGACGGTATAGATTAAATGAACTGACCAGGTCATAGCTTAAGAGCGCGAAGTCTCCTGACGCTTGTAACTGTTCATACAGCTTCTGTCGAAAGTGACTGATGATCAGGTACCCTTCCTATTTGATCTCCGATACCTAACGCGTGAGAATTGACCACATCACCCCTCCAGATCACAGAGAATCTGAAGAAACGGTAGGCTACCAGTCTCAGCGGTCGGTGACTATCACCTGTACTCAACGACCGCGCTTGCAGGATTCAGGCAGACTTGATGTTTACATACATAGGTATGGCCCACCTTTTTGAAAGTCATATGAGCACAGGGAGAATTACCACTGACGATTTTTTTTGGGTTGCAGGACCGACACTTGTTGCAGGTGTGTTGCTGATGTGCGGGGGAGGGACGATGTAATGGTGGCTGACACGTGAATGTAGTCAACCCGTATAAGAAGCTGCCGTACTTTACCGAGAAGGAAATAGGTGGGTATCAAAGAGTGCAAAGGAGGATCCGGCGTTTCTGAGATCTCCTGAGGCTAAGGCTTACAATTTCATCACCGCTAGATATATACCATGGCTCTGTAGGTGCTTCCCATGATGCTGTTGATCACGGTAGCATGGCGTTGATCATCACAACCTCGTCCAGGCGGCCTATGAGCACCCTCCGCACGTCTATGCGGTCGCGGATAAGATGTGAGGACTGGTTGCTGTGGCGGGCTGGAGAGGCCCGCTTCTGACTGTTGAGAAGGTTTCAGAGCATGATTACCGATGAGGAGAATCAGTGTGTCATTATTAGGTTCGTTGCGGCTTGTGGGAAAAGGGCAGTGACTATTGGCTGTGGACTCTGACCAGATAATTCGGTCACTGTAGTGGCGAGAGTGGAGCAGGTACTTCTTCGTTGGCCAGCCCATGTCTTCGACTCGTATGGAGGGGGTTCTAATAAACACCAAACAGGAAAAACGGAATCCGCCAAATTGATCATGTGAGACACCGCATTTCCCCGTTCGTGTTGCCCACCGTCACCCCAATCGCTAAATAGCATGTGCAGGAACTACATCGCGGCCGTGTCGGGTGGAGGCGGAGCGAACAACACGATTGTTGACGAAGTGAAGCGGATCATTCTGGGATCCAATCCATTGCTGGAGTCGTTTGGAAACGCCAAAACGTTGCGGAACAACAATTCTAGTCGATTCGTGAGTCCGCCGATTCGATGAGAGGCTTTTTGATGGGGATTGAGGCTGATTGAGGACTCATGACAGGGCAAATATTTCGAGATCAAGTTTGGGAAGAGCGGGGCGCCTGGTGGAGGCAAGATATCCAATTTCTTGCTGGAAAAGGTATACCCCATTTTCGAAGCCAGGGCGGGTTTCGACTATGGAGCTCAGTTTGCTTCCTAGTCTCGCGTTGTAGGACCGGGTGTTGGAGAGCGAAACTTTCACATCGTAAGTCAAAAGTCCGCCCTATCTCAGTCTTTTCACACTCATTCACAGCATATGCGACACAGTTCTACCAAATGACAAAAGGAGCCAACGCTCAGGAGAAGGAGCAGCTGGGAATGATGGACCCGCAGTATTTCCACTACCTCAACTCCAGCGGCGAATACCACGCGGACGGGATCAACGACGTCGAGGAATTTGCCGACATGAAGAAATCGATTGATATTTGTCAGATTAGCGAAGCGGACAAAGCATCGATATTCCAGATCGTCGCTGGGATCCTGCATCTGGGCAACGTGTCCTTTATAGAAGAAGGCAACAACGCGAAAGTAGCGGACCCGCAGACGCTGGCGTTCCCGGCGTACCTGTTTGGGATATCGGAAGAGATGCTGGATAACAAGCTCACGAGTAGGATTATGACGACGGGAGGGTTTGGGAAACGGAGCTCGTCATACAATGTGCCGATGAACGTGCAGCAGGCACAGGGCACGAGGGACGCGTTATCAAAAGCGCTCTACACGCGTCTATTCGATTGGATCGTCCAAGCCGTCAACAACGCGATGGCCAGCCTCGCCGCCGGACTCCGGGAAACAGCCCAACTCTCCCTAGGAGTCCTCGACATCTTCGGCTTTGAGATCTTCGAACGCAACGGGTTCGAGCAGTTCTGCATCAACTACGTCAACGAGCGGCTGCAGCAGATCTTCATCGAACTCACGCTCAAATCCGAGCAGGAGGAGTATCAGCGCGAGGGCATCCAGTGGACACCCATCGAGTACTTCAACAACAAGGTCGTCGTCGATCTGATCGAGAGCAAGAGACCACCAGGGATCATGGCTGTTTTGGACGATATCTGCTTCACGATGCACGCGGTGGCCGACGGCGCTGACCAGACTTTCGTGCAGAAGCTCGATATGGCGTGCTCGCAGAACAAACATTACCAAGGGCATCAGTCCCAGTTTGTCATTCAGCATTACGCCGGTGCGGTTACATACAGCTGCGACGGCTTCGTCGAAGCCAACAAAGACACCCTCTTCAAGGACCTCGTCTCCCTCATGCAGTCCACCACCAGCCCCTTCATCCGCGCCCTCTTCCCCGAAGAAATCGACGACAGCGACCGGAAACGCCCCACAACCGTCTCCCACAAGATAAAAGGCCAATCGCAGGAATTGGTCGAAACGTTGATGAGATGCACCCCGTCGTATGTGAGATGTATCAAACCGAATGAGACGAAACGCGCCAAGGACTGGGATGCGAAACGGGTGGAGCATCAGGTGCGGTATTTGAATTTGAAGGAGAATATTAGGGTTAGGAGGGCGGGGTATGCCTATCGGAATACGTTTGAGAAGTTTTTGAGGAGGTGCGTGTTCGGATTTGGATATCTGTCTTCCCTCTTTAGGACACCCGGACCTTTAACACCCCTAACGCTGAATTTCATGCAAACAGATTCGCAATCCTCACAAAAGAAACTTTCCCTCACTGGCCCGGCCCCACTTCCGACGGCATCAAACACATCATGTCCTCCGTCCACATGGAACCCACCGAATGGCAACTAGGCCGCACAAAAATCTTCATTAAGTCTCCCGAATCCCTCTTCCTCCTCGAAGAGCAGCGCGACCGCAAGTACCACACGTACGCGAAAGTCATCCAGCGCGCGTATCGCCGGTGGAAGAGCCGCAAGTACTTTTTGGAGCTGAGGAAGAAGGCCGCGGATGTCATGTGCGGGAGGAAGGAGAGGAAACGGTTTAGTTTGAATCGAGAGTTTTTGGGGGATTATTTGGGGTTTTTGGATAATCCGATTTTGAAGAATCTTGTTGGTGAGTTTGGGCCCTTATCGGCGTGGGTCCGGTATATGGATAGGAGCATAGAACGTGCGCTGAACATACCTCATCTTTCCCCTCCTCCCGCACAACAGGCAAAAACACAAAAGTAGTCTTTGCAGACCGCGTCACCAAATACGACCGCAAATTCAAGCCCGTCACGCGGGAACTCCTTCTCACCGAATCCGCACTTGTCATTGTCGGAACCGAAAAGGAGAAGAGTGGACCCAACAAGGGCCGGCTGGTGAAAGTCATCAAGCAGCAGATTCCGTTTAGTGAGATTCAGGGTGTTTCGATGTCAACGAAACCGGATGATCTGTTTGTGGTGCATGTGCCGGGGCAGTTTGATTTGGTGTTGGAGAATATGTTTAAGACGGAGTTTGTTACTGTTCTCAGGTGCGTTTCCTGTCGTTTCCCCTGTTCGCGTAGTAGTCATGTCACCTTTCGGCAAATGTTGACCGATTTTGGTTTTCTTCTTTGAACAGCGAGAAATACCAACTCGCAACCCACCGCACCCTCCCCCTAACCTTCACCGACACCATCAAGTACACCGTCAAGAAAACCACCTGGCAGTCCGGCGGCACCCAGGAGATCCGGTTCGTCAGCGACCCGGCGCACAAGGTGGCGTTTGTCAAGAACAACGGGAAGGTCACGGAGGTGCGGATCAACCCGGGGTTGCCGATGGATTCGCGGCCTGGGCAGGTTGCGTCTTCATCTGGGCCCCGGGTCGCAAACGTCGCGGCGGGATATGGCAGGGCTCCATCCGCGGCGGCTGCAACGTCGTATGGGGGGGCACCGGCAGGAGGCGGCGGAGGTGTGCAAGCAGCGGCGAGCAGGTTTGGAGGCGGCGGATTTGCGTTGCCGCAGGTTGGGGGTGGGTCGCCTGCTGCAGCGAGGAAGAAGCTTCCGCCGCCGCCGCCGCCGAAGAAGGCTGCGTTGCCGACTTGTCGGGCACTTTATGTGAGTTTTTGTGCTTTTGGTGTGTTAGTGGGTTGGCGGATGATTGGGGATGCCTTTGCTGATGGTATTATTTTTCTGCAGGATTATGAGGCTTCGGAGGCTGGTATGTTCTTGACATGCTTTGTGATTTTTGCAAAGCCTATCTGGGTACTGACGTTTTACCCGGCGTTCTTTCTCAGACGAACTATCATTCAAAGCCAACGACGTAATATCCATCATAAATCAAGGTACGCTCGTCGCAAACCTATTCGATTGCGGAGCCATGTGGCTGACCAATGTCCTTCTTTCGTTTCGCAGACGACGCAGGGTGGTGGCAGGGAGAAGTCAATGGACGGAAAGGGCTGTTTCCTGCTAACGTGAGTGTCTGCCCCTCTGATGGTTTCAGTTGCACTCCTCGGTATTTCCTGACCCCCCCTTCCCCTTTTCCCATCTCAGTACACTGAACCCATGTAAGACTCCAGGACATCACGCAGGATGCAACGTGACTTGTCCTATCCCGAAGGATGTTTTCATACCGTCCCCACCCCCCCCCCCCCACCCCCCTCTTCCCGCTTCTCCCACCTTGCGCGTAAAAGACCACACCCTCCCCCAGACTCTCATCTTTCCGCTGCTTCATACACTTTACATGGACGTTGACACGGGTCCCTTGCAAATGACTCAAATACACTGGATCTGGATAGATACAAAACGGGTACCTGCTCTCTTTCTTGATTACCACGCCTGGGTCTGCATCAGGCGTGTTGGGCGCGTACTCTAGGAACGTATGGATTGATCGCAGCAGAGTCCAGCGGGTCTGTGGAAACTCGCCCCTGTTCCGCCCTGCCTCGATCTTTGTGTGTTCACCGTACCTGCCATCGTCACCTCAACTTTGACAGACGCAATCAATTGAATTCACTTGCACCCTCATGAAACACGATCCCCCAATCCACCCACACTCTATCCATGCTTTCTCGGGATCTAACGCTCCCCGATGCATGCACAAGCGCCTTCAAGTTCCCCAATCAATCATCCAGGTAAAAGTCCAACCCAACCCAGTCTCGATCGTTCGCGCCGCAAGCCCAAGGAAGGAATACGTGTGGAGAGCCAGTTGCATGGGTCTTGCTCGATGAAGGCTTACGACTCCCGATTTCACTATTGCGAACGCGTCGAATCCCTCTATGTGCGCCTGGGGCGGAGGGCGGGGAAGACGCGTGGGATGCTTTGATAAGCTGGGGTGAGCAAATTGACAGCATTGACAGCTTTCAGTCCAAAACGCGTTCCTGACGCGTTTTTCCTTGCTGGAGGGTTCTGGGAACTCTCCGTCTTTCCAGACGAGCGATGCATACATGGGTCGAGGCCCGGTGTGCTTCCGGGGCAAAGAAAAGGAGGTGACCGCGGCCTTCCTGTGTTCATCCCGGTCGCTCCGAACGGGCCAGGCGAACGGAATTAGAGTGATCTTATGTTGAAAGAGCCAAGCCCCCCCGCGGCGCCCAAGTGACCCGTCCTGCCGCGCTGCCGGATGTCGTCTACGTGCAAAATCCGGACTACAGAACCTTTTCCTGCGGTTATCTCCTGCGCGTTTTGGAGCTGCAGTGGTGAGGAAGCACCAGCTACTGTGCGACTTTCTGACCGGAGCGACGCCTCCCGTGCGCCCGCTCTACATGGGCAGGTTTGACAACCTGCCTCGTTTTGTTTTCCTTTTGCCCTTTCGCGATGCGATGCTTGTTAGTTCATCCTTGCAAACTCGCGAAGTCGTTCTTGGGCGTATTTGGGTATTGCGTGCGCGGGAGCATCAGGATCTCTCAAGCAGACTCGAGCGCGTCTCCCCCGAGGAAGCTGAACTCCGCCCTCACATGGGCGCCAAAATGGCTGACGATGTCGGCTTAGATACGCGTCAGAAATAACGCGTCGGGATCGTTTGCAGGCACCGTGACAGGACGTCTCTGTCGGCGACAGAGGGCCGGGCCAAGAGACACGAGCTGTCTTCACGCAGTGCTCACATTATCGGGCTTGTCCCCAGTTCTTTGACGGCCGAGAAGAGGGACGGGAAGTGGGAGGGAGAAGGGTAGGGAGATCACACCGATAGTACACCGAGGTCTAAGCTTTCGACTTAGCCTTCTAATGATGACGGCCCGGAAAGTGGCGCCCAATGCCCAGATGCCCTGCTGCCTGCTTGGTCATGCCTACGCGTAAGACCTGGAGAGGAAGACGAAGATTCCGAAGGCACAGAATGGTCTTTCTATAAGATTATTGGACCACGAAGGCCGGGTGAGACTGGTTAAGCAAGAAGAGAGGAGAAGAGAGCCACGATGCGTTTGCTGACGATATATCCCTTACTCGTAAATTATCAAGCGTTTGGAGCTTACGAAATACGCGTCAACAACGCGATTCCGTGTTTGCTCACCGTTCGTGAACGAAAAGTGGTCAGCCGCGTGAGCGGTCAGCCCCGTGGAGAGTACCAAAAAGGGAAGCAGGCGCTGGCTAGAGTGCCGGGGTTAGGTATCATTGCCACACATTGTCGAGATGAGAGGGGATGTTAGATGAGGGAACACAGCCAAGTCAGCCAAGAGGAATGAACATGATTGAACCGAGAGCTGAAAACAAGCTGCGGGAAACTTGTGAGCCTGTGCTGCGCGATCCGGTGTTGCTCTTAGGCAGGGGAGAAATAACAGCATGGAAGGGGATTGTCGAGATGTCTTACGTGCAAGGTTCATAACGGGATCAGTCGGTACGTGCTTGCGAAGCCGTGTAAATCCTCTTATATGAGAAAAGTTTAGAAATGAAGCAAGGGGGGACAACCCATGCGGCTGTGTCCCGCTCGAATGTAGAAAGTGAGAGGCGTAGGCGTACAGCCTGATATAGAAGAGAGAAGAGACAAGGAGAAGGGGAAAGAATTTGGCGGGACGAGCAAATGCCGAAAGGAGATGAACCTCACTCGTGGTGAACATAGAAACGGGCGGGAAGAGAAACAATGGAGGACACCGCATACACGTAGAAAATTCGCACCGACTTGCGAATGTTCGGCCGGTCGCGCGTGTATCCACACAAGAGAGTGAAGATTAGGGACAAGAGATGGAACGTTATCCAACGATCCAAAATCTAAGTAGACAAGAGAGGGAAAATTAGAGAAGACAATAGGCGAATTGGCACTTCCGCAGTAGATGGAGCGGTCGATCTCCGTAACTTCCTAGCATAGGAGGGAACAAGAACAGGGAGAGAGCGACCGGAGAATTAAGCGACAAGGATTGACCGAGACGAATTGCCGATGAGATAGATGGGTGAATGCCGATGGTGCACTTCCTGAGTACTGGAGAATGCGCCAAGCCGTGGTTGACATCGTTTTGCCCATGCAAGGAAACACGATACTCGACTACGAGAGAGTATGCAAGCGAGACTTGTCCGATGCCGCCATGGGGATGTTGACTCATCCCGTAACGCGTAGAGAAACCCAACTGTCGAAACGATGATGCAGTGGTGGGGTGTGCGGCCAGGACACAGGTTGTAGGGAACCGGTATGCGCGAAGTAAGAAGATGGATAGAGGGTGCGAGGACGACGTGAATATGAGCTTAATGCCGATCGAGGACGATTACCCAGGTGCTTTTTTTTATAACCTGCCCGAGGAGAGGAAAAGGGGGGGGGCAAGAAACAAGCGTCTTGTGCTGACGATATCTGCTAATGCTGCAATTTTGGCCTTTTTCCATGCGCGGTTTTGAGCTTACGAGGACGCGTCGGATAGACTTTCCCAGGGGTTTACGCGGGGACCCTGTGAGCGAGGTCACCTTGGCACTAATATTGTGTAGGCCAGGAAGGGGGGGAGAGAGGGGGAAAGCTCTGGTGAGTCGTGCGTGCGCCGTGTGCACGCGATCAAGTAGTCGCCGAAAGGACAAAATCTGAGTATTGTGCGAGAGATGTCAAGCGGATATCAAAAGTGGTTTATTATGCCAATACAAAGGGCCAGCGCATAGGCGCTACTATACAAAAACTCAGAGTCCCTATCTGAGGGTGTTGGGACGAGGAACAAAAAAGTGGTGTGTATGTGTGAAGGTATATAAGAAGATAACTAACAAGGTGACAGTTATACGTCGATGCTCTCAGAGGACAATATTGGCATGGAGACCCGGCTGCGCGACCGACTCCCCATCCCTGTGCTGAGCGGCATGTGGCATCCAAGCTCCCGCCAGGTTCTGCGAGCCGTGTGCTCGTCCATGTTGGGCGTCATGGTGGCCATCGTGAACGTTGTTGTGGTGGACATCGTGAACGTTGTTGTGGTGGGCATCGTGGACCGTAGTCGCATTCAGACCGTGGTTGCCAGTGAGATCGTGGTTGCCAGTGAGGCCGTGGTCAGGCACAATCTTCTCAGCGGCACCGGTAAGTTCGTGGTTACGTTCAGCGTGGGCATGCACGGAAGAGTGGCCCTGCACGGCGTTGGGGTCGTGTTTGAGGCCGAAACCCGTGGGGAGGCCGGCTGCGGCGAAAACGCCGACCGAGTCGTCGAGTTGGTTGGCGCGGAGGGGCCCGGTTGTTGTTTGAGGGGTGTGGTGGGAGGAGGGGGTGGTGAGGTTTTGGATGGGGTTGGTCATGTTTGCGGTTTGTTTAGAAAGAGTATGGACTTTGCGTTTTTGGGTTCTTTGTGGTGGTTTGGTTATCCGGTGAAGGAGGGGGAGCGATGGGGCTGCTCTGCCCTTTTATTCGCATCGGAAGCAGGGAATAAAGGGAACGTTTTGCAAAGCCTTCCTCCGAGAGCGACGGAGGTGACGAAATGTGCACCGCCCGCTGTCACGACCTGACGACTCTGGCCACCAACGCAATCAAACGGGACCAACCGTGAGCAAACCATGAGTGCCCTCAGCCTGCCAGTGCTTATGCTGCAAGTTGTGCATCTGCACTATGCAGCAGCGCCCACAAACGTTGTGTGCTGCGAGAAGGGGAATCCGAGAAGGCTGAGAGCATGAATGACCTCATCGCGTGGCTTCGCAAGACTGACGGCGCACAAGATTCATTTCGTTCTGTGATTGACAGCGGCTAAGCCCGCACTGTCAACGACGCAAGTAAAGCAAGTCTCAGCAAGGAAGGTCGGCGTATTAGCCGATGTCAACGAAGAGTTCACTGATGATGCATACGATATCTTCATATTATTGCATACAGATCCCATTTCGGCTTTGAATTAACATATGTACACCCCGTCCGGGTACACTGTTCCCCCAGTTTTCGTCTTCAAGATCATGCCACTGTTTTCGTATCCCGCATTCCCCCACTTCCAGCCCACTTCTCTGCCCAATCCTCCCGCTCTCCACTTCAGCCCCCCCTAACCCCCAAAGAATGCAAAAACCTCATCCTCCGCGCCACACTCCCCCTCCCCTTCCTCCTCCTCAACTCCTGCAACCCGTCCACATCCACTCCAAGCAGCACCGCATCATCCTCCCGACCAAAACACCGTCTCCCAACCACCCTATGCGCAATCCTATCCTCCTCCCCCCAATACTCCTCCTCCGCCCTCCCCTCAATCACCCCCATATCAAATTCCCTATCCCCCCTTGCAACATCCAACAACTTCCTCGCCAGCGAAAAAAGGCCGGAGGACATGTGCAGGGCGAGCAGACAGGATTTACGCGTGTAAGCCGGGTCATTGTAGAACGGGGAGTAGTCGTGCTCGAGGTGGTCGCGGCGGTAGGGGTTGAGCTCGGTGTAGTCGCGGAGGAGGGCATCGAATTGGGAGAAGAAGTCGGAGCGTTGGGTTTGGGTTGATTTTCTTTCAGTGAAGGTTTGCTGGGGTTTTGCTGGTCGTTGCTTTTGCTTTTGCGCTGATGTCTTGGCGGAACCATTACGCGCGCTATTTGCGGTAGAACGCGTAGACTCAACCACGACAACAGGCCGTTTGCCCTTATCCACCTTCCTCACATCCCCAACCTCCTCCTCATCATCATCAATCGAAACCCCCCTAATAACCGTCACCCTGCCCGCCGACGTCCGCCGACTAACATCCAACGGCGACGAGCGCGCCGACGACGAGCGAGACGATATGATGCTGTTTCCCATTTTGCTGTTGTTGATGATGATGTTGTTGTTGTGGTTGATGTTGGCAGCGAGCCCCGCAATGGATGGGGAGACCGACAATGTGGGTGACCTAGCAATAGAAGTAACACTCTCGCTCGCGCTCACGTTCGCAGCATGTTGCTTGTGTACAACACCAGCCACCGTGTCCGCTTTCCTAGGTGATTTCCTTGAAACTGCTGCGTCCACCATCTGCTCATCGGCATGAACATCCAACGCCGATTCCGTCTCCTCCCGCCTTCTCCGCAACGTCTTCTTCGGCGATTGTACATTCAACGAGGATTCACCCTGTTCGGAAGACTCGCCCGCCTCTTTGCTCAAATCCTCCTCCTCGCTTCCATCACTCCCATCCACAAACTCATCCTTCCCCGGAACCTCATACGAAAACCCCTCCCTAACCGCAACTGCACTCCTCCTCACACTCCTCCGTCTCCTTCCCACCTCCTCATCCTCAACAACGTTTTTGGGTACATACACCTGCCCGTCCAATTCCCTTTGGGCTTGGATCCCCAACTTGCGTTTGGATGGGCTTACGGTGGACTCGATGCGGTGGCGGAGACGTGTTTTGATGCTTTCGGAGGGTACGGCGTTGCTGGACCTGGTACGTCTGGAACGTTCCCTCAACCGTGTCGTTACGCCTTCGGTTGCCGTAGCAGTAGGATCAGGAGCACCAGCTTTGCGCGGGGACCGTCGAAGCGGCAACTCCGGTGGTTCGTCGTCACGATCCGAGGCGGTATACCTCTCATCTTCACTCTCGTCCGTTTTCGCAACGGTGTTGCCATTCGCTTTCCGGGGTGACCTCCGAGTCTGCTGGAAGGGCGGCTCGGACTCGTGGTCGGTTTCGGGTGACGCCGTGCGGGTGGTGCGTGCGGGCGTGCCCACGTCGCCGTTAGCGGCCTGCAAGAGCTCAGGCGATAAATCCTCTTCCGAACCATCTCCCTGGCCCGTTCTTGCACCATCCTCATCCTCCCCACTCCCTCCCTCCTCATCATCATAAATGAACGATCGTTTACTCGGCAGCCCCGCCGACGCATTAGCCATCGCCGCCCTCGTCAACCTCGCCCCACGTTCCATAATATCATCAATATCCTCTTCCGTTCTGCCCACCACCCTTTCCGGACTACCCTTCGCTCCTGCACTTGCCGCACTGCCATCGTCACCCTCTCTCTCCTGATTCTGCTCCTCGTCATCATCATCACTAATCTCAACAGCCTTGAACGGCGGTGCCTGCGTCTGCAACCCGCCCAGGGACCCAGACTCGGACCCGGTGTCGTCCTCGGTGTCGGAGATATCTTCCATCTCGTTGTCGGGCGGGTATGTGCTGATTTGGAGCGATTCGGTTTGTTGGGTCATTGTCATTTGCAGGATTCGTGTGCTTTTGCGTTGGGTTTGGGTGTGTTGTTGGATTTGTTGGGACTTTTGTTGTGGGGAGCGAGGCTGGGGGCCTTGAGTCTGCCACTGGTGCCTGTCTTCTTCCTCCTCGCCCACTCCATCTTCAGATTCTTCTGAACCGCGGTCGTCCCACACTCCCCCAGAGGGCTCCTGCGTCATGAATTGGTGTGCGGTATCTTCCACCTCGTCCTCCTCGTTTTCGTTCTGACCGTCAACAGATTCCGACTGCGTGTCATTCGGGCCGTTCTCGGTTTGCGTCTCCTCATCCTCCTCCTCCTCCTCCTCCTCCTCGTTTTCCCAGTCCACTTGATCAACCTCGCCCTCCTCCTGCTGATCCGCGCCAGCGTCATCCGCCGGCTGCCAGTCATCCTCCAACGTCCACCCGTCCTCAACCATCTGTTTCGCTTCCGTTCGAACTTCCTCGCCGGCTTGGAGAACGGCGCAGATGTGGTTTTTGAAGTGGCCTCGCCAGCTCTCCGCATTATGTTCCGGATGCTACTCATTCCAAAAGAAAAAAAAAGAATCAGAGAGCCCATTCCCACCATCCAGCAGCCATCCATCCCCATACCTGAACAGCAAACTCCAACCAAAAATTTTTCCCCTTGATCCCTGGCGCCGTACATTTCCCCCTCGTAAAATTCCTAATAAGCCTCTTCTCGCGCTCCGTAAACTCCTTCCGTCGCTGCTTCTTTCGTTTTTGGCCAGGCTGCGCTTGGTCGTCGTCATCATCGTCGTCATCGGAGTTTTCGGCTTCGACTTGGGAGATGATTTCGGACTCGGCGTGGGATTTCCATTGCTCGCGGGAGTGCACTTTATTGAGCTTTATTGTTGTTGAGTGTAAGTACAGGTTTCGCTGATGGGTGCGCGGCCAATTGATGGGGTTAACGAACCATTCCAGCAAGCACGGCATAAGCCGCATCCCTCAGCTCCGGGCGTGTGACACGAATCACTTCTTTCAGAATCTCATCTTCGTACGGGGTGAAGATTTCGGAACGTTTGGGGCGGACAACCGCTTTCGTGGCATTAGACGTCGCGGTGACAATAGCTGGTTGGTTCTGGTTCTGGTTCTGGTTCTGATTCTGATTCACCGGCTGTTTTGCCGCGTTTTTTTTCTTTTCTGTGTGCAGTGTAGGCAGGATGCGTTCAACGGCGCGGTTTCGCCATGATTGCCAGGGGTGATGCGGAAACTGGTGAAAATGAGAGCACTCGTTAGCGTCCGCGCCGGCATATCCACAGAAAGACAGGTCAGACATCCGTACCTGTGCCGCGATGCGTTTATATAGGGCATTTCCGGAGAGATCAGTCCCGCTGGCTCTCTCGATTTCAGCCCGAAGTATAACATCATCCTTCGCATCAAATGGTTCCCGGGATCTGAATTACGCAAAGAGATCCATGTCAGCGAAACCTCGAAAATGATGCATAGAGCGCAAACACAACTCTACGCGTACATTGTTCGATTCCCAGAAGCAACCAAATCCAACGAAAGGCAATACGGCGCTCGATCCAGAAGCCGCCCCGCCTTTACAGAATCCTCCACATATTCGGTAGAATACATGTCCCTTGCCGACGGCGTCGAACCCGGTCCTGCTACTTTCATGAATATCTCATCCACAGGGGCGTACTCCACAACTTCACCGCCGTTCGATTCGATCAGGTCTCGCGCACGCGCTCGGTGCGCACCACGCGTTATGGTGAACTTCAGCGGGTCGCCGTTTGCTTTGGCGAAGAGGAGCTGCTGCTGCACTGACCGGCGTGGCGGTGCGCTGGAGGACGCGGATGGGCCGGGCATTGCCAGCATTGGTTGGGGTTATGGAAGGTTGCGGTTTGTGTTGAGTATTTGTTTTTGAGGCGGTTGAACACTATGTGGGACACTTTTTGGCTGATCTTTGCGTTGGGACAGGAGTGAGGCTGGGTTTGCACGGATTTCGTAGCGTTTCACCTTTACCAGAGAAGTTGCGCAAGGTTATCGCATTTAGGTGGTGGTTGTCGCTCGTCGTTGAAGGTTAGCCAAGAACAAGGCGGGCTGTTTCCCAGTGGGGATTAGTCGTGCGCTGAAGTCAGAGTCGGCACCCCGAGAGTTTATTTGGATCTCGGACATACCACGTGACTTGTTCAATTGGAACTTGTCCGAAAACGCAAAGTCACCGACGCGAAGTGTTCTGAGCTTTCCCCCTTTCCGCTCGCTCCTTTTTCCCACTGGCACTTTGCTTGCTTCGCTCCTAACTCACTCCAACCGACCCGCAAACTCCGATAACTGCAAAAATCGATATCGTTTCCCTGCCTGCCCCATCGCTCTCAGAAAAGCACCCTTCCACCGATGACCGCCCCAGCTAAAAACACCAAGAGTGTCAAACCCACAAATGCGTCGGAGCAAAGCTCGTCAAATGCTGCAACCTCCACGGACCCAAGACCGTCCTCTTCATCAAAGCAACCACCAACAATAGCTGCGAAACCAGAAGCCGCACCGGCTAAAATAGCGCTCGCCAACCCTGTCCCAAAGTCATCCCGAGGAAGCGGTCTCAGCAACAGCGCAAAAAGGTATGTTATTCTCAAACCTTCTTCGAAAATGCCCCTTCTCAAACCCGCTGACCACCCAAACCTCCATTCTCAGAATCCAAAAAGAACTTGCCGAAATCTCCCTGGACCCACCCTGCAACTGCTCCGCCGGCCCAAAAGGCGACTCGCTCTACGACTGGGTCTCAACCATCCTCAGGCCCTCAGGCTCACCCTACGCCGGTGGCGTGTTCTTCCTCGACATCCACTTTCCGCAAGACTACCCGTTTAAGCCGCCCAAGGTCACCTACCGCACAAGAATATATCACTGCAATATCAACTCGCAGGGCGCGATCTGTTTGGATATCTTGAAGGATAATTGGAGCCCGGCGTTGACGATTTCGAAGGTGTTGTTGAGCGTTTGTTCGCTGTTGACGGATGCTAATCCTCGTGAGTGTGGGCAGGAATAGAGGATGCTGCAGTTTGGGATGAGGGCGACCATGCACGTCGTACAGCCATTGAACAATCATTGAAGAACACATCCCGTTTCTTTTCTTCAGACGACCCGCTGGTGGGCAACATCGCACAGCAGTATCTGAACGATCGCGAGGAGCACGACCGGATTGCGCGGGAATGGACCAAACGGTAAACAGTCACAGACGTTGTCACTGATGAACTTGCATCTAACATACACACCCCAATCTCGCAGATACGCGTGCTGAGGTGCATTCGAAGGGAGACTGACGTGTGCTTAGGCCACACCGCCATGATGTTCAAGGAGATCGGTCAGGCAACATTGTATATATTTGCGATTTGTCGATACCCCTGTCTATGTTGATATGTATGTGGAAAACACCCCCAAAATGGATTGACTAAGTAGTTTGCTCTCCCTGCTATCTGCTACGACGAAAACAGGGAGAGAGACATAAGATAGCCTATGCTAGTGAAATAAATTATGTCTGAAAGACAAAGCAGTTACGCTACGAGTTCCGCCTGCACCTAATCCGTCGCGCCATCCGCCACCCTCTTCACACCGTGTTTAGCAAAAGTCTCCGCCACAATCAACGGAAACACAACGGTCGCGTCCGCATACACTTTCACCGGTTTGGCGTCCATGCGGATCTTGCCCCACGAGACGGCCTCGTCTGGCCGGGCGCCGGCGTCGCTGCCATCGAATTCTTGGCCGGTGTTGATGTATACTGCGTAATCTGCTCCGTTGCGCTGGAGGAGTCATATCGGGTTGGGTTGAGTCTATCAGCCAAACATGATCAAGAACAGAGGAACGGAGACCAAAACCCTCACCATCAGATTCGCATTACAAATATGATGCTTGACCACTCCACCCCCCAAGATAATCATCCCGGTCTTTTTCGCAAACACAGCCTCGTTGTTGACCGCGCGGATATCGCCCGCGATATCGATTATGAGGCCCGGGTTTTTGTAGGAGTGGAAGTAGATCATGTCGCCGAGGGAGCCGTCGGTTAGGGCTGGGCAGTAGACTGGGATGTTGTTCTGTGTGCGGAGGGGTATAATACGTTTGCGTGAGTCAACCGGTGTGCGCAAATATATTGTGAGTAGAGGCAGCGTACCTTCCAAGCCCAATAATAAACACTTTCCGTATCCCCAATCTCCCTCCCCAACCTCCTCACAACCTTCGACGGCGTCCACACCACGCCATCGCGTTTCTGCTCCTCCAGCATCGCGTCCAGGATCGGCATCACCCAGTCCTCGAATTTGCAGTAGTTGTCGTTTGGGACGAGGAGGTTGCCGATGCGGTTGAGCCCTTGTTTGCGGAGATTTGCGCCGGGGAGGGAGAAGGAGCCGATGTAGGTGGGGCCGAGGCATTTGATGAGGTCTTCTTCGATGCCGCCTGCTGAGGCTACTATGCAGTCTACCTGAGGAATCCAATCTTGTTGGTTAGGTCGAGGTGAACGGAAGAGGGGAAGAGGTGATGCCGGTTACGCACCATGGAATGCTCAACGAGGTATCGAATGACCTCCCTTAGTCCTGACGATATAAGATTGGATGTATATCCCAAGAAAATCTTGCACTTGATCTTCCGCCTCGCTTCCGGATCCCTGTACTCCTCCGTCTCGTCGTCTGCTATTGGTTCGTCCGATAACCTCCATTTTATCTACGCATTGACAGAATGAACTCCATTAACCACCATGCCCCAAATCAACGTAACTTCATCCCTGATATTTTACCATCCGATTAATCTCCTCAACAGCCTGCCCAACACTCGTCGCCTGGTACCCTGTCCGGAAATAAGAGGCGAGCAGGGCGCTGTAGTCGACACCGTTGTTGAAGTCGTAGCCTTTGACTTCTGTTGAGTCGGTGGGCATGGGGGCTGAGGGGACTAGGACGGCTTGGACGGCGGACGCGGGGGTGGGGCCTGCGGGCGGTAAGGTGGCTGGGGCTGTCATTGTTGTTGTGGTGGATGTGGTGGTGTGCTGGGTGTGAGGGCCTAGTGAGCTGCAATTTCCGCGAGTAGGAAAAAGTCGACAGGGAAAACCTCGCGCGACAAGAAATCCAAGCCTTCAACTCTTTCAACTCATTTTCAACCAGCTTTCAACTCTCAGTTCGACTGCCCTTCTCGTTCAACAACCAACACCACAAACCAGCATAATGACTCTACGGGTAAGCACCACAAGCAGTTTAACAGCAGCAGACGATAGAGTCTTCTTATCCCTCAGGGTTTCGCTGCCGCAGGCCTTCCAATGACACCGGGCAAATCCCGGAACCACAGTCTAACCCACCTTCTCTACCTTCGTAGACCGGATTAGCATACGGCCGAGTATGGCACCTAGTCGACGCCCGCGACAAAGTCCTCGGCAAGCTCGCGCAGCGGATAAGCATAGCCCTGCGGGGGAAGTATAAGCCTATTCATCACCCATCGAGTAAGTCAGACTGTTTCTATTCCAAGTCACTCGAAGATCAGAACCAAGGGCTAATCAACTTCCTTTAGTCGACGCAGGAGATTATGTCGTAGTAGTGAACGCCCGCCACGTCGCGCTGACCGGAAAGAAGGCGACACAGAAGAACTACTTCTGGCATAGTGGATGGCCTGGGGGTGTTACGAACTTGACGTACAACAAGTTTGCGGAGGAGCATCCTACTGGGGTAGGTTTCTTGTTTATCACGGGCACATGGTTTCGAGGAGGAGGGGCAGGAGAACTAGGGGAGTAAACACACGATCGCGGACTACATGATGTTTTCTGACCATTATCATGCATTTCATTCCCAACAGCCGTTAAAAAAAGCAGTCTACGGCATGCTCCCGAAAAACGGCCTACGAAAAGTGCAAATGGGCCGTCTGTTCATCTTTGCAGACGAAGACCACCCGTATGCGCAGAACATTGTGAAATCGTATGTGGATGAGGAGGGGCCGGATGCGTTGGGTGTGCTGCCGCCGATTGAGGCGGGGAAGGATGTGGGGGGCCAAAAGAAGTCTGCGTAGGGGTTTCTGCGGGAGAAGAGGGAGCTTGGGGTCTCCGATGCAAAGGACCTCTGGAAGGGGGATGAACATGTATATAGACGCATATTATTTACTGCAATATTTAGACGGGTTCCTGCATCGCACACATCGGATTGGGTTCGGGCGTTCATCTTCCTCGAGAAAAAGGCCCGTTGTGGTGGCGTATCACTCACACAGCCGTTACCTACTTGACTTTCGAGAATGGCTGGCGATGGCGAGTGAGGAACATGGAGATGGATATCCTTTTGACCTTCCTCACACGAAGCAAACGCCGGCTTAGCTTCCATAAGGCAGCATTGCATCCATCATAATTCTACAAATCTCTCAGCCCGGCAGATACGCCGCGCGTATCACCGTCGCAAGCCCCTAGCTCCGCGGATTTCGGCAGCGGATTGCCACACAGATGGCGGTGCCGTTGATGGGGATTGACACGTCGAACTTCGCCGCCTAATTCGCCGACGTCAGCGAAGAGCGGACCTTCTTCATGTCGTTCGGTGAAGCATTGAAGTGGAGAAGCTCCTTCCACCAGCGTGTCGTGATTGATATCTGCGATCATCTTGATGACTTGTTGTTGTTGATGCGAGAAGATGCTGAAGGTATGCAGGATCTGGTTCTGGAGACTCCCCTGGGAACTGCGAAACATGTCCGCTATTTATGCGAAACTGTTCTTATCCGTCGCGTATCCCAACGCCGGGTGGTACGTATATATAAAAGGCTGCCTCCCTTTGAACCTGGCCCAGCGCGGTAAGCGTCGACCGTGAGGATCTTCTAGCGAAGTGGCACAAATTTCGTCCAAATTTTGTTTGACGTGGGCCTTCCTTCTGTTGAAGCGGAGGACGACGGTGGATGACCAGGAGAGGAAGGGGAGATTGCCGTTGCGGGGCGGGTAGGGAATCATTGATGATCCTGCCAAAACAGACATTGTTTGCAGCGGCCAGAGCAAGGATCCCCAGCAACGAAATCTGCAATATCGCTTGCCCACAAAATATCCGACGGAAGGGTCCGGCGAACGGCCCCCTTTTGATCGTTTTTTCGTCAAACCATAGTTTACACCATCAAGTTGTCCCTAAAGATGCGGACATCCGTAGGGCCCCGTCACATCAGTGTATTTCGCGGCATCTATCATCGTCTGTACCATCAGGTCGCGCGTCCTGCGATTCGAATTGATATGGGGTGTAATGTGGATGGTTGATCAACGGCTCGTCGAGACACAATCAGGGCCCGCTTTCCGATGTATGTAGAAGGCGTCGACCGAGTGATAGTTGAAAACGGCAGAACCCGCCGTGCAAAACTGTCTTGTGGCGACCGTCAGATCGCTTTCTGGCAGCGACGTAACCTCCGAAATCAAGCTTGCCCGAAGTCCGAGCACGAGATCTGATGACATTTGTCGATAAGCCCACGTCGATGGGAGCAGCGTCACCAAGATAGATATGGTAAAGAAACGGAACGCTCAAGTAAACTTGGTTGGTGTCATCCAAATGAATTGGACTTCCTTTCCACTGTCTTCGGATATGAGAACGAAATCCCCGGAAGCGCGTAATGCGTTGGGACTTGCGCCAACACCATCAATGACAGCCGTACTGGTTCGCACATCGGTTTGATGGGGCCCTACTACTTCCGTCGAGAGCTTCGTTGTCTCCGGCACTGATTCCATGCCCGAACACAAGAGACGGTCCGACATAAATCTGCAAGGCGCGCATGCCCCTACTCCTCCCGTGTCAGGAAGCGATGACGAGACGTGACCTTCGCCCTTGTCGCGACGCAGATGAAGCTTTCCATGTAATTCTCGAAAGGCCGTCGCGTAAGTCAAATGCACCGCCTTTCGTCTCTGTGTGTGCCATATTCCCTGCCTTCCGTCGCCATCCACTTTCTTTTAATCCACCAGTGCCTGAAGATGGCAGTAAGACATCTGTAGTCCGTACAGCCTGCCGTCATCTTCAAGCACTGCTCGACACTGCCGTGATTACAGCACTGGTGTACAATTCCCCTTGGTCTTCACGACTCCACGACTCCACAAGGAAATTCAGATTTCCGCTCTTTCGTCGGTTTTCTGCTGTTCCTGTGCAAACTGGATTCGCAAACGTAACAGTCCGGCTTCCTGATCGATTTGAGGTATCCGCATCGGTTGCCGGTGCGCCATCATGGCCGTCAATAACGCCGGGGCGGTCGTGCAGCCTGAGGCCTCTCTTATCCCAGTATCAGAGTCTACATGGCCAATGCGCGCAAACCATGTATGGTGGTCTCCAAGTCCGCTTCAGCTTCTGGCCTCCCTAATGCTGTTGGGCGTTATGTTCACCAGCTCCTGCAACTCGATCGGAGCAGTCCATCTGCGGAATGGACAGCGCATGTTCTCACTGCTCACTTCAAACCGCCTCGAAGAACTCGGCAAAATGCTGTCTCCAAACTAGTCATCGGTACGCCGGCAAAATTGATCTCTCGCGCAAGACAATCGCCTCGATACCATAAGCATCCAGGAGCCAGGCCGCACCTCTGCCGTGTAGAGACAAACACTCGCCATGCCATTCGACCAACTCAGCCGAGGCGTCGTCCTAAATGCCTGGCGGTCAGTGCCACCTTAGAAAGGCCTATGCGGGCCTATGCGGGCCTGCGGGTGTTTGACCACACTATGGAAGGAAAATACTTTGGTGTTGCTGCAGTCTCCTCAGACTCTCCTGTTATTCCCTCCACCGTGCCAGCATTCCTCCACCCACCTCAGTTGGGCTGCCTCGACGCGAAAGGATAAATCGGAGCCTGCGTTGAGCCGGACGTTGTTCTCTTTCGGCGGTGAGGTCATGTGCAGTGGCTGTGCAGATGCTTCCGAGATGCTGGCCAGTGGCAAGTTGGCAACGCAGCGGTCAGATTTGACAGCACAGCCACGGCTGAACGCCACCAGCCAAGCATGAGCCAAGCCGGTCCGGAGAGGACATGACACACAGGGGTGCTTTGGACGGGAAGCTCTTTGGGCCTCCAGCGACCTGCACAGCATGTGCAAACGCCTTTGAACTCGACATTCTACTACGTAACAGCGTTCGGGGAGGGACGTCAACGGGGAACCTATACCGTCCAACCTTGGAAGACCTCAGTATTGGAAACTTCAGAAAAACACGTCCCTTGCACTTGACGACGGTCGCTGGAAAACAATGGACTTGTATTGGCCAGAACGGCGAGTGGGAAAGTATGTTTTCATCTTTAGACATGTTATGAAGTGTAAGACCGCTATATACTCATAACTACGTTTATCGCATCCGCGCATAGTGAGGACAATGTGTGGTTAGGCATCAACAAGCAAACGGGAGAACCGGTGGCTATGAAACTCTTCGAGAGGGAGCAGTTCGCTGATGGACCCGTACGGGACGAAAAGGTGGTGGCTGAGGTGGGTTGCTTGGAGAAGGTCTTTCCTGCTGTTGACTCGTAGGGATGCTCAAGTCCACCATTAGGTGGAGATTATCAAAGACCTGTCACGGCAATATCCGGCGCGAATCATCCAATACCTCGATTTCTATTCCAACGATGAGAACCAACTGGTCCTTATTATGGAGAGGTTCGTCTGCATTGCCACTAGTCGGGCAAGTGACATATGTGCTTATCTTCCTTTGTGCACTTCCAGAGCCGAATGCACCGTACAGGATCTTCTGGATGAGTATCACCATTTACCGGAGTTTGCGGCACGGGAAGTTGTCTTTGGGATGCTCGAGAGCGTAGCTTGTGTTCATACTGCATCACTTGTCCATCGGTATGTGCTTTTTAAGGGCTGCTCGCTACGAACGAATCGAGTCGTACTGACCGTGTTCGGGTTGCGCGTTCATATAGTGACATCAAACCGTCGAACCTGATGCTCATGACGCGTACGGACTTGACGTCCCTGAAATTGGGAGATTTCGGCGTAACTGTCGGAAATGTCGGTTACAACAACCTGAACCAAATAGCTGGAACACAAGGCTTCCAGGTATGGTGATTTTATCGTTATCGTCTGTTTCTGTCAGGGTTAGCGACTTAAAACCACCCCATCAGGCCCCAGAGATGCTTTCCCGCACATTCTACGGAAGACCGGTCGATCTGTGGTCCTGTGGTGTCACAGCCTATCTGCTCCTGTACGGGCGACTTCCGTTCATTGCCACGGCTGGCGGTGGGATGTTACGGACGAAGAAGATAGGAACAAAGCAGCAGTTGGATGCCATCAAGAAAGGCTACACGTTCCCGGATGACATCCAAGTCTCGGAGGACGCAAAGAACCTTATTGCAAGCCTTTTGCAGGTGGATCCGGAACGGAGGCCTGCGATCACGGATGCTATCAATCACCGATGGTTCGCGGAAGCAGCGATGTCGGAGCCTATTCCGAGGCCCCTTGCACAGCAGCCATCCCAAACCCGTGCGGCACCGCCACCGCCACCGCCAAGAAAGCATGACCCTTCAGGCACGCCCGAGATGCGCAGGTCACTCGATTCCGGTGTCTCGAATAACAGCTCACTCCATCACTTGCCAAGAGGCGGGCTCGCCAACACATCGGCGATAAGCTTGGAAAGTAGCAAAAGCAGCGACAAGCGAGTGCGTTTCGGGGAGGTCTCGCAAATATTTCGGCCTGATACGGACGCCGAACCCGAGAGCCCAAACGTGGATAACTTTGACATGTCCGGGCCTTCACAACTTGGACAATTGGACTTCCTTTCCGCAGACGAAGATGCAAGCGCGTACTACCTAGACTCTGCATCTCCACGACCCTCGGACGTGAGCAGCAATGCACCGTTACAACCGCCTCGACCTGCCGCTTCCACCGCGCCTATACCACCCTTTCGCGCCGAACAGACCGAGCCGCGGCAAATCAAGCGCAAGACATCCGATGCGATTTTGAAAATGTATGGGGAAACGGCTGCTGCGTTCTCGTCGCAAAAATCTTCACATGTAGATAAAGGAGGAAAAGGGTTCATGGGTCGGTTGAACACTGTGGCGAAAAACAAGCTGAAGAAGTTGGCGGGACAGGCGAGGGATTCGGAGGGGTCGTATGAGAGGGTTCAGCAATCCCCGCAACCATCTTCAGTACAGCACTACCAACAACAGCAGCAACAACACCATCAACAACAACAAATACCCACAAAACAACCCTCAATCTCCCACCACCAACGCAGCTCCTCCCTAGCCGACGCCACCCCCCAGCCCACCCCGGCACCCCGCCCACTCTCCCATCAACCCCCCCGCCACGCCCACATTCCCCCGGCAGTAGAACCAAAACATCTCCCCACCACCACCCCCCCAACTCCACCCCCTCGCAAACGCCCCCAACCCGCCACTCCCGACACTACCACCCAAAATACAAACTCATTCGAACCTTCCCCACCCTGGTCAAAACCCTCCACGCCTTCCAAACCACAGCCGGCGGCAACACCGTTACCGATGTTGGATCTTGGGGACCCGTTTAGGGATGCGAAGGTTGTGAAGGATTGTGCAGATGCTGTTGCGGGGAGTGGTGGGGGAGATGGAGGTGTGGAGGAACAGAAGGGAGGGGTGAGGTCGCTGGCGGCGAGGTTTGAGAAGGTTGCTGTTTAGAAGGCGTATGTTGTTGGGATACATTTCGCGCGTGGCGGGGATAGGTGGAAGGGTTTATAGCTTTTGTACGTTCTGGTTTGTTTTGCATGGTGATGTGGGACGGGACGGATGGATGGGCCCCAATGTATATACTGTTCATAGTCATAGGCGATGGCCGTTCATTTTAGCTCTCATACTAGTTTTGAATGGTCATATCGCATACGTAGCTGACCTTCTTGCTTTCTACATGACGTGAGCTTGGGAATATGCTTTGTTGCGTTGGCATGATATCATGTCTTCCGCTTTGTAAGACTGCCTCCTTGAATGCCTCCATCCAGTTACAGAAAGGCGTCCTTCAAAACGAGTCTGAAGGCATCGCAACGAACATCGCGGCACCTAGAATAAGAATCAATGCTTCCGTGCGATACATCAGGGGGAATGGAAGACCAATCGTTCACACACACCAGCATACCAACAACTGTCAAAATGGCTGCACCGCGATCCCGTCGCTCGACAATCAATGCGACCGTCGCGGGAATCAACGTATCACAGAACCGGGCGGGATTGGGTCTGAATTCGGGCTACCGTCTCATTCAGGTGGGACATGTACATACATACCCAATGGAAGGTGTGAAAAAAAAACGTGATGCCAGGCGATCATTCCGTCCGTGTATTGTTCTCGAGAGCGTGCAATGCAGTGCAGTACTGTACGGTTGGCGAAAAGGGATAATCGGGTTGCAGCCAAAACGCGTTTTGAGGGAAAGAAAAAAGGAAAAAATTAAGCTTCCAGTCCGGGAATCGAACCCGGCTCTTCCGCGTGACAGGCGGAGATACTAGCCAATATACTAACTGGAATTGGATGAATTGCATTGTCTTTAACACATTGATATTCATTTGTATGTCATAGACTCGAAGAATTCGATAAAGTCAACCACACTGCGGGGAAAAGTTTGCGTATGGCGCGGTGAGTGCTTGTAGCACCGCGTCGCTGACTGCGTAAAGAGGCCTGAACTCTCGAAGATGGCACTGATGGCAGGCGTCGGCACAGGGATGTCGGGTTTGAGCGGACTGCACCTAAAAAGGAAGTTCCTTGTGAGCGGCAGGGCGAGAGCCTGGCGGAACGGCGTACAGTATGTAGGGCACTGTCAATAAATGGACACGCGCTGTCGAAGGTTTGTCCCGATCGGACGCGCGGTGAAGCTTGAAACTCGCCACTTTTCTGGGGAGACGCGTCAATGGTTTTCCGTCCCATAAGCTCATCGCTATCTTCCAGCGGTCCTGGCACAGTTCATGTGTCCAAAGAGCTTCTGTGCCCAGCTAGGTCCCACATATCACACCCAAACATGCTTCCATCAATGCTCACCCGCGAAGACCGGACCCGGTTACTGCGCGAGACCGTGTTGAAATCCGGCAATATCGACGGCCACCCTGCGATCCGACCGTCGGACCCAGCAGATCTGGATGTGCCGTCGAGCCGTAGGGACGCCGATGCGGGTCTAAGTGGTGTGGAGTCGCTTTTGGATAAAGGTCGGGGTGGAAGCCGTCGGTGTACCGGGGTTGATCTAGCTGCTACTGACGCCTGATCTGGATCCATTTCAGCACGCAGGAGGTCGCCATCGCCAAAGAGACAGAAAGCAGAACCAATACGGCAGACGAGGGATCATGATTCGGAGCGGAGGGTGACCGAGTTGCAGAATCGGTTACAGAGGGTCGAGGTGGGTGCGAAATGGGATCTGTGCTTGGACGAGCACCGGACACTCAATTTCAGATCACTTGATCCATCAGACAGAAAACCGCCATTTGCACGAAACGATCAACACTCTACACATGGACAATCAGAAAGAGCTAGATCAGAACAGCCTGCTGAGTTTGGAAGCGTCGCAGGTGCGCGAGATGTACGACTCGCTGCTGAGCAAGCATAAGGCGCTTGTGGAGAGCAGGAGTAGAGCGGTGACGGGAGGGCAGATTTCGGCCGAGGAGTGGTATGTGGTTCAACAGCATGGATTGAGGGATGAGCAGGGATACATACTTGCCGAAGTCAGGGCTGACGGCATACTTCACTCGGGCAGGAAAGAAGTGAACGAGCGAGTGGACGTCCTCATCAACGAGAACGACGTGCTGGCCGAACGAAACAAATCTGCCCAGCGACAGGTCGCCGAACTTGAGGACGAGCTATCACAAACGAAGAAGCATGGTATGTTCTTCCGTCTGTTCTGCCGCAGGATGCAATGTTGATCAACACAACTCGCCCCCATACACAGCACAGAATCAGTCCATGGAACTTCAACAAGCCCAGGCATTCATCAGCACCCTCAAACGAGACCTCAACAACACGATCGACCGGGCGACGCAAGCCGAACGCAATGTGAAAGAATGCGCACACGAGATCACGGCTGCACAGGTGGAGAATGATAAGCTGGTGGAGGAGATCAGGAGGCGGGAGGTGGATATCAAGACGTATCAAGGGAGGGTGGGTGATCTGCGGAGGTGGGTCTGTGGATGCGGCTGGATGGCCAACATGAAGTGCCTCTGTGTCGGGAGACTCGTCTCATCTGCCCAGGTGACAGGTCTCTGGAAGAGGTGACGACGCGATATCAGGCGCATGTCCGTGAAGCGCAAGCGCTGGCCGCGCGCGAACGAGATCAACTCAATAGTCTGAAGAATATCGAACTGGAGCGAGATGGTAAGCTGCTGAACATCAAAGTATATCTCCGCACTATGTAAGTATATTCTCATACATTGCTACTCAGAATACAAGTCCAAGCTTGCAGCCCTCTCTATTGAGCACGTCAGTCTCCGCGAAAACCAGGACGAGGTGATCAAGATCAGCGCCGAATTCGAGCAGCGGATAGATCAGCTGGAGGCGAAGGAGGTGGAGAGTTATCAGAGCTTGCAGAGTGAAATCCAGAAAGTAGGCGGGAAAGAGGGGGTTGCGCGAGAGACCGTTACGACGATCGAAATGCTGATGCAATCTTATTATCCAGGCCGAAGAAGCAAAGTTGGAGTACGAAAAGGCTCTGATCCGCGAACAACAGTACCAGTCGGAAATACAACGACTGAATGAGAAATTGCTCGAGTTCCCGCAGCGATATAGGGAGCGAACGGAGCAAGAGATCGCAACGTAAGACAGAGTGGGATCATGTATGCGATGCATGAATGGCGATTGTACACAAACGGAACGCTCATGGCCTTTCCTGTCTTGTCGATCCGCAGAATGAGGGCGCAGCTGAACTCCGATAAGCAACAGCTCACAGCAGAGATCTCAGATCTGGAAACAAAGTGCTCGCAACTACAGGTTCGAATTGGGGACGAGGTGGACGCTGTCGTTTGGTCCCAGTATCCAGAGATCTGAAACGACAATGCTCTCTTCTAGCATCAAGCCGATCGAGCTATCCGCGACAAACGGTAGGTGGCCTCCTCGTAATGCGAGCAGCCGACCCTCCATCTCGCATCTCGCAGTCAAAGAGTGGCATGGCAATCAAAGCGATCAGTGGGCTTACTTTGACCCTACAGCGCCGCAGAAAGCGAGCTGGAAAAGCTGAGCAGACACATCCCCGAAGAAGCCGACCGCATCGCGCTCACAATCGAAGAGCTGAATACTCGCCTCAGGAACTCCGAAAGGGATAAGAGCGCTGCGATGAACAAACTGGAGAGGTGACGTCGTCCCTTGGTTGAGCACCCCGCACGCTATGAAACGCTTCCAGCTTGCTAAAATTTTTGCACGATCCGACTGTCAGTCTGCATCAGAAAGCTTTGCGAGACGAGAACCGCTTCGAAAAGGAGAAACAGATGATTGGCGAAAGATCAAACGATGCCTACCGTCGCTTGCGCAATGCCGAGCGTGATTTGGAGGAGACTAAGGTGCGCATTCCCGATTCCGTATTCAATCTTCCCTCTTCAGGCAGCTCATAAGAATAACCACTCATGCCGCGCTTAGGAGGACCGCGTGAGACTCCTTACGCAGCTCACAAATCTCGAACACGCACATAAGAAGCTGGCCGAAACGAAACAGAAAGTAGTCGCGCAGCACGAGGCCGACTCCGCGGCCAAGACGGAAAAGTACGAGGCACAGATCAAGGATCTAGGCCTCAAGTTGGAGAACGTGACTGAAGCACATGCGAGGACGTGTCGGGATATCCAGCAGCTGCTTGTGGATCAGAAGCGGATGGCTGAGAAGTGGTACGTGCGCTTCCCCGCTCTGCATCGCATGCGGCATCATCAAATGCCAGATTGAGATATGGCGCTTCGGGGACATACGAGACGATAAGGTGCTAACGTATCCTCACCCCCACAAAGGAAACAAGAAACAACACACCAAGCGCTACAACACGAACACCTAATCGAAGACCTCCGCACGCAGCTGCACCGCTGTACCACCCGCATCGAAGAACTCGAATCGCAGCTTCTCGCGATCGAGTCAAGGCGGAATGACCTGGTTGCCCGGCTGCAGGAAGAGAAGCAGCAGCACACCCGAGTCGGGACGCGATGCCAGGCGGCCGAAGCGAGGGTCGAGGCGCTGCTAAGGCAGGTCTCGGGATTGGCGGCGAAAGAGGTCGAGCTGGTTGAGGATCGGAAACGGATGCGTGAGTTGTTGCTTGTTTATCAGGTGTCTCGTGCTACCGGAGGCTGATTCATCGAGATGCAGAGAAGGAGCTGGACCGAGCCCACCTTGAGAAAGATCGACTCGAACGAGAGAACCTGCATAAGATTCGGTCCCTCAGGATGAGCAGCCCGACCCGGTTCAGGTCCGAGACCCTTGTCTGAACATCTCGTCTGATTACATGCACTAACTCACTTGAAGCAGATCATCTACCCGATCCGAAGGCCCGCTTGAAGACGATGATCTATCTGTTCTGGAAGACGTGACAAACCGTGAGGTAAGATCAGGCTTCCTTACCGCTGGCCCCACATCAAAAGGATGTCACGTTGACCCTGAGCACTTGACGCACAACACAAGGTGAAAGAACTAAGGGCGGACATCGATCGCGTGAAACAACGGTCGTTAAACCGCCGGCACCACATGGACGATATCGTTTTGGCTGCGGGGCTCGACGATGATGCGGAGGACGAGTTATCGGATTGATGGACAGTGTTTTTGGAATAGGCAGATACGCTGATGTTTTATGAAGGTTGCATTGCTTGTCCGTCGAGTACATATGTATATTACCATTATAGCACACAACGTTCGCTCTGGTGACGTATCGGTCTCCCAGACCGAACCAACCCTTCACCTCGCATCGCTCGTTGCAGTACAACACCAACGCTCGCTTTCGCTCGCGGCTCGAATGGCTCGCGCCTACGGCCCAGTTGGGGCTCGCTATCTCTCACCTTCTCCTCCTGTCGCTCGGAACCCTCAGGCATCCCTGGGCCTCGCTTCGCTCGGACTACGGCCCAGATGAGGCTCACTGGCGCTCGCCTTCTCCTCGCTAACGCTCGGAACCCCAAGCACTCTTGCGCCTCCACTCACTGAATAACAGGTCCAGGTCCGCGCAATATCTAACGTACCAAGTAAGGTCCTCGTTGCATATGGGAGAAGGTCGGGACGTTCACAGGCACGACGCAGGATGCTTTCGGGGGGGTCACCGCTTTCGGCCGGACGCGACGCGTTCCATGCGCCTGGCTGGCTGGGGCTTCCTTGCGCACAATCGGACATTGGCCCACTCCAGCCCTTCCTCCTGCCCCACTCCTTTTTTCCCCCTTCTCTTTCCACGCCTTCATTGGTGAATATGCCTTGCTTACGTGGTCCGTCGGGCGGTCGGAGAACGTCGTCTTTGTTCGTTCTTTGCTCCGTCCGCTCTTGCGCTTGGTGGCCAAGCCTCGTTGGCCCATCACTGCTCATCTTGCAAACGAGGTCCTCATCTTGCAGACACCATCGCTGAGGCACCTTGACAGTGCATCGAAAACAGTACAATACACATAGCCTCATCCGACCGCAGTCAGAATGCCCCACCACCACCCCACCCTCTTTCCCTCCGAGCGCCCACCCCCAGCACACCGCGGCCGCAAACCGAGCATCGGCTACACCCGCCCACCGACCTACACCGCACCCCCACTAACCCCGAAAGCCGAATACCTCGCCTCCTTCGGCGGTCTCTACCCCTTCGACGCCCGTGCCTCGGCAATCGAAATCTCCCACTACGCCGCGCGTGTGCCGAGCAATAACGCCATTGCGGTGAGGGAGGCGCGGCGGTATTTGAAGACGCGGTTGAAGAATAAGGCGGTCGCGGCGGTGATCACAGATGTGGGCCTGAAGGCGCCGCCGGTGCTGGATGGGAGCGATGGCGGTGACGATGAGGAGATGGTAGGCGAGATGAGGGAGATTCAGAACATTGTGATGTTTCCGGAGACGAGGCGCGGGTCGCTGGCTGTTTCCGATGGGTTTCCCTCACGGATGCCGAGGGTCTCGGGCGCCGGTGGGCCTGGAACTGAGGAGGGTAACAGCGGAGGAGGTTTCCCTGCCCTTACGCCGCAGCCGCGCACGGGCTGGACCCGCAATTCCGAGTCCGTGCGGCCGCCGATGATGATGCACGATGCCGGAGGGTCGTCGAGTCGGACGCTGCGGAGAAAGTCGTTGTATGAATCGATCAAGAAACCGCCAGAAATCTCCATTGACCCGGCCGCTTCGGGGACGCTCGAACCGACCCCGCACACAAAATCATGGTCCAACAAGGCCTCTGAGAGGAGTTTGAATATGAACCAGACTAGTCGCGGCTCATTGGCGCCCTCGCTTGCCACGTCCATGGTCGCCATGTCGGAACCGACCACCACCAGCACCGTGTCAACGACCATCTCCCACAACGACACCCCCTACCGCCGCTTCCGCCGCATCGCCCGAATGGTCGCCCACAGCGTGCACCTCATCAAATTCCTCGCTAGGATCCTTAAAAACCCGCTCGAATGGTCCTGGGAATACGACCCAAAAACCTACACCGAGGAAGAAGTCATCGGCCTCTCCGCCTCGCACACCGCCTACGACACCAAAACACGGACTGGGACATCCACGGCATCCACATCCACAAACATGCCCCTCCTAATGTCCCACGAAGTCTTTGGCGTCTCCCACCTCTTTGCCAAACCCAAGAAATTCAACGGCTGGCTAGATAACGACATCCGCACCCTCCTCCGCAAACCGGCCTCGCGCCGCACACCCGCTGAAATCGACCGGATTGTGTCTTGGTGCTCGACGATGAAGTGTATGGACAAGTACCCGACGCCCGTGCAGCGCGCGCTGATCCAGGCCGCGATCTACACGCGGTGGCATTCGAGTCGGCAGATTGTGAAGGAGATGCACCCTATTGGCCGGTTCTACATTATTCTAGATGGGGAGGTGGAGATTACGAAAGTGGACCGGGCGAAACTGATCGATGCGCGGAATAAGAGCTTCGCGTTGGCGAGTTTTGTGAGCGCGCGCAGGGGCGACTCGACTGTGTCCCGATTCCATGGGGGTGCGAGCACGCTGCAGTTGGTGGGGAGTTCGCCGACGATGGCGGCTATGGCCGGCGGGGCGGGGGACGAGAAAGCGTTGGCGAGCTCGAGTACGGCTAGCATTTTGGCGGCGGTGGTGGGCGATGAGGAGAGGAAAGCGATGAAGCAGGTTGAGGAGGATTTGAATAAGGCGTATACTATTACGATGGGGTATATGGGTGCTGGAGGTGGGTTCATAACATCCCCATATTCTTGAAAGTTATGTCGCACTTGCTAACAAACTGAATGTGTGTGTGTGTCCAGAATCCTTCGACATATCCTTCCTCACCTCCCCCCTTCGAACGGCCACCTACACCACCAAACGGGTAACCGAGTTCCTCACGATCGGCAAACGCGACTACGAGCATATCACGAGCACATTCAAAGAGGCCGAGACGATCAAGCAGCAGACGTTGCGGACGCACGCGATGCTGAGGACGCTGAATGGGGATATGGCTGCGTTGCTGAATTGCTCGAGTATCGAGCGGTTTGATGCGAATAGGATCATTGTGTGTCAGAAGCAGCATGTGGGGGCGTTGTATTTCCTCATGTGAGTGTGTGATTATGCCCGAGTCTCTTCTCTCTTGGGCCATGAGTGATTTCTTTTCTCATATATTTACATCCGTGTGCAGATCGGGAACATGCCGCGTAGTCCAAGCGGTCCAATTCATCAAACAAAAACTCGGCAAACGCCGCTACCACATCAAACCCTACCGCGCCCCCACAATCTCCTCTTCGGAATCCTCAACCAACCCGCGCCGCTCAGCCTCCCAACTCCTCCACTCCTCCAACGTCTCCCTCGACCGTCTCACCCCGTCGAAATCCGCCGCCGACCCCGCCACACTCCCCCCAGACAGCACGCTCCTCACCGAATTCCTGGTCGTCAAAACCCTCTCCCCGGGCGACTTCTTCGGGCAATGCATGTCCGGCACGCTCACCTCGCAGATGTCCGCGCACGCCAAAGCCGGCACGCTCGAGCAACCCGTCAGCGTCATCACCAACCAGAAGACCACCGCACTGGTGATCTCCAAATTGGATTTCCAGCGCTTCGCGACCGACGCGACGATGAGGGTGTTGAGGGAGGAGGTGGCGCGGTACCCGACGCTCCCGACGATCGAGAGGGCGTATATGATGAGTAGGGAGTGGAATATGGCGAGGGAGAGGGTGTTGAGGGAGATTAGGAGGGGGAGGGCGATTAGGGAGCGGTGGAAGGAGGTGAGGGATCCGTATGGGATTGAGGGGGATGGGTTGTTGGCTTGGGGGGTGTAGGAGGGGTGGGTTGGAGGGTTGGGTTGGGGAGAGGGGCTGTACGTATGACAGCGTTTAGATGCATATTGCACTAGCCTAGAGTTCTTCGCAGCATAACTGGGCCCAAGTGCAATGTTTGTACTGTACATGTACTGTACAACCGCGAGAAAACCGCGTCGTCGTAAGCCAACTCGACGTGTCGAAGTCGGACCCCTTTTATGCCGTCGAGGACTTTCAATGCAGTTAATAGAGAGGGTGTTCGAAAGGCTTTTTGGGCATAACCCCGTTGTTGTTGCACCTGTCAATCGAGCGGAGTTGAGACCGTCCCGAATGGGGGATTATGGAACATTCCGCCCAGCAGCCACGACGCCAAGCCACCTGAATCGCGCAGGGCCTACTTTCTGTTCGCAGCAGTGTTTTATCCGCGACCGTCCCTTTCCCGAACGGCCCACTACTTAGTACTTACAGTATATCACCGCAACCATCCTCTGTCACTGCACTCCCTCCCTCACTGCCACTTCAATCTGCAACTGTCGCTGCCGCCGTCGCCCATCTGCGTCTTCGTCGGCCTCCACTTGACCTCCCACCCACGCATTTCAGCAGTCCGCAAACGGTTCTCACTTGGTTTCACCTGGTCCGATCACTTCAACCTGAAACCTCAGTTAAGCACAGCAAATTGGCGAGGACACGGATCAGACTGCGGTTCCGTTGACCGGCACCCCGTCCTGGCTCGTTGAGCGCAGGACTCGCATTTTCCGGGGTCGTAGTTCTCTTCTCCCTCCAAGCGGAACATCCATACAGAAACCCTGTCTACACCATGCGAGCCCTCCCCAGCTTCCGCCGTATCCGGCCTCGGCACATTGCCCTGGGCATTTGCACAACCCTCGTAATTGTCTACCGCAGCTGGATATACTGCATGGGCGTTATAATCCACTGCTTCGCAACCTGGAACCTCAAATCCATCAACTTTATCGGCACCCACGACGACCAGCTGCCGAGAGATCTGGATGGGTTGCCGCCACCGCCGTCGGATCTGGATTTGACGTATCTGGCGATCGCGAGGCGGGTTTCGGCGGGGGAGAGGGTAGAGGATGTGGTGGGAGATGTGAGGAAGGCTGCACTGGCGGTGGAGTTGGAGATCTCGGTGCAGGAGGATGCCGCACGGGCTGCGGCTAAGGCGGCTGGGTCGCCTTTACCGCCGTTTCCAACATCACAGGAGCCGCCGATATCGCAGATGATGGACACGGGTAAGCTGCCATTCACAACCGAATCCGCGCCGTCCTTCGTCACACAAACCGAGCAGGCCCTGAATTGGGGGCCCAAGCTCGACGAAACCGACCTCATCGTCCCACCCATCCTCCACCACATCGCGATCGGGATGAAGACCGCCCCACCAAAACAGTGGGAACAGGCCGCCAACGCCTGTGTCGTGATCCATCCGCACTGGACGCGGATGTACTGGGACGACGCGGCCGCTGAGAAGTTCATCAAAGCTGAGCATGCGTGGTTCTGGGAGACGTGGACGAATTATAGGTTTAATATACAGAAAGCGGATTCGTTGCGGTATTTGGTGCTGTATACGTATGGAGGGACGTATCTGGATATGGATTTAATGTGTAGGCGGTCGTTGGATCCTTTGAGGAAGTGAGTTATCGTCTCCGGTGTTTTCTTGTCACGTCAATAGGGAGACTAATCTAACCTCACGCTCTCGTTTTATAAGAGTCCAATTCCTAGCCAACGCCGCCCACCCCGTCGGCGTCTCCAACGGCTTTATCATGGTGCCCCGCCACTCCCCCTTTATTTCCACCCTCGTCACCAACCTTCCCACCTTCAACCACTACTTCCTCTCCCCCTACGCCAGCGTTATGTTCAGCACCGGCTGCATGTACATCTCGGCCTTACACAACATCTTCCCCGAACGAGAGACATTGAAAGTTTTGGGCGGGCAACAGAATAGGTTGAGCGGGAAGGTCGAGACGCCGCTTTTCCGGCATTTGGGAGCGAGTTCGTGGCATCAGGGGGATGCGAAGCTGTTTGGGAAGCTGGGGAGGTGGATCAAGAAGGTGCCGATTTTTGGGACTGAGGCTAGCACGAAGGGCTTACCGGCACCACCACCACCGCCATCGCCAAATCACACAGCGCCGCAAAACGACATCCCGGCCCACCATGACCGTCCTCACCACCCAACCCCATCAACAGACGCCCCAATAACCCTTTACCCTCTCCTCCTCCTCTCCCTCGCCCTCCTCCTTTTCCTCGCCTTCCTCAGATTCCGCCATACCCGTCGATCGCGTTCCCCCTCACCCCCCGGGGCTTCCTCACCCACCCTCCCCGTGATGGCCAGGGCATACACCCCCGTTCCATCTTCGCCACCATCGGACCACACCTCCTCACGTGATTCGTCGAGGGTATCCAGCGCGGGGACGAGCCCGTTACTGCACCACCACCACCACCAAAACAACGGTGATACCCAGTTGCAGAAAACGACAGCGAGACTGACGCTACTGCAGAAACAGCAGAAACGGCATCGACACCGGAGGGGTGATTCCGATTCGAGCGGGTATTTCTCTGCGTCTTCGAGCTTTGACGGGGTTGCGGGGAGCGCGTCGGCGGATAGGATGGGTGGGTGTGCGTGTTTGAGTTTTGGGAAGGGGAGGGAGTGTAAAGGGGACTGTAAGGAGTGGAAGGACGGTGGGAACGGGGATGAGGAGTGGGGGGAGATGGTCAGTCAGAAGAGGGTTTGGGTTGATTTGTAGACCTTGTGTGGAGGGATAGAGGTGAACGGACGGGTCGATGGACTGGGAATTTCAACCAGGACCTGTTTGTGTGTGCCGATTGGGACTTTCTTTTCTTGAAGGGATCTAAATTATACTTTTAGATTGCACATCTTACTACTGCTGAATCAGATTGGGCATACGGTTAGAATTGAAAGAGGGCTGAAGTCATTTCTGTTGCTCCGTTGCACGTTTTCTCTTTGTCACGCTAGGGCAGTTGGGCAGTTGGGCATTTATGCTGATCTATAATTTCTATTCGACACTGCCACTGAGCTCCCCAATGGCAATAATGATAACACCTTCCCCCCCACCTGATTCCCTCCCTAAACCTCCGAATCCTCCACCCTCACAACCACCTTCCCATTCTCCCCCACCCCCAACGCCACCTCAACCTCAAACTCCCCTACATTCTTTATCCGCTCCTTCATCAACACACTCTCCCTATCCACCACGACATTATGCACTTCCAACAATTCCCTCACGACGTCGTCGGCGGTGACGGAGCCGTAGATCTTTGTGTCGGTGGCTTTCATCCGCACGCGTTTGAATGTTAGGGGCGGGAGAGAACGGAGGGCGAGGGCGAGGTCGAGATGGGATTGGATGCGGGCGGTTTGGGCGGTGGTGGAGGTGGAGGAGGTGGGAGAGGAGGTAGACGTAGAGCGGGATTCGACGGTGATGGTGGAGAAGGCGGGGACGATCTGTTTGTTGGAATCGAGGGTGGTTTAGTATGGTGACATGAGACGAAGTGGTCCCACGATTTTCACTGAAACCAAAACGCTGGGATGCGTATTCCCCTTCGCACATCTCCCCCCGTCCTTACCGTTTCCAGCTCAAAGTCCTCCTCGCGCTCCTTCGCCTCCCAGCCGTCAGGCAGGATAGGCTTGCCCAGTATTCTCGGCGTGTAATATGCTAATCCGAAGGGTACCAGGTAATTCCGTGCTTGTGCCACTAGAAACAACCGCCCAGGAAACTGTAAGCATACTGCCAGAATCATCCCGTGCTCCCTAGACTGCTTCTTCCGAAGAGTGCAGTACACCCCATTACAGACTCCCGTCGCACGTGCTTACAATTCACTAGTGTGATCTCCCCTGCAAATCGTTGAGAAATAAGCTCGTCTATCCCACGAGAAGAAAGTAGAGACGGGTACAAAGAAGGACCTACCCTTCTCTCCAAGCCCCGGTACCGTTTCCCGTAGGTAGACGTGGATATCTGGTTTGGAGAATTTCGTCCTCTACAGAACAACAGCCTAAATGAGCACTAAGTTCACGAGGCATGGGAATGGATGTGGCAAAGACGGGGAATGAGGGTGGACCAAACATACATGTTGCTGGGCACATTTGACGGAGACCCGTCGGCAAAGAGGCGTCAGACGGCGTAGGGAGGGAGATAGCAAGGACATTGTTGAGTGGTCGCTGATGATTGTTGGGGGTTGAAGCCACCATTGTGCAGGCGCTCGCAAGCCAACGCATTTGGGGCAAGACGGGAGGCGTGGCGCAGTCATGCGGGAACTTGCCAAAAGGCGCGATGAATAATTCTCAGAGGTTTTTGCAGGGGAAGGATGCTAAAGACGGCCATTGAACACACATTTGTCACTATCGTCCACCGTTTTGCAGAGCACATACATAGGCAGGCACATATATAGGGAGAAAGTTCCTGTAGAGTAGCGCCCTATTGCTTCACTCGTCTCCGTATAAGCGTTGTTGGGACTCCCCATTCAACCTGCTTTTAGCTAGTGTTCCGTCTATCAGCGACCTACCCCGTCCCCAACAGCACTCCCTCCAAAATGGGTATCCCGACAAGCAAGAAGAAGGTGGGCTTGGGCAAGTCCCTCATGCGGACCCGCTTCAACACCGCCGCTCAACAGAACCCGGACGGGTCTATCAGGGTAAGTGTTCCTCGCTGAGTTCCCACGTTGAAGGCGAAAAGCGCACTCACCGCTTGGCGATATCTTCCAGCATACAACAGAGACAGACGAGTCAACCGCCAACGTCATGAAAATGCGCTCCATCACGCAAGAAAACGACCTTGAAGCCTTCCTCAGCACCGCCGAGCTAGCCGGCACCGATTTCGCGGCCGAGAGGCTAAACATCACCGTCGTCTCCAACACCTACAACAACCCTTTCCTGCTCACGCCCGAGAAGGAAGCCGAAGCACTGGAGCAGCACAGGGAGCACAAACACTTGCTGACCGTGCCCCGCCGACCGAAATGGGATCACTCGACCACAGCTGATGAGCTCAAACGCCGTGAGAACGACTCGTTTTTGGATTGGAGACGTGGGCTGGCGACGCTGGAGGAGGATAAGGGGCTGATTATGACCCCCTATGAGAGGAATTTGGAGGTGTGGAGGCAGCTGTGGCGTGTGATTGAGCGGTCGGATCTGGTGGTGCAGATTGTGGATTCGCGGAACCCCGTGCTGTTCCGGTCGACTGATGTTGAGAAGTATGTTGTGGAGGTCGACCCGAGAAAGAAAAACTTGTTGCTGGTTAATAAGGCGGATATGTTGACGGTGGAGCAGAGGCTGCAGTGGGCGGATCATTTCGAGAAGGAGGGGATTCGGTATATTTTCTTTTCTGCTGTTTTGGAAAAGGAGAGGCAGGATGCGGAGGAGGAGGCGCGGAAGGCTGCGGAGGCTCAGGAAGAGTTGGATGCTGCCAACGCTGATGACTCGGAGGAGGAGAGCGAAGACGAGGAAGAGGGAAAGAATGCCGGAAAGGAAGCGTATCCGCCAGGTATGCTTATGCTTTCTGGCCCAGTACTAACATGGAAGCACACGCTTACGCACTATGCTTGTTCACAGCTTCGGCCGACCGCCGAGACTCCATGACGGGTCTGGTACAGCCCGACACGGACGAAAACATCCCCGAACGCGCCCGCATTTACGGCGCGAACGAGCTCATTGACCTCTTCCATGCTTCCTGCCCCGAACCCCTCCGCAAAAGCGAAGCCGGCCCGCAAAAGATCACCATCGGTTTCGTCGGATACCCCAACGTCGGCAAATCCTCCACCCTCAACGCCCTCGTCGGCGCTAAGCGCGTAACCGTCTCCTCCACCCCCGGCAAAACTAAACACTTCCAAACAATCCACCTCTCCGAAGAAATGGTCCTTTGCGACTGCCCCGGTCTCGTCTTCCCGTCCTTTGCGACAACCAAAGCCGACTTGGTCGTCAACGGTATCCTCCCCATCGACCAGCTGCGCGAGTTCACGGGTCCCGCGGGCCTGGTCGCCAAACGCGTGCCCAAATGGGTCGTGGAGAACATCTACGGCATCAGAGTCCGCACCCGCGACGCGGAGGGCGTGCAGGAGGACCGTCAGCCGAATGGAACCGAGCTGCTCATCTCATACGCCGTCGCGAGAGGGTTTACCAAGAGCTCGCAGGGAAACCCGGACGAAGCCCGTGCGGCACGGTATATCCTCAAAGACTACGTCAGCGGGAAACTGCTGTACGCACATCCACCCCCCGGCATCGACGCAGAGTCGTTCAACGCGCCAATGTACCGCAACAAACGATTCGCGTCCCGACGACCCGTAGAACATCCCGCCGTTCAGCAACCCACCGACGCCGCCGACCCATCATCCACACCATCAACAACCACCCTGTCAACCCCCGCCTCCTCCGCCCTCGACGCCGCCTTCTTCGCCCCGCAAACAACAACAGTGCGTGCCGGCGTCGTCGGTAAACACCAGCAGGGCGATTTCAGCCGTGTAAAGCTGTACCCGCACCAGGGCGCACAGGCGCCCCAGCCGCTGGCGAATGCGGGTAAGGCGACGAAGCTGCATGATAAGAAGAATAGGAGGAGGGGGAAGCAGAGGACGGATTGGACCGCGCAGGATCCTTGAGGATTGGGCGTGTTATGCATGATTCAAAACCCTTCGGCGAGTCCGACACCCGACGTATTTAATATCGCATGCTTGTACAGTTTGTTTTTTCTTACATATTGTCATTACATTCATATGTACTTTTCATGTACTGCAATTCCTACAGCTTCTTCACTGTGAGAACAGGGGTTAACATAACCTCAGATCTGAGTGAGTAAAACATTTGCAGGACGTGGATTGGTTCACAAGGAAGAGTTTCCAGTAGTAGACTCATCATCAATGCCCTTGCGCAATAAAATCAACGTAACGATTGGAAGAGGAGACTTCTATTTTCAATCGAAGACAGGCCGCTGAATCGTGTATGGAAAAGCCCGACGGTGGGATACCGGAACAGCAAGTGATAAGAGACCAGAGGTGGTTGCGGGGACACCCGAGCTGTGGCCGCAACCACCTCCTGTCACCAAACCCACTGTCCCCATCCTTCCTCCTCCGCTCAATCTGCCGCTCAATATCGCGTCCGCAGTGCACTCTGTGCCCGTCCACCAATGCTTGCCGCATTTTCAAACGTTCAGTACCGTCTGCTCTTGGGTGAGCTTAACGTCCGGCACCGACTCGAACGGTGTACATACAGTGCTGTTCATAAAGCAAGACCGCTGTCAATTTAATTCACCGGCCCCCTGGACGCGCCTCTCCATATAGATCTACGCCTAGTATCTAGTGAATCCTCCTCTAGCTGCTATGACTGCCGCTATACGCCGGGGCATGCTCGACACAAGTTTTTCTAGCACATCTGGCTCAATATCCTGAAATGTCTGCTGTGCAATAGCCTCTAGCTGCTCTCGAGATCTCGCTCGGGTTGTCCGGAGCGTCCGGCCGGCGACGCGGTCGAGCACTTCTCTGACGGCACTGTCAAATGCGGTCTTGCTTTATGAACAGCACTGTATCTTCCGAACCTCTCGCGTGTCCTCAACCCACTCCCTAACTACCTCGCTATCCACTTCACACTTTCTCCCCATCTCATCCACAAACATCAGAACCCGTCCAACCGCCCATTCCACCCTTACACACCAAACCCTTAACAGTCCTCAACCCCTCAACAATTATTCTGCGCCTCCAATCGCCAGCCCTTATCCGCAGTCCTTGGAACAACCGTACAGTACATAGCTGTTCGCTGCTTGCATAGTCCTCCCCCATCGACGTGGGGCATCCAGCAGCTCCAGGACAAACTGGCCATCATGGTCGTCGACAGCACAACACCTGGAGGACAACATGCGAGCGATGCACCCCCAAGCGAGGGAAACGGGCCCGCAGCCAAGGCGCCTGGGCACTTTGTATGCACACCTTTCCTCCCGTTGAAGCTACGCGACTTTTTCCTCACGATTTTCTGGTGTTCGTGCAGGGAGATATCATGTCGTCCAGGGAAACGAGTATCACGTTCCCACCAGGTTTCACCCCACTAGAGCGGATACTCCTGACTGCCAATGGTAACGTGCAGAGAATATTAAGGTCGGTTTATGTGCAATATGAGGACTGGTCAAGCGTTGGCCTCTGGCTGTGGTATTTTCCGTCTCGATATTCAAAGAGTTATGGATGACAGCGCCTACTACAATGCCAAGATTGTAGTGAAGATCATAAAGAACGAGAAGGTTTCCACTCAAGCTGGCGTCTTTGATCGCGAAGTTGACCTCTTGTTGCAGGACAAAGTAAGGACATAGTTCTCCCTGGATCCGTTTTCACCGCTTACGTCTAATCAAACATATGCCTGAATCACATCAAAAGGTATGCTGCAAGGCAACGAGCGTTGTCACCATTAGCAACGCAAAGTATCAACGGATGCTTGTAGAGGAGAACATAGCCATCGGACAACTGTTTCGATATCTGAACATTTTGCCCGAGTATGAGCTGATGAATGTAGAGAGGAGAGAGAACGGCGCATTTTGGAGGCGGTATACGTTGAAGTCGCCTGGGATTGTCTGCGACATTTTGGAGGACTTTCCAGCGTCCGTTTTTGAACTAGAACCCAACAGTTAGAATATCTAAGTCACAGGGTATATCATGTAGATGCTCATTGTGTAGCCAAAAAGTTAAGTTACAAATGGGGCACGCTCTATATGATGCTTCCAGAGGGCAGTCTATCGACCAGCACCTGTATCATTCGCATCTCGGCAGCATCATATCCTGCAAGAAGTGTAGCGGCTCGGACATATCGTATCGCCCTCGCTCTCTGGTGCTTCGGGAACACTTATAAATTTGAAGTACTTTACCTCATGCTTGCAAAGGGCTGTGCGAATCAGCTTCGTCTCCCCACAAACGATTGAGCATTGGCGAAGACGAGGTCAAAATTGCTACATGTCGTATATTGTATCTAAATAGGGACAAACATGTCTGTACTGGCTAAAGACGCTAGAAACGCTGCCATATGGTGCAGACTTGGAATCGGCGCTGGGGAAGATGTGTGCCGCCCACACTGCTTATGAGAGATGTCTAGCATACGCCAATCCGCCGTGCCTTTGATAGATCGTTATGCTCCAAGGGAAGGCATGCCGATGTAGGAGGAAAGGATGGCCATTGGTTTTCCGTCTGGATATTGGTGTCTGCGTCACCCGATGACAGTCCAGTGACATCTCAGTTCATTGGTCCGGATTATGGAGGAGGATTCCCATAGATCACATACAGACACTCTCTGAGGGTAGGGATGCTCATCGTGTTGAGGACAGCAGAAACCACGTTTGTCGAGTCCAAAAGGATCCGAATTTTGTCACTGTGAGCAACAACAGCCGCTTTCACGCGCCTCCGGACATCCAAGATGTCGTATGTGTACTCGTGTGTCATCACCGTTCCGATCCATATTGCGGGCAGGTGCAGTAATATGTATACGTATGCCGAGTTGCAATGCTTGGCACACTTGAGGCACGAGCTGCAGACAGGTTGTCCTTGTTGGTGGGGGCCAAAGGGTCCCGTTGTTCCGCTTCCACCGTTCGCGCGCGAGCATGAGTTGCACACAGTGCCTGTGTTGTAGAAGTGCACATTCTGGCATGGGACATCTCGCAAAAGCTCGGTCAGCGCATGGATAACCTGCTCCTCGGAGGTTAATGCGCGCTTCATGAACATATAGATTCCATCGAGAGAGAGATCTAGGGGCGAGATCGCTTGCATGGCCACCCGCATAGCACCGTAAAACGACTTGTCAAGTTCCAGCACGAAGCCGACGGACATGTACGACATTAGGTTATGAGAGCCTAATCCGAGGTCGTTTGACCGTTGTGTGTACATCCATAGAAGCACTCGGGCAAAGACCAAGTCGTCGTCGCAGATGTGTTTCACCTCGATCGAGCGTTCGGTTCCTGCATTGTTGCTGAAAGAATCGTGTGCTCGGAAAAACGGCGAGGCACGGCACAGGACATCGCTGTCAGCGTACATTAGCTTCCCGCTATTCATGACGAGGGTGGTGTCGGAGCATGCGTGATTATTGAAGGAGACCAGGTTGTCGACAGTGCTCAATGTTGATGTCAAAGTAGGTGCTGCGGTTGGCGTCGTGGCCTGAAAGTTGAAGGGTCCAGACCGGGATGGCGCACCGAAGATAAATCTTTGTGCGCCGGGGCCGGTGCTTCCAGACGGACCAGTTGAGCTCATGGTGCCTTGTGTGTCTATATGGTTCACAAAGAACATTCGGAGACAACGGAACCTGAGCGGCTTTTCTCGGGAATGATGCACTCATGGGGGGAGTTTGACTTGCCTTATCGACGAGCAGGGTGGCAGCGCACTGGTGTACAATTCAAATGGAAATTGGAGGCTTATGATTCAAGTTCTATCGGTATCCAAAAGAGAAATAGGCGCCTGTCCTACCGAGCTGCACACCTGAAAGCCAGACGCAGACTCCCTGATGATAAAGCACACGGTCAGAAACTTAAAATGACAGGTTACGCGCTGTCAAACTGCTCTATTACCCTGATGACATGTAAACGCAGGGATTTTGAGCGTCCATGCGGACCTCCTAAATCCTTGCTGGACACCGTCAGATTCTGTTCCTTTGCGGGGCGGTGGAAAGGCACCCATCAAGGACTCGGACGTAGGGCACTCTGACCTTTCAAGTAGTATTTCGAACCTGCGACTGGTGGGAAGGGATGAAAGGGATCACAGGAGGGTTGGGGGATAGGACAGTACGTTTCGCGATCCCTCTTTAGATGGAAGACGGGGGCAAGCGATGGCCTTGTGCATTCAAGTCGATGGCATGTGTTTTTCGTTCATATCGGAAGAACATTGGCGCGCTAATGATCGACGGCTTCGTTTATTAACCTCATTACATATTGTGGTACACCGCAACTTTCCACTTATGTTCTCTAGAATCGTGTGCATTTGGATGGACATGCCGACTCCTACACCCTGATACCATTGCGATGCATGATATGCTCTACCACCATCATTCGATACGCTCAAAGAATCCCCATTTGGTAGGTGCTTGAGCGAAAGTACTCTCGGCGGGCAAGCGAACCCAGGATCCGTACAGAAAGCCGCCGTGACGTGCCCTATCGTGGGTGAGCACACCGCCTCCAAAGAACCCGGACCGGTGGGGATCGCGGTGTTGGAAGTATCCAAGACGCTCGCCTTATTATTCCCCATCTAGGCTTGGATGAAAAGGCGTCCGTGGCTCCTCTGATAATCGTGCGGAGCGATGCCAATCGCCAAAATTACTCAGTATCGGAGGTTAGCGACTCTCGACAGTAGTAAAGGTGCCAGCAACCTTCGGAAGTGATCGGGGCGGCGCATGCCGACGAGTCAACATCCAGCTTTGGCGTTGCCCAATAGCAGCTGAACTCCTTAGCAAACCGAAACATTGACCACATACGAAGTTGTACCAAAATTTCGCAGCTCTTCAATCAAACATGTCTCGGCCGCTTTTCAGGTGGCGGTCGGACATTCATGTTCATGGGCGGGGGGCCAGAAGGAATGACTCCTGGCATGCGTGCTGGGACGGATTTGTCTTCCGCTGGTTGGTACTGGAGAAATCGGAGAGAGCGAATGGGTAAATGCCGTCATTCCTGAACAGCCATGTGAGTCAGAGCATGGCGAGGAAGGGGGCATCTTACCCAGTATTTCGCTTTGACTTCGGGCTCGATCGAGATCTGTCGGACAAGTGCCGAAATCGATCTTTCAGTGTCACGAACTTCGGCATGCCACGACCCATAATACACATACCCATCCGCCCCTGCTATTAGGATCCTGCCGCCAGTGCATGTGGCTCATATTGGGTTCGGGAGTAAACGATTGCAGGTCTCTGTTCACGCAATCGCCGGGATCAATAGTCCGTTCCTGACACAGACGGACCTCCTCTTCCCAACGACTTACTCCGAGTACCGCTCAATGCGACCTACTTTCCCTGTATTCAGCTCCATGACGCCTTTGATCAATCGTGTCTCCCTGAAAATGTGACCGGTAAGGTTAGGCGAGATGGACCCCAGGCTTCCTCATGTCCCATGCGAGGCCCAAGGGCTAATACGCACACATTGAATAGCTCCAGCATATCTCCTATCCGCATGGAAGAAAAGAAATCGACTAAGCTCCAATCACCACTCGAAGAAACTTTTCCCAGCCAATCCGCACCTCGTCTCACTGAATCATAGGCCTGTCTGCTTGGAGATACTAGTATAATAGAAGCTGTGTCGTCGCCCACCCACAACATCGACAGCGGCACCCTCCTATCCAAGAAATCTGTGGTAGTAGAATTAGAACGCGTGGGGCTGTCGACATCTTGCGCCAAGCATTGTAATGGCCGTCTGGCAGCCTATGGACACTATCATAGGACCAAAATGGCGCACGGAAATGTTCTTATCATATGCAGGAAACGTACAAGTGTCGATGACGGTGACTTTTAAGTTCAGATCCCTCATTCCCGGCCGTACCTCCTTCACGACACGGTTTGGCGAGGAACCTTTTCCTAGCACGTCTATTGCAGGTTGGTAGGTTGCGTACGGCTGGAAAGGCGGGAGTGGGACAACGGCGGTCATGGCTATATGCTGGGTCTCGTAAGGGTTCGATGTCGCTGTGGGTCTCTGACGATATCCTCCCGCGAGTCCTCGAAGGTAGGCTTCAAATGTCGACGCAGAAGGGACTCGAGGAGGGAGCGGGTCGTTCACTTCCTCGTAAAGCCCCTGTGGGTGCATGAAGTCAGCGACCAAACGCGCCAAAGAGCGAGAGCGGGCAGCAGAGCGAGCGGCCAAGGGCGAAAACCGTGCGACGGCCGCCGGTTTGGCCAATTTGCACATTCCCACCCTGCCTGATCAACCAACTCCCACCAACACTCACCGTCTCTCAGTAGCAAGGCAGAGTAACCACCCACAACATGCCTTTGGTAAGCGGCCCCTTTAACCGCCGTAACCGCCGTCTCGCTCAATCCATTCCCGCCACTCACCCAACTCTCTTCAACAGGAATACGCACATCAGTTCCGCGGTCGCTTCCCCGACCCAGGACCATGGAAGCTGCCCAGGTCCGTCCAGGCGAGGCTCACAGAACCCCTCGGCATGGCCGAGCTGCCCGCTCAGCGAGTGAGGAACTCGAAGCGCCGTCCTTACAGTCTCAACATTATGGTTGTTGGTGCGTAATTGTGGAACGAGTGGGAGTGGGAGAAAGGACGAGAATGAGGAGGGTTCCCACGGGTTTTGGCTGACGGTTTTCGCTGGCCCGGTCTTTGCAGGAGAGTCGGGGCTGGGAAAGACTACCTTCATGAACACGCTTTTCAACGCACCTTTGACTGAGGAGCTTGGACCACGCAACTTGTCGTCTACCAAGACCGTTTCCATTGACCCTACCACCTACGGTATGTTGCTGGAGGATACTACTATGGGAATATTTTGAAGGGGCGGACCCAGAGTAACTCAACTGTACTTCTCCCGATTCCAGAGCTCACCGAGGAGGGAGTCACACTGCAGTTGACTGTGATCGACACACCCGGTTTCGGCGACCAACTTAACCGTGAGACGAAGTACGTACTGCGAGGCAGGCGGGATTTCCGTCGTTGATGTTCAAATTCTGACCGCCATTTCTTTGCGGAAATAGCTTCGACCCCATCGTTGAGTACATCGATGAGCAATATGAGAGGTACCTGCAGGCAGAGAGCAGCCAGGAGATGCGCAAGAACATCCGGGACAGCCGTGTGCACGCTCTTCTGTACTTTCTCACCCCGTCCGGAGACAACCGGTAAGTCCTCGTCGGGAATTTGCGATCGATGGTTCGGTCCAGCAGAGAGCTAACCACACGATGTACCCACAGTCTGAAGGATCTGGACGTCGAGTTCCTGCAACGGTTGTGCACCCGCGTGAATGTGATCCCCGTCATTGCAAGGGCGGACACCCTGACTCCGGAAGAAACGTCGGCATTCAAGAAGGCTGTAAGTCAATTTGAAAATTCTTCGTGTTTCAAGCGGACAGTTCTCACATGCATACTCTGTCAACAGATCATCCGCGACTTTGAGAAGTACGGAATCCACATTTACCCGACGGCACACGCTGAGGACCGCGAAAACATTGTCATGCTTGAGCGATACATGCCTTTCGCCGTTATTGGAAGTGACGACCTGGTGGAAGTCAACGGACAAAGGGTCCGCGGACGTAAATACCGGTGGGGATCCGTCGAGGGTGAGTTGTGAGAAAACAAGTCCGTCGAAGGAAGCTAGCCAAGGATACAACAAGTGAACTAACATTTTTGAAATCACCAGTCGAGAACGAAAAGCACAGCGACTTCGTCCACCTCCGCGAACTCCTCATCCGCACCAATCTCCAAGACCTCATCGAAACCACCCACGGCGTGCACTACGCAACACATCGCGGCTCCAAGATCCGCGCCTCAGGCCGCCCGGAATCCTTCCTCGCCAGCGACGACTACTACGAGTCCCGCGTCGAGACGGCGAAGCGGGCGATGGCGGAGGACATGCAGCGAAAGGAGGACGAGATGCGCCAGGTGTTTGTGTCAAAGGTCCGTGAGAAGGAGGCGTCGTTGAGGGAGCGGGAGGAGCAGCTGGCGTTGAAGAGGGCGCAGATGGCGGATGAGCTGGAGAAGATGAAGAGGCAGTTGGAGATTGAGGAGAACAATTATCAGGAGTTGGTCAAGTGAGTGTTGTAATCTCCTTCCTGCAATGCTTTCCCTTTCTTCGTTCCTCACACATCCACCCACAATCACAGAGCCAAATCCGTCCGAAAATAAACCACCACCCACACCGCTACATAAACCCAGCTCCCACACAAAACATCTGGACTATAGATATGTAGGCATGGAACAAACTACCACATAGATTTGCAGACTCTGGAAAGTCTGGCTTCAGCTCCCCCATCCTTTTTTGTCGCTTTATGCTTTCCCCCTTTTTCCCTGTACTATTTTGCCCCATTTCAAGTCTTTTCTCGATCAGTAATCATTCATGGGTCGCCCTATTTTGCTATGATATGGAATCAATGGATGGGTCTGCATGCAGCTCAGCGGTCGGAACGCAGACGGTCTATTCGGTAAATCGGTAAAAACATTCGGTCTAATGGCGGTGTAAATCTCTGAGCGTGTCGGCATCGTGCGGGAGTGGCTGCGCGGCGTGCGCCTCACTGCTAGGCCGCGTTGGACGTCCGCCTGAGCGGCAAGGCTCAGTGCTGCTGCTCATGCCTCGCCGCCTTGGCATGCCGGCGTGCTACGGGGCGCAGCGCGTAGGCGTGCGTTGTGCGTTGGTTGCCATGGCCTACGGTATCTCCTCGCCTGTCATGCGGTACTATGGATCCGGCCGTGTTCTCTGTATGATGCTGTTGAAACCAGCCATTGTATTGTGCTTGCCTGTGAGCTCGTCTTCAAAATTATTGTCTGCATCTGTGTATCTCGAGTACGCGGTTTTTGTATCAAAATACGCATGCTGGCGTATGCTGTGTTCTACCTCCTGTGTGATGCGTCTCATGGTGCGACTGAGGTTGGCGTGGGGGTGCGATGGGAACATCCACGTGTGATTTACGGGGTGCCCAAGATCGCTACTAGGCGCGTTCACAAGTCGCACGCCTTCGGCGTCGCACCATATCTCACACATTACACATGGGGACTGTGACACTACTATTGTTGGTTGTCGTTCTCCCCGAGCGTCGAATCCACAGAGCGCGGACCATGCTACGATCTCAGGGTGTTGGTGTACCGCTAACGTTACGGGGGTGTTGTTGTCTACATCTTGAGCTGGGCATCCGGTGTGCATCGCTGGCATCTCGTCAAGCCGGCGACGTTCGTACGTCAGCAGCGTGATGATGGCGTTTTCGTCCAGGTGCTCTGCGTGGGCGTCGAGCATCGTGCCTATTGTCCCCAGCTCCACGCGTTCATGTTCGCCCACGTATGTTGACCGTGCAATCGACCCGATGCCTGCCATGAACCTGGCACACGGTGGTACGTCCATTAGCTTGAGAAATGAGACTACCGCCCATCGTAGCGTGCATATCATCTCCAAGTCCCTACCAATAGTGGTGGTGGTCTTTCCCCCGATGCCTACGCATCGCGCCTCATGTGCAGCTTCAAGAGCGTCGTTGGTGTTGACCACGGCAGGCATTGTCTTGAGTCTCTCAAGGACCGGGCAGCGCTCACACTCCTCTGGTCGGCATCGTAGCCACTCGACAGAGGCATTGCGCTTGTCCTCATTAGCCATCCAGTCTTTGGGGTCTAGCGATCTCCTTGTGCATCTGAAATGCGTCCTGCATTTGTTTTGCTTCAGCTCGGGTATGTGCACGCTAAAGAGTGTTCCGGCAGATCTCATAAGGTCTAGCAATCGGCGTGTGAGCTCGGCGGCCTCTTTGCTTGTAGCTGCAAGATGTCCAGCCTGTGGGTACTCAAGCTGTGCCAGCCTCTGTATTGCGTCATCAAGTGATACGGGGTGCTCTACGTTGTCTGTCGTTTGTGCGCACACTGTGAGTTTCCAGCCTACTGCGGTGTCGGTCTGTATGCACACAGCTATAGGCTGTCGGTCTCGCATCCATGATATGAATGTCGCTAAGCAGCTGGCCAGAATCTCTAACGGACGCTTGGGGTCACTGTCTGTCGTTCCCCACGGCTCATGCTCGTGAAGTAAGTCAAGCAGTGTGCATCTTCTGTGCACTGAGACTTTTGCTGCCTTGCTGGTCATCGTTGTATGCATGTGCCCCGGCAACTTGAGTGTCCGTCCCGTCTACACCGTGCTGTGGGTGTCCACTTATGCACGGTCGAGGTTGTGCCGTCCAATATCTCGAAAATTGAGGTACGTTTCCTAATAGCCTGTTTTCATTTAAACAGCTATTATCCGAACGCGGTGACGCGTATATCTCCGCTTGCCGTGATCGAAACCTCTTGAATCTTGCAGCGTAATTGTACGGTAGTTCTCTGGATCGAGAAGAACCTCAACGGATGTCGTTTCGACCAAAACTGCGATAGCTTTGGTATGGGGTTACGTTATTTGGCAACGAAAACTTCCAAATTCGATATCTCCATAGCCGTAGGTCGAATCCGTCCGAAACTTTCACAAGTCTACAAGCTCGGCGTACTCTACGAGATTTCCGAGTTTGAAGAGGATCGAATAACAGTTATAGATTCCCGGTCCATGCGCGTGCTACTAATTGGCTACTAGTAAAAGCGCGTTTATGTCGATAACGTATCGACCGTTGAACGTATACTCTCCAGAGTTGATAGACCGCAAGAGTAAGGTATGTATGGCAAACAGTGAGTCAAAAAGGTTTGTTTAACCATCCAGCGCAAAAGGGTGACTTAGCCGACGTATCGGTCGTTCTAGTATGTAAATAACCTATACGTGGGCGCTTTTCGGCTATAGCGCACTACGGGCTTCAGGATTTACGGTGGATGCTGTCCTGGGTGTCCTGAAGGCTATCTGAATCGTCTAGAAGGGTTGTATAGATGTTCTGTGACGATTGCTACGTCCGCAATTTCGAGATGTTGAAGATGCTGACGTGTTTATCCACTATGAAGCTCGGTCGTTTCGAACGAGTGCCATCATCGCTTACATAAGAGCTCTGCAAAAGCTCTGTGTCGTCAGCTACTGAAGAACACGCTGAGTGTGAATTAGGTATTAAGGTTATTCAACCCTAACCCTAAACTATTCCGTGCAGAAGACAGTAATCCTGCGTGGAAGGCTAGGCTTGGCGTGGCACCCGGCCATCCACATCACATTTGTACTTCGCTTAGCTTTATATTTACATATACATGTGTTTTGAGAAGGGTACGCCGGTTGTGATGTCTTTTCCGTGGGCGCCTCTTCCGTTCCATTCCCCAATAAGTGGCCCAGCGACCGAACTGGTCCGAACCGTTGTCGACGCTTACCGTTTGGTGCTATTTTGGTAATATGAGGGGACCCACCTTGTCGACATCAAGCGGTCGCACGAGTTGCGGTTGCAATGGCAGAACTGGTATAACGGTTCCGCATTCTTCGCACTTCTTGCCATGTTGGGCGTGGCAGGTAATCTGACATCGTCTGCCCAACAATTGGACGATTGACAGCATACCGATATGTCGGACCCCGGGGAAGTATAAAAGGGGTATATTATATTCGATTCCTGATATCCCTCCCCACACACACACCACATTACGTACACTAACATCCCACCTTTCCCCACATATTATACACAGTGATCCCACACTTTCTGTTATGTTCATGACGCCTCCCCAGTCCAACGCGCCCACGGCCCCGCGGCACACTCGGGTGCCAGCGGTCTTCCCTGAGCACTAGGTCGAGAGTGCCGTTGGTGATACATCGGCAGGACGGCCATTTCTCTGCAAATGAGTGTGAGGAGATGAGTGCGCTGTGGAGGGTGTGATTTGGCACAGGAGGGGGGGCTTACATGATGATAGCACAGATGAACAGCCCGACGGCGCAGAAGACGTAGAGGGCCGGCCATGGTAAATTCTGTTGTCACTCGGTTATCGTTAGCCACCACCTCATGATAACCCGCCCATGCCATCTCTCACCAAAAACCCCCACAACATACCAAAGCAGCAATCCTCTGCCCCCCCTCATCCACAAGCACCTGCACCGCCGACTGCATCTCCCGCACATCTCTCCGCAGCTGGACAACCTCGTTCTCGCGACAGTGCTGCCGGCGGCGTTTACGCGCCAGTTTGGCTTCCAGAGACTCGATCTCGGCTTGTTTCGCGTCCAGGGTTAGGGAGTGGGCGGCGATGTGCTGGAGGGCTGGTTTGTGTTTTGCCTATGAAATTTCTCGATGTTAAAAAATGGACGAGAACCAGGTAGGGACACAAAGGGGGCAAAGTGTACCTCATCATCCTCCTGGACCTTGCGAATCAACCGCTCCATCTCCCCCTCCAAATCCCTCAACTCCGCCACCTTCCCCAACGCGCCCCTCCTCACGCGGTCCAGATCATACCACTGCAGATCGCCCATGTCCTCGCCATACGCGCGCTCGTACGCCGTTCTCAACTCCCTCAGTTTCCTCAGTTCCGCGAGAGCGTGGCGGTAGCGGTTGATATGGTCGTCGAGCGTCGCGGGGCGGGGGGAGGAGAGAAGAGGGAATAACGGTGATGGGGAGGTGGACCCTAGTGGGGAGAGCAACTGGCGGCGTGCGGCGTTGCGGAAGGCCGGGGTGTCGCATTCTTGGAGGAAGGCGGTGTAGGAGTCGTTGGGGTGCAGGGAGAAATGGGTGGTGGATTGGTCGAGGGTGTGTTGGAGGGTTGGGGAGTGGGTTAAGTTTGATTCGTCATCGCCGTCTAGATTGTCGAGGTCGTCGAATTCGGTGAATGGTGCGTCCATGGCGACTTCGTGCTCCAATTCCACAGTCTCGATCAGCACCTCCCTCACGGTCTCTTGCAAAACAACCACCTCCTCAACCCCATCCTCTCCGACAAAGGCATCCCCCCTCACATCCTCAACTCTCACATCCTCGTCCCGCCCGTCCCCCAACCCACTCCGCTCCTTCTCTCCGCTCCCCCTCTCCTCCTCCTCCTCCGGATACGTATTCTCCCCCTCTCCCGCCTCAAACAGAATGGAAGGCCCACCCAAAATCCCCCGCTCATCAAACGCCGAAAACTCATCGTCCCTCAAAACCCTCGTCCCGCTTCCTTCGTCGCTCAAAAACTGGAACGACGACGAAATCACGCCCACGTCTGGATCGTTCTGATTCACCCCGTTGTGATCCGCCCCATTATACTCATTTTTAATTGGGTGATCGTCATCCAGCTCCATAGACGACTCCGAAAACGGAGGCGACTCATCCTCCAACGCACCCCCCGAGATCCCCAACGGTGATGCAGGTCTATACCCAAACAAAGACGAAGGCGACGACGTGGTCGTGGTCGTTTTACCAGCCCCCGGTGACGAGTTTGTAAAGTCGGAGAAGAATTTGTGTTTCGAGGGTGGGGATGGGGATTGCTTTTTTGGGTGGTGGGTTTGGCTGAGTTGTTTGAGGGTGTCGAAGGATTGGGATGGGGATGTGGGTTTGGAGGCGGGGTCGTTGGGGTCGTCGTGGGTGTAGTTTGAAAGCATATCTGTGGTTTTATATTGAGATATGGATAGGTCTTTTGTGGGTGTGCTCAACTAGGGTCGCCGAGGTGTGAGGTGGGCGAAGTGTGAAAAACGGGAAAATCGGACAGGCGAGAACTCAGAAAGTGCGAAGAGGCCAGGGTGGCAGGGAGCAGACCGAGGTTCCGCCAAGTTGTCGACTTCAACCCCCGACCTTTTTCCATCTCCACCCACCCTCACCACCCTCACCACCCTCTTGACAACCGCAACCCCCGCCAATATGCACGAAGAAACCCGCGACCGCATCATGAAGGTCCTCAACTGGGGCCGCAAGGTCGTCCATATCGGTTACATTCCGCTTATCCTCTACCTTGGTAAGTGTTCTTGCAAATCACACCAGAGTTCCCTCGACTGCAATGCCAATGCTAATTCTGATATATGTTCGTCCTACCGCAGGCTTCACCCGCTCATCCCCCCGCCCCAACTTCCTGCGTCTGATCTCGCCTCTTGCCGCTTAAACAAACACCCGAAAAGATAACGTCACGCCTTGCGATCCTTTCCCTGACTTGCAACGACCATCCGACGGAACTTGTGAATTGGGGAGGCGGAGTGTATTCAGCTCTGTTCGGTTTTGTCCACCACCGGGGCGTTAGGGATAGACCAAGAGAGAATGGGGACGGGATGGAATGGGCTGAGCTTGGATCGAGGGCACAGAAACGGCGGGGGTGTTGAGCGACAGGAATCTCTTCAGATACGTTCATGCTTGGCGTATCGCTACCCTCGCAGCGATGGTTGTTAGGGAGGGGGTTCTGGAAGGCGGATTTTCGTCGCTGCGCTAGCATCATTTCCTCTGTATATACATATCTATCGTATCTGCATCCACACACTGCACCAACTTTCAATCTAGCTCGCATTCTCGATAATTGTGTATCAGCATGATTTGATGGGATAAGCCTCACGGCTTGTCCGCGTACCCCACATAGATCATATTCATCTTCAGAAGCCCATTGTAGGTACAGGATTCCGAGGGGTGTGTTAGGGCCGTGTCCCATGCCGAATTGAACGACAGGAGTCGGGTTTACAACCATAGCATGAGCATGTTGCATCCCGATTCCTTTCTCAATTCCTACGCATCCTCCTCCTCGTCATCGTCATCATCATCGTAAGCATACTCGACATCCTCATCCTCAAACGCCTTTCTCACAATCGTCTGCGTCCCATTCCTTGCCTTCGCTTCCCTCCCCCCGGGCCCTGCCCCTACTATACTCCCACCCACACCAGCTCCCATTTTCCCCAACGCCAACCCCTCCCTAACCCTCCTCAACTCCTCCAACCTCCCCACAAAAGCCCGCTGCTCCCTTTTCATCTCCTCATCGCGATCCACACCCTCCTCCTCCTCCTCCGCAACCACCGCATCCTGCGCGTCGGCGGTGGAAGCTTCGATCTCTTTTTTCAAGGCCTCATATTCGGCGTTGAAAGTTGAGTCGGCGAGGAAGGTGGCAGCGGGCGTGGGTGTGTCGAAGAAGTTGGAGGGGAGGGCTGGAGGATCGGATGGGGCGGAGGTGGAGTCGGATAATGGGGGCGGTGCATCCTCGTGCTCTGATTTAGGTGGTGATGGGGAATCGGAGGTGGTGTCGAAGAACCCTGGCGGGAGCACTGCGGTTTCCGTCGTAGAATCGTCTTCGTTCCCCGTCGCCGTCGCCCCCCCACTGTCCCCTAATGATCCACCTTCCGATCCCGCCACCTCAGTTTTCCGCCGCTTAGCGCTATGTTTCTGAGTGGCGGCGAATGATGAAGATGTTGCGGTGACGGGTGTTTCTGTTGGTGGCCGTTTTCGTGAGTTTACTGTTGTTTTTGGTGGGGCATGGCGTACAGGCGTTGGGTTCGATTTGCGAGCCGTTGCGGAGGTTGGGTTCGAGCGTGCTGCACGGGCCTGTTTGAGGAGTTTCCTGACGTCGGCGGACATTGCTGGTGGAGGCCTGGTGGCTGTCGTCGACGGACTGCGTTCAGCTGAGCTTCTAATGCTTTCTACTGTACATGCCCAATTCCGTGCGAAAACGTCCTTCAGAGCCTTCAGAGCGTTGAGTCGTAGTAGGTGACGCGTTTGCCCCCTCTTCCCTCAACGCTGAACAAACGGTTGAAGTTTGCACTCTGTACCATCGGCTTCCTCCCCGAAACTCACTCTAAACGTCGCTGGCACTCGTCTCTTCTTGCTCGCTGCTAGCTACTCCGAATTCCTTTGGCAGACATAACACCGATCGAGCAGGGGAAACATGGTCGCCCTCACCTCCGCTGGTACGAAAGACGCCCATCTTGACATACGCGAACGAACGCCATATAGGGTTTGAAGCCGACTCTGATGTACTTGTCTTCCCGCAGCTGGTGTCATATCTCTCCTCGATGAGAACGAGGACGAGCTGAAGGTCTATGCTCTGAAGAAGCTTGACGGCATCGTCGACCAATTCTGGGCGGAAATCTCGGACGCCGTTTCAAAGATGTATGTGACGGGGATTTGGGGCCCCTTCTGATCTTGACTCCTGGAAAATCGTGGATTCGCCTACTTCCCCGCGGACACTTTTACTCACTATAATACTACTACAGTGAGATTCTTTACGAGGACGAGCAATTCAAATACCGCGAGCTTGCCGCCTTGGTTGCCTCCAAGGTGAGAATCCCGACCACCGTCGTTTTGGTAACCGTGGGAAAGCGTGTTTTGCTGATTCCCAGCGTTTTTTCTCGAAGGTCTACTACCACCTCGGAGAGTTTGACGAGTCTCTGACGTTCGCTCTCGGCGCTGGAAAGCTCTTTGACCTCAACTCCAAGAGCGAGTATGTGGAAACGATAATCGGTATGTGACGTGCAAAAAAATACCGTGGGAGTACGGAACCCCGGGAAAGGACCGCTGTAACTGATGATAACAACAGCCAAATGCATCGACAAGTACATCGCTGTGCGCGTGGAGCAACACGCGGCCGACCCTACTACTCCAGCTCCGAAGGTGGATAAGCGTTTGGAAGATGTGGTGCAGCGGATGTTTCAGAGGTGCTTTGATGATGGCGAGTACAAGCAGGTGAGTTTCGAGGAGAGAGGTTCGGCGGCAACACGATGTGGAGCACAATGCAATGTTCCTTAACACATACATGATCTTAGGCCGTTGGTATCGCGTTAGAGACGTTGCGGTTGGACATCTTGGAAGCCGCGGTCAACAAAGGCGACGCCCAGTCTTTGCTGTCATACCTTCTGGATGCAACCATGAACATCGTTCAAAATCTCTCGTTCCGTAACGAGGTGCGCGCTAAAAATTGTTATTTTCGAGAGAATGAAGAACGGAAAGTCATTGACACGAATCTTGATTCGTGTAGGTGTTGCGATTAATGGTCAAGCTGTACAGAAACCTCCCGGATCCTGATTACATTTCGATCAGTCAATGTTTGCTTCATTTGAACGATGCGCCATCGTGCAGTGAGCTTTTACAGACACTTGCTCAGAATGATGCGGTACGACTTGGAAGAATCCGGGTTCTGCGTCGTGTGGCGACTAATTTCATCAATCCGCAGCGACATCACATGCTTGCCTACCAAGTGGCCTTTGACTTGGAAGAAAACGCAACCCAGGATTTCCTGCAACAGATCATTCAGGGGTTGGGACCTTCGTCGGAGGAGTCTGGGGAAGCAGCTGGGTCGGACGAGAAGACGCCTCTGCTGAAGGTTGGTCCTCCCGGACACTTGATTTTGTATGTTAGGAATCTGCTAAACGAATTTCATCACGGCTTATTAGACCGAGGCGGGCCCGAAATCGGACGTGCTGAGCAAGATCCACACCATTCTGTCTGGGGAGTTGTCGATTCGCCTGTATCTCGAGTTTTTGACGCGGAATAACAAGACGGACTTGTTGATCTTGAAGCAATCAAAGGTGGGTGTTGCAGCGGCTCCGAAGACTTACAATACGCCAATGGACTTGAGGATTGACAATCTTCCGTCTAAAGGACGCGCTTGAATCGCGTAACTCCGTGTATCACTCGGCCATCACGTTCGCAAACGCGTTCATGAGCGCCGGAACAACCAGCGACGAGTTTCTCCGACAGAACCTGGAATGGCTTTCAAGAGCCACCAACTGGACCAAGTTCAGCGCAACGGCTGCTTTGGGTGTCATTCACAAGGTGAGAATCACAAAGGCTTTTTGCCCCAAATTGGAAGTCGTCACCCAACGGCAATCTCTTCCACGAATTCACAGGGACAATTAGCCCAAGGGATGGCTCTCTTAGCTCCGTACCTCCCACGAGAAGGCGTTTCTGCTTCATCGTACTCGGAAGGCGGTGCCCTTTTCGCGATGGGTCTCATCCACACCAACCATGGTAGCGGCGTCATTGAATACTTGCGAAACTCGCTACGGAACACGCAGACGGAGGTGGTCCAACATGGAGCGGCGCTGGGGTTGGGTGTTGCTGGGATGGCTACTGCTAATGATGGTGTGTACCCCGAATTCCACGACATGAAATCAATGTCGCGATCTTTTGCTACCCTACTGAATCTCATCTCGCAGAAATATACGAGGACCTGAAGACGATCCTCTTCAGCGACAGTGCCGTCGCTGGCGAAGCCGCCGGACTGGCTATGGGTCTGGTCATGCTGGGAACGGCGTCCTCCAAAGCGATTGAGGAGATGCTGCAGTACGCGCACGAGACTCAGCACGAGAAGATTATTCGCGGGTTGGCGATTGGGATCTCTATGATCATGTATGGGCGCGAGGAGCAGGCTGATGCGCTAATTGAGCAGTTAGGCCTTGATAAGGTATGATTGGTGAGAATGGTCAACCTCTTGTGGAAACTTGGGCTCTGAACTCGCATGTCTTAGGACCCCATTCTTCGATACGGCGGCATCTACACCGTGGCGATGGCCTACAGCGGCACCGGCAACAACAAGGCCATCCGCCGCCTCCTGCACGTTGCCGTCAGCGATGTCAACGATGACGTTCGACGCGCAGCCGTCACTGCTTTGGGATTCTTGCTCTTCAGGACCCCGAAACAAGTTCCTAGAGTGGTGCAGCTGCTGTCGGAGAGTTATAACCCGCATGTGCGGTATGGCGCGACGTTAGCGTTGGGGATTTCTTGTGCTGGGACTGGGTTGAAGGTGCGTTGATCAAGTAGCGGTAGTATCTGGGATGCGTATACTGATGCGTATGATTTCCATTTCCCATTTCATAGGAAGCCCTAGACCTCCTGGAACCGATGACAAAAGACACGGTGGACTACGTGCGGCAAGGCGCGCTGATTGCCTTGGCCATGATCCTGGTGCAGCAGAACGACGTGCAGAGCCCGAAAGTGGCGACCACGCGGAAGTTGTTTGAGACGATTATTGCGAACAAGCATGAGGATGTAATGGCCAAATTTGGTGCGGTTTTGGGCCAAGGGATCATCGATGCAGGTTTGTAAAAGTCTCTGAGATTGGCGTCTGGGGAACGAAGGATAACTGAAGTTCTACGCGGAACGTTGTAGGTGGCCGCAACGTGACAATCTCCCTGCAATCCCTCTCCGGCCACCCCAATATGTCCGCGATCGTGGGGATGGCCGTCTTCACCCAATTCTGGTACTGGTACCCCCTCACGCACTTCCTCAGCTTAGCCTTCACGCCCACGGCGGTCATCGGGCTCAACAAGGACCTCAAGATCCCCAAATTCACGTTCCTATCCAACGCCAAACCCTCGTTGTTTGCGTACCCGGCGCCGACCAAACCCCCGACGGAGGAGAAGGTGGAGAAGGTCGCCACTGCTGTATTGTCGACTACGGCGAAAGCGGCGGCGAGGGCGAAGAAGGTGGATGCGCAGAGGAGGGAGAGTTCGAAAGGACCCGATGCGATGGAGACTGATGACAAGGAGCCTGTCGCACCTCAAACTACAACTGCGAAAGAGAGCAAAGACGTTGGTACTAAGAAAGGAGACGAAGCGACAGCCACGACACCCACCGAGAAGCGCAAGAAGCGCACGAAAGAAGACCCCTTCGAAGTGCTGGACAACATGGCGCGCGTTGTGCCTGCGCAATTGAAGTATATCAAGTTCAAGTCGGACACGCGGTATGTGTCTGTCAAGAACCAGATTGTTGGGGGCATTTTGCTGTTGTGGGATAAGCGACCGGAGGAGGTTGAGGATATTATTACTGTGCGGGATTTGGGTAAGTGTTGAGTGGGAGTTTTGAGAGGTCCCTTTCAAGGGTATGGATTTTGGTTAACTTAGGCGTCTTTATCACAGCTGCAGCTCAAGCAGCTGCGAATGCTCACCCGGATGAGGAAGCTGAGCCTGCGCCGCCTGCACCTTTCGACTACCCGCTTGAGGATTAGAGATGTTGTGACCGGGTGGGGAGGAAAAAAAACGGGACCTTCCTGGGGGGGGATGTGGGATGGAGATCCTGATGAGAGATAGGAATCCACGTTCGTAGATGGGAAGAGTTGGGGTTGTCCTCAATCCCCTCTGATATGATATCGATGTCCAAGCTCCCCGCGAGAAAGCCTATCCCTTGTTGTGATCCGTGGTATTCGATGTATCTTCTGCTGCAACCCCTACCCAATACACAACGTTCAGATGGGAAAAAGGTCCTACTCAGAAACAACCGTGAGTGCTACGTGTGTTCTGTCGACCTTTCTAGTTGTGTTTATACGGGGACTGGCCGAGTGACACTGACAGCAAGTTGGGAACATTCGGCGATCGGCGCGTCGGCGTCATTCGTGCTTCTCTCGCGTTCTTCCATGCCTTCCCCGGGGGCTTCCCTTTTTTTCTCCCATGAACTTGAGTCTCGAAAACACTCCCACGGCGTAAGGACCATACATAGGACGGCGTGCCCCCTTCCCCTCCCTCCTTCCCCAGAAACTCCCCCTCCTTCCCACAGCTTTCGCAGACGGGCTGATAACACATTTCGCTCCTATTCCCGGCCTCTCACAACGACCACTCTTTTTTCAGCTGGGCTGCTGGATAGTGAGGAGAACGCTGTTAAACCGCTCAACGACACATAGGACAGGATACAATATATAGGCCCGGAACAATGCCCGCAATGTCTCAAACAACAACCGACTCCAATGGCAGCCAGCCCTCCACCCACACCCTGCACACCGAAACCTACTCCGACGTCCCCTCCCAATCCCCGCATCTCGCCTTTTCCACCCCCAAATCCCCCTCCCACCACACCTACAAAACCCACATCACTATCCCGCACCCGCAACACCCCCTGTCCCACCCCTCCATCACCTACACCTCGCGCACGCACCGCAAAACCCGGCACCACGTCACCCGGGACCTCCTGCACAACATATCCTTCCACGTCGCGCTGTTCTTTGTTCTTGGCTCCATCGCGTGGATCGTGAATGGGTTCTATGTCATGTGGCCGGACCAGATGGTTGGCGATGACAGCAAGGCGGTGGATGTGATGAACTGGAGTGCGTTTTGTGGGGGGATGCTATTTTTGATTGGCGCGAGCTTGGCGGTCGTGGAGGCGGGGAATGCGGATCATCCTCTGCCTCCACCAAGGAATGGGGGGATCGATGTCGAGGGCGGGCATGAGGTTATGTCCATGGGTGACGCAACGCAACAGCAGCAGCAACAACAGGGAAAAGTCAACCCAACCCACAACGAGACAACGAAACCCAGCGACCCACCCACCACCACCCGCCGCTACAAACTCACGTGGTTCCCGCGCCCCGACCCGCACTCGCTCGGCTCACTCGCCTCCCTCATCCAAATCTTCGCTGCAACCGTCTTTGGCATCTCCGTCATCACCGGCCTCCTCACCCTCTCCCACACCGCACGGATGCTCATCTTCTGGACCCCGCAAGTCATCGGCGGGCTCGGTTTCATCGTCACCTCCCTCGTGTACATGAAAGAGGTCGGCTTCACCGCGGTGTGGACGCTCGGGTGGCAGGTGGCGGTGTGGAACCTTGTGGGTGCGGTTGGGTTTATGCTGTGTGGCGTGTTTGGGTATTGGGAGGATGCGGCAGGGGGCTGGGGGTGGAGGGAGACGGCGAGTGGGGTGAATAATTTTTATGGCGGGTGGGCATTCTTGCTGGGGAGTGTGTTGCAGATGTGGGAGGTTTTGAGGAAGAAGCCGTTTTGAGGGGTGGTGGACTCAGGACATCGATACCAGACTTTTGGACAGACTTCAGACGGTTTTAGGAGTTTTCTATCTGCATGTGTAACTATCCGTATCTGTATGTACGTACATGGGAAAACTCCAGATTTATATACCATCGTGAGCAAAACATTCCATACCCAACGCCGACCATCCGAATCCGTTCTGAGGTGGCAAGGAGATAGCCTCGTAAGGATTACAGCCTTGGACAATGGACACAGACCTCGAGAATGATTGCAATGTCCGATATATTTCCCAAAAAAGAAAATCACACACTATCCCCCAAAACGGTCCGAATGCTCAAGGCTAATGATACCCACACTAAAATGGTCTAAGTTCTAAATGTGTCTGAATCTGAACGTCCCGATGTGATGGAAGGGGATGGGGGGGGGATGTGAGGGCTCTGACCTTTTTCTGTGTCCGAGAGTGTTTTCCGGGTCTGTATGTGCGTCTGTGTGTGTGTGGGGCGGGGGTGCTTGAGAAAACGGGCGCCGAACCCCTAGTCCAAAGTCCCAAGTCCCAAAGAAAGCCGGATCGCCGGAATTCCGAACCACACCAGCTCAGAACGCCATCCCCACAACCCCGACCTCCCCCTCCTCCTCCCTCCACGGCACCAACTTCGCACACGACCCACCGCCCGGCGTCCTTGGGGTGGGCGGGGTGGCAAGACACCTGACGTAGTTGGCGCAGGCGGCGAGGACCTCTATTGCGCGGGTTGCATTGAGTGGGTTGGAGAGGGCTGAGGAGGCTATGGTGAGGAGGCGGAGGCGGCGGGTTGGTGGGTGTGCGGGTGGGGATGATGACGAGGAGGTTGGGGATGGTGGGGTGAGCGTGTTTGTCGTAGTGGTAGATGATGATGACGCTGACGATGACCCTTCCACACTACCAGGCGTAGCCGACCGATTCCGCATCCTCCTCCTCTGCCTCCGTCCCCTCCTCCCCTCACCCACACCTGACCCAGCCCACCCATCTCCCACGCCAAACACGCCCTCATTGAACCCTCTCACAAGCGCCTCCCAAACCGCATCACTCACCACACACCCCACAAGATTCAGCTCAAACTCCGACCCCCTTCTATGCGACGGCGGCGGCACCGCGGAACTGAGCACGGCAACGAGATCGGATTCCGTCGCCCACTCGCCGTGGATTGTGAGGGCGTGTAGGTGCGCGGCGTGGGTGGAGTGTGTGGATGAGAGACTGTGGATGTGGGGTTGCAGGAGAGGGGCAGTGGGGAGGTTGTAGGTTAGGTGGAGGGTGAGTGGGCGTGGGTTCTGGGATGTGAGGGAGGTGTGGCGGAGGGCGAGGTGGGTGGTGAAGAGGGTATCCAGGAGGGTGGCGAGGTGGTTGAGCATGGGGGACGTATGGTTGAGGTGGCCGAGGTGGATGTTAAAGATGAGGTGGACCTGATGACCGAAACGACGAGTGTTAGCGACACAGTCGCGGAAAGGGAACGCCAAGAACACCTAAAAAACAGTACTCACATGCTCCAAAACGCCCGCATCCCTCACAACGCCCAAACACTTAATTACCAGCTCCAACCGCCCACAAAACTCGGCCCAACATTTCGCCTCGTCCCTCCACACGCCCCACGCCGGGCCTGTATATTCCACCCTCAGCGTCAACCTCCTCACCAGATTCACAATGAACCGCGCGCGCGCCGCATCCCTCCCATTCCCACCCATATTCGCGTTCAAATCCCGGGATCGCGACACGCCACGACTTCGTGAAACCGACCGCGTGAATTTCCTAGCGACGTGATTTATTGACTGCAGACCGAGGATATCAGCGATACTCTCGACATTGGAAACGGAGACGGTGGGAGCGCGCCACTGGATGGGCGTCGCGATGTGTTCCCATGCGCGGCAGACTTGAGCGCAGACGCTGCGGTCGCGGCGGGTGAGGAAGTGAGTGAAGAGGTGGTGGAGGATGTCGGCGTTGAGGCGGGGCCGGGACGCCATTTGGGTGGGAGTTGATTTGAGGATTGTGGTGGTGGTTGTGATTATTCCTAGACGTATATCCAAGGTTCAATGTAATTGAAGGCTGTAGATCGCTTTCCTCCTTGATGAATCAATCAGTCCAGTCGAACAGAAGTCGTGAAGAGGTTTCGTAGATAGATAGAGTGTCAGACTTTGCTGTGAACAACCGGAGGGCCGGCGTCGTTCCCCGCCCCCTCTATATATACCGCTCATCTCTGTATCCAGCAAGAAGGTAAAAGACCGAATATAGCATTCCCGAAAACTGGGAAGAAAAAGCGAGAGTCGGCATCTAGACCCGAACCCAAGGTCTTTGTGCCCATTTTGGGCTCAGGTGTCTAAAGCCTAAATCCGGATATGGTGCGGGTCCGTTGTTCCCGGTGCAGAACTCGATACACTGGCGAGCCCACTTCGACCTAGACGAGGGGAGGGGTAACAGACGGTTAGAGGGTATTGCTGAGAATAATCACTGCAGCTGTTGGGCAGCAGGTTGGGCAGCAAGAGCCGCTGAACGGTATGTCACAGATGCTCACAGATGTCACTTTGCAACTTTCGCGTCCATTTCTTTCACCCAACGGCTCGCGATACATACTGTACAGTACCTCGCCACAAACTGACGCCGATCATCATCGTCAACAACGACGGATGTAAGCAACATCCTCACTTCCGCTGATCTCGGGCTTGACATGCCTAATTCATTGTATGCAAAAAAAAATGCTAACACCTCCTTCTCTCTCTCTCCCCCCCCCCCCTCCCCCCCCCCTCCCCACCAGATACAATCGAACGCTACATCCACAGCCCCGAGCGCAGCTACAACCGCACCGCAATGTGGTCCTACGCGCAGTCGCTGTCCTACTTTCTCCGTCCCGCAGGACAAGGACAAGTACCCCAAGTTCAGGCTGCAGCGGCGCGTGGAAGCGAAAAAAGATGTCATGGGCGTGCTGAGGCAGGCGTTTGAGGAGCGGGACAGTATCCATGTGTTGGAGGTTGTGATGCCAACGATGGATGCGCCGCCGGGGGTGCAATGATGATAGCGACAAGACCCCCCACTTTCTCGCATCAGCTCGGCGTTTGGTGCGCGGTTGCTTTACGAGTCGCCATCATACTTGTTCTCCTCCTGGGCCTTCTCCGCCGTCTTGATCTGCGGATTCAGGGACAACGAATAGCACCTTATTTGGATCATTCTTTCCCTTGTTCCCTTTTCCTCACCGCTAGCGGACTTTCATAGCGGGTGTACATACGCATGTATCTAGCATTCACCAAAGAAGCTGAAATCAACACCAATTGTCGTGGCACATCTCATCATCGCCATTTCAAATCACAAATGCGAATTCACGTCCTCAGCCATCTCCAACCACGCAAGCGCCCTAACCGCATCGCAATTTGCCGCACCGGGCATCTCGTCATGCACCCACGCCGTGAACCGATCGAACGTTGCGAATATCTGCTTCGCGCTGGTGTAGTCCCTGCTTCCGGGTGGCGGCGGGGTGTCTTTGTATATCTGGCCTATTGTTGGGCGTTTTGGCGTGTTGGTGAAGTGGATGAGAGTTCCGACTAAGGAAAATGACGCACACACACCTTCATGCCCGTCGGGAACATCCATCCGGACGCCTAGCAGCCGTCGGCCTCTGAACGTCGAGCTGACCACCAGCCTCGCTTTATCTCCCTGTGCGGGATCCCCCAGCTTTTCACTTGCTTCATCGGTGACAACAAAAAACCGGCTGTCGTTCGCGGGTCCCGTGTGGTCGATCTCGAAGGGAGGCGGTGGAGGTTCGGGTGGGATGGTGCGGTTGGGGTGGCGGATGGGACGAGGAGGATGGCGTCGCCTTGGTTTTCTTGGTCGTCGAGGTGGGAGAGCATTTGGCGATGAACAAGCGCTGTCGTCTGGTGAGAGGAGTTAGGAGACTGAGCGGTGTGTCTGAGTGGAAAGGAGTGGACGGGTGAGCGAACAATGGCGCCTGGAAATACGAGGGAGGAGGACGCTTGGAAGTGTTGGCTCGGTAGAACCACGCCCAGACAGCAGTCGCTGATTCCCCACGCACCGTCTTCAGTCCATCGCCACTTTCTTTGCCCCCTCAACACCTCATTCGAATCTCGCTTCGTTTGAGAAAGACATTCGCTCGGTGGCATCCCACGACCGACGCATCGAACCGATAAATCATCTCACAGCACTCCTGTTACCTCAATAATCCCCCCTTATGGCGGAGGTTTGCTGAAACCACTTTCTTGTTGAAGCTCGTCTTGGAATTGTGTCTCACTGTGTCGTTTCTCCCTACAGCTCGACACCCTCCTTCAGTCCGTCCTAACCGAGTAAGGAATGCACCGTCTTGTACCGAATCCTTGCAGCTATAACCCACAATTTAGTTCAGGTTGTCTGACGTCTTTTTGTTTCTTCTTGTGCTGCAGCACGGAACACTTGAAAGCTGTCTTCATGACCAACAAAGATGGTGTCATCCTCGCCAAAGCAGTAGACCCAGGGTTCTCTGACCATATTCTTGAACTGGCTTTCTCGGCTACCTTTACTGTTGCAAGCGATCAGGTGCGTTTGCCTTGCCTGCCTTGCCGCGGATTCTTGGACTTCGGTGGGCTGGAACCTTGTCTAACTCGGGGATCCCATGAGGCAGTCCGGCAAACTCGGTCTAGGCCGCAACAAGATGATCATCTCCACCTTCAGGGACGACCAGCTGGTGCAATTCAACCACTTGCCGCTACTGCTGACCTTCTTGGCGTCCGTGGAGGCCAATACCGGTAAAAATCCCCATACATCGAAGTTAAGCTTTTCAGGATGTTGTTACTTATCTTTCACTTCTTCAGGTGTGCTAATAGCCCACGGAACGGACCTGGCAGAACCAATGCGCATTGTTGCGGAATTGGTCGCGAGGGCTGTGCATGTTGAAACCAAGAAGGAGTTTGTGTGAGGGAGATGCTGCATATCTGAGGGGGACTGCCAAGTTTCCGATGCGGGGTTTATCATCGCTTGGAGGTGGACGCTAGTCTGAGCGGGTGTTGGGTGTGCGGAGCTCAGGCTATATCCAGGTGAATTGATCTCAGGTGCCAAGATGTGGACATGTAACATTGCAACGTGCGCAAGGAACCCACCCTCCCAACTGCTTCCGCTGCTGTTGACGATTCAGCAGTGGGTGGGCCCTCCCATGCTCCACCTGGCAGTGACTGAGACTGCCAATTTGCAGTATCCGCGATCCTCTAACACCCCTTGCCGAAATCTGTCACACGAACTTGAGTACCCATCCACCTTCGCCGCCGTTTCGGCACAAGAGCCGCCAACTGCTCAAAGCGTATTTGAGGTCTTTCACGGCGTTTGGTGTCCTACGTGGATGTCACCTACACCCATACGGCTTCTTGAGCCGCGAGCGGAGGAAAGGATTTCACGCTAGCAATTAGATCCCACCTCGAAAGAAACGAAGGCTTGCATGGGCATCGGTGATTGCATTTATCTTAAGCTGGCAATCCTTCATTTATACACAGTTTTTTTTTTGGATATCAGATGATAATGCATGAATTTGATTTGGAGGAATCAGCTTAATATATACTTGTCAAATGCGAGGGAGTCTAGTGCTACTACTACGCTATTCTGCAAACAACGAGGGTCCCGAAACGACGCCCCAACTACCTATCCACGTCAAACCGCCCAACGCGGGCATCGTCCCTGTCCTGCGCCCGCACCAACCCAAACCGCCCAGATCTAACTTCCCTTTTAGGCACGGTCGAAACAGGCTCCACCACATTGCCGTCAGAATCCAACACCTCCTCGTCACACATCTTGATACGCGCGCTGCAAGCCGAGGACCACGTTACTGATTGCATGCCGTTCGGGTCGTGACTGTCTGTCTCACGGGTGGTGTCGACGGGAACAATCCGGCGACGCATGGGGTAGGCGCGTCCGACTGCCGGCGACGTCGATGCGGGGGCGGGCGGGGCCATGGCGGCCCAATCAACAACCCTCATACTGGTATGCGTGCTCTCATCCTCGGGCTGCGTCAGATACGCCACCAAATCATCGCTTGGCACCTCATCGACAATCTCGTCCAAAATCTCGTCCACACTCCGGCCCCGCACAGCCCAGCCCCCTCGCGCACCGAGGATATCCCCCATGATCTCGCCCGTCAGCTGCTCCACGTACGCCTCGTAGAACCCGACGAGGGTGTGCAGATCGCGGGAGAGGCGCGACAGGTTGCTGCGGACGCGCGTGCGCGCGACGGCAAGCTCGGGGAGGGTGCGTGTTGCTGTCAGCTCCGTGTCCTCGTTGGTGGGGATGTGGGACAGGCATTCGTCGCTGTCCATAGGGCGGTGCACCGCGAGGGTGAAGATGCCCGCCATCATGTCCGCGTCCACGTCCGTTTCGGGGATGGAGCCGCGCAGATCGTGCATAAACACCGCTTCGTTGGAGTCCTCGCGGTTGGGTCCGCTCTCACCCGCGCGGGGGATATAGGCCCCCATATGCAGAAGCGCATCAAGCACCTCCCCCTCCTCATCGTCCGACTCCTCACATTCGTCCGCGGACACCTCCGACCGCCGTCGACGGGCGGGGACGCGGTGGATGGGTACGCCCCAGTCTGCTGTCGTTGAGTATGTAGTGGTGTTGTATGTGGTGGCGGTTGGTGGGAGTGTCCAGGCGGCTGTTGCGAAGCCGAGTGTTCGTGGGGTGGGTGATGACCAGGCGGGCGGGGTGGAGCGGTGGTGAGACGGGGGGGAGGTGGGTACGTCGTTGTAGACGGGGATAACTCGCATGCTTTGTAGTTGTCTTGGACGTTCGGTGGAAGGAAGTATAGTTTGTGGAAAGGAGTGGTGAAGAGGTGTGTTGGGGGCGTGCAATGGATGGGAAGGTGTGTTCCACGCCGAACGACATATATAACGGGCCGTGGAACAAGCCAGGAGCCCCACCGCCTCCCAAACATTGCCGACCCCAAAAAGTCCATCGAGAACCATCCTGTGCCTGCACACAGCCGGCAGTTACTGGTAGGCCAAAAATGTAACCCGATTTAAGCGGACAAAAGGGCTATAAACTGCAAGTTGCCAACGCGCGGGCCATCATGGACCCGTCTAAACTGAGAGACGTGGCTTGTTGCTTACGTTGATAGGGCCGCGCTGTCGGAATCCGTGTCAAGTAGAGTGTCAATCCTTGACGTTCATTTTTTCCACAAGGACAGCTAGCGCATCTGGAGGTACGCCCCTTTCTCGCCCACCGTTATTTTCAGGACTCCCCCCCTCTGTGGGCTTTCCCATCGCTTTTCCAGAACTGTATTCGATACATCCCCGCCATCTGCGCCCTGCTCACCCAAGCCGAGGTATCCTTGCTCGTCAAGTACCGTCCCTCCCCGCTTCCCCGCCAACGGACCTGTCTCATGACGCATCTAGACGGAAATGCATCAAACTCCTCACCATCCACCTGTCCGCGCCCCCGACAACAGGAACTGACAGAAACGGTGGGTCGGGAAGCAGGGCGACGGGTGTTGGGGCAGGGGTTTGTGAGGCGGTCGGTGGGGCTGGACTTCGGTGCGACAAGTCGGGACGTTGTGGGATGAATGGTTGGGATGACTCTTTTTTTTTTTACATTTGGTGGAACGGGCTGATGTGTAACTCGGGAGGGGGGTTTTGTACATTTGACGTGACTTCATGGGAAGAAATGAACCTCCGGGGGTGGCGATCTCCCGGAACTTCTGCGGCTGCTTGTATTTTTGGCTTGTCATCCGTGATGAGCACGCATTGGGAACATGGGGGCCTGGCAACTCGTATACATGCGTGACTTACATGTAAATCGCCCAGAGGGCAGGTCGTAAAATGTCCAGGCTGTTGCTGTACATGGATCTTTCAAGGACCAGGCCACATTCGGCATCCGGGATAGCATGCATATATGCGTCTGTATTTGTGTTCGTGTATGGTTTCCCACTGAGGTGGTACTAGGTCAAAGAGGGGAAGGGATGGGGATCGGGGGATCAAAAGCAGGGGGGTATTGGGGCTTCTGATATCTCGATGAAGCTAGGGTATAGCTATTTACCAAGTCGGATAGCGGAGGGTGGGGCGGGAAAGTGAGACACATCACATACACACGACGACTACGACGCCGGCCTCGCCAACGACTTCTTCCTCGTCAGACTGCTCTCCCCCGCATGTTCCGGCACCTCGAGATTGATCGGGTTCTCCGCAATCTGCTCAACGGCTTTGACCGCGCGTCTAACGACCTCATTCCCATCCGCATCTTCCCGTCTGAGCGCAAACATCAGCGCCGATCGGCCCGTGACGCCATACGTGTGTCCGAATTCGAATACGGGCGCTTTGACGAGCTGCGGCTGGTTGGTGTCGACGAAGAGCTGCCAGTGGGCGCCGCCGACGGCTTCGGGGAGAGTGAAGTTGACCACGTCGTGGTGGGAGTTGACGATAAGGAGGACGGTGACGTCTGTTCCGGGGCGTTTGATCCCTGTTGCTTGGGCGCGACCATCGAAGACGATGCCCATGCAGCGCGCGTTGGGGTCCATCCAGGTTTCTTCGGTCATTTCCGTGCCCGCGGGCGTGACCCACGTGGCGTCTTTCACACCTTCCTCTTCGTTGAAGGCGCCGGTGTACCAACGATTACGGCGGAGGACGGGGAAGGTTTGGCGGAGCCAGATGAGGCGGCGGGTGAATTCGAGGAGGGACTTGCCGTCGTCGGTGATACCTTCCCAGTCGACCCAGTTGATCTCGTTGTCTTGGCAATAGGTATTGTTGTTTCCGTTTTGGGTGCGGCCGAATTCGTCGCCGGCGAGGAGGAGCGGGGTGCCTTGTGAGAAGAGGAGGGTGGTGAGCATGTTGCGCTTCGTGCGCTCGCGGAGGCGGAGGATGCCCTCGTCTGTTGTGTGCCCTTCGTGGCCGTGATTCCAGGACAGGTTGTCGTTGGAGCCGTCGCGGTTGCCTTCGCCGTTGGCGTGGTTGTGCTTTTCGTTGTACGAAACGCAGTCATGCAGGCAGAACCCATCGTGCGCGGTGATAAAGTTGACCGAGGCCCAGGGTTTGCGGCCACAGCGGTAGAAGATGTCCCCGGAACCCGTGATGCGAGAGGCGAGCTCGGGTAGCCTGCCCTGGTCGCCCTTCCAGTATTCACGGACCGTGTCGCGATACCTGTCGTTCCATTCCGCCCAACCAGGGGAGAAGTGGCCCACCTGGTATCCACCCAACCCGATATCCCACGGCTCAGCGACGAGCTTGACGCGGGACAAGACAGGGTCCTGCCGGACCGAGTTCAAGAAGGCGCCGTTGTCGTTGAAACCCCACATTTCTCTGCCCAAGATGGTGGCCAGATCGAAACGGAAGCCGTCAACATGCATCTCCTCGACCCAGTATCGGAGACTGTCTAACACGAGCTGGTTGACCCTCCCGTGCGAGAGATCTACGGTGTTTCCGCATCCGGTGTCGTTCACGTAGTATCTGTTGTTCTCGTGGTACATCTTGTAGTACGTCTTGTTGTCGATCCCCTTGAAGCACATGGTGGGACCCATCTCGTTGCCTTCGGGTGTGTGGTTGTAAACAACGTCAAGAATCACCTCGATGCCGGCGGCGTGCAGTCGAGCGACCATCTCCTTGAACTCTTCAATACGGTTGGTGGCAGAGTACCGCGGGTCGGGAGCAAAAAAGCCGATCGAGTTGTAACCCCAGTAGTTGACGAGGTTGTTGTCGAGCAGGTACTTGTCGTCGATGAAGAAATGTACGGGTAGCAGTTCGACGGACGTGACGCCCAGCGACTTGATGTAACTGACGACGGCCTCGTGCCCCAAACCAGCATACGTTCCTCGCAGGTTCTCTGGCACGGCGGGGTGACGCTTGGTGAATCCCTTGACATGGGTCTCATAAAAGATGGTCTTTTCCCAAGGAACCTCGGGTTTCCTCTCCCGTCCCCAAGTGAAAGCGGGGTCCACCACCTGACACTTTGGCATAAACTTTGCGCTATCCCTGTCGTCGAACGACAGATCCTTGTCAGGGTGTCCGATCTGGTACCCGAAGAGGATGTTGTCCCAGATGAGCTCGCCGACAAAGTTCTTTGCATAAGGATCAATCACCAGCTTGTTGGGATTGAACCTGTGCCCGTTATGTGGCTCGTACGGGCCGTAGACCCTGTAGCCGTACACGGTACCTGGACGAGCATCCGGCAGGTATCCGTGCCACACCTCATCGGTGTACTCGGGCAGCTCGATCCGCTCCAGCTCCTCAGTGCCGTCGGCGGAAAAGATACATAGCTCAACTTTCGTCGCGTGAACGGAGAAGAGAGCAAAGTTGACTCCAAGACCGTCCCAGGTGGCTCCGAGTGGGGTAGGTTTCCCTTCTTCTACGCGGGCTGGCATATCTTCGAGTGGATGGTAGTAGGTGTTGTCGGGGCAGTAGCGGTGAATGTGGGGTGCGTCGTGGGATACTAGTTTTCGGGGACGCGAGAGGTTGTTGGTCCTAGATCATGACGCTTTGCAAAGAGTAGCGCAGAGAGGGACGTTACTCACCACCGAGTTCGTTTTGCGGGAGCCCGTGCGCTTTGAGGTTGAGCGGGGGAGTGGGTGGGGGCCTGCAGAGGGAGAAGTGGGGCCCTCTGTTTTGAGGGTTTTTCTACCGCTTTGGAAGGCTGGAAGCAAAAGCTATCGAAACCCCCACAAGGAAAGTCGCCCATCCCTGTTATAATGGTTCTCTGCGCGTTATTCTACTACGACGGGGGGCGTGCTGGGTGCGCGCCCGAGGGGACTTGGCACAGAGAGACGGGCGAGCGGGCACGCGCACCCGTCTGGGGGTTCTCGGAGGGATCTGGTTGCGGTCGTGCACCTGGACGCGGCAGGAGGGGGTGCGCGCGTGGAGGGGCAAGTGCATACGTCATTAGCACATGGGGCCAATGGCTCTCTCTCTCTCTCTCGCGGAGTCTCGCACAAGCACGCTCCCCTCGCGCTTTCTGGACCCCCGCGCTTCTGCGGCCAACCCAACAATCGCAACCGCGGCACGCGTGGCGGACGACGAACCTGGACGCAAACATGGTATGAGCGTGAGAGACTTTATCAAACTTTGAGGGCATGGTGACCGCTAGGAAGCGGACGGGGTTGCGGCATCAGCCGTCGGAGGAGAAACTAGTCTAAACATGAAAACTTCTGTATATACATAAAAAAAATATACCATAACAAAAACCATGACTTGGGCAGGTCCCAAAGAAGAGGCAGCCAACGACAGATGCGGTGCTTTGCTTTCGTTCCTCACCCCACGACCACCCAGCGATCCAGCGGGACACCGGGGCGTTCTACATCTCTAATGACTGGCGTCTGTAAAGGAGGGCCTGAATGCACGGTGACGGAGGGGTTTCGGTAGTTCGTCGTTGTGGGTGTGAGGCCTGACCCGCTCAACCGCAACGGAACATGGGCGCGTGTCGCACCGCCTGTCCGACGATGGGCCGTTAATTGACGCCGGATGGGTTTTGAATGTGTCGACTCCCCGAATCGACACTATCCCGGGGGATTTTGCAAGTATCTGGAATCGGCGAACGTTGGGGGGAGGAGTGATGTCGAGTGTCGATTGGAAGAAATACAATGGGCGAGCGGGTGGGAAGGGTATTCGGAAACCTGCTCCGTTTCTCAACTTTTCCCCGTGTAGTGGTTGCCGTTTCCGCCAGGATTCGCTCCCGCGAAAGGAGGGCAATTCACTGATGTCGAGTCGAATAGTACTGCGGCCCCCAAGCTCCGCAAGACGCGTCCCACTCACAACCGGCCCTTCCCACATCCTCCAAAAGTCCCATCGCTCCTCTACAGCTTGCCAGGGAACCCATTCTTCACGCCCATCCCACCACCACTCGATGCCGAAGGGGCCGTCGTTGCAGCAGCAGCGCCCGCGCCCTTAACAGCCGCACCCTTCTCCGACTCCAACAACTTTGCTTTCAATGGTTTTATGCGGCCGCCTATACATTGATCGAAAACATCGCAGAGTCAGAGGTTGAGATGGGAAGGAAATGGACGACAACAGGCGTGTGTGATGATGATTACCTTTGACGACGATCCGAATCTCATCTACATCCAGCGTCTCGTGCTCCATGAGTGCACGCGCGAGCCGGTGCAGTTCCTCTTTGTGGGTTTTGAGGAGGTGCGTGGCGCGGGCGTATGCGCCCTGTATAGAACAACAAAGGAAAGAGAGACAGAAACGAGGTCAATCGAATGGTCGATAATCCAACACCCAAACTCCATCGAGAAAGGGGAGAAGACGATAACTGACATCCAACAAATTCTTGACCTCCATCTCAATCACCCCCTTCGTCGCCGGACTCAACCGATCCCACCCATCCTCTCCATATCCAACCGCGCCAACCTTCTCACTCATCCCATAAGACAGCACCATCTCCCTCGCGACCGCCGTGGCCTTTTGCAAATCCGAGCTCGCGCCCGTCGTGACTTCATCCGGGCCAAAGATCATTTCCTCCGCCACGCGGCCGCCCATGCACACGTCCAGCATCGCATACAGCTCTTTCCGGGTATGGTTGGTCTTGTCGGCCTCGGGGAGCTGCACCGTGACGCCGAGGGCATTGCCACGGGGTATCACAGTGACTTTGTGCAATGGTGTGGCACCGGGGGTGTGCAGGGCGACGAGGGTATGTCCGCCCTCGTGGTAAGCAGTGAGGTTCTTGTTGTGTTCGGTGATGACGGCGGATTTGCGTTCGGAGCCCATGATGATCTTGTCTTTTGCCCATTCGAGGTCTTCCATGCGCACGGAGCGCACGCCCTCTTTGGAGGCTTTGATCGCGGCGTGGTTGATGAGGTTGGCGAGGTCAGCGCCGGAGAAGCCGGGTGTGCCGCGAGCGATCGTGTGCATGTCGACGTTAGGGGAGACGGATACAGGCTTGGAGTGTACTTCGAGGATCTTCGTGCGGCCTTGCACGTCGGGGAGGGGGACGGGGACGAGACGGTCGAAACGTCCGGGGCGCACGAGCGCTTTGTCGAGGGCTTCAGGGGTGTTTGTTGCGGCGATGATAATGATGCCTTCTCCTGATGAAAACCTGTAAGGAATCGCTTTGGTCAGAGTTTGCCCGAGATCCACCATTTCCCAAGAAAACGTACCCATCCAACTCAACAAGTAACTGATTCAGCGTCTGCCGCATATAACTCTGATCCTTCGCATTCCTCTTGCTGCCCACCGCGTCCAGCTCATCGATGAAAATGATGCACGGGGCTTTCTTCTTCGCCGCCGCAAACAATTCGCGAACACGGCGAGCGCCAACGCCAACATACAGCTCGTCAAACTCGCTTCCGCTCATCTGGAAGAAAGCGACGCCGGCTTCGCCTGCTACGGCGCGCGCGAGATGCGTTTTGCCGGTTCCTGGTGGTCCGTACAGAAGGACGCCTGGCAACGAAAGTGATAGGGCGGATTGAGTTCCTTGCCAACTAGCAGATATGTCACTGCAAATTATAGCCGCATCTTACCTTTCGGAAGCTTCCCACCAACCTCCATAAACTTCTTCGGTTCCTTCAAGAACGCCACAACCTCCTCAAGCTCATGCTTCGCCTCATCAACGCCCTGCACGTCCTCAAACTTGATCGATTGTGCCATGCTGTTCGGCTCCACTTCCGCCGCGTTCATGCCTGGAACAACACAACCCCGCTTCATCAGCAACATACCCCACCCGACGAGCAGCGCAACTCATATGCGACGTACCCGATTTGATGATCCCTTGCGAGTCCAGCAAGACGTTGAGACCCGTCATAAGCAAAATGCCGTAAAGCACCTTAGACCCAAACTTCCGCGCAAACTTGCTCCACGACCACGCTTCGCTAATTACGACCTGAATCGGTCGACCATCCGGCCCATTCGCATTCCCCGATCCATTCGATTGATTATTGTATGCGGCCATTCTCTTCCTCATAGCGGCGGAAGACACGTTTCCGTCGCTGCGATTCAGCGCGCGGTCCCATTCCGCGGGGTTAGTTTGCACCCAGTGGTCCCGCGATTCTACGATTGACGGGCCACCTTTATCCTCAAACGGCGACAAACTCAGGGGCGATTGCGGGACACCGGAAGATGACGCTCCAAAACCCGCTAACGACGACGGCCTCCCCGCAGCGGCATTCGTAGCCGCCAGGACCCGCTCCGCCAACCGATCCACGTTCCCCTCCTTCATTAAGGCCGACACATACGCCTTCGCACAGTCCGGGTCCATCTGGATACGCTGTGCGTCCGCCGCCCGTGCGGCAGCGGGGTACCGCGCCGAAACGGCATCGAGTTGGGGCTGCTTTTCGTAGCGGTCGATGAGCGCGTAATGATTGCCTGTTTTGAGGATCTCTTTGTAGAGCTCGGCTTGTCGTCTGGGGTCGGTGCGGAAGGTCGGGTCGCTTGATTCGTCGAGTTGGAGTTTCTGCAGCTTGCGTTCAGACCAGTATTGGCGCTTTTGGTATGATGCTGCTCCTGGTACGGCCGGTCGCAAATGTAAGGTGTGATGGTTCCGTGCAGTGGAAATGAACGGCGAGGAGGGACGGGAGGCGAACGGCGCTGGGTCCTTATGTGTTCGCAACCGGCCGTCTCGCTCTGATGGATGCTTGCGAGCTTGTCCGTCCAGCTCCGCGGCGGCCAAGGTTTGCATCAGGGGAGTGATACGACCCAATGCATTCAAAGCATTGAATACTTGACTCGCTGATTCCCCGCTTGGCAGAGGACCAGCGGGCACGGACTCTGAGAGCTTCTCGACCGCAATCGTAGCCTCTTCCAGCAATTCACTAAGGGCTGGCTGTGCCTCTGACTGAGCAAACTCCCATATCGATTTTCCATCGTCCATCAGCGTATTCCGCTCCACATCGCCCCGGATGTTATCAAACGTTTCCGAGCCGGATTCTACGCTTCCCGAGCGTTGTTGTGGTTGCGTCGCGCCAGACCCTGCCTGTGCCTGTGCCTGTGCAGCGGTAGCGCGTCTAGAGTGAGCCAGAACCGGGCTTGCTGAGAGCACTGACTTTAGCTCGTTCAAGAGCATGGCCGTCTCGGATAGAAACAGCTGGACCTGAGGGAGGGCAGTTTGACAAGGGTTTAGCTGGGGAGGTCAAGAAGTGCGAATTGAGGCAGGTGTACCTACCGTTGCACCCAAAGGCTGGGCGGCCATTGCGACCGTGCTGGCTGCGGTTGTCGCTGCCATCGATCTACTATGTACTAGGTGCAGTTTGAGAGAAGATGTTGCCAGATCAGAACTAGACTATAGAGAAGTAAGTGGAAAGTAAGCCAGTCCCGAATGTCGGGAAAGTCGGGAAGTTCCGCTCGGGTTAGGGTTAGCGGTTCACGCGATTCGGGGGGTTGCAGGATCTAGGGCTTTACTAAACGCAGCGAGCAATCTCCCGAGGGCGTATGAGGATTTCCAAAAAAAGACAACACTTTCAAATATCAATCCCGATACATTCGACGGACAGTCATAATGGACAAAAAATCATTTTCCATCCGCTACTTCAGTAGCCCAAAAATTAAAGAACAAAATGTACAAAGGAGATAGGGATTGGGGGACAGGGGACGGGTATTTGGGCGAGGGGAGGGTTGATTTGATTAGGTTGACTGGCCCTATCCCCCTTCGTCTTGCCGACGGTCTTGGATTTGGCTCGTTCAATCCACTCAATAGCCATATCTCAACTGACTGGCGGTAAATTTCGGCGGCGTCCAATGCAACTTCGCCGGATCAATCCTCGTCCGATTCTTCGCCACATTCTTCTCATGGTGCTGCATATTCCCCTGACTCAAGTAAATCACATACAACCCACGGTAGTACTTGATCAAGTCCAGTGCCTGTAGGGTATGCATGATGTCATCAGGTGTGATGCTCGTCTCCTCGCTGAGTTCCTGAATGCTGAGCTCGCCCTTGTACTCGTACAGCTTCTCGAGGATGGTGTCTGCCCAGTAGGAGCGGTACGAGAGGAGCCCGAGGTCGGAGAGGGGTTTCTCGGGAGACCCGGTCTTTTTCTCGATCTTGGACAATTCGTAGGAGAACTGGATGAGCAGTTTGCCGTAGCCCATGCGTTGGTGTTGCGGGAGGGTGAGGATGCATGCGACGTTGTAGTCCTCGGAGGAGTGTTTCTCTTTGGAGAAGTAGCCGAGGAAGTGATGTCCGACGTTGTCGCTGCTGGTCATTATGTAAAACATGAATGGGTCGACGTCGTAATAGAGGGTTTTGTGATCGAGGAAGAGTTTTGAGAGGAGGCAGAGGTTACGGCAGTATTGACGTTGCCGCTTGCCGTCGATCTCCCAGAACGAGATGTGAGATTGTTCGTCGCGGTAGATTTCGTTGCCGGGTGGGTGCCGGAGCGTGCATTTGGCGCGATGCCGCTCAAACTGCCGTGCGGATCCTACTGCTTCCAGGCAAAACTCGCAGAGGTAGATGCGCGGAAGTTGCGAGAACTCTTCGGGATAAGGGGAGAAGTACCACGCCTCCACCTCGTATTTGCCCATCACGATCTTGTTGATGTTCTTCAAACGAGCAACCTCCGTTAAACATTGGGTCATGGACCCGCCCACGCGCAGCTTCTCCAGCTCCTTCTCTTTCGAGAACGTGTCCTCCTCTTCCCCGCCTTCCTCTCCGCCTTCGCCTCCCTCCACATTGCCGGCATCCTGGCTAGCCTGCTCGCTCGTCGTGTCCATGGGTGTCGCCTGCGACTGCTTTTCCGACGGCGTCCGGTCCCGGTCTGGCCGTTTTCGTTTCTGCGGTACGATGGCATTGTGCGGAACGCCAAACGCAGCGCCGGACCCACTCCCTTCTACTCTCGAAGCCGGGTTCCCACTCGGCGTAACGGGCGGGGCTGCCACGGTCGTGCCTTTTGCTCCAGGCACGGCATTAGGAGCTGATTTTTTCTGTGTTTTCCCGAACTTGACTTTGGACAGATCAAGAGCGGAAAGCGGTACCCATTCGTCTAATCGTTTGTTGAACCCTTCGTAATGGACGTAGAACTCCACGGGATGTTTGCTGTTTGGTTCGTCATTACGGATAGATAGAATCTCGGCTTTCTGCCAATGCTGTTGTTCCTCGCCGTTGACGACCGATACTTTGTTGACGGGGAGGCGGGCCCCCACCGCCTGGGGTATGAATTCCTCCGGGCTTAGCATGTACTATATATGTGTTCAGGCGGTAGGGGAGAACTGTGTGCAATTCGAAGGTGACGACGACGAGGATTTCGTGTTCCGACCCTTTCTCAAATCTCGTATCACCAACAATGTGGTAAGGCGCTGCTTGCTATGTGCCCGAAGCCAGTCGGTCTCTGAGTCGGTCTATCTGTCCGTATTTGGTTGCTGTGCTGCTGCTGTTGCGTTGAAAAGGTTGAAACCGAGTTCGGAATCGGACGAGTGGGGAAACTATCACGACATTTTACAACCCATTTGGCCCGTATTGTACAGCAACTCTCTGTTGCTGTTCTCTCCCACACAAAAGCTAGTCATAGTCATCACTCAAATCTCCTTGGCTCAGTATTTTCTCATTGCCTTTGGCTTACTGTCTACTTCCCTGCCAGTAACGACCGAATACGTCGACAGCGACACCATGGACGACATCACCAACCACATCATAACCCACCAACCCCACCTCAAGCGGGGAGGTCTAGTCACCTGTCTCGCTTCCGAGCACGCCTTCCGCTCCTCCAACCGACCGCACACACGAGGGCCTCCAACGGAAGTTCGGGGGTCCAACAACATCCCAGAGTCAGTGGCGGAGATGCGGCAATGGTTATACCCGGCTCTTCGGCGATGACTTTGTGACTAACGGGAAACGTCGGACGAGGAGCTCGTAGGTCTTTTGTCCGACGGCGGGTGGTCTCAGAAAGTGCTCGACATTCGGCGCGAGAGGTGGGCTCATACCGGCGGCGGTGGGGACGTGCCGTATTGAATTGTAGCTCCACCGCCAGTTGGAGTCAACCCGGAACTGGCACCTGTGCTGAGGTCGTCCGTTGAGCATGCGCAGCCTTTCGTTTCTGGGATGCATTCGACAGCCGGAAGTACCTTGGTTTGATGCGACAAAGACCGGCGGCAGCAACAACATCACGCTCGCCGCAACCCACTCATGAAAGACTTGAGGTCTTCTTGTTACGCACTTTCAACATTACGGGGTAAGACGCGCATGCGGCTTGGAGCCCTGGGTCCGACTTTTGAAAAATCAGGTTGCAAGCTATGCTCGCGTTCCTTGCAAACAGATGAATGTGGAAAGGGTCGGGGCCTCGCTCATCAGGAAACCAATCGACCGTAATCTCAAGCCAATCAGTCATCTTGACGCTCATCAGAATTCCGGCTGGGAAAGCCGCCGGTATTTAGTCTCGTTATGTTCAAAATCCCAACGACTACTTACACGGCAAACGCATATGTTTCCTGCTGGCTGCCGGCGAGACGCAACGTCCACCCAATCGCCAGTAGGCGGGCACCCAAAGCTCCAGAAGTAGCCAGTATGCCAGCATACTGTACGCAGCCAGAGTAATATCCGTCGACGGGAACGGGAAGTCCCCGGCCTTTCGAACCATATCCTTCTGTATGTTGCTTCGGGCATAGGGGCATTCCTTCCCATTCCGCGCAGTTTCCAAGCTGACATCTTGGCTCCGTCCGCCTTCCCACATGGAGCGCACATATTGCTCCAAGCGGGAGCCAGCAGCAGGCAACCGACCATCCCAATCTTCCATGCCAAAAATCGCGCATCCCATTCCATTGCGAGATGCAGATTACCTCTCCATATTCGCGATGTCCCCATTCGCCCCCTCAACCCCTTCCATCACGTCGCCCGCACCCTCAGCCTCCGGCTCCTCATAAGGCAACAGCTCATGCACAAGCGCAACCATAGCCTCCTGCTGGTCATCCGAGAACCGGTGCGATCTCGCGTTCGGATTGGCTGGAGGCGGGGGTGCCTTCGAGGTATGCTATTGTCTGGCGAGGTGAAATTCAAGGGTGAGACCAAGAGACGGATAGGAATGGGCACTGTGATCCATACATACCTCCTTCTCAAGCGACCGTACATCATCCAGCGGGTCCTCCTGCGCAAACCCGAAGCGTGCGGGCACGCTCGGTGGGACGTGGTCTTGGTGGACCTCCTTGAGGAAATGGAGGACTTGTGCATTGCTCACTGGAACAGGGAGTGTCGGGAGAACGCGGTAGGTACTGTAGGTCGGCGGAGAGCATTGGGGGGGACAACAGTCACAGTGAGCGGAGCGCAGTTCTACGACTTCCATATGTATGTTCGTCAAGTGATTGGACTGTGCGAGCGAGGTCGGGGGCGGGACGTGTTGTGCTGCTGTTCACAATCCTCTCAGACTCCTCGGGACTCTCAGGACTCACAGTCTCTCACAGTCTGGGACGTCGGAAACGGAACTCTGATCTCCCCCGTCCCATCCCTGTGCAGATTGTCCCGGACCCCCAGCATCATCACCCATGCCATCCCCACCCACCCCCGCACCCCACCCGCATCTCGTCCAAATCTTCCACCGCGCCGACACCGCCCAAAAAGGGCATCTCACCCGCCGCGACCTCAAAGTCGCCCTCACCGGCCTCCTCGGCTGCAAGCCCTCCAAATGGGAACTCAACCACCTCCTCTCCGTCCTGCCCTCCCATGGGGGGGGTGATGATCCACATTCACGCGGGGGCGATGACGTGCGGATCACAATGGAGGAGTGGCTCACGCTCGCGGGCCACAAGACCGCCTTCCGTCCGCTCGCGCTCGCATCCACCACGGACACCTCCACCGTCCGCCACGCGTTCCGAGCCGCCGACGGGGGCTGCCGGGGGTACATCACGCTGGGGGATTTCGCGGCGCTGGTGCGGCGGGTTGCCGGGGGTGCGGTGCCCCGCGGGGTGGTGGAGGAGGCGTATGCGTGTGTCGCGAGGGAGGGGAGGGTTGGGTGGAGGGAGTTTGAGGGGATGATGCGGCGGAGGGTGTGAGAGGTTCTTGGTGATTTTGGGGGGGCCGAACATTTTGTAAGATCCTTAGTTCTCGGAAGAAATGTGATTCGAATGATTGGGATGGGACATGAGTCAGATTCACAAACGTATTATTGATATATGTATAAAGAAAAAAAGCGCGGGGGGGTGCGGTGAACAAGAAAAAAAAATCCTAGTCTTCTCTATCTGTGTCCTATTCATACGCCGCACGAAGTATACGTCGCGAGGGGGGGGTCCTATATACTATACTATCCAATCACTCAATCCCTCATTCACAACAACGCATCCCCCAAGAACGGATCCAGCCTAACTTTCTTCCGTTCCTTCTCTCGCTTCTTGTCATCCTTCTCCTTGCGCTTCTCCTCCTTCCGTTCCTTCTTCTCCTCTTTGCGCTCCTTCCTCTCCTCCCGCTTCTCTTCCCTCCTCGCCGGGGCGGCGGGGGTCACGTTGGCGGGGGGGGTGATGACCTCCCGCGAATCCGCCGACGCACGTCGTTCGTCGATGTACGGGTTGTCGGGGTAGCGGGGGTTGTCGTCGGGGGTGATGGTGTGCTGCGAGGGGAGGGAAGCGGATGTGACGGAGGGGGAGAGGGCGTGGCGGGGGTCGGCTGCTTGTTGCAGGTGGTGTTGGGGTGACGATCGACTGCTGTTGTTGTACTGATGGTACGCCGCGTCATCAGCGTACTCATCTTCATCCACATACTCATGTCCCTGCTGCTGCTGCTGCTGTTGGTCGTCGTAGAAGTTCTCATAGCGGTCGTATTCGTCGGATGTTACCGGCGCGGCGGGTGGGTCGTAGGGTGGGTACCCGTCATCGTGGTGATGGTGTTGGTCATCGTCATACGAGTCCGGTTCGGCCATCCACCGCCTGTTGGGGTTATGCATTCCAACTCCGGCATCGTTCCCCGCGTCGCTGCTCCCATCATGGGAGGCCTGGTCATCGTACCCCATCGCAGCGGAGATATGGTAGTGCCTGCTCTGATGCTGGTCCAGATCCAGATCATACGGCTCCAGCTCGCCCTCCTGCAGCACCGTACTCGCTCCAAAGCGTACGCTCCGGCGCTGTCCGATCTCAAACAACCGTGCCAGCCTCACCCACCGCCGCCGGCGGATGACGCGTTTGAGGGTCTTGCGCGCTTTCCACCCGGACCAGAAATTGTCGCCGTACTCCCACCCGTCCTCGTCGATGAGCTTCTCGCTCTGTTTCGCCATGTCGATGAACCAGGGGCCGTCCCAGTCCCAGGCGTACCGCGTGGACGCCGTGTCGAGGTCCCACATAAAGTCGTCGGGGAGAGGGGTGGGCGTGCCGCCGTTCAAGGGGGTCGGGGACGTGGGGGAGTTGCCGTTACCCGCGGGTTTGACGCCGCCGGAGCGGATGAGTTCGAGATGCTCCTTGTTGAACAGGGGCAGGTCGAAGGAGGATTTCGGCAGGTTGTGGTCGCCATTGATGTCGGTCCACTGTCCGCGCTCCGTGGGGAGCAGGTGCGGGACCCAACCGACGCCGACCCACCAGCGCTGGTTCTCGTAGGTTTCGAAACTGAGGACCAGGTTGAGGGGTTTGCGGTTGGATCCGCGGATGGAGGAGCGGTTGCTGGCGCCGGAGGAGGAAGCGAAGGAGGGGCGGTGGCCGCCGTCGCGGGGGGTGCGGCCGCCGCTGCCCATCCTGGCGGGGTCGGATTGCGAAGTGGTGGAGATGGAGCGGGGCGGGATCATCTCGCGCGGGATGCGGCCGGCGCGTAGCTGGGGTTCCGACATGTTACGGTTTTGGTACATGTGGTCGGTGTCGGATCCCGTGCGGTTCTCGAAATGCGGGCGCTGGGTTCTGAAGTGCGAGTCGATGTGGCTGTCGCTGATACCTGAGGAACCGGTCGATACCGACGCTGACCGGTTGCTGCGGTTCAAGCTGGTGGGCACGGCGGGCCTGAACGTGTCCGATGCGCGGCGGGGGCGGGAAAAGGATCCGTTGGGGTCGATGTGAGGACGCGGTGGGGACGATGAGGAGGATAACGACGACGACGGGCGCGGGGAGGGCGTTTTGTTCATGAAGGAGTTTCGCGGGTGGGAAAGCTCAGCGAGATCGTCGATAGTCGACGCGGACAGGCTGCGGTGGTGGCCCGACAACTCATGCACGCGAGACCGCGGCGGTTCGTCCTCACGATCACTCTCAGCACGTCGATCGGTCCGGCGAGAATCAAAGGGCAGATCCCTCTCCCTTTCCTGCTCAATCTGCGTCTCGTACTCCAAGCGCTCGGAATCAACATCCTCGTCCCTTTTGCGGTTACGGAGCAAACTGCCGTATTTGTCGCGGCGATAATCGTCATCATCACCCGGGAGACCCCAGTCCGGGTGCACGTCGACCGTTACCCCGGATTCGTCAATGTCGACAGGTTCGGGGGTAAGCGGCATGTTGTCCAGTAAACCAGGCGCGTCATCGTCGCCTTTGAGGTCCACAGCAGCACCAGCAGCAGCGATTGGGTCGGTTGAGACCTCCTCTGCGGGCGTCGCTGGTGGTGGGGAGGATGGGGGCGTGCGGCTTGTGACGATCTGCGCGAGACGGGACTTGAGACGGTCTGTGGTACCGTCAGAAGAAGAGACAGAACTTGTTACGGAGTTGGGTCGTTGAACGGCTATGAACTCTTTCGTAGCCGCGACGCTCACGGGCGCTGCGGGAGATAGTCCCTCTGTTTGTGGCTTGGATTCTGTTGTGTTCTGTTCCGCAGCTGGAGCGATGGTGGGTGCAGCAAGTTTACCGTCCACCTCGGGCTCCTCCTCGATGACATCCAATGGTTGATGTGGGATGTCATCGGAAACCGCTTTTCGCTCCTCCAAGTCCACCTCGTCAACCAGCGCAGGGAGTGGCGCGGTAGGCGGCAGGTTCGAGCGCTTCACCGCCGGTGTTGCAGCGACAGCAGGTTTCTTCACAGGGGGAGCAGTTCGCACAGGGACGTTGGACGTAGCTCCAGCGGCGGCAGGTTTGGCTGCTGCAGCAGGCCTAGGACCCGGCCGCACGACCCTTCTCACGGTGGCACCCGCCGGTCCAGCAGCAGGGGCACCGTTCGGGGCGGGGACTCGGCGAACACCTTGCGGTGGTGCAGGTCGAGGGCCAGCATTGCCCATGAGTTGACGGGCAGCGACCTCGCTGGCTCGGCGGAGCGTGATCTCACTTCCAGCCTCCTTGGCCACGACATCGTCTTCTTGTTCGAGGTCCTCCTCGTCGATCCACTGGACATCAAGTCCCAACTTGCGGGTGGTGTCGGTCAGATGCGTGCTTGCAATGATCCTCAGCTTCTGCAGAGGGTCGCTTCGCCACGCAAGGATCAGGACTCCAATCACCAGCAAGATGGGCTTGAACCCAAATAAAAAGGCAACAAAGGCGACGGTCGCCCACAGGATGAGGACCGCACGGAACAAGCCCAGAGAGGCCGATTCGGAGCGACGAGTGAAAGTAAGCAGTCTGGCGACGCTGTCGATCACGTCAACGATGGAGTGGAGAGATGAGGCCATCCAAATAAAAGAGTGAAGAAGCTGCGGGATCGTTCGGGGGGCCGGGCGGGTCCTTGCACCGACGATGCCGCCGGCTCCAGCGGCTCCTAGGCGACGGGCATAAGCGAATCCGAGGCCTGCGACGATCGCCGCGAACACGGTGTGCGTCGTCCAGCTCCATCCGGCTTGGACGAGCAGGCAATAGACAGCGACGGTGAGCAAGGACGCATATGGGTTCTTCCATGTCAAGAGGTAGCGGGCCGTTCGGACGGTGGGACGAACGTATGGCGAGAGACGCTGATCGAGGCCTTGAAGGGAGAGGAGTAGCGAGGTGATATCATGAGCCACTGGGACCGAGAGCGGAGTTGTTCGCACGACGCCGGGACCTGGGACTTTTCGCGGTGCAGGGGTAGCGGCAGGCTTGGGCAGAGGCGAAGCGGGCGGGGTCGGGACGGTGGCGGTAGACGGCTCCGACATTGCGTGAAGCACACCTCGGTGAGGAACTGAGTAAGAGGTGCACAAATGAGGTATATATATAGTCGACTATTGCTGCAATGGAAAGTGGTATGCGCTGCGGGGGGTTGGTTAATGTGGAGGGAAGCACGACGTACGTCCTTGGCTTTGTGGAGGAAGCGACGAGGTTTGGTTGGACAGCGGGTGATGCCGAACAGAGAGTTAAGGGGAGGTTGGACCGCAAAAGGTGTGGGGCTCAGGGGGATTATTACGCCGACGTTGTAAAGTGGGACCTGGGACCTGCAGCCTGGCTATCTGCAGAGGGGAATAATGAGAAATGAGAATCGGGTGTAGCGTTGGAGCCTTGTGGTTGTCTGGAGAGAACAGAAGCTCCGCGATATTACAGGACAATGCACCTGGCATATGGCAGTCCATCAGCCAGTGGGGCGGGCGACAGGAGCCGCAGACCATCCTTCTCAATCATGTTGCCCTGAGTCTTTCCCAGAGTCGCTTCAAGTCCAGAAACAAAGGGGGGTGTGGCTGTCAATCCGCCCCCCGTCGCGCGGTACCAACACTCACATCCTCATTTGATGTCCGTCTGGACCCTGGTAACAGCCGCAAATATGCATTCTGATGGAATAATATTCCCACTCGCAAAATTTGTCTGCGGGCGGACTTCTTGCAACCCCCCCCATTATTTTACATGATGTGATCTCCCCCACTGGACGCACCACGAGGGAAAGATCAGACAAGGGAGAACTTGAGGGTGGTGTGGGAGGGTGGTGTGGGTCCTTCTAATTGACACCCCCATCCCACTTCCCCCCCATTTCTGATCAGCAACCCTCAAGTTAGGGTTTCGTTATTGTACACATACTGTATAGGCGTCACAACTTGCGACTTGGACTTGTGGATTTGGATGAGGATTTGCACACGTGACTGCACGGGTACTCTCGCCATTCTTTTCATTCTCTTTGTTTCCGGTACTAGAAGACTTCTGTCGAGGTGCATCTATCGCAACCACTTCGAGGCGCTAAAGTTATGAACGTGCGGCAAGCCCTTTTCCGCATGCCGCAGTTCAAGTTCCTGTTCTTCACTGTCAAGTTCCTGTTCAGCCGTCTGTGTGCCAGGGGTGCCTGTCTGTCCGGACGGCGGAGCGATGACCTCACAGTCTCTCGCATGCGCGTGTCCAGGATCTCTCCCTCACACAGAAGCGAGCGCAGGTGTGAAGTCATCGCCCGAAAAAGGTGGCTTTCCCCCCCAACCCCAGTCTCCCCATCGGTTCTTCCGCTGCCCTCTTCCCCCCCAAAATGCTCGTTATGAAAAGATCCGTCATAGCTACGGGAACTTTCCATTTCCGATAAACCCCCAAGAACATCCAATCTTCCAATCTTCCAATACTGCCCGGTTCCTCAACACATCCATACTATAACACTCCTCAACTGAACTCGTTCGCCAACCGTTGTATTCCTTCACATTCATACCACAGTAGTATCACCCATCTCCCATCACCCCAAATCCAACCCCCATCATGCCGTCAAACGTCACCCAAACAGCGAAAGAAGCCCTCAACAAGGTGCTCGGCAAAGGAAGCCCTTATTCTTGCACCGTCGGCGATTACCTCCTCCACAGGCTCAGGGAGGTTGGGTGTAGTATGATTTTTGGCGTGCCTGGGGATTTCAATATGGTATGATAGTTTGACACGTGATACTGTGATGTTGTGTGTTTTCGATGGGTTGATTTTGATGGCGTGCTTTGGTGTGCAGGAATTCTTGGACCAGATCGAGGGTAGGTATGCGAGCCGCAAGCGGAGCGAACGTTGGGGATTGTCTGCGGCGGGCAAAGGGAGTGCGGAATGCGACGAGCGAAGCGAGGGTCGGTCTGAGGGCTCTTACCGAGCCTCAGCGCGCGTCAGATCTTTTGTGCGAAGCGAGGACCACATTGCGCCAAAGGCCGCAAGACTCCACTCATCCTAGTGTTTGTTTGTTGATGAGTGGTTGATGGTTGACGTCTATGGTGGATGGGGCTGATGGTTTTGATGGTTGATGCGTTGTTGTGCGGATGAACCAAAACATCTTCACCCCCCTATTCAGACTTTGAAGGCATAGAATGGGGCGCCAACGCCAACGAACTCAACGCCGGGTACGCCGCTGACGGGTATGCCCGCATCAAAGGCATCGGCGCCCTGTGCACCACGTTCGGCGTCGGCGAGCTGTCGGCCATCAACGCCATCGCCGGGTCGCAGGCGGAGCTGGTGCCTGTCGTGCACATGTAAGATCGCATCAACACCCCCTTTTCATTCACCCCCATCTAACACATGTTCTCGAAACCGTTCAGCGTCGGCACCCCCAGCACCGTCTCCCAAGCCGACGGCGCCATCCTCCACCACACCCTCGGCAACGGCGACTTCCACGTCTTCCAAAACATGTCCGTCCCCGTCACCGTCGCCCAAACCTCCCTCGTGCCCTCCACCGCCGCCTCCGAGATCGACCGCGTCCTCACCCAATGCCTCCTCCACCGCCGCCCCGTCTACATCGCCCTCCCCACCGACGTCGCCCTCAAAAACATCACAGGCACTTTCGCGCCCCTCGACCTGACACACACACCCAACCCACCCGAAGCAGAACGCGAGGCGATCTCACACATCCTTTCCGCCATCAAGGCCGCGCAGAGCCCCGCGATCCTGATCGACGGGTGTGCGCAGCGGTTCCACGTGGAGCGCGAGTTGAGACGGTTCATCGACGCCAGCGGGTTTCCGGTGTACGAGGCGCCGATGGGGAAGGGGATCGTGAGCGAGTTCCATCCGCAGTTCCGGGGGAGCTATGTCGGGGAGTTGACGCCCGCGAACGTGAGGACGGAGCTGGAGGGCATGGATCTGGTGATCATGGTCGGCGCGATCAAGAGGTGGGTGTCTGGTATGCGCTTTTTTCGGTTCTCCATTCTCCTCCCCCCCGCGATTCATCACCACCACCGATGATGATGGAATTACAGCGACTTCAACACCGGCGGCTTCACGTTCCACATCCCGCCCGAAAAACTGATCGAGCTCCATTCGACGCACACCACCATCTTCCACGCGCAGTACAACCGCGTCGGCTTCCGCGGCGTGCTCGACAAACTCGCCGAGGCACTCCCCACCCCCAGGCCGTGGGTCCTGCCCCCCGTCGAGCCCGTCGGGACCGTGGGCAAGGAGGGCGACAGCGAGGTGGAGATCCGGCATGATTTTTTCGTATGTTGGACGTTGCGCTTGTTGGGGGTGTCATGGGGAGGGGAGTGGGTACTGACGTGATGTTTGGATATTGCCGCGCAGTGGGACGCCCTCGGGACCTTCCTCGGCAAAGAACCGTACATCGTGGTCGCGGAGACGGGCACGTCCAGCTTCGGCACGAGCACCCAGCGGCTCGCGGACGGGTCGCGATACGTGTCGCAGGTGCTGTATGGGAGTATCGGGTTCGCTACGGCTGGTAGGTCCACATAACATACATAGACCTCATCCTCGCCCCCGCATTTCAGTAACTGATTCGACACACTTGTGCAGCGGCGCTCGGCACCGCCGTCGCAGGCCGCGAACTCGACCGCCCGCTGCGCACGGTTCTGGTCACCGGCGACGGATCGTTCCAGCTCACCGGCAACGAGCTGTCCACCTTCCTTCGCCACAAACTGACGCCGATCATCATCATCATCAACAACGACGGATGTAAGGCAACAAACAACCTTCCTTCTCATTTCCGGCCTGACATGTCTGATTCATCTTATGCAAACAAAAAATGCTAAATGCTAACACCTCCCTCCCTCCCCTCCCCCCACCAGATACAATCGAACGCTACATCCACGGCCCGACCCGCCGCTACAACCGCACCGCGATGTGGTCCTACGCGCAGTCGCTGTCGTACTTCTCCGTCCCGCAGGACAAGGACACGTACCCCAAGTTCGGGCTGCAGCGGCGCGTGGAAGCGAAAAAGGACGTCGTGGGCGTGCTGACGCAGGCGTTTGAGGAGCGCGACAGTATCCATGTGGTGGAGGTTGTGATGCCGACGATGGATGCGCCGCAGGGGATGGTGAGTTACGGGGGTAGTGTTTTGTGAGGGGGTGTGCAGGTGGATGAAACACACTGATGTATATCATATTTCATGTCCCTGAATCCGCAGATAAAGACGGCGGAGAAGGCCCGGGAGGAGAACAAGTATGACGGCGACTCGTAAAGCAACCGCGAGTTGATGCAAGAAAGTTTGGGGTCTTATCGCTTTTGCGCCCCCCCTTTCCGCTGATATGTAGATAGCACCTCATTTGTATCATTCTTTCCCTATTCCTTTTCCTCACCGCTAGCGTGCGTTCACAGCGGTTGTATATGCGCATGTATCTAGCATTCACCGAAGGCAGAAATCAACACCGAGTGTCGTGGCACATCTCATCACCGCAAAAACGGGAACTCACATCCTCCGCCATCTCCAACCACGCAAGTGCCCGCACCGCATCGCAGTTCGCCACACCGGGCGTCTCGTCATGCACCCACGCCGTGAACCGATCGAACGTCGCGGATATCTGCTTCGCGCGGGTGTAGTCCCTGCGTCCGGGCGGCGGCGGGGCGTCTTTGTATATCCGGCCTATTGTTGGGGTGTTTGGGCGTGTTGGTTGATGGGGGCCCATGTTCCGACTAAGGAAAATGACACACACACACACCTTCATACCCGTCCGGCACATCCATCCGGACGCCTAGCAGCCGCCGGCCTCTGAACGTCGAGCTGACCATCGGCCGCCCTTTATCTCCCTGTGCGGTATTATCCCCCGGCTTTTGACTTCTTTCATCGGCGACAACGAAAAAGCGGCTGACGGTCGCGGGGCCCGTGTGGTCGATGCCGAAGGGGAGGCGGTGGAGGTGAGGGGGGGATGGTGCGGTTGGGGTGGAGGGTGGGGCGAGGAGGATGGCGTCGCCTTGGTCGGCGAGGTGGGAGAGCATTTGTCGGGGAAATAAGCGCTGTGCGTCTGGGGAGAGGTGTGTTAGGAGACTGATAGGTGTGTTTGAGTGGACTGTGGTGGGATTGTGAGGACTGGTGAGCGAATGAAGGAGTCTGGAAGTACAGTACGAGGGAGGAGGACGCTTGGGAGTGTTGGGAAGCGAGAAAAGGGGGAGGGAGAGAATGGAGAGCAGCGGTCGGACACGCGCCGTTCGGACATGCGGGCACTCGGCACACTCACAGAGGTGTTCACAATCTCCCCCCTGGTCTCCCTCCACACTCTCTTTCGCTTGCTCCTTTTTGCAGGGTTGAGCGCCCTGTTACAAGAGGTGCAGGCAATCTTTCCGCCATCCCGCTCGAACTTCCCCATCCTCGCATTTCCCACCAACACAAATGACCACCCACGCACCCACCCCCTCCCCACTCACCCGCAAGAAACCAGGCATCCTCAGCAGCAACACCGCCAGCGGTAAGAAACCATCCCCACACACCCCAACGCCGACACCCCTATCCGCCAAGAAACCGAAACCGACGAGCCGCAAGAAGGAGTGGGATGCGACGACGCAGGATTTGACGGCGTTGAAGTTATCGCCGTTGCAGCAGGTGTGTTTGAGCATATGAGGGGGGGGGGGGGGGGGGCGCTTCGAAGCGGACCCCGCAACGACGGATTCATTGTGGGACATCGAATAACATACCCAATGTGAATCCATGTAGAAACTCCGCGCCGCCAACTCCCTCAAATACACCCACTCACACCGGCTCTTCGCCCCAACAACAACCCGCTACACCTTCGAACCCATCGACAGCGATCCGAATCACAAGAGCAGCCCATACCACGCCGACGACATTGAGCTGCAGCCCGTCTCGTCCCGCCGCCATTCTGATGAAAACACAGACTTTGCGGAGAACAAGGATCCAACGACGCCGCTGAATGTGACGCAGACGAAGCATGAGGAGGTGGATTTTGAGACCGAGGTGCAGGTGTGGGAACGGACGCATCGGGCCTTGGCTGAGCACAAACCCTCGCGGTCGGCGGGTACACGAAAAGTCCTGGCTGCCACGACAGATCGACCCTCTGCCGCAGAGCTGAACAGACACGGCTCCCAGAACCGAAACAGGAGCGCTCCCCGCGCACGGAAATCGCCCCCGCACGAGATCCACATCCCCCTCCAGCACCTCCGCCAAGCCACGCTGGGCATGCGGCATCTCGCTGAATCGCTCTCGGCGCAGATCGGGGAGCCCTTTGCGGGCGGCGACGACATTCATGACGATGTCAGCGATCATGATGAGGAGAATAGGTCGGGTGATGTATGTATGTATTGCACGGAGAGCTCGAGAGGGTGGAGGACGTCCGGGGTCGCGGGCAGTGGCTGAACGGGGTGTGTGGTTGGGCCGTGCAGGACGAAAACGCAACGGTGCCAAAACTCGCGGAAGCTCTAGCACTCGTGCGCGACGTGAGTAGTCGTGCGACGCGATATATCGAGAAGGTGAGCGTTGAGGCACAGTTGGCGGAGCCGGGAGGAGAGTGGCGGGACGGACGGGAAAACGGAGATGTTAATCGGTTTTTTTGGGGGGGGACAGCTACAACAAACAAACGATATGCAGACAGACGCCATCCACACACTCCAAGCACGCTGCCAGGCGTTAGAAGCCCGGATTACAGCCTTGGAAAAGGTATCACTCAAAACCATCACACACCCAATCTTCACTAGATATCTCACACACCCCATCCCAACCCTACAGTCCGCGACGGAAACCCACACAACCACCACCGAACTGCACCAGCAACTGAACGAGGAACGCGGGCGGCGTGAACGGGACGTGGGGCGGTTGGAGGAGCTGGTGGGGGTTGTGGTTGCAGCGGAGGAGGGGAGGGCGGCGGATTGGGCTGTTCGGCAGGTTTTGGGGGGTGTGTGAGCGGAGGGGGTGATTGTGGGGCGAGACGTAGGGAATTAGTTGGTTTTTTTTTTTGGAAGGGGTTGTTTAGGATCTTGCGGCGTATGGAAGAGGAGGGAGTGATGCCATGTATCAGAAAATCAGTGAGATGGAGAGTTTAGGCAGTGCTGTTGTTCTTACACACGGGCCGTCTATTACAATTTACAGGCCCCCCTGACATGTGTATGTGCAGTAGACGTATACAAGGCAAAAGTACACATCACACTGGCCGCATGCATGTAGTCCAGTCCATCACGCAGACGAGTCCATCACCGCTGCGGGTCCCAACCATCCTTCTAAAACCCCAAACCACCACACATGGGACCCGGTTCGTGCATATACACACACAACCACGATGTCAAGTTCCCTCGCTCTCTCACCGTCCCTACTTCCCACTCCCCAGCCCACCCCCACTCCCCACATCGCCCAAACTCGCCTTGAAAGCCCGTCTAACCAGCTTCAAAAACGCATGAAAGTCGCCCGTCTGCGTCAGGAACTGGACCAAATCCGCCATCGACGTCGGCTGTGGCGCTGTCGTCAGCTGTTGTCCCGCTGATGCTGTATTCGTTGACGGTGTCGTTGGTGCGGGGAGGGGCGGGTTGCATGATATGACTGCGGGGGGTTTGAGGAGAGGGGGTGAGCGAAAGGGGGATATGTGAGGGGGAAGATGGTTTTCGAGAGGGGATAAGAGCGCTTACCCTGGTACCGCCCGCGATGCAGGTCAAGCGTGAAGGTGAATTCCTGGTCCCAGTCATTCGGGTTGATGTGCGTGAAGATGAATTCAAGGACGTCGTCTGATCGTAGGAAAAACACATTGTGGGGTGAGTGGACGGACAGAGGCGGGCGGCCGGGATCATCGCAACTTCAGAAAAGGGATGAAATGGAATACATACTCTCGATACTCCGCACCTCCATCGCGAGCTTATCCTCAAAACACTCCAGTTCCGGGCGGCTCTTGCTTTGTTGCTGTTCGCGGGCGAGGCGGGTTCTGTTCAATTCTATCAGTGGGGACAAAAAAGCGGCACATCAATATTCTCGCTCAACGAAGAAAGGCTTTTCGAATTCCCTTTGTTTCTTTACCTTCCTTCCGCCGCCGAATCTCATCCCTCCGGTCGCGAATCCGCTCAAGCAGGTCTTCACGCACATGGTCGCGCTCATCCCGGCGCTGCTGGAGGTTGGCGAGCTCGGTTTGGATCTCGAGTGTTTCTTGACGTTCGCGTTCTTGGGCTGAAAAAGTCATGGAGGTGTGTGTTAGCGGCAGGCGCGGAATGGAGAAAGAGGATTGGGGATAGGAGATTTTCTTTTCGGAACCTTACCTCGTTGTAATTCAGTCTGCTTGCTTTTGAGTAGCTCGATCTGCCGTCTTAGCTCTTCCTCCGATTCTACACATCCATACCAAACAGAAAACAATAATCAGCACCCGCCACCCTATTTCCCAATGGTCCCTCTTTCTCCCCAAAACAACCCATCCCCCAAATCCACAAAAACGCACCTTTCATCCCCTGACACCTCTCCCCAAACCCCCTCCTAACCTCCCCCACCGCCCTCCTCTTCTCGCCCACCCACGCATCCACCTTTCCCACAAACGCTGTACACCGCGCCGCCAGTTCCGCAATCCGCGCTTCCGTATCTCCATTCCCTCCTGCCTCCTCATTACTCCCGATGGGCCCGGCGGCGGCGGCTACCACTGAATGTTGCGCTAATGATGATGAGGCGGTGGAGGACTTGGATTTGGCCATGTGGTGCAACGCCGAAGGCGCGAGGGAGAGCCGGGCGAGGGACTTTGTGAGCAGGGTTGTGGATGTGGAGTGGGAGGGCGTGGGTGCCGGGGGTGGGTAGAGACTGGACATCGCTGGGATTGAATTTGTAGTTTTGGACGGGGATTTTGCGGGTGTCAGTCGAGGCAGGTGGGTGATGTAGGATGGTGAGTAGGATGGCTGATAGTGAACTCGGACTGGGGGCAGGCAGTTGCGAGGTCGTTTTGGCGGACTTTCGGGAGTGAGCTGGGTCCGGGTCGTAGGGGGCCAAGCGACGTTGAGCGAGCGCTCGTTGCTGTGGCTTTTGTTACGGGGCTCGAAAGTGCGAGAGACGAAAGAAGCAGAGGGGATCATTCATCTGGCCGCGTCAATCAAGACGTTCGGACACGCGTTCAGGTGACTCGCGCTTTCGGACTTCTCTCCACCTAGCTCCACCTCATTCAACACATCCCCGAGAGGCCGAATGCTTGGGAGTGCCTCACGTAAGCATGTGAGTCATAGCATGCGGGATGGATCGGAGGGAGGAGACGAGGCTCCCGGTCTTTCCCGCATGGGAGATGGGGCGCGTTGTGGCGGTGAGGACTCGCCTTCTCGTCTCTGCCGGAGAAGCGCGCGCCAGAAACGAGAAAAAAAGGTTCAAAAAGAACCAGGCCAATCCCATAGCAACAACCGCACATCCACTACCCACAGCGGACATACCCAGCAAACGTCCTTCAGTTCCCTAAACGCACTCCGCAGCGGCATATCCTGCTCCTCTTATTGCCACCCCCTGCCATCCTTTCGGAAGTCAGCCAGCCCATACGCTTCAACAAAATCTCGCCTTCGCAAGTTGACTTACAGTCTCGGTTCCACCGTGAAGAACTTCCGACTCGGAGTAATTTGCTGCCACCTCGTCAGGAAACCCAGCACCGCATACCCTTTCTGAACCCGAATACATACTTTTCGGGTATCTCTTACGGTACTAGAGACGCTTGGAACGCGAAGGCCCGGTGCGAATTGCAGCAGCCCCAACAGTCCGTCGCGTCATTTCTTCGTTCCGTTGCGACAGGTTACAGCCACCGCGAGGTCATTTCGAGATATCGCTGTCTTTCCTAACGCCAGTCATCTCGAACAAAACCAGCAATCGTCCCTACGAGTTCCCAGAAACCGAACTTCACTCCGCAATATATTCAAACCACCACTATGAAGTTCGCCGAAAACCAGTATCTCTTCTCGCATCCGTTCGCGACATTAACATCAGCCAACTGGCGCAAATACCCCAACGAATACTCCCATCATGTCCTCTCAGTCGACACGATATCACGAGACATCGACCCAAAAACCGGCGTCCTGCGATCAGAACGTCTCGTCTCAGTCAAGCAATCCGCACCAGCACTCCTGCGGCGACTCTGCCCCATCATCCCCGAAGTAACCTACTTCCGCGAAGTCTCCTTCCTGGACGTGCGGCGGGAGCGGTACACCGCGATATCCAACAACCTAACCGCCCGCAGCATCGTCGACGTGGAGGAGACGTGCGAGTTCACCGCCACCGACCACCCGGATTCGCCGGAGGGCGGCACCGTCTTCCGCCAGCGCGCGGCCGTCTCAGCCATGGGCGCTCTCAGCTACGTTGCGAAACTGGTCGAGGAGGCGGCCGTGTCGTCGTTCAAGGCGAATGCCTGGAAAGGCCGGCTGGGACTCGAGACCGTTGTTGACATGGTTGTGGAGGAGGCGAAGGAGATTGAGGCTGGGTTGAAGGAGGGCATTGAGGCGTCGATAGAGGGGTTGAGGAAGGGCTCTGTGGGGCTGTAGAGAAAGTCGACTAGCACCCCTTTCGCCGTGTTTGAACCGCCGAGCAATTTCGATCCCAGACTCACACCACTCCCCATACGGATCATTTTTTTTTGGAAAACCCACACCAACGCGGAAACACAGCAGTGCATCGAATCTTCCGTGCTGTCCTCATTTCTGGCGCAAACACTACCCGACATCCGTGCCCAACATACCCCCGCCCTCGTGTCATCACTCTGCATTTGCCTTGTTTATCTATCTGACGGGAGATTACCCACCCATATCATGCATTTCGCTCCCTTTGTTTACGGTTTCATTTCGGATGTATTTAGATTGGGATTAGCTAGGGATGAGTCCATATGTGTATGCTTATTCGGGAATGAAAGACTTCTGGAGTAGCAACATTATTGTCTGGTCTTTTGCTTGTGCTGGTGCAGCGGCGGCCCGAACGCGTCTGAGTTTTCTGGACCTGCTTTCTTGCTGGCTTTCTTGCAACTCATCTTGGCAAAGTAAACTAACCTCACCCTACCCTCACAATGCCGCCCACCGAAACCGAAACCGAGGCCGCACCAGCGGCATCCAGCGCCCCACCGCACGGTAAGTCGCTTGAACCCTCACTGCTGCTCCCTCGCAGAGGTCGACGATCTTACTCATTCTCCCACGTCCAAATTTGCAGAATACCCACCCCACCACCGCTTAAAAGATCTCGCCTACTTCAAAAACCATCTCACCCTCATGCCCGCCCACTACACCTCTGTCGATATCAGCAGGTACCTCAAATAATCCCATCCCCCTCTTCGCTCTCAGAACCCAAATTCATGTTATGTTTTTCAGAATGACGTTCGCATTCTTCGCCCTCTCCGCGCTGGATCTCATGTCCGAGATAGGGAATTTGGATGGAGGGGTGAAGCAGGGATGGGTGGAGTGGATTTACGCGCAGCAGATTTGTGATGATGGGGGAGGTATGAGATGCACGTTGAGGGAAGGGCCATGGATGATGAGGGAAGGAGGCTGAGGGACACTGGGGTGTTTGTTAGGCACGTTGGCACGCTGCGGCTTCCGCGGGTCGCCCATCGCAGGGGCATCGTTTGGGGTGAGTTGACAACATCAAAAACGGTGGGTCTGTTATGCCCTACCCGCAACGTCCTACATCAGACCACTCATCACGAACACTGCTGATGGTTGGCGTAGACGAACAGCTCGATACATGCTCATGGTGCAGCGCATATCACAATGACCTACACCGCGCTTGCTTGTTTGTTGATATTGGGCGATGATTTGGGGAGGGTGGATGTGAATGGTATCGTCGGGGCGCTGGCGTTGTTACAAGTTGATAGCGGCAGGTGTGTTAAAACAAAAAGCCAACTCCCATTTCCACCTCCAAAATGTTGATCATACTAACCACATGATCTGATCCCCCAGTTTCAAACCAACCCACGACTCCGACCCAATTGAATCCGATATGCGGTTCCTCTTCTGCGCCTGCGTCATCTCCTTCCTCCTCAACGACTGGCGAGGGGTTGACAAAGAGAAAGCTATATCATACATCCTCGCCTCCCAGGGACACGATGGGGCGTTCGGCCAAGGGCCCGGGTTGGAAGCGCATGGTTCGTATCGTATCCTTGTTAGTTGCTCATTCCGTTTTCGATTGGATGTTGATGATGATATTGACTGTTTTCTTTTGAAGGCGGTAGTACCTACTGCGCCCTCGCATCCCTCTCCCTCCTCTCCTCCCTGGACCGTCTCCCGAACCGCGTAGCCTTAACCCACTGGCTCGTCCTCCGACAACAGGAGGAGGGGGGGTTCAATGGGCGCCCGGGGAAGGATGCGGATACGTGTTATGCGTTTTGGGTTGGGGGGTCATTGGAGGTATGCGTTGTATCACCAAGAGGGGAGGTTTTTTTTGGGGGGGGGGGGGGGGGGGGGGGGTGGTAACTAATCTTTGGACGGGTGTAGATTCTGGGCGCGTATGATCTGATCGACACGGAAGCACTGCACACGTTCCTGGACTCGACACGGAGCAAGTATGGTGGGTTTGGGAAAGCTGTTGAGAGTTATCCCGGTACGTCCTCCTCGACCCTCATCATCCCCACTTCCTCGTCCCCGTACGAACAAACTAACATCTCTTCCTGTGATGTGATCTAGACCTGATGCACGCAAACATGGGCATAGCAGGCCTAAGCATCATGCGCGTCCCCGGTCTGCAACGGATCCACGTCCCGACGGCGATGACAGCGCGGACGGTCGGGAGGTTGGAGGGGTGTGTCCCTTGGAGGAAAGGAAAAACAGTACGAGATGGAGAGACGAGCTAATGGGAGGAGGGGGGATTCGTTGGTGCTTGTACATATAAATAGATTCTAGAAAGGAATGCTTTCAGGTGGGGTATGTGCGGTTGTCCCAATGACAGTCAGGGGCACGAGGGGGAAATGCCCATGGGCGAGAGAACGATGAGGTGTAACGTGCCTTCGAAACAACACTCTTTTTTATACATTTGAGGGTGCCTATCTTGAAACAACCATAACAATGCCCAAAAACAGTATCACAAACCTGTACGTCCTCCCAATCCCCACAATCACCACCATCTACATACCCGCCGTACACGCCGTACACCTACGATACATCCCACAAAACAATAAAAGCTATCTATCCACCGGCTTACTTCCTCCGTCGACCTGTACGACCCTCCCCTCCTCCTTCGCACTCCTCAACATCGCCTCGATGATCTGCACGTCCTGGAGGGCTTGGGTGGGGGATAGGTCGGGCAAGCCTGGAGCGGTGCTCTTCGCTGTGTTGTTGTTGAGGGCCGATGCAAAGACCTCGAATTCTCTGTCGAGGCCGTCGGCTACAAACGTCTTTGTTGTCGTTGTCGTGTCTGCTGATGAAGACGAAGTGGAGGAGGGCGTCCACACAACCCTGAACCCCCTTCGCGGTTTGGCTCCGGTGTTGTCCGGAGTCGACACCTGCTCGACTGTGAATTCAAGGAGGCCTGTTTCGCAGATGACGGTGAGGGAGAGGTGGAAGGGTTTGCCGGCGGATGCGAAGGAGATGTTGATTGTTCCCGTGGGGCGCGTTGTGGGTGGGTTCGTCGCAGTGGTGGGACGTAGTTGGACGGTAGCGGCGACGAAATCGGTGGGCGCGCAATAATCGAGCCAGAGGCCCCCGAATGCGGCCACACGGTCGATTTCCCATTTCGGTGTTGTAGCATCAGCGGTGTGGATGGGCACACCCCCGACATCCCCGCCCGCGAGTACACCCCTCAGCAGCGCGATCCAGTGTACGCCGCCGTCGAGGATGAATCCGCCCGGCAGCACCGCCGTCTCGTTACCGGTCCGCCACCCCGTCCGCACATACTGATTGTCCTCCCTCGTTTCCACAAACACCTGCAACGCGAACGTGCGCACTTTTCCCGCGCCCTGCGTCGCGATGAGATCCGCGGCGTGGGCGATGGCGGATTCGCAGCGCCAGTTTTCTGCGATTTGCCAGACTGGGGGTCGAGATACGGTTGATTTGTGGGCCTCGTATTGGAGGATGGCGCCACGGGCGGAATCGGAGGTGGGGGCGATGGGTTTCTCGCTCAACACGCTTTTCCCGCTCTTCAGAGCTTGCAGGGCCACGTCGAGCTGGACGCGGACGGGGAGGCAGATTGCGACTGCTGTGATATCTGTGCGGTTGAGGAGGGCTGTTAGATCGCCGGATGATTTCACACTCGCATTATCGTCATCGTCGGAGGTCGTATCGCAGTAGAGGGCCGGGGTAGGGTGTGGGTAAGACGAGGGGACGGCGGCGTGGAGGGTTTGGGCGGAGGAGTGGGAGCGGCTGTAGATTGCAACGAGGCGGAAGAGGTCGGGGCGGCGGAGGAGGGTGGGGAGGTGGGATTGGCGGGCAAAAATGCCGGCGCCAAGGAGGGCGATTGGGATTGGGGTGGAGGGCGGAGTGGACATTTCCGGGAAGCTGGAGGAGGATGAGTAGTATCAGAACGAGATGAGTATCTGGGTATGCGTTGGGTGAGAGTCGAGAGACGGGAAGAACGGGAGTGTGACGCTGGCGACTTCACACTTCGAGCATCGCGTCTCCGGAGACTCCGAACGGATCAAAGGGGATTTGGAGACTTCCCGTGCGACGACGACAGCGACAACGACTGCGGCCACTGGCAACCCCTTCTTCCTTCGCAAGTTCCGTCGTCGCTCACAGAGGCTTGAAAAGGGGGCTTGCGTCTCGGTTGTCTCTCACTCGCCCCTCACACTCGCACAGGTATGTCTGTCTGTCTGTCTGTCTGTCTGTCGTCCTTCGGTTTGGAGTGACTTTTCGCTCACCCTTTTTGACGTTCCCAATCTTTGACAGCTACCATCCCCGGAGCAGACGGTAACGACAATGACCAACCTTCTCGCGAAAACCGTCCTCAGCCTCGAGGTCGGCGAGCTCAACCTCATCACCCTCGCCTGCCTCGCCGGCACGCTTCTCCTCGGCCGTCTCCTCTTCTCCTTCCTCCACCTCCTCTACACCATCACCCTCCGCCCGCGGGCCGATCTGTCAAAGTACGGCGCCAAAAAGGGGGCATGGGCCGTCGTCACGGGCGCTTCCGACGGAATTGGCAAGGAGTTTGCAGTTCAGCTTGCGAAAGCAGGGTTCAATCTGGTTATCTTGGCTCGCACGGAGAGCAAATTGGAGACGGTTAAGAAGACGGTGGTAGAGAAGTATGCGGTCGAGTGCAAGGTTGTGCCGTTTGACTTTGCGAAGGCCACTGAGAAGGAGTATGAGGGCTTGAGCGGCACTTTGGCTCCGTTGGATGTCGGTGTCCTTGTGGTATGTATGCCTATTCACTTGCTTTTTTTGTGTCACTTACTCGATTTTAGCCTGACACTTTCTAATCCCTCTTACAGAACAACGTAGCGGTAAACCACGAATTCCCCACCCCCTTCGCCCTCGAATCCGAGTCCCTCCTCGCCTCCATCGTCGAAGTCGACGTTGCCGCCCAAGTCCGCCTCACCCGCATGCTCCTCCCGCACCTAACCAGCCGCTCCCAAACCAACCGCAAAAACGGCGGCCTGATCCTCAACGTCGGCTCCGTCGCCGGCCTGATCCCCTCTCCCTACCTCGCCACTTACTCCGGCGCCAAAGCCTTCCTCCGCACCTGGTCCCGCGCCCTCGCCGTCGAATGCCGCCAGCACAACGTCCATGTCGAGCACATTAAAACCTACTTTGTGTCGACTGCGATGAGCAAGATCCGGAAGGCGTCCCTGCTTGCCCCGACACCCGCCACTTACGTTCACTCGGTCCTTAGTGGGGCGGGGAACTCGGCGGATAGCGCGTCGTACCCGCCTCATGCCATCCTTACCTGGGCCTTGGAGAACCTGGTCCCGGAGTCGATTGCTATTGAGAAGAGCGGGGATATGCATTTGGGATTGAGGAAGCGGGCGTTGAGGAAGAAGGAGAGGGAGGCTAAGGCTTTGTAAGGGGGCGGCGCGACGCCTCCTGCAAAACACAATCTTCAAACCTTACATTCACAACGGCGTTCATCTTTCTTTTCATAATATGCGTCTGTAGCTTGCATATGGCGTAATATCATACTTCTTGCGTAATATCGTAATCTGTATCGTAATATCATACTATCATACTCCTTCTCGTATTCGGAGCCTATGATTGAGGAATCGCAGCTCCGATGCCGGATATTTCAAGAGAGCCGCTTTCGAAACCCAACGCTTTCAATCGAACGCTGCCATGAAGACACGAGCGAGTACTCGAAGCCCTTTATCCACATGACCGCTGGCCGCCTGCCCCTCATATCTCCCCAAACTCTTTTACGATAGTCGGAAATAACGGAGAAAGAACCGATTTGGAGTGGGAAGTGGACTGGAATCCACGAGCGCCGTTCGTTTTTGCTGGCCCACCTCTGATCCACACGAAGGCGTACATGGACGCATGGCAGGGGTACATGTCAGTGTGAGCGCTGCAGATGCCAATTGACCGGGAGGGTTCTTGAGAAGGCACTGATGGCATCTATTCTACGGATGGATCCTTCGGGTGAGGTGCCCTGCAGACTAAGAAAAGGAGGGTGGCCCGCGCTGTCGATTTTCTGTCATTTACTCAGCATGCATGATGCCAAAGAAGCAACCGCTATGTACTGTATATGGAGAGGAAAGCACTGGCTAGACGCAGTACAGTCTATACTGCACCGTTACAGTTCGCCGGGCGATCTTCGCAAGACAGTGAGTCGTTTTCGATACCCGGGAATGAGGTGGATGCACACCAGCTAAAAGGGCACTCTTCAACCCTTGAATGAGGACTTTCCAATCTCACTCATGTACGAGCCATCCCAGCAAGTTGCGACCAGGCTCACTCCTTCTTCACAACGTGAACCGGCAGCGCGTGGCCCCGCCATCCCGCACGTTTCCCCACGTCCCACCCCGACGTGAATCATCTCCCAAACATCCCCGTTCTGTCGGGCGTTATGGATCCTTGAGACTTTCCGCAATCGCAGCCGCCTCTGCTCGGCTGATTCAGCGCGTCCGACAGGGCACGGACAGAGGATGTCACGAATGTTTCGGACCAGCGAGGACACACCGGTCTGCTTTGCCCCGGGAAGTCGGCGAAGGTGATGGTACTTCCGAAAGGTGTTTCGAGACCCGCAGCACCGCAAGAAGCCACTTGAGAAGCGCCGCGTCTTCCTTAAGGGGGTTCTGCCCCTCCTTCCTCCGCTTCTGGGATGGAGGAAATTAAGAAAAGGGCGCATCATTTTAGATGCATACGGAAAGCCGGAATCGTAGAGCATCAGCCGCAAGCACTCCATCCCACGTCAGCGTGCCCGATATATGCCTCGGTGCAGGGCCGCTCAATATCTGCCTCGGTGCAGGGCTGAACGCTGAGATGTGTGTGGGCGGGGCGCCTGGATACTGCAGGTCCAGGAAGTTGTAAATATGTGTTTGGACGTATGAAACAGGGAGGAAGAGATTAAAAAGCTGAAGAAAAACGGGAGAATACAGATAAAGATGGACAAACAAGGGTTGCTATACATACTTGTAGTAGTCTCATAGCGGTGGTCATGATGCAATAGCAGTCGTAGTGTTCTCTTCTGCAGAATTCCAGGTCTTCGCCAAGTTCCCTCCACGGTCTGTCGACCTTGGGTACAAGTGACTGAACCGAAATGGGAACCACCCGCTTCTTCACAAAGACTCGCTTGGTATGCGGAAAGGAATCCAAACTCCGACGTCAAGAAGGCAGAATCCAGCTTGCTCCATATCGGTCCCGGGGTACACCTGTGTTGTATATCCGTCCATAAGCAAGTTCTTGGGTGTCCAAGAAGTCGTACTTGAAGAGAAAACAATCTTTGGTGGTGGACAGCGTTGGCTCCATATCTTCCAGGTCAGGAGGTAGCTGAGAATGTGTGGAAGGGACAGGAGGGCTACGAGATATGGGATCCGGAATAGGAGCTCCGGCGGTAAGCGTTCGTGCATCGGACTTGTACTGTAGATCTAGATGGGCAGAGATCCATTTTTGGAGGACAGTCTGTATATGTAGTTCGCAGATGTTGAGGTGTGGAAGGGCAGTGAATCTGAGGATGTTCCTAACGTTTCTTCCTCTTATGGATGGAGAGCTAGGTTTCGATGGTGTCTTGTGTGCAAAAATGTGACAGCGCGACTGGCTCTTGCGTAATGACAGTATCAACTTACGGATTACGGAGAGCGTCTCTCGCCAAAAGCATTGCATGTTTCTCGTACTGTATTACTCGCATTGAAGCGCTCAGACACTAAGTTCGAAGAAAGCGTCAACGATGCCAGAGCACATGGTAGGTAATACCCAAACTTCACCGCTCTCTTCGACCCGACTCCGACTAAGGGCATGCATTCCAGTGCGACACCTCCACCTTTGGCGTCGCAGACGTCCGCACGCTCAAAATTCTGCTCACCTCCCCGGAGCAGCCGGTCTGCGTGGCAGCACTGGATGCGTTGACAAAGTATGCTGAGGGTGGTAGGTTGCCGGCGCGAGAATTAACGCTTCGTGAAGCTGTCTACTTACGACAATGGGTGCTTTGATAGCAACAAAACACCGGGTACAGCTCCTGGGCTTGGGCATCATCGACCCGTTGTTGACGCTGGTGCGGTCGTCGGATACGGCGATTAAGAAATCGGCTATTGCCTGCGTAGCTGCGACTACCGAGTTGAGTGAGTGAGTGATGCGATGTGATGTGATTGTTATTGACAGCGATGGGGGGGGAAATGTTTTTGGGCGGACGGGGGACATGCACATTTCATGTAGGGCTGCTCACTGACTGTGACATCTCCATCCCGTTCGCTACTATGCAATCCATAGCATCAGATTTCCACCCCGAACTCCGCCGCAAAGACCTTATGACAACGCTCATCTCGCTGCTCTCGCACGACCAGCCGCCCGAAGTGCAAGACGAGGCCGCGTTCGGACTCGCTAACCTCGCCAAAGACTGTAAGCTCATAATTCCAATGCTCATTTTCACACCGCTAACACGCATGGTTGGTTAGTCGCAAACAAAACCGCCATCCGCAACGCAGGCGGGATCAAAGCCCTAGTCCATCTGCTGGACTCGGCTGACCCGGATGTGAAGAAGATGTCGGGGCATGCATTGGCTGTTATGCTGGAAGATTGTAAGAGGGTTTGAAAACTTTTTCCCCGACGGCGGCCCGTAAAGTCGCAAGGTGCTCAATTCGTGGATGGTTTTATACAGTCGCAAGCCGCACAGAAATCCGCTACGTCCACGGCCTAGCGCCTCTCCTCGAACTGCTGGCGTCGGAGTACCAAGAAGTACAGGAGCATGCGTTGAACAGCCTTATCCGGGCCGCCGAAGACCGTGCGTATCACCATAGCGACTGGTTTTGCCTCATGAAGAATGAGAACTGACATTGAGTTTGTGAATGGAAAATTTCCAGCCGGCAACCGCGTCGAAATTCGCGAAATCAACGGCGTCCGCCGCATCATCGATTTCCTCACACAGGACGTCCCCGAGTTGCATTACCTGGCATTGATGTGTCTTGCGAATTGTTTGGAGGATGGTGGGTTATGCGTGGGCGATTTCCATAACGAGAACCATTGTAACACGGGCTCATTGTGAAAACACACAGTCACGACAAGCAAATCGATCTTCGAGATGGGTGGTTTATCGGCGTTGGTAAAGTTGCTGGGGGCGGAGGATGTACGGACGAAACGGAATGCGGCGTTGACGCTCTCCAAAGCTGCGCGGATTGGTAAGGCTTGCCATGCGCAGAGAAATGTCGGTCTGCCTCTTTGCTCTTGCTCGGAAGCTTACAATAACGCTTTTGGGACACCTCAGAACGAAATCAAATTCTCATTCGCGATGCCGGGGCTCTCCCCGCGCTCCTATCTAATCTCGCGCACTCGGATGTACTCACTGCGAGTAACGCCGCGTTGGCGTTGGCGGAGCTTGGGAAGAGCGGTGAGTGGGTAACTCCAATCCCCGGGTCGTGGGTGGGAGAGGATGACAGACAAGAGGGGCCTGGGGAACAAACACTGGAATAAAATGGGAGTGAAAGTGACTGATTCAACGATCATTTTCACAGAAACGAATCAGCTGGAATTGGGCAAGCTTGGCGCGCCGGAAGCGCTGATCAAGAATGTATCGCATGACGATGTGGAAGTGCCGCGGCAGTGTGCGGCAGCGCTGGCGAGTTTGTGCTTGAATGGTGAGTCGTTGAGCACGGGTTGATATGACTCGAGCTCCATCAAGAGTTGTTAGAAGTCTCACGTATCATTATGACACATAGCCAAGATAAGAACGCGAATCCGCAACCTCGACGGCGTCGGCGGGGCCGTACGTCTGCTTGGGTCCGAGGACGTGCAGACGCTCGTCAATACGTGCGAGTGGATCGCTAACTTCACTGACGATGGTAAGCCCTACTGTTTTCCTCCGGTGTCATTCCTTCCCCCATCCGACACGACGCTTGATCGAACGTGCGTGCTCATACCAATTTGCATATGCAGAAATCATCCGGGCAGAAATGGTCAAAGCCAACATCGTGCACTCCCTCATGATGGTGCTCTCCAGATCCGATCCGAAGCTGCAGAGCGCCGCGGCGATGGCGTTGGGGCGTTTGTTGCAGGATTGTAAGTATTTTTCGCCCAACTCGACTTACCGTCCAGCAGCAGGGTGCTGAAAGAACAACCCCTATACCAAACAGCTGAAGGCCGGTTTGCACTGACCCGCGAACCCCCCGGAAGCGGTCTGCAGCGCATTATCGAGCTGATTGCGTCGAAGGACCATGCGGTGTGTAAGAGCGCTGCTTATGCGCTGTCCACTGCAGCTTTGAACGGTATGAGAGATACGATTTGGAAGGGAGTTATGTATAAGATGGCTGATGTTGATTTTCTGGTGTAGATTCGATAGCGCAGGCGGCGTGCAGGTCGGGTGCAATACAAAACTTGTTGGAGTTTTCGCGAGATCCGGCTAGGCATGCACCGAAGTTCGCTAAGGATGCGCTGGAGAAGCTTCTGAACTACCGTAAGTGACCAGACATGAAAGCAGTCCCATGACCTATCCACGGTTGAACCACGGAACCAACAATGACATCTCTTCGCAGACGTCTCCGCTAAATTCTGGCTCTGCGACGAGCTCACCGCCGCCAACCTCATCACGGACGGCTTCTACGACATCGGCTCAGCAGGCACGCACCCCACCCTCCCCCGCTCCTTCCCGCTCCTGCAGGAGCTCAAAGACGCACCCCTCGACAAACGCCGCGAGATCCTCCTCCTCGACTCCACCACCGACCCCTACCTCGCAGGCCTGGTCTCGCTCGTCTCCTCCGAAGGGCCGCTGCACGCCCGCACGCCCCGACAGCAAATCCGTCAAATCGCATCAGTGGTCGCGCAAGTCCTCGGCGGCCCCGCGCACGACGTGTCGAACCTGCAAGCGCAATCGTACAAGTTCAAGATCACGGAGCTGAAACTCAAGCTAGGGTCGAATGTCGTGCCGCTGGGGAGTGTTGCGCAGGGCACGTTTTACCACCGCGCGTTGCTGTTTAAGTATGTGTGTGATAAGGTTGGGTTGGCGCCTGTGACGCTGGTGAGGGGGGATTATGGCCGGGCGTGGAATGTTGTGGATGTGAGCAGGCAGACACTGGCGCCGCCGAGGGTGGCGACGCCTGCAGCTTCTGCGGCGCCGAGCACGCCGTCAAAACTGGAAAAGCCGGCCAAGAGCGCGCGCACGCGGGAGAATGCGGACAAGACGAGCAAGGATAAGGATAAAGACAGGGAGAAAGACAAGGAAAAAGATGGAGCGGGAGGCGGGGGAAGTGGCGGAGCTAATGCGGCGGGTGGGATGGCGGGCTCGGGAACACCTTCAACAGCTACCGCTCAAGGGCCGCAGGTAACGCAGCCGACGACGCTGGTGCCAATCGTGATACCCGAACCTGTCGCAGATGAGGCACCGCTGTCGGAGGAGAAGACAATTGTAGATCTGATGTTTGTGCCAGGCCGATTGATGTTGATCGGATCGCCCGAGGCGGATCAGTATCAGCGTTTGACCTGATATCTTACTGTTTGAAGACGTAAGGCGAACTGGCTTTTTCAGTATGTATTCATCACCACATGTTAAGTAATGTTGAGAGACAGATACACTGACAGGGGAGCGCTGAAGTCTTACTTCTTTGAGGGTGCATCCATCATATCCATCATACTTTGTTTCCATCATGTTTCACAACCTGGTCTCGAATGACGAGGGCGGCGGCGGAGTGCTAGCGTAATCTGAAATTGACAGCATAATGACGGTTCCTGTCACTGAACCAAAAAGCTCTTGTGCCGCACAACCTCCCGCTTCATGGAATGAGCACTCCCCCATCCAGTCCCCAACACATATCCGCAGCACCTCAAATGCCCGCACCCATGACCGACTGGGACTCCCCACCCCCCCGCCGGTCCCTGCCCGACCGCTGCGCCGACGCCCTCTCCACCATCGACGCCATCGAGCTCGCCGCCCTCGAAGACCACTACATCACCTCCAACCTCACCACCATCTCCCACGCCAAACCGCTCTACCATCCCTCCCAGGGCCTCTTCACCCACTGGCAGCCTGAAGGCGCCGTGATCCTCGGCAGCGGCAGCGACGTCGATACGCTTATGTTCCGGAAGTATGCGCACACTATCGGACGCGGCGTTGCGGGCGCAGAGTTGAGCGAGAGGGAGATGTGGGATGCGGTGGAGAGGTATAGGGGTGTGTTGGAGGGGATGGAGTACCCAGCGGTTGCGAGGTGTGTGTTTGAGGAGATTGAGGAAGGGTGGGTGAGGGAGCAGGAGGGGTTGGTTGAACTCGGGTTTGAGATTGGTGGAAGGGACGAGGAGGTTGAAGGTATGTCGGCATAAATTGCTATGCACTTGGGGGGTTTTGGGCCTAGAAAAGCGATGCACTTTCGGGGTTTCGCACTGTGTCTCACCGAGGTTCATAGTCATCCCCATCTTCTCGGCAGCACCACCCCCCTCCGCCGCGCGGCACAAACTCTCCTACGGCATCACAACCTCCCCGCAACGCAAAGCCGCAAAAGACGCATGGGTGTACCGGCTCTGCTCCAAAACCTCGTCGCGCCAGACGACGGCCGACCGCCGCCTGGCGCAGGAGCTGAGGGAGAAGGAAGCGGAGTTGAAAGCGATGCAGGAACGGGGGTTTCATGCGAACCCGGTGCCGGTTTCCTCAAAGGAACCAAAGTTAGTGCTTTTCAGTCACAACCGAATTTGATGGGGTCTTTGGAGAGTAAGGCTGACGAGACCCTCCCGACGTCAGATACGAAGCCCTCATGGCCCACCGCGGCACCAAATCCGCCCTCATGCGTCTCAAATCCACGAAACACCGCCGGCGCACCCACTCCTCCTCCCTCACACCACCTCCCAAAACCCCCACACCATCCTCCCCCACCCCTGTTTCCCCCGCAACCCTCCGCTCCCTCGCCACCGCGCGGGCCTCTGGCCAACGCCGCCGCGCCCGGGTCGAGGAACGCTCAGTGAAGCTGACATTCCACCCGCAGATCAACGAGGGCATGCCGGATTATAAGGCTGGTGAGGGGAAGTTGAGGGAGAAGTTGAGGGAGCGGAGGGGGGAGAGGGGTGCGACGACGTGAGTTTTTCGTTTGATGTGAGAGCGCGGGGGATATTTGGTGAAGCTAATGCAGGATCTATTTGTTAGGCCGCATCCGTTCCCTGGAGTGGAAGATCATCAGGCTCGGGCACGGAAGCATCTTTGCACCGATGACAGCCGGAAACCGAGATCGAGAGCGAAAGAGAAGACGGCGGGTAGGAGTATCAGCAGTCGTTCGCAAGCAAAGTCAAGATCGAAGACAGGGGCGGGGAAAGCGCCGGCTGCGGAGGTTGTCCTGAAGGTAGGCAAGACAGTTCCGAGTCCGTACAGGATCGCCTCAGGGAACTAAGTTTCCTCTGTGGTCTTCCCAGGAGCTGAAAGCGCGGATGAACCACTCTTACAACCTCAAAGTAACGCATCGCGCCGAGCAGCTCGAGAGCAAAGCGTTGATTGAGAAGATGCAGCGGGAGGAGAACGAGGAGAAGTTGAGGCAGCGGAAGGTAATCTGTGCCAAATACCACCACTCATATCTATTCAATCATTCGCTTAATCACGGTCCCCTAACCCACCAGAGCATCCAATCCCGTATCCGAGCCCACATCCGCACCCAATTCCACCAATCCGCCGCCCTCGCAGCCCAAACAGCCCAAAGCACACGAAACAGCAAAGCACGCCGCGCGGAGCAAGAGGCGCAGTACGAGGAGTATCTGGAGGGGTTGCGGAGGCGGTTGGATGAGCGACCGTGTATGTTTGAGGCGGGGGTGGCAAACGGGAAGGGAAAGGATGGGGGGGCGAGTGGTGAGGAGGCGCCGGCGCTGCCGAAGGATGCGGATGGGAATGGGGAGAAGGGGAAGAAGGGGTGGAATGTTGGCGCGCATGGGCGTGTGGGGAGGAAGCGTGGGACGTTAGGGACTACTGCGTGAAAGCCGATGAGGGCATGGGTTTTCATCCACTCTGCGCTGGACGAACGGCGGCGAGAACTCCTTGAACCGCGGGTTCTATGTGGTGATTCGGACGTATGTATTGTACCTTGTTGAACGGTTTTCTTCATGGAAGCGATGGCGAGTTGTTGGCCACCATTTAGTCAAGGGCCCATTTCTTGGACGATAGTTTTGTAAATAAGAAATTTGCATTTCCAACGGAACGCCCCCTCCTGAATGTCACCTTTCTCCACGCCGCTGTTTGCTCTCTCAAGAAGGGGGCTTTCTAATCTAGTACTGGAACAGCTACAAATCTACACAAGACTACGCTCTTGCTCACATGAAATCGTCCTCCCCTAGCCCCATTTCCGCCAGTTCCTTGTTACTCCGCATCTTTTCCTCTTTGAAAATCCCACCGTAGCTCCGTGCCTCAACCTCCTTCTTTCGTTGTTCTTGTACCTTTGCTTCTTGTTGTCTCTGCAGACGGCGAGATAGATGCGTTGGCGATGAAACATGCAACTACCAGAATGTGAGTTGGCAGATCGACTCACCCTCTTCCTATCCGCCTCCCTCTGTTCCGCCCGCATTTCCCGATCCCTCTCAATCTTGGCTTCTGCCAGATCCGGATGCCTCTCTACCCTGGTCTTATTCAGCCGATTCACAATCGCGTTGTCCCGCTCTTTAACATGCACCCTCTTCACCAGGTTGTTCTTGAAGAACGTAACCTGCCCCGTCTCCATGCCCCCGCTCTTCTTCAGGTTGCTCCATGGTGTGTAGATTATCGTGAGATTGTTCTTCTTGTTCCCTTCTATCGAGTTGGCCTTCGTCAACTGTGCCAGATCATCCAGGAGTGCTTCGGGGATATCTTCCCATGTCTGGCCCCGTTCAAGACGAAGATACACGTGGGCGGAGGAGAGCTTGTCGACGTGGAACCAGACGTCTTCGGGCCAGCCGTACTTTATCAGCTCCTCGTCTATGGTTCAGGGGAATCGAGTAAGTGGATGGCACATTTAGGATTGGAGCAGGAGGAGGCTTACTCTCATATTTATCCTTGCCCATGTATATGTTGGCTGATGGGGAGACCACTGTGAAGCAGAACTGGTCAGTCGCCAGCGTTGAGCGCTTTTCAAGTGAAGAAAAAGACGTACCATTGCTTGTAAAATAGAGAACCATTATGGATACTTTTCAGTGCCGCTAAGGCCTATGCAAACGAAGGCGACGCTGAACTGCACACTGGCCTGCAAAGTGGCTGAACTGTTGTTAACCAAGGGTGAACTCCGCAAAAATTGGCCAGTTGCAAACCTCTTCCGCCCTAACCATTCCCCTACAGGAGAGGCGGGGCTCAGACGCACGGCCCGCCGGCGAACACTTGCGACACTTGCGACACTTGGGACACTCACCGTCTGGGTTCTAGCTGTAGTTACCGGAGTCTATGTCAGTGTAGCCCCGCTCGGCAGTCCAACGTCAAGTCCGCCTTCAAGCGAAAACGCCGTGTGTCATTCCGCGCGAAGGACTTCGAAGCTTTGGCCTCAGTCCGACCGACGAACGAGGTTTCCCACACAGACAGACAGACAGGCAGACAGGCAGGCAGACACTTCTCCGTTGGTGAGCCATGGCCGTCGAGGTGCAACGTCTGCCTAGTAGCAGCCTCAGTGGGCAACAGTCGCTGCTGCACCACAACCAGCCAGAGGTCAACAATGCAGCGGTGGCTCCTACGGCGGCTACTGCCGCCAAACGAGTGCAGCCAGTTCGAGCTGCAAAGTCTCCGCCAAAGGTTTCCACTACTATCTCCAACGCTACGGCACTTCCACCGGCTCCCGCCTTTCCCGCTGTACAGCGTAGCACTCCTCTGAAACGAAAGCTTGTGCAGTTTGACCTGGTCGACCCTTCGCACTCCCACGACTCCCAATGGGAAACGGACGAGGACAGGGACCAAGGGAAGCGACGGAAATTAGATAGCAGTAGTGAAGTGGAGACCACAGAGGACGAAGGCCTTGCGAGCTCCTCGGAATCGGAAAGACCCTATGTGTGTGCTATCAAAGGGTGTGGACGGGCGTTCAAGAAGTCCAGCAAACTGAGGAGGCACGAGAGGACGCACAGCAACGAGGTTAGCACAGCTTGTCGTCCTACCCGACATTGATGGAACGACGAACTTACGATCGAATTCCTTTTGTGCATGACAGCGACCTTTCAAATGCCCTGCTAAGGGTTGTGGCAAATCATACCTTCGAAGCGAGCATCTTGTCAGGCATGCGTTGGTGCACGCATCAAATGAAGAGGATCAGAAACCGCATCGCTGTGAGGCGGAAGACTGTGGGCAAGGATTTGCTACGAGATACCACCTGAATCGACATATGAAGACGCACGGAACACCGAAACCATATCAGGTACTTTCCTAGCAACACGACTCGCTTGTCGAACCGATGAAGCTCACATCATCACATTCCACAGTGCACCTTCCCTTCCTGTCTCGCCCGCTTCGCCAAACACAACCAACTCCGCCTCCACAGCTGCGTCCACACCGGCAAAAAACCATACCCCTGCACATTCTCAACCTGCGACAAATCGTTCACGACAGCGCAAAAGCTGCGAAATCACCAAACAACCCACAGCGACACGCCACGGTACCGCTGCGCCCAGCCGCGGTGCGCGACCACGTTTCATAAATGGTCGTTATTACAGCAGCACATGAAGGAGCATCATAAGCCGGACTGTCCCGTGTGCGGAAAGACTTTTACTAGGAAGGATGTATTGAGCGAGCATACGAAGACACACGATGATTTGCGGGCGAAGTGGCCCTGTAATGTGGATGGATGCGGAAGGCTTTTCAAGAGCGTAAGTTCGCTTTTCAAAGAAGAAAAAAAAGGTTGGAACGATAGTTGGTGTTGCTGACATACAAACTCTATCCCTCTTGCAGAAAAAAGCACGAACAGTCCATAACCGCTCAGCGCACGAACATCTCACACCCTTCACTTGCGATCACACCGGCTGCAGAGCACAGTTTGCACACAAACATCTCCTTGTCCGTCATAAACGCCTTCATGAAACAAATACACCCGTCCCCGCAATCACATCCACCGCACCCGCTCCCATCCCCGAACCAAACCCCACCTCTATCCCTCACCCCACACCCAATCCAACGTCCACCACCATCCCCGCTGCTAACCCAACAACGCCTCCACAACCCCGCCGCCGCCGCCGCGACCACATCCCACCCCCAACCCTCCTCGAATCTCTCACCGGCCACAACTACGCCGCCGCCTCCACCGGCCGCAAACTGCCCTGCACCATCCCCAACTGCAAATTCGTGTTTAGACGCGGGTACGATCTCAAACGACACTTGCAGGGCGCCCATGGAGTGGAAGAGAGTGGGGATGAGGGGGATGTCGAAGGCGCGGAGTGAATGGGGGCGTGGGAATGCGCACTCTTGTAGAGAGGAAGTAAGAGGGTGGGTGGGAATCGCTGTGTCCATTTTTTATGTATGTAGCGTAGCCCGGCCCATCCATAGTGCACATAAACCATACCATACCACTCATATATTTTGGCAGGGCGTAACATATGAATATACGAGGGGATTTTTGCATCGTCAGGAAACATCAAGGCAGGGTTTGTGCAATTTAGTATTATTCATCATATGAGTGGTGCTCATCCCTCGGATGTAGAGCGTGAGGGAGGTGGGGACATTGCAAGAGGTTGGGGCGGGGGAGAGAGAGATATGCGATGGGATCACAGACAAGGGGTGTAGGTACAAAAGAAACATAGAAAAGAGGTGATGAGGGTGGCGATAGATACATACACGATAAAAAAAAAACAGTGGGGTAGAAACAAAATGAAAAGGGAATAATAAATATGGGTAAAGAAGGGTTCAAAACATGAGAAAAGAAAAAAGCGGGGGGGAAAAACGGGTGGGAAGGCTGGAGCCTTACGCCATCGAGGTGTGCGGGCTAGGGGTGTGTTGAATACGCCGTGCCCTCGTACCCGATGAGCGGTAGGTAAAGTTTGTCGTCTTCGAAGGCCGCCCAAGGGAGGGGTAGGTGGGTCGGATAGAGAGTTTGTGTCGCTCGGATCAAGTCCAGCTCCGCGGGTCTGTGGTTCGACCCCGTCAACGCTGCCCGTACATCCGACACCGCCGCAACCGCATTCAGTTCCTCGAACCCAGCTGACAGCTCAGCGCGAAAGCCCGACAGGCACGCCTCAGTCCTCTAGCCCCGAAAGACAACCATTTCCCCGACATCACATCACATCACATCGCCTTCCCATCCAACCCCCGAAGATGTCGAACAAAACAAAAGAAAAATCCCCTCCACGCCGGTTCCCCCTCCCATCAGCATAAAACCAGAAAGCCCCTCATCCCAAAGCCTGCCGCCCGCCCATTACCCGCCCATCACCGCCGCCCAGCCACATTCTCACTCCACGGCTGCCGTCTGCATTCCCACTTCACGGCTGCTGCGCGCCAATCTCCGTCTGGTTCTCCGGCTGTTTGGGTTGTTCCACGGGCTGCCGCTGGTGGTGACGAGGCGGACTCGCATTCAGTTCGCGTTTGGCTGGTAGCAGCTGTTGCAATTGCGGTTGTTGCTGTTGTTGTTGGTACAGCTGGTGGTGGTGATGCGGGCTTGCGTTCATTTCCAGCTTCGCGGATTGCACCTGTCGTTGTTGTTGGTGCTGTTGTAGTTGCTGCTGGTGTTGTTCTTGCTGCGTCTGGGATTGGGCCGCTGCGGCTGCCGCTGCAGCTGCTGCCGATGGTCCTGCTTTTGGTGTCACCGCAGCTACGGGCGAGACAATAGCTTGCGCGGCGGATGGGATTTGGGCGGGGAGTTCAAACAGATCGCGGAGAAATTCCCCGAGACCGTATTCTGTGGCGAGGTGCTGGGCTTGCGCGAGTGGGATCCTGTGGTGGGCGCAAAACATAAAGTCAGAATCGGAGGTCTTCCAAAACATTCGGCCAAAAACGAACAAATTGCTTACCATGTTCCCTGGTATTTCCCATACCCGCCCTGGATCTTCTCATGTTCACCTTGATGCACCTCCCTCTCCAAAACCTTCGTCCGTCTACTCTTCTCCATCCCCGCCGCCTTCAAGATATGCGTCGCGTTGATCCACGAGTCCGTTTTCCGTCTCATCACTCCCACCCCATTCGGCGTTGTCATCTCATATACGGTGATGTTCGAGTAAGTGGCCTCGTAAAGACCTTCACGAATTGGCGTCGCCTGCTGTCTAGTGGCGCCGGCCGTGGACCGCTTGGTGGTGCCCGTTCGTCTACTTGTCATGGGATACCCTGCGGCGCGGTACCCGCCCGCCGCCACCTGCGACGGATGGATGGCGTAGAAGTGTTGCCCATTTGAAGCCACAGGGATGTAGCCCTGCGGTGTTTGGATGTAGTATTGTCCGCCGGCCGCGATGACGGGTTGCAGAGCTAGTGGATGGGTTTGTGGGGATGCCGCTGGGGTGGTATAATATTGCTGGGGCAGCGCTTGGGTTTGACCTTGGGCCTGGCCTTGGGCTTGACCTTGCCCTGCGGCTTGGAGTTGAGGATGGTAAAAAACTTGTTTGTAGGCCTGTTGCTGTTGCTGCTGCTGCAATTGCTGCTGATATTGCAATTGCTGCGCTGCCGTCGGTTGTGGAAGTATTTGGGCCTGTTGTGCTTGTTGCGCTGTGGGACTTAATGAGGCCTGTCCTGTAAGTGACTGAGCCTGGGCCTGGGCTTGAGCCTGCACATGAGCCTGCACTTGAGCCTGGGCCTGAGCGTGCGCCTGCTGGAGAAGGACGTGGGGAGATTGTGCTGATGCACCCGGATTCTGCTGCTGCGGCGGTTGTGGTTGCTGCTGGCCTTGGATCGTTTGCCCCGTTGATGGAGATTGCATTTGAGATGTTCGAGGCTGCCCTGGCTGCTGTTGCTGCACTGGGATCTGAGCGTGTAGCTGCAGTGGCGACGAATTCCGACTTTGCGCTGACGCACTTTGTGCCTGTTGTGATTGCTGTTGTTGTTGAAGGTGATGCTGTGCTTGCTGTTGACGCTGAGCCACCAGGTTCTGGTAATGCTGGACCACATGTTGCCGTTGCTGTTCCGTTATCCTCGCCTGCTCCAAAATCCTAGACTGCTCTCCGCCTTTGTCCTCCTCCCGCGGGTATGGTATTGGTTGAGGTTGTTCTGACCGCTGCTGAGACTGCTCCTGCGGTGGCTGTTGCGATTGTTGTTGAGCTGGGGCATACTGATAACCTTCCCACCCTGAAGACTGCGACTGCTGAGGTTGCTGCTGGTCCACCGCTTGTTGAGGGTATGTTGCGTTACGGACGGGCATCACCGACGACGAGCCAGTGTTCTGTGATGGAGACGACGGTGCCGACAGGCTAACCGGTGTGAGCACTGGAGGAGTATCTATTGTGCCCTCCTGGCTTTTTTCAGTCGAAGGCGCAGGTCCAGCTGGCGAATTTGGGGAATCGCTGGGTGTGGTCATGACTGTTGGTCCAAACACAGGGTTCAAGGCGATGGAGGCCTGATGGCTGTAAGTTTTGGCGAAGGCAGCTCCAGTTCAACAACCTATAGCTGCGTCCGCCTTTTTTCTGTAGACAACGGCGGGTAATCAATCCGTGAGATTTTGGGGGATGTTCGCTGCGAGTCTGTTCGATGTAAAATAAGTTTGAGTGAGGCCTGGAGAGCGTACAAACTTCAAGGTAACTGCGCGGTGATGCACGTTTCCAACTCCACCGTCTGCAGATGCTTGGGAACTAACCTCTCTTGTTCTAAGTGATTACTGGTGGGTGTCTCTAATTGCTGGGCTGATGGGATGCTAAACGGGTGATCGCTACCGATTTGAATTGTTCCTGATTCCGTGAATCCTCCAGCTCGAGTCGGAAGAAAAACGGTGAATCGAATGCCGGTGCTGCGCGGCCGAGTGCTCGTCGAGTTCTAATATGGGATATCTCAACGACGTAAACGGTGAAGGGTCCTGAAGGAGAGAGACACGTTGTGTTGAAGACGTAAGTTGAGAACCCTGTTCTGAGAGCCTCCGAACGAAAACCAGGCCCTGCGAGCAGGCGACACCAACCAGCACAGCAGCAAGCAGCGAGGGAGCAAGTAGCCACAAATGAGTCGCAACAATTAAGGGTGCCAACAAGGCAAAGGGCTCAAAGACGTGCACCAACTGGAGTGGCATCCCAGTGTAAGCTCGTTTTTACCGATTTGGAAACCTGTCAATAGGAACTGATGTCGTGGATATGGAGGCGACAACCAAAAAAAAAATTACTTGTACCCGGACCCCACGACGGGCTTTTGCATACCACATCATCATCACCGGCGGCGTAGGAGTTGTCCATATCACGCAGCCAATGCTCGCCGAGGAGGATGAGCCCCCGGTCCAAGGATAAACTCACCCACCGACATCTCGTAGCACTCTGCCACTATCGGTCGGCATGCGAGAAGGAGCATGCATGCACATCTATCTCCTATCAGACAACAATGAGATATCTGGGCGTTCGCTTTGATCAAACATCACCAACATTGGCCGGACGGTGGTACCGAGGTGTTTGCAGTCGTTGTTTGCATATGGCCACCACAGCTGACTCACCCGTGCCCCGGCCGGCCATTGATGACACTGTGTGCGGTCTGCCCCAATTCATGTGCAACTTTTGTTGGTTTGGGAAACTCAGCCTCATTTGGTATGGAAACCCAGTTTTTTTTTTTCCTTCAAGTTGTCCTTCCTGCAAAAGGTATATCCCTGCGCATTTCTGTAAAATCGGCCTCAGTGCCCGACCAATGGCAGGCGGTGGGCGATCCCGTTTTGCCTGTGTGACCGGGCGACGTCTTGCGAGTCTGCGACGGCGACGAAGACGCAAAATTGCATAGGGAGATTCCATGATTTTACGGTGTTGTATGTGTCACGTGATATTAGAGGCTGGTGATTTAACTACCGCGAGCAAGCCTTGCACCGAGTTCTCGTCTTCGCCCCCAGAGCTCTGTAAGCTTTGGATCCGGGAATGGGACGGTGATCCCAGGTGCGGGTCGGTACCGAATGTACGGCATCCTGTCATTCAATGATCGACACTTCTTTTTCCTGGATGGCTACAGTATACGACGGTAGTGAAAATAGATAGTTGGCGCCCTCCTGCAAACTAAACTGCAGCCGAGCCGGTCTCTCCTTATTATCGCGCATATAACCTTCCAGTTTACTTCCATTCATTGGTCCTGCGGTGATGGGTGGTGGCTGTTCGTCGTCTGCCTCGCAACGTCTCGATTTCGTGGGTGATGTTTTTGTGCCGCTGCTAGCGATCACTTAACGTTTTGACAGGCCAAACTACATCATGAACACGAGCCGCACGAGTAGTATTACCTGCCGCCCAAGTCTGCTGAACGAGTCTGCTTTTGGCACCCACATACTGTATATATATGCCAGCCTTAAGTGTCCTGTCTCAGGGCCCATCAGCATAAAACAAAGAAACGCTTCCTCTACGCGAATAGAGTCCGTTAACACCGGATATGCAGCACTTGGTTTCATTGACTCGATAGGTGAGAATCACTCGTAGTCGCGCGCCAAACGAGAAGCGAGCGCGAATGATCTCTCGGGCGCGGCCATCGCGGATCTTGCGGACGTTGATGTCGGCGGAATTCATTCGGGCGTGGGGCCGTGTTTTTGACGCAACCGAGACAGGCACAGCAGCCGCGGTCTGCACCGCCGTCTGAAAGCGGATTACAGCGTGTTCCGGGCCCCCACCACGAGGAGGGGTGTCGATAGCGGGTCGGACGTCTTGTCCGGTGGACAGAGGGTCCGCACCAGGTCCCAGGAGGCCCGCGACTGGGCTTCACCGTCCGAGTATGGCCTGGTGACGCTGATGGCTCCATGCTTGATGGAAGTTTCGGGGATTCGTTGCCCGACATCCTTGCGCGAATCGCCGTTGTCCAGATGTCGATGCGCTCTATTTGGGGTCGCGACTCGGCTGTTGATGAGGAGGGAGTGAAAGGATCTCAGATGATTTGCAAACTCCGGGGATTGTGTTTCTACAGGAGAGGGTATTTGCTTCGTAAAGGGGACTCCAGATGTGAAGCTCTGGCCGGAGTATGCGTGGGGATGAGAGAGCCACAGAGTGGCAACAGCGTCGGCGTTCATCAGCGCTCATTCATCGTCCATTCCCCCCCCATCAACACCATGTCCGTCCCGCCACCGCCGCTAAACATCACGAACGGCGAAATCTCCATCCGATGCCCGTCCGTCCGATGGCGTCGGTGATGGCCCTCTTCGTGCCACCCTCCGTCCTATTCTCACACAAGTATTTCACCACCAGGAGATGGCCTCTTGCAGCCGCCACGTCCAAGGCCATTGTAGTGAATCCTCCTCGCTCGCCGTCGTCGTCTTCGCAGTTCTGGTGAAACCACTTTACGAATCCGATGAACCCCTGAGAAGCGGCGCAGTCTAGCGGACATTTTGTTGTTAGTTGCTGTTGGACACCGACGAACATTGTACTTCAGGGCCCAACGAAGCCGGTGGACGTTGTCTGAGTTTCATCGCCAGCGGAGAGTGAGGTGGAGTTTTGTCTCGTTTGACTTGTTTGCGAAGATTGCTGTTTACTGGGGGGCTTGGGGGGGGGGAGGCTCTTGCATCGGACGTGCGGAAGGGGGCTCATCAGCGCGAGATTCGCGATCGCGACGACCGCCGCTTCCTGGTGTTTTGCATGTGGGCGTGCGCAAGTGACGTAGGCTGAATGAAGGCGCCATAAAAAGAACCACTGCGAGAACACCGCATAAGGGCCTCTCCAGAAACACCCCCCCCCCCCCCCCCCCCCCCCCAAAACGGAACCCATTCCAACCCTCTCCAACCCTCTCAACAGCTACGACGGCACTTCCGTCAACGCAATGGCTGCCGACGCCGAGAGGTAACTTGTTCACGTGGTTTTCCGCACTTCCAGCCCGTTCCCCTCGCGCACCCCATGATACTCATCGCACTTCCTCTCAAAGCCAGATAGCCGCCCTCCAGCGGGAGCTCCAGGTCACCAGGGAAGAGCTGCAGGCTTCAAAGGATATCTTTGAGGAGTATCAGAGGGAGTCAAAGGAACTGGAGGCGGAGCTGGAGAAGGAACTTCAGGACTTCCAATATGCTACCGATAAAGTTATCAAGGAGAATGGTGAAATTAAGGTAGGGCCCTGAGCGATAGCGAGGGGATGCTTGAGGTTGGGCCGGAGGCCGAGGAACGCTGGAGGGCTCCGAGCGGAAGCAAGGAGAAGGCGAGCGAAAGCGAGCTGCACTGGGCCGTAGGCAGGAATTGCTTGAGGGGTCCGAGTGGAAGCGATAGCGAGCACAACTGGGCCGTTGGCCCAGGATTGCGGATCATAAACCAGCACAACATCCTTGTCGCGAGCGGAGCGAGCAGGGTACAGTCTGTTCATGGTTGGTTGAGAGTTGATGGTTTATGGCCGACGGCTGATGGCAGCCAACTACGGCATCCGTCGCTCCGCTCTTTGCTTCATCCCACCGATAATAGCGAAGAAAACTTGACTCACTCCATCCTCATTCCCTCGTTCCTAGGCCCAATTCGCAGCCTACAAATCCGAAACCACCACCCGCCTCTCCACCCTCCAATCCGAACTCGACTCCCTCCGCCAATCCGACCACGCCCACCGCAAACGCATCACGGAGCTCGAAATCGCAAACACCGAAGGCGTCGACGGGCACAGGATCTCAGAGGCTGTCGCTGACGAGTGGAAGTTGAAGTACCAGGCGATGCAGGATCACGTACTGGCGTTGGAGGAGGAGCTGGCCGGGAAGAGTGATTTGGAGATGGAGGTGTTGAGGTTGCAGGATGAGGTTAGAGACGCGAAACTGGAATTGTCGCTGCATAACCGCGAGCACGCGAAAATAGCGAGGTTATCTGGCGCGGACGATGCTGATCTCGCGCATATGATCCAACGCTCAAAAGTAAGTCCCACCTTCCCAACGGCCTCAATTCCTCCTCCCAACAATCTTTCGCTCTCCATCCAGGCCCTCCAAGAAAGCCTCCACGACACTCGCAAGATCCTCCGCATGGGTTTCGCCGACCTTACCCCCTCCCCAACCTCCACCCCGCCCCACTTCTTCCCTTCCTTCTCGGTCCCCCCCATCACCACCACCACAATAACAACACCCCGCTCCCCAACAAGCCCCACCACCCTCCTCCCTGCCGCCGCAGGGCCCGTCCCCGCCCAAATCGCCCTCCCAAACCAAATCGCCCTCCCAAACCCAACACAGACCATATCAGAGATCGATAAAACCCAAGACCGCGCCGCTCTCGCCTCTCCAACACATGACGATACGACACTCCTGACACCAGCGGCAGCCGGCGCGGCCCCGGGTAATATCGTAGCGGACCCGAATGTACGGGATATACAGGAGGTGGATAAGGCGCAGGACCGGAAGGCGATGGTTGCTGCGGGGTTGAACCCCAATGTGGAGATGGGGAAGGTGGTGGGCGGGGAAGTGGGGGAGGGCCCGGAGGGCCCGGAGGGAAGACCGGAGATTGTTGTTAGTGATGTTGAGGGGGATGAGTAGAAGGGCAGGGAACTGCTGCAAGAGGGTTTTCTGGCGACCGAATTCCTATTCTTCACACCCAGGCGTTGCTTCCATAGCGGACCGCCAGCGGGGCCGCCCAGGAGTGTACATATTTTTCCGAAACTTGAAATTCCACATATCTGCTACCCAAAACGACTTCACGGAATAGTCAGTCCTCACAGATCGCAGAAGGCTAACCTGTTGAGGCCTGACTCGGACGTATGAAGTTCGTGACATTATTCGCGAGACGCGAAGGCAAGTTGTTGTGATAACCGGCGAGCGTCCGGGTTCCACACAACCAGCTTCCGTCACCTCCGACCAGAATCCCATCCCCTCAAACAACTGCAGTCACCAAAACAATGGACTCATCCGCCGCCTTCACCTCCGCCTCAACCTACCTCACCACCCACTCCAACCCCACCCTGCCCACCCCCACCCTCCTCAGCCTCTACGCCCTCTACAAAACCGCTACCATCGGAGCATGCAACACCCCTCGACCGGGCCTGCTGGATTTTACGGGGAGGGCTAAAGTAAGACTGTGACTGTGTTATTGCGTTTCAAGGATGGGTTTTGATGGCGTTTTTTTTCTGTAGTGGGATGCGTGGAAGAAGTTGGAGGGGATGGGAAGGGAGGAGGCGATGAGGGGGTATGTGGAGATTGTGGGGCGGGAGACGGGGTGGAGGGGTGACAGGGGTAGTCGGTCGGCGACCGAGGTCCGTGGTTCATTCACGCGAGAAAGTAAGGGGACTGTCTGGGGGAGCGTCATCCCTAACCCCACGTTTGATATCAGTAGACATCGCCAGCGACTCCCGAAGTCTCGTCGTCGAAAGGCTCGGTGTTTGTAAGCACGATGCAGAACGATCGTGAGGACGTTGAGTAGGTGTCCCGCAGAAGTCCGTCTCACATCCCCGCCCCACCCCGCCCCTTACCTACCCCTGCCTCTCACACATAGTGACACCCACAAAACCATCTTCCACCATACCGAAGAAGGCGCCCTCTCCTCCGTTCGCGGCCTGCTCGCCACTACCCCCTCCCTCGCCGCCTCCCAGGACTCAAACGGGATGACACCCCTACATTGGGCGGCTGACCGCGGGCACGTCGAGATCGTGCGGGTGTTGTTGGAGAATGATGCGACAGCTGTGAATGGGAGGGATGCGGAGGGGCTGACTGCTTTGCATTATGGTAGGTTTTGGGGTGGGGGTTGAAGGTATTTGAGGTTAATTGCTGATTGTGAGGACTTTTAATAGCGGTATTGACGGAAAACACGGAAATTATCCACCTCCTTCTTGGGGCGGGCGCTGACCCGCGGGTGCAGGATAATGCGGGGCGGACGGCGTGGGATGATATGGGGGAGGAGGTGCGCGAGGGTGTGACGGGGATGTTTGGGAAGACTGGGACTAACACATGAGGGGGGGATTATCGACGAAAAAGTGTATGACTCCGGTCGAGGCATGTTGAAACATTGGAAAGAGCGACAGGCGTGGGATCTCGGGGTGTTGGACGTGCAGTGGGGAAGAGGGGCGAGGGGACCTAGGAGCGTGGGGCGTGGAAAGGAACCAGGGCAATCGTCCCGCCATCATCGCCGCCCCGCCGCCCCCGCGTACACCACAGAGTGCATGTTCCTTCCCACCCCCGAATCAACTCGGACTCTGCGGTGCGTGAAGTGACAATTCTACCCCATTACAAAACTGAAAACTCGGGGACCGCTCACACAAGCGGTAGAAAGCGGATAGTTCGGCATCTACGACCCGTACTTCATTTTTCCGTTTCCCGCAACCCGACCGCAGCGGCAGAACCCCCGAGAAAGTGCGTTTAAGGGTGGAGGGAAATGAATAGGAAGGGTTCCGGCTGGATTTGGTAGACGTGTAGATATTAGACATTCCGTCGTTTATGCGGTGTGGTTCCGCGCTGTCCTTTACGGGAGGACCCTATGCGGCGTATGTGTTGATCTTGGCAATACATATGCTTGGCGGCCATATATACTGTACAAGAGGAGTGCGTTCAACTGCTGTGGGAGTGGGAGTGGCCTCGCACAGAGTGGGCTCCTTTCCTCCTTCCAACGCGTCAGTTGCGCGTCCACGTTGCCCTTTTTCCCGCTGCCAGAATCCCACCATCCACCCCAACCCCTTTCCCCCCCTGCTGCATCCATCATCCATGCTCCTCATCGGGTCACTCTTCATATGCGAGCTTGCCAAACCACGCCGCTGAGGCAATATCTTTCGCGTTGGCGGCCACTTTCATGTATACCGTCCGCCCGTTGCAGATATCCAGCCAGTAGAGCCAGTGTTGGGCATCATCCACGGCCTCAGACGAAAACGGGTGGAAAGTAACCTACAGCCCAATCGTCTCGCACGCAGCAGGCTGGTGGGGAGATACAGAGAGAGTCGTTTACAGCATCCTAGGCAAAAAGACCCACACCCCGCGGCGGGCTGCGTCGTAAGGTCATCATCATCCCAAGATGCTTTCCACCGAGGTGACACCCGCCATTGACGACAGGGCAGCGGACGCTCAACCGCCCACGAAGGAGAAGGACTCCCCAAAAAGCAACACCAGCAGCCGCAACAGCCCCCGACTCCTCAACCCCGCCGCCCCACCCTATGAACCGCTTGCCACCTCGCTATCACACACCGCTCACCCCTACCTCCCCCAAACCGTCGCTACAGCCGAGGGCGGCTACATCCCAAACACCTATTACCACTGGCCCTCCCCCGCACCACCCATCGCCCCACCCGCCGAAGCCACCGCCTACCACTACCCGCCCCCGGGCCCTCCCACCCATCAACAGTTCTCGGAACTCACAATCGCCTCCCTGCCCCGTGCGCGCGGCAATGGACCCGCTGCGACCAAGATTAAGGATCCGGCGGCGTTGGCGGCGTTGGCGAGACCGGTGAGACCAAATGTGGGGGTTAGGGGACGACTGGTGAAGTTGAGGGCGAATTTTTATAAATTGGGGTTTGAGGATATTCGGATTCATCATTATGGTAGGTTTTTTGCGAGGAGAGGGATGGGTGGCGGGCTGTGGGGGTGGATGGAGGAGAGTGGCATGGCATGGCGGGGAGGAATAATGGCTCTTCTTTGTTGAGCCCATCGAAGCCCTTCACGATGTATCATCTCTGACCCAGTTTCGCCTCTCCACCCCCCGTTTTCTCAGACGTCGAAGTCCACCCCAACGACATGGCGCAAATCAACCGCAAAGTAATGGAAGTGTGGAAACGCACGCCTCGCTCCCCACAGCTCGCCGCCATCGCCGCGACTGCCGTATACGACGGGCGCAAGAACCTCTTCATGCCACAGAACTTCCCACTGGCGAATAATGTCACTGTGCGTGGGAAGACGAGGCCAGAGGAGACGTTTGTGGTGGAGCTGCCCGAGGAGGAGGTTGTGGAGAGTATGGGATGTCATCCGAAGAATAGGTGAGCTGTGGGAAGACGTTCGTCTTGGCTTGTAAAACACGTACTATCACCACATTTCCCAATGCTAAGGCATCTTTTCTCTCAGAGGGCCCCAAAAGTACAAACTCCGCCTTCGCAAAGTCGCCGAAATCCAAATGTCGCGTCTGCACGCCTTCCTCTCCGGCGCGACCCCGGACTTCCCGCGCGAGACCGTCATGGTCCTCGAAGTCATGCTGCGGCACCGCCCGACGCTGCTCCTCGAGGCAGGCAGCACGGGCGGCGGGTTCTATACCTCCGACGGCGCGATTGATATTAGGGGAGGGATTGCGGTGCATCCGGGGTGGTTTCAGAGTATTCGGGCGACGAAGGGACAGTTGTTGTTGAATCTGGATGTTTCGAGTACTACGTTTTATCAGACTGGTAAGATGGGTCGGGGATCGCGCTTTTCGCCTATTCTAGACGCTAGGCCGCCAGCCCGGCACATCTGTTTCATGATGAGGGAGCTAACAACCCCGCATCACCTCCCCACCCACAGGCCCCCTCCTGACAGTCGTCTCCCACTTCTTCCAACGCGACCACATCACCCACGTCTCCCTCTCCTCTCCCCGGGACCACACCCGCCTCGACAAATTCCTGCGGGACCTCTCCATCGAAATCACTTACCGCACCACCGGCCGCCGGCGCTACAAAATCAAAGCCCTGACCCCCAAATCCGCCCTCCTCACCTACATTACCACCACCAACACCCTCACCAACACCACGGCCTACGTCTCTGTCGAACAGTACTTTCGGGAACATTATAATATTAGATTGTGTTACCCGCAGCTGCCGTGTGTGGCCACCGGCGCGAATTTGGATATTATTATTCCGATGGAGCTTTGTGTTGTGAGGCCGAATCAGAGACATACGGCAAGGTTGAATGAGCGGCAGGCGGCGGAGATGGTGAGGGTGACCGCGCTGCTGCCGAAACAGAGGTCGTATCGGATCGAGCAGGGGAAGAGGTGCGGTTTGCCATTTTCCTATTTCAAATTATAACGCGCGCGCCGTTCAGGATTTTTGTGCTTACGATTTTTCTCCTTTCGAAAGAATAATGCACAACGACATCCCCCACCTCGAAGCCTGGGGCGTGACCCTCAAACCGCACATGATGGAGATCCCCGGACGTATCCTCCCGCCGCCGTCGCTGTCGTTCCAGCCCAACGAGGACCCCGCGCAGGAGGGGACCGAGGAGACGGTGACGGAGGTGCCGGACATGGGGAATTGGAAGATTGAGGGGGGGTTGAAGTTTGCGAGGGGGGCCAGTTTACGGTTTTGGTAGGTTTGGGGGGTTTCTTTGGGTCGGGTTGGAAAGCAACGTGCAATGAGGGATTTGGAATTGACAACGACACATTTTCATTAGGTCAATAGCAGTCTTCGGCGACCAACGCGAGATCCCCGTCGCGACCATCCAATCCTTCGTCCTCCTGCTCATCGACGCCATGGAGAAAAAGGGCATGACCGTGCACAACACGCGGCCGGAGATTGTGTATGGCCCTGCAAGGAGTGAGGTGGGCGCTACGCTCCATTTGGCGGCTGATCGCGCGTTGATGGATGTTGGAGAGGGAGAAGGGATGATTAGGCCGAGTGAGGTGCAGTTGGTGATTTGCGTTATTAGTCACAAACATACGGTATGTGAAAAGTGCCGCAGGGCGAGAGAAGGGAGATGCAACGTTTCGCTCACACCTCTTCACGGTGTGTTCAAACAGATCTACAGCGACATCAAGCGCATCTCGGAGACCGAAATGGGCCTGATGACCCAATGCGCCATGTCGCGTCAAGTCATGAAACTCGACCAGGGCTACATCGGCAACCTCCTCCTCAAACTCAACGCCAAGCTCGGGGGTGTCAACGTCTTCCTCGATCCCTTACGTCAACTCCGCTGTCTCAACGGGCCCAGTACCCCTTGCCACGACACCGGCAAAGGCACGGCAACCAAAGAACACCTCCACACATCCTACCCCAACCACCAAACCTTCCTCCCCACCATGATCTTCGGCGCCGACGTCACCCACCCACCCCCCGGCACCGTCGAAGGCCGCTCCATCGCCGCCGTCGTCAGCAGCATCGACTCCAAATTCTGCGAGTACCGCGCCTCGATCCGGATCCAAGGCTCACGGCAAGAAATCATCACCGACCTGTACTCAATGACACACGAGCTCCTCGACCTCTTCCACGAGCGCAACGGCACATACCCCAAAAAAATCATCTTTTATCGCGATGGCGTTTCCGAGGGACAGTTTACGGAGGTTGCTGTGCAGGAGATTCAGAGCTTGAAGAAGGCCGTGAGGGATAAGGGGTGTGAGGGGTGTGGGGTGACCTTTCTTGTGGTGAATAAGAGGCATCATGTTAGGGTGTTTCCGGTTGTGCCGCCCGGGGGGGACCGCGGGGCGGAGGCGGCGAGGGGACGGCCGGTGTGTGATCGGAAGGGGAATGTGGTGCCGGGGACTGTCGTTGATTCCGGTATGTGACATGAAAAGTCCTTACGCCTCCGCAAACCTGAGATCCAACGACCCACGTATTTTTTTTTCCTAGATATATGCCACCCAACAGAATTCGACTTCTACCTGACCTCGCACGCTGGGTTACAAGGCACGTCCAAACCGGCACACTACCACGTGCTGTACGACGAGAACCGGTTCACCGCGGACGATATGCAGGAGCTCACTTACCGGCTGTGCTATCTATACGCCAGGAGGTAAGGGAAAAGAGAGTACCCCTGTGTTCGTACCCCACCCCCCCTCGCTCCAATCTCCCCCAACCCACCAACATCCCCCCGCCCACCCGCAGTTCACGCTCCGTCAGCATCGTCCCGCCCGCGTACTACGCACACCTCGTCGCAGCACGCGCCCGCTGCCACGCGGCGTCGGCCGCACACAACAGCCGCCCGGCGGGGCCGTTTGAACATGACGCGGATGCCGCCGGCGCTGCCGCGCGCGGGAAGAAGAGGGTCGGCGTCATGCAGATTGCGCGTGTTTCGGAGGAGTTGCAGAAGAAGATGTATTTCACGTAGCGATCGGTCGGGTTCGAGATGTGCGTGTGGCTGTCGACGTTGTGGTTGGAGGGACACTTTCTTTGGGAGTCGGAGTTTGATGCTGCTCTTGGATCTGGACATATACCCCCCGCCCCCTGTTATACCCTCTTCTTTCCCCGCCCCCACGGCTGATGTGTTGTTTACCGGACGTTTTTTGATGCCTTGGTAGCGTTAATGATTTTGGTCGGGATAGTTTGTATTGATTGTTTTTGTGAAAGATTTTATTTGCTTTGAATGTTATGAGAAATGCGACGAGATTACAGCTCAATGGGTTGCAGCTGACCATGGGAAGATAACAAGGCTTGGTGGAGTAGGCATCGTTCGAAACATAGGCCAACCGCCATGCACAAGATGGTATTGGATTCAAAAGACGGACAACCTTTCAATCCGATCTATTCCCACCACCACTCTTCTTATCCGGCGGCACCGGCCACTGGGCACCATGTATAGTCGACGGCCTTCGGGTTTTCGTAACGCGCACACTCCCACCCTTCGTGCCCTGCGATGTCCTTACCGCTCTCTTCCTCGGCGATCGGCCAGACGTCGGTGATGTGGATGGATCGGAGGAGGATGCGCGGCTGCGGGTGACTGCGGGTGGGGAGAGATGCGAAGCGGTAGGGGATGGTTTGTAGTCGTCGTCGTCGGATGTGACCTCAACGATGCGGGGGTTCGGTTTGCGGTGGGAGGTGGCGGCGGCGAGGGAGCGCGATAGCCGTCTGCCTGGGAGTGTGATAGCGCTTTGTCCCTATTTGAAGAGGCAATGATGAGAATAGATTCAGCGATACATGTACCGCAATATTGTCCCGGCGGTCCACATACGGTTAGCAAAGCCTCGACCACGGCGTTCCGCAACATTGCGAAGGCTGTTTCCCCAGATTTCACAAACCACCGCGCGGTGGCTTTCTGCGCTCTCGTCAACGCATTGTCGATGTTGGGTTCATGGCGCGTTAATGTCGGTTGAAGGATGTGCTTGTAGATGAGCGTTGAACCCTATGTAAGATCAGAGCCGTTTAGCCTGGTCGCATAGCAACAGGATACACGATGGCTTGTTTACATTTGTCCATGGAAGCACCAGCAAGATTATGATCATAAGCTTCAACTCAAAGTAAAGTGGGACCCTAAAGACCACGTTTCATGAGAGTGTGCGACCGATGGAGCAGGTATATCAGATGCCGGAGACTGCTTACCAGAATAACAGCGTATCTCCGATGTTCTCAAAAACGGTAAATGCGCTGATGACCATCCTAAAATGGATGTGAAAGTCGAGCATACAGAAAGTGTCCGTCAGGAAAGCTTGTCTAGCGACACGAAAGCCACTTATGACGGACGAAACCGTCGGCGGAAAGGGTGATATACACACCAATGTATCAACCACCAGTCCAAAGCCTCCTCATTCCTTTCTTTCACCGCCTACACAAGCACGCATTGAAGACTTGATCAACTTGGGAAGTCCTCATCCACGCCATCTTCGCAATCGCAGTCGGGCCAAGAAGCACACCTTATAGGAGTAGTACGCAGGACATACGTAACCAATAAAGCTCCTGTTTGCGTAACTGGGATGAGAACGAGTCGGGACACATTCAAAACAACAGGACCAACCCTACCCAAAAATCCTTGCTAGGGTGTACGTCCAAGTCATGGTTGGGTGGGTAGTTTCAAGGTTGCTCGCAGGGATTGTCTGTGACGCTGTTGTTTTTGCAGCGTCATAGGCACAGGCTCACATGCTGCCTCCAAGCAGTACCTATCACCCTATCTAGTAGTGTATTATGACCTGGGGGCTTGCGATGTCCTTCTTGTGGTTTGGCTCGGCTTTTGGCTCTTTGGCTGACGTGGGAACAAACGCAAATGCACATCTCATCTTTCGTCACATTTTGGACTGACGTTGACTTTGCTCGACGGCGAGAACATTCGTGGACCGCAGACCCATCACCAACAACCCTCTGTTCAGCAATGACCGAGGCATCCACTCCCGCTAACGGCCCTCTCCCCTCCCGACGCTTCCAGATAAGGTTATCGACGACGTCTTTCGTTAACTTCCCGTTCATCTCGCCATCTTTTACAGGAGAGAACAAACTCTGTAAATGGGAAAACCTCCGGTCGCTGAATTTACCCATCCGATGAGCCTCGTGCGCATTGGAAATTCTGCGCTTGCTGAGCACTTACAAGATCGAGGGATACAGCGTGAACAGTATGTGCTCCGCGGCAGCAAAGGGGCGTTTGGATGTGGTATAATTCTTTCCTGAGCACCCAAAGGAACATAACGTAATCGGATGGCCCCCCCGGACGCTCTCGGAGCGGGCCCTGTACTGCTTTTCGGTGCGCACAGTGAATTTTTCGCAGATCTTTACCAACACCATCGTTATCCATGAGCGCGCGGCTGTGAGCGTGTGGCGGCGGATCTGATCGAGGTAGGTCGGTAGCACAGGGAAAAGCAGTTTTTTTGCACTCTCCAATACCTGTCAGGAATGTCGCCGAGATCGCGATGGGATGACTATCGGTCTCCACATATCTTGTTTATGAAGGTCTTCGTCCGCGGTCCGGGACTATGCATGCGATAGTGATGCGTCCAATAGAACCATTTGTTTGTTTGTGGTCGCTCCGGTTCTGGGGTCGTTGCGGTCCATGACTGGGATGGTGAGTATGTGCTTTACAAAGAGTGCATGGACTCACTTCGTCTCCTTCGTAAGCGATCGTCGTGTCCGCCTCTCCGACGTATGCCTCATCCCTTGCATCTAGTACTGCTGAATTCTCGGCTCCCTTCGTCCCCGCGCAGCCTTCACATCGTAGCCGAATCCCTCATGCCTTTCGCTTAGCGCGATTACCGGCTCGGAAGGGAGGGTCGGTCCACTTTTCCAGGTCTTGCGGGCGAATGTTATGACCCACGGTCCCCATCATTTGCCCACCCCCTTCCTGAAGCCAGACCAGCGTGTCCAGTATATGTCCTGACGAGGACGCGCTAGTGGTAGAGGTAATCGCAAACTCGCGCTTTGGCTTGGGTGGTTCACGGTTGTTGTGATGGAATTGTTCATCCCAGATGCCGTCAACGACCAGCTTAACGTGGCATGTGTCGAAAAGGAGTTCGAGAAGGTCAAGGCCGAATCTGGCGAGGCGGTCTCAGTGGGCGACAACAACCTCCTTGACAAGGCCCTTGATCCATCGGACGACCAGACGCTGAAGACCGGGGCGCTTGAAACGCACTCCTGAACCGATATCTTTGACACCTGTCCGTCCGGGATACTTTTGAGTAAGGTGTGTCAATCATCTTCTGAGCATTCGCCTCAGAAGTAGCTACAGTCGAGATCGCACGAGCAAGAACACCACCGGCGATAGGCGCATTATCAGCGACACGCTTTAAGGCGGGGCTTTGAGCAAGAGGGCTAGCAGGAGCGAATGCTTGAAGGGCAGCGAGTGTAGCAGCTGCAAGAACTCCAAACTTGCCCTCATCATAGGGAATTTTCCCGGCCTTGTAGTATCGAGCGTTAATGGAACCATCCCAGCGATTGGCCCGGAGATGAGTGATGATCTTCTCAAGCTCTTCATAATGGCCATTGAAGCGAATCTTGATGTTAGGGATAGCCATTGCGAGGTCTGTTGCCCCTTGATAGACTGCCTTGAACGCCGCAACTCCGGAAGGGGCACTATTCCAACGCTTGGACAAGGCACCGGCAATGTTCGTCTCCTTCTTGCTTGTGCGAAGATATTCGGCAGATCTCCTTCTTGCTTGTGCGAAGATACTCGGCAATATATGTATTTAACTCGACCTTCGTCTTTTCCACGACTGTGCTGAAGAACGCGTCTGGCGTCAACGGTAGAGCCAAATCACTTCCGGCTTGGACGGAGCGCGGGGCTTGCACAGGCACAGCACCGTGCGTACCCGTGGGAAAACCGTGAGAGCGGATGAGTTCGTGTCCATCGGATTGCTGGGAACCGCTGTGCTGCGAGCCTTCGTGCTGAGCTTCACCACCTTGAGCTCCGCCGGCAGAGTTCATCGTATCCGGGTCGGCCTGGGACGGCGGCACTTGCTGTGATAACGTCGGAGGTGGTCTGCCTCGGGAATCCAAACGAGAGACTCTTCACTTCCTCTCGCCACCACGTAATTCCGGTTGGCTGCCCACTCCCTTTTCACCCAGCATCATAACCGATTCCGTGAGTCCATATCATGAGCCGAGAACCTGCTCGCAAATCGAGCGGGATTAAGTCCTCCCGGGGGCGAGCGAACGGCCAGGAAGCATTGAAACATGGAAGAGCGCGCTCCATACCTCAATGCCTCCTGGTCGCTTACCCCGCGTCGTTCTCGAAAAGCGAATGAGGCTGTGTCCCGATCAGCCTCAAAATCTTCCCTGTCACATGAACTGGACTGCCACGAAAGTTCTTGTGCGAGCAGTATATGGAACGCTGCCTTGCCCACCATCTTGCCCTGGGTACAGGGCGGCTATTCGAACTCGTGCATGCCCTACAAACTTTTTTCGTTCCTATCGTTGCGAGGGTACTCGCGGATTCGGCGTTTCAATCCCCGCGAGACGCTCTGCTCACCCATTTCACCGGCTTTGGCCTCTGGAACGTGCGAAGCTTCCTTGGTTCTTCCTATCATTGCGTCCCACGTCCGTGCAAGCAAAAATCGTTGGAAGATTGCGAATGTTGCCCACGCCGTTTCGCCGGTTCCAGTCCGCGGTAGGACAGGCAACAATCGCCTGCTCCTCATCATCCACAAAGACTTCAAGCGGACGATTCGGATCCGGGGAAGCCCGGTCGGCGGTCGCGCGTTCTTGTATTTACGCAATGTACGCTTACGTCTTCGTTCGCGCCGCGTCCCATTGTTACGGGGCGAAGGCAGTCAGGTGCGCAACACTGGTGTTTCAGAGGCCCTTCACAGGTTCTAACATGTGCCCGAGCCGCATTCCGGTAGTCCACCCATCAGTGCCGCATACGAGGGATCCGCAGCGCTCTCGTCGAGACCATCCGAGCTCGGTCTCACTATGTACCAGTGTCCTTGGGTATTCCTATGGGTCGGTAATGTCATGCTTCCATACCGCGCAACCTGTGTCTGGCTCGGTCGCCGCATTGACGGCGTTAATGATGACAGCTTCAGCGGTGATCTCGGCTTTAGCGGTCTCCCGGGTGGGTTCCGTGAACGAGATGTTGCCCATGCGGTCTACGAGATATGAGGAAAATATCGCACACAGACACCGAGTGTCGACCGACTTGCATCGTCTTCCCACCTCTCCAAGAAACATCCTCAGAGGCGTCGGGCCTCCATTGCCGCCCCGAGGTGAGTTATAGTGTACTGTATATGCGCAGGAACGACGGATGTTCGGACGTCTCTCCCACCCCGTTTTTCGAGGCAGGTCTCGATGCCATGACGTCAACGGCTTCTCTCTCCTCGTTCCCCGTGCGGATTGACTGAGACGCGTCAGGGTGAGCGATGGCCCGCGTGTCTGTCGCCCCTGTTCCCCCATAAGCATTGTTGTGCTTTCACTTCGTCGTCATGCGGGGCTTGGCTTCCATGTGGGGTGAACCTCATTCCTGCCCTGCCTTCTTGGAAGACTCGTCGCATATAAACGCATATAAAAGGAGGCGGCCCCGAAATCGTCTCTCGCACACCCCTCAACTGCAAAAACGAGCCAAACATCGCATAAACCAAACCAACCCAACTCACACCCCACCAAAACACCCACACACAAAACACCCGCCGCAAAAATGGTCTCATTCTCCGGCCGCCAATTCATCGACTACCTCGTCGCTTTCTTCCTGCCGCCCCTAGGCGTCTTCTTCAAGCGGGGAATCTCGGCCGATTTCTTCATTAACATCGGGCTTACGCTCTTGGGTTACATTCCTGGTGGGTAGACTCGGATAAACGGGATTGGCGAATGTAATATTGATTTCTTTCGCGTTTTTTCTAGGAATCGCACATGCGGCATATATCATTCACACACACAAGCCCGGTGTTGTGTTGCAGTAGATTGTGTATGTAGAGAGGATGCATGCGGGAAACTCTGAGCCCTAAGTCTCACCCATACCGACGCATCACTCAGCTCCCAAGCATGAACGAACCCATTTTGGAATTTTGTACCATAACTATCCCCAATTAATACATATACCCGCTGTTCGACTCTCGAGGTTTCCAAAATCTTCAATTCTGTCTTCCCATACGTTGGAATTTGTAGATGGAGATTTTAGTTTGAGAATGAATTGGAAGGTGCTGCCGCCGGGCCGTTCCTTGGAAGTGACCGGAGGGATCCGACGAGTCTTTGACATTTGTAGATACTACGTGGCGCGTGTCTGGGCGGCCCGTTCTGCCGAATGTGGGAAATCCATGATGTGGCGCCGTGACTGTTGGGATGAGGAAGGGAAGGCGCCCCCACATGCCAAAGGGGCCTTGGCAACCCTCTGTGCAATGTATGAATACATGTGCAGTCTAAGTGGCGAGCACCTGCAGCCATACATAACTACGTCCAAAAACTGTGGAGATATCGTCCAGTCGACGCCAACAAACTGCCGGTCCGACGAGACTGGAGTTCGAGCACATAGTAGATCCTCTGGACCGCAAAGAGTGTGGATATACTTCACCCTCGACAATACGAAGCCTCCGACAAACGCAATATCAGGGAATAAACGAAGGGGATGATTCAGACACCATCCCCACGCTCCTCCCTCCCGACAGAGCAGTCCGCTTCCGTCGGGGGTGGGCAGCATCGGAAGCGGCAGTCACTCGCATGCGGTAGGTGTCACAAATGCCAGCCGTTATGCAGTTCGGTACTGACTGCTTTATGTCCCTCCCTTTTCAGACGGATGCCGATCCAAAAAACGCCGCTGCGACGGCCTCAAACCCACCTGCACGCAATGCCAGCGCGCCCGCAGCACTAACGGCGAAAAGGCGCCATGTACCTACAAAACGGCCACCATGAAACGGACCGTTGTTCGATCACAAAACAAAACCACCACCGCGACGCCGGCGACGGCGCTAATGTCGGATAGCAGCGGGGAGTCGGAGATTGGTTACAGCGCGATGATGGAGGTGGATAGCCGCCCGTTTGAGAGGGACGCGCCGTTGCCGACTGGGCAGGTGGGGTTCTTTAGTGTGGAAAAAGATTTGAATGACCTTCTGGGGGTTGGTGGGGTTGGAGGTGCGGGAACAGAGGTCCGGACGCACGCAACACCACCAGCATCGACGTTGAATGGACAAAAAGACGACGCCCAGCTCCGCATCCTCTTCGGCGACATAACCGACCGCGACTCCCCCGAACTGCTGTCGTTATTTCCCAACGGATCACCAGACAGCATCCACACCCAGTCCGATCGCGTCTCCCCCGTCTCCGCCTCGTTACCCGACTCGTACTTCTCACTGGACGGCGTGGACGGCCCGCTGGCGGCGTTGAAGGGTAGCTTTGACAGCCTGGAGTCGTCGGTGGATACGGCGGCGCGAACTATGAGCTTTGATAGCATGGAGTCGGCGGTGGAACTGGACACGGCGGCGCGGAGTCTGGATCCAGCGGCGGCTGCGTTACCGGTGTTTGCCGGGGCGGGTGCGCTGATGACGCAGACGCAGATGATGCCGTCGATGGATTCGTTCAACGCGTCTCGGTTTCCTACGTTTGACAATTCCCGGATCTTTGAGCTGGGGTTCAATTCAGGTACGTATTTGCTCCCTGACCCCATGCAATCATCCCGCTAACTCTGCTCTCTCCGTCCCACAGACACCCTAATCTTCGACCCAGCAACCTTCCAAACTCTCAACATGGACCTCAGCTTCACCTCCCTCATGATGTCATCCGCCCTCCCCTCCCCATCCCCCCCGCTACCAGACCTGGAAACGCATCTCCGCGACACGGGCTACGTGTTCGGCCTTGTGGTCCAGCGCGGGTTCGAGAGTCAGGCGGACCGCGTGGACCCGGATATTGTGAGCGTGATGTGTGCGTCTGGCGCGCAGTTTTCGGTGCATCCGGAGCTGGAGAGGGTTTATGGGAGTAGGCATAGGGCAGTTAAGCATTTTGCGGAGCGGTTAGTTCTCGGGACGGTGCAGGGATTTTTTTGGTTGTGATGGAGTCGCATGTATTGACATTTCTCCCTCTTAATGTTGCAGGGCAGAACGCGGCCTCTCCAGCCGCGTCTACTACGGCCCCGCGAAAGTGCAATGCATGCTCAACCTCGGCGGCATATTCTTCCAACTCGGCGACGGGCCCAAAGCCTGCAAGTGGATCCGCGAAGCCGTCATCGTCTCCGAAGGCTACTACCGCTTCTTGGTCCCGGACCGGCACCAGGTGCCCGGCAACGACACGTCCTCCGCACAGCGACCCGTGTGGGAGATCCTCACCGCCTGCCGCACCGAAAGGTGCACGGAATCGGAACGCAATGTGTATTGGGAGACCTTGGTTATGTGCTTCATGTACGACACGTACGGGATGCTGGCGTCCAAGTGCATGCCGTTCATGGATGAGGGTAATCTCACGCTGCTGATGTACGATAAGCGGCCGTGGGAGAACAGAGGGCAGTATAAGGCCCGCATCGCGGTCGAGCAGCAGCGCGCACAGATGATGTATGGGCAGCTCAACACGTCTCTGAGCGCCTTCACCGTCGCGGACACCGCCGGCCGCGTCGAACGATTAATCCAAGAGACGATGTTCAACAGAAGCGGCGGGCTGGCACTCATCGCGCAAGGCTTGATGCTGCTGCGGACAGTGTACCGCCTTGTCCGCAGGGCCCCGGAACCCAAACCCGACCCGGACGACGACGACACCGACCCCGCCTCACCCTGGACCGCACCCGCTACCGCCGTGTTTGGCGCGTACAAGGTGAACCCTACCCCCGACCTCCTCCACGAAACACTCATCAACTGGTGGAGCAGCTTACCCCCGCAGTACCGCGCTTTCGACAACCTCACCATGTTTCTCAGCGGATCAGTCCCCCCAGCGCCTAACGCGCCGTGGACAGAATCCCTGTACTCGGTGGAATGCACAACCACCTTCCTCCTCTGCCTCTCCGTCCTGCACAACTACCCGCCAACAGCGCACTTCTCCTCCACCCACCGCATCACACTCCGCAAACCCTCTTCAACCCCCCAAAACTACCCAGCCCAAGAATGCCGCGTAGACTCCCGCACCCTCCTCACAATCTCCCGCCGCGCCTTCGCCTACACCCTCCGCTCCCTCCACTCCCCACTCATCCCATCCCCCTTATCCGTCCCTCCCACCCACGCAACCGACATCTCCAAAATCCCCTTCACACCCTCCCACCCCGTCATCTCCCCCGCCATCGCGCTGTTCCCGCTCATGGGCACCGCCGCCTTACAAATCCTCCTCCCGGATCTCTGCGCGACAACCGCGACACCGGATCTGGTGAGAGAGGCGATCGGAGATGCCGCCGGTGTGTTTCTGCCGGTGTTGGATAACACTGGCAGGCATTTTCCGGTGGATGCGCATTATGCGGAGATGATTCGGATGACTGTTAAGGGGATCGTGGAAGCGGGGCAGGCGGTGGGCGGGTTGGATCGGTGGGGGAGTTATAGGGGCGCGCCTGGGATGCCGAGTGTGGAGGGGGAGGGGGAGGGGCCGTGGGGAGGGTGTGCTGGTAATTTGGGGGTTTGAGTATGGTTGGTAGGGACATTTTATAACCTGGTTCTTTTTTTCGCTCTCCCCCCGCCCCCTCCCCTCCCTTTTGGTGTTGTAGGCTGCGAGTTGACTCTTCAGTGCGAAAGTTGACATGTTTTCCCTTCTCAACCCGAACCATCCCCCAACCTTTTTCTTTGTTTCATCCCGCCTGATGTACTGTATACATGTCTCCAATATCCCAGACAGACGGGACCGCGTACGTTTCGTTCCTTTGAAGGATGGTTTTTCGTCCGTTCTTTTCAATATGGAGAGATCGGGGTTGCTGTCTTAGCCTCTCAGGGACGTTTCGCATTGCGGGACGAGGAAATGTGTCGAAAACCACAAACTTCGCGTCTGGACTTCCAAATCCAGACTCTTCGCAGAATCTCGCACAGTGGCGGGGGATCCACACACCATCGACCCAGACCACCCCATTTCGAGCCAACATCCAAGAAAGGAAATCCCACAGAAGCATCACACACACCAACAATGCTGCCCCTATCCCTCCTCAACACCGCCCAGGGCCATCCGATGCTGGTCGAGCTCAAGAACGGTACGTCTGGGCATCCTATCCACGTCTCATTCCGGTGTTCTGGGGCTAGTACTCTTAGTCAGGGCCGGGTCTATGGCGGGGGTGACTCGTGAGTGTATGAAGGCTGATGGTCTGCCTCTTCTTCTGCCAGGCGAGACGTATAATGGACATCTGGTCAACTGTGATAATTTCATGAACGTGAGTGTATTTCGGGGGGAGTGGCAAGGTGTTTGAGGGATTGGCAAATGGCGACCGCGGGCTATGCTTATGTTGGTGGCGGCACGGGAAAGGCCGGGTCGCTTCCAGGAAGCCAAAGTCAAAGGCCGTCTCAACATTCCATGTCCCCAGCGCGCCTAACATCGTCCCTCCAACCCCTCCCCAGATCAATCTCCGCGAAGTGATCTGCACCTCCCCCGACGGCGACCGGTTCTGGCGGCTGCCGGAGATCTACATCCGCGGCAGCACGATCAAGTACCTGCGGATACCCGACGAGGTCATCGATATGGTGCGCGAGGAACAGCCGAGGGGGAACAACTATGGCGGGGGTGGGGGTGCGAGGGGTGGACGCGGCGGGGGTGGGGACAGGGGAAGGGGGAGGGGTGGAGCGAGGGGGAGCCGGGGGAGGGGGAGGGGTTAATCGTTGGGGTGAGGATGAGGAGAGGTTCTGTGTTGGTGAGGTGGATTGCTGGGAGAGGATGAGCGTAGAGGATGTGTGGTGCATGTTCGCAGTGCACAGCTTGTGGGAGGAAACGAATTCCCGCCGGCGCCGCGGACACCATCAACGGCACGTCACGAACAGATGCGGAAAGCTTGCTGCCTCTGTCGGCCGCATGCTGCAGGGTTATGAGAGGGCATGAGGCTCGTTTATCGATTTGTCGCATATGCGGCGCCCTTGTACACTATATGCGGCGCCCTTGTACCCACTGTAACTATTGGCAGTCTGCCACAAATGTGGAAGACAATTACGCATAAGACGAAAACGATACACCAAGACAAGCGCGTCCCTTTCCCATAAGAAAGAAGAATAGTTGTTTTCTGAGTTTGGTATATGGCAACGAAAGGGGACTTTTTGATTTAGGTAGCTATGCAAAAACGATTTCTATCCGTCAAGAGCCATTTGCTTCTTGATCTCTGCGATGGCCAGTCCGGGATTCAGGCCCTTCGGGCATGTCTTCGCGCAGTCTGTAATGGAAAAGTAGGGAAGAAATTGATTAGCCGCTGTTCTCCACCAATGAAATGAAAGCGGAACCAGAACACATACTCATGATAGTGTGGCAACGGTAGACCGAGAAAGGGTCCTGCAACGCCTGACGACGCTCAACCCCAAACTGATCACGCGAATCCGCCATCCATCGGTATGCCTGCATGAGGACGGCGGGGCCAAGGTACTTATCGCTGTTCCACCAGTAACTTGGGCATGAGGTCGAGCAGCAGAAGCACAGAATGCACTCGTAGAGTCCGTCGAGCTTCTTTCGCTCGGCGATCGTCTGCAGGTTCTCACGCTCGGGGGCGGGAGTCTTTTGCTTCAGGTATGGCTCGATGGCTTTGTATTGCTTGTACAGTTGGGTGAGATCTGCATGGGGATTGGCGTATCAGTGAGGTTTGTAGACAGATAACGGGCTGTTGTACAGTGCGCACTACATACCAGGAACGAGATCCTTCACGACGTATGTTTGCGGCAATGGGTAAATTTTGGTCTCCTTTGCCGGGTCACGTTCGATACGGCTCAAGCAGGCCAATGTATTCAGTCCATTGATGTTCATCGAGCATGATCCGCAGATACCCTCGCGGCATGATCGACGGAACGTAAGGGTCGGGTCCACCTCGTTCTTGATTTTGATCAAGGCGTCCAGAACCATAGGTCCGCATTGGTTAAGGTCGACATCGTATTTCTGCAGGCGAGGCTTCTCGGCTGGTTGGTCGGGAGACTGTAGCGTGAGAGATTTGGGTGGTGAGTCGTCTCGTCAGACATACGCCCACTCGGCAAAGAGTTGTCCAGCAGGACACAGAGGATTCCCACGACAACATACCCAGCGGTAAATCTTGAACGTCTTCAACAAAGGCTTCTTCACCTGAATTGGCTCGGCGGTGGGTGTAGCAAGCTGGGCAACAGCAGTGCTGTGGATGGAAGCAGCCGCAGGAGTCTGCAAGGCAAACAAGCGTGATCTTTAGTGATAAGTGCCCAAGATTAGCCGACGCTCGCGGAAAATCGTACCAGAAGACTCTTGGGAGCCTTGAGGGCCGTATTCCGGGCAATAATTGGGAGCGACATTGCAAGTCGGTGTATTGGGCTACACTGCGTGGTGATTGCGAAAGCGCAAGAGGTGTTTATGGTGTGTCTTGTTGTCTGTTGCAAACGAGATTGTTCTCGGCGCCAGCTGCAATTTTGAGGAGGTTTGCACGTCCAGACTCACAAAGAGACCGACAAGCGTGGGGAACATTGGAAGCACAACCGCAAGATGAGTGATGTGAGAAGCAGCGCCCGACTTCCGCCGATTGAGCGCCACGTGATTATATTAGTTATTCTCGAGTGGTCACATGACTGGCCATTAAAGTTCGGCCCCAGGTTTGGCCCCCCCCACAGCACTTCACAGCACCCTCGTTATTGCTCGTTGCTTGAATGGCACTTTCGATTCCCACACCAAAACACTCAATCACGTCAACGCATAGAGGTCATGGTTATGGAACTCGACGTAGAACAGCTCCTAGAAGCTCCTTTCCGCAAGGCTGTGAGTCTCATAATCTCTTACCGCCCTCTGTAGTTCCCACTAGGTCCGGAAATGCTAATGCAGTGGGACCACTCTACAGGGCCCCCCAGTCTCCCCCGAACCCACCCCATCCGAAAATAGATATGACGATTCCTCCGAGGTCCGCAGTAAGACCGACGAGAAAGGCGTAGAAAAAGAGCGGCGACACAGGGACCGATCGCGCGACCGAAGCGATCGTGACCGGCGTCGTTCTCGTTCCCCAAGCGACCGAAGCAGACGGCGCAGCAGTCGCAAAGAGCGTTCTCGTTCGGGCTCTCCACGCCGCCGGGATGATAGGGACAGGGACCGTGAGCGTAGGAGGAGGAGCAGCAGGTCTAGGTCGCCTTCGCGTCGTCATAGTAGAGGTGACAGGAGGGATTCGAGGGATTCCAGGGATCACCATCGCCGACGTAGCTCTGTTGAGAGGTCTTCTAGGCGGCCTCCCCGTGATGAGTGAGTAGACTTGGTTGTTTTTCGGATGATCGGTCGGCTGACTGCATGTTCCTTTTCCAGTCGTCCACGGTCACCGGAACTGGATGAATATGAACGAGACAAGCGGACCGTTTTCGTGATGCAGCTGGCGGCTCGCTTGAAGCAAGAAGAGCTTTACGACTTTTTCTTGCCTGCGGGAAAAGTGCGAGATGCAAGGATCATTTCAGATCGCAATTCTCGCAAATCAAAAGGGTGAGCGTCGTTGGTCTATCGAGTTTCTGTTTCTGTACGGGGTTTCTAAGCACCACACCATACAGTGTTGGTTATGTTGAGTTTTATGATGTCGAATCTGTACCAAAGGCCATCGCAATGTCTGAGCAGAAGCTGCTTGGTATCCCCATCATTGTGCAACACACCGAGTCCGAAAAAAACCGTATCGCTGCTGAAGCCGAGGCCGCCGCGTAAGCATAGTCATTTATCGGTCGAATTCGTGATCAGCAAAAGCACAGCTAAACACATACAACTTTCAGGCGCGCCGAAGCCCCGATTACTCGCTTATACGTCGGCTCCCTCCACTTTAACCTGACCGAATCCGATCTGAAGGACGTCTTTGAACCGTTTGGGCCCATCGACCGCGTGGACGTGGCCAAGGACGCAGATACAGGCAGGTCTCGAGGCTTTGCATTCATTCATTATAGAAACCCGGCGGATGCGAAGCAGGCCATGGAGAAGATGAATGGCTTTGAACTTATGGGTCGTGCGGTACGTTGCAATCTTCAGATTTGCCCATAAAAGTCGTGCACCTCCTAACTATCGCAGTTTTGCAGATCCGAGTTGGCCATACGGAAAAAGTCACAAGCACAACCACCGCGTCATACTCTCTAGACGATGCCGAGAACGGAGGCATGTCGCTTAACAACGTCTCACGCATGGACCTCATGGCGAAGCTCGCCCGAGACGAGAAACTCGTGGGAGCCAACCTGCCGGCGTAAGTCATATACCAATACCATACATTGTAGTCGTATATGATGATCTTACTCTGAATTCTCTTTCTGATCCCCCTCAGCAAACCGGTAATCCTACCAACCAGAAACGTTCTTCTCAAAAACATGTTCAACTTGCAGGAAGTCCAAGGAGATCCCGGGTGGGCGCAAGACCTCAAGGATGACGTGGGTGTGGAATGTGGGAAGTATGGGACCCTCCGACACGTCGGGGTGGATTCTGAGAGTCCGGTATGTATCGGGAATTACGCTCAGCGTTGAGATGCCGGGGTCGCGGGAATGGTGCTCAACTTTTATCTCTCATTTGTAGGATGGCCGTATCTACATGAAGTACAACAGCATCCCTGAAGCTGAGGCGGCAGTGAACGCATTGAATGGCCGTTTCTTTGCCGGTAGTCGGGTAAGTGGCTCGGAATATCCTTCACTGCTCCCTAGCTCTTTACGCACATAAGTTCAGCTAACTGATATTTCTCTCTGCTCTCAGATCGAAGCAGCCTTCGTGCCAGACATCACGTACAACGGCCGATTCCCCGAAGCCGCCTTCGAATAAAAGACAGAGAAAGTAACGTACAACCCGCACTTCAAAGAACAAAAGAAACCGCTTTTCCGATCTCCGTAGGCACTCGAACCAAGACCGGCACAAGCAACAATCATCTTAGAGAAACATCATAGCGGAGTATTAGCTATGTGTATCCTGTGTGGGGTGTGAGTTGATGTATACCTCCGCCTTACGATTTCCGTACCCCGTTTTTGTTAGGTCGAATTTGACGCTGGACAGGCGGCGTGGTGTATGGGTCCTATGTATGTGTACTGCTTCATTCTGTTGGCTGTGCTATTTCCCATCAGATCGCAATACGATAAATGTTGGCTGTTGACCGAGGCGCTCCTTTTGTGTTTGCGGATGTCATTCTTGTGGTTGAAACGACGTCTTTCAACGCGTGGGCGATGTGTCATTCATAATTTGCCCTGCCACAATTGCTGAACATGAACACCTAACAACACCCTTCGCAAATCTCATCCCAAATCTCCCTGCTGCGGATGTCGCTGCCAACAAGCTGCCAACAACACACATAAAAAGGACGACCGTCCGCTCTCTCCCTTCCGCTCTATCAAACTAGCAATCCTCTTCTGGTATCACTCTGTCACGGGGAGAACGCATAGCCCTCCTCCCGTCGCCGTCCCATCACGCAAGATCCCCGTCACGAAGGGGCTAGGAACACCGCACGCAGGGCGACAACAATTCAAGGTCGTTGTCTAGTGCACACCACGGAATCTAGTGGACGTTTTTGCGTCAAGATCCTCCTGGCATCACTCCACGCAGCGCCGCCAACCGCCATACCGCACAGCTTATCAAGCTCTCTTGGCGACTCTTCCATCGTTCAAGCTTGCACTCCACCCGAGTGATCCGTCCGCGGAAGAAGGCCCTGACCTTCACCTCGTGCGGATTCCTTGGAGTTTGCAGTACAATCCGAGGGGACGCCGTGCAGTTATCACCTCGCCCTTTGGCGAGCGAGACGGTGTGATTCACTGTCCATTTTTGTCATTTATGGTATGTGCACTTCACCATCGTTGACGCATGTATCGATACAGTCCGTGTGTGCCAACATCAGCTCACATGATTTCCTTTCTACGTTCCAGATACCGCGGGAGTTTTGTACATACCTCACCCAAGATATCATGTCGCTCTCTTTCTGAGCGTTCATCCTATTCCCACTTGAAAACGAAGGGATGTCAAGTTGTAGCATATTGTAATTTTAACCTTTATTTTGTACATTCATGTAAGCTTCAAGGTGTACATCTCTCAGCGCACATGGGCGCACTGTACTCATTTCTCCTTCCTTCCACAGTTTTGTTTCTGGTTCGTTCTCCATCAAATTCTATATAAATGGCGACGAAGGACCCGTCAGCATTCACCTCTGCCTACGAATCACCGGATGACCTGCTCGGGTCATCCGTCGGCGACCATCTCGTTCTCAGGAGCGTCCTCGGCGTCGGATCATTCGCCGTCGTGTACGAAGCCACAAGTTCTCGCACCCCATCGACAACATACGCCGTAAAGGCCCTGTTCAAGGCCGGTCTCACCCAAGAGGACCTGGCCATCCAAGCCCGGGAGGGCCAGCTTATGCGCAAACTGGTCCACGAGAACATTGTCCATCTATACGACATCATCGACACCCCCGACTGCACATTTTTGGTACTGGAGCAATGCGAAACCGACCTGTATGACTTGATCGAAACCCGCCGGCTGTCACCAGACGAGGGCAAGTTCTTCTTTGACCGCATCTGCGCGGGCGTGCAGCATTCCCACGAACTGGGGATCTACCACCGCGACCTCAAACCCGAAAACATTCTCCTGACCTACGAAGGCGATGTCAAGCTCACCGACTTCGGACTTGCGACCACCGACCGCACTTCATCGGATATCGGTGTAGGGTCCGTCCGCTACATGTCCCCTGCATGCTTCGACGGCGAGCGGTACGATTCTGTCGGGAACGATATCTGGGCCCTGGGTATCATCCTCATGAACCTCATCATCGGCCAGTCGCCGTGGGTCGAACCCTCCGTCGCGCGGGACTACCTGTATGCGCAGTATGTGAGCCATGGCGTACGAAGCTTTCGGAGCCGGTTTGGGATCACGGAGGAGTTTGCCCATGTCCTGGAGCTGATATTTGACCGGAGGGTTGGGATTGAGGAGATGAAGACGCTGGTGGCGGGTGTGGAGACGTTTTTTGTGACCCAGAGAGATGAGCGAGTCGTTCCTGATGTCGTTGCGAGGCCTGTTGCGGCAACAGACGAGGAGGCGGAGATGTCGTTCTTGGTCACTGGTTTCAATTGGGCTGATGACGAGGACGCGGATTCCGGTGTCCCCTTTTTAAGTACCGCCGATGAGGAAGAAACATCGGACATCATCGATGCGTCGTCTGTCTCCGCAACCGATTTGGAAGATGCGCACTCACTCGAGCAGCCCGTAGACGTATCCGTATTCAACGACAAGAACCTGGTCCCCTGGCTACACGAATCACAAGCAGCGAACACCATCCCCTCGTCCACAACCCCCGACGTGAAACCATACTACGCTCTATCAGACCCACCACCTTACATCGACACCGGCCAAACCATCAAACCCACCACACCCCCATCATATTCCCCAGAGCACCAACCTCTCTCCCACCTCATACTACCCAGCACCATCGACGCCACAGATCCGCATTCCACCCGATCCACCCGCCCCGCGCCGACATTCACCCACCTACTCACACGCCGCCTCAAACTCGTCTCGGCCGCCGCCACCCGACTCACGGCTTCATTGCAGTGCTTTTTCGGCACGGTTGGCCAGAAAATGGCCGCTGTCAATCCCTCATATCAGGTTTGCGCGAATACGTAAGGGGCCGCACCATGTTGTGCTTTTTCGCTCGCTCCCTGAAGCATCAACTCGCCTTTGCCCTCCCCACATGAACGGACCCCGCAACCTCCTGCCATGAACCCCTGTAGATGCTGTGACACCTTTGCAGCACCTCCCCGCAATGGCGTACCCCCAGACTTCCCCTTTTGTCGGTAGCTCTTTTCATTTACATCCCTCATATGTCGTGCTGACTCTCGTCCCTCATCCCGGGGTATTTCCCGTTTTTGATTCGCTGTTTTCTTGCTGTACCCTTTACCTCATTTTGTAACTAGTTTCGCTTCTTCTGGTATCCTTTTTGCCTTCGTATATTTGTATAAATGATAGATTTTGAAAAGAAAATGTCCTCGATTTGAGTTGCCCATGATCGGTTGCGGTTTCCTCGAAACGGCCCTTCGCCTTCGCTACCCGCAACCCCACATCAAGGACCCCCCCGGTCACATGAAGCGATCATAAGGCCCAAGGCAAATCAAGATCTGATGTTGTCTTATCTACAAAATGCAATATCCTCAAACGGTCCTCTCTGAATGCCTCCTATCTCTCCTACTCTCGTGCTCCGTGTCCATGATCAGGGCCCATATGTCCTGGAAAATGTGTTGAGGGCTTTCTCTGATGGTAAATGATTGTGATAGCAGCCAGCTCAAAAGGCGCCCTTGACGACCGCATCCTGCTCGGCCTTGTACCGGCGCGAGATTCCCGTCGCGGGGGCGGCGGAGGGGGCGCGGCCGTGGTACTTGAGCTTATAGATGCAAGGAAGAGTAGAAGGGGAAGGGGTCAGGGCAAAGTCTCGCGGTGATGAAGGGTAGGATGAAGCAATCCAGAAATTTTGTATCACGTACCTCAGCGCCTTTGGGAATGAGCTGCTTGAGCCTCGGCTCAACGAAGGTGTACGCGCCTTGGTTTTGGGGTTCTTCTTGCACCCACATCCATTCTGTTACAAAAAAAAAAAAAAGCACACACACAAACATCAGCCCAAAAATGGCTCATTTTTCGGGGTGGGAAATTCCCAGAGTTGAAAGACGGAAAAACAAATAAAAGTACGTACCAGTAGCCCCCTCAAACGCGCCCACGACCTCCCTGATCTCCTTCACAGGCAACGGACACAGCTCCTCGACTCTCACGATCGCGACACTCTTCTCCACCTCCGCTCCGCGGGCTTTCCGCTCCTTGACGAGCTCGTAGTACACTTTTCCGCTGACGAAGAGGACCTTGCGCACGTCGGCGGGGTTGACGGTCGTGTCGGTTAGGATCGGCTGGAAGGTTGTTGAGGGGCCTAGCTCGGCGAGGGACGAGGTTGCAAGTGGGTGGCGGAGGAGGGATTTGGGGGAGGCGACGATGAGGGGTTTGCGGTAGGGGCGGTGGAGCTGGTATGATGGGAAATGGTGGGTGTTAGGATGTTGCCGGGTATGCCCCGGGGGAAGATCGGATGAAGGATGCCACATATCGTAACGGACGATTAACTCACCTGTCGCCGCAACACATGGAAATACTGCGCGGGCGTGGTCGGATTCACCACATGCATGTTCACATCCGCCGTCTCAGCCTTCGCCACCTCAAACGGCTGGTCACACAGCTGCAAGAACCGCTCCACGCGACAACTACTGTGCTCGGGGCCTCCACCCTCATATCCATGCGGCAGTAGCATCACCAGCCCGCTCTGACGGAGCCATTTCGCCTCGCCAGAATTGATGAAAGTGTCGATAATGATTTGCGCGCCGTTGAAGAAATCGCCGAACTGCGCTTCCCAGATGCACAGGCGATGTGGGGTCTCCCAGGACACGCCGTATTCGAAGCCGAGGACGGCGAATTCGGAGAGAGAGGAGTTCGCGATTTCCATTTTGCCTTGTTTTTTGGTGGTCAGGCTGTGATTCACTTGCATGCGGTTAAGTGGGATGGTGGTGCGTTCGGTGTTTTGGTCGACGAGCATCGCGTGCCGATGGGAGAAGGTGCCGCGGCCGACGTCTTGGCCTGAGATGCGCACGTGGTTGCCTTCGAGGAGGAGGGAGCCAAAGGCGAGGGCTTCGGCGGTCGCCCAGTCGAGGCCGACGCCTTCGTTGACGCGTTTCAGGCGTGTGTCGATGTGGTACTTTTGGATACGGGGGTGGACGGTCGTCCCGCTGGGCACTTCTACGGATTGGCGGCCCACTTCTTCCAGAACCTCCAGATCGACGCCCGTGTTGGGTTTCGTGATCGCCTGCTTGGGGATGGTCATCTCCGACCATTTGCTGGCCATGGTGTTGGCCGTAGGCTGGAACGTGTAACTCTCCTCCAGATGCTTATCCAGCTTCTCAAAGTAGGCCTTGGTCAGATTATCGACATGAGACTTGTCTTGAATCACATTTTCCGCGAGTAGCTGCTCCTCGTACAGTTTTGGCACGCTGGTGCGGCTGCGGATGTTCTTGTACATTGCCGGCTGAGTGAACGCCGGCTCGTCGAGCTCGTTGTGACCCATACGGCGGTACGCGATCAGATCAATGATGACGTCCTTGCGGAACTTGTTGCGGTACTCGAACGCAATGGCGGTAGCCATCGCGACGTCTTCGGGGTGGTCGGCGTTCACGTGAATAACGGGGCAGCTGATCATTTTTGCGACATCCGAGCTGTAAATCGAGGAGCGGGAGTTCATGGCGGGTGTGGTGTACCCGATCTGGTTGTTGACGATGATGTGGACCGACCCGCCGGCCGTGAAATGGGGCAGGTTGGCCAGGCCGAGGGTCTCGGTGACGACGCCCTGGCCGCAGAAGGCCGCGTCGCCGTGCATCTGCACGCACATCACCCGGTCGCCGATGTAGCACTCCTGCTCCTGGCCGGATTCGTACATGTACATCTGCTTCGCGCGCGCTTTGCCGAGAGCGACTGGGTTGGCGGCCTCCAAGTGAGATGGGTTGTGGAGCATGGAGACGTGGATGCCCTTTGGTTGCCCGTAGTCCAGATCGACGGTGGTTGCGAGGTGGGAAAGCACATCGCCGGAACCGGGAATATCATCAGGGAACTCGGCGTTTCCTTTCACTTTGTAAAACAGCGCGGTGGGGTTGAACTCGAAGAGATCCGTGAGCAGGTTGAGACGACCACGGTGAGGCATGCAGAGAACGACGTCGCGGACGCCTGCGACGTTGGCCTCCTTGAACAGGGTATCGAGTACGATCATCATACTCTCCGCACCCTCCAATCCATACCGCTTGACTTGAGGGAACCGCTTGGCCATAAAGTGGTCAAACACCTCCGACTTTGCCAGTAGCTCATGGATGCGGAGCTTCTCTGCCTTCTTCAGCCGCTTCTTATCATAAGACTCGACCAGCTGCGCGAACCATTTCCGCTCGCTCAGGTTCGGGATGTGCGTGAACTCGTAACCGATGCGGTCGCAGTATGCACTCTTCAGGTGATCCAGAATCTGTTGCAGGCTGGCCTCTCGCCGTGCGGCGGCCGGGTTGCCTTCCTCTCCCACATGAACGATGCCGCTGATGTCGTAAGTCTTGTCGAGCTCGGGTATGCCGTACCGCGCAGGATCCATTTGGAATACGTTCTCTTGTGGGGTCAAGTTGAGAGGGTCTAAATTTGCGACCCTGTGGCCATGTAACCGGTACATGTTGACCAGGCGAACCAGGTTAGGATTCGTATTGCGGTTGCCTCGTTCTTGTTCGGAGACTACAACGAAAGACGATGAGTGTGTTGAATAAGGATGGTTGGATGGTTGGTTGGTCAATTGGGCCCGCCCCATGGTTGAACGATGGCCTGCCCGCTCGGGTGAGAAGGAGGTTGGGCTGGGTGGTTGAGGAGAGTATTGCGCGTGGTGCTCGCTTCGCTCTGCGGCTCGCTAAGAGCCGTGGCTAGGAGTATTGCGCCTTTGGCGCAAGGGGCTGGCCTGCCTCAAGCAACCCTGGGCCTCCTTCACTCGCCGCCGTCGGCGTTCGATCCGGTCGTCCTCGCTGACGCTCGGTCCCCCAAACCCAACCGAACCCACGCTACGCTCGGATCAACCTGCCAACATGATATCTCCCCACATCTCCATATCTCTCCCCCACATCCAACATCAACTCACAATCAGGAGACTCAAACACACGCGGCGTCCTGAATCCATAAATATCCTTATCATAATTGTACCGAGCGACCGATGCGACATGGAACTGGCGACATGCAGAGCGCGATGCGCTCCCGCTGGCGACGACTATCCGTGCTGCTTCCCTCAGGGGGTGTGTTGCGACAGACGCCCTTATCCGCGCGCCGGCGGACGCTGCCGCGCCGCCACGTTTGAGGATGGTGTGCATCATCTTGTGGAATGGGTTCACTTCTCGAAACTGTATTTGAGGGGACAAGGCGACTGGTTAGTGAATCGAAAGGATTGCGAACGTTCGGGCAGAGTACTGCGTTGCAGCTGGCGAAAGTCCCGGATGGCTTCACAGGACGCCACACTTCTTACACCATCCCTGCCTGCCTTCTCCCAGGCCACGTCTGTCAGTCCCGGCCCATATTCCCGGACCTTGAAAGCCCATGCAAGATCCCTGCATCCATAGTCCATTTATGCGCTGTGGCATGTCCCATCCCCTCGCACATACCTTGCCACACCGAAACGTCTTTCCTATCGTCTGCGACCTGTTTTCCGCCACAACCGGCGACAAAGAAAGTGGATAGGACAGGCCAGTGCCAACACCACTTGCGAGGAGAAGAGACGTTTTCTGCCGGTGCTGCCTGCAAACTGAGTGGTGATACTTCGGCACGACACACGTTGTTCAAATACCACAAGCAGCAGGCGGACGAGACGGAGAGCGAGAAAAAGAAAAAAAAAAGAAAGCAGTGGACTTGGGGGAGGCGCGTAACATCCTCGAGCCCCCGCATGACGCGGATTGCCCATTAAGGCGACGCGTGAGACGGAGTCACATTCAACTCGGCGTGACTGCATTTCCTGCTGCGCGCAAGCATCATCTTATGGGCTGGTGGCCGCGGGCTTCAAACGTCAACTTACAACCCCACAACCAATCAATCGTCGATTGCGGTATCGAATAACCTGCCTGCTAGCCGTCAATGTTCATCACCTCAAAGGTATGGTGCATCAAAATGTGAAGAGGTCAGAGGTGTCCCTCCGTCTAATGTGCATTCCATATGGTATTCAATCCCAAAAAAGCCAGCCGAAAAACGCCCGTAACCCGAGAGTGATGAAACGACGAAGCGAAAGTCCGAGCAGTTTTCAACCTCCACTCCACCAAGCGGCGACATCTAGCGGAAGTGAGACGCGGATCAACTTGTCCTATCCACCTCTGTCCAATGCCCTGGAAGGCGTCACAAAGATCGGAAAAAATGCTTTTGCATAAATAGCGGGCAGGTATCGCATTTCCCGGGTTAAGTCTCAGCCAGATCCCATATTCGACATTTCATCGCCTCCTTCCCTTCGTATCAAAAATCCAAACCAACAATGATTGCAGATGGATCATGATTCATGTTCGCCCAAAAGTTCAGTCCATTGAGGGATGGGCTCCTGGCCTCGGAATACTGTCCAAGTCCCACGCGCTTTGCTGGCTTTCGGTTATGACTGGCGAGTGTGAATTCAAGAAGGGCAAGACCATGAGCATTACGCTACGGGTTGAACTGCCCCGAAACCGTCATACTTGTGGTGTGCACGAGCTGTGTGCTCACCCACCTGTGTGTTCCCCTCGGGAGATACGCAACTTGTGTCTTACTCACGGTGCTCACAGACGGAGACAGCGCGGGACATGGGCTACCCCACAATCCCCCGAACATCTCCCATTCGAAGGAGCCTGGAGTCCTGTCCCTACGGAGGGGCGGACACTTAGGACCCCAAGGACCGGAACCGTCTGCACACAACCGTCCCAAGCGTGCCCTACAGCGCGCAACACCTGTTCCAGAGAATCACGGGGAGGGCACCTGCGGGTGGAACCTCGTCCGTGAGATCAATTCTGTTCGGGAAGAGGACGACCTTTCGTGGCGGACCTATGTGCGTGGAATAGCTCTTTGGCCAGCCAGGACGGGAATCGCGAATGATGTTACCTTGCACGGCTCGTTTGCCAATCAGGATGAGGTCGGCCACGCCAAAAGGGGGAGCCGGAGGAGGAGGGAGACGCTGTTGTCGCGAGGTGTCGAAACCAACGTCCAGGACAGTTCGCAGTGCGTCGTTTCAAGTTGTATGGGGAGATATAATAAACAAGCAAGGGAAGCAAGCACATACACATACAATAAGGGTGCCGGCGGGCGGGCGAGGGGACTCGGGGGAGCGGTCAAGCAGCGAGGCGTTTCGAAATGGGCGCGTCTCCCGGTCCTGATTATCCATCCATGCCCCCATCTGGACGGTTTAACTTGGCGGGCAGGTTAGCGACTGCTGCGAATCCACGCTTCCGCTTCTTAATCTGGACTGGCAAAGGTGGCTTGCTGCTTGCTCCTCCTATTAGGCTCCTGTGAGGCATGAGGGTTTGCAGTTCAGGTCATATTCTACCAGAGCAGAGTAGGCATCCCTCGGATACTTCCATCCCGCTGCCTGCAACTCCCTCTCCTAAACTGCTCCACGGCAAGCGCCCTGCGATAAGCCTTTTGCGCTGCAGCTTCCACCATCGCCCACGCTATTCTTCGTCATCCTCGCCTGAACGGAATTCATCCTCGGGTAGGCACACGCGCTTCCTTACATACCCGTCCAGTTCTTCCACTCGCTCCGGGAACATATATACGGGACCCTAGGTCGTCAAACCCCAATACTCCGATCGTTTCGACTCGAGCGAGAATCAAAGAAAACATCCAGGAGTCCTTTCAACCCCGAAATTCTGAGCCATGCTCTCCCCGTCGTCGTCGAAATGTCGCTCAGGGCCATGGCAAAAGTCCTTGTCCGCGCACCTAGCATTACTCTTCGGTCTCGCGAGTCTGCTTCCAACAGCGCCGTTTCCCACTTCCATCTTTGCTAAAGCAGCGCCGTCGCAGCTGGTGTATCCTCAAACGTCATATGAGTATGTGCTGTTGGACCCTTTACCCGTGAATTCTACGGGTGAAACCCTCGTTACGAACTTGTTGAATGTCCTGGGAATGAAGCAGACAGATAGTGGGCAGATAATACAGTTCAAGACGACTAGTTTGGGGGATAATGCCATAACGGTACGATTTAGTCTGCCTTACTCACCATGAGAAACGCTTGCACTTTTCGGGTACTGTTTTCTGACACGTCCGGACTCTCTTCGTTGGATACAGGGCCTATTGTTGGACTACGGCGATGGGTGCAACTCATCGCTACCCGTCCTGTCGGCACTCCCTGCCACAGCAATCCATATAGCGTTGCTGAACGTCACAAAGTCGGCGACCTGCAACATCACGGCGGCGGTAGTAAACAGCCTCACTAGCATGAGCACAAATGGGGGTGTTGCGTTGATCGCTTTCGGGGATACGGGTGACGACGAAATCGCAGCGCTCGCCCAGGCGGACTACCCACCAGAACTGGTGAAGCCGGCCTACCTCTTCGACAAACATCTGGGATCTGTGATGGTGGCCCTTCTGCAACTCGTGAACGGCACTCAATCGGGAGGCCAACAGCCCGAGTTCCGCCTCCCCGACGACCCAACGGCGTTCATCCCCGGCGCCCCCTTCCCACCCAACTTCCCCAACCCCTCCCCCCTCCCCAACTTCCTCCCCATATCCGGCCCCGTCGTGCGAATCGGCGTACGGGTCGTGATCAAAGAACTAGTATACAACATCTTCCCCCCCTTCTGGCGGTTCGCCCTACTCTCCCTCGGCATATTCCTCGCCCTCTCCGTCCCCGCCGTCGCCTTGATGCGTTGGCGCACGTCCCGCTACATCACCGCACAATCCCAGCAACGGGCCGCAGCGGCCCCCGTCACCCTCGACGTCGCGACACTTAACGCCCGCAGCCACATCGCACCCTTCGCGACCATCCGATCAACCTACGAAGGCTCGGCGCAATGCTCCATCTGCCTCGACGAGTTTGACGCGGATACGCCCGTACGGCAGCTCCAACCCTGCGGCCACGCCTTCCATCCGCCGTGTGTTGACCAGTGGCTGACGGAACAGACAGCTGTATGTCCGTTGTGTCGCACCTCGTTGTTGGAGGATAAACCTGCGAATCAGGCTGATGGGGATACCGCTGCTGCGGATGTGGCTGGGGGCCGCCGCACTGCAATAGCGCTGACGAGGCTATGGCATCCACGCCGCGCGGCGGCGGCGGGGACGAGGGTGACGCCAGCTTCAGAGCCGGGGAGGCGACAGTCATCCTCAGCGACGCTGGCCAACGCACCACCGGAACGACCACACCAACGACAAACGCGACGATGGTGGCCATTCAGCCGCGCCTCACCAAGTACAACGGATGGCACCGCAGCCGATCTGGAACGAGGGACGGACGTCATACAGTTGGAGGAACAGAGGCGGCCACCAGTATCGTAACGGGTATTATCCCTCCCACAGGAAGCAATCCGCCATCACCACCACTACCACCACCACCGTGTGATATCCTTACATAGGTCTCCCTCCATAGGCAATTTATCACCGCCGTTTATGTACATCCTGCCCCAACTTTCTTGTAAATAACCCCCCCGATTCCACCCCATGTTCATTTATCCCACCCCCGCTACCCCACGTCGTTTGTGGTCGTCGGTCGTTGCGGCATGGTCCCGCTGTGTCTGCCGGGCGCCGGTTTTTTTTTGCTTATTTCTGTACAGAGAAATGATTTTGTTGTATAAAGCATCGTCAAGTCTCGCACCCGGTTTTCGTTTGGGAATGTGAGAGCACTTGGGGCCCGCACATTGGCAAATACGAAACGATAACACAGAGGCAAATGGTGGCGCTTCCATGGCCATCTTTCCAAGACTCCCCGATTTCATATCCCCGTCCGCATCTCAAAAGGGTTTTGCAAAAAGCATATAAACCACATATGATTTCCAAATAAAGTAAAAATCGGAACGAAAAGCACAAACAAAAGTACCTAAGCCCTCGCGCCCCGCCAGCGCGATCTATCAAAAAGGCCGGGGAGAGAGAGAAAAGGCGGTCGGGGCCACCTCTATCCCTCCTACAGCCGCGTCCCGCGAGCTATCATATATATGTACATAGGGGGCCCGGGGGATCAAATCCGTAGTTAAATTAAGACCTCTAGATGGTGTGACAACGAAGCATTTCTAGATTTTGATCATGTTCTTTGTGACCTCCTTGCGGAGGGCGGCCTTGTACTCGGAAATGGAGCCTTGCCAGAGGCGCATGGAGCCGTTTTCGCAGACCCAGATTTGCTAGGAAGGGGAGGAATCGGATAAGTATGTGAGGGATTATGAATGGGAAAAAACATCAGATGGACAAGGAATGTTAACTCACCTCAGCAACCTGACTAATCAACCTGAAATCGTGAGACACAAGCACGACACCACCCTCGAACTGCTTGATAGCCGCCGCCAACGAGTCGATAGTCTCGATATCCAGCGGGTTGGTCGGTTCGTCCAACAACAGCATGTTGGGCCGTTGCAGGGACAGTTCACAGAAGACGATACGCGCACGTTGGCCGTCCGACAACTGTCCGATGGGACACAGCTGGGATGCGCCGGTGAGACCAAACCTTCCAATGTGGGACCGCCATGTGGGAAGGTCCTGGGGCATTTCCGGGAACTTGCGGCGGAGGTAGTCGATGGCGCTGATGGTGAGGTCGAGCTGGTCGGCAGAGTGCTGAGAGTACTTTCCAATCTTCAGGTGCGTGTGACGGGAGATGGAACCCTCTGTTGCAGAGAGCTCGCCGCTCATAAGCTTGAGGAGGGTGGACTTGCCGGCACCGTTAGGGCCGACCAGGGCGATTCGGGACTCGGTGTCGGCGCCGAACTCGAGGTGCCTGTAGATGGCGTCCTTGAGGTTGCCGTTGTAGGCGAAGGACATGTCGGAGAAGGACAGGACCGGTGGTGGGAGAGGGCCGGCGGATTCGAACTTGAATGCGAATGCAGCGGGTTTCTCCACCTTCTCGATCAGACCGTCCGCCTCCATCTTGTCGAGAATCTTCTGGCGAGACTTTGCTTGTCGCACCAAGTTCGCGTAGGTACCGCAGGACGCAATGAACTGCTTGATGTGCGCGATTTCCTCCTGCTGCTTCTCGTACGCCTTCATCTGGTTGACCTCCAATTCCTCCTTCGTCTTGACGTAAGAGTCGTAGTTACCGGTGTAGTACACCAGCTGCTTTTTGGGGTTCAGGTCGATGACGTTCGTGCAGACTCCGTTCATGAAGTCTTGGGAGTGGGAGACGAGGAGAAGGATACGGTCGTACTGAGCGAGGTACTCCTCTAACCACACACAGGCACCCAGGTCCAAGTGATTTGTGGGCTCGTCGAGCAACAACATGGTGGGCTTGACGAACAGAGCGCGCGCCAAGGCGACACGCATACGCCATCCTCCGGAAAGATCCTTGGTGGCCAGTTTCATGCGGACATCATCGAATCCAAGACCGTGAAGGATGGAAGCGGCGCGGGGCTCGAAGGTCGCGGCGTCCATGCTCTCGATACGCTCCATGATGTCGTCCAACAATGGGGAGTCGGGCGTCTCGGCTAGCATGTTCTCCATCAACTGCTCCAAACGCTGAAGGGAGAATGGGATCAGAAATCGCGATTCTTTTTCACAGAAAAAGATCTGCCAGAGAAGTTCCTCTCGGCGGTCTTACCTTGAGCTCCTTCTCAGCATCGTCAATGACGGCCTTCAAAGCGGTCATCTCCGTTGGTGGGTACTCGGAGTTCAACAGGTAGATATCGATGTGTTCGGGGATAGGCACTTCACGAGCAGCCAGGGACTGCAGAAAGGTACTCTTGCCGGAACCGTTAGGTCCGATAAGAGCGTACCTTCGACCAAAGTTCAACTCGATGGTAGTGTCGTTGACGAGCACCTGGGAGTAGAAGCTGAGGGAGTACTGCTCGATCTATGCGATTGAATAATAGAGGAAGGACACGAGTCAGCTTTGCATTCCACAGCAGTTCGTCATGAAAGACACATTAACAGTTTGCACTCGCAAAACCCACCTTGATGTCCCTAGAGTCCTTGTGGGAGGTGAGGACACCGGAGGTGACCCTGTTGGTTTCGAGAGCCATGTCGTTGAGCTTGTTGGCGGTCTCGTCGACCTTCCCGCTTGCGACATCCTTCTGGAGCTTCTTTGCAGCCCTGTCGGCTTTCTTCGCGGCGCGCTCTTCCTTCCCTGTCTTTGCCATTCTGACGACCTGTTCTGGGGGGTGGGGTTGCTGGCAGGTATGTAGAAGATAAGAGAGAGGAATCCGCCTGAGAATTCAGAGGGAAACTGAGAGTGTTGCGGGAGAAGGGGAACAGGCCAGACAGCTGAGTTTTGAGCGGACCTCCAAAAGCAGCTTTTTCTTTCCGTTCGTGCGAGTGCGAGTTTCCCCTTCTTCGGTATGCATTCTTATGATCTGCAATTAGCAACTGGGCTTCGGGCGCAAATCAATTAGTATTAACGCGGGCGCGGGCGGTCCCTCACTTCAGCCAATCTCCCATTGTCCACCTGCCTTATCTTGCAGAAGTGACCGGCTGCCTTGCTCCCATTGTTGGATCGCAGATCCTTCCCCCACAGCGGATTGGGAACAGCCATCGATAAACTTGTTTCCACGTGCATATCTCGTCACATGACCTCACGCTCCGTTCATTGAACTAAAAGTAAACCGTCATAGCGTGTTCTTCAGTTGGGAACGGCGCAGGATTTTGAGGCGGAGGCGCTGACGCAGCATCGTTCAGAGACGATCGGAAACTCCATGATGTTTTTTCTTCCTTTGTTCTGTAAATTGTTCAGGAGAAGGGCCGAAACCTTCTCCCACCGCCAAAAATTATGCCTTCACGCTGACGCCGAACCATGTGGAGTTTGACGTTGTGAACGCCAAAGTCCTCCAGCTGTGGGAACGCGATGCGATGGATAGGGAGTCTGGACCCAATCACTCATCGGATGTGGACGGTGCTCTGACCGGCGGGCTTCTGGCAAACTTTCTCATTAGTCCTTTGTCGCTTCGGCGCCAGGTGAACGAAGGCGGCGGTGCAATGCCGACGAGCCTCAATCCGGTCCGGCCGTGAATCCGGCCGTGCCTTCTTGATCACACGAAGCCGCAAGCCAGGTAAGCACCTGGCGTGCCCGCTGGCTTCTGTGCGAGTTCGGAGGAACCACTCAGCGCGGCTCACTGAACGTCACGAGAATGGATTTTGGAGTGCATTTGTCATCACCGTCTTCGGCGTTCGGAGCGGTCGTATGCATGCATCAAAGGCGCGAAAATTCCTACATAGGACTTGCGGTCTCTTCGCGAATCTATCAGTTACACGTATACCTTGTAAATGTCGACTGCACGTGCGGCTTTTCTCGGAGTCCGGAGCCGCTCCAGTGGGGTGACTGGGGTCGAAGATGAGGTTGACGGTGGGACGGGCAGTCCGCAGGGAGATAAAATTGGGGATGTCCTGTCGTCCTTCCTTCAGATCCACTCCCATACATCCAGTCATCGCGTTCATCAAGGAAGCTCTCCAAGTCTCCTCTTGTTAAAACCAACATCCATGCCCTCTCAATCGAACGAACGCAAACTCATCGCCGTGGCCGGCGGGACAGGTATGATTCAAGAATCGAAGGGTAAAGTGGATCTGCTACAGGCGAGAGTCTCACTTCATTTATGTTACCTAGGTGGTTGCGGCCAGCATGTCGTCGAAGGGATCCTTGAGACCGGGAAATACGATGTGGTCGTCCTTTCGCGCAAGGTAAAACATTCCCTAACGCACATCGTAATGCAGCCCCAACGGAAGTTCTGACGGAGCCAATCTCCGAACTCCAGGCCACAACCAACCTACCCCCTCGCCCCAACCTAACCGTCCGCGCGGTCGACTACGCCTCCCCCATCTCCATCCAACAAGCCCTACAAGGCGTCGACACGCTCATCTCCACCCTCATTGGCGAAAACTTCAAAGAAGTCCAACTAGCTCTCATCAGTGGCTGCAAAGCCGCGGGCGTGCGTCGATTCGCGCCGTCCGAATGGGCGGGGGATACCGAGAAGAACCGGATTATCGATCTGTACAGGCCGAAGAATGAGATTATTGAGGCGTTGGATAACACAGAGGGGTTGGAGTGGACGCTTTTTACTCCCGGGGTACGTTTGTTGAGTATCACGCTTCAACCCGTTTTAACACGACTGGCGCTAATCGATTCTCACCAACAGATCTTCATGAACTACCTCGCAACGCCCCACACCACCTCCCACCTCCCCCCCCTCAAATTCCTCATCGACGCCGAAAACAACACCGCCCTCATCCCTGGCACCGGCACCGAGCCCATCATCTACACCACCGCCCAAGACGTCGGCCGCTTCGTCGCCGCCACCCTCTCCCTCCCCCACTGGCCGCGCAAGTCCGCCATGGCCGGCTCCGTGACAACATTCAACGAGATTATCGACGCCCTCGAAAAAGTGAAAGGAGTCAAGTTTGAGCGGGATTATAGGAGTAAAGAGGTGCTTGAGAGGGAGGTGGAGGAAGCCAGGGAGGATGTGATGAAGCGGTTTTATGCGCAGGTTGCGTTGGCGTTGGTTGTGAATGGGGAGCAGTTTGCGTTTGAGACGAATTTGAATGGGTTGTTTCCGGAGATTAGGCCGACGGGGGTGGAGGAGTTTGTCAGGACGTGGTGGGGGAAGAAATCTGAGTAATTTTTTCTAGCAGTTAGCGTAGAAACACTTCGCAGATGCATCGTCGAATCCCGTTTTTTCTTGTTCGCAAGACCTCTGAGAATGTCCCCGTCAATTTCCATCCCGTCAATATTCTCGTGCTTATGTCAGCTACCATATGCTGTCAATTCGTCATTCCGCTGGCTGCTTCACTCTTTCCGCATGAACAGTGGACTTCAGCACATCGAACTCACTACCCCAACGTACCCAACCAGCATAATGCAATCCCACGTCGGAAACGATTGGAACAGTCATGGCATAGGTCAAACGTTACTCGGCAACTGGGTCGAAGACCGTGCCGTGGGCGATGTGTTGCTGCAGGAACGTCAGGATTTCGTCAAATTGGGGAGAGCGGGGCATCAAGTAAGTCCCTACCCAAACCCCTCCCTGCTGGATGTCACCAACTATCTCAATCTACCCGTCATTTATCAAGCCACATTCTCTTTTTGTCATGATCAGGGTATCCTCACCCACAGCCCAAACGAACACACCTACACAACCTCGCACGGGGAAGCGCACGCACGGAAGCCAGGCGGCTGGGGGACGGGTAGTGCCGGACATGATGCGGGAAAACAGCAGCGGTTGATTGATGCGGAGTTGATGAAGCGGGCGTTGTACGTTTTTCTATCCTGCTTTTTGTAGTTGTGGAGTTCATCATCCCGGGCGATACAGGGGATCCCAGAATCTGGGAATTGGGGGCTGATCCATGTGTGTTCAACGTATGCAGAGCGGAGACGGCGAAACCACCAGAGGAGCGCAAGTCAGCCGCGGGATGGACGTCGACTAATAAGGCGGATTTTGGACATGAGGATATTTATGGCAAGACGCAGGATTTAGGTATGCTTTGCTGTCGCAGGTTCCGTTGGAGGTGATGTGTGAGACCATGGGGCTCATATGGCTCGCTTTGGGATGGGTAGGGACACATGCTCCATCAGAGGTGAGTGAGGCCATACGGGAAGGAGGTGCAATGCATGTTACCCGTTTACGGGAGAACCCGGTGCCAACCCTGTTTTGTTTTTGCAGTCGGATAAGCAAAGATTCGCACAGCCCATCACGTTTTGGAGCGATTACGCAAGTACGTATCGCCCCTCTTCCCTCAGAATCCCTCAAAATCCTTCATTCCCATGGCCTCGCATCACTCTCCCACCCTCATTCTCACGCCTCATCCCTATTCCCACCAGCAAAAGGCACAGGTCACACCATCTCCTCCTCCAAAGCCGCCTTTCTACACCAGCGCTCCGAACGCGAAGCCCACAGCGACTGCCCACGGGATCTCGGATTCAAGGCCGGCTTGGCGCACCAGCACCATGCGTCAGCGGCGCCGGTGAGATTCGGGAAACATACGGATTTTAGTACGCCCATTGGGGAGTTTGATAAGGCGGCTGTTAAGGATGTATGAGATGTGAAAACGCAGGGTTGGGCCTTTGTCGGTGGGCGTCCATATGGGATGAGGCCATGTCGGTGAAAATGGAAACAATGCGGGAGAGCGTTCAGGCGATGGAAGGTCGAACATGTTGATGCATATTACAGTAATATGTTACAGTGGGGTGTCGAGGCGTCGCGACTCTCTATAAATACAAAGGGCTCGAGCCACATGGAGGCCAGACTTAACGTTTGACCCTAGAAGAAGTGATTGATTTAGTACTATGTTCATCGAGAGTTACTGCAAACGTGGTTTATATCTTACCAGGTGTTCTTCTTCCTGGCCTTTGGTTGTCCCGTCTTCTTCCTTTCGACTTGTCTTGTGTCGATCCTTGTAAGGCCGGCTGGATGGGAACATGCTTGTCAGTCCCAACCGTCATTCGACCAACCAAGTCTAGATTCCCCTACCTTCGTCAAAGGTCTCCTTCAGTACAGGATCATGCACAGCCAGGCCACGAGCCAATCCCACAGCAACCGCCGCCGCCTGCCCCGATTGTCCCCCACCATTCACCAACGCCCACACATTGTATTTCCCCAGAGCGTGCGCCATCACGAGTGGCCGTAAAATCGCATCCCGATCCGTATCCTCCGCAAAGTACTCCGCAAAATTTGTGCCGTTGACAAACAGTTGCCCCTCTCCTTCCACCACCCACACCTGCGCCTTCGCCGTCTTCCGAGACCCATATGAATACGACCGTCCGAAATCGTCCAGCTCGGATGACCGCTTGGTGCTCACTGTGAGGGTTGCGCCGGGCTTCACGAACGATTCTAGTGCTTTCTTCACGTCCAGTTGGGCTGTAGCATAATACATCAGCCCAAGTCTCCATGGCACCTCCTAACAGTCCAAATGCCTACCTCCGCTCCCATATCCATGCTTATCATACAGCTGATTCAACTTCTTAACGAACTCATCATAAGTACCCTGCGTTATCTTAAACGACAGAAACTCCTGCATCTCCTTTATCGTCATCCATCGAGGCCGTTGCTTGGACGCCGTCAGTGGTTCCTGGGGTGATATGTTGTATTTCCGCATGAGCGCGTTGATCTGCATGAGGCTGTTGTAATAGCGCGGGTTGCCGGTGAAGTAGGCTATGTTGGTTGGTCGCGGGGTGGGGTGAGGGTTGTGCAGTCGGGGCTTGGTTTCGAATTCGACGCCGGTCGCATAGCACCGTGTGAGGGGATTCCGGAGGAGGGTGAGGGGAATGGTGGGGCGGGCGCAGGCGGATGCGATTGCAGTCGTTGGAGACCGGGCTGCGGCCGCACGGCAGCCGAGCCGTAACGTTGCCATCGTCGCTAGCGTTGAGTTGGATCTGGTAGTGGTCGTCGTCGTCGACTTTTGAATTGGAGGTTGGGCATAACGACGTCGGGGCTCGAGATTCAATCAGGGAACACGCAACACGTGACTTCATCGAATAAATGCAAGCAAGCTCATCTCGACCTGCCTGCGTAGCAAAATGGGGCCATCATACGGCAGCATAACTCCAGCTAGCCTCACGGCTCCTCGGAACATCCGCTCGCCTATGGCGGGCTCGAGAGCTTGGTAAATCTCATGCTCGCAAAATCCTGCCTTAGTTGTTTCTGCTTTCCATCCCATACATCAGTGTAAAGATGTATTGCATTCTGCACTAACATGGATTTGCAACAAGGTATATTTCTGCAATCAAAGCATCATTCTCACTCCTCTACAACTATCGCTACTCTTTCAACGGGCACGCTGGGTGTGGTTGGGCTTGCGGCCACTGCGCTGTCTCTCGGTGCGCCCGTTGCCAGCGTTGCGGTCCTCCCAATTCTGGCTAATCGACTGCTTCGCCAACCTCTGCTGCTTACGGTCCTGACGGGCGTTGCCATTCAAAGCAGCCGATCGCGAGCGCTCAAAGTATCGATCATCCAACTCCTGCTCGTCTTGAGCGTCCTGATCATCCTGGTAATCGTCTCGCTCGTATTCGCTGAAATCGGCGGTGGGCAAAGGGGGCGGCGAGCGCCCACGTTTGCCGTGGCGAGGGCCTTCGCGGGGCGCACGGCGCTGAAGACGCAACTGACGCTCGCGCTCGAGCTCCTCAGCGGTGGGTTCGGGGTCGTTCCCAAGTTTGATTGCCTGTTGGGCTTGCGGGTTTTGGGGTTGAGCCGTCACCGCATCCTTCTGCTGCTGTTGGTTGGCTCCCTGGAAAGTAAGAAGTCACACAAAGGATCAGGATGTGTCCCGAGCGCATCATGAAAGGAGTTCAATTCAGGAACGGGTGGCCGACGACGTCGCGGGGAGAACAACAGAGTCCAACGAAGTGCAGTACATACATTCTGTCCCTTCCGCTTGCTCGCAGACCTAGGCGCCCTCTGCTTCTGAGGTTGCTGCTGCTGCTGCTGCTGCTGGGCTTGGGGCAAATTTTTGAGCTGACTCTGCGCCTGAGAGGCGTTGAGCGCAGAGTTCTGAAGCTGGGTAGCGACGGCACTGGGTGTTTGGCGAACCATGTTATGATAGAAAGGATCGAGTTTTGTTGAGAAGATGGAGTAGAAGTTCGGTTTCGGTTTCGAGTGTTGGGAAAAGTTGAACGATGCAGAGAGTTCTCCACAAGTCTCGCAGCCCTTTTTATATTCCTCGCCTCACAATACGCTCCGAATGCACAACTCAACTGATCAGGCTTAGGCTTCACTCAGTTTGCGCCTCTGTTTGCATCGCGCCATCCATGGACGACTCGGTATGGAAGCCAGACCCTCTTCTGCAGCATTTTTAGGAAACAGGGCCTCCAGATTATTTGGTCAAGGTCATGTTGCCTTTACATTATTTGGGGACGCTGTAAATTCGGAGAACTTCCCATTCAGACCGTCTGCTTTGAGCCTGGCTGAGTTTCTCAAAATAGCCACTGTCAGTGCGTGGCGCAGTGCGGGGACGCTGTCAACAGCGCGACTTGGAGACGGGAATAATGAAGCCGTCACTAGCTTGCATATGTATGTATGTACACATGTACTTATAATGATTACACGTTGGTATCTGCAGCGCTGCGAGCCTGAGCATTGCCCTTCGAAAAAGAACGCCGGAATGCTTTCCGATACGCCATTGGTGTCCGGACCTCTCAAACCGCTATCTAAGCCGGCTTCCTGACGGTCTAACCAAAAACTCAAAGCACCCCCGCCCCATCTGTGACGCCTCTGTCCCATTTCACTTAATGCCAAGTCCGATCCGTCGTCTCACAACCTTTTCATCATACTCCCCAACTCCGCAACGTCCCGGTCGGCATCTCCCATGGATATCGCATCCTCAGATCTTGATTGATCACTCCCCGACGGCTGGGGCGGATTTCCTCCGACAGCGACGACAGCCTTCCTCCGTTGTCCCGTCCGCCTTGCCGCGGAATTCAGACTCTGCGCCAACTTCGCAAGCATGTCTTCGTGCTCGCGTTCTTGGTCAGCGAGGCTTTCTTCCAATTGGGTAACTTTTACCTGCAAGGCGTTCATTTTGGACGTTTGATTTGCCACGTTCTCTTTGAGGGCGTTGCGCTAGTGGGAAGGGTGGGGCAGAATAAGTTGCACTGGGGTTCACAGTATCCCGCGGATATAGGACATACCTGTGCCAGGAAGGTGCTCTCGTTCTTCTTCGATTCCACTAGTTTTCCTTTGACGGTGGCCAGTTCTTCCAGAGCTTTCTCCAACTCTTGATTGCGTTCCTCCAACCTTCCCATTGGTTATGAGAAAAACGCAAGGACAGGGAGCGCGAGACAAGGATTTTCACTTACCGTTCCTCGCTCTCGGTAAAGTTGGCCTCCGTCTTCTCCAGTTGGTCGCGTACATCCTGTACTTCCTTCTTGTATGCATTCCTTTCCTTCTTCAGTTTTGCAACATTATGGCGCAACTCGGCAATTTCCGACGCGGATTGCGACAATTCGACGCGCAGGCTTTCATTTTCCTTGCTTTGGCTTCGCAGTCGTTCGGTCAGCACATCGGATTTGCTCCTATGCGCGGCTAACTTTTCGGCAGCTATCGCATCGTTCAATTCAAGCTCTTTTTGAAGCTGAGCTCGCATCTTGCGCGTCTCTTGTTCGAAGTGGGCTCGCATCTTCTGCGTCTCTAGTTCATGGTGGGCTCGCATCCTGCGGGTCTCGCTTTCCAAGTGTTCAATGCGTGCAATGGACTTGTCAGCCTCTTCCGTCAAGCGCTCGATGTCCTCGGATCCACAGTGTGCAGACGTAATCGACATTCTGTCCATGGCATATTGACGGCTTTGCCTTAACGAGATCCTATGACGAGGTTCTGGATGTTTTGAGTCCTCGGAGTGCCGAAACTCGCGTGTATCCGTCTGGTTGTCGCTATCTTGGGATCCAGTGGGTGCAGGCGTAGTCGGACAGGGAGCCCAAGCAGCCTCGCTCCGGATTGGTGAGTTCCTGCGATGATTTCGTTGATGCGTCGCGACCAACTCATCAAAACGGCGAGTGTCTTTGGGAGTGGCAAAGGACATGGCCAAAATGGCCACGTCCGCCAAGAATTGGGACTGGGGATCACAGACCAGGACCGCAGCATGCTCTGCGACCCGGTACCTTTCGAAAAGCTGCTTTGGGATATGCGTGGCCTTCTTCAGCTTCGCCAGACTCAGGATGATCCCGACAAACCCCATCAGAACATCATGCCCCAGCATGCGCTCATCCAGAGCCGTCCAAAACACGTTCATGTACTGATCCAGATCCACCATTTGGACATCAGCATCATCCAATTCAAATGGCGCAAACGTCAGGAGCTCGTATGCAGTCTGAGAGAGTTCCAAAAACATCCGCGAGGTCCACATCCGTGGTGAGGTGTGAACATGCTGTGTAAACTGCGTGGCTGCTTGCGTTGCCTCGTACTGGGAGTCCACGGCGGCCTTCGTGGCCTGAGTTGCAATCACGTCCAGCAGGGTGACCAGGCCCGGAATGAGCTGGTCGGCGAAGAGGTCGAATTCGCGCTGCTGGATCACGTCTGTTACCGTTGACGTCGGATTGTCCTCTTGTTCATGGTTGTTTTGCACGTCTGGGAGTGGCCGGGGGCGTATTCCATCGAGAAGACCGCGAAGAAATCTACAAGTGGCAGTGATGCCCGTGGACGAGACCTCACCAGCGTTGTTCCCGGCGACACCGTCTACCATCCACGTAAAGGCTTTTGTCGCCACTTCGGCGTCAGCAACCATTGTAAACAGTGTCGAGTCGTCTTTGAATTTGCGTAGGAATAACTCCGTCCACCGAAACAACTGCATGGAAAACGGTCAGTCATTTCTCAACGGCATTTTATCAAACGGAGTACTGGCTACCTCTGGGTACGAATCCTCGCGTATGAGGCTCGACGAAATTTGTTCGACAATCGGTTCTTCCTTGATTGTTCTGATCAGCTGAATGGTCTTAACACCTTCATATCTATCAATGGACGAAGATGACCGCACGACAACGCACCCTTTCAGAAAGGAGTCCAAGAGGTCATTTTGCAACAGCACATCGAGAAGATCAAGGGCTGCCGTTTGCAACGCAGGCGTCGACGCCTTACTTCCGAGAATGGCAAGAATCAGTCTCCAGGCTTCCACTATGTTGCCCTCTGAGAAAAGTTTTTGGACACCCTCATTGGTGCCGAGCAGCTGCGCCAGAATTCGTAGGCTTAACGTAACCACCAGAGAGTCCTGACCAAGTCCAAATAAGAACAAGTTGCAAACCAGACGAGCCACCCGAAATGATACATACCTTGCTGCTCAGGAGAGTCACCAAATTCCTCAGCAGCTTTCCAATGCGAGGGTAGACCTTGATGTCCTGTCGGAACACCTCATGCCAGCACAGGTTTCCGAACACGTAGAGCGTGTCGGCTTCCGGCTCCGTGGGGGTTCTAGCTTGGCGTAAGTCCTTTTCAAGACCATGGCGAACCTCCGAGACGTTGCATAGGACTCACATTCGGTTGCACAGGAACGTGCTCAGCCCTTTCGGCATGGATCGAAGAGGGACATCAAACTGATAGGTCAAATCATGCAGAAGATGTATGATCTAAAATCTCGACAATTAGTATCTCTGTCCACCCACTTTGTTATGCAACAAACGTACTGCAACCGGATCCGCCGACTCTAGCACGTGCCATAAGGTTTCCAGCACTTGCTCTAAGCATTTCTGAACCTTCTCTCGCCAAAGGGCATATTTGCCTAACCGTGGAAACAGGACTGAGTTTCAGACAGTATATAGCTGAAATGGAAATTTCTTACATAGGCGACCCAAAAGCACCAGAGGTTTATCCGGATCTTCTCGCAAAAGGCGCACCAGCTCTTCCGCAGCTCTCTGCCCTAAACTACCACCACCATCCTCGCGCCTCCAAAAGCTATTCGAGTTGCAGACTATCTCAGGTTCCTCCTCAATCTCCTCTAACGCAGCCTGCAACGATGGGTCCACTTTACGCGTGAGCATGCAAACAGGTCAAATAATGGTCAACGAAGCCAGGGCATACCGAGAGCAGGGCGTCGATTCTCTGTCTGTTCAGCGTTTCGGACGTTAATGAGTCAATGAGAGCTTCGAAGCTCGAGGGCTTCGGCTCTTCTCGCTGGGAAAGCATCTAACCTCTAACTCTATGACGCTCAACAGGCAGCCTCTTTCCAGAGAAGGCCAAGTCGTTTTCAAGATTTGACTGTCGGGAGGGAAGTGAGGAGGATGAAATGGATTTGTGGACATGCCTTTCCGTCTTGAGCATTGCACAGTTGCAGAGAGTATTTGGGAGTGAATGTGGAGTGCATCGTTTGCGTGGGGAAACGGTGTCCGAACTTGAAATGACGGTACACCTCACGCGTTCCGCTCACAAACACCGCCTACCGACATTGTTTGCGCACGGCCATCTTCTCAAGGGCCATCCCGCTCATTGTGCTGCTCAATAACGATCCCCATCACCTCCCTCGCCTGGAAGTGAAGATCGGCTTTCCTTCCAACTATTACGTTCATTCTCTTCGTTCGATTTCCTTGCTCCCTTTCAGGAAGCTAGAAACGCAAGCCCGGCACAATCGGAAATCGAGCATCTACCATGAGCGACGACGATCATCCTGTGCGCTTTCCAACGCCCTGGTACAAGCGACCTCGCATTCCCTTCGGTCTGGCACTTCTGTCCGTCGTAGTTACGACGTCTGCGGCCATCGCCATCCCTCTCGCGGTCCTCTCATTCAACGGCGCAACGAGGGCGACGGATTCCATGACCGAGGCGCTGAGGGTGCAGCTTGTGAAATCCGTGTCGGAAGACGTGATTCGCTTAGCTTCCAGATGCTTTGCGGCCCTTGACGATATCCAAAGTCTTGACAACATAGGGAAGTATCTGGCTGCCTACAAAGTAAACGAGACTACGAAGATCACGGATGAACCGTACAAGTCCTTGATCGTCAACGATCTGATCACCGTTGCTAGTCGCTACGGACTTATCGTTGCCTATAATGTAGCTGGACGTCTTCCTGCAGTCGGAAATGCGGAGGACTTGCTCGTCGGACCGCTCGTTCCGCCGGGGGTGTACCCTGCCCGAATATGCAACGACTTGAACGTTACCCATCAGAGTTGCGATAACGGCGTGTGGATGAAGATGGGCAACACCTGGGATCGAACGATCACCTTCGTTCCCTCGCCTCCTCCTGTTCCTTTTGTTCCAAACGAGCCCCGCAAGACCGACGAGGCACTTCCTGCGACCGAGGCTGGGATGTGGATGCCAACCTCCATCTTCTTAAGTCAAGGGGACTATAAACCCATTAAGGCCTGTTTTAGAGCGCCTTCCTTTTTCGACAGGACTCCGCCGACCAGCCCCACGGACATTCGCATGGGGAACTACACAGCGATATACAGCGCTGTGTATGAACTCGGCGACATCACGAAGTACTTAATGACCGTGACGCCTACGCCGAACTCCGTGGTTGCAGTATTTGACATTAAGGACGGCGGCCTTGTCGGGGTGAGCAAACCAAATCTCACCGTCAAGCCTGCCAACGATGGCGTTGTGAACATTATCGACGTAAATCACCGTCTCCTGCGCGAAGCCGCGGCCTCCATGCATTCCCACTACGGGCAGACATGGACGAAGGTCCCAGACCGCGTGGATATGGAAGTGAGCACATCGCAAGGACAAGCCCTCGTTAGTCTTAAGACCATCACAACGGACATCCCGCTTGGATGGGTGGTATTCATCGTGATCCCCGAATCCGATCTGATCGGGGCGATGACGGACGCGCGCAAACGTGCCGGGATAGCAGTAGGCATTACCTCCGTCTGCGCGTTCCTCCTCGCCGTCGCTGTCAGCTATGTCTTCGTTTGGCCGATCAAGCGACTTTCTCTCGTGATGGAAGCCGCGACAAAGTTCGATTTCTCGGCGGTGTCCACGGGCGGAATGCAGAAGCGGTCGTTCCTGCTTGAGTTGGCGACGATGGAGGAAGCGTTCGCCGTTATGTTGAGGAAGTTCTCGACCGCCATTGTGGCGAACAAGAATCTGGCAAGTCGAGGGGGTGGGACGAGCTCAATGACGACCTCGCGGGACCAGATGGCTGCGTCGCTCGCGGCGTCTAAGGCAAAGTTGTTGAAAAATTTGTCGGCGAACGCTCTACCTTCATATTAAGGGGTCGGGGTCGCATCTCTGGCATACCCTACGAGCCTTTACGGCCCTTCTGTTGATGAACTGACTCGTCGAAAGCTCTTTTTGGTTCGATTTGTTTACTGAATAAGATATCTCAAGCCATATCTCGGATTGCAGCGATGAAAAGCACTGCGGAACACGTAAACAAGCCTAGCTGAAATTGAACGGCACGATATATAGTATCATATGCAAAATGGGAGTATACAACGACACAAATCAATGGCTATTGAGCGTCTTGAACGTAGGTCCAAACACCTTATCATATTTGGCGACATGCTCCCGAGCGTGCCCGGCAGCGACGGCGTCCTTCCCTGCGTCCATGTCCTCCGTGATTTGAGCAATGAACTTGTCGATGGGGAGGGCGTAGGGATTCTTCGCCGTTGAGTACGCTTTGGGGTCGGGGTGGTCCTGCGACATACGGAGGATTAGTGTTAAGAAGAAGTGAGGGGACTCTGGGGGCGCAATGACATACCCTATGCAAATCCGAGTCCACCAATGGCGGCACGATCTCCACCACGCGCACCTTGCCCAGCAGCTGATGCCTCAAGCTCTGCATCCAACTGTGGATGAACGCCTTGGTGGCACAGTAGACCGGGACGAACGCGGCGGGGGCGAACGAGATTCCTGACCCGACGGCGAAGATGGCCGCTCGGGGCTTGGTGAGCAGGTGCGGGAGGAAGTGGTGCACGAAGTGCAGGACGCCGCGGATGTTGACGTCGATTTCGGCGTCTGCGGCGGTTAGGATCTCGTCGGGCGTGAGCTTTGTGATCGCGATGGGCTTTTGTATTCCGGCGCTGGAAGGGATGAGCATATGATCTGTTAGAAGACATTGCTCGACGAAACTGTTGCTTGAAGAGATGGGATACATACTTGGCCACGATGCAATCAATCTCGGGGTACTTCTCCACCGCTGCCTTTGCAAACGCCGGCAAGCTCTTCACATCAGCGACATCAACGACGAGGTAGCCATGCAGACCCGGGACTTCCGAGAACGTCTGCTTCAACTTGGATTCGGTCCTTCCGGCAATGATGACTTTCTAATTACGTCCAGTACGTCGCCCCGTCGTCAGTTCCTGAGAATGTCTTTGGATGTGCGGATATACGCGACGTGTGCCCTACCTTTCCCCGCTTAACGAACAGCTCCGCAAAGGCTCTGCCGAGCCCGCCGGCTCCGCCTGTGATGAGCACACAGTCCCAGTTCCAGTTAGCGGTTTCGGCCGTGTTAGTCATCTTGTTTGATGGAATTATCGGTTTGGATGTGAGTGTATCAAGGCTTTGTGGGTTGTAAAATGAGTTGCAGTATGAATGGGAAGCAAGGGCAACGGCCAGCGATGTGCCGCCTTTTATATCAACGAGAAGCTGGAAGTCGAACAAGCATCGGACCTCCGAACAACATGGGGAGGACAACGAAACGTGGCGATTTGGCTGGCCTACTGTAGATCAACATGTACAGAATATACACGAACGTATCACACACCACATATACGTACTGTATATACGTCAGAAGTCCGGGCGCTGTCTGGCGTTCGCGCAATGCATACTGTACACTACATACATCTTCTGCCACGTCAACACTTACGCTCCGTATTTAGATATAGACTTGCTTGTTCATACATAGTAGGTACAGATACAGTACGTACAACAAGGTTGGCGCAACACCGCATCTTCACACTCTGTTCAAACAACGCATATATTGGGGCCACGAAGAGATGGCGACGTGGAGGATTTGCATTTGCTACCCGCAGGTTTCGCACATCGCTCAGCATGGAGGCGGCACCAATCCTCCCAAACGAAACGTCGAATTGCAGCTTCGGTCGCGAAGCCGCCAGACGTTCCGACACTTTCATGATGGGAAAGCATCTTCAAACGCAAACCTAACCAAAGACGGACGTATCGCCAGTTCAAACTCCGCAACTGCAAAACCCCTCGATGTTTTTTTTTCACTGCTTCATTTTTCACATATATATACAGATTTCACAGATTTCGAGAACGCAACAGACAACAAATGCAAGTATACAGAAGTTCAAAAATAAGAGGGGTATCGGCCCGGGGCCAGCCTGGAAATGTAAACAAACTCTCTAAGTACGGAAATCCGCAAGCTCTCAGATCCTGAGGAACCTGTTGACGGTTCCAGAGGGAACGCCAGTGATGAGCCCAGAGCGGGATCGGCTGGTGAGGTAGCTGAAAGCCGCTGCGGGGCTGGCAAAGGATTGCTGGGAGTAAGCGAGGGCAAGGACGCCAGCGACGTGGGGTGTAGCCATGGAGGTTCCAGAGATGGTGTTGGTGGAGGAAGTAGGCCACGACGACTTGATGTTGACACCGGGGGCGATGATGTCGACGCAAGGGCCTTCGGAGCTGAAGGAGGCGAACCTGTTGTTGGTGTCGGAGGCCGCGACGGTGTAGGCGGATCGCACGCGCGATGGGGAGCCGTTGCAGGCATCGAAGCCAGCGGTGTTACCTGCCGCGACTGCGAGTGCGACGTTTGAGGCGATAAGGGCTTCGACCGCCTGGTCCAAAGCGGTGGAAGAGCCGCCGCCGAGAGACATGTTCGCGACCGCCGGGGTGCGCTTCGCTTTGGCTTGCTGGGCGACCCAGTTGACGCCGGCGATGACGCCGGAGTTAGATCCGGATCCGGAGGCGGAGAGCACACGCACGCAGACGATGTTGACCTTCTTGGCGACGCCGTAGGTCCTGCCGCCGATGGTGCCGGAGACGTGGGTGCCGTGGCCGTTGCCATCGGTGGTGGAGGTCTCGCCTGTGAAGGACGCGCCCCACGTCGCACGGCCGCCGAACTCGGGGTGGCTGGTCTGGCATCCGGTGTCGATAACGTAGGCAGTCACACCCTGGCCGCCAGCGTCAGGGTAGTTGTACGTGTTGGCACGGGTGCCATCGATGGCGTCCAGACCCCAGAGGCCAGCATCGGTTGTCTGGGTTCCGGCGATGGTGACAACCTGGTCCTCCTCAATAGACTCGACTTCGGCATGGCCCTTGATCTGCTCAAGCACGGCGGCATCGTCGATCTTGGCCGCGAAACCCTGCAGGGACGAGGATCCGAAATCGTACTTCTGGAGAACCGCGGGCTTGACGAGGGAGGCGGAGCCGGGAACGGTCAAGACGGTGTCGATAAGCTGGTCCAGGTTGCGGGGCACGAGGTTGTCGGCCTTCTTGAAGGTGACGATGTACTGGCCCTTGATGGCCTCACCGGCCTTTTGGCCGCGGGCGCCAGAGGGAGCGGCGGAAGCGTAGGCGGCGAGGGACAGGAAAGCGAGCGAGAGGAAACGCATCTTGAAATGATAGTAACTTAAGTGGGTATTGAGCGGGATGTGAGTGATGCGAGTTGCAGATGCGTCAGAAGAGCAGGAGGAGGAGGAGCTGTTGATGGCCGGATGATGAGAAGAGGAGGAGGGAGGCGAGATGGCGGAACCCTTTTATAGACGTCGGGGTTCGCTGGGACGCAGTTTCAAGCTATGCGCTGGTGCATGCAGTCCTGCGGACCTGCGTAGCCTCGCTGCCTCAGCGTACGCTTGAACGTACGCGACAATGGCGACATGATGGGTTGCCCGATCAACCACGACGTGCGGTTGTAGCGCACTGTCTGCTATCTCGTACACTGTAGCACGGAACAATTGACAGCCATAACCGTGTCTTCCTCTTGGAGCTTTCACATATCGCGCTTCCTCAAAGGTATGTATTCCGCATTGCGCGATGAGCGCCGGCGGGCATCTGCAGGAACTCCTCGGGGATCATTGACCTGACCATGATCAAAAGGAATCACGGATACGTAGTAGCAAGAGGTAAGCATCCCGCTGATGCGCAATGCCCCACAGGCGTCTAAACCATGTTTTTGCGCGATGCCAGTCGGAGTTGACTGGTGGCGGTGGTGGAGGCGAAAACCTTGATCGCTCCCGACCCCTCAACATTAACAGTTCCTATCTGTAAAAGCATAATTTCTAATACCCTTTTTTGGTGAAGAGCCCACGGTATTACATGTCGTATCATAGTATGCGATCGTTCTGGGATTCGAACCATCGCGACACAGGTCAGGCAGGATTCAAGGGATATCCTTGATTCCTCAGGTACGTTTCTGACCGGCGGATAGCGATCAATCGCCAGAGGAGGACGAGGCCGACCAAGACACTTTGTCTGTACCTGCTTATGCATACCAACGCTTCGTCCGGTGCGAAATGCGGTTGGGGTGCAAATGCGAGCACGGGTAAAATGCGTTTCGCCTTGACAAATGGAAGCAAGACATCTCTCCTCGCGACGGCTGTGAAGTGGGATCCGCCCAGCGATCACCATCGGATGGAAAACGCGATGGAAAACGCGTCAATGACATACATAAGACATAAGTTAAGTCACACATCTTGAATTTTAAGTTTGGGAGCCCCTCCCATCCCGCCTCCGGCTCTTTTCCATTGGTCAAGGTGAACGCGTCGTGTGACTCATGATTAGATCATCACTCGTCCCTCCGCACAACCAGCGCAACTGAACACCTTCCACATGAAAAGCACAGAACACTTGCCATCGACCGTCGATGATCGAACGGCGGCCAAACGGTCATGTCGGTCACTGGAGCACATGGGATCGACTCGGAGTCGGCCGCCAAAACCAATTTGAGTGTGTCCAAGACTCCAAGTTGCCCGTGCAGTCATCTCCGTGCATCCTCGCACGCTTTTCAGATTGATGTCACGTACCCACCGTATATATCGTCCTTCCCGGCACTGGCAGGGAACCTCTGGCGGAGTTGCCAGAGGTGGTGGCGCTTTTGACCGTGTGCTAGGGGGCGCATCTCCATTGCTGAGCGGGGGAAAATCCCCACACCTTATACTCCATATCGGAGCATGCGTCCCGAAATATCTCACCAAAGGCCAGAGCATACTTTACGTATATCAAGTTTCAATTTGTGAGCGTCGTCTTCACAGGGAATCAGAATCATGGCCTGCTGTAGGCCGGCCGCTTTGTCTTTGTGTCCTGCCCATGGCAAGTTGTAAGCTACTGAGGCAACGAAGGACACGTTATATATCCAATCCTCCGCGCTTTGTGTCTAATAAGGGATTCATGTTAACGGCGGACCCCCGCGGCGAGGGAAAACGAATCATGGGAAGTGCAGTGATGCCTTGGATCACACCCTGCTCTGACCGCAGAAGCAATCGTTTCATCGCGGGATTGCGGCTTTGGGGTGCTGTTATTGGATAACATACTACGGATATAATACTGTACATTCCGATATGCGGTATGGCGGGGCGGCAGGAAGAAATCTGACGACCCGGAAGGGAGGGAAACGCCAATGTATGTACGCATTGTATGCGGGATGTGCTATGTACATCCCTGCCGAAGATTACCCACTCACACGCTGGATTCACTCCAAGAAGTACGCCTCCTCAAAAGCTCGCGCCATATACTGATCATGCAGCATTGACCAACCACCCAATACCCAAAGCGCCCAAGCCGAGCGCGCCGGCCACCCACAGTTTTTGTTTCTTGCCTGGCGGTTCTCCCTCCTCCCCACCATCATCCTCCTCTCGGTCAGATGAAGGGCGCGAGAGGGCCAAACTCCTCGCTTTCCGCTTCAAGGGCGTCGTCGTCATTGGTGCTGGCAACCCCGAATCCGAACTGGGTGATGGTTTTTCAGTTTGTGGCTTCGAGGCGCTCCGATCAGGTTCTCCACGATCAGCAGCATCGCAATCACCATCTTGATTGATCAACGACGCGTCGGGGATAGACGCGTGGTGCTGTTCTTCATTTTGGCTTGCGTCCACAGGCTGCTCGGAGGTACTCCGACCGGATCCCGCTGCACTTGCTGCCGCAGCGTGACTTGCTGTTGATGATGGAGAAGGCAGAGCCGTAAAAGTCTTGGTTGGCGAGGTTTCAAACTTTCCGATGATTTGCCAGTTCGTTTCTGTCGGGGCAGTTGCAGACAGTGGTGATACGGTTGTCTGCGTTGTCTGCACCATCTCGATGGCAACCTCACTTTCGTCGTCGTTCAGCCCTTGATCCAGATCCAGATCATCCCCGCCGTCATCCCCTCCGATATCGCGTTCCAGCCTAGAGATCCGACCCTCATGATTCCCTAGCATCCCCTCAGCGTCCACAAACCTCTCTTCAGCTGCTCGCTTCATACGGCCAAACACCTCGTCCCGACTCGTAAACTCATCCACCGTCCACTGGTTCAGCCGGCAAAAGTCCGAATGGATCCGGTCGTTGTCGCCGCACTGCTCCTCTTGGAATGCTTCGAGGCGTTTGACGTGCGTTTCGAGGGTGGAAAGCCGGGCGAGGCCTTGGGAAGCCTGGGTGGCGGCCGTCGCCATGCGGGACTCGAGCTCGGTGAACTTTTGGGAGACTAGCTGTGTGAGTTTGCTCTCGATGTCGGACGTTGTGCTGGTTTCGGCTGATGCATGCGGTGCAGACGTGGGTATCGATGCTGCATTAGCCATTGCCAACTTTTCCAGATCCTTCAACTTCTGCAGCAGCGCCTCGTTGCGCAATGCACACAGATCCTCAACAGACGTCCTGGCCACAGTGTGGGTCCTCTCCATGGCTTCAATCACCCGCTTCTGTTCCGCGAGCTTCGCTTCACAAGCAGCCAAACTCGTTTTCAGCTGGTGAATCTCGCTAGCGGCTAGTCTCGCAGACATGTCCGTCGATGTGCGGTGGGTCTGAGATGCTTTCGGACTTAACGACCGTGCGCCTGCGCCGGGGGCTTTATTTGTTTTTTTCATGATGGGGGTTCTCCGTGCTGGACGTGTTCTAGCCGGGGCGGATCTGGGCGTTGATTGCGTAAAGAAGTCTAAGATTCGCTCCTCCTGTGTGCTGTAGAGTTGTTCCTCCTCTACGTGTTCGTTTCTGCTTTCCGGTCGTGCCGGTGGTCGGGATGCAGGCTGGGACGGTCCGGCAAAAGGTTGCGAAACACCAGCCGACGAGACATCATCTTCCATAAATAACGCCTGCGTGGATGTTTGTTCCAAGTCTTCATTTATCTGACTCGCATGACTGGCTTCCTCCAGCGAACTCGACTGCGTCATCTCCCCACTCGTCGAAATGATATGGGCCTCCCACAGTTCCAGTAGCGAAGCCCAATCATCCCCCGATTTGCCCTCCGGCGTCCACCAATAGTTCTCCACCACGTATCGATACAGATGCGCCTGCAACTTCCTTTGTTGTTTGGGACTTCTCTCCTTCTGCACGAGGGAGTCGATGTGCTGTGCAACTCGAGCAAAATCCGTCTCTAGGAGGTTCTTCAATCGCTTTTGGAGTCGTGTCTCCCGCACATTCTTCGCATTTTTCTCCCAGGAATTGATAGGTTTTCTCATCTTGAGTAGGGATTCCTTTACGGGGTTGAGTTTGGTCTTGCAGTCGGTTATATTCTGGCTGTAGCCTGCAAAGAGGCTTGCCGCATCGTCTGATGATAAGCTTTCCGCTGATACTGGCTTTCGATTCAATGGCGCCCTCGGCTCCTTCAGTGAGGAAGATGTTCCAACTTTACCAGTCGGTATGGCTTGTGCGCTAGATGACGGTGACTTCTGACATGGCCTGTGCGCTCCACTCGAAGACCCCTGCTGTGTATCCTGATGCCACCAGTTGGTCTCATGCTCCGAATCGATGACGGGGGTTTGCTCCTCCCAATCGTCAACTAGCACCTGATTACGGCGGTTAACCCTCAGCTTCTTTGAGTTGGATAAGGAGGCCTGAGCTGGAGTGGGGCTGGCGTTTGGTGTAGAAGAGTCGGATTCATCGATCATGCTGATTTTGCTCACGGGCGCTGTTCCATCGCTGTCTTTCGATTGACTCGCGACAGCGGGATATCGTGATTTCTTCATCGCCACACCGTCTGATGGTGCAGTAGACTCTCCGGGTCTCGATCCCGTCGCAAAAACACTCCTTTCGCTCTCTTGACCACGCGTAGATGTCCGCACACCCTGACGCGGTACCGTGGGCGTCGCCACCGCCGCAGCATTGGCCGGTTTTCCACCCACATGCCGTTTCCTGCCCCGAGGCTGCTCGACCACATCGTCGTCGTCCTCGATGAGTATGACGTGCGACACGGCTCTTGCCGGAACCGCTTGGCTCGCGCTGGATCCCGACTTTCCAATAGTCTCAGCCCTCTTTTCTGCTGGTAAGACAGCCTCCTTCTTCCCAGTCCCAGAAGATTTCGCCTGGTGCGTTTGTAGCGGGACGGCCCTCGTTTTTCCATTGGTCGAGGGAGAAGCGTGGTTCGAAGGCGATTGTATAGCCGCCCGCTCTGCTGCCAGCTGCGACGCCGGAGGTTTGCTTGGAGATAAGCTTTGCGAAACCATCTGGGAGCTGTGATATGTGGGAGAATTTGCGAATGAAATTCGGTAGGATGAAGGTAAAAGGGCGAAGACGTGTGTTCGGAGTGGGCGTCAAAGTGCTGGGTACTTACAACAGCTCCCTTGGATCCTCCCCGAATAAAAAGTCGTCGTCTTCTTCGTCGTCCATGCTGTCCTTGTGTACGGTCCGATTGTGCAATAAGGATGGGCCTATGGATGAGTTTCGACAGAGTTGAAATTTCTGGCTTCTGACGGGTCGCAAGTTCTCGCAACGCACAGGGCAGATCGCGCTGCCTTCTGAAGTCGACACATGAACTAGCACAACCTACCCTGAAAACCAATGGGCCGCCGTTTTGTTTCGACATGAATTCTCATCACGAATCCCTGAGGCTCAGCGTACTTCCACGAGTTCTGGCTCTGCCTTGGCTGGCCTGTCGTCGAATTTAGAAGGAAACGTCAAAATAATGGAAACCTTGCAAGTCGGAAACCGGACGACTTGCTCACAGTTTTTGGAATCTTCTGATCAATGAATGCCAATGCCACAGTTTCATCTTTTCCCTTGTCCGTCCAGATGCAGGTTGCGTCCATGCCCAGATCCAAACGATTGGCTTTCGAAGATTCGCGTACTGTCATTCCTGCTGTCATTTTCCCAGGGAAACGGGGACACCACCATGAACCAGATATCCAAACTGCATGCGCAATAAGCACACGGACGTGCAGAGCTGTCTGATAACTCATAGAAAACGTTGGTAACCAAGTTCCATTGTAATCGGAGCTCCCTTGCACTGCATGTATAGTAGGACGACGACTGGCTTCGGGCGGCAGGGGTCCAAGCGTTTAGAAGTAAAGAGTCGGAACGACCGGCCAAAGACGCAACCTCCTCTGGGACCAAGCTTAAATTCTTGAGTGCTGATGGTCCACTGCCTGTCTTTCTGGTACGGTATTCTTTAGCGATGTCGCAGTTTCATAGCACCGGATCTGTCTCAAGTTTCCTTCCAGTTGGTACGATCAGCAAACATGCATCAAAGCGTCAGCTGAAGATAGTTACTCCAGCGCACACTATTGCGAGTACACCTCTCTCATACCTGAGACAATTTGACCCATAAGTAGAGTGCCATCATCATTGTGAACACATAGGGCTAATTCAGTGCAGCTTGCCTACAGCGTCGATGCATGGTCTTGGTCGCCGGATCCCGTTCTTTGTGCGATAGATGCACCACCATTACGGATCAACACTCTCACGTCTAATACGACCCCTCAAAATGAAGACCAACGCTCATGCTGGTCGTGAGATACAAACGGATCGCCCGATGTTCACTTCCAGTCCGGAATCTTCACACCTAGATCAACGCTCATGCGTCGACTGAAAAATCAGAGCGCCCCACAGTCTCACCCTCGGCGCGAGCGTGTGTAGATCGACGGCCATGTCCGCAGACAGCCTTCACAGGCATCGACCCCGTTGTACGTGGCGGGCTTCGTGCGCCCAGATTGCCCTCGCATACTCACTGCCCGACCAGCCGCTCATCCGAAACGAACATCCGCAGGGAGTCTGAGGCAAAGAACTGAGGAGACGCTTGAAGAAATGCTCGACAAGACCACTCGGTCTTGCGGGCTTCAGGAGAATCTGTCGCGCAACGCCATAATCGAACGCAACGGACGTCAGGATAGCTTTGGAACGTCGTTTCCGGAACTTCAAGAAGCGCTCTCACCAACATGTGGTCAGCGTACCACGACGTCCGCGGTCTCCACTGACATACGGTGCACCGCGATGCGGCTGAGGAGATGCTTGAAGGGCTTCACCTACAGTGGCCGTTCTGACACTACGCACCGGACCTGGTAGAAGTTGGCTTCGTATACCAGACGGTTTTGAAGCGGTAGAGACGGCGATGCTGTGGAGCACGCAGGAGGAAGCCAAGCCTCACCGGAAGCACCCTCACGACGTGGTGGCGACCCATGCCAGTTGCCCCAGAAACTTCTCCGTGCCGCCTCTCCCTTGCGGTGCAGCTAACCTTCAGGCAAAATGGAACAAATGCTGTGTAGCATCGGTGCATACGCATGGATGTACGACGAAGAGCGGCTAACTGGATGCCACCGTCCATGCGCAAGGCAACTACTTTCAGCGTGTCATCGATTCAGTGAAAGTTGGACGACGACTCGACGTGCATACGTGCATCAAAGACTCATCAGGCATGCAGACGTTGGCACCGCACATATGTACGTACGCACACTGGATTCGCCTACACTCATGGAGCATTGTTGCATACATGGTCGAATTCAAGAGAATTCACCTGAGGACTCCAGGAGCACGGCCATATCCACAAGGAGACGCAGGGGAACACCGACACGACTAGCCAAGCAAAACGCGTCGCCTTTGGTTGGTGGACCTCGGGATGAATTCGTTTTAGCTCAAGTGACTGGTTACCGTGGGTTCGCCAGTACGCGCCGTCCCTGGTATGGGCAAAATTGAATGCGCCAGAACAAGGGTCCCTTCAGGCACCCAAATTCAACACCGCGACTGACACTTTTTGACGTGATATAGGGCTCGGAAAGCAAGAACAAACTCCGATAGGAATGTGGGATATGCCGGTACGACACTGGACGTTTGGCGCCCGGAGTGGTTTTGTGGTGATAAGGAGCATTTGGAGAGCTGGGTCAGGTACATGCGACGCCATGAGTGCAAGCTTTATGATCAATTTGGATGCCTTTGCGCGAAATCGGTGGGTGCAACACACATCTGCCGGCCTTCAGCTAGAAGTGTTGAGAATGTAGGAATCTTGTAAACCAACGCCCCTCTCGGACTTGCCGGTTTGATTCAATTTGGGTTAAAGGTGTTCAGAGAGCGCTATCGACACTGAAGACCGTGTTAGGAACGTGCCAGCGTGCACCTGTAGTCCGCACCACCATCTCTCCACAACAACCTTTTTCCATATCTCAATACGTGTACCAAAGCCAAGTTATCGCTGTCGCCTCCGTCTCGCCCCTTCTGCCGGACTCGCGCAAACCCCCGGCATCATCTCTCAAGGGCCTGCAACGAGCAGCAAGAGCAACCTTCACATCCTCGGTGGACTCAACCGCCGACACCTTCTTTGCGCCTTCCGACTCCTCCCTTCTTCCATCGGGGTTGCAGCAAGCCGAGCCGCCCTACCATCATTGCGCTGACATTGGGTTCCTTCCAGTCCCTTCCACTTACCCCCGCTCGCTGGTTTAGAGAACTTAGAGTGAGGTTACCATCAGCGCTCGCATCGCCGAGTCTGATCAATGCCTTCCAAACAGCATTCCCTACATTCTGTATCAACCCAGGACGAAGATCCAGCCCCCCACCGCCAGGCAGTCCTCCATCCACTCTCCACATCAAGTCAGGACGAAAACCGAGCCCTCCGCCAGGCACTCCGCCATCCACTCTCCACATCAAGTCAGAGGACGAATGAAGCCCCCGCCGCCAGGCAGTCCCTCTCCATATTGAATCACAGCGAGGACCAGCCCGCCGCTGAGCAGTCCAATTTCAGTATCAGAGTTCAGGTCGCGACTCGAAGCACCCACGCTGTCAGAATCGTTCGTCAAGAACGGGACGCTCTTCCTCAAAAAAATAAGTCAAGGGAGCTTTCCTTCCTCCCGTCATCCTCCCACGTTCTGCACGTGAAGCGACCTCACAAACCGGAACACTCCGTCAGTCTGAAGCCGAGCTATCCAGGCCGGTCAGCACAACTCCCGGCATTTCGAGTGCGCCCATGTCCCCTAGACACCAAGGGTTCCGGACGAGCCTATGCATCCGCCGCGCATCGCAACCATCTTCCAATCCGCACATTCGCACAGGTGCATCGAACATCTGCGCGACCGAGGTGTTGGTGGAACTGACATGATCAGCCCTTTGGAGCTGCTGAGAAGACAACATACCAAAATCGCTCGGATAGTAGCATCTCCGCACGCGGGGTTCCGTACGGAGCTACGTTTTCCAACACTCCCCTGCCATAGCATTGCCAACGTCTCGTGAGCTTCCCTTCAAGTCTTAGTTCATCAAGAAGACTCTCAAAACAGAGAGCGGTTATCTTCACCGCCATCAGAGATGTTTGCAACACGATCAAGAATCCGCCTGCTTGCAGCTGCTGCATCACGATGATCGACCACTCTCTAATCCCGCACCTCCATTACGGTCAAATGAGCACAATCCATAAACCCGCCTACTCATCTCAGCGGGGACCAAGATGTCTTCACAAGTTCAACCTAGCTCAAAAGATATACCCACCGGTCTCGCACATTCACTACGACTGAAGAGCAACTTTGTGACGAAAGATTTCACAGGACTCGGTGGTCTCACTCCATTAAGCCCATATCAACACGATAGACTGCGTTATGTCATTGAGCGCAGTGTATCACAAGAGAACCGGTCTCTCACTGGTCTCTCACTTTCGTAACGACGAACTCAACCCGATCGACAAGATACCGGCCGCATCAACTCCTAATATCCTGACAAGCTCGATGTCACGACCTAGATCACCCAGTCACTCAACGCATGCAACAACGAGCCAGCGCCATATGCTGGATCTACTCAGGGCTGGAAGATATGCTCTCTAGCTCAACGTCACAACGTAGATCGCGGACACCATGGTATCTGACATCCTCACGGCGGTTCAGCGTGGATTCGCGGGGCTCAATTCCCTGAACGTTCCGGCCCGGGTCTCCAACAAAACACCCTCGCTCCTTCCCGTTACACCTCGAACATACCTTGGTATGCCCTTGACTCGCACCGGCTGCCCCACGAAATTCTGATGGCCACCCTTACGCATCGTTTTCTTGCACTGATGAACGACGCGTTCCGTTATTCAAAGGCGTTTCTACATGTGACATTCGGACGCTTCTATGTGACGTTTCCAAACTTCCCTCTTTCCCATCGACTACGTATCATTGTGTTGAAAAATATATATTGGATTTCACTATTCGTTTCGTGGAGACTCGTGTCATTGAGATTGGCTCATTTGCAGCGCATGCGAAGGCTGCGAAGGTTCATTGGCAGAGGAGCTGGGGGCACAAAGAAGCGGCTGGAGGGGAGGATTCAAAGGTTCAGCAGGTCACCGGAAGTCGCAATCTTAACGCGTTTTGTTCTCTCGCGGATAGAACCATCTCATAACCGCATAGAGCAGATTCCTTTCGTAGACACTCCCGTTCGAGTGCCGCAGACGTAGAGTACCCGCCTAGATGATCCTTCCCGTTGTCGATACGCAACTGGTGCTGCCAGACGGTATCAGCGACTACATTCTCATCAGCGGGCAGCAATCCCCGCTCACAGCAGCGAAAGCGGATTCGTATTTCCTGAGGTTGTTTCCCAGCCTATACACTTGCGAGGAGACTATTGACATAGATACGTTCTCGAAGACCTTTGGAGCGTGCGAGAAAGAAACTAGCGACGTTTCGCAGCGCGGCGGATTGGTGCCGCATGATGCGAAGATCAGTCACAGCCGGGAGCGACTGGACCCTGGGGAAATTTCCGAAACACAAGACTCGCTTAAAGATTCTATGGAGGTGCCGAGCGGTGAAAATGGATTGAAAGGCTCACCGACCGAGAGTGGTGGAATGGAAGATCCGGCAGGTTCTTCGGGTCCGGAAAATACTGACTTCAGCTCTGAGGCACCCAAGAGAAGTGCAGAAGGTCCGACGATAGCGGGAAGCGCATCAACCTTCCACGACAAGGAGACTGATCAAGATGGCGATGATAGTTCTCGGAATTCGTCTCGCTTCCAGACAAGTGAAGAAAAAGGCGACTTTTGTGAGGCCAAAAGCGACGGAGGACAAAGCCTGTGCGCTGATAGTCGAACAGGGACGGTAAAATCTATCGCTGACGTTGACTCGGAAATGGAAGCAATCGCAACCGGCGGGGACCAATCTGCGATCAAGGCGATGGGTCCGAACACAGATTCGGCGTCCGACGTGCATGCGACTCATTTAAGTGGTAATGGTCCATCGAGAGCATCAGCCGCGGGTGAATCGCCCACGGATGCTGTGCCAGCTTCCTCTACCAAAAGCCGCCAAACTCCGTCTAGCACAAGCGTCGTACGTCAAGTCAGTTTCGATGATCCGCGCTCCAACACGGCAAAGCTCGCTAGCCCGCGCCGAAGAGCCAACCCCGCTCGTGCCGCCAGAAAATCCATATCGACGGGCCCTCGGAAGTCTATCAATACGCTTATCGACGACATGAGAAATGCCGCACTCATGAACATGGTTTTGGAAAGCAAACACGAACCAAAAGACGAGCACAAAACCGTTGGGGTGATCCAGGCTAAGGCTACGACTGTGGTCCAACAAGACGATCCGGAAGTTGGAGCTACTCACCCGCTAGTCGAGCGAAACGAAGGAGGAGATTCACCACAAGGGTCCACAAGCATTGTCGACCTTCGCGCTTCCGAAACGCAACAAGGTGCCAACCTGGGAGGTTCGAACTCCCATGTGCAGCAAGATCCCGCCGACCCGGAGAAACACACTTCAATTGAGAATGTCCCCGAAGATTCGGGGGCGGAGGACAAGGTGCTTGCCGGAAGTCCCGAAGAAGAAATAAGTCATGGAGAAAGCCCAACCAACGAAACAGGTCACGAGGCGGCGCCGACCCGAACGGAAAACGATTCCGTGCCGATCAAGGAACCGAGTACTTTCTCCCGACCGCCACAGGTGCGGGGTTCCGGCGGCGCGGCTGACCTTATCAACGGCTCCCAAAACGCGATTGAGGGGTCTGAGCCCTCACCGAGTGCATGGGGTCAAAGTAGTGGTGGGGAGACTTCTGCGTCCGAAGATAATGGCGGCAATCTGATAGGCGGATCTTCGGCGGCGGACCAATCAAGTTCCTCTAGCTCCGACGAGCCAGCCGAAATGAGTGCGATACTTCTACCAAAGGCGACGTTGGAAGCACCACTTCGATCACTGCCAGATCCCGTCTTTATGGCGGACGATTCGATCGTAGAGCCATCTTCCATCACGTTCCTCAACAGTGAACTGGAGCCCTCCCAAGACTCGTTGCCATCGTTCGATTCTCCGGCGAGGAGTATTCTCCCAGACATACCAAAGCCTGTGGCTACACCGTCACCATTGTCAAGTGAGGTGCGGCGCCCGCGCAACCCCCTTCTGGATAGTGGAGAGGCCGGCGTCGAGGCCCCCTCATTGGAGCTCGATATTTCGACGTCATCGATTCCCTCAGAGCTCAATTTTCTGGGTGACTTGAGTCCAGAGCGGAAAAAGGTGGAGAGAGCTGATTCTTGGGCTGTGGTTGGAGGTGATGAGAAATCGTGGCCGAATGCCGATGGAGAGGGAAAGATTGGGTTTCTTGAAGATATTGTTGAGGAGACTCGGATTGACGACATTGGGGGCGGCGTCGACGTTGGCGACGTTGCTGAAGTCCCAGCCAGCTTTGATAACATTCCTGAAGAGGGACGGTCTGTCGAGGGGGTTCAGGCAGAGGTAACAATGGATGATCTGAGGCAGGCAGAGCAGAACGAAAGACGAGAGGGAGTGTCAGAGGACGCAAGTTCTTCCAGCGGCACTATGTCGGAACCACCGACTGTGAATGGTGAAGAAGCCTCAAAAGCGACCGACGTTGCAAGTGCAAGTCCGTCCGTACCGATCGATACAAACAAGACCCGGCCCAAACCCGCGGTAACACCCTCAACGCTGGGTGGAAGCAAACTTCCCCGCTTCTCGCGCGATCGTGCGAGCAGCAATAAGTCAAGCGCGAGCGAGCGTGCAGCACTGGAATTCGCTCTTCAGTCGATACAGGAGAAGAAGCAGCATCTCCAGTCGCAAATTGAGAAGCGCACGGAAAGAACTGCTGGAAAAAGTACGACGGCTGATACGTCCTCCGCGCCCGCAGACCGCGATGAGGGCATGTCAAAACTGGACTTTCTGCCTCCCGAATATCAGACCCGGGCAACGAAGCGCCGCGTCAACCCTCCGCCATCGACGCAATCCCTTTCAAATCTCACTGAGGCTCAACTAGACGCGCTCGTACGGCAAAACAATGCCAGGAACGGGGTTCAGAAGTGCGTTCTGGTGAAGCAGCCGATGCCGGCCGCCAAACTGAAAGGAATGAATGTAAGCCCGAGCACCAAGTTGAAGAATCGGATGGAGCAACGGAAGAAAGTGGGAACTGGGTTGTCGTACACGGGCGGAGAGCCATCGAGTAAGCTGCCAGGAGAGGGATCTGAGAACAATAGCAGTGCCGTACAAAAGGATGATGGAGGGGAGGAGGAAAGGGAGAGGCAGCGCAAGATCCGGTGGCGTAACTCGCTTGTCAATGTGGTTGAGTACAATCCGCGGCAGAAGATCTCTGTCATGATGGAAGCGAGTCAGCCACGAAACCCGCTGGCTGGCGACAAGAAGAGTGGGAACGAAAAGGAATTCGAAAGTGACAAGGGGAAGGCGGCGGAAGGCGAAGGCCAATCGGAGTCTGAAGATGCCTTCAGCGACACGAACATCAAGGTCGCTGCTGATCTGCCGAAGGAGGAAGGACTTCACGAGCAGCCGGAGTCCGCAGGACAAAGCGACGCTAATGTCACATCGAGCAACACCTCCGAGCGCCAGCCATCTACCGAACCCGCATCCAACACCGCATCCGGTCCGCTCAAGCCCCTGCACCTTCCCTTGAAGCCAGCCTTGAAACACGAAATGGCCGCCTATCCCAACATCTCGTCTCCCGAACTCCGCCGAACGGAGGTACCGGTCTACGTACTCCCGCCTGAACCTGAGATTCTTCTACCTCCCAGATTCGGGGCGGGCAGGGGACGCGGAAGGGGTAGGGGACGTGGGAAGGGTCGATGATGAGGTCTAGGGCCAATGCCATGTCGTCGAAGGACTGGACGCGGTCGCGGCGTCGCTGTCATGACGGCACAATACTGAAGCTTAGCACCGTTTTCTTCAGAATGTATACATGTGTACAATACATAGCCGTTCGTCCGCCCAAATATGGCTAACTGCAGCGATCGCGCTCTCCAAAAACGCATTCATTTACAACAGGCATAGAGCGAAGTTGGATGTTTCCAATGACTACCGATCCAAATCCACTGGTGCCCAATAGAAGTGCATGAACCGCTCGTCGGCTACAGATTTCACGTAATGCGGCGGGATGTCTCCCCACCAGTCCCTGCCTGACCGCATAATGGGGATTAATGATCCGCAAGTCAACTTCGCAGCTTCGACATCGACGGTCAACGACCTTCGTGCCTCCACTACGACATTGGCTTTACGTTAAATTTCCGTACATCCGTTCACCTCGTTGATACGAGACCCTTCCACGGTCCAAACGCTGCGCCCTGTGCATCTTGTGCATGCCAAGACTCCGCAGGCCCGCCTTGACGATTTCCAAGGGTCCCGCAACTAGACCACGCGTCGCAAGTCGGTTTCCCTGCGGACGCGCCTCCCTCCTCGGATTACCTCTGTTCGGAACGCGATCTCCCGCTTTGGATTCCCGTTGCCCGACTCCACAGGAGCTGTTGCATCCAAACGCTGAGGAGCCACTAGTGCCCGCAGTACAGCCGCCGGGGGCCATCAAAATCACCCAGGACGACTGCTGTCCCGACGGTAGCCAGCGCGATCTACTTTCCTTGCCCTCCGTACACGCAATCACCGCCAGACAGTCACCGCGTTCTTGAGCAGTCCTAAGATGGCGTCCGACAGCGAGTGAGAGGTGCTCGACGACGCTGTCGTACGGCTCTTCGCTGATAATTCTCTCACCCCAAGCGCATTCATTGAGGCGCTATTCAAGGACATTGAGGCAGCGGCGATTGCGCACAAACGCTCTAGAACTTTATAAGGCACAGTTGAACCGGCTAGTAGAAGATGCAAACAGCCTGTACATCACAGCAAAGAAGGAACAGGATGCAGATCAGACCGCAGTCACCGGAGCGCTAGATTACTTGAAAAGAATCAAGAGGTTCATAGATAGCAAGGCAAGTGCACCTCATCGAGTATCTTCCCCATTACCCCATTAGATAGGGTCATTCAGTCGTACTCCCTCACCCCGTATGAGCGCAATGCTTCCAGGGCGGGAGGTTAAAGCGAGTGGCGCGAAATGCGTCCAAAGTGCACGGCTGCGATGGCGGGTCTGGAACTCCCTCACCCCGTATGAGCGCAATGCTTCCAGGGCGGGAGGTTAAAGCGAGTGGCGCGAAATGCGTCCAAAGTGCTCCGGACCCTTCCTCAAGTACAATCTCTCGTCTTTGTTTTGCCACTCTCTTGATTACTGACATCACCTCCCGCGTGAGGCCAACAATGTTACGAAGTTCTTCACAACCTACTTCGAAGAGGTTGCCTCAGGGCCCAAAAACAACAGAGTTTTCACATCGGGAATGTGCACACTCGCCGGCCAGGTCGCTTCCGAGCTTGGCCCGAAGCGTGCTTTCAGCCCAGAGCGACACCTGGCCTCGCCACCAGAACGGATCGCACCAAAGCGACGGAAAACCAATGTGCGCGGTTTAGGCAAGCCGAACATCAAAACACCGAATGAATTTGAGTTGCGCCCAGTACTGAAGGAGTGAGTCAATGGAGAGTTACTGGGTTGCGTCCTCTGCTGCGCAACGCTGAAGATCTCCCTCCCTGACAGGCTACTGGCGGTCGAAATCATACCAGTACTGAAGAGCCGACGTCAGGAATTACCGAACTATCCGGAGCTCCTGAAAGAGCTGGAGTCGTACCAGTTTATTACTTACGTAGATGAATGCATACGTGAATGGATTTTGAAGCTGGCAGCGGTACGAGCGTTGGACGCATGCGTCTCGCATTTTGATCAGCTCACTGAGTCGGGCTTCACTCTTAGCTGGAAATGCACGAAGCTGGGGTGAGCTTCAAGGACAACCTAGTGGAGTACTCAAATGAGAGGCATAAACATATCGCCTTTCACACGCTGTATGATCGTCTCCTCAAAATCAGCGGGATACATTGCCAAATAGTTAATCGTTGGTGCGTTTCTATCCCTATGCATCCTTACCTACGCATGGATCGGAACGGAAGTTCCTTCTTGAGCGCATTACCCAACTGTTATCCCTGTTGGAGCATTGCACCGGTGAAGTGCGCCGAGCCTACATCGAAGCGCAATATCACGTGGATGTTCTGGGTTGTTCTGCAGAGAACCAATATGAAGCATATACGAAGCGGAGGATAGCTGCTGGAAGTGGGATGCGCATCGTGTTGAGCACGGACACTGTCTTGTGGGATGGGAGCGTGGTTCTCTGTAATTTGGTGAATCTAGGCATATGATCCAAAGTCTAAGGGATATTTTTCTCTAATAGGATAGCACAAGTGCTTCGCTGCTTTATTTTTGGGCCTAGATTCTTCCTGTCCGCCTGAATTTGGCCATATTATCCTTGCAGTGGATGGAATTAGGCATAGGTTCTTCCTACTCAAATCGATAGCACGAGCTGGTCAGGACCTCAACAGGGTACCTCACAAACTCGCCACTGACCGCTACGCACAAACAGCAGGGGCCAGGCGGGCGATATGGAAGCCCAGTCCCGCGTTCACCATCTGCCGGCTTACCCGCTTAGTCCAGCAGCAGGGTTCTTTGGCACAAAGCTAGCACACTTTTGGACTCCTTGGACACAGTGCTTGGTGAACCTATCCGTCCAAACCGGTGGGATAGCACTCCAGTGCTGAGACGGTGTGCCGTCCTCGTCCACCCTCCTGTCCCGCTGAACACGGAAGCCATTATTTGCCTTCCTGGAGTGAGCCCCAACAACGGAGAGGTATATGCAGTCCTCACGTGGCTTCCTTTCCCCAGATGCGTAAGAATTGTGCAAGGATGTCCCTTGTAAAAATCGAAATCTGAGGTGGATGCTGAGGTGGATGACTCGGTGAGGTGTGGCGCAGGGCGGACAAGTCCCTTGTCAAGTTCCTCACAGTTCGGCTCTGGACGAGGCTTGTTCCTAACGATCTCTGAAGGACATCGGCCGCCCCGTTTGCAACCACAGCGCTTGCAGCTCCGGCCCTCCGTTGTTATAAAGAGGACAGCAGCTGCTGCAAGCCCCGAAAAAGTTAAAGCGCTCAACTTCAAACGCAATGTCGGAATCCGCTGCTGCAAAGCTCGCCGAGGAGGTGAAAACCGCCGTGACCGCTGTCGCCGATGGGGTCAAGGAGGCCGTGAAGCCGGCAAAAGCCAAGAAGGCTAAGGCTCCCGGTGGGGATGCTTCGCCTTTGGAGGTAAGTTCTCCGGCAATTTCAGTGAATCAAGCCTCGAATTCCCTTAACAACCTTTTGGACCGGCCGCTTCTTCGAACGACCAGATCACCCCTCGTCCAGAGTACATCGAATACCGCGTGAAGATGTTCGAGAAATTGAAGAAGGAATATGACGATGAAGTTGCGAGTACGCATCATGACCTTGCCCTCCAGGAAGTCAAGGCCTGCTGGTTAACAATTATCTTGTGTTGGCAGAGAAACCGCGCGACGACATTGTGGTCACTTTGCCTGACGGCAAGAGTGTAAACGGCAAGGCATGGGAAACCTCGCCTTTGGACATTGCCAAATCCATCAGCAAGTCGTTATCCGAGAAAGTTGTCATCTCGAAAGTGGACGGTGTGCTTTGGGATCTCCCGAGACCGCTTGAGAAGTCTTGCAAGTTGCAGCTGCTCACTTTTGAGGACCATGAAGGTAGATGGCAAGGTGTGGTAGGATTTGAGGGAGGGCTACGGTGCTCACGGTGTTTTTCGTCGTTCGTCTCGCAGGGGAGCAGGTGTACTGGCACTCATCTGCGCACGTCTTGGGAGAGGCGTGCGAGCTTCACTATGGATGCCATTTGTGTCTGGGCCCCCCCTTGGAGGATGGGTTCTATTATGAGATGGGAATGGACAGGTAAAGCCCGGGACGCGTTGCTGTCAAACAACAGATGAGAACGCTGATAATCGTTGTTCCGAAAGGTCTGTGCAACCCACGGATTATCCAGCGCTGGATACGCTGGCCAAGAAGGCCATCAAGGAGAAGCAACCATTTGAGCGTCTAGTGATGACGAAGGAGCAACTACTTGAGATGTTCAAGCATAACAAGTATAAGCAGCACTTCATCGACAACAAGGTTCCCGACGGCACATCTAGTACCGTCTACCGTTGCGGGCCGCTGATCGATCTCTGTTTGGGACCCCATATTCCCCACACCGGCCGGATAAAAGCTTTTGCTGTCACCAAGGTGAGTCGCAAAGAGTTTCATACTTTGAACATGCTTTGAGCGAGTCTAATCCGTCTGTTCCCTAGAGCTCCGCATCGTACTTCTTGGGCGATGCCAACAACGACTCCCTACAACGTGTTTACGGAATCTCATTCCCCGACAACGAGAGGATGAAGCAGCACCAGGAGTTCATGAAGGAGGCTGCCGCGCGTGATCACAGGAAGATTGGAAAGGTACCGTGGATGGAGGAGCCATTGGTGCTGGCAGCTCATTCGGCTAAACCGCATCGTCAACAGGAACAAGAGCTGTTCTTCTTCGACCCTCTCAGCCCTGGAAGCTGCTTTTTCCTTCCCCACGGAGCAAAGATCTACAACAAGCTCCTGGAACTGCAAAAGAGCCAGTACCGGAAACGGGGATACCAAGAAGTCATTACGCCGAATATGTACAACACCAAGTTATGGGAGACCAGCGGGCACTGGGAGAACTACTCGGTAAGTCGCGTCGCTCCCCGTTATCACTATGTGTTGGTGCTGATCAATGGTTCTACCAGGAGGACATGTTCGTCTTGGACATCGAGAAAGAAAAGTGGGCATTGAAGCCCATGAACTGCCCCGGCCATTGTGTCATGTTCGGACACCGCGATCGATCATACCGCGAGTTGCCATTGCGGTTTGCGGACTTTGGAGTTCTGCACCGTAATGAAGCTTCCGGCGCGCTTACGGGGCTTACTCGTGTGCGACGCTTCCAGCAGGATGATGCGCACATCTTCTGTACCCTCGACCAGGTATGTGTGGAGAAAGCAGCAGTCGGCCAACGAAGATACCTAGTTTTGACTTGATTTGTGCGCATTCTAGCTCCAAACGGAGATGGACAGCTGCCTTGACTTCTTCCAGGCCATTTACGGCATCTTCGGTTTCGACTTTACGCTGAAACTCTCCACCAGGCCAGAGAAGTTCTTAGGAGAGGTTGAGACATGGGACAATGCCGAAAAGATTCTGGAAAACGCGCTCAACAAGTTCGGCAAGAAATGGCAATTAAACCCAGGAGACGGAGCCTTTTACGGACCCAAAATCGACATTGTCATTTCTGACGCCCTCCGCCGCAAGCATCAATGTGCCACCATCCAACTCGACTTCCAACTCCCTCAACGATTCCAACTCCAATACCGCAGCAAGGACATGACCTACGAACGCCCCGTCATGATTCACCGCGCCATCCTCGGATCCCTCGAGCGATTCATCGCCATCATCACCGAGAACTTTGGTGGCAAGTGGCCATTCTGGCTGTCGCCACGTCAAGTGGCCATCATCCCCGTTGCCGCCAAGTACAACGATTACGCGCAGGAGATCCAGAAGCTCTTATTCGAGAAAGGCCTGGAAGCCGAAGCTGACCTCAGCGACGTTACCCTGAACAAGAAGATTGCGTACGCGGACACTGCGGGTTGGAACTTCACCTTCGTTGTTGGCGAGGAAGAGGAGGGCGCTCGTACCGTCAACTGCCGGGACAACTACGTCAACAAGGACCTGAAGTTTGGAAAGAAGGGCAAGGTTATACCGCTTGATGAGATCATTGCCAAGCTGGTGCATCTCTCGGAAACTAGGGCTTTGAGTCAGGACATCTAGAAGCATCTCGTGTTGTAGACTGAGCCTGAGAAGATTCTGTACTTCGCATCATCAAAAGAAACTATAGATTGTACATATGAGTCGTGCCATAATAAATGACGCGTGTCTGGTCTACAAGAGTCCGCATTCTTCTGATCAATGTGACTTGAGTAACGTGGGGCTGCCGCCCATGCGAGCTCAGAACGTACAGACGTATGCGCCGACGACAGGTTCGTTTTTCGCACGAGACGGCGCGATGATCTTAATATCGCTCTTTTCGCGGTTCCAGAGGAAGTGGAAGCTTTGGAGACAATCAGGAAGTTTTAGGCTTGCAAGGGTATCGGGGGACCAACTCCGTCTGAGAACTATGGCGAGTCGGAAGGCTTTTTGTTTTCCTCTTGCTTTCTACACGCCTGGTCGCACAGAATAATCCGATTCTGAATATCCTTCGGTTGATGTGAAAAGACAAGCGGCATTGATACTTATGACAAGTTGAGCCAACCGCGACTAGCATCATTATGAAAGATGTGAATTCAATGAGTTATGTACAACGGGAGAAGGTATTGGGCTTGCGTCAACGCACGGCTATACAGCATAGCTGAGTACGCAAAGTCGCAAAGTCGCCAAGTCCGCAACAAAGCATGCCAAGGTCTAGATTTATAGAACTACAGATCTAAGCCTTGAGCACCTCCTTCAGAACCGTGTCCAAATCCTGCTTGGGCAAGCCCAAGATCGCGCGAGACTCAGCGACGCCCTTCTCATGGTTGGCATGAGCCTCGTCTCCATGATTGTACGCGAGGATAATATCCTGGAACCCACTGAAATCCCCCTTTGCGAGCGCCGCCTTGCCCGACTTGATCAGCTCGTCAGAGTTCGCGTGTGTGACCGTCCATTTGGCGTTGGTGTGCTTCTCGAGGGCGGCGAGGAGCTCGTTTTGGGTATAGTTGAAGCTCTGCGTATAGATGTACCTGTTGGCGGTCTCGGCGGGATGGAGGAGGATGGAGACGATGGAGTCGCCGATTCGAGCCAGTGTGGTGACGGTCGCTTGGGCGTTGCCGGAGTCGATGATGGATGCGGTGTGTTGCTTGAGGTCGAACCGGTAGAAACCGACTTTCAGGCCCTGTGGTGTGAGGGAGAATGGGTCATGAGCATCGCAATTCTGAATCGAGCACGGGGGCCCTGGGATATTTGCAAAAGCAGATTCCTACCCAGTCAAAGAACCCGCCTGTAATGACGCTGGTCCAGGTAAACCCAGGATGCTTTTCAGCCAAGTCAGCCGCATGCTTCGTCTGCAGATACTTGTCCTCAAATATCGGCAACAACGCCCAAGCAGCAGGGTTGCGGGTCTCGCTGCCAAACTCGTTCGGGATGTACCGCTTCACACCAGCCTCAGCGGCGGCGTCCGCGATGCGGTTCTGCGCGGCGCGGGACACGGACCCAGCGACGACGTTGATCACCGCGTCTTGGCCAGTGAAGGCCTTGATGAGGGCGGCCTTGTCGTCGTAGCTAGGGATCTTTATCACCTGGGCGGCGGACGGGAAAGTTGATGTGGATGATTCACGAGATAGCACCGTGACGACGAATTTGGGCTCGGAGAGGAGGGCGGTCAGGATCGAGGGGCCGAGGTTGCCGCCGGCCTGGAGGATGGGATGGGAGGTGAGCACTCAGCAAGCCCTGCATGCATCAAAAGCCATTGCAGATGCTGCAAGGAATACTTACGCCGATGATGAGCACGTTCTTTATTGTTCCGGAATTGCTCATTTTGAGGATCAATGGAATCGAACGAATGGAATATGGGTGGGTGTTGAAGGATTGGAATGCGGATGTAGTGGTATCGTAGAAGTTGGTTGATGGAAAGAAAGACGGACTTGGGCGACCACCTCCCTCCTTTTATAGACGGGCAGTGGAAGAGCGACAGCAAGAGCCCGAGTAGCATAGCACTATCACAGTCCCCCCTTCTGCCACCCACCGGCATTGCCAAAGCCGCCTGCTACACAGCACATTGCGTGCTAGCCGACGCTCAGCCCATCGCAGCGGCGTCCGCTGACTAATCAACCCTCGCTCGGGATTGCGAAAACCACGCATCATACATAGATAGATGCCCGTCGTAGCCGCTCTCGCATTTGTGGCGTCGGCTCGGATTCCGTTACTCGGACCTACCGCAGTTCCCGTATTCTATATAAGGGACTGGAGCAAGGCTTGCGCAATTTCATGGTTTGGTGTGTTTCGCACTCCTCGGAGCTTTCGGAGGACATTGATGACAAACGCGTCTCTCAAGAGCGCCAGGCACATTGGGACATTTCACATCCCATCTTTCGGATTCGGACCTCACCTTGGCTTACATATAGACGCGAGGGTTCGGGTTCGGAAGTCTGTTGCAGGATGACCGGCCATTGACTGACCAGAGCCTTCTCGGTGTGTATGTTTGTCGAATGCTGCCAAGCAAGCAATTGCGGCGAGCAGCGCGACAGCCAAACGAGCAGCCTACGAGCGATACCGAAGTTCTCTGCTAATCAAGAGAGAACGCAAGGCAAAGGCAAAGCCAAGTCCACGGATTCCCCGTCCAAGGAATCCCAGTCCAAGGAATCCTCCTCCGAGGAATCTTCTGGGTCTAAAACTGGGTTGGCCAAGGCACATTCGCAGCTAAACCCAGCGCGTCTTCACAGAAGAGCTCCAGCGTGACTTATCTGCTTACATAAGATTGTTTCCAGCAATATCTTACATAAGCAGCGACATTAAACCGACTGTCACTGTCAAAACATCCAAAAAAAGTTTCGGAAACCTCAACTTCTGCTCCGACCCAAAAACATTTCCTCGGGTGTTTATGACCCTGAATGCGCCCCATACCCTTCTATTCACCGCAGAGAAATAGATGGCAAAGCAACGACAGAGCAGTAAAGATTTGGCAGCCGGCGAATGCAAACATGAGTAGATCAAACTTCGACAAACAGCACTTCTGAGAACGGTACATGGCAGACATTATAAAATGACCCAAGCCGCAAAAGCATCCTGTATTTTGCACCCAGGTTCTGTTTTCGCAAGTGTATATCGTGTGCCTACTGGAATGCACTGTACAAATGAAAGGACAGACGACAGCACATATTGACAACCCTTCGACAGCATTATGTAATCACCCAACCATAAAAAACGTGGATAATGTTTTCGCGCCAAGTCGGGTGGGCATGTGGTTACTCCATATCAGCAACACTTCCGAAAAAAAAAACAGACAAGGCATTGAAGGCAAATTCATCGGAAACACAATGCACTCGACCCCATACCAAGGGCAGTTCGGTATTGAAACAGGTTTGCCGGTGGTTGTCCAACAGTCGATAGTCATGCACAATCACTTGATCTTAGCACCATTCACTGATCAAGTCGGATGAAATTGACGCATGACGTCATTGCGCAGTTGCTTTTCATCCACAACGATTCTCAGTACCGGGTCAGGCGCTCTTCCCGCAATCTCGGATATAAGACGAAACCGCGGTACCGGGCTGGGGATCATGCGGGCGAACGTTTGCCGCCGGACGTCGTGCACTCACTCACACCAAACCTTGCAGCCCGCACACTCCGCACGCCCGACTTTTAAGCCCTAGGGCTTCATCATATCAAAACTATAATATCCATTCTACCGAATGTATCACACCTTTCCGTACACCTTTGCCGTGAATGTATCATCAGCCGTACGCCTTTGCGTGATGGTGGTATTTATGTACTTATGAGGCCTGTGGTCGGAGGTGCGTGGGGTTGCGGCGGCGGTCGCTCAGAAAAAGAGTCCGTCCTCCTGTGATGTCCTGCTTGTCGCTTGTTTTCTGAGGTATCTCCAGCCAATCCTGCATAGCTCAAAAGCTTATTTCGCTTGCCGAAAGCATTCAATCACTTACGCCAGCGACGGCGGTTTTAAAGACATCAAAGTAATATCAAGTAATCGCTCTTCAACAAACCAAACAGGTCATGACGGCTGCCCACAACGCCTGCTCCTCCCTCTCCGCCTCGCCCGGCATCGAGCCCATCCCAGGCTCCCTGCAAGGCTGCGGGATTCCACCGGCGCACACATACCCCGCTTGGACGCCCAACCCCGCCGCTAATGTTAACGCCGTTGCGTTTGCTGTTTTCTTGGTGGCGCTTTCTGCATGGTGGTGTCTGAGGAAGGGGCGGGAGGCTGCTTCTGGGAAGATTGTTGAGGAAGGTATTGACGGAGGCGTAACTGTTGACGAGGAGTTGCCAGCATCAGGATCGACCGCTGAGGCACCTCCGTGCACATCTGCGGCATTTCCTGTCCTCTCTCCCAAGATCATCGCAACACTCGACGATGCATTGCATAAAGTCGCTGCCTCGCCGCTCGTCAATGCTTTACACGACTTGATTGATCGGGATGGTGCTGGTACATGGCCTCCTGAAGCCCTGAATCCGTTCAGCCCGCAACACGCGGATGAGTATCCAGGTGCGTGTATACGATCGAAGCATGATTCCTGCCTTTCAAGAACAAGCTGCAGGAGCTAACATATCCTTGTCAAAAAACAGAGGTTTTCCGCCCATACTTTGAACTCGCGAACGAGGTACCTCCCCGCCTAGCCGTGGAGCATCCCGACCTCGACGACAAAGTCAACCTCGCAAAAATCCGCGCATTCCGCACATGGATGGACAATCGCCTCACCTCCGACATCCCCGACCTCGAAGCCGTCCTAACCACATTGCAGTCCCTACGCACCATCGCCGAAACCGACCCGCTCAACGGCGACAGAGAACTGATCTACACCACCCGCCGCATCCTCAACTTCATCCTCAGCACCCTCACCTGGCTCGCCCACGCATACAGATGGGGCACCATCCCCATCGTGCGTATCGCCCAAGCCGAGAAGACCCTCGAGATCCCACAACAGCTGTTGGTCCCCGTAAGGTACCTGCACACGCAGTACTATGGACTGGGCGAGCAGGTCGCGGGGACGCTGTTTGCGTTGCTGTACTGCAATGTTGAAAAGACTGCGGGTGGGGACGGGGAGATTGTGCACTGGACGACGAGGGAGTTGCCGCGGGTGTGTAGTAGTGCGGAGAGATTTCATGTGCTTACGCCGTGGGAGATGGAGAAGAGGGTATGTACATCGGAAATCTCACATTTCGCACAATCACTCGTTCATGGGACTTGACCAAACCACCCCCCCGTAATCAACAGGCCCTCGCAATGTACCGGTCTTTCGCCCTCGCCGCCGCCTGCCTCCACACGCGCGACACTATCGGGTGTCTGGTCCATCTCCGACGCGCCAACGCCGCGTTAAGAGTCGCGTTCAAGCATTTCTATACCCATATCACCGAAAAGCACATCTCGCGCAAGACGTGGCTGAGCCATGCGCAGGGGTTTGAGGGGTGGTCGCTTGATGGGGTTGAGGGTATGGTGTGCCCTGTTTTCTGTTTTCGGGGCCGGGGTTACGGTAGCTTGCGGCCCCAAAACATGCAACCGCTGATGATTTCCGAACACTTCTAGGCGTATCAGGGAACCAAGCCCTCATCATCCGCGTCCTCGACGCCTTCCTGTCGCTCCCGGACGGCGCGGATGCCCCAGCGCACTTACTCGCCACACCCATCCACCTCACCCACCGCGATCGGCAGTTCACCGCGGCACTCCGCGGAACCAACTGCCGGCATACCTGTGCGGCACTAGCGGCGCTAGTCGAAGACGTGGGCGTCCAACCCATACCGGGGGATGAACTGGACGTGCTTGTTGCGCGATGGGAGGGTACAGAGATGGACGGCCATAACCCACTGCCGTTGGGCACGACCGACGACGCCCTGACCCAACTCCGCGTCGCCCCGTACCTCCACGCCGAATTCACCCGCCTCACCACAACCCTGCGCACCTGGCGGTCCGCCCACGCCACCAACGTCGTCAAATACGAGAGTGTACCGCGGCCGGAGCGGACGGTGTACACCGCGGGTGGGGGCCACGTCGATGAGGACAAGTACGGGGATGGGGTGGGGACCGCTGCGGATGATGGGGAGGGGGAGGATGAACGGCAGAGGAAGGCTGTGGAGGCGTTTGTGGGGCGGTTGAGGGCGAGAGTGAGGCAGACTGTGTAGGGGGAGTTGTTGCGTGCTCGCGTATCGGGGGGCGGTGGAGGGACGATGGGAAGGCACAAGCTGGTATTGTGCTTCTTGGACATTTTCACAGATATAGAAGGAATCGTTCGCGGCTTCCTCGTAGGGTAGAATCGCATAGTATGTAGATAATCTGAATCTGTTCTGGGATCATTGTTAGCACTATGATATTCTGTTTCATCACGCCCGTGGAAGCACTGATGTGGTGTGCAGTGTTGAGGAGATGCTCTTCTCTGAATGGTCTTTGTTGGTTAGGCAATTCGGGCGATTGTCCTTGGCCGTCTTTTTTTTTTTTCATGAAGACAATCGGTGTTCAAAGCCTTCATACCCGATGAATGTACTTTGACGTGATTTTTTTTTTTCGAGGTCTTGAATGAATTGAATGGCGTCCTTGTCTCCAAAACGCCGGAGTTCGTTTTTCAACCCTGGCTAGGGTCACTCAATGCCCGCTATCCGCGATGCGCGAGGCTTTGTCAGAGATGGCATTCCCTTTTTTTTAGGGTGACAATGGACCGTTGATGGCCTGCTCATTGTAACTGCAATCAATGGTGCCTTGTTTACATGTTCTTTTTGTTTCAAAGTCAATGGGTGTCATTGATTGACCATTGTTTGTTCGTGGTCTCTTTTTCGACAGGAATGCCGCCCGCAACACCGTCAACCAACGGAAACCCCCAACACCAGCTTGTGGGATGCTTCCCATACGACGGTCGATCAAGCCTCCACGAGGACCGGTTCTGCAAAGATATCCATTCACGCAATTTGGATACGTGGGGCGGCGGGGTTTCGACGGGGTTCTGTCAGGCTGAAGTATTCAAATCTCTACGTGTCATATCCACAGTACAAAAAGAACATTTGATCTGCACGTATTTACATCGTTGCTTGTCAAACCGGGGTCCGTGCCCTATCTAAATGATACCCCATATCACCCCCATCCTAAAGTCCAAACATCTTCTTCCAAATATCCACCGACTCCATCGTCACAAGCGACCCGCCACACACAATCACCACCACATTGCTCTCGCTCCCCAACTCCGGCACCACCGTCTTCAACAGATTGTCTTCATACACAAGCGCCACGCCCGCGCCACATGACGGCTCCACCAGCACGCGGAACTCGGTCGCGAGGGCCAGGAGTCCCTGCACGGCCTGCGTGTCGGTGACGACCTGCGAGCGGACGTGCGCCGGACCGTACTGGTCGCGCAGGGTCAGTGTTCTGGAGGAGACCTGCAGCGCGCCGAGGGATTTGGCGATGGAGGTGATACCTCCCGGGAGCGGGACGGGCGTGCCTGCGCGCAGTGCTTCGGCGTAGGCGTGCGCGCCGTGTGTTTCGACGGCTACGACCACGGGCCGCGGGGCGGTGGGCCAGGCTGTGAGGATCCCCTGTAGCACGCCGCAGAGGAGGCCGCCGCCGCCGACGACGCAGATCACCGCGGAGGGGACGACGGAGGGTGGTAACTGGTCTTTTATCTCTGTGATGAGGGTGCTATGTCCCTCGTGGGTGTCCTCGCCTTCGAACGGGTGGACGAGTAACGCTTTGGCTTCGCCGAGGGTGGCGGCGTAGTCGACGGCGGCGGCGTGCGCTTCGTCCCAGACTGAGCCTTTGACGGTGACGGTGGCGCCGGCGTCTTGGATGCGGGTAATCATGAAGGCTGGGGTTGTGCTGGGGACGAAGACTTGGACCGCGAGATCGAAAGCACGGCCGGCGAGTGTCACTGCCAGTCCTGCGTTTCTATCGAACCCAAAAAATTGGAACTCAACTTCCATCCCTCACGTAGCGTCCCGCTCAAAGGCCCGTACCGCCCCTTTCGTGGTCCTCACCCTCCAGAAGAAGAAACAACAGTCGTCAATCCGGGCCTCCGCTCCACCGCGCGGGAGACGGTCCGTCCCATCCCACGAATCTTAAAACTTCCCCCCGGCTGCAACGCGTCCATCTTGAAGTACACGTTGCCCACGCCTAGCCGCCGGGCTGCGACGGAGGAGGTCCAGAGGGGTGTGGTGATGTGCAGGGCATCGAAAGATGGTTCGGCGGAGTTGGCGTGCGGTGGTGGTGACATGGCGGCTCGTGGGGACTGAGAAGTTGGGAGAGTGTCAGTATTTAACAAGACGCTTGAACGAGGACAGAGTTGCGGTCCCTTTTCAGCACTTACCACTGTGTAGTGAGTGAAGAAGGCTTTAGATGGAAGCGGGATGAAGCGGGTCGATGGGCGGTTGGGGGGCGAGTCTTGTGAGTTGGACGGCAACACCGAACTCAAACGCGTGCGTCTTGCGCCTTTTCCGTTCTTTTCTCGGCCAACGCAACTTCTGGTTGCCAAAAGCACAGTACACCGACATCGCACACCCACCTTCACCTGCCACCATCACCCGTCCGCCGCCAAGATGCACTGCACCCGCCACATCCGACGAGCAGCAACAGCCGCCGCCGCAAAAGCAGTGTCCCCGGTCCGCCATCCCACACTCCGCTCCCTAACCACCACCCCCCTCTCCGCCACGTCCCTTCGGCCCGCCCTTTCCCACCCCCTCCCCAGCCTGCCCACCCAACTCCGCCGCCACTACGCCAGTAAAAAAAAATCCTCCAAAGCGTCCGCATCCAAAAAGGGCAAGCACGCCCTCGAGGACCTCGACGACGACCTCGACGAAGCCTCTCTCCCCAGCCGCACCGAAACCGAGACCGAGATCGACATCGATGTGTTTGATAGAGCAATGGAGAGGGAGGTGAAGCGGTTTGTGGTGGATCTGGATGCTGTGCGGATTGGGAGGGTCAATCCAGGTTTGTGGGATTATCACAGAGAGGGGGGGATTTCTGAGCGAAGGGGTGATTGATGGACTGTGATTCTTTTCAGCGCTGTTGGAAGCAGTAATGGTATCGCATAAAGGCGAACGGGTCCCGCTGGGCCAGTTGGCGCAGGTGAATGTGAAGGACGCGCATACGTTGATGGTTATACTCAACGAGGAGGAGGTAAGCCCGTCCCATCAAACAAGAAATACAAAACATACCGCTCCCTCTCTACCCATCTCACCCCCCACAATGATCAGTTAACATCCCCAGTCGACAAATCCATCCGCACCTCCGACCTCGCCCTCAACCCGCAGAAGCACTCCCCCGGCGTGCTCAAAGTCCCCATCCCCAAACTGACGCAGGAGTACAAAGACTCCCTCATCAAACGCGCCTCCGCCGACGCCGAGAAGGCTCGGGGGCGGATCCGTAATGTTAGGAGCGATGCAAGGGGGAAGGTGAAGAAGATGAAACATGTGGGCGAGGATTACATCCGAAGGGCGGAGAAGAGTGTGGAGGAGGGGACGAAGAGGTGGGTGGGGGAGGTGGATAAGGCACTGCAGGGGAAGGTTAAGGAGATTGAGAAGGCTTAGGGATGTTGGAATAGAGGGAGTGACGGTTTAGGGTGTGATATGTGATATGTGATATAGATTGGTAGTGAATTGCTGTAGCAGCACCTAGGCCTACGGTAGCCCCACCAAATAGAATCAACCCTATTTATTGTTCTAAGCACAAACGGTCCCCCGGACTCTAACCCGACTGATCCCGCCATCCGGAAACATCGTCACCCTAACATGCGTCACTCTTTTTGCCTTACTGCCGTCCTCTACGCCGAATGTCACCTGCGCGTGCGGGCCTAGTTTCGTGCGTGGGATGAGAGTGAACCAGGGGATTGAGGAGCTGTTTTCGGTGGCCAGATGGGCGTCGCTTGGTGCAATGTCCGCGGCCTGGAAGTTTCAACATCGGAATAAGGTGGATTGAAAGGAACGCTGATGAAGATGGGAGCGCTTTTGACCATACCTCGACAACAACACTCTCCGGAAAGTTCCCTTTGAACAAATGTGTATCAACCTCAACCTCCGCAACATTCCCCGCATGTCCTAGCGCCAGTATCGCCCAGTGTTTTCCCGGGATGATCAGCTGCCCCGTCTGCGGGTCGTGCTGGTAGATTCGCGGTCGGTCCGGGTTTCGCGCGGTCTCCCAGCCGCCGGCCATGGTGAGCGAGCGCCCGGGGGCGATGAGATTGCGGGGGTGGCCGTAGTGGGCGTTGGAGAAGCTTACGGCACGGCCGCTAAAAACAAATAAATGTAAGTCCTTCGGTCAGGATTCCCCACCAGCAACCAAAGCAGCTGCCAAACATCACGCATTCCCCTGAACAGTCAACATACCCATTCTCAACATGCGCCAAATCCACAACCTCCCCCCTCCCCACCGCCTCCCAATCCTTACTCACAACCCCGTAAGCCCTAAACCGCGCGACGCCCCCATCCGGGAACAAGTTCACCCTCAGATGCGTAAACCTGGCCCGTTTGTTCCCACTTTCCACATAATGGTACCGCGTCGCCTCGTACCCCGGCCCCAGCGGCGTGTAAGGTACCAGTTCCTCCCATCCATCTGATCCCACGCTTTCGGCGATTTGTAACTCTGAGGATGTGCACGCGGTGCCGATCTCGCTTCGCCGGACTAATGACGAGACACCGCCTTCACCGGGTTTGAATGCAGCGGCCTGCACAGAGATCCCGGGCGCCTGGTTGCCCGTGAAGAACGCGGTATCGATCTCAAAGCCATGAATCATCCCCGGCAGGCCAAGTTGGATAATACACCAGTCGTGCCCTGCGGTCCGTTTGCGACGCGTTTCCCAGCCGTCCATTTGTTTGCCGAACGGGGTGAATGTTGTGGGGTCGAATGCGGGTGGGGAGGGGTTGAGGAAGAGCTCGGCCGGGGCGAAGAAGTCGTCGGTTGCGAAGAGGATGTGGGTGCGGAGGGAGGCGCAGGAGAGGTTTGTTAGGGTGGAGTAGGGGTGCTCCGGCGGGGTTGTCATTGTGGGGGTTGGAGGGGGGTTGAATGTGGGAGTGGGGTGAGGATGAGGTTCGCCGCCTGAACGGAGAGCGCAGGATTCGTGAAGCGATTAGCGGTCTGCGCTATTCCTGAAGCTGTTAGCGGTCTGTACCGCTTGGTTGTTGGGGTCACGCTCGCGTCGAAGTCATCTATCGCGGACATTTGGGACTCGCGGCCAAGTGGCAACACCCTCCGCTGCAATTTCTCACTTTCGAGTCGGTCCTCATAATACTGCATAGTCTTGATGTCTCGTTTGGCAGGCAACTGATGGACATGGTGGATCATTGGTACTGTATATTGAACAAAAACTCCCCCTCACTACGCTACGATATCAAATCCAAGCTAACATGCCACCCATCCAAGTCCCCCTGACCCACCCACCTCAAATCCTCTCCTTATACCACTTCCCATACGCCTTGATAGTGTCTTCCTCTTCAGGCCTCGTCTTCAAAAACCCCTCATCCTTGCTAGCAGCCTCCACCAAATTCCAGTAAGGCTGGAAATCCTTGTTCTTCGGAATGTCCAAACCACGCCAGTAGGGGCCCACCACGTTCAACCTCCAGAGATGGGGGAAGATGTGGATGATGGCGAGTTTGCTGGGAAGGCCTGTGGCCGGGAACGTGTTGATGAGGTCTTTGAGAGCAGAGAGGAGCTGGGTGTGGATTTCGTCTTTTTTGGTGCGGTCGGTGTTGCGCACGAAGGCGCCGTAGGCCGAGGAGAACTGGGTTTGAAAAATCCGTATCGGTTAGAAATCCCGGTTCGACGGGCAATGGAAACAGTCAGAATCATTGGGACTGGATGCACACCTTGTCCGCAAATGTACAGATCGTGATGCGAGTTTGATAGCGCTCGAACGGGTCCCTTGCTGAGCAGACTTTTGCCCTCCAACCCGGACCCATAGGCCTCCTCCAAGTAGTAAACAATCTCAGACGACTCAATCAAGACTTTGCCATCGGGAAGTTCGAGCGCCGGAACCGTGGCCCGAGGGTTGACCTCAGGGTACCATTCGGGCTTGTTGGCGAGATCGATCTCCACAATCTCATGGTCGATGCCAAGCGATCGAAGGGCCCACGCGACGCGCTGATACCAAAATCAAAGGTGTAAGAGTCTGCGAGCAAAATCCAGAACCAAAGAAGGTGCCAAACCTGAGCATGCGGACATTGGAGAGTACGATACAATCGGGGTTTGGAAGGGGGGGAGTGGGGACGAGTGAGTTGGGTCATCTTGGTGAACGGGAGCTACTGTGAGAACTGTGTGGTGCACTCACCTGTGCCCATGGACATCCGAGAGCGCGATATAAACGAGGTTTGGGAGGAGGAGAGTGTGGACGAGTGGGTTGAGTCATTTTTGCTGATGCGCTGTACTGTAGATCTGTCATTTGTCTTGCCCCCTCGGAGACTCTTTATACCCGATCCTATACCATGGGAGGCTTGCTTCCCGTGGACGTCAATGACAAATACGAATAGACATGCCTCTGCCAGCTCGTTCCGGCGTACGGCATAGGTGGAGTGGGATGATTGACAATCGCGCAATACTGTCATTTGTTGCACCTTCGCTGTATGGCCTGGTTTGAAATAGGAGTGCTAGCCGTTGTATATGTGATGAACCATGTGATGCCATAATTTTTATAACCGACTCCTGTAATGCATGATTTAACGTGGCAATATTGAGTAGCAACAAATGGAGGAGGGACAGAGGGAGGGACAGAGCAGAGGGAGGGACGGAGGAACGGAGACGGCAGATGCCCACCTGCGGTTGGTCCAGTACAGTATTCCGTGGTGGCTCCGTTGACCGCCTGACATTACAAATTACAAATCCAGAGCTCCATCATCAACTCGACTGAGTTTGGTGAGCAAAGAGCAAGCACTAGCAGATGCGCTGCATGCAAAGCATCAAGGAACAGCAAACGCTGGTACGGTCGTCGGTCGTCGGTCAAGTGCTGGACGGCACAACAACGGCACGCTGGGAACCATGCTACTATCGTACTTTCGGGCTCCGAATCTCGGGTTTAAATCATTCCCCTTCAGTTCCCCAAGTCATCCCTCACACCCACCAGCGCTTCGCCGACGAAAACCTCCCCCCGCCCCTTCGCACCTCCCTCGCCCTCATCGAAGACGCATGCGACTCCGTCGCCGCCTGCTTCGTCTCCACCCCTAAGGGGATCTACAGGGGCCAGCTTGCCAGAGAGTTTCATCAAGTGATGGATGTTAGGAATCAGTATCATTTGCGTGCGGGATTCGAGCGTCTGGAGAGGTTTCCGTGGTTGCTTGTGCCGGTGGGTGTGGTGGGGTTGATGGGAGGAGGGCAGCTTGGAAAAAGATATCTATCCCGACGGTCCTTGAGGAAAATGATGAGTGTTCAGAGAACGGATGTCATCACCACCCTCCATGACCCTCGGGTTTGTGTTTGTGAATCAAGACCGTGGCTTGTAATTTAGGCGGGCGTAATATCCGTGCAACGCCAAAGCCCGCAAACAACGCCAACTCGGCATGCATGTGCAGAGGAGTCTTGGCCGACGAGAGCTTGGCGTTCGTGCCATTATTCCCAGAAAATAGCCCATAAAAGCATCCTTCCAGGCGAGTCCCGCCGCAACCACAAGCATCGCAATCCGCCCCAGCTTTCCCCAAACAACCTGTCTCGCCTCGCCCGGCAAAGTAGCCACGTTCCAGAAGGCTAAACACGCTTAACCTTATTCTGGAACCTGCGTGCCACACTCCAACCCCCCAAACACCACCCTCATCTACAAAAAGCCCTCACTCAACATGTCCGGCTTCCGCAACTTCTCATCCAACGAGAGCCTGCACAACGACTCCCCAACCCTCTCCAGCGCCCTCGACGCAGACGACTGGGACGCAGACGACAATAGCGACCCGCAAACAGTGCAGCAAACTAATTCAGCAATCTCATCCCCACGCGGGTCCATCTCGACATCTACATCTGCGCTTCCGTCATCGGGGAATAATTGGAGGGAACAGAGCGGTGGCGATTGGTTGGCTGCGAAACGTCAGCAGCAATCTAGTGGTCAGACATCTCAGCCGTCGCCCGTGAAGCCGTTTGTGGCATCGCCTGCTCCGAATAAATCTTCGTTTACGAAACCGGCTATCCCGGCGCACAGTGTACCGACCAGGCCACCTTCGAAACCTGCTAGGCAACCTGAGTAAGTCTGCGAGATTCTCTTCTATGGAAAATGCTGGAAATATGATGGTGGCCCCGAATCTCACAGTTTTCCAAATGCTTAGAGCGAACCTCCCCACCTCCATCCCCGCATACCCCAGCGCAATCAACAGCACCGGCGGTCTCCACCCCTCCACAAACACCACCGACACCCCCCGCAAATTCTCCGCCGGCAGCATGGGCATCAACACCCAAGCCCTCTCGGCAAAGTACCCCTACTTCACGCCATCCGAAATCGCCGCGTTCCACCAACAATACACCCTAGTCGACAAAGAAAACCGCGACAAAGTCCACCCCTCCGACCTCTCCAATGTCGCCACCAAAGCCGGCGCGAGTTTCCAGGACGTCACCCAGAAACTCTCCCAGCTATCCCTCGTCGACGACGGCGGCCTCGTCTCGTTTGAAGGATTGTTGAAGGCGGTGTCGAAGGTGCGCGAGGATAAGGGCGCGGCCAAGCAGACGGGCGATAAGCAGAAGATTGTGTTGCATGGACATGGGGAGAATACGACGCATACGATCAATGAGGATGAGAAGGAGTCGTTTACGCAGCATATTAATCAGGCGTTGGCGAGGGATGCGCATTTGAAGGATAGGTTGCCGATTGATCCTTCGAGCATGCAGATTTTCAGCGAGTGCAAAGGTAGGGAAGACTGCACGATAGAATTCACCCTTTTCGTGATCAAAGATGGCTAACCTTATCCTCTGTACCTCCGCAGACGGTCTCATCCTTGCCAAGCTCATCAACGACTCTGTCCCCGGCACCATCGACGATCGCGTTCTGAACGTCCAGAAGAAGCTCAACCCCTTCCACATGACTGAAAACAACAACGTCGTCGTCAATTCCGCCAAAGCCGTCGGCTGCAGCGTCGTTAACATCGGCGCACAGGACCTGATCGAAGGCCGCGAGCATCTGATCCTTGGCCTGATCTGGCAGATCATCAAGATTGGTCTGCAGGCCAAGATCGATATCAAGGTCCACCCGGAGCTGTTCCGTCTCCTCGAGACCGGCGAGAGCTTGGAGGAGTTTTTGAAATTGCCTCCGGAGCAGATCCTGCTGCGTTGGTTCAACTACCATTTGAAGAAGGCGGGCTGGTCAAGGAAGGTGACCAATTTTTCGGGAGATGTTAAAGATGGCGAGAACTACACGGTCCTCCTCGCCCAGCTCGCCCCTTCTACCTGCACGCGCCAACCGCTGCAGATTTCAGACCTCTTCGAACGCGCCGAAGCCGTCCTGCAGAACGCAGACAAGCTCGGCTGCCGCAAATACCTGACCGCCAAAACCCTCGTCGGCGGCAACGCCAAATTGAATTTCGCGTTCGTCGCGCACCTCTTCAACACCCACCCCGGCCTCGAGAAGCTGTCCGAAGCCGAGATGGCGCAATTAGACGAGTGGCTGTTCTCATCTGAGGGCGACCGCGAAGCCCGTGCGTTTGCGCTGTGGCTCAATTCACTCGGCGTTGAACCTTTCGTCAACAATCTGTTTGATGATTTGCGCGACGGGTTGGTGCTTCTGCATGCGATGGATAAGGTGCACCCGGGCGTGGTGGACTGGAAGAAGGTGAATAAAGCGCCGGTGTCGTCGAAGTTCAAGAAGGTGGAGAATTGCAATTATGTGGTTGTGTTGGGGAAGAGTATGCGGTTTTCGTTGGTGGGGATTGGGGGGGTGGATATCACCGATGGGAATAAGACTTTGACTCTTGGTATGTTCTTACGTTTGAGGGTTGATTTATCACACCCACTCGCTGTGCAGAAATATCAATCTCACCCTCCTCCCTCCTCTCTACTAGCCCTGGTATGGCAACTCATGCGCGAACACGTCATCCAAACCCTCCGCTCCCTCTCCACCGCCGGCCGCGAGATCACGGACTCGGACATGATCAAATGGGCCAACGACACCGTCCGCACGCGCGCCGCCAAACACAGCACCATGGCCTCCTTCAAAGACCCGTCCCTCTCGACCTCCGTGTTCTTCCTCGACCTCCTGCAGGGCATCAAGAAGGGGGTTGTGAACTACGAGCTTGTGAGCCCTGGGCAGAGCGAGGACGAGCAAAAGATGAATGCCAAATATGCGATCAGCATTGCGAGGAAATTGGGGGCGACGATCTTTGTGTTGCCGGAGGACATTGTGGAGGTGAAGAGCAAGATGATTTTGACGTTTGTGGGGACGTTGATGGCGTTGGATAAGGTGCAGAATGCTGCGTAGAGGGCGTGGATGGGGTGGATAGCTTTTGGGGTACGATGGGCCTTGGAATAGCGCTACCCGTTGGCCTTTTTGATAGCGGCATTCTGCGCTGCCCCCATTAGTTACGTACGTACACTGTTCAGCAATGGCATATGCATCAATGTTGAGATGTTGGATTCATGGAAGCCACTGTTGCGATGCGTTTTGTTGCAAGTTACAGTACATAAAAAAGGGCCAGCGACGCGACGCCGTTTTGGGAGGGAGGCGTGTGGGAGTGTGCCGCACGGAGGGAGTGATGCGATCACGTGCCCGAGCGGCGAGCCTCCCGCATGCGTGACAGTCCTCCCCCAACCGCTTTCCCGAGGTGTGGCTTCCCTCTGGACTTTGTAAGATTCCTTACCTTCCCCAATCTCCCACATGTGCTTTGCATGCAGTACGGGACTTTCGAAAACACTCCCACCCTATAGCACCAAGGACTTGAAGCAATGGGCGAAGCAACAAAACTTGAGGGCCACCATAACCACCTGCACAGGCCGCACCTGTCCGACTTGCACATGCACAGGGCAAAGGCGACTATGACCCATAAGGTCAAGAACCAGTCGAACTATTATCATTCTGCTCGGAACCGTACGTTTTGCGCTCTCCTCCCCGTCTCTTCAGAGCCTGGAACCAAGCAGTTAATGAGAGTATCTTCACAGTGGTAAGGGTGTCCGGCTCCGTTATCCCGCGCATCTCCATCCCCACCCTTCTCGCAACCGCCTGGGCGACGGGCTGGACGGTGTTCCACATCCTGTACCCGCACAAATGGTTCAAAGACCTGATCCCCAAATCCAACCTGCTGATCACCATCGTCGGTGTCGTGATGGGCCTGTTGCTAGTGTTTAGGAACAATACCGCGTATGACCGGTATTGGGAGGGGAGGAGGCTTTTTAGTACCCTGGAGACTAATGTAAGAGCTGAGACCGTTAGTGGACTGTTGCGAGGATGCGTGGGGAGATGCATGAGGCTGACGTGGATGATACCTCTCTCTTAAGGTCCGTAACATGACCCGCTTCGTATGGATCGGCGTACCCGCCCGGGACGCCCACGAAGCGCTCGAGAAACGCGGGGCCATGAACCTTCTCATTGCGTTCATGCACGCCACCAAGCACTACCTGCGAAGCGAGCTGGGCGTGCATTATGATGACGTGCAGCCGTATATCAGCCACTTGCCGGAGTATGCCCCAGATGCGCCGGCGCCCCCGGATATGAAGAACTTGCCGGTGGAGATTTCGTTGCATCTCGGCGTAAGTTGATCTTATCCATGGATTGTTTCTGGTGTCTTCCGCTTCACCGGAGTATTGACCTCTCTACAACCACCAACAGGGCTTCATCAACAAGATTCGCCAACGCGAGCAAATCGACGTCTCCCTCTACGGCTGCATGAACAACGCCCTGAACGCCATGATGGACTGCCTGTCCGGGTTCGAGCGGATCCGGGGCACCCCACTGCCCTTTGCTTACGGCGTGCATTTGAAGCAGACGTTGGTGCTGTATCTCCTCTCGTTGCCGTTTCAGTTGCTGGATGCGTGCAAGTGGTCCACTAGTGAGTTTTTCATCTGTATGAAGTTGATTGGGTTGGGGGTGAACGGCGTGCTGACGGCGCGCTTGCTTTCTTCGCTGTGATAGTCCCGATGTGTGCTTTGGCGGCATTTACGCTGCTGGGATTGGAAGCCATCGGAGGCGAGATTGAGAACCCGGTAAGTCCACGAGATCCCTGATTGGACGTTTGAGGAATCAGATCACATACTAACATTATCATCTTCTATGCTTTTCATAGTTCGGTTTTGGTGCGTATCAATCCATTCATCCCATTTCCGTCCCGTACTGTTCAAGCGTGACATGAACTGATCGAAATACCCCTTCCCCTCCTCATAGACGCTAACGACCTCCCCATCGACGATATCAGCTTCATGATCCACGAAGAGATTCTCGGGATCATGGACAGGCCCGATAAGCTCGATACCGCCAAGTGGAGTCTGTACGTAGGAATAGGTTTCATGTGCGACAGCCAGTTGTCTACGCTTTGCTGATTCCGATTTTTTCTTTTAGGCCCTGGGAAGACCTTACATCGACGAAAGCGGAATTGAATCCTGAGGCGTTGGCTGCGCTGAGGAAGGCTGGACATTGAGAGTGATGAAAAGGAATTTGCCCGTCACATATCCCGGGGTTGTGTATGGCATTTCTTGCGGAGACTGACTTTGTGGCGTAACCCTGGAGGGACTATTTTATGGCGGAGGATCGGGACTGGACGCATTTGCAGCATTGATGTCGTCGTTCGTCTTTTCGTTTTATATGGCTCGCCATGGACCCTTTGAGATCTAGGAGGGATTGCACTCTTCGGCTTCCTGGGTTTTGCGGGGGCTTATATGTTGTACATAGTATCGGAATGCATTCAATCAGCACATGCAGCGCCCCGCTTGCATTCATGTTAGTAGATATGCCGGCCTGCCGAAATGCATTGTAAGCGTCTTGGCGCGCGAATGGCCAACGCGATGACGCTCGGATTTAATGTGGCCGTCACAAGCCGCTCGCAACTGTCCATCCTCCAACTTCCACCTTCCACCACCCCAGACATCTCCCGTTGTCCCAACCCCAACCCACCGAACATAACACACCCCCGACACTCGATAGGCTAGCAGAGACCACGAACAGTCAGTTCTCCTCTTAGCTCCTGCCTTTCAAAAGACCGAGTCATGGCTTCGTTCGGGAAAAAGTTTGGGCAGTTCCGCCAGGTAAGCATCGTAGAGATCAGTTACAAATTGTTTGTGTCCACAGCCCGCCGCTTTGTTCTCTAACTCGGCTTTTCGCCTCCTTCAGTGGACAGGTACCGTCCATTTCCTTCTTTTACTTTTGTTCTGAAAACGTGAGACGGTGGTGGCATCAACTGAGCGTCACGTATGTGCTATTTAGGCGAGAAGATGGGGAGCACACAAAAGACGGGTACGTGAAATACATATTCCCGCCGACACCGCACGCGTGGGGGGTGCTTTCTAAGATGGGTGTATTGTCTTAACAGAGACTAGCGAAGAGTTCAAGGCGCTGGAGCATGAGACCAACGTTCGGCGCGAGTTCACTGAACAAGTGCACGACTCGTTGACGGTGTATGCTAAAGCGCTGGGTGAGTGTGCTCTCCGTTTTTAGATCTGTCATTCAAATCGATGGGCCCTTTGACGATGTGCACGGCTTTTTGCAGGGAAGCAAAAGAGCTCCGGCGCAGATAAGGCGAAGAAGATGCCGTTGGAGATCATGGCCGAGGCTATGGTCACGTTCGGGAGCATGCTGGCTGAGGACTCGCTTTATGGTAGGGCCGTTCTACCGAAGACGCCCCAGGCTGCTCGTATTCTGATATGGAGATCTTGTTATAGGGAAAGCGTTGGTCACATTCGGAGAGGCGCATCAGAGGATCGCGATGCACCAGATCGAATATGTATGTGGAGGAGAGGTTGGAGGACGAGGTATCCGACGCGTTGACCCTCAAGCCCTTTTCTCCAGATTGCATCCTTGCGGGAGTCGTACATCGGGAATCTCGAACGGATAATATCCGATATGAAAGACTACTCCGTAAGTCCCCGTGATTTCATCCGACGCGAAGGGTCGAGGCAGTTTGCTAAGGTCTTTCGACAACGCAGACCTTGAAAGCCAAACTGGAGAGACGCCGACTGGACTTTGACGCAAAGCTGAATAAGGTCCACAAAAGCCGCAAGGAAAAGCCGGAGCTTGAGGAAGAGACGAGGGTCGCGCAGATGAAATATGAGGAGAGTTTGACGGATGCCACTCAGAAAATGATTGAGTTGAACTCTAATGAGGTGGGTTGAAGCGTTACATGTCCCCTCACATCTTCGAGTGACCTCTCACATCCTTCCCGCTTTCCCAGGACGAGCAACTGGAAAACCTTTTGAGGTTCATGGATGCCGAAGTGGAATATCACCGACGAGCGTTGGAATCGATATCCAGCTTGCAAAGGAATCTAGCCGAGTAAGGGGCGCTTCCAAGGACAGGCAGCAACTGCTATCACTGACACACCTCTCTCGAACGCAGTATGCCACGAAACGACACCATGAGCTACCGGCGTCCCTCTCTCCAACGTGCGTCGACCACCAACTCGGACAGACAGCCTCCGTCGAGGAGTGTCAGTACCGACAGCATCGGTGGTGGGCAGGCCCCACTTCCGGGCGGTCCGTTGGATCGCAAACTGTCTTATGCATCGAATGCGGGCTCAATGGTGTTCCCTGTGGCTGGCCCAAATGGATCCATGCTGCCCGCGCCCGAACCAACAAGATCTTACTCTGGTAAATGATCTATTTGAGGGACGTTCCCCTCTTCTTCTTGTTGGTGCACCGCCACTGACAGCACGTTCAAATAGGACATGTGGCACAACCGCCGGCTAATCCGACCGCTGGGCGGAAACAGGTGCAGGTTCAGTTTGACTTCGATGCGGAAGGGCCAGGGGAACTTACAAGTAAGTGTAGCTTGGAGAGCTGTCGGGCCAGTACGCTGAATACTGACTGGCCTTTGTTCTTGAAATAACAGTCAGGAAGGGAGACATCATCAACGTGACTTGCGAGATAGACGAGGGATGGTGGGAAGGCGAGATTGACGGCGATAGCAGCCGTGCGGGAATATTTCCAACCAACTATGTCGGGTACGTTTTGGGATCTCTTCTCACAGCTACGGAGGTCTGACGCAGCCACTGATATCTGGTTTTCACCTTGAACAGACCTTTGGCGAGACCCGTGTCAGCGCCAGCTCCTCCCGTGTTACCATACCGCCCAGACTCCATAACGGGCCAGCAAACAGTCGGAACCCCAGAACCCCAAGACGCCTTCGCCGACCACCGCACATCCGTCGCCTCCTCCCGGCCCGCCTCAGAGTACCACCTCCCATCCTCCGCCATCTCCCAACAACGGCCACAGGACAGACCCTACTCCCACATCTCCCGCCTCTCCTACGTCCCCAACAACGCCCCCATCCCGCCCTCGTCCTCACAGCCGCAAAGACCCGCGAACGCGCCAAAACCGCCCCCATCACGAAACCCGACTTCAGGTGGTGGGAGCCCCGCCATGCCCCCCGCCTCACCCGCCAGCAGATCGCGCCAGAACTCTAGCGACCACCTCCCCCTTGCAACCCCCGCATCGATACCGGCCTCGGCTTCGTCTGAGATGTTGGCGGTATGCAGGACCTGCGGGTGTGCGGAGTTTACTGCGAATGCGTTTAGGAAGGATCAGTGTAGTAACTGCTATCATAGGCATTGAAATATATGCTTTTCTTTCTGGGTCGTCACTCCCGTTGTTACAACCTTTTGTCTCAGATATGTACATATGCAGAAAATGAGTAAGAGCGGTTTGTTGCGCCGGCTCTCGAGATATCCCTACTTGTGTCCCTTCTGGCCCCGTGCACCAGCAGCTTTTACGTGATGCTGCTGCTGCTGCTGCTGCTGTTGCGGTGCCGGGATTGGTTGCGGGTAAAATCCTTGCGTGTTATTGTACATCCCCATCATGTGTGAATCCATGTATCCGTTCCCTTGCATCGGCCATTGCGGGAGTCCCATATACGGCTGCTGCTGTTGTTGTTGCGGCTGCATCAGCATCATCGGTGGCGGCATCTGGTAGTATGCCCCGCCGCCGCCGGCATCCATCTGCTGGGTGGTGAACCCCGGGTTTTGCAGGGCCTGATCTGCGTAACCAGCTCCGCCGACAGACGACGTATCCCTCGATATCGAAGGCTGAACGGCCCGCTTTCCATGCCGTTTCGCGTACCCCGCCCCAGTGCCCTCCGACGACACGGCGGCGACGTCACTTCCCCGCCCTCCGATCGTGCTCGCCCGGCTCTGGCTGCGGTTGTTGGGATACCGTGACGATGCGCTTGAGGTGTGCGAGGGGACCGGGCTGGCGGTGGTGTAGCTTACCGGTCCGGAGGGGATGGGGGGCAGATGGAGGGGTTCTGGCGGGGCCGTGCCGGGATGATGATGTCCTCCCACCTGCGCATCGCCCGCCGCTCCTGAATGTTGGTGTTGCGGTGGATATTGCCCCACCCCTACCCCGCCGACCCCCGCCACGCCCCTCAACCACTCATTCTCCCCCCTCAGCCTCCGCACCTCTTTCAGCAACCCCTCCACCACGCCATCCCTCTCGCTCATCCGCACCACCGCCCGCGTGCGGATCCGCTTCGCCCGCTGCGCATACCGCAGCGTCTTCATCGTCTCGCCCACTTGCCGCGGGGACGGCGAGATGGTTGCGATCATCAGCGCGAGGCCGGTGCCGGAGAGGGAGGAGGCGAGCAGGCGGGTCAGGAGGGAGTTGCGGTAGGGGATGTGGGTGGAGTTGGCGGCGTGGGTGGGGTGAGAGAGGAGGGATATGACCGTGCCTGTGTTGGATGTTTTCGGTGTAAGTGGGATTCGTTTTTGAATAGACGGTGTGTTTTTTCTGGGGGGGTTTTTTTTTCCGTTCTTTTACCTAGCGTTAGCAGACTCTTGTTGATATTCGTCGTCTCCGTAAACGTCGTCCCCGTCGCTTTCGAATCCCGGACTTTCTCACTTCCTACAACGAAAAAACACACACCCCACAAACAGCGTCGGTAATCCCCCATCTTCCCCCCCCGTCGAAAGCAAACGCCCCCCCTCCAGCCCCGCAGGAGACAAGACACTCACCAGCCAAATCCACAAAACTGATCTTCCCATGCCTCTTCACCACCTCCCCCCCACCCTCACTCTCCGTCTCCGTCTCAATATACAGCGTCATGATGCTGTGGCTGCGCGAGGAGTGCTCGTTGAGCTGGTGGGCGCGGGTCGTGCGGTTGCGTAGGCCTGGGTGGTTTGTTCATGGGCAGCAAAGGGGATGTGAGTCCACGCTAAGGAAGGGGGCTGAGATTGGGGATTTTGCTGGGGCGCACCTTCCTGGAGCACAGCGATACTGTCGTCGACAGAGGCGCAGTCGACCACGAGGGAGTTCTCGACGTAGAATCCTTTCGAGGCGTCGTAGCGGACAGGTAGAGACGTGGTGTTCGTCAGGCTTAGCAGGTCTTGAACCTGTTGCGTATAAAACTGCCTTATCAGCCCCCCGTATGATTCCAATCCACACCCAGTGTTTGCCCAAAAGAACAACCACACATACATGCTCATTGTAAATCTCAAGATACCCCGCGCGAATCAGCGTTTTGCCGCCCAGCTTCTCGGCGTACGGCCCGTTGAGCTGCTCGAAGAGGAACTGGAGGCCGCGGAGCACGAGGCCGCTGGTCGGGGGGTTGAGCTCGTGGCCGATTTCGCCGGTCATCTATAAATTTTTCGCCATGGTCATCAAACCTCTCCTCCGCCACGACCGCTGGAGAGGGATGCTATGAACATTCGCCCGACTCACGGTATAACTCTTCCCACTGCCTGTCTGTCCAAACGCAAAAATCGTAGTCGCATATCTAACCCAATGCAACCAGTCAACAGTGGCGGTGGAGAAGGAAGAAGATTCTACACGTAGTAAGCAAAAAATCTCCTCCGTGTTGCACAAACCCCAAGATGTTGATAATACCCCTCGATGGCCTTGATGATCATCTCCTTCGCACCACAGTCGTCAAACACCTCTTCTTGGGTGGATGTGGGCGAGTAGACGCGGTTGAAGGTCATTGTGCGTGCTGGGGTTGACGGGCCTGAGACCTGTTTATTGGAGCAAGGGGTTGTTTGGTCGGGTTTTCATTGAGATGGGGGATGTGAATGGAAGAGGAGTTTACCTCCAGCGTGCGGTGATCGTCGAAACATTCCACTCCGCCGTTGTCCGGGAGGATCTTCTCGGCTTGCGTTAGGGGCCGCACTCTACAGATAAATAATACCCAGCGTTGAGTATGCTTCCCGTTAGGACACCCTCAAGGGCGCCTCGCCCGAATCTAGCTGTATTTACCTCACGACAACCCGGATCCTCTCCTCCCCATCCTCCTTCCCACTCGCACTCGTAAAAGCCGAGCTGGGTGCATTTGTCGAGAACCCACTGCGGAACCCAGAGGTCCCGAATGAGTCGATGCTGCCTGCGAATGAGGCTGGGGATGCGATTAGGGCCGAGCGGGGTGTGTTGGTGTCGGTGGCCGGGCCTTGGGCGAAGGGTGGCGGTTGTTGGAAGTTGGTGGCGATGGTGAGGGGTTGTTGGTGGTGTACGTCTGGATGGGGGTGGTACTGGGCCATTTTAAGATCATGTTGCCTAGAGAAACTATCGAGAGAATGTGGATATGCAAAGGAAGCTGCCTGACTGGATGTGAAACGTCGGTGTTGTGGTCCGTTCTGAGGAACCTGTCAGCCGGCGCTTTCCCTCCAAAATTTGACAGCGCGTTTCCAACGTGAGCAAATTCTGTTTGGACGCGGCCTAAGCGAGCCCCCAATGGGAGCCCCCCTTGGGAAGGCATCGACTGCTCCGAGACAGAAGCAGTTTGCTTGATGCTGCCAACGTTTATCTCAATGGACGGAAAGCTCATGAAACTGAGTTGAATGCGATCGGACGTCTCAAAATCCCCGCGCTAGCTCAACGATGTCCGCTCCAAGATACCCGCACCCTCCCGCCCCATCCTTAATCTCAAACATCGCACTGAACAGATACCATAACGAGCGCCCAAATACTGATTGAATCATGTATCACCAAAACGGACTACCATCATCTCCTAGTGCAACTAAAGTACAACTGAGGAAAAGGGACAACGGTTCTACCCAAATCACAACTGCCCATTCAAAAAATCGTTCCCAAAACTGTGCATTCTGGGAACGTCTATACTTTCTCCGCAATACATCTTTCCCCCAGCAAGCGGTTCTTGTTGCGTTCTGCGCTGGCGTCTCTGCATTTCTGGATGTTGTCGCAGAGGTGTGCTTCGGGAAGACGGTGCTTGCCGCAGTATTTTTGCATGCTGTGCGGGGCAGAACGTGTTAGAAAGAGCCAAAACGTGTGACTGGCATCTTCACAGCATGTACTCCTTCCTCCCTCCAGTGATGGTGGCGTCTGGTCCTCCGTCCACCTCTCGACACTCAAACGTAGGGCCCAACAATAAACACTAAATTCCTGCAAAACAAGAACAAAATAGCAACGTACCAGTATTTGCAGTCCCCAATAATCTTGACAGCCCTGTCCGTGCACCCTACCTTCGAGCACCGTGCGGCGTTCGATTTCGTGCGTGGTGTGCCGGGAGCGGAGGAGTTGGCCGAAGACGGCTGAGATGTCGAGACGTTCTCTGTTGATGACATGGTTGGGTTTCTGTGTAAGATGGGGAGTGGTATGACGGGTGTTGACACTGTGGAGTCGGGAGTCGAAATGCTAAGGTGCTGGACGATGACTTTTTGTGCGACGAGGGGTTGTGGGTTGTGGGAAGGAATGCGGGCAGTTGGTTGAGTCGGAAGGTTTACCGGGAGTTAAAAAGGGGACAACTGAGCTTGCGGCTGTTGTGAACTTGTGGCGCGGCGATGTCTCCTCTCAGTTCCGCTCAACGCTAACCGGCACAGACAGACAAAGACTCTCTCCTCCACATAGCTTCAGAATGTCAATAGCCGCAGAGTTCGCCTCCAACGTCCTCCACGCCCTCAGCACCGCCGAAATCCGTAAAAAGGTCACCAACGACGCCTCCGATGATCACACCGCTCCCGTCTCGCGGAGCTCCTTGCAGCATGTCTCGGCCACACTGGAAAGAGGGATCGCCGACGTGAAGGTGGGTGGTGCGCAATCTTCAGCGTAGACAGCTGGAAACGAATGTTAACTGACCAAAAGCGTCCCGCATGTAGTATCAAATGGAGGCGCATGTCACAGCGCATTTCGAGCACTTCAAAACACAAGCGGAGCAGGCTACCGCGATTATCAGCGAGACGCGGGAGTTGTCGGAAGAGCTGGAACGGTTGAATCGTGAAGTGGAGGATGCAGAGGTACCGTCCCGTGGGGTGCCCGTTCATCCACGTTGGGAAGGCTCTCATGATTGATGAATGTGCGCGGCAGGAAGGATTGTACGCCCAAGTACAAAGGGTTTTGAAGGAGCAGGATGGCATCACGACGGATTTGGCGGTGGTTGACCTTGCCATTGATGTCAGCCGGAAGATTTCCGAGGTGAGCCGATGGTTGATATGAGTGTTCAGCATAAGACGACTGGGCAGCAGATGTCTCATGTCCATTTCCGTACCCAGTCCAATACGCTCTTTGGAGTATACGATGACCAGATAGCTCGATCACAGTATACGAATGCCTTTGCGTCTGCCACCAAAATGGTATGGATGTGTCTCAAACAGCGAGACACCTACCGCATCCCGACTCACGCAGTTCGCCGTCGCAGAACGAGGTTGTAAAGTCATTACCAACGTGGGACAGCGTCGCCATATTGGATATCTTGACCCAGCGGAACGAGTCGATTGCTGAAGACATCCGGAGCCGACTGGAGTACATTGTATCGCAGGCGCTTTCAATCGAGTTGGAGCAAGGAAGGACAACAATACGTGTGAATGAGTCGGTGAGCGGTAAGCAAGGGTTTGGGAGAGATGCCGGTGGGCAAGAGTATGGATTCATTTGCGATTACCCGCAGCTCCTGGTCTCGGTCCTGAGCCGGTCAAACTATCGACTGCATTGTCTGCCATCGACCAGCAGCACGCGGAGAAAGCATACCTCCAGCCGTTCGCACGGATGCTGTACAAACGCGTGATTGACCCATTACTGAAGGACTCGAGATGGAAGATCGACGCCGACGCCCACCCTCGCGGGCCGTTGCATGTCGTATACGTCGAAGGGCCATACACCGCATGGCCGAGCCTGCCCCAGGGTGCCTTGTTTCGGGAACTGGAGAAGCTCTTTCGATACCTGCAAACATCTCTAGATTTTGGAGATCATACGAATCACGCGGAAGCGCTGTTCAGGGTGATGGGAACGACGTTCTGGCCGCAGATATCTGCATACATTATAGGAAACTACCTGCAACCCATGGTACCGGATACTGTGGAGTCTCTCAATGCGTTTGAGCCTTTGGCCGAAGATTGCATGAAGTTCGAGGCGGAAATGAAACGGATAGGTAAGATACATCTGTGGTCATATTCGTTGTTCCTCTGGAGAATCTCCTGCTAATCTAGAACACTAGGTCTTGTCCCGCATGGCGGTGAATCCCTCGTGGCGTTCTGCAAGGATCTCGAGAGTCACTACGTCACGAAACGGCATTTCGGGCTAATGAACCACGCTCGTGTGCTCATAACAGCAAAAGATTATACCACCGTAGTTCTCAAGCCACCCGGGAAACTCCTCCTCTCCAACCTTATCGACCTGCCAACGAAGCCGGTTACCTCTACCGAAGTCGACCCGGCACTCCAAAAGGGCCTCTTCATCTTACCACCATGCGTGATAACAAACACAGCCAAAAAAGTGATGGATCTCGCCAAAGAAGCCGTCGCAGAAGCTCAAAAGCTGAGTCCACCAAGTAAAAGCCGCCTGCAGCGCAGCGCGCGAGCGATCCTCGATTTTTACCGCGCCAGCGTGCCTGCGTACTCTGCCCAGCGGCTTGCGACGATCCCGCAGATGCCGATGGTGTTGCAAAATGACTGCATGTACTTTGCGCATGAGCTGTTGGTTATGACGTGGCGGGATCGGGGTGTTGATGGGACGGCTTCTGGGGGGGAGGTGCCGAGTATCAGCTTTGTGGATCTTGTGGGCATGTTCAAGATGTTGGGGGAGCGGGCGGTGCAGGACGAGATGGTGAGGAGCGCGGTTGTCATATCCATCGCTCTCGCGTTTGTCCCCCCCGTTGCTCACCCCTCTCATCTCCCTAGGTTCGGCAAAAGACTAACCTGAACGATATCATTGAGAGCGCCGAGAGGTTTGACGTCTTGAATGATCACCGACGAGATATCGTTGAGCGGGTCATCAAGCAGCTCGTGCATCATCTCACGCTCCTGAGTAACGTCTGGAAGGTGAGGCCCTTCAACCTCTTCGCAGTGAGGACTCCTGCGCGTTGCTGGACATGCCCATCTCATCATCTATCTCATTGTCCATGCCACAGCCCGTCCTCCCCCCCGCAATGTACATCAACACCATCTCCACCCTAATCTCCCACTGCACAAAGCTCGTCTCCCTCGAAGTCCTCTATCTGGTCGACATTGGCGAACAAGAGTCCCGGACCCTGCACGGTCTGCTCACCAGCCTCGCCAACGGCATCCAACCGCTCACATCCCCATTCAAACCACAAGACGTGGTAGAGGACTACGACCGGTTCTACAACGTCACGCGGATCCTGGACGCGAGTTTTGCGGATATTATGGGATGGTTTAGGAATGGCGAGTTGACGAGTTTGGAGAGGAGGGAGATTGTGGGGCTTGTGAGGGCGTTGTTTGCGGATACGCCGTTGAGGAGGGCGAATTTGGAGGAGATTGGGGGGTGAGGGTTGGGATTTTGGGTGGGTCTCGGAATGGAGGTAAGAGGGGGGAAGGTTATATAGTTCGCATCAGGATGCCAGACCGTGACGGTGTACCATAGATCTTATCATATCGTAGTAATGTACATAACTTTTGCCAAGCCCCCATCCACACCGACCCTTTGACTCTTGAGCGCTGTTGGGTGTATGGCCCGCATTTGTGTCTGTCCAGCGCAGCGCGAGTCTCTGTGATGACAGCACAAATGCGCAGGCTCCCAGGAGAACGCGTTCGAGGGCCTTCCCCCTGGCTCCTATGATGCGGGAACCCCTGAACGAAATATGCGTCGGCGGTCTATCTGAGGCAGACCAGTACAGTATATGGCGCTATCCGCTCTGGGCGGTATATGGAGGCGGGGTAGCTGTCTAGCATATCAACCTGACGTTGAACTTCCACCGGCATCGGCCATCATCGCAGTTCATTCTTCAAGAAAACAAATCAGCGTTGTGAGCATTGGCAAATAGTCGTGGGAATTCCGACTTGGAAAGTTTAGTTTCTAGGACCCAGCCGAAACCGTCGGCTGCTCACCTGAAACAAGTGCGAAAAAGCTGGTGCCCACTTTCTCTCAACAGGACTCAGCCGTTGCCGGGCCTCGGCAGAATGACGGGCGAAGATGGCGACGGCGAGCTCCACCCGCTCGCTCCCTTCTTTATGACGGGTCGCTTCGCGGATGCTCTCGTCAGGCTGAAGAGCTCATCTTTTCAAAGTATGTAACTATGAAATGAATCGTTTTCCCAAGCCGTCGCGGGATGGCTAACATATTTTCATTCAGCAGCTCCCTGCCCCGTCCATCGTGTCATCCTCGCCTCCAAAAGTCCTGTGTTCGAAGACCTCTTTGAGCATGCTCCAGAATCGTATGAAAAGGGAGAGATTGGAGAGGACAAGCAAATCAAAGACACAACGCAAGCAAAGAAACCATCCAAAACTCTCGGCATATGGACAGTCGCGCTTCCCGACGATTTTTCCCTACGTCTCGTCCTGGAATGGTGCTACTTCTCGTCAATCTCGAAAGTATCTCTCACAGCCACGAACTGCTGGAAGGTTCGCATGGCTGCTCAGCAGTTTGCTATTGGCGGCCTGATCTACCATGTCGACCTGTGGGTGTCGCGCCACTTGCTTGATGGCACTGTTGGGGACCAGATGTCGGAGGAGGAGTGGTGCAAAGTTCTGGCCGGCGCGCTGAAGTCACGATCCCCGGATGATATCCTTCGTGGGGTTGTTGACAGGGCTTGTAGCCTTTGCGCGTCTTCCGTGCATGATATGAACGCTGGGATGGCTAGTCACTGGGAATACACAAAGTATCGCTTTCTTCGTCGGGTTATCACTAAGAAACATCTCGAGCTGACGCCTGAGGAGGTGAAACGGCTATTTTCCGTCAGCGTAACGTTCACGCAATTTGATATCCCTCAGTTGGCGGAAGCCCACGAAGACGTGGCTTTGCCTCGAGACATCATCGCCGATGCGCTGATGCGCAGTTTGATCTCGAGATCCTCGCAAGGTTATCCATATCGTCCGGCTCTGATGATCGATGGCAAGCCAATCTCCCCGACACGTTCGGCCCCGTTGTCGCCTCGAGATTCGGATACGTCGACGATCCGGGGCATGCCTATCGTCCAGCGTGCGCAAACCTCGGGCAACATTTCCACCGCGTCTGCTTCGCCTGCGCGAAGCTTCACGCGCGCGGTCACGTCGGCCGACCTGAACTCGTCTTCAACATCCCCTGTCCGGGGCTACGCTACTACCCCTCGACTGTTCGCCCCATCCAAAACCCCTTCGGCATCCGCATCTCCAGTGCGAGGGCATCACATCCAGACCTTCCCTCGGCAAGGGATTCACTCGGAACAGCTTCTTCATGGCGATACGCCTATCTCCACGGTCCTGGCCAACATCCGGCACAGATCCTTGGAGCGGATTCCGACGGCATACCGACTTTCGCCTAACGGGGCTGCCCCGGTTGTATCGGCCCCTGTGGCTGTCTCTCCGACGCAGAATGACATCCCCAACCCGAACCAGCTGGAAAGGAAGCTTGATGAGTTCCCGGACGTGAATGATGACGTTAGTGATGATTCCCCGTACAATCATGAGGACGTCAGTATGTACGAGATGGCTCCTGAAGAGTTTCCGGAAGCGGATGAACCAGCTGCGGTGGAGGAGAAGCCTGAGCCGGCGCCTATCGCAAGTTTGTCGGCGCCTTCCCACAACGACAAGCCGCAGTCCCAAGCTCGTCATTCTCCTCCAATGAGCCGATACGAAGAAAATCCTCTTGCCATCGAGACCAGATCGCCACCAGCGGACCGTTTCTTCGACCGGGACTTTTCAATGACCCACATGCACGAGGACGACGAGGAAGACCGCCCGGATTCTCCAGATGCGGAAGACAGAGCACTATACGAGACCAAAGATGTGAAACTGAAGCGGGGATTGTCTATCCTGGAGGAAGGCCCCTCCTTTTCGGACATTGGACCCCTTCTCGCTCTGCGTGAGATGAAGAATCAGGTCCGTGCGTTGATGGACGAGAAACCGAAACAGCCTGAACGGTCGTGCAGTAAAGGTGTGGTGGTGCCGCAGCCGGATGCGCCTATCGTCGTTTCTCAGGTCGTTCCTACCATCCCTCCGTTGGAGTTCCAACCGCAGCGGGACACGGTAACGAAACAAGAACACTCTGTCCATCCGCCCCAGGCGGTCTACCAGGTGGAAGGCCGAAAGCAGGAGGCTCTCGGCGGACTGTCCCACCGGCCCTCCACTCCGAATCTTTTGGAGCAGGTGCGGCGCAAGCTCGAAAGTGTCGCAGCGGTAGAGAGGATTCAGCAACAGAGTCGTGTTGGTTGCAACGCGGTGGGTGAGGGTCCTGCTCGCGATGGAGCGACGGAGGAGCGCGGCAAGGAGACCTCTGACAGCCCTTCGAACCGAGAGAACGTGCATACCGGCGAACGTCGAGATCTCAATGGCGTCGGCAGCAGCAAAGCGCCTGTTCCAAGTGTCACGGGCGCAATGACAACCACGAAGAACGGCACGGAACAGCGACCAGCTCGTCTGCTCAACAAACAGATATCGTTTGCAGAGTTTCCGGATATCATCAACGCCTCCCCATCACTTGGGGAGGACAGCAGTGGCGCGCTGAGCAGCGAGGAAGACAGTAATGATGTCAGCGCTGAACAGACCGGCCGCGCCCCGGCTCCTCTGCCGCAGGTCAACGGAATTCATCCCCTGACGATCAATGCCAACCCCAATGGGTCATCATCCGAGGCGCCCACAATGACGCCCAATCCGACACCCATCACGCCTACGAACCACTCGCTGGGTAATCTGCCCATCTCACCTCCGACAGCCAACGCAACCGATTACTTCCAAGCCGTGACGCCTGCTCAACTGCTCGGCATCCCTGAGCTGGACCGAGTTTCCCAATACCGCTCCGAGCCTGATCTAAACAGCGCGCTGTTACAGTACCAACAGCAGCAGCAACAACATCAACGCCCACAGGATCCGCACCAACAACACCCATACGCCCTCACCGCACCCCCTCCGAACGGCTACCGTCGCTCCAGCATCGACCCGCTCCGCGCACCCCCCCGCGGCGGCGCCACCGGAACCTGGACGCGCGGCCCACGCCCCGTCTCCTCCGTCTCCCTCGGCACCTTCCCAAAGCAACAAGCGCCCCTCCCCCCCCAACCACAGCACCCTCCCACGTCCAATCGCGCCACCACCCAGAGCGCACGCGACAGCTACGAAGGGTACGCGCGCAAGACCAAACGCGCCACTGAACGCGCGTCGCCGCCTACGTATGATGTGTACGATTATCACTTTACCCCGCATAACCACCACTCCGATGATGATGATGGTGGCGACCACCACCACCACGACGATGCCGACGAGGAGCGCGACGGCGGCCTTCCCACCCGGCTCGACGATTCCCGCGATTTCGGCTTCCTCGACCTCCCCCCCGCCGCCGACACACCTCCGCACGACTACATCGGGACCGGCACCTTCACCAGCGTCCACGGCGCTCCTGCTGCTCCGGGCGGGAAAGGGAACACCACCACCACCGCGACGGGGACGATGAACGGAACACTCAGCAGCGTGAGTCAGTTCACGAACGGAACGCTGGGGAAGGGCACGTTTAGGATGCTGGGGTTCCAGGCGGCGGGGAGTGTGGCGAAGTTTGCGAAAGCGGGCGCGAGGAAACGGAAGGGCATTGTCGACTTGTTTAAGGGGGCTTGAAGAAGGAATTTTTTTTTTTTCTTCTGGGGGATAGTTTTCCTACGTCGCTTGTACAGTATCTCCCCTTCTTGTTTCCGAGCTTCAGACACCCTTCTTGTCTCTGTTTTTTCGTTTCTATCCTCACCTCGGCGTATGTACAAAGACCTTCGTTTTTTTTTGTTTCCCCCCCCTTTTTTTCAATTACGTGTACATTACCCTTTTCTGTACGCTTCTCACGGCGTCGTTTCTTTTACCCTCCCAATGTATATTCTTCCTTTCTGTGCTTGTATGTTGAATCGCTTACTCAATACGAACAGATCTGCGGCAAAAACCCTTGGTTCTATCTCACAAACCGAGATCAGACCGTCCGTCGCCTTCCAACGCTGTGTTTGTCACTTGACTGTGGTGTTTCAAATGATAGTTCTCATTGAATGGGCATGAAATAGTACCGTATCTACACGGGGATGGGGGGAGCCTAGATTACATTCTCGACGTCCCTATGTACAGATGGATCTAACCGAAATGGATGTAAAAACGGGGTCGTGTTCGGGCATGGGAGAAGACAAGGAAAAAAAACAGACGGGAAAGGTCTTCCAACGTTTCCCAAATCACCTCTTCTCCCCAATCCCGAAAATGTCCAGCACATACGCGGGCCACGCGGCGGCGGCGGTGTCCATCTTCCTCTTCTCCGCGTTGTTGTCGCCCTCCACAACGCGTTCCCTCTCCCGCCAATACCCGCCATCGAACTTCCAATGCTCCTCGCCGGAATCCGGGTCCAGCTCCCTGACGAACCAGCGCGGCACCCACCACTTCTCTCCCACGTCGATCCCGCGCGCGTCCGGGCCCGAGGGTTTGCCCGTGCGTTCGAAAGTCTCGACGAGGTCCCGACGCCGGTCGCGTTGGAGGAGCTCGATGTCTTCTTTGAGTTTGTTGGCCACGTCCCAGTCGCCGCGTTCCATGGCCTGTTGGTCGGGGCGGAGGCGGGAGTCGGTTGGGGGGAGGATGCGCGCGAGGGTCGGGGTGAGTTCGTTGAGGGTGGTGGCGAAGGTTGTAAAGTGGAAGTTGGCGGCGGCGGTGGCGGGGAGCGGGGCGGCTTTCCAGAGGGGGAGCGGTGCGCCGCCACCGGTGGTGGGTGTGGCGTGGAGTTCGGTGTCCCAGCGGCCAGAGAGGGACCATTTGATGGTGCCGTTGCGGTCTTTGGCGAACCCGGTGATCTCGCCGCCGGCGCTCTCGTTGTCAGTCGCCTTTTTGCCGCTGCCGAACCAGCCGCCGCCCGCTTTGGAGACGAAGGTGACCGTGCATTCTTCGCCGGTGCGCCAGTTCTTGATCACCATATCACCCTAAAAATCAGGAAAATGAGATTTAACCACGCCAACCCCAAAGATATCTTGATCCAAATTTCCCACAAAAACTTACAACATGATCCATCCATAGCTTCCCCACAATCACATTATTCACATTCGTCGTCACCTTCTTCCATGTATAATGCTCCGTCTCCTGCACATCCGCCGAGCCGGGCGTGTAGACCGGCAGTCGGACGTGACAGATGCCCATGGGCTGCACGGTAAGCGACTTTCCGTAGAACTTGGACTTGACGTTGACTTCGGTCCAGAAGGTGTATTCGGGGGACTCGCAGTGGCAGGCGCTGATTGGCTGTGGGGGGGGGGGGGGGGGGGGGGGGGGGGGGGGGGGAAGGTGTGAGGTCCGTGACTGTGCGATTGCGGTGACGAAAAACGGGGAAACGAATACCCAGAATCGAAAGGCACACGTACCGGGTGATGGCAAACCTGCTCAGACAAGTACCGCAGATTCCCCTTATCCTGCCTAACCAACTCAAAAGTCTCACCCAGCATCGGATTGAACGGTTTCTGCACTCTTCCCAGCGTACTCGAGTAATTGCTCATAGCATACGCCGCGACATACATCAAACGTCTCAGACTCGCGTCCTCGCCCGTCATGGCCGCCATCTCGGCCACATCGACACCGAGGGTCGCCGCTGTCTTATGGGCCGTTTCGGACACGGGCACGCTGCCCGGCTGCGTTCCGCGCCCGACACAGCTGGCGAGGGAGAGGAGCTCGACGTACTCAATGTCCTCGCACATGCGCTGCAGCATGCTCAGCGGCTCGTTGAAGAAGACCGGGAGGGTGATTTTGGTCAGGTCTTTGCCGATGGCGGAGCGGAGGAAGGACCAGATGGCTAGCGAGGGTTTGGGTTTGGACGGGTCCAGGGGGAGTAGGGTGCGGTAAGTGGCGGGGTAGCCGTAGTTGGACTTTTCGAGGGATTTGGAGATGCTGGACACGGTGGTGGGTGCGTGCGGGAGGACCGTGCTGAGGGCCTGGGAGGTGCGTGAGAGCGTGGCGGCGGTCCCGTTGCTGCTCGCGGCGAGGTTTGCCGCGTTGGGGTGTCTGGAACCTCTGCGGCTCATGGATTCGTAGTTTGTCATTCCGGAGATGTCGTCCTCGGCGTCAAAGAAGACGTCACGCTCTTCTGCGGGATCTTCATACTCCTCGTCCGTGTCTGCAGCGACGGAACTCAGCATGGACGCGTTGTCTGACCCGAGCCCCGATGGGACAGCAAGGGACGCGGGCTGATGGCCTGCGGCGAGAGCTTCATCACCCAAAATCTTTTGCACAACGTCCTGCCATCTGATTCGGTCGTCTCTCTCACGTTTCCATCGCCTAGTCCACATCTTTTCCCGGCTCTCAGTCCTCTGCAGAAGTGACGTGACAATCTCGTTAATGTGTTTCGATGAGCTCTGAATAAGGGAAGAGAGCTCCTCCACATCGAGATTTCCCAGCGCTGGATGGGCGGATTCTTTCTTGGAGTCTCCCAAGGCGGTGAGAAGAGACTGCACGACTTTCTGCTGAGCGTCCAGCTGCACCTGCAGCAAATCCGCGACCGTGTGCAAATTCTTGCCTTGGTCGAACGATTTTTCCAAAACGTCGTCTCCGCCGGACGTTTGCATATGAGCCAAGATCCCGCTAGCGTCCCCTTCTCCCTCCGGCAAAACGGCGATGGCGGGCGGGTACGCTCTGAACCCAGTCGACAGCCTCCCTTCCTTCTCATCTCCCGTCTTGTCGTCATCATCATCACCATCATTATTCGCATCGGACCAGTTGACATTACGTCTCAGATCCTCCAGACTGGTTCGCGCGGACGCTCCATCTTCCTTTGCGCGATCGACCATGAATTTCTTGCTCTCCATCAGCGCCCAAACCCACTTCTTGGCGTCGGCTGGACTCCGCGCTTTGAGGCTGTACAGCACTCCCCCCCTCCCAATGACGTCGAACCGGCTCTTGTCGGTGGGATCCGGCAAGGACACCGAGGCGATCATAGTGGAGATGGAGCCTCTGCATGCGAGAGGGTACTCGGTGACAGTCTTGTAGTAGGAGAAGATGCCGTGCTCCAGAACAAAGTAGCGCGGTTTGTAGCCCACCGCGTAGTTGGTCCATTTGAAGAGAGTGCCGCGCTGCGACGGTGCGGCCGCTGCGTTCGGTGCGCCGGCGGTGGAGGACGTTGCCTGGGGGAGACTTCCAGACATGATGGGCGCCTGGGCTATTGCCCGCTTCAGACGGTCCTTTGTTCGGCTGCCGTGTTTCGGACACAACTGTACGGCAGATGGTTTTGCGGATTGAGTCACAGTGCAACAACAGCGCCCAAATCAGACTTTAAGCAACTCACGTCGACGGGTTTCTTTCCCTTCCGATCCTTGACACCTGGGTCCGCTCCATGTCTCAAAGCCCACTCAACAAGCTCAATGTCATCCGCCTGTGCAGCGAAATGCAACAAGCTCAGTTCCTTGTCGCTATCGATGGGCCCGTTGATGTCAATCCATCCCATGGACAAGTAGGCTTCGGCTCGCGGGCTCTTCTGGAAGGTCTCCATGACAGCTTTCGTCGACCACTTGAGCACGTTATGTCGGACTTTGGAGACCGTTGAGTTTGCGAATTGGGTTCGGTGGGCTGCCAATTGAAGAGTGGAGGAATAATGGTGTCATCACGTCGGAGATCACGAACATCAATTGCCACCCAACCAGCCCCCTCGCTTCCCTAGATCGCTACGCTCGAGGAAAACCTACCCAAAATCAACTGCGCGACCCTCTCTGTCTTTGCCACCTCATCCGCGGTCCTGCCATGCGCATCCCGCACCGTATCGTTCACATCCCTCATCTTGAACAAAACCTCCACCACATCCGCCCTCCCCAGCCTCGCCGCGACATGCAACGGCGTCTCCCCACCGGGCATTGCTCGTGAATTGATCCAGGTCGGGATCAAATCGGGAAAGGAAGCGACGAGCCGCTCGATGACGGTGGTCGAGCAGAGAGAGATGGCGAGTTGGAGCGGGCTGCCGTACGCGGGCGTGGGCGAGGTGGGGGTGATGGGCGGGAGGTTGCGGACGGCGTCGGCGATGGCGGTGGCGTCGTGGGAGCGGAGGGCGTCGACGAGGTGGAGATGTTTGACGGAGTCGTCGGCGACTGCAGGGGCGGGGGAAGGCGGGATTACTTGTGAGTGTGGGAGTGAGTGTTGGACAAGCTGCATCAAAGAACGGAGGTTACCTTTCCCGAAAGTCGGGGACGGTGCGTTTGCGGCCATTCGACGCGGGATGATATGTGATATATGAAGGGAGGGAGTTAGATTTAGGGAAGCTGGTTCGGTATGGTCTGTAGATCTGGAAGGTGTTTTTGCAAGCCTCACTCACGGCTGAGATCAGGGAGAAGCCTGCGGTCATGACGCGGTGGGCTTCCTGTCTGACGGCTTTCGACACTTGGGCGCCGCAACTTCCCTCAGCAGCCGCCTTATAAGTCCCAGACAATGTCTCCAAACCCGTGTTCGCTCACGATACACTCCGGACAAGTGCAGGGAACTGTAACCACCCGCATCCTATATGCGAGCGACGCACGGCAGATTCGCCCGGCGTTTGGGATGGTTCCTTGCTGGGATCGGCCATGGTTTGCAATGTGCAGAACACTTCCCGTGGATGTCGATGAATTGCCCCCCGCTGAGATCCGTGAAGTGTTGAAATGCTCGTCGTGGGCCCCTCCCGCAGACCGCCATCGACGGATTCCTACAACCCCTCAACATCTCAAACCAAGACCGTGCGGGCAAGCAAGCACTGATGCCATATCATGTTCCGAAACTTTCAGCTGAAGGAACAATATGGGGGGATGAGCGCGACAGTTCAAGAAGAGCCTACGACGAGGCAGATTGATCATTAACCGTTTTTTTTGCCTTCCATGCTTTCCGGCTTGTGCTACTTCACCCGTTTCGTGCGCTTTAATTCATTCGATATTTATTGGCGCACCTACAGCTAGGGCATTCATTGAGCAAGCCCTTATGTAGCTGTTGGATAGAAACTCTTTCGGCGACATTCAGCCCAGATCTTTCTTCTCACGCATTTGCCCCATTCCATCCCGTTCACGTAGCGTCCATCTATCTGTGCACAATGCACGTACGTTTCAAGCGCTCAAAGTACTGTGATATGATGTGTGATGGTTCTTGCTCGTGACTCACCGCTCCCTTATCTTGTACTCGCTGTCAAATTCCATGTCAGCGGAAAACTCCGACAAACTCGATGGCCAAGATTCATTCAGCCATTCAGGACAGGACCACAATCGGGACTCTTCTATGACGACCTTCCAGAAGAAATTCCACGACACGCCGCCCGCTCATACACATCACCACTTCCACCTCTATCGGAGGTCTTTCAGCCGTTTGTACTGTACTTAAGTTCAACCTTCTGGCTTTTTAGCCCGCCGACATCCCATGCCCATAAGCTCAACCGTACGGCTTTTTAGCCCGCCGGCATCCCACCGCCCATTCACAATGTACGTTGACGACATGCATGTCCGCCGCAGCCCCACTGTTCGCAACCCCATTCTTGATGGGTAATCTATTCGAACGCACGGTATCCGTTCTAGAAACAGCGCGGACGGACGGGGACTGTTGTTCAGATATCCCCGACTGAGGTCAAACTCAGCTGGACGTATCCCGGGTGTGTTGATACGCGCAGATGCCAGGAGACACATATTGGAGACCCCTTTTGAACTCGTATTTGGCAACATATAGAAAAGGCACCCGCGATTGTCGGAATAGTGAAGAGTTGCCACGTAACCGCAGAAGCATCTGGGGTGCCGAACGAACAGCTCTTAAAATTGAGCTCGGGAACTTTGCCACCCCCCCCCCTCCCCCCCGCTCAGGCAGAACACATCCGGGGTAGTAGTCTGGCAACCCCGCAGAGTACAGGGCACAGACTCCCAAACCGTCCCCCCGCGACCGTCCAACGATGGTCAAAGAAGTCTCCGCGATGGAACAGGGCGTTGCCGTGACCGTCCTCCACGCCACGTCCAGCGGCAAGGACATCAAGAAGGCGTCGTCATCGGACGCCCCATCCAAACCAATCTCCAAAACCGCGCAGCTAGACGACGCCTTCAGCACACCCTCCACCGCAACCCCCGCGCACGCCCCGCACGCGCCCTTAAAGGCCAGCTATGCGGCGCGGGTGTTTGGGCGGCACTTGATGAATGCGCTGGCGTGCATGGTCCCGTACGTCCTTGCGGCGATGCTGCCGATCCAGATCGTGTATGATAAAGGGTCGAAGGAAGGGGCGTTTACGCTGTGGATTTTCGAGTCGTTCTTCTTGTCGAATTTTAGTGAGTGTGACGGGGGATATTTGCGGAGTGAAAAGCTGGGAATGAAAAGGGGGACCCGCGGGGAAAATGGGATTGACACCCGTCTTTTTTCTTTTTCTTTTTCCCCAGGCTTCGTCTACTCCAACGTCTTCTGGCACCGCTCCCTCCTTGGGCTCCCGTTCACGTTCCGGCACGACTTCAAAGCGATCCAGCTGCCGTGCCTGGTGTGCGCGGTCGTCACCTGCGGCGTGTACATCCTTGTCGGGCGCGCGTTCACCTGGCCGCTGAACAACCCGGCGTCGGCCGTGTGGGGCGGGACCCAGTACACGACCGTGCCCCCCTTGACGACGTGGTTCCTGCTGCCGAAGGAGATGAAGGCGGAACCGGGGTTCTTGAAACGGTTCTTGTGGAATGCTTATGTGCCCGCGAATGCGTTTGTGTTTTTCTTTATGACTGCGTGAGTGTGGGTGGGGCCTCAGAATGTGCATTTTTTTTTTGGCGGGGACGAACGGAAATATCGCTGATGGATTCGCTTTCCGCAGCGTTTATTACCTGGTCTTCTCGTTCTCTGGATCGTACAAATTCGGTGTACTGGTCCTCTTCAAACTCGCCGCGACGGTGTTTGGAGGAATCACGGTCAGGATCGTGCATAAAGTGGTTGCTATGAATGGGCATGGAGATGCGCTGCGGACGGCGGCGGCCATGAAGTTCTTCATCGAAGGTGCGTTTACTCTATTCCCGGGGCGCAGCGTCTGACCCCGGGCAGATGAGCTAGCGTTTCACCCCGACTTCCCACTAATATAACTCATATATCCACAGTATCGTACGAAATCTACGTCTTCTTCACCATCCACGACCTGCACGGGTGGCCGCTGTTCTCGGCCTACCTCCTCATGGAGATGGCGATCCTCACCTTCGAGTGCTGGCACGACGAAGAGTCGGCGCTGGACGCCTGGCTCAAGTACCCATCGATGTGGCTGCAGCGTCTCAAAAACGCAAACTCGCCACCCGCGGAACCGACGCCGTTGCCGCCAAAGGCGAAGGACCACCACGTCTCGCATCACTCTGCGAACCATGAGGGGGAACATCATGCGCATAATTTGGTGGATATGGATGCGGTGGCTGCGAGTAATGCGATGTTGCATGTGGAGGGGAGGAAGCATTTTAATGCGAGGGTTTTGCATTATTGTGTTGCTGTGCAGGCTCGGTAGGTGTGGCGTGCGGCGTCCGAAGTGGATGATCCGATTTTAGAGCGAGCGAGCGAGCAACGGTTGGTTGGTTGGGATGGTTGAAAAGCTCACTCTCCCGTCTCCCGTCTTTTAGTATCTACGGGGCCATCGCAACGACCGTCCTCCTCCCCACGTGGTACTACGGGCCCAACCGCGACTGGTACATCTTCGAGTTCTCGTCGCTCGACCTGTGGAACTCTCTCGGGCTCGTATGGCTTTCGGTCGGGGTGACGTTAGTGCACGTGCTGCTGACACGGCATTTCGTCTGGAAGGCGTTCAAGATCGACCTTGTGGTTGCGTGGGTTGGGTACGCAGACACGTTCTCGGATTACTTCTGGGCCGCGTACACCACGGCGCCTGTGTTTCCGGCGGTGCAGTTAGGCAGACAGTGGGGGATGGTGTGGTTCTTTCGGAGGATTAGTGGGTTGGGTGTGCCCAATATTCCATGAGGAGGACCGTCCTGATTTTCATTAGACTAGCAATAACGAATGATTGATTGACAAAAGCTTCATCCAGAAGGCTCTGACCCTACGTTATCTATGGATATTCTGGAGTAGGAATGGATGTAAATGCTGGAAACGCAGTTATAGACGGTTGCTGAGCATATAGTATAGTGTCGACACTAGGTGACATCCACGTAGAACACCAAACGCCGTGAAAGAGCTCAAATACACGCTTTGAGCAGCAAACGGCGAAGGTGGATGGGTACTCAAGTTCGTGTGACAGATTTCGGCAAGGGGTGTTAGAGGATCGCGGATACTGCAAATTGGCAGTCTCAGTCACTGCCAGGTGGAGCACGGGAGGGTGGGTTCCTTGCGCACGTTGCGATGTTACATGTCCGCACCTCGGCATCTGAAATCATTTTCACCTGGAATATTGTCCGAGCTCCGCACACCCAACACCCGCTCAGACTAGCGTTCACCTCCAAGCGGCGATAAACCCCGCAACGGAAACCTGGCAGTCTCCCTCAGATGCGCAGCATCTCCACCTTACACAAACTCCTTCTTGGATTCAACATGCACAGCCCTCGCGACCGATTCCGCAACAATGCGCATGGGTTCCGCCAGGTCCGTTCCGTGGGCTATTAGCACACCTGAAGAAATGAAAGATAAGTAACAACATCCTGGAAAGCTCAAAGTCGATGTATGGGGATAAGGGAATTTTTTACCGGTATTGGCCTCCACGGACGCCAAGAAGGTCAGCAGTAGCGGCGAGTGGTTGAATTGCACCAGCTGGTCGTCCCCAAAGGTGGAGATGATCATCTTGTTGCGGCCTAGACCGAGTTTGCTGGACTGCCATATTGGATCCCCGAGTTAGACAAAGTTCCAGCCCACCGAAGTCCAAGAATCTGCGGCAAGGCAGGCAAGGCAAACGCACCTGATCGCTCGCAACAGTAAAGGTAGCCGAGAAAGCCGGTTCGAGAATGTGGTCCGAGAACCCTGGGTCTACCGCTTTGGCGAGGATGACACCATCTTTGTCGGTCACGAAGACAGCTTTCAGGTGTTCCGTGCTGCAGCACAAGAAGAAAGGAAAAGACGTCAGACAACCTGAACTAAATTGTGGGTTATAGCCGCAAGGATTCGGTACGAGAGGGTGCATTCCTTACTCGGTTAGGACGGACTGAAGGAGGGTGTCGAGCTGTAGGGAGAAACGACACAGTGAGACACAATTCCATGACAAGCTTTGACAAGAAAATGGTTTCAACAAACCTCCGCCATGAGGGGGATTCTTATGGTAACAGGAGTGCTGTGAGATGGTTTATCGATTTGATGTGTCGGTTGTGGATGCTGACTCCATGCAGGGCACTGCCAGAGCTCAAATTGTCCAAAACGAGGAGGGACGACGCATATGCTGAGATTGTTTGAAAACGCTATGGTGAGATGGTAGGATTGTAGAGCTGCTCGGTCTGCTTCGCGGCTGTTTTCTACCGAGCCAACACTTCCAAGCGTCCTCCTCCCTCGTATGTACAGTACAGCCAGGGAACATAAAGCTGTGCCCCCCCTCTAATTGAAATCAAAGTCGGTCACTCACGTGAACTTGGCGTCGCGGCAGTCGCTGATGGCCGCCCCCGGGTGCGAACGGAGATTGTGATCACGTCTGTGGAGGAGGCGTTGGAGTGGGTGCGGGATGCGGAGGGGATGGAGGTTGGAAGGGATGAGGCTGGCGGCGAGTGTGCGGTGTTTGTCAAGGCGAGCAAAATTCGACGCCTTCGGAAAGCCGACGAGCGAAAGGGTGGTATATCATATGAGACGGCTTTTCACAACCCTATAACTCGTGCTATAGTGATGTCCACCGATCGTAACATACACTACGCCCAAGATTCCAAACCGTATCAGGGGGGGGGGGGGGATATCCATATCCATTTTCATTCCGTGCTAACAAGCACAGCCGCCCCCGCCCGTCCTCCCCGTCTCCATAATCCTCACACTCTTCCCCGTCCCACCTGTCCGTCGCGTAAACCCCGCCCCGGACCCAAAATAATCCGCCTCCTCCTCGTCGCTCACAACAATATCGAATCTGAACCGGGGCGTGCGGACGTTATGCGCGATGTAGGCAAATATGTCGTCGACCCGGGTGCCCGTTTTGGCGGAGACTTCGAAGAGGGGGAGGGAGTGCGGGGAGTGGGTGGGGGTGAAGGGGGTGGGTGGGGTTGGAGGCTGGGGGGAGGGGAAGGGCGGGGTTGGGTAGGTCGGGGTATCTGAGGGAGGGGAGAGGTGCGGGCGGCGGTGGCGGAGGGTTTGGATGGGTTCGGCAGTGGGATTGTCGTTGCGTTGTTGATGTTCGTCGTGATGATCGGTGTCGTTTTCGATGAGATCGTTATGCGAACTAGAGGACATGGGGTTTCGCGATGGAGACGGTGCCTGGCTCGACTCCCAGTCTCGATCTTCTTCTTCCTCTTCGTCCGTATCAACATCATCGTGACCGTCATCATCATCGTGGCTGCTGTAATCCTCCTCCTCTTCATCCGAAGTTTCCGATCCAGCGGAACTTTCATCTGCCTCCCCCTCCCCCTCCCCATCCTCCCGCTCCTCATCCTCACCCTGCCCATCCTCATGATCCGAAGCATACGGCGCATAAGAAGCCAACTCCGTCTCATCCGAAAACTCCGACGCAGTCTCATAAGACGAATACCGCGACGTCAGCGAAAAGCGGGACGTTATTGAGTCCCGCCACCCCTCACGTTGCCCGACGCGTGTTGAGAGGTTGACGGGGCGGAGGTGTTGTGGGCGAAGGAGGGGGGAGATGGGTGGTTGGGACCGGGGGGAGCTGGAGGGGGGTTGGTGTGGTGCAGGTGTGGGGGGGCTGGATAGTGGAGGGGCGGGTGAGGGTGAGGATCGGGGCGTGTCTGTGGTGACGGCGCGTGAGATGCCAAAAAGCCGGTTCGTGCGGCCTCCTTCTTTCCCTGCACCTTTGTCGCTATGCCTGCCGGACGATAAGGTGCTCCGCCGACGTACTAATCCTGCAGGCCGGTCTGTAACGATTGTTGGTGGTTTGGGCGTCGATCTAGAGTTTGAAGCAGTGCTTGTCGAAGCTGGTACCAATCCAAACCCAGGATCCCCTTTCCCTGCCGAATCCAAGCACATCCGTTTCAAACGCACAGCAATCTCCTGCCCCTGTCGCTTCGACACTGCCCGATTCGACACGTCTACTTTGTTTCCCACCACCACGAACGGGAACGAGTCTGGGTTTGGGATGTCGGCTTGTCGGATAAAGTCCGTCATCCATTTCAGCAGGTTTGTGACGCTCTCGGGCTTTGTTACGTCGTAGACTAGTATGCAGACATCCGTGCCGCGATAAAATGCGACTCCCAGACTTTGAAACCGTTCCTGCCCTATTTCGCAGAGAGAGGGTCAAAAGTAAGTATCGGCTTCTGGATGAAGCGAAGCGAGGAAAGGTGGGCGATGGATGAACGATGCCCTGCTCGCTCCGCTCGCGAACGATCGGACGCTCCCTGAGGCTCACTAATAAATGCGGTGAGGGGGAATATGCGCCTTTGGCGCAGTGGGAACGCTCCGCTCGTCGCTCGCGAAACGAATCCCTCAAGCACCCCTGCACCTCGCTTCGCTCGCTACAGTCCGCCGGACTCCCAACCGAACCAATCCCTCGCTTCGCTTCGCTCGGGCACCTTTGCGCCTTCGGGGCCCCAACCGACGTCCGCTCGATAACCCATGTTCGACAGCCGTTCCGCCCGTACTGAACGTACCTGCAGTATCCCAAATCTGCATGCTGACCTTTCTCCCGTCCTGAGTTTCTACTTCTTTTGAGGCAAAATCGGAGCCTATGGTCGCCTTGTAAGCCATTGCGAACCGCTTGTGGACAAACTGGTTGCGTAGGGAGGTCTTTCCGACCGCACCGTCGCCGAGAATGACGACCTTGAGAGTTTCTTTGCCCATTGTGTTGACGGAAAGAACTGGGGGCGGAGTTCTCCGAGCAGTGTCTCTCCAAGTCGGGCGTCCGTCGACGGATGAGTGCAGGGTCTCTTATTAAGTGCTACGACGGCATGAGGTTGCGGGGTTGTGCAAGTGTTTGCGATTCCCACCCCGTGCAGGACGTAGTTGGACTCCCGTCGAAAGAGTCGCAACAGGTCGCAACCCTGGTCGCAACCGCTCTTCCCGTGGGAGAAAGGGGAGAACGCAATACGACGCTCAGCAACTCAACCAGAGTCTCATCAAGGCAGCAGCACCCGACGGTTCGCCACAACATCCACATCCTCCAGCACTGCCTGTTCTGCAGCTATTCCCCTTCCTCCACTGGTGCTCCTCGCCCCCCGTAACGAACGACAACCTCACCCTCGAGCGACCCTTTTCACTGTGTCGCAACAACTACGCATCCTGCTGGAATCCCTACATCCCTCCTTCGACGAGGCCCGGCCGCCAACATGAAGCCTGCCTCTCCAACCTCAACGACGTCAGATCCTCCGTCTCTGTCTGCAGCAGCGGCAGGTGCTTCCACAACGCCGGTCGAAGACGACTCGATACAACCACCATCCACCGTCGTTTCCATCGACACAAACACCACTCGACCACAGTCCGCACGACGAACGAGAAGAGGAACGGCATTCTCGTGGAAGACGTTTGCGAAATTCATAGGGCCGGGTTACATGGTCGCAATTGGTTATCTAGATCCGGGGAATTGGGCGACCGATTTGGCTGGTATGTAGACGATGAGTTCCCTAACCACGGCCCTTATCGAGCCTCAGCGAGCACCACATTGCGCCAAAGGCGCAATGACTTCCCTCAAATCGCTCTTAGTGTGAGCGACAGCGGACCGTTCTTCTTTTACACACGCATCGCGCTTGATGATGATGGATGATGGATGGACGTTGATGGTTGATGGTTGATGGTTGATGGTTGATGGTTGATGGTTGATGGGTTGATGGGTTGATGGGTTGATGGGTTGATGGACAATGGATCCATACTGACTCACACATCTCCTTCCTTGAATTCTAGCCGGATCGGAATACGGATACTCCCTGCTGTACATCATTTTAACGGCCAACATCATGGCCGTACTCCTACAATATCTATGCATCAAGCTCGGGGTAGTGACGGGCAGAGATCTCGCACAAGCATGTCGGCGAAACTTCCATCCCGCATTGAACATCGCACTCTACCTACTAAGCGAGTGCGCAATCGTTGCTACAGACATTGCGGAAGTCATTGGGACCGCCATCGCTTTGAAGCTTCTGTTCGGGATACCGCTTTCAGCGGGTGTGGTCTTGACGTCGTTGGACGTGCTGGTGATTTTGGCGGGGTGGAATGTGAAGCATTTAAAGGTGTTTGAAATGGCCATTATTGGGTTGATGGCCGTTGCGGGACTTTGTTTTGCTATCTTGTTGGGCAAGAGTCATCCGGACTGGAAGGAGGTCGGGGAGGGGTTCGTTCCGACCCTGGGAGTGTTGAAGGATAAGGACCAGCTGTACATTGCCCTGGGGATAATCGGCGCAACTGTAAGTACGCACCGCCTGCTGTTTTGCCAGATGTGCATCTAACATGCTCTCCCTCCCACCTCACAGATCATGCCACACAACCTCTTCCTCCACTCCTCCATCGTGAAATACCGCGCCTCCTCAACAACAACCCATCTCGGCGACATCCAAGATTTTGCCGAAATCGAATCCGACGAAGAAGACGAATCCCTGTTACCCCCACCACCCGTCGCCAACAAACCCCGCATAGACGAGATCCTCAAAATGAGCAACCTCGACTCCATGATCGCGCTCACATTCGCCCTCGCCATCAACGCCGCAATACTCATCGTCTCCGCCGCAAACTTCCGCGATCTCAAAGTCGCCGAGCTCGAGGACGCTTATTACCTCCTGCAGCAGATCCTTGGGTGGTCGGCGGGCACCCTGTTTGCGGTTGCGTTGTTGTTTGCGGGGCAGAGTAGTACGATTACGGGCACGATGGCGGGACAGATTGTCATGGAGGGGTTCCTGGGGTCGGATTTTAGGATGAAGCCGTGGCTGAGACGGCTCGTTACGAGGGTCCTAGCCATTGCGCCGTCGCTCTTGGCGGCTGTGTTCAAGGGCGATGAGGGGGTTAACAGCCTGTTGGTGTTCAGCCAGGTCGTGCTGAGGTGAGCCCATTCACGCTTTCCTAAACGTAGCACTCTCGATGAAACCCTTGGGCCTCCTAACTCACATCCATCTACTCGATATCCACAGCATCCAACTCCCCTTCGCAGTCTGGCCCCTCGTCTACTTCACCTCCCGTCAAAAAATCATGACAATCACCTGCAAAACCGACCCGGACTCCACCACTCCAACGCCCACGGAAACAGCCCCCCTCCTCCCCCAAACCCAAACATCCACCGTCTCATTCGCAAATAGCACCATCACCACCGTCGTGGCGGGTATCATAGCCACCCTGATCTCGGCTTTCAATGTTGTGCTTGTTGTGCAGGTAGTGGCGGGATGATATGTTTGGTTAGGGTACGTAGAGTTCTTGTAGATTTTGCGTTTTATGCGGCCAATCATATATATATGATAGAGAAAGGCAGATCAGAAAAGACCATCGTTGCTAGCTACACAGATACATGCTTCACATTGTTCGCCCAGCGGATTGGGTATCGTTTGGTAGCCACATAGCTACTACTGCTACTACGCCGAGAACAGACGTTACTAGCTAGGTTATTTTTAAGAACTAGCTGCCTTTTGTCGGCCGCTTCATGAATAGTCCATCATATTTTTTCAAGTAAATGATGAATTGCCGGGCTAACTGTGTCTTCCAGTCTCATTAGCATTCGGGCCATATTGAAGAAACTATGCGAACGGATCATAGGTGTTCTACGTTTACGGTTGAATTGATAAATAAAGGTGTCAATTAAGTCTAAACGCTGCAAAGAGAGCGGATAACACACCTGTATAAGAAAAGGGGGGGGGGGGGGGGGGGGGGGGGGGGGGGGGAACTACGGTAAAAGTCTACGTCAACCGGTGGCTGTTGCAGAATGAGGGATATATCAAAAGACTGGAATAATGAGGGATAATTCTACGACCTACTGCGCCTTCTTCCCCTCCCCAGGATGCTGCAGTTCCGGGATCCCCGCAGTCGAAACACCCGCCGCCAGCGCCACCGCCCTCAACTCCTTAACCACAAAGTCCGCGAGGAGGTCATACTCGTAGATGATATCCGCATCCACCACAAAGTTCATAAACACCTGTCCGCAGTAGGAGACCGCCGAGCACTGGGTGATGACATTCGACACGATCGGCTGCACATGCACGATCTTCTCGCCGCAAAAGTACATCTCCTCCGTGAACCCGGGGACGTTGGTGAAAATGAGGGTATGTTTCTTGAACAGATCCAGATTGGTTTGTGCGGAGAGTTCATGCCCGACGGCTCTGTACAGTGATTCCTGTAGGAAGACGGCGACCACGGGTTCGGGTGACTGTTTGATTTTATCCATGGCGTTTTTAGCGGCCTGCACGCGGGCGACGGGGGATGATTCTCCAACGGGCACGCGGCCGGAGATCATTGTCCATTTGTTGTGCAGGTCGTCGAGGGAGCGGGGGAAGGAGTACGGCATGAGTGCGCGGATCTGGAGCGAGGCGGCGGCGGCGGCGGTGGAGAGGGATTTGTCGTTGCGGTGGAGGAGGTAGGAGCGCATGGCGCCACCGAGGATGGCGAGGAGGACGTCGTTGACGGTTACGTGGAGCTTGTTTTTGATGTCTTTGATTACATCGAGGGGGAGAGGGGGCACAGGGACGTAGGCGCGGCGGCGGGAAGCGAAGTGGTTGTAGGGGACTGTGAGTGAGGTCTTGGTGTCGCCGAATAGGAGAGGGAGGGAGAGAACCTTCGCGACGGCCGCGCCGGTGTTGAGAGCCAGCACGGCTTTACGCTGCACCCGCTGCCAGAGAGTGGGGCTGGGTTTGTTGCCCTGCATCATCCGCTTGAACTTCTTTTCATCCAAGGTCAAGGGTTTGCCAGCCTTGTCCGTGACAATGTCGCCCAAGACCTGCATTTGCGAGACGCCGTCGCCGAGAACGTGGTGCAATTCAATAATCAGGACTGAAGGCTGGCCGGGCGTAGTGCTCTGCAAGAGGTGAATGTGCCACATGGGCTTGGTCGAGTCCCAGACGCGTTTGAAGAGGTTCTCGATGTAGGCTTTGATATCCGCCTCGGATGAGATCTCTGCAGACTGCATATGCGATTCCACGTTGATGGTCTCGTATGGCAGCCAGCTGATAGTCCCGTCCTGCGCTTCGATGGGGAGAGCGCTAAAACGGTGGTAACGAGTCAAAATGGTATCCTCAAGTAAACGCTTGATCTGAGACTTTGCTGGAAGTTTGTTCATGTACATGGCGCTGATGACCGTTGTTGGCTGGTGAAAAGGTGGAAAAGTATCATGATAAGCGAACAAGCATGGGCCTGGATATTGGCCTCTGATATTCGAAGTGGGAACATACCGGAATCTTAGTCTTGGTCGGGAATGCACCAGAGGGATGAGCCAAGATCTGCGAAAACAGACTCATCTTCCTCTCCCTCTTCGGATGCTTAGTGACCCACGGAAGCTCCACCTTGGGCACCTGCTGGGGTTTCAAGACACTCGAGCGTGCATTCGGGCAAGATGGGGAGTAACAACCAAGATAAGGCCTGTCTGCGGCTTCGGCTGACCGGCAGGAGTCGGAGTAGCATTGCATGTAGAGGTCGTGGACGGGCTCTTGGATCTCGTCAATGGTTTCTGGGTCAACGGAGGGGATGGGCTTGCGCTGGTAGGCGAATGGCGGGGCCGGCGTATCCAGCTCTTCAAGGAGATGCTTGCGCTAAGAGTAGCCGGGAGGGAAGATAGTGTGAATGAACAACCCCAACGCTCATCATCGCTCGCATTCCTTCGCATCGCTCCAGCGACTCGATCGCCCAGTCACAGAACCCGGCGAACGCTCGCTTTCGCTTCCAGCACACACGCTCTCCAACACTCACCTCAATGCCGGTCAAGCCACCGACTTTTTTGCTGGCGTCATAGCTCCAGACTGCCTGAAGACGGGCATAGGCTGCGGCGACAAACACCGCCAACACACCAAACACACTATGAGAACAGAGACATATAGACAGGACGATCAGTATATTGCTGCCGCGTCACGAGACACGGTCTAGACGAGAGGGCAGCATGCCACGAGAAGAGTGCCGTTTGGTCGACATCGCCGGCTGGCCAGATTTGCGTCTCCCAAATCCGTCCGCGTTTCCACCAGCGACCTGCAGAGTGTCCGGCCCCCCTGTTCCGCCGTCTCCTAGTGCTACCGTCCTCCTACTTCGCCCAGTCTCAGCGTCGGTTCTCACCTGAAGAGCCGTAATGCGGCCTCGTCGGGAGTGTACAAGCCCATGTTTGATACGTTCCGGTTGGTGATGAAGCGAAAGGCTCAAATGGATCTCTCCTGCGATATAGTCTCTCGTACGTTGGATGTAAGAAGTGTGCAAGATTGCAAGGGTTGGGCTTCTCATCAGTTTGCGGTTGAAGTTGGGCCGTGGGTGCTGGGGGGCTGGCGCTTGTTTGTTGCAAGCCACAAGTCTCTGGTGCCAAAATCGCACGCGCCGTTCTCATCAGCTCGCCGCGCATTCCGCGGCCATCGCACAGATTCGAGGCGAGGATTCATCACGGCCGCAAATCTTTTGGTGCCTTTTTTGCTTGCTTCTTGGATCTTCGCGGCGTGCACTCGGGCTGCGACGGGCAACATCGGACATATTTGATAAATATCCGCTGGCTGCATCAACGTAAGAGCCTCGCCTCAAGCCTCAAGGTGGATTTTCGGTAGGCTCTCCGGTAGCTCTTTCAGCGGAAACGGATGCATTTACCAAATGGGTCCGTTTGAATCGTACGGACAGCGTTTTGAGTCAGCGCCGAACGAGCTTCCGTTCATAGTAATATAATTTATATTTTTGCTCAATTCTATGATCAAACAACAACGGGGAATTAGCTCAAATGGCAGAGCGCTCGCTTAGCATGCGAGAGGCAGGGGGATCGATACCCCCATTCTCCAATCAAGTTTTTCTTTTTGGGGCTCGCCCGTCTTTTGCGGGATACCCATAGCAGTTCATGCAATCGAAGCGACTTCAGACGACCCAACGTATCTGCGAAGGCAGTGCGAAGGCGGTGCGAAGGCAGGTTCATCGAAGAAGCCATGTTCCGTGAGATAGACCGGCGGATGCACACGGTGGTGGGGGCAAGCGCCGCTGGAACGCATCCCCATCTCCACAAATTGCAGCCCTCCTTTCTTTGGAAAGCTTCCCCGTAACGTCACCAATGATCATCTTACGGTTGTCATCGGGGCATGAAGTGATGCATATTCCCCACATTTCAGGACGCATCAAGACCTCCACATTCTGGTCAGTATCTTCCTCTCACTCCTTCAAAAACCAAAAACGCTCTAGTCCGTCCATCCTCTTGAGACCATTCTCGTCACGGATTTCTGCACCGCTGCGTTCGAACCATTTCAAAATAGCATCTTTTGCTCCCAGAACTCCTTCGAATATACCCTTCACATCTCCCCCAAGCAATATGAAAGCCGGCGACCCTACGAACGTAAGTATGAGCTTGCTGTGAAAGGTTCTTCGGGCACTGAATCGGCTTTTGACAGACGCCTCGCTACGATGCCCACCGAGGCTTTATGATGAGCCTTTGGATGGTCCCCTTCATCTTGGGTGGAGTCTATGCGGTAAGTGGTTGTGTGACTGTAGTTGCGGGTTTTCGCGGGATGCATTGTTTTCGCGGGAGACGCCGGCTGAATGCAGACTTTTGATTGATACTGAAAACCGATACTGGAAACTGATTCTCGCTTCTCAGGCTGCTTTACTTGGTCACTTCCTCGCGGATCTAGGTTACCACAGCTTTCAAGATGCTAAAGACGCAATTCGACAGTTCAAGCACTTGGCGTCGCGCGGTGCTGGTCGCGGAGCCGCCGAAGGTGGTGTGGCCGGGGAATCCGGCACTCGTTTCGGAGAGGACACAACTGGAACTGGATCTGCCAGCCAACCTGGTTATCACGCAGTTCCAACCTCTGTCACCTCTGGCTCTGCCGCCACTCTCCCGGAAGAGACCGGGGACACTGAGGGCGAAGAGCCTCGTTATATGAATCTGGTAGCATTAATCCTTTCATCTCTGCATCATGGAACATGCATTTACCAAACAACATCTTGTTTCCAGCGCAAGCGCTTCGAGCGTGCAGCCAAGGCGGCCCGTACCACCTTTCTGCTCTCTCTCATCATCGCCACCGTCGGCTCCATTCCCATCGAATACGCCTGCACCACCAGTCGCGATGCTCTTCCCGGCATGCCTCCTATCCGCGAGTGCCACACCTGTCTCACGAACGCCGCGAGCCTTCCCATGGTCATCCTCTCGTGGGTGTTCCTCGCCATGTCTGCTGTAAGTGTGACACCATTTTGTGGAGACGCGCTGTCAAAATACGAGGCCGGGTGTTGGAAAATACCCGTCAATTTTTAACTGACACAATTCTCACGATTTCCCCGCTTTTAGATGTGGGTTCTTCTCGATCTCAGTCTCAGCCATGTTTCCAGCCTCGAAGGTGTCAGTGTTTTGATGGATCTGCTGGCCGAGCCTTTGGTCCTTGCAGCTTTGATCATCGCGCTCAGGCGTTGGAGCGCTTTGAGAAGCCGTTCTTGCTGAATGGCGGACGTGGAGCTGAGCACTATCGTCGATTATCGCCCAAGGAAATAGAGAGACGGGGAATATATGGCAGGGGTGCAGAAATTCATAGGGGGCAAGAAAGGGTGTGCAATCTTGTTATTTTGCCGCATCGCTTTTATAGGCATTACTTCGAAGGTTGCCAAGCGGGGTTTTGGGTCTAAGCAGTGCATCATTTGCTTCTTCGAATTGGCGTAGGATATAGTACTTCCCCCAATTAGTGTGCTTTCCATTCTTTTGATACCACAAATCCATGTATGAATGTATGAGATGTCCTTTTTACGTCGTTGTATTCAAGTAATGGGAGCGGGACACCTCCCCGACTCCCAACAAACACCGATGTCATCTAGTGAGCGTTCCCGCCTTTGACACAAGCTGCCCACTCCCACCCAACCCAGTCGGGCATGTTCACATGATTAGATTTCTATCGTTCAGCGGACCGAACGCGAGAAGTGATTGTGTGGAATCCTCACACGAGCCAGATTCAAGATTCCACTCAAAGCTGTTCGAGAAAATCAGAGTCACAGGTCCCACAGCGCTGGGATCCAGCCACCATGACGGGATTCGTCGAGGCTTGGCACTGATGGCACCAGAACTGCACCCCACGCTGTACCATGCTCGCTCTGCGCGAAGCGCCACGACCCGCCGCACTCGCTCGTCTGCTGGTGCTAGGTTCTTGGACCGACGATGCATCCGCGGTATCCCCCGCCGCCGCAGGGTTGGCCGAGTTCACGAGCATAGACGCCAGTGCATTGATCTGCTTCAGCTCTTCGGGTGGTATTAGGTTCTGATCGGCCGTGTTGAGCACTTTGGTATTGTAACCGCGGCAGTTGACGCATTTGTGGTACATGAAGTGGAACTTGGCAAAGCATTTCTTTTCGCAGTCGTTGCAGTAGATCTGGTTGTAGAGGTTGCTGTACTCCTGTGGCATCTGCTGCTGGGCCAACGCTTGGTCGATGCGACGGAAATAGTCGGTCATATCCGCGAGGGATTTGAGGCAGGTTGGGCATTGATACGAGGTTTGGATGTATTCTTGATGGCACTTGTAATGGATGCAGTGTCCGCAAGGCTATGGGGTTCGAAGAATTTTAGCCGAGTCCAAAAGTGAAACGTCAAGAAGCAGCTATTCCCGGCTTACCATGAATATGACCGTCGTTGTACTTGTAAACATGTACTCGCCACAGATCGGACAATCGCTCTCCAAGTTCCTCTCGATACACTTATGCCTTCCTTTCAAGCTGATAGCCATGCACACATTGCACTTCTTGCAATGGAAGTAGTCGATGCCCAGTCCCTTTCCGATACGGCAAATACCACAATCGTAACAGTGGTAGATGTTCTTGCGCGGATCGCTGTCCCAGAGCTTGCACTCCTTGCAGTAGTACTTGGCTACACGGCGACGACATCCTTCATTGATGCAATCTTGGCCCGCAGGTTGAACGGTACCGCAGTACATGCAAAGCATCGTCGTGATGAGGTTCCTGATGGAGACGAGGTGGTTAGGAAAATGGCCAGGGGTTCATGATGTCGAATTCACGGCACGTACCTGACAATATTATGATCGCTGACTTCATCGTGGCAGAATCGACAGGTATCCCATTTGCCACAGCAGTGCGCCTGCAACTTCGCGGCCCGCTGATAGTGCTTGCATCCCAAAACCCCTTGATTTCTGTCGTGGAAAGTGGGCTCCCTGTCTATCTCGGTAACGTGGCTGTAGTCCCGACGGCGATTCTCGAGACGGTTGGTCACTCGGGTGTTCGTCGTTGCTCGACTTTGCTGTGTCGCTGACCATCCCTGCGTCATAAGTTCCTGAAAGAGTAGAAGAGGACAGAAACGGCGGTGAGTTTTCCACCAAGCAATAGAAGAGATACAGGACATGAAAATAACTTACTTGAATCTTCTTGGCCTTTTCGGCCGCGGGAATAGAGTTATCCTGCTGAATGAGCATGATCCGCTTCCTCATATCAGTCTGACGTTCCTGCGCCTTTTCTTGTTCCTTCACCGTGGCTTCATCTTCTTCTTCATCCTCTTCGTCTTCTTCCATATCACTACCGTCCTCCCCTTCCTCATCATCTTCATATTCTTGGTCGTCCTCCGCCGAGTCTTCCGTTTGCTCTACTACATCCATGCGGTCGCCTGAATGTATCCCTTGTAGCGACGGCGATGAGGGCATGCGAGCACGGGGTAAACCACCATCGGATAGGAGCGACCGTTGAGATGTGGTGCGGCTCTGGGAGCTGAGGACGTAATTTCCGCCGGGTTGGGCATAGTGGGGAGGATGTGTGTGCTGGAGACCATGCTGGTGCGGTCCGTGGTTATGGCCGTGATGGTGCTGATGCTGGTGTTGGTGTGGCGGTTGTTGTTGGGCATTGTTTCCGGGGACGAAGGGGCCAGGTGGGTGAAGGGAATCGGAGAGGGAGTTTTGGGACCGACGAAGAGAATGAGGGTGCTGCTGCATGTTACCGGGTCCTGCTGGAAGTATGCCTGCTTGGCCGCCTGCTTGGTCCTGGTCGGGGTTTGGGATGAGTCCGCCACTGAGAGTTCGAAAGATGTTCTGCAGGTTGCTGGTGTATGACATTGCGTGGTATAATGAACGTTTGGAAGAAGTTTGCGCCCGTCAGTCACGAGAGAATGGACGGTGCAAGAGGCCGATAACGCTCGGCAGAGGACGACCAAGCAGGAGCAAAGATGGCACCTTCTTGCAGAGCACTACTCTCGATGCACACCACCGGCTCAAATGAAAAATTTGCGATGGGCTAGTGACGAAAAGCGTTCGAAGATGTCGCAGCTTACACAGTTTCGGCTTTCGGGGGTATGAAGCGGAGTCAAACTGTTTCTTGCGTGAGATATGTCAGCGCCAGGGGTTACGTTCTTTAGACAAATGGCGCCGACTTGGTGATTCCAAAGTGATCCCAAATGAATGGCAAGGTCTGGCTTTAGAATCTGGGGCCCTCCTAATCGGTAAGAAACCTGTAGTCTTTTAGTGTTGGCGGAGAAAGAAGCTTGGTCTTCTTTGAAGCAAGAAGCCGGTACGCTCAAGGTTAAGACGTAGGCCAAGGCACATAAAAGCTGTACGCGTCGGAGATTCCATCGCTACTAAGAATGGGCACATAAAAGGAAACTCTGTCTCGTGTGTCAAAGGTTACAGGAATGGCCTTTTGCGTCACGAGATGCTAACATCCGTATGGCAGTTGACGTGGCACGCAATCAGACTTACGGAGACCTGCAATCTGTGTGCTTGGAGAGCTTCAGTTGGTTCAATTGAATCGATGTGTACTCTACACTCCCTGCCTTCGTTCTCTGCTGTTGATTTGGCGGCTAACACTTCGCTCGAGCTTGGAACATTGTGACGGCAGAGCCTGTCGGCGTTTTTTGACGGCATGCGAGACATCGTAGACGAACTCCGCTGACTGCGCCTCGCTTACCTACGCGAATGCTCCATCCCGCTTTGTTGTTATCAGTACCTCGACCCGCTTCCTTCAAGTTGGTGGCAATTGCCTGCGGCAAAAAGTGATGAAAATTGGATCTCGAGCAACCGGCGAATATGATGTGCACAAATGAAAAAAAAGGAAAAAATTGACTGGAGAATGGGGGTATCGATCCCCCTGCCTCTCGCATGCTAAGCGAGCGCTCTGCCATTTGAGCTAATTCCCCGTTGTTATTCCGATATACACTTAAAACATATACATCCCTTTTTACCTTCACCGACCATCGCCACCCGCCTTCGGCCACCTCGTGCAACAGCTTTCAAAATTCGAGCATAGTCTTTTACCGCATGCGCATGCATCACACCAGTATGTGTGTCGTTGAAAGCTTCTGCCGGGCCCCCAGCTGAGCAAGAATCGAGGGCCTACGAAAGGCAACATGCAGCTTTTGGGTATTGGGCTCCATATCAAAACACCAAAATGGGAAATGCAGTACCGTTTTTGAGTAATGAAAAGCAGCGAGGCATGGCAAGACGATGCACCCTATTATTCTCGGCTCTCATATTCTCATAGTACTGTACATGCGGCGGCTTCTGCCAATGGGAGTTTCCATTCTTTTGGGTAGTTCTGAGTAATTCGGAGAATTGTTTTCCATAGTTATTAGTAGATTTCGACAGCGCGAAGTTTGTTGACAATATGGTATCCAAAGAACCGTCAGTTTCCGGTCAGTTTCCCAAAATAAACAGCGAGGACGATGCAGTGGACTCGAGGAATTCCCAGCTTCCTTCTCTGTTTTCTCTCCAACTTCCCTCTCGTTTCCCTCTCCAAATTCCTTCGCATTTGCACACCACGTTCATCTCAAAGCGAATCAAATACCCCGATTGAATCCAACTCCAGCGACTGTTCGATTTCTTTGTTTCGTCGCCACCATGACGAAACAGGAGGTGAGTATCGAGAGCGAAACTCCAGAGCAACGGATTAGAGAGGGTGTGAAGCAAATTCGCAGTCATACAAGGTTCAAGGTTCTTAACTTGCGTTTGCTACCTCTACGGGCTCTAGATTTTCGATTCAACTTACAAGTACCTGATGACGGTACTTCGAGGAATCGGTCGATGCGAAATCTTCGATGAGAATGACCAAGCAACGATTCGTAAGCCTCCAGTCTCCGATTCCGTACATGCTGAAACCGGGATCCTCTATCCCCTGAATTCTTCGCATGCATATGGCTAATATTTAATCCCCGCTTGCTATGCGGTGCACAGATGTCCAGCACGTTGCAACGATTCTAACTCTGGCTAAAAGCATCATTAACGACTGCGCGGACTGCATCGGCGAAACTATACCAGATACGTCGCGCACTGACCGCCGGGACCATGAAGCTGGCACGATCGCGGAAGGAACCCGACCTTCATCTGCCACCGTCGCGAAAGATTCTGCTCCCTTCTTGCGAGGGTTATCGACCAATTCCTCGAACAGCGAGTCGGACAGTCAGAAGTCGGACGCCAACGCCTTGCTTTTGCCTCCAAAAATCACATGGACTGGTTCTGGTGGGAGCCTTCTACCGGTGTCGCCGCTCTTGACACAGTATCGCGAAATCAGCACACTCTTATTTCGCTCAATAAACCGAAAAGAACCCCTGAACAAAACAGCGACTGAAATGACATTCAGCCCGGTAACAGACGCAACCATCAGAGACACCTTTATCAAAAATTTTGCGACCGTATCCTTCAAAGCTTCAAGCCCCAAGTCCGGCGCGCGCAATTCTTCTGCCGATAACAAGGCGCGAGCCAAGCTGCCGCGAGCGTCACTTCCTCCTTCACGACTGGCTATCCCGCAGGAAGGAATAGCGCCGCCCATGCCGTCGGATGACAGCCTGCGCCACAGGCACAAGCAAATCGCATACCAGATATTCCTGGCAGCAAAAGTCGCCGATGTTACCTGCTTCAAGCCGCAAGTGCTCGCTTTCGAAATCAGCATCCAGGACCAGATGCTTTTCGACCAGATTGGAGCGATCGACCTGATACTCCACAAGCCTCCTGACCATGTTACCCAGCCGATGCAAGCGCACGCCGAATGGTTCAACTACTTGGCACGCTTGGTTGAGTTCACCATTCTTGAGCGAGCGACCGTTCCTGAGCGAGCCCAGGTCATTCTCCATTGGCTCGCGGTGGCACACTACCTGGAGGAGTTTCGAAACCTCAACGGACTCCAGGCTGTGGTCTTCACTCTTACGGGACCGGCCATTAGCCGGCTCCGCCGGACATGGGAGACCGTTCCGGCCAAACATCTTCAGGCGCTCGATGCCCTGATGGGAATGGTGTCCCCCGAGGGCAACTTTGAAAGATTGCGCTCATACCACGCCAAGCGAGACGAGGACACGCGTCCGTTCGTGCCGTGTCTAGGCCTGTACGTACACGACTGTACGTACTATATAGCTCTCATGAAGAATGAAAGCATCAACGAGAGCGCTCGGAGGCGGTTCAGCGAGCTGTGGAACGAGCTGGATCATCACCACAATCGCCAGAAGTACGCCGTCGAGCAGCTCTCGGCTCAGATGCTCATGGAACAATCATCCAAGAAAAAAAACACGTACAGCTTACTGTCCACCAGAATACCTACGCAGCTTGAATTTTTACGACACGCCGAGGACGAGACTGTCGGAACTTTCGTGCTTCACTGGATTCTATCCCGAAAGTGCTATGCCCAGAAGGAGCTCGACGAGCTCTCACGACTCCGCGAACCAAAGATTCAGGATGAGTCGTCGACGGGCACTCTGTGCCCGCCGACACCCCTGGAGCTGAAAAGGGCTCTGTCGGCACGCATCCAACTCGGCACGCAGAAGCTTCCGCAAGACCCACCGTACGTTGTTTCTCCGGTCGACTATCTTTCCGCCCATGCAGTTGTGGTCCCTCCCGAGTTGATCGGCGCTCCGAATATCGAGGCATTACTGTTCAAGGATCTTCGGACGGAGCCACAGCAACATCAAGACACTCCACAACAGCAATCGCAACCGTCAACGCCGTCCAGACCTAGTCTCTCTCGAGCCAGCCTGTCCTTTTTCGGCAAGGCAGTCGGAGCATCGAGCGTGCGTCCCTCCTCCGCATCGATGCACGACCTTCCCGCTAGCGGAAGCGCGGTAGCAGTTGACACTGGAGACCCAGAACATCCGAGCAAACGGTGGTGGCAGCGCCGTCGCTCGAGCGCTAGCTCAGGATCGAGCAGTGGAGGAAGCACCTGGTCGCTTGAAGGTATTCGGGACAAAATCATGCGCAAATCTCGCCGTACTTCCCGCTCTGCCGGTGGTCTTCAGTCGCCCGCCGCGTCCTCCGCCGACGTCGTCTTACCTTCGTCGCTTGGGAATGTCGCCATCGCGCAAGCTCAAGGTCCGTCCGGCGCTGCTCTGCTCCATCCCCCCCCGCCCCCGCGACCCATGGCAAATGCACACAGACGGGCGCAATCAGCGTCAGCTAGCGAAATCGCACACCTTGCGTTGCCTACTCGCAAACGATTCCCTCCCCCGCCTCCCCCGCCGGCCTCTTCGAGGCGCCAACGAACGTACTCGGAAACCGCCGTCGGGGTTTGAAGGGACTAAAGACATGAACAACTCGGAATTCCCACTTCCTAGCTGGTTCTGTTCGGGGAACTCAAACGCCACCGTCTATCGTACGCTTCTTGTATTTGTTCAAGACTTCTTCCCTACATATACGAAGCTCTCATCTACCCTGCCTGTTTATGGTCCTCATACTGATGTTAGGCTTTCACGTTCATGACTCAAGTGTATCCACATCGCAACACATTCATAAATGCCCTTAATACACCAAAAAGTTACTGTATATCTCTCTCTGCCCATCTCTCCCTCTGACCATCATTGCTCCGTCGCTACCTCGACAAAAACCACCCAGCAAAACCAAGCGGGACGTTCAAGGTTCATCAAAAAGACCACATGTTTTATCAAAAGAAGAGATACACACATAAGAGTTGTCTCACGCTTCAATAAACATTACAAAATAAGGACAACAAAAGATAAACAAAAACCCGAGCGGCAATAAATATCGTGAGGGAAAAAGTAAGAACCTCAATGACCATCTCCCCTCCCAAATAAGAATACAAAAAAGCTAGTGGGGACCAAGATCCAATGGGGAACCGGGGAGAGGATAAATAAACGTGTCCCGCACCCTCAACTAAAGGAGGGCTTATTTACATACGAACAGTATTTGGCAGAAAAGGGAGAGTGAGTGTCCTCCAAAGCGAATCCGAGTCCTTTCAAGAATGGTTTGGGATGCCGCTTCGCCGCACAGCAGTATGAAGCAGGCAAGCACGTTCGCCAGTCATGTCGGCTTCTCGGAGGGTGATGGTAGTAGATCGCTTTAGAGTACGCCTATCGGAATAAATGTCGAATGGGGTTTGGGCGATAAGACGGGTCTGCTTCTGCTTCACGGTCCGTCCGTCGACGACGGGCCAAAGCCAAGCACAGGGTACTTTGGACACCAAACGGTGACTGCCGGCTTGGAGAACCGCAAGTCCGGCGTGAGATCTTCGCCTTCGGGCCACTTCACGGTCATAGCGAATTGCCTGGTCTCGCCTTGCACGACAGGCATGGCGAAGTATTCCTGGGTGGCGACGAACAGGTAGTGGCCGTTGGTAGCGTAGCCGAAGGATCCGCCCGCAAGTTCCGCGCCGGTGTATGCATCGACGTATTCATCGTCGCGGCAGAATTGGATGACGGCGAAGAATCCTTGGAAGTACGCCTCAGTGGCTGTGATGTTGACGTAGAATGTCGCTTGGTCTTCCTCCGTGCTGCCAGGGACTACGGAGCCGGCGACGATACCCGATGAGTAGGTACAAAGGTTATTGCCAGCCGGCGGGGGTGGGTATGGGCTTGGGCAGCTGATTCCGGTTGACGTGGGGGTTGGAGAAGTGACGGGGATGGTCCCAGTGGCGGGTGTCGTAGCAATGACAGTTCCCGTGGTGACAGTGACTACCGTGGTCGTAGGTGTGCCAGAGATGGTCGTGACGACAGTTGTAACGCTCGTCACAACCGAAGTTGCAGGAGCAGTGGTGGCAAACTCAGTGGTTGACCGAGTGGGCGGAGTACTGACCCCAGGGTTTTCACCGGGAGATGTCACGGACGCAGTCGCCGTCGCCGAGGTGACCGTGACGATAGAGGTGGTCGGGGTTCCAGAAATGGTAGTAACAACGGTCGTGACTGTGACTACTGGGGTAGTAGCCGGGACGCCGGTCGTGCTTCCAACGACAATGGTGCTAAAGGTAGCAAATGAGCTTCCAGTGGCGAGTGTGCTGCGGGATCCCGGAGTGCTCACACCAGGGTTCTGACCGGGAGATGTAACCGAAGCGGTGGTTACTGGCGAACTAGCTGCAGTGGAAGTCAAGGTAACCGTGGAGGTGGTGGTGATCGTGCCCGAAGTGATGGTAATCACGGTAGTTGACGTCGTGAGGCTTGCAGTGGAGGTCGCTGGAATGGTGGCAGGGGTAGTGATGCCGCCCGTGGCTGGCTCTGTCTCCGTTGCGGGAATAGTGCTCACGCCGCCTGTAGCAGGCTCCGTCGCAGTAGCCGTGGAAGTGAAAGTCAAGGTCGTCTCCGTCGTGACTGTACCGCTGGTAATGGTAACCACCGTTGTAGTGGTCGTCAACGATGCCGTGCTTGTACTTCCAACCGCCGAAGTAGCGACGCTTGTCTCACCAATGAAGGTGCTCGTGCCGGTTTCAGATCGAGAGCCGGGCGTGCTCACACCAGGGTTCTGGCCTGGGGATGTGACACTAGCTGTAGCAGTGGCCGGTGCGGTGGCCGTCGACGTGATGGTCAGTGTCGTTTCGCTGGTAATAGTGCCGCTCGTCACCGTCACAACAGTGGTGGTCGTCGTGAGGGATGAGGTGAGGGATGTGGTGGCCGGGCTAGTCACTGGAACAGTTGTTGTTGATACCGAAGCATCTCCAGTGGTGCTGAAGCCTTCGGTGGCGCTTGCAGTGGCCGTGGCCGTCGCCGTCGAGGTGATTGTCAACGTGGTCTCGCTGGTAATCGTGCCGCTCGTCACAGTCACTACGGTGGTGGTAGTAGTGAGGGATGAGGTAACAGACGTGGTTCCGACAACTGTAGTGCTGACTCCAGCCGTCTCAGTAGCCGTTAGAGATCGAGTGCCGGGAGTGCTAACTCCTGGGTTCTGACCAGGAGAGGTAACGCTAGCTGTCGCGGTCGCTGGGGCAGTTGCAGTTGACGTGAATGTCAATGTAGTCTCGGTCGTGAGGGTACCGCTCGTCACAGTCACGACGGTTGTTGTTGTGGTCACGGATGCGGCCGAGGTCGCGGCATTAGTGGCCGGCAGAGACGTAGTGGCAACTGATCCACTAGCAGTAGCAGTGGCAGTGGGAGTACCGGTGTTGCTTGGCTCAGCGGAAGATGTACGGGTCGCGACAATTTCCGTGCTGGTAAATGTCAACGTCGACGTGGTGGTCAGAGTGCCAGAGGTAATCGTAATGACAGTAGTGGAAGTTGCGGTCGTAATGGTTGCGGCCGAGGTAGTTGAGGGTGCAGTGGTGCTGAGACCTGCAGAGGCAGTCTCAGAGGCAGTGAACGTTCGGGTGCCTGGAGTGCTGACACCAGGGTTCTGCCCAGGGGAAGTAACACTCGCAGTTGCCGTAGCGGCGGCCGTGGAAGTCACCGTCAGGGTGGTCTCGCTTGTGATCGTTCCGCTAGTCACAGTGACAACAGTGGTGGTAGTGGTGACGGAAGCGGTGCTGAACTCGGAAGTCGTACCAAAGGGAGTGGTGGTAGGAGTTGTCACTACAGACGTCGTGGTAGGTGTGACCGTGACAATCGCCGAGGAACTCGCCGAACCGATGGTAATCGTTGTGGTAGAGACGCTGAAGCTGTTTCCAAAGGTGAACGTAGCACTTCCAAAGCCGGTGGAAGTCCTCGACCTGGTGGGGATGCTGACACCGGGGTTGTCACCAGGACTAGTGACCGACGCCGTAGCAGTTGCCGTGGACGTCAGAGTGATCGTAGACGTTGTGGTTACGGTGCCTGAGGTGACGGTGATCACAGTGGTGGTCGGAGTGATGACCGCAGAGCTGCTGCTCCCGACGACTGCGCTTGAGGTCGCAGGGAAGGTAGGTTCAGTGACCAAGGACGAAGTCCTCGTGCCTGGCAATGTCACGACCACAGTGGAGATCGGCACGGCGGTCGAGGATGCGACAGCGGTTCCGGTGGAGGTCAGAGTCACGGTAGAAGTGGTTGTGATCGTCCCAGACGTTACCGTGATGACCGTAGTGGATGTGGATGTAGTCAGGCTCACGCTCGACCCGACCGCAGTGGAGGAGAAGCCTTCGGTCGCGATAGTAGACCTTCGGGTACGAGTTGGAACACTGACCCCTGGGTTATCGGGAGGCTGTGTCACCGAAGCAGAAGTGCTCGACGGAGGAGCAGTGCCGGTGGAAGTGAGCGTAACGGTTGAAGTTGTTGTAATGGTTCCGGACGTAATCGTGATAACAGTTGTGGACGTGGATGTAGTGATGGTCTCCGTGCTTGCAGGGGCGGTGGTTGAGGAGAAGGTTGGGATCTCGGAGGACGAAACTGAGAGCCCGACACTGGCTGATTCTGTTGCAGTGGTAGACCTGCGTGTGCGGGTGGGAACGCTGACTCCCGGATTGTCGGGGGGCTGGGTCACCGAAGCAGTTGTGGCGCTTGAGGCAGGCGCAGTGCCCGTCGATGTCAAAGTCACAGTTGAGGTCGTTGTGACGGTGCCCGAGGTGACAGTGATAACGGTCGTGGAAGTGGACGTGGTAACTGTTTCCGTAGAAGCAGGAGCCGTGGTGGTGGACAAACCGGCAGACGCAGTTCCTGTGGGCTCAGTGGCGGTAACCGTGCCTGTGGACGTCAGAGTTACCGTCGAGGTTGTCGTAACCGTACCTGAAGTCACGGTGATCACAGTGGTCGACGTAGAGGTAGTCTCGGTGGATGCGGGAGCCGTGCTGGAAGAGAAGACGCCGCTCGTCTCTTCCGATGCAGTAGTCGATCGTCGAGTACGAGTGGGGATGCTCACTCCGGGATTGTCAGGAGGTTGAGAGACGCTTGCAGTCTCCGTGGCTGTAGCTGTGCCGGTCGAAGTCAATGTGACAGTCGAGGTGGTAGTGATGGTTCCCGAGGTCACCGTGATCACCGTAGTCGAGGTAGATGTAGTGATAGTGGCGCTTGAGGCAGGCGCGGTACCTGAGGAAGATGCAACTGCCGACGAGGAGAAACTCACGGACGAGGCGCCGGTCTGTTCAGAGATCGTCGTCGATTTACGAGTGCGTGTCGGAATACTGACGCCCGGGTTGTCGGGGGGACCCGTGACACTCGCGGTCTCGGTAGCAGTTGCGGTCCCGGTTGATGTCAATGTGACTGTCGATGTCGTCGTCACTGTGCCCGACGTGATGGTAATCACCGTGGTCGAGGTAGAGGTGGTAATCGTTGCGCTGGAAGCGGGCGCAGTAGAAGTCAAAACCCCTGAGCTAGAGCCCACGACGGCTGACGACGAGAAGCTCTCGGACGATGAAGTTGTCTCTACAGCGGCCGTGGTCGATCTCCGAGTGCGAGTGGGGATACTGACTCCTGGATTGTCAGGAGGGCCGGTAACGCTAGCCGTAGCGGTGCCGGTTGCGCTGACCGTGCCGGTGGAGGTGAGCGTGACCGTCGATGTGGTAGTGACTGTGCCCGATGTGATTGTAACGACCGTTGTAGAAGTGGAAGTGGTGACGGTTGCAGTGGAACCAGGGGCTGACGAAGACAAGCTTGGAATGGACGAAGCCCCGGTTTCTTGCGACGCAGTGGTCTGTCGACGGGTCCGAGTGGGGATGCTGACACCTGGGTTATCAGGAGGGCCAGTCACGGATGCCGTCTCGGTTGCGATGGTGCCAGTGGAGGTAAGAGTGACGGTAGACGTAGTAGTGACCGTGCCGGATGTGATGGTAATGACCGTTGTAGATGTGGATGTCGTACCCGTGGCCGACGACGCACCCGCCGTGGTGGAGGTAAGTCCGGAGCTTGGCTCAACAATCGTAGTGGATGGGGAGGCCGAGGCACCGCTACTTGTGGTCGTAGGAGTGACAACCGCAGAGCTGGTCTGAAACGAGACGGAGGATGTGCCTGAGGCCAATGCGGTGGTCGATCGACGAGTGCGGGTAGGAATGCTGACACCTGGGTTGTCAGGAGGACCGGTGACGGATGCTGTGGCACTGGCGGTAACCGTCGCGGAGGCTGTGGCAGTGGCAGGGCACGGTTCACTGGCAGGCGAGATGTAGATCTTGAGAGTCTCGAAACACTTCTTGGTGGACGTGTGCGAACCGTAGTCGTTGCCGTATTTGTCGTATTTCTTTTCGTACTTCTTCTCGTCACTGCTGTAGTCCTTCTTTGGTTCCGCATACGGGTCGGCGTAGTGACGGCGATGCAACGCGCGGTTGTCATTCTTAAAGCTGTTGACGACTTGCTCCTCGGTGACACCCTCAGGCCATTGCTCGTGGACGAATACGGGGATGTGGCTGCCGTCGTCGCGCCTGTCGAGTTGCTCGGAGAGTTTGCTTTCTTCTTCTTTCGCGGGGATGTCGGGACACTTAACTTCATCCCACTTGACATGTGCAGACGTCTGTTCGGGAAGGCCAAGCTCTTGAAGAGCGTCCTCGGAGAGCGAGAGGCGACCACGAGGGACCTAAGGGAACAATGAGAGAGGAAGGAAGATGTATATATATAGTGGTGAGTGAAGCGCATGCTGGGACTGGAACACTTCACAAATGGGGAGGACTCGACTGATGGATACATACCTTCTTTGTGACATCGACGATCCTGACGACGGTCGATAAACCCGTGGATGATGCCGTGACCTTCACGCAGCGACCGCAAACACTTTGAGCCTTGAGAGGGTTGGCGCCAAAGGCGGCCAGTGGGACCGTTCGAGTCCATCCGTAGTTGGGACACGCGTCGGGGCCGACAAGACGAGTAAGCGAGAATGGGTATTCACCGCCAGAGTGACCTCGGCCGTGGAGACGCGCAGCATCGGTGAAGGGCGTGATGGCGCAGAGTAGGAGGAAGAGTGCCGCGGCCGCATGCGGCGGTCCGCTGGCTGATCTAGTTTGCATTGCGTTGCAACTAGTTCAAGATGAGTTGCGTTGAAGGGGTGTGAGGTGGTATATGTGCGCAGTGATAGAGAATGCCGACGTGAAATGAGGAGGGTGTCGCCCAGCAATCTAGGTCCACTTCGAGAGTGATACTGAGAGTACTATCTCTCACTAGGGTAAAGGAGGTGCGGGTAGGTGGGTATGCAGGGACGGCAAAACTAAGAACGTCGCTAGTGAGACGAGCTTGCCGTCGAAGTGCTTTTATATATAACGCGCGAGGGGGACACGGTGGGAGAGAGAAGGGGGAGAAATATCGGACGAGCTCAGAATACCGCCGTGGAAGGAAAGATGCCGGTGGATGGAAAGCGAAGCGAAGCCAACGGGTGTTTGCAGCGAAGGAAAAGGGGACGGGGACGGGGTATATTCGGACTGGAACACATATTGGATTGAGGCGAGTACGATTTCGCAGCCGCCGCCGCCGACGCACTCCGAGGCCGCTAGCAGAGAAGCAATGGAAGGGATTGCGAGGTGCATGAGAGTGTTGTATTGCTGTTGCGATCGAATTGGCGGCGATGGCAGCGAAGGAAGGGAAAAAGAAGGGGATCACAGGCGGAAAACGCGTCGCGAAGAAAAGGGGTAAGGAAAGAACCCTAATTGCCGACGCGTCTCCCTGCGTCCCGCAACGGCGCTCCCACACCAAACCCAACCCATAACCCTTTCCGGTCTGATCCTACCTTGCCAGTGAGCGAGCTACACACTCTGTATTATCTATCACTGGTTGCACGTTTGCCTGAAGCAACGGCCAATGATGACCGGGCAGAACCAATTTTCAGTGCTTTCCACGCCCGGCAGTTTGTCTCTACAAGCTTCGACGCACATTTGTCACTAGAACCACCCTTCCAAGGCATCACTTCAACAGTGGAATAACAACCTACACCACTCAAATGGCGCAATTCCATGAAATATCGACTTTTCGGGCATATGCAGGGATGCCCGTATGCCTAGTACGCGCACGGATTTTCTTCTATCTATGGCCTTTTTCCTCCCAAGCCCTGGAAGGCCAAACCAAGCAAAGGCTCCAACCTTTGTCCAGCCTCCACGCTGTCAGGAAGGAACAGTATCCTGCCGAATTCTATGTCCGTCTTCAAATGTTCGAAGTTCAAACAATGCTTATGTCAGCAAACGCGAACCCGGCGCATCCGCAAATTCCGCTGGCGGGATATTCCTCCCTTCACGTCTCTCCCATCCTTCCATCCTTCGCATCTTGACCACATTCTACTGTACCCAACCAGCCCTGAGAGGCGACTAACAGTCTTCCGACTCCGCCATTCAGCCGAGCCCCCTGAGCCTTGAGCTTCGCCATGTTATTTCTTCCGGTGGCGCGTTTCACTCCGCCGCCCGCGAAACCTCCAATGACTTGGCGGCGGGAATCGAAGGTTGTTTGATTTTTGAAATTCGGAGAAACTGAGGCTGAAGCAGTTGTGCGGAAGAGTGTCATTCGATACATCCAGGGCATCGCCAGTGGCTTTTTTGCAATACATAGTTTACCCTCCCTTAGGCCGTCAGTTTGACGGAACAAAGTCATTGGATGAAGCCACCTTGTGGATCGCTAGCGGGCGAAGGGCATTGGAAAGGAAATCGAACCTGGATATTCGATGCATCAGATCACACAACTGTCTATCTACCATAGGAAAGAATGCATCCTACATATTTGCTGCTGAAGAGATGGTTATCATCCAGTCCGTTCCTCGAGACTGGCAATCATGGCAGTCATGGTCATGGTTCAAAGATGGATGGGATATGGACTATTGTGGAGAGGAACGTCTGTGTGTCAGCACCAACCGCGTCCGACGCGTTCAGAGAGACCCAACGTTCCCATTGCCCAATGCAAACCTTGATTCCTCGCCATATCCCCATTATATCAAACAAAACAGCATGAACTGGTCCATCCCCAACGCCCTTACCTGCGCCCTAGCTTTTCTGATCATAACACTTCCCAGCATCCTCGCCGTCCCAGGCGGCCAGGCGGCCCGGCTGTGCGATATATGCTGTCACGACCCCCCTGATGAGGATATATGTGTGCGTGTGCGATGTGAATGGTGAGTTCATATGTTCTCGCGATGTCTAAGTGCGGGCTGCATGGCACTGATGTACTGTACATGTACGTTTGCTATCATTAAGCCCGCCGCTTGAGTCCGCGGGAGTTGAGCTTGGGACACTCTCCTGGGCAACACTTGCGACGGAAACAGCCACGGCCACCACCACCACCGCGGCGGCGATGGAAACCATTCCGGGCGATATATGCTGCCAATGCTGCCTGGACGCAAGCATCCCGGAGTGTGCGCACATCAGCTGTCTGTGGTGTCCTCCCGAGTGTCGGCCGCACAAACCGTAGGTGGTTTGATGCTGCGATTTCAGTGCGGTGTTCAAGCTCATTTCTTTCTCATGTGTGTCCGCGAATGTAGAAACAAAACGCCCCGTTCGCCGTAAGACTTCCTTTCTGTCTCAAGTGTGAGGTTCAAGTACGATTTTGGTTTTGGCGCTATGGAATACATCAGGTTTCGGAATCGTAAAGATATGTTCGTCACACCCGCGAGCGTGACCCAACGCCACACGGGGTCTACATTTTATCGTAGGTCTATATACATGAGAAAGCTCTCTTCACGCAGCCAAGTCTCGCCAAAAAGAATAAATATCCACAATTTGAATAATGATAATACTCGCAGTCGTCGTTGACGCGATCTCAGAACCCCTGTCTGGACGCATTGCACATGTATCGTTCTTTCACGACGCCGGTCAAGATTCCCTTCTCGGTCTTTCCGGGTGGGATGCGGTCTTTCATCCAGCATTTGTGACCTTCAATTTTGGGATAGGATCGAGATCAGCTTCAATCACACATAGAAGTCCGCAACGATCGAGTTCACAACACTCACCATCATAAACCCACGTAACACAATTCTTCTTCCCCTTACAAAGCGCCTCACACACCTCAACACTATCCGCCAGCCAACTCGCAATCTCCGCTCCCTTCCGGTCATAATCCGCCAACCGCACGCTCGTCGGATGCCAGTCCCAGTATATATCCCCAAACGTCACTGCGCCCTTGCCGTACTGTCCAATCACCTTCTTCTCCAAGTTGTAGAGATCCTGCACTTGTTTGACGAGGAGGTGGTGGAACGTCAACGGGCGGTCGCAGGCGTTGTGCGGGAACCAGAACTGTTTGTTGGGTGGGGAGCCGTAGAACCCAGACGGGGAGTGAAGTAGCACGCCTTGGTCGCGTAGGCACAGCGCCGTGCGTACATCGCCAGCCCAGCATGTGCGGTATTTCTCAATACAGTTGTCAAGCCCGCTCATCATCTCTCTCATCGCTCCCCGCGAAACCACAATCCCGCTACCGCCATGCGCGAAATAGGGGCCCTGGCCCCACGCCCAGACATTGTCACACCCTACAAACTGGGTCTTGGCGCCAAAGTAGTGCGGAATGTCCGGGTCGTAGATAGATAGCCGGTCGGCGAGGTTATCGAAGAACACGTACGTGTCGTCGTCGAGCATGATGTACCACGCGGCGTCGGGGAAGCGGGTGTAGAGCTCGCGGAAGCCGGGGAGGTTTTTGTGGCCGTCGGATTTCCAGCCGGTGGAGGATTCGTCCGGGTTGACGGCGTCCACGGAGAGGGGCTTTTTGGGCATGGCGAGAGGTTGTGGGGAAGGGACGCGTGGGCGGGTCGGTGCTTTCGGGTTGGCGGCGGCGAGGAGGGGTTCGGCGTGTGGGGCGGCGGGGGGCTCGGGCTTTTTGGGAAGGCGGTGTTGATGCTGAGGTTTTTGTTTTGGTTGTTGCGGTTGCGGTTGTTGTTGTTGGGCTTGGGGTTGAGGTTTCGCTTGCTGTTGCTGTACTTTAGGCTGCTGATGTTGCCGTTTGGGCTGCTGAACGTATACTTGCTGTCCTTGCTGCGGGGCAGGCTGCGGTTTCTGCACTTGTTTCTGCACTTGCATTTGCACCGGCTGAGGGTTGTGCGGCTTTTGCACGTGCACTTTCTGCGCTGGCGCTGGCGGAGGTGGCCGAGGCTGCTGCACTTGCTTCACAATTCGTCGGGGTTTCGGGGCTTCCTCTACTGGTGGCTCCGGGGCCTCTTCTGCTGGTGGTTCTTGTTCTGGGAAGGCCGGATCTTCGTCGAGTTCGGGAATCTCCTCCTCCGCCTCTGGTTCTTCGGGTTGCTGAATGGGGACTGCTCCCGGGAAGAGACGGTGTCAATCTTTGCTGATTCAAAAGGTATACCAAGATCAAATGGAGGTCCACTTACTCCGTGCCCTCTTAGCCAATCTACGTGGCTTGATATCGCCTGCGTCCGCTTCCGGATTCGTTTCCGCATTTGCATCAGCCTCCGCTGCCGCCGCATTCGCCGCCTCCGCATTCGCCGCTTCCGCCGCATTCGCCACTTCCGCCGCATTCACCGCGTTAGCATGCGCTTGCGCCGCCGCCTTGACATCCTTCTTCCCCGCATCATCATACAACCCACTGATAACATCAATCATCTCCAAATCCCCCACTTCAACAACCCCATCCCCAATAAGTATTAGGTTCCTCACGGGCTGCAAAAACGATACAAGCTGAATCAGCGATCGCTGATGCACGACATCCACGCCCGACTTGAGCGCGACGGCGAACTGGTCGAATTTGGGGTTGAACCGCGATGGGTTGCGGGTGATGCTCTTTGGGTCGACTTTTGGCACTGTGGACGTGCTGAAGGAGGAGGACGTGTCGAGTTCGGAGTTGTCGGGGCTGGCGGCTGCGGAGGCTGTGGAGTTGTCTTTTGGTACGCTGTCTGGCACGACGCCGGGTGGAGCGACCTGACGTGCTTTTTCGGGCGGACCGGCTACTGGCGCGCCGTCTGCACCTTTACTTGTATCGTCATACGACGCGCGGCGGGAGTCGAAGTATCCCACGGCGTCCGGATCATCCTGAGTGATGAAGTCCGTATAATCGTAGCCCGAAAATCGGCTCGTTGAGCGCGCGGAAAAGTAGAGTAATGTGCAAGCAAGGGTAATGAATACGACGCGTGCGCGTAGACTTGAGCGGAGGAGATGGAGTAAGGATTCGGTGAGGGAGCGATTTGGGTTGTGGAAGCTTGCGGTGCTGGTGATTCCTGGTTGGCCGGTCGGGTGAGCATAGACGTTGTGGGAAGAGCGGGAGGGTCGTGGGTTTATGACGCCGTTGATGGTGTTGCCGTTGGGGTTCGGGTTGGCGCTGCCGGCTGACCAGCGGCGGTTTGGAAAGGCTTCCATCGTGTGGTATATATCAGAGTGTGCAATCTAGCGGGTTGCTAGGACGTGCTGTGAGGTATTGATCTGTGCCGTTGCCAAGACGGGATTGACGAGCAGTTGAGCGATGCTACAAGGCAGCCTTCAGCCTCTTATGGCTTTCGGGTAGCAGGACACCGGAACGCAACACTGCCAGTGTAGTGCAGAACTCTGACAAAGTCTGTAAACAGTTTCCGACCCACAATCATACATTCGGGATTGGAGATTGGGTGGGGGACGCGACAGGGATGTGTTGAACCCTTCGCGCCAGAGGGACCTGTTATTCTGTCGCGCAAACAGACAGACGACAATTGTAAGTCGAGGATCGAAATCGATCACGACTCATGGCATTGAATTGATCAATCAGGCTAGCGGGATATGAAGACGACCAAGAAGGATGGAAGGTGGGCATTTGCAAAGGGACAGCTTCTACGAGCGAGCATGGAAGGAGAGAAGCGAAAGGGGGACGCGTTCGCGGAGAGACACGTCAAGAAAGAATCAATAAACCTACTTCAATCTGCAGATGTAACGTGACTTGCATTTTAAAGGTGACGTGAGAACTGACAAGCTGGCGTTTGTCGGGGTTGGGGTTGTGTTTAGATCATGGAAATCGAGACAGGAGAGGCCATGGATGACTCGCTCCGTAGCTCAATCGAACATGAGCGGGACTCTCTTTCCGCTCAATCATACAAGAACGTCCCTCAAAATGTAAACAGCAGCTCCTGGGTATCTTTTATGATCTATCTGAGAAGTGGCCTCAGTGTGCGACTGGGAGGGCGATGAGGGGGAAACCGAATTACAAATACACATACGCCTGGGGTTTCTGGACAAAATCTAGGCTACAAGCGATAGTCCCGGGTGGGGTCAATCCGAGCTATATATTTTGCAAAGGAGGAGTGGAGAACCAACAAGGGTATGGAAGATGTGACGGGTATGGGTCCAGGGACGGAGAAACAATGCCCTGGACATCCCATGTTCGAAAGACAGAAGCGAGTCGGCGGCGACGCTTTGGGTATCTCTGTCCATCCGGGGTCGATTACCCGTAGGAACTCCTATTGCGCTCATGTCGCGATTCGCCGGATGTGACACATGAGCAGCGCCTTCTACCGCATAGCTTCCCCAGCATCGCAATCGCATTGAGCCTCCATGTCCGGCAGCCTCAGCATAGCCTTGCCCGCCGCGACACGTTTGGCCGCCTTTTTGTTGACGCCGTTCTCGACGGCGACGGGTATGCCGTGGAAGGTAATGGTACAGGTGGCCATGTTTGTGATGGGCGCGATTTCGTATCTGGGTGGTAACGGAACGAAAAGAAGAGGCACCAATACCGATGTAACTCGGGCGAAGACACTGTTACGAGAAAGAGCAAGCAAGACGTACGTGTCGACGAGCTTCTGACATTTCATCATCTGACGCCAAACACTCATCTGCTCCGCCGGGTGCACGACTTTCTCCCACGCCCTCAGCCGCGCACGTGTCTTTGTCTCCGCTCCCCCGCTTCCCACCTGCGCCTTCGTCTTCTTCGTCGGCGATTCCACCCCAGCATCCCCACCCACATCCTCTCTCGGCCTCCTCGTCGGACTCGCGGCATTGCTCGATGACTCGAAACTACTATCCTCCGCCCGCGTTGTCGCCATATCCACATCCATATCCATCTTCTCATCTTCATCATCAGCGTACCGCCTCCGAATCCCCGCCCTCTCAAACCTTGCCCAATACGGCTTGATGAGCGTATCATGCACAACACGCGCGACGGTATCGAGCAAGAATCCCGAGTCGATGAACACGGCGCCGATCATGGACTCGTAGACGTCGCCGGCGGCTTTGGGCGCCGAGTCTAGCGCGTTCCAGAAGAGTTGCGAGGAGGTGGAGGAGGTGGAGGTGTGGGTGGTTGTGGTTGAGGTTGTTCTGGTGGATGTGAAGGATGCGTCCGGGTCTAAGGGTGTGTCGTCGGCCCTGGGGATGGGTTGTGATAAGGACGCTTTTGCATGGACGTCAGTGTCCACGCTAAGCCGACCAATCTGCGCCGCCAGAGAAGTTTCCTCCGCCTCCGCAGCTTTCTCCAAGGCAGCGCCAAAGGCAGCCAGCGCAGTGAAGAGCGGCGGATGCATATGCTCCATCACCTTCGGCAACGACATGTTCCACGAGACAACAGCCAGGAACTGGTTGTTGACCAGCTCGGACCGCAGATGCGAGATCTGGCCCGGGTCGAGTGGGGGTTCCAATATGTACAGGTATCGCGTCACGACGAACCCCAGCACCGAGTCACCCAGGAACTCGAGACGTTGATAACAATCGGTCTGCAGAGCAAGTTGGGCCGCCGAGGCATGCGTGAGCGCCTCCATGCACAACGACGGGTCCTTGAATTTATACCCCAATTCCCGTTCGGCAACATCCACCCCGGGCGTCCTAAACTCGCCGCTCTTCCGCCTCTCTTTGTATATAGCACAGTACCGCGCCCAATCGATCTCGTAATCGCCTCCAAGCAGCTTCTTGACGGCCTTGGCGCCCCCGAGCTCTCCGCCTCTTAGCACACAAGCGCCAATGATGGCCTCCACAACATCCGCGACCGTCTTATCACTCAACCGTTGCGTGGCCCCGCCCTCGCCCCGTTGCAAAGGCGGCGTCCATTCCTTCCTCGACAGTGCGGTCCCAAGAACATACGTCTCGAGCTCAACCTCCCCAGCCCGTTCCCTCAACGCCGAGTTCTTCTCCATGTTATTCCGCTTCTGCGATAAATGCCCTTCATGCCACTCCGGGTACATAACAAACAGATGTATGCTCTGATGCACCTTCAGGAAACTGTCGCCGAGCGTCTCCAGCCGCTCGTAGTTGAACACCGGGTTTGCGACCGGGGCAGTTAGCGCCGTCTGCAGATCCGACACGGTACCGCTGAGTTCCCTATAACTCTCGTCGTCGACGATCTGCCCCTCTTCCGCGCGCTCGACCGCGAGGTACTTCAGATCTCGCGCCACGAGCCGGTGATGCAAGTACTGCACGATCAGAGGGAGATGCAGCGCATTGCCCTGGAGGAGTCGCGCCGGGATGGGGAAGATGGTACAGAACTGCGGGATGAGGAACTTTGCCGCCAAGCTCTCCTGAGTGCTGGCGCTTTGGGTGATGTACGGTAGCGATCGGGCTTCGATGATGAGTTGGTCCTCCAGGATCTTCTCGCGGCATTGAAGACGGGTCTGGTAGAAACCTGCGACGTGCGGGGCGTTGCCTGTAGGCAAGTCTGAGAAGGGTGTGGTCTCTGGAACGACGCGGGTGATTAAGTACACGCGTTTGTAAAAGACACGATCAAAGACAGCAAAGTTCGCAATATCGTCCCGTTTGAGAAAGTTCGGGTCGTCGAGGACGGGTTGATGCCCCTGACACGCGATTTGGATGGCTTCCCAGTCGATTGCAGCGTTCGGGTCCGTGTTCAATTCATGCAGAATGTCAGTGCTCTTGGGCGCTGTGGTTGGAACGACGATAGTAGCCCAGTCGCCGTCGTCGGGTACATCACTCCTTAGAATCCCTCTGAAGAACACAGAGTGGAACTTCTTCGTCTGTCTCAGCTTCTCATCGGTCATGATGACCCTCGTCGCATACGTTGTAGTGGTCATCGTCACATTCTGCTCCGCAAGTATAAAGTCGAACGATTCCGATGGCAGCGGCCGGTCCCCAACACTCAGCAACCCGAACTGCAACGGCTCTGTAGGCACCCCCGGAGTATCGCTGTCCAATGTAATCTTTGTAAGCCACGCGCCCACGGACGAATCCCACTGTCCCTGCAGCAAGCTCGGTGTCCGCATCCGGAACTCCATAATCTTCCGCTGCTTCTTCTTGACCTTCTTCATCCTCCCCTTCTGACTCTCCAGAAGATCCATCTCAGCATCGTCAAGAACAGGCTGGATTTTGAACGGTTTGAGCCGGTCATCGAGCTCCCCGGCCCGGTGGAGGACTTTGATGGCTTCAAACGCCGCCCAGCGTTTCGCCGCCCGTTTACTAGTTACGACCTTCCCGCGGATGAAGCGAGTGGATTTCGGGGCGGCCATGGGTAGTGTGACGTTTCCCAGGTACCCAGGGCCAATGTACGCGCCTTCCGCAAAAGAGACCGGCTCCTCTTCGAAGATTGGCCGGCTGAGGGCAAACGCGTCCTTGGGTAACAACGAGCAGTAATGCTCCAATCCGCCGATGGCGCCGAATATCGTCACTGTCGCGCCCGTGCTTTCAATGTGATATATCTCATCCTCCGACAGCTGCAGGTTGTGATCATACGGACTGTCATCCTCCATGTCGTTATCAACCGCACGGTCGAACAGAACGTTCCGCATACGCTCCTCCTCCCTCTTCAACGCAGCGATATCAATAGCCTCCGACGGGTTCTCGATATTAGAAAGGGTGACGAACCGTGATTTGATATGCCGAGCGCGCCCACGCGACTGGATAAAGTTCGTCAGCGTCCCGTTCGCATCGAAGCGGATGACCAGCATGCATTCCCGGATATCCAGGCCTTCTTCGGCCACACGAGTTGCGATGAGGAGGTTGAGCTCACCCGTACGAAACTGGCCGACGATGCGTTTCTGTTCCTTGATTTGCATGTTGACGTCGAGGACGGTGCTTGATTTTCCGCGGCCGTGCCCGACCAGGATTGAGCTTTTGAGAAAGCCCAGGCCAGGCCACTTTTCGATCAATGCTTGGAGAGCAGTGGCTGTGGATCGCTTCTGCACAAAGACGATCCCGCAGAATGTGGCGGCTTCGTCTTTGTAGCCCAACAGGATCTTGATCAAGGTGTGGACCTTCGGGGACACCTCTTCGATATGCGGTGCAGAGCCTGTCCCTCCCCAATTCGGAGCCAGTTCGATATACGTTTTGAGCCTTTGAACCTTCTCCATCACCTTCCGTTCGACAGCCTCGTCCACGCCAACCCTCAGATGCGCGTTCGTTTTGCGCATAAACGCGAGCAGATGCAGCTTGTCATGCGCGTCGGCAATCGCCTTCTCCAAGGCCCGGGCAGCACACCATGACCCGAGCTGTTCGCAAAACTCCAACGCGTTGTCCATCGCCTTTTCCAGCATGTGGTATGCAGGACCTGCCGCAGCACGTATGAGATAGTAGATCGCCGGGAGAAACGCATCAGATACCCCCCTGTAGTAGACGATTTCCTCGTCAGGCCTGCTGACGTGACCGGCCATACTATCGGTGTGGACTGTGTATGCTTTGCAGTCGAGATTGGTTTCAAGTTGATCTATGGCGTCTTTCGAGTCTTGTTTGGCAAACGTAGGGGACGCTGTCATGCCGAAGATTTTGGGCCGCAACTCCACGGGGCAGCGCTGGTAATGATGGGACATGATTTGATTGTAGCTGTGGTTCTTCCTCGCGTGGTGCGCTTCGTCGAATATAATGAGGGTGACCTGAACGTGAGAGTGTATGCGCCTGTCAAGGGCCCGCACTGTGAAGCGCCTTCCAAAGTCCAAAAGACAGAATGTTACCCTTTCCATGGAGATGTGACCTCGATTCAAAATCAGCCTAAAGATATCAGCTGTCATGACCATAACGTCGGCTTCCGAGATCTCTGTTTGCCACCGTTTATAATTCCACTATTGAGAGCATACACCGACCTCAGTTAGGCCTCTTCTGAGGTTGAGTAAAGTTCGTCTTCCACGAGACTTACGTCGTCGACACCCATGGACCCATAGTAGTGCTTCACATTCAGCTGACAGTTGAATCTGATATATGCCTCCTGTTGCAGAACTAGCGGCACAAGTGGGACCAGGAAGATACTTGGCCGCTTTGCCGCTCGTTGTTGTTTCAGACTCGTCATATGCTTTAGGAGCATCACAGCTATCAATGTCTTTCCGGCCCCCGTGTCCAACACGGCGATAACATTCCCGGCAACTGCCTTCCTAAACAGCTCCTGCTGATATGCGCGCGGCGCAAGGGGGGCAGAGGCGCCGGCTTCTGTGATGGGTAGGGGAGGTTGGACCGTCATGGCGGTGATGGTGGTGGTAGTCTGAGCTGTCGAATGGTGGGGTGTGATATGTGAGTGTTGGCCGTCGGTAGGCAAGCGGGACCACTATCTGGAAGTCCGAGTTTTACTAGCTGCCGACCTGCGTGGAGAGTCGAAGTTCGACAAAGTGGAGCCACCACGGCGCAGACCCATGGGGCGAAACGAAGTGAGCAGTAGGTGACGGGCTTTGATACCGTTCTCCGGTTTGACCAATGGGAAAGTGTGGTATCCTATTCCCTGAGGTAGGTGCCCGAGAGAGAGAATAAGTACATGTACACTAGTAGACGAGAGGCCACCGGGGTCAAGTCGGAGCTCAGTTCCTGAGGAAGAGGAAGGAAGAGCGGCGAGGCTTGCAGTTTTGACAGCGTTCCTTGTCTCTTGCGTGCGTGCTGTGCTTGCTTGATCTTGAAACTGAGCGATGTGACGCGTGCTCCCCTTCCCAGTTCCCAATTCCAACGCGAACGACTTTCGGACGTGAATTCTGGACGGAAAGGTCTGCTGCAATTCGTATCGCTTTCCTCACGGAACCACCATCCCATCCTACCACACCATGCCCGGAAACGACTACTGGGACCTCGACGCTATCATAGCGGACCACCAGGTATGTCCTGCTCTCCTAATGTTCAACGTCTTACCCACCAAACGACCCTCCAAATTCCCACTCTTCACACAGAAATTACCGTGCTTCTTCCACAACGACGTGCCAGGGTATGGCTTTCTGGAGGGCAACCACGAGACGGACGTAAGTGTTCGATGGAAGCAGCTGTCGAGAGGGGGAGAAGTACCTTCTTCCTTCCGTATGCTGAATGGTATGCCCATTTCCCGACTGAGCAGTTATCAGCAAACGCAAAAGTAGAGCTCCCATACTGGCTAGCAGAGCATCTTGCCGTAAAGTACGCCCTCCGCCCTCGGCATGTTACTTCCACTCTCGAGAATGTCGCTCAACACCCTCCCCTTTTCCCATACAGTGACCACGTAGACCTCGAACTCCCCAAATGCTTCAATCAACGCGTCCGCGACGACATCAGCGCATCCCCAACCTCCGTCAACCTCAACAGGCTGTGTCCCTATTACTACCGCTTCGGAGTCAACATCATCAACTTGTATGTCGGAAAACCGCTCAACTGTTCATATCACGACCGCTATGTTCACCCCCTCCTCCATCTCCCATCAGGATCGTCGACGCAGCCCTCCCCGAAGTCCTCTCGCAAGCCTTCAAAGCCCGCCTCCCTTGCATCATGGACTACACACAGACGTCAAGATTACGAACCGATCGGTCGGAGTTTATTCATTCGTTGGATGAGACGGAGCGGGAATGTAAGGAAGCGAAAACTCTTCATGGTTGAGACGTGGTTGAGGGACGACATTGGGCTGACTGGGAGAGTCTTTTTTCCATTCAGTGTACAAGTTGGGCCATGAGACGGTGATGGAGATGATGCAGTGGGATAGGCGGAAAGCGGTGCGGATTCAGACGGCGGAGATTTTGAGTAGAAGGGTTGGACGGCATTGATTTCGGGGATTGAACGGCGTAAATGGGTGGATTGGAGGGATTGGGCACGGATGCATGATGCATATCTGGAGCGATCCAGGCGTATTTTGTATACATAGTTAGGAAGGCGGAGTCCGTACCATGAAAAGAATGTGTATCTACACGCACGAGAGCCACATCAATGGTAGAAGATCCGGACGGGAGGAGTGAAGAGAAGGATTGTGAATTGGAACTGTGAAGAAAAGAAGCACGGCTTCAACTAGATCGGTTCCAAACGAGGTTACTTCCACAGAGCGCACATATTTGCAAATTGTTCCAGTTTATATGTACATGTTGTGCGTGGCAAAGAAGGACACGTTGAACCCTTCACCTTCACAAAATGAGATTCAAACATCACGCCTACATCTAGCGATGCAAGCAAGCTTTCCACGCCCCAAAGGGTTCGGAATTTCCTCCTAGGCTCGCCGTTCACTCTTCATCCTCCTCCTCAGCTGTCTGCAGCCAGGACACGAATGGTTCTACGCGTCGTTTGAGGTCCGCGGCTTCAGGAGACAGGGAGCTATGCCAGGCGAGGATGATGTCTTCTTCTACGAGGTCGGCATCTGTAAACGAGTATAGAATCACGTTAGTGACCGTTGCCAACGTTGCAGGATACCCCAATCAAGTGTCGTCTTATCGAGAACTTACCATAAAGATCCTTCAAAAGCACCAGAATCTTGCTCATTACAGCCTTCCCATGTCCATTGACGCTCGTACCCGCACCCGTAGTTCCAGTAGCACCCACGGAGCTCCTCAACGCAATTCTCTCAACCGCCCTCATCAAATCCTTCTGATCATCCCTATGCGTCATAAACTTCCTAAACAGCTCCGTGCGCCTCTTCACCCTCGCACTCTCATACGCGCCATCCGCCATCAGCGCGCCAATCAGGATCGCAAACACCTGTTTCTTGCGCAGGTCGTGCTTAAACTCTATCCGCGTGAGTTCCTTGATCTCTTCCTGCTGGGTGAGGTTGTTGCCGAGGAGGAGGGTGGAGAGGGAGGCGGTGAGGGATTTTTCGAGATGGGCGCGTTGTTGTTCGATGTGGGTTGTGGTGGGGGTGGGTGTGCTGGAGCCCCCGGGGTTGGCGGGGTGCGGTGGAGGGGTGGGGTGCCGGCTGTTTTGGAGGTTCTCCCGTTCCAGCTCGGAGAGGTCGAGCACGCGCATCCACGGTTTCTCCTTGTCGTTGTCTCCTCCCTTCAACAGGTCCCTTATCGCGGCGCCTGAATCTGGCTTGCTGCGCGTCTTGTTGGTGGTGATCGCGGCTGGACCTGCTGCGACGGGTGCAGCAGGAGGTGGTGGTGTTGCTGGAGCGGTGATAGGCAACGCTTCGTGGTTCCGAATAGCTGCTTGCGGTCCTGACGTGGTCTCTCCAGCGATGACAGGGGTGTCCTTCCTCTGTGGCGGAGTTCCTGACCGCCAGTCCGCGTCTAGCTTTGGCCTCGCCAGAATCTTTATCGATGGTGGAGGAGGCTGTGGTATAAGTGGTGGCATAGGCGCGCTTCGGGGAATATGACGCTGCGGCGGCGGCTGTTGCCGCTGCTCCTGCTGTTGAGCAGGACGATCTTCATGATCATGGTCACGGCTGTGGGGATTCGGCCTCTGCCGGAGTTCACTTTCAGAGTGGGCGAAATTGCACCGCGGTCCATACTGACAGAAGCCTTCCTTCAATAATCTTTCGCACATCCTCGTTTTGAAGAGCGTAAGACCCTCAGGCTTATCGTTGACTTCGCCCGCGCCTGTAGGCCTCTCTCGCAAATCCGCTTGGCCATGAGCGAAGGTGCACCGGCTTCCGTACGGGCAGGTCCCTTCTACCTCGAACCTTTCGCACAATCGAGTCTTGAAAAGGGGGTTTTGCGATGCCGAAGTGTGATTCTGATCGTGTCCATTACGGTTGTTCGGGCGAGGCCTGAAATCGTCATTCCACTCGCGATCCCGAGGCGGCTGACCGTTGTGAAGCTCGGCTGGGTCGTGTTGCAGGATCCTGATTCCCTCTTTCGGCTGTGGTTCACGCCACGATCTGTTGGTATTCGGTCCAAATACCATGCCACCGGCCTTCTCATGACCTCCTCGTCTGTTCGGACCGCCTCGACGCTGTTCATCGTCCGAGCTGTTCCTCCCATTCTTCTCCCCATCTCGCCCTGGCCCTCCCAGCCGCCGCCTGTTTTGTCTCTGCGCGGAAGCAGATCCATCGTCTTCATTCGCTGCTCCACCTCCTCCTACGGACGATGCACCTGTTGCGACTGTTTGTCGTGCTTGCAATTGCTCAACGAAAGCTACCGCTTGCGAAAGAACATCTTGCATGTTTTTGTATTGCATTCGGTCTGAAGCCTGAGAGTTTTGACTTGACTCCAGCAGCACGTCCAATAACGGATGGGTGATATTAATGTTCTCACCTGCTTCAGATTGCACCACGCAGTATTCATTTCCCCGACCCCGCCGGGCAAAATACGAAGGGCGGGCGGAACACGCGCCAGGAAGAAGACACATCTCTTAACGTTCGTCCCAGACAGGTACTAAAATGATAAAGGCCGTTCAACAAGCCGATTCGTCGATCGAGCGAAAGGTGAGAGGTGTCCATGTAGCATTACCTTGATTTCCGCTCGAAAGCCTTCCTCGATGTGTATGTCCCTCACATTGATGCCTACGACGTCCGGCAGAACTCGCAACGCGCACCTGAAAAAGATAAGAGCAAGTCAGAAACTCCGTTTTCCCACGCCCCTTCTGGGACCAAGTTCAGGGTCCCATGAGTCCACCTACTTCAATTCATCCTCCTTGCCGATAAGTTTGCCCTTCGGAGGCGTCCAGTGTCGTTTATGCGATAGAAAGTCGTTGACGAGCAAAAAGTCCACTGCTTGGTGAGGACGGAGGCGATAAAGCAGGATTCCGGCGGCGGCACTCTCCCTGGACATGAGTGAGGTCTTCTGATCCTGTGAGCGGTGACAGAGGTCTTAGAGTGCTACAGAAGGGGAGCTATACGGTGTTTCGAGAGAGTTCTTGGGACAGTATGAGGTGAATGTATCAAAAAGGCGATCTCTCCGTGGGAAAGTAAATCGTAGTGGGAAAAAACGCTTGCGACGCTACACCGAGGGAGTGGACACTATTTCGCTGACGGAGAACCAACTTGATCACTCTCTCAATATATGTGCAGTGAAGAAGCAGTAGACAGATAGTTGGTGGGGCAGCAGCAGCAGCAGCAGCGCCTGAGACGAGGGCTTGTCGGCTACAAGGACCACTTTCTAATACATGCCGTCACGGGCACCGTTTGGGAAACAGCCTGAGCGGGCGTGATTTGATGACTGCGACGCGGGGCCAAGACAATTGAAGACATCAGAGCCTCAGAGGACACCGCACAAGTCAACAGTCCGTTTCGCTTCGGAATGGTGGCCTTACAAAACCATATCCATTATACAGAGCACCTTGTGCAGCCATCACCAGCACAGCTCGCATAGTATTGCTGCCAGTCCCCATTACTCGGCCTCAAAGTGTATGGTCTATGGCAAAGGAGCACACCAGGCAAACTTATCCGATATCTGCCGTGCGACCCCTATTTACCGCGTTCCTTTGAAGGAACATTGCTGGAGAAGATCGACAGGCCTGCCACCATGGATATCACTCCTAGTGACTTGCCGTAACCACAACTTTAGCACTTTTGAACCCTCAAAATGCCACGGCCACCATATTCGCAACGCAGGCGGGGTACACCCTCCCGCCCCCGTCGCGGAGGTCACCATTCCCGACAACCTGGCCGGTCACCCCGCAATCGCAGTGTCCGCCCAAGATTGCTCATCACCGCTCTCGACAAAGAACCAGCAAAAAATTGGTATTGCACAGAGGAACAGCTAGAACACACGCCTTCGCGACAGCAAGGGGTTTCTGCGGAGGCGGAACTGATATTACGCGAAAAGGGCACCCGGATGGTTCTGAAGTTGGCAGACAACCTGACAAGGTGAGGAAGAACGGTGACCGCTTTCGGGTACGTATGAGTTTTAACGCAGAAGGGCTGATCCAAAGCGCTCTTTGCAGGAGTCCGAGGCTATCTCATGTGTCATGTCTCTATTTTCATCGCTTCTATATGCGAAAGTCCTTCATAGAGTACAGCGAGTACAAGGTATGTGCGATCTGATGCTCTACGCCGTGTGGATTTCTGGGTTAGCTGATCATCCTCCATCAGCTGGTGGCAGCTACTTGTCTCTGGATATCCGCCAAGCTGGATGACCGGCCCATCAAAAGCGCCCACATGGTGGAGGCTTTCATAAAAGTGCTCAACAAGGTGAGCCGCCCTCTTACCAACCCTACATCGCGGGAAATGCTGAGGAAATTGATATGCTAGGACCCGTCAATGAAGGTAGATTTCAACAGCCCACTCTTCGAGGAGTACCGAAGAAGGTTGCTCTTTTATGAAATTGAGGCTTTCAGAACCTTGAATTTCGATGCGCTGCCAAAGACCCCTCATGAAACGTTCATCGAGATTTATGACAATTTGAAAGGTATGAATCGGCATTCTAAGAAGTTAGCGCGGCTATTGCTCACATCAGACATCTGCGTTTGTAGTTTCCGGACCGGTGGTTGATGCTGCAACCGGGGTCTTCAGTGATTGGTACGTACACCGATCTGACATGCGTTCGAATCGTGGATGCATCTACTGACCCTCTCTCTTTGGTGTCCCTCAGTTACTTTTCTACGATTTGTTTGATGTTTCCCGCCCGCTTTCTGGCCGCAGCCGCCATCTTCTTCGGGGCAAAAATGATCGGTGCGAAAGTGCCTGTAGGCGTGGACGGACGATCCTTTCGCAAAGTTACCGATGTGGAAGACGAGGAGCGGTATCGGACGTTCAAAGGTAAGTCGAGAAGGATAAATGGTGGAACACAACGTACTTGGCGCAGACTCAGCTTATGCATTCCCTCACAGCTGCAGTTAACGAAATGAACGAGTACTATGTGCGTCATCCTTGTCGTCAGCGGCACGGTCTTGGAAGTAACAGTCCTGTGAAGGTAAGGGTCCAGGACCAGGTCTGACTTGGAGGGAGGCGTTACTGACACAATCATTCATACAGAAAGAGGAGGACAAATCATCATCCGTAGAGGCCTCGGCCAAACTGGGGGAAGGGGACGCGTGGGTCATGATGGAAAGAGGCGACCCAACAGTCAGAGGGGAAGCAGGAGACCTATCTGGCCGTGACGAGATGTCGCCTAGTATAATGTCAGAGGGATACGCTTCATCTCCGACGTCAATACTCGGATGCAAGAGGAAACCTGAAGAGTCGGTGGGCACGATTTCGCCAAGGACGGACCCAGCTGCCGACCATCGGCGTGAGAAGCGAGCGCGGTTCGCTGATGTTTCCGAGATGAACACCTGATTGCCCAAACGGTTGCCCCGCCTTGGCGACGTGAGCTGGACTGGCTCGATTCCCACTCGGCTGGAAACGACTAGCGCGGATATCGCGCTCCGCGATTATACCCTTACAGCGTTCATCAACGCTACCCGCGTCGGTCTTCCGGTCTTCGGGCCAACGGTCGTTTGATTAATGAAGCTGCAGAAATGCATCATGCTCATGTACGTACCGGAGGCCGCAAAAGACTGCTAGTTGCATGGCTTTACTTAGCAGGGTGACCTCTTCAGGTGGAAGACATAGGCTACAGTCAGTCAGGAGACCTTTCTCGGTCAACCTCGCACTCGATGGACTATCCAGCTTAGAGCCGGCGTTGATGGAATCCTGCTCAATTGACCGCACAGCGACCGCTTTCGATGGACATTTGTCGCCCTTGTATTTACCCACATCCCCAAACCATACATACACCTTTTGGGCTTTGGGAAGCAGCAACTGATGATCTGATATGTGAGCGGTTATCCCTGTTTCCGGAATATCATTCATTGGTAATGGTCCTCTTGTGACAGAGCCGTAATCCGAATGGAGACATGTCCGCGTTCCTCATAACGGTGCGCCCAAATTATTTGTCAGCCGGAGTTCGTTGGGAAAAATCTCCATCGATTTCATCAAGCGTGCCACATGTATGCATGTATTCCCCACTTTCTGGCATGCACACACGGCGAGCGCCCATTTGAGAAAGTTCCTGGCGGAAACGCGTCGGTCGGAAGGATTACGCGAATAGCGAATTCCCGCATTGCAACTTGGCTGCGAACCTCCTGAGGGAACATTTCGCTGGAATGTCTCCGTAAAAGCAAGTCACCGACAAAGCCTTCACATGCCCAACAACACCCTCCCACACAAGCGACGACAGCAGCAGCACATATTTGTCCCTTCCTGACGCCATGCACACAACACCGCCAGAAGGCGCCTCCCGCCTCGCCCAACTCCCACCCTCCCTCTCCTGGTTCCTCGGCTACCGCCGCCCAACAACAAGCTCAACGCTTCAACCAAAGATATACGTGATATGGATATTCTCGTTCATTGGCTCGTTTGCGAGCATGGCGGTTTTGCAGGCGGTGTTTGAGCGGAATACGTATTTTGTCGAGCGGAATGTGCCGAGTATTATTGCTAGTTTCGTAGGTGGCGTTGGGCGGAGTGCTGGGTTGGGCGGAGTCTTCCCACGGGGGTGCAGTTGTACTGAAACGTATTGTTGCGACAGGCAGCGTCTGCAGTCCTCGTCTTCGGCGCCATCGAAGCCCCGCTAGCGCAACCGCGAGCGTTGGTGTTCGGGCATGCGTTATCAGCAGTTATCGGCGTAGCGTTGCAGAAGTTGTTTGCGCATTTTGTTACTGATTACACGGATATACGGTGGCTGCCGTCCTCTCTGGCGACGGCGACGTCGATTGTGGTGATGCAGATGACGGCGACACTGCATCCGCCGGGAGGTGCCAGTGCGCTGTTGCCGCCGTTGTCGCCGCAGATTGCTATTATGGGGTGGTATTATGGTGCGTTGACATCCCAAAGTGTTTGCTCGTCACTCCGCCTCCCGTCTTACCTTATTCGGTTCTACAGTTCCGATCGTCATCCTCTCTGCATCACTAATGCTCGTAATCGGTCTATTGAACAACAATATCGCCCGCCGCTACCCCGTCTTCTGGGTGAAACGCAGCGAGCACGTCATAGTCCCGCAATTCCAAACGCCCTCCCGACCGGTTCGAACCCACTCGCTGGGATCAAAGGGCGAGCACATCGGCCTGCATATCGGCCCCGACGCTGAGGACGACGAGCGGGTGGTTGGCGTGCACCATGTTCCTGATGAAGCGGTGGTGGTGGATAAGGATGAGATCATCATGCCGACGTGGCTGGAGCTGTCTGCCGAGGAGCAGGCGGTGCTGGAGGGGATACAGAGCAAACTGCATGGGAATAACGTGCGGAACGTCGCTGGGCGGATCATGCCGTAGGTGTTGATTTTCGGGAGATTTCAGACGGTGCCCATTGGCTAGTCTCGCTTTTTGGTTAGATACCTTCGCTTGGGGAGGATGATTGTCCTGCATCACCAGGCTAGTGGTCATCATAGCTAGAACTCTCAACGGCGTCTATGCAAGGGCTTTAACTTAGATACAAGGCCCTCGTATACATATACCCACGATCACATTCCTATGGCCGCCATCAAAATAATATATAGAGCCGCAACAATCTAAGCATGTTTAATCTCCTCTACCAAATCCTCCAATTCCTCCCTCACCGCGTCTTCCTGGGCATCTCCCCACAGCATGGGGATCCTACACCGTTTGAAACTTGGCCACACGATCTCCTCCTCAAACACGGCGCGCAATTTCGAGGTTATCAGCGAGGCGAGCTTGGGAAGATCCTTCACTTTTGTGCGGTGGCCCAGGAGGGAGCGGACTTCAAAGTCGAGGATGAAGTCGTCGAGGATCGAGATGGAGAGGTAGGTTTCGGGCGTGTCGGGGTGGGTGACGAATTCGACGGCGACCTGTGTAGCGCGCGAGAGGAGATGAGGATTGCCTCCCGGTGCCTCATGCCCTCCGATAAACAAAGCGCTCAACTCACAGTCCCCGAAAATTTAACCACAGAAAGCGACAACGCAACCGGCAAAGCCGCAATACACGGCTTTGGCCAATTGACAAGCACCTGGGTCTCGATACCCAGCGTCACCTGGTCATCAAACTGAAAAACCACGCTTGTCTGCAAATTGCCCGTCTCCTCAGCGTACCGCACACTTGCGCCTTTCATCAGTGGGAAATCGTCTCCCAGGGAAAAGTCAGTGATGTGTATGGGGCCCTATTTGATGCACTACTCAGCTACTCAGTCGAACGCTGACGGGGAAAGTCAAAAGGGATTGCGAGGACCGTACCAGGAACCCCGGTTTCGTATGCCCATTGAGGACCTCGTCCAGGACATGCACGATGCGATTGTTGAACCCGCTGTCGTTGCGGTACTTGGTTATCGTTTGCGCTATGAGGACATTGAGCCAGTCGCATGATTCAACGGGATGGGTTTGGATGTTGTAGAGTGTTTTGGAGAGGATTTGCGATTCGGTTGCGTGCGCTGGCAACGGGACTCGAATCTGTTCTCGCTCGGTTAGCGGTTTGCTCTCGGTAAGGGAAAGGGTTTCTTCAACACTCGGTCATACCTTTGGTTCATACGGTCGTCTCACGTTTCGTTTCCGCGAGAGATCTATCCGCGTCTCCTCCCCGCTCCGGAAAAAAAACACCTTTATCAAGAAGAATATGAGTACCCCAAGGGTCATTTGTCCTGTAGACGAACCAAAGTGAGTACTCCGCAAGCGTTGGGCTAACCGAAACTTCCCAACAGATATCAGCAACGCATAGCTCTACCCACCGGCGACGAACCCCTTTATGAATTCCTTGGTGCCGATATGCACCGCCGCCTCGAGGGAGGCGACGGGGACCGGCATCGGTTCCACCGTCGCCGCCATACCCATTGTCCGTGTTTCATCCATTCAGTCATGGGCTATGCATAAGACACTCGTTTCTGCTGGGTTGAGGGCAAGCCCTGAGGTTCCTTCTGATGCAGGGTTGTAAAGGCCTTTGAGTGCAGTTGTAAGCGCGGTCGGCCAGCAATATGTACGTTCTCTACGGCAGCAATAGACCGTCCGCTTGGTGGCTATCCTTCTTCCCCGCGGGTGTCGGAGGCTGTCGTTCTGTCGTCGCTGTCGTACTGTAATTTCGGAAATGGCAATTGAGCGCATGGCTAGACGCGATGCGGTGAGCTTTTCTCAGAATTCACTTTCAAACGCGACGACATTGCCTGGATCTGCGAACAGCACTCCGAACCCGACTCCGAACCCAACAGAAGAAGCCGTGACCCATTCCGGCTTGTTTGACCTTCCTGCCGATATCTGCAGTCAACTGCCCAAGACCTGTCAGACCGGTTGTCTCATCGCATTCCATATTATCTTCCCGGCGTTACCATCTTGGACAACATCATGCCTGGCGTTTTGAACGAAGGTACGTCCCTTCCTGTTCTCAACCTTTGCAGAAACGGTCCTCGCTCACCCCGTTGTTTACAGCTCTTGCGGTCTACGAGCAGCTGAAGAAGGAGTTCAACTCACCTAAAGCGGACCTGCAGAAATGCGGTCAATACCTGGCCAAGCTAAAGGTTGGTGCATGTCCTGGTCTAGCGTCTCACTTCGCACGCGAAAGTCATGACCGGGACCCGTTCTTCCTCCAGATATATCTCACGGAGCTGTCGTTCCTTCTGCCTGGTGACCGCACCGCTGATGCGCAGGAGCTTCTGTTAGCACGTACGTTTGAGGGATGACTTCGAATGAAGGGCCAAGGACAACGCGTCTAATAGCAGACGAGCGTTTTGTAGGTGAAGTGCTGGAGATTGGAGCACAGTGGAGTATCCGTGTGAAGGACATCCCGTCGTTCGAGCGATACATTTCGCAGCTGAAGACGTACTACAATGATTACAGGTTTGTGGGAACGAAGGCTGTCTGTTCCTATGAAAATATATACATACCAACCTTACAACGTCAAATCTTTAGCAAGCAACTCCCCGAGTCAGCCCGCACCTACCCCCTCCTAGGCCTCAACCTCCTCCGCCTGCTAGCACAAAACCGGATCTCCGAGTTCCACACAGAGCTGGAGCTCATCAACCCTGACCAGCTGAATGACAATGTGTATATCCGCCACCCTATCCAGATCGAGCAATGTTTGATGGAGGGCAGCTATAACAAAGTGTGGCATTCAAGAGCGAATGTGCCGGCTGAGGAGTACTTGTTCTTTATTGACATCTTGATGGGGACGATCAGGTTCGTGGAGAGGTGGATCTGAACCAGCCGCGGGTGGGTATGGCTGGGGATATGTGCGACTCACTCGCTCACGTTTTTTCTTCAGGGATGAGATTGCCAGGTGTAGCGAAAAAGCCTACGACAGCCTGCCCATCCCCGACGCGGCCACGCTTCTGTATTTCAAATCCGAGAGTGAGGTTACGGCTTTCGCCACTGAGGTTCGTCCTCTTCATCCGCTTTCACTCTCTGTCCTGGGTTTGCGGCTAACAAATGACTCCGTCCCACAGCGTGGCTGGAAAGTCAATCCCAAGACAAAGAAAATCACGTTCGGCGTGACGGACACGGACAACACCGATATCCCCGCTGACCATGTTATTTTGCAGACATTAGAATATGCGAGGGAGCTGGAGCGTATTGTGTGATTTCGATTGATGAATGTGAAAATCTGCGGGCCCTTCGAACATATTCTTCTGCCACGCACATGGCGCAAACTGTACAGTTGTGTTGGCCTTGCTGGGCGTCCGTTGCTGTAGCACGCAGTAGATACGGAGATCGAATTCAAAATGCATATATACAAAAGAAAGTGGCCTCGTTTGCTCCACGATGGCAGCCGGGAATGGGATCGAAACAGTGGGAGACTCGGAGGGTATGCCAATCTACACCCCACGTCCTATAAGCGTACGCGAGCAAGATTGAGGGTCGCTCACAATACTTAACGCCATGGGCTTGCACAGACACAGTAGAACAAATATCAAACGGGTTCACGAACCCTCGACAGCGCCATAGCTCCCACGCCTCTCGGCAGCGGCGCCGGGATCCTCCACCACGACCACCGGGGCCCGCGGCCGCGGAGTTGCCGCACTACCAGCCTTCTGTCCCAGCAACGGCGCCTCCTCGCCCAGCGCGCTGTCCTCTCCATCGCCTCGGCCGTCGTCCCCATCGTTCTCTTGCGCCGGTTCCTCAGCGTCCCCAAGCCTCGACCCGTCGCTTTCCCTCCTTGTCGGTGAATGCTTCCCCTCTCGCAGCGTGAAGAATATGCACAATGCGAGTAGGACGCCTTGGAGCGAGCCGCTCATGAAGTAGGGTAGCCACGAGGTCCAGTTGGCGCCTGGTGCGATGTATAGCGAGTATGTGACCAGGAACGAGCCTGGGCATTGCATGAGCATCATGGGGATGCTAAGGGAGCCGACCGCCTAAAAGAGAGAGATGGCCGTGAGCATGTGCGCTCTCTGAAAGGAAATAACCGTCTCTCTCCGCCTCGGGCATCCAGTCATACCTGTAAATCCCAAGTATGCAATATCTGCGGCATGAACTGGAACACGCTAGTGAAAGCGGCGCCAACACCCATGACACCGGCCACGTATCTTGCCGGTTCACTGTTTCCCTGAGCATCCGTCGTTCGAGTGAGCAGGATCACCACCGTCGCAGTGATCGTGACCGTGTAAGCAATGATGATGCGGCGGATCCATTTAGCACGCGTATACGCGAGAGTCGGTTCGGTGCTATCTGGGTGATGCTTGAGGTGCGCTGGATAGTAGACGTAGAAGAGAATGACGCTGGAAGTCCGCGATCATTTCCAGACAAATATGAGTCAAATGCTGGTGCAAATGACGCGGAAAGAGGCGTGTACGCTGAGCTCCTCACCAAGTCATGAAACAAGCCGTCTGGACGGCGACCTGAGTGAAGCCCAGAGTGTTCTCGAAGCATAGCAAAGGCGTCCACTACTTTTGCACCACGGTCAACACTGATGTCCCGACGCTTCTGCCGGAGATGCTCGAGGACGCACCTGGGGCGATTTCCGGCAACACACTATGGAAGGGTACTGAAGTAAAGCCATGTTCGCGACAGTCGCTACCATCCCGAGCGATCCCTGGATAAAAGGCCCATACGTTAGTACTTCTGTTGGAGGGGGGGTCCACAGTTGCTTACCAGGAAGAAGAAATACAGCGACAATCCTTCACTGCTTTTCTTGCGAAAAATCTTGATGAACTGCGGTTCCAAACGGATAGGTAAGAAAACCGATAAGCGCCGAATCGTTCGGCTGTACGATAAAGGTATGCAAAACTCATGTCCTATGCAGGTGCCATTTCATATCATATCTCCCCCAGACTATTGTTTTTCTATGCCTCTGAGGTGTAAGTCTAATTTCTCACACCGGCGGAAGGTCTTCCGCGCCAAGTGTTTCGCACTTATCACCCATCACGGCAGGTCTAACCAGTCCAGCCAATAAGCCCATGGGACCCGTTTCTCGCCCACCTCCTCTTTCTCCGCTAACGGCGGCCCCACTCCCTCGCACTTCTCACCTGTGGCAAATACGAGACGACCATCCCGACTGTGATGAAAGTGCCGATCGCCAGCCTTGCGGCGTCGTGCGAGACGGGACATGGGAGCGGCATGTGGATGGTCTGTGCTGGCAGGAGGTACATTGCTGTGTGTGGAGCTGGATCTGGAGAGCCTCGGTTTTGCTACTGGAGACGGGCCAGTGAGACTGAACTTGAAGTTTGAGTTGGGGGACAGCGAACGAGGGGCAAAATGACAGTGAGCATGAGGTATTGACAGCAAGGAGGGGGCACGCGCGAGAGGAGCAGAGTGCGATGAGGTGTGTCCGAAAATCTATCGTAATTCACGCCAAATCCACTACTACGTAGGTTCACAGAGTTTCACACGTATGAGAGGGGAGTTATCCCAGCTGTGTCATCGCAAGAAAAACAATCTATTTACAAGGACGGTATAATGCCACGTCCATCCCACTAGAGTGTCCAATGCTTCAATCCTATCCTCGGTTTCACAGATGCGTTCGGTTATCCTCACGCCAGACTTCCACTGCTACTTCCACTTGCGTCGCCGGGCCCCTCCCACCTGCCCGTCGCGATGTACCCTTCGACAGTGGTCATAAGCCTGTCGAGGACGGCGGCATCATCTTCGTCACCGCTTGAGTACAGCCATGGGGAAGCCGCGCGGGGGCTCGTGTTCGTGGATGTCTTTGGCGTATTGGTGTCGGCAGCGCTTGGGGTCCGACGTGTATATTTGCGTCGCGGCTTTTGAGGTGTGCTCTGCACGACCTGCGGCTGGTTTATATCTGATAGCAACGGTCGAGTCATTCCGCCTTCCGCTGTGGGCGCTTTCATTGGCGAGGGATCAAGTGAATCAGCTACATTCGCATGCTGTATACCTGGCCGAGAGGTTGGGGATCTGCGCTTTCTAGTAGGAGCAGGCGACTCCACGGCCTTCTCCAGAGGTTCGTGCTCGGTCGGATCGGGGTATAATCCCGGCTCTGCAGCGAGGAGTATCATCTGAAGGCAAGGACAATCGTGACGATGGCGATGGCGATTCTGGGGATCTGCGTTTCCTAGTAGGAGCAGGCGACTCCACGGCCTTCTCCAAAGGTTCGTGCTCGGTCGGATCGGGGTATAATGCCGGCTCTACAGCGAGGAGTATATCATCTGAAGGCAAGGACAATCGTGACGCTGGCGACGGCGATTCTACGGATCTGCGCTTCCTGGTAGAAGCAACCGACGACTTCACGGCCTTCTCCCGAGGTTTATGCTCGGTTGGATCGGGGTATGATGCCGGCCCTGCCTGTGCAGCCGGTAGCTTCTCATCCGAGGACAGTTGTGACAAGCGCGCTGGCGAGCCCGCGTCGTATTCCGACGGGCCAACGATTGTTTGTGCATTCTGATTACTCAAAGCATCATCTTGTGGGCTCCCCTTCATTCCCGGTGATACGCCGTGCGGCAAAAGATGGTGCCACCCTGGAGTTTGTTGCGACTGGCTTGTGGCACGGAGGGAAAACATTCGAACCGCGGCGGCCATTTTCGCGTCCACACTCTCACACGAGACCTGTGGATAGAGCCCTTGGGATTGCCTAGCTCTGACGGGGGAAATCTTTACGGTGGTGCTCGTTGACACAGCCATTTGCGACTGGTCTCCTCGGGGTTCCACCATTGAGGTTGACTGTGTCGTAGAGGATCGTTTTCCTCTCTTCGCCTTCCCACCGAAGCTTTTCTGCTGTTCGCCAGCCCCACCATCGCTTTCCTCGCCATCCTTATTCTCCACATCTTTTTCATTCTCCCGACCCGAAGTGCCATCAATATCTCCGTCGCTATCCGCAAAAAACTGGTTGTTCTCCTTCGTCTTTGCAGAGTCGACTTTCAGAGCTCTCATCCTTTCTTCTTCTATCTTCGCAATCCTAATGGCATGATCTTCGGCAAAGCTTACAATCGGAACGGGTAAACGTGGCAGCTCCATAAGGGCATCAGCGGTCATTGCTGGCGGGGTGATTTTGGCAATGAGCGCGTTGTAGCATTTGTAGTGCGCGTAAACGTCGTTGGCAGCGTAAAAGATCTGGTCTTCGGTGAATGTGTTGGCTTCCCAGTCACCCTTCCGCGGACCGTCGTTGGACTTGTCGAGAGTCACGCCGAACTGTGCCGTCGCAAGGCCAGTGAGTACGAGATAGTGCGCGTTTTGAAAATTGCGAGGCTGCTGAGGCAATGGTGGTGCTACATACATATACATACCAAGTCCGTGACGAGATTTCTCAGACTCATCATCCTTTCTGTTCCCAACAATGCTTGTCCACCAAACTTCCCGATGTCTAGACATCCCTCCATTTCCACCCCATAATCCCTTCGAGAGAATATTTAAACCATGGAATGATTAACATTGCGCCGGTGAGGCTCCCAATGCCATGAAGAACGTACTTATTGAGCTTACGTGCATCTCCCATTATGTTGACCCCAGTCTTGATCACGGTGCGGTCTTCCAAGAAGTTCTTGAGAGCGACCGGCAGGCTGCCCATATGCGTAATATGAAATAAGCATATGTGGCGGTCATTGCAGATCTGAATCAGCGCTGTTGGTCGCGGAGGCTGTCCTTTAACGAAGGTGACCTTCCATTCCATATCGAACCCGACGACGTCGCCTCTACAAAGGGCAAGAGCTTTCTCTACATCTTTGATGTGCCTAACATAGGTCACTTGATAGTTTTCGTTGTGGTAGGAGAAGCTGGGAGGTTCGGGAGGAGCGGGAGACTCGCGAGTGGCTGAGGTCGCTGCCCGTTTGCGCTTACCCTCAGTGGGCTGCTTTGTACGGGTCTCCGGAGCTTTGGACTTTGTCTTGGAGGCATTCTTGGATGCATCCCATGGCAGACTGAAGATAGACAGAAGACAATAGATGAGGTTTCTATTCGACTATCCGAGACGTTAGTTGACGACTTACGTTCGTCGCTTAGCGGGCTTGTCCGACATCGCGCGAACAGCACCCGACAGGCAATATGGCTTGCGTTGCAATTGTCGGCTAATATAAAAGCGGGCACCCAGCGAGCGGCAGCAAGACATTACGGCCGCAAGCGATTGGTATCGCCGGTGTTGAAAGTTGGTGGAACGGAAGCGTTGCTGAAGTTGCGTAAGTGTTCAAGTTCCTGCTTCCCGCGGTGAGAGCAGCGAAACAGACGGGCAATCAGGCCTGCAAAAGGGGTCTACGAAAAGGGGAGATTGCGAGGCTTTTGGAAGAACCCGTATGCAGAGTTGCACTGGTGATATGATCTTGGGCAGAAGCGACTGAAGGGAGGTGTGCAAAGAGGGATCGGGAGGTGTGCAAAAAGGGATGGCCATGAGTCATCACTGCGGACGCGTGTCCGAGACATCCGGACGTACATGTCGCAGGCGTTTCCCGCTCGGATTTCCCAGCTCTTTTTCTGCATGAGTTTCAACGAACACCCCGAAACCACTGCGTTAGATATAGACTATCCAAGGAAGTCGCTCGCCACAGGCGCACGCTGGTCAGAACGCAGACACAGTAGTTCAATGTTCAAGTTCATATCCTGCCGTCAGTGACGAGGACGGTCATATATCGAACCACAAACGAAGGAACGAAACGATGTCGCACTCCCGGTACACGCCTCCCCACCGACAGCTTCCACAGACTTCACTCCAACAAAGATCACCATTGTCTCCGATATGGCCTTCGCAAGCGCTTTTTACTTCAGCAGGTCGCATCCATCCTACGATTGCCTCGTTCCTTGCCTCAAACACCGCCAGCAGCTGCACGTCTAGTCCCTCCGCCGTATTCTCTGCCTCTTCGCCGCAACCCACACGTTCCAGTCAAACGCCTTCCGCGACTGCTCTTCTCACACTGCCAACCGGGTTCGTGACTACAGCTAGCCGCAATCCTACCGAGCTCGCCCTACTTCTCGAAATCGGATATTGCGCGTTCAAAATCGACAAGCTCGCTACTTGGGAGCGCGAGCGCGCGTACATGGAGGAATCTCTCAAGGAATGTCTGGCTTTTTGTGAAGACATGTGTATACCCGGACTTAGGAACACGGGGCAAAGCGACAGCCCGGCCTTGTCCTTTCCATTCACGCGCCATCTCCAGTACACCGCCGCCCTTCCACTGCTGTACGCGGCGCTGGAAAAGATCCAATCGCAGCGCCGTAGCCTTTTACTGCACCTGGATAGCGTCGTCGTGCAGCTCATCGCCCATCGACATGCCTGCTTGCAGTTTGCAGAGTTCAATCACGGCGTCGCGGGCGAGGTGCAGCGTGCGGGCGTGAGATATTTGGCCGCCTCGAAAGGATTGTTAGCGGAAGTGCAGAGGAGGCTAGTTACCCGCATAGATTGTGTTTTGAGTGGACGCGACCCGAGCTTAGAAGATGCGAAAGAGTGGAGCTCTGTCATATCCGAATGTAGGCGGCAAGGCGAAACCACAGAGGATGAAGGAGACGTGCTGGATGCGCCAACTCACGTCAGCGATACCGTTGTCCTAGGAAGGCATCTGAAACGGAAGTGGGCGGACCAAAGACAAAGCATGGACGCGGAAAATGATACGGCTTGCGATGAAGCGGACCGAGAAAGTGGGGATCAGGACGTGGCACACCCGAAGAAACACGCTAAGACAGGCCTGGACGCCGCAGCGGAAGGGATGGATGACAATAGCGACGACCGCAATGGCAGCGATATCTCTGAGGAAGAGGATCCGGATACTACACGCCTATCCTCCGCGAAAAGGCTGAAAACAACACATGTGAGCGAGTCCGTCGTTCAGTTCGACGTTTCAGCGGACTCCACGTCTACTCCCCAGCAAACCACCAACGCACAGCAGCCAAATGCGGGCTCGACTTCCAAACTCAGCCTCTCCTCAGGATCCGGTTCCTCCCATTCCCCGGCCATCTTCGCCGAGGACCACCTGAGGCCCAGAATGGCGCGGTCGCAAAGCAACATTGAGCAAAGAGTGTCTCCGAGAGAAAAAAGTGATGACATGCAGCCGGCACAATCGAGGGGTCGCGCGCCATTCACGCAGCAACCCCGCTTCCGTCGAGCATACACAACGGGACACTCGTACGTGATAACGTCCACCCCTTTGGACGAGGTACAGCAAGGAGATCAGTCACGTCGTCTCACGCAGGACAGCACTACCACCAATGAAGATGACGATTACGCGATTCAGTTGGAGTTGCCTTCTTTGTCGGGGCTTCCGCCAGCATCGGGCGAAAGCATCGAATCGCACAACCCGCCCTCCGCTCCAGAAACGGCTAAGAACAATGAAACTACCGAACGCGCATCCGATGGAAGTACCATACACCTCTCGCAGGAGTCCGTGTCCCAGAAGACACATGAGGACGACGAACCTGCGAGCGGAAAGGCTCACCCCAATGAAAGTGAAGTCGACGGCGAAGGAGCAGACGCCTATCTGTCTCAACCAACTCCGCTCGGCCACGTAGACTCCCTGTCGGATGTCCCGTGGTCGTCCAGCGCATACGAACATTTACATTCGGGCGCGGCCACCGACTCCGGGTCAAGGGAGACCCTGAATGGCGGCGAGTATCCGGAGAGCTTGCAATTGGCGCATGTTGACACGGACGACGAGGGGTCGGGCGATGAACAGGGCAGTGACGCGAAATCCGACCATAGTGTGGTGGAAATGGACCGAAAGGTCTTCTCTAGCGAGAAGCTGTCATGTCTGGAGGAAGAAGCGCTGTCTGCTGAGGCTGGAAAGGATGCGGAGCTAGAGGGCGCGGAAGCGGAGGAAAGTCCGAGTGGCGTCGACGGTGGGCCCGGGCGACGCACCGATGCAAACGATGATGACTCGGCCATTCCTTTCGAGGAGCCCCAAGGAAATCAACAAAGCCTAAGTGTCCTCGCGAATCCAGTACGAGCGGACCTCATGCAACCACAACCACACCCGCTGCTCCTGCGCCGCGCGCAAAGCGATATCCCACCCTCTTCACACAGCGCGAGCTTCGCGACCCAGCATCACCCCCATATCCCCAATTACATCACACAAGCAGTAAGCAATGCGTCGAACATATCCGAGTTGCGCAATACCCCCACGACGACGACTACGAATATGTGGTCGCATTTTGACGTCACTGTCCCGCGTACGAGCACCAGTGTCGTCTCGGCGCCCGCATCACCTCGTAGAAGACGGATCTCGACAAGCGCTCCCCCAGTTGTGGCTGTAGACGACGCCATGGACGAGACCACGACGACTTTTTTCACCGCAACAAGCCTCGCGGAAGCGAGCCTGCCCTCGCTAGCCGACGTCTCCCTCGTCCTCAGTCTCAGCTCCGTATCTTCGTCAACCTCGGCGTCAGCGTCGTTGAAGCCCCTTGCTCTGGCCATGGCCATGGCGAGCGGGATGCATGATGGTGCAGCGGCGGATGCGGATGTGGATATGCAGATGCATAATAGTATGAACGCGGGCGGTGGCACGGGCAGTGGTCTAAGCGCGTCGCAGGAGACGGATGTGGCGGTTGGTTGAAGTGATTGCTCGTTCTCGGCGCTTGGAGAGTGGATGCGGACAGCGCCACTGCAAATAGCCGGGAGCCGGTATTCCTAATCATTCATAACAAGTGACGGCAGGAGGAAAAGCTGGTGCACCGCTAGATTTGAACATGCCAATACATATGTTGGATGCGGTATCACGCGACGAAGTAGTACATTCTATCGCCGTCGTCTTACCATGTTGCAACAATGTGCAAGTTCCTCTGGAACGTTGGTATCATATGCACACACCTACATGACTAACCAGCTGAAACTACATACGTTTCTTTTCCAGAGACTATATGACATACATCTCTCAAAAATGTTTGAAACCAGAGCTCATCTAGTCAGCACTGGTCAAGTCAATCACTTCACATACCGCCGCTAACTTCCCACCCCGCCGCACCTTTGTCCTCAAACCCCTCCCGCCGCTGCCGCCACCGTTAGGACCATCAACAGGAAGGGACACGGCCTTGACCAGCGTCGGACGTTTCTGAATGCCATGCACCGCGCCGTCTTGATCTTCCTGTCGTCTCTGTCGCTTATGCGAGTAGCCATCCTGTGACCTTTTGCGACGAGCGGGGATCCATGTGCTTGCGCGTTCCAGACGGCATTTGGTTTTCATTGGTACTGTTGTTGATGTTGTGGTTATGGAGGGTAATGAAGGCGATTCGGTGGATGAGAAAGACGATGAAATAACTGTTAGGTCAAGGGCATCAACGTCAATGGGATAGACGACCCGTGACGACGACGCGTCCGTGAGTGAGAGACAAACGCGGTCAGTTTCCATTTGCAGTGTGCGCCGGGATTCTGAGGTGACTTGCAAGGATGTACTTCGACCGTGGAGTAAGGCAAAAGGGGTACTGTCCTTGCTTTCGCTGAGACACGTCGAGACCTCCAAGACATGTGTCGTGGACGATGATTGGGACATCGTACGTTCCAGTGGAGCAGCGCCTTCGTCGGACCCACTATCGTGTGCTGTCTCGGTGGTGGATTCGGTGGTGGATGTATTGAGGCGTGGACCTTGGGAAGGTATGTTGGAATCTGGCGCTTGCTTTCTAAGCGGCGATGAGGGAGGAGGTGAGGCCGACCTTGGGCGCTCTGTGAACGGAGTTTCGACGAAGGGAGGATCAGGAAATACAGGAGGGCTGGCGATGCCTGCTGGCGCGAAATCAGCGACGGTGTCCTCATTCTTCATCAGTTGTCCATCCACCTTTTCCGGCTTCTGCTTTCGATCCTCAACCTCCTCAATGATCTCCGTTCCCTGCGATGAGAGGTTACCCTCCTCCTTCACCGATAAACTCGAGTTCGTCCTACACACGGTCGGTATCACATCCAGAGGCGAATCGTTCAGAAAGGGTTTGAACAAGTCTTTCACTCTCTTGGAATCGTTTCGATCTTTCCGGTTTAGCACGCAAGGTGTCATGATGCTCGGCCGGAGGAGGCTGACGAGGGCCTGGAGTTCTGTGAGCGAGGAGTGCATGGCAAACAGAATTCCCTGCAAGTGTTTTTGAAAACCGTTAGAAATGCGGCCTCCAAAGACACTCATTCCTGAGCTTACCCAACTATAACGACCGGTGCGTCTTGCGAGGGAGTTCAGCTCGCGGAAGCCACGTCTTGCATCGCACAGGAGTCCCTGCCACCCTCCACTTGATGGGTGGATGTATATTGGAGGATTACTCGTTCTCTTAAGTGCATTGCACTTTGAGCACGTTTTATCGCAGGCGTGAAACCGTGTGGAGTCGGGATCGTCGGTGATGAAGTCCAGGGTATCGAGCGCTGAGTACAATGCATACTTCTTGGGCGACAAAAACACCTGGACATTGTGAGTCAAAAGCTGGAAAGGCGTTGAGTCGATCGGACAATTGTATGTACCTTTTCGCCGTAATCCTCATAGATTCGATCCCATATCGGCTCTACGCTGAAAGGACACAAACTGTGAGATCCAACGCCTCTCTTCCATGTCAATGCGGCAGCAAAGTCCCGGTTCCTACCCGAGGATGTTGTATCCAATAACGAAGCAAGTCTCGGCGTCATACTGCCGAATCACCTCCATGAAGGCCTCAATGGAGCGTGACTAGGAGAGATGGTGCTGATAAGAATGTGGACCGGCTCGTCACATCACTATCCCACGAACCTTCGAGGGGAAATCGGCGAAGCTCTCATGACAGAAAGTGGTGTCGAGATACACGTGAAGGATATTCGAGAAAGAACTCATGTGCGATTCCAAAGTATCGAGGAACCAATCTTCGGCTCTCATGTCGCCCGTATAAACGACGTTTCCTTTCGACCCTTCTATGAGAAACCTGCATCGTCCAATCAATAAATGGATGGAAAGAAACGGAAATGGACAAGGCGTACATGGTCGAACCAGGACAATGATTCGCCGTGAACAGAGTCAAGGTTATGGTTTCGGCTCCAATGCATATTTGCGTCGGCTCTTGATATTCGAGGGGTTTCTTATTTCGCATGTTCGAAAACCTCAGTCAGCTAAGAATCCTTGCAATACTCATTGGAGGTCCGAAAGCTCACCAAAAAGGGTTTCAGATGAGTGTATTTCCCTGCAGGTGATCTCTTCTTCGTCCCGGGTTCGCTAACTTCCGCTCTCACAGCCGGTAGCAATTTAGCCGTATCTTCTGAGCAATACAATGGAATATTGAAAGATCGGCTGTCCAGACCAGACAGGTGGTCTACATACCACGAGGACTTTTGTGAGCTATTCGGGTATTTTCCAAGAGTTCCGAGGCTAAAGCATCGCCAGCAGCATCTGCTCTGTACCTGCGTGCACGTGTGATAAGAGGAATATTCGCACTCCCGGCCGAGTCGGCTGAAAGTTATCCACAGCGATAGCCGGGTACTAAATCCGTGGGAATTATGAAATGCAAAAGACCCGGTGAGAAAGGGTAACACCCTCGAATTCAAAGCTGGACACGCTGTTTTGGCCCTGCTCTCACCTCCCGAATTCGGCCGTCGAAGGTGCTCATGGCAATGCGGGGCTCTCATGGGATTTCGCCGACCCAGTCACCGGTTGCTTCCAATGGGCATTGTCCAACGGACATAGTCCGCCAAGGGGCTTTGGGGTTTGTGGGGAAAAGGCTACGTCCAGAAGTCTCAAATCGCCAGATGCAGCGAAGTCGCGTTAGCGCGTGTGAGTGGCTGGTGAGTTGCTCAATCGTCAGGCCTAATTCCGACGCTCTTTCGTGGTGCTTTCTCGTTCGCAGAACATCCCTCGGGTCCAACACTCAGAAATCCCGTACAGTCCCCGGACATATATACCGACTCAGCGTGCGAGCAGAACCGGTGTCTTATTGACTCAAGCCAGAATCAGAACGAAAGTACTCGGTGCACTCAATATGTCTAGACCAGCACAAGCAAGTCGCCTTCTGTTCGGCCTACAGTCTCTCACCGTCAGAAACGTAAGCGTGCCACTAAGAACTTATGCAGATCGTGTTGACTAATTGAACCTCCCACGACAGTGTGCTGTGAACCATGCCAGCCCGCGAGTGTTAACAGCCAGGGCAACGTCTGCAAGAAGTGTTCTCAGAATAGGCAGCGCGATATGCCCTGGTCAAAGGGTTCCATTTACCACGACGGCGGACAGGGCGACAGGCGCAAATTGGAGAGCAAAGAAGAAGAAGGGAGTCAGAGACGTCGGACATGAAGGAGCGGGCGCACCAGAGGTCATTGTGCCACCGACGAAAGAAAGCATGCGAGCAACAGCATATTGTACTGCGGAGGCATACAATTTCTCCGAACTTCTTCCGCTGTTACAGCGCAACTACCTCCTCCTTCCCTTCATCGCGGACGATGTATACCATATCCGACTGGTCAACCCTACAGAAGCTCCGGACGCGAAGCCTTCCGACTCCTCAGCGCACGATGTGGAGGCTTTCATTTTCCAGGACGGGACTTTTGCGACGTGGGGTGCCACGGATGCTCAAAATCGAGCATTGATGCAGTTCCTGAAGCAGGTGGAGGAGAACAGCTACAAGGCTCCCGAGACCGAATGGTTTAACTACTGCATCGACATGAGCCAGTAAGTACGGATTTTGCAGTTGATGAGGGACAATGCACTTTCAACTAACCTCTCGCTTTTCATAGGACCGGCGGCCTTACGGCAGACACCATCATGATCGGCAACAACGGTATACCAGCCACTCAATCTCGCCTTGCATACTCATCTGGTCTCGCCCGTTCGGTGAAGCTTGCTTCCTTGGAAGAGATGCTCGACCAGCATTTGGAAAAGAACAAGCGTATCCCTCAGATCCTTCTCCAAGGAAAGAAGCTTCCATTAAGCAGCGCAATAGTCCTGCAAAATCTTGGCGAGCTGTTCCTCCTCCGTGGGCACCTGAATCTCCACAGCGAACTCCTCGATTCCCCCGACTTTTGCTGGTCAAGCGCTAAAATGGAGGACATATTCGAGCGCACGTCGAGGAACCTCGACGTCCGCTCGCGGATATCCATATTCAACAAGAAACTTGACTATGCGAACGAACTGACTGAAGTCATTCGCAGTCATCTCCATACCCAACACTCGATGGGTTTGGAGTGGGCCATCGTCATCCTCATTATGATCGAGGTCGGCTTCCAGGTCTTCCACACATATAGGGACTGGGATCGGCCCGGGCATGCCGCACCTTCGGGTGATGGCGTACTGTCCTCTCTCTCATCGAGTGTGTACTCCAATACGCGCCACTCGTCCGATGGGGAGTTCCTTCCGGACGATGCCGTAGAGGAACCGGCTTCGAAAGCGTCTTCGAAAGAAAGAAAAACGAGAGAGAGGGAGCGGGAGCGGGACGAAACTCACGCGCGAAAGGGAGCAGAGAGGGAAGGCGGTCTGAGACCTGCGTCTGCGTACTGAGCGGGACGCTACGTACATAAAATATTTTAGCACCTGTAGCTTGTCAACAGATAGTTTTGATACAATGATAGATTCTGCCAATAGAAATCACTGTTTTGTAGTTCTCCCTGGACATGGAAACGTCTCCGTCGAAATCCCGTGTGGCGTCGCTTTCCGTCCGAAACTCTGGACGTGCGGTCAATCAGGCCGTCGGCCTCTCGATTGAAGCTGGGACTGGGAAAGTGCCGTGAATGCGAAGGAACAAGTAAGCGTTGGCAAAGATGATGCGACCGCCAGTCAAGCAGGCGGTGCTGGCGTCTAGATCACGGCTGCCGGACGCCCAAGCAGGAGCACAAAGGTATGTCTCATTTCTTACCTCAACTGGATTAGCACAATCTGACAGTCCTATATCCATCTCGCCACGCGACCAAAAGTCGCTCCCAAAAGGAAAGAACTCAGGCTCGATCGACGATCCAACAACGCAATGTAGCTTCCGTAAAGACTTGGGAAAAGTCAGTTGGACCAAGTACTCGTCCGTCGCCACCAGAACGCCTTCTCCGACCACCACGGACGGGTTCGCGGATCCCGGAAGGCAAAGCCATCCCGAGACCGTCTAATACGTCGAGTCGGTCTATTGGCAAAGGCTCCCCTGGGAAGCTGGCTAGGTCTGCCGTCTCGCCAAAGCTCGTCGATGCTACCAACATCCATCGGTCAGAAACGTCACCAGCAGCGGCGAAGGGATCTCCTTCCTCACACGTAGAGGGCAAAACACCACCGCTCCGCCGCTCGAGTGTAGGGCCCCTGACTGGTGGAACAGTGTCGTCCCCATACTCACATGGGTCAACGCCGCGATCTACGATTTCATCAAATCCCAGTACACCCTCACGAAAACCAACCGTTGATGCCAGTCACAAAGGCACATCGGAGGGTGAGTCACCGTCTTCGAATGATGCAGCCGGTGCAAAAGTCAGCAGCTCGCCGCATAGGTTGAGCACATCACATGAGGGCCAGTCTACGGAGACGGAGGTTGCAAAGCCGAAAGTGAGAGTGGTGGCGTCGCGGTATATGGCCGCCCCTGCGCCAAATTCGACCGTGTCAAAATCAGCCCCCGTGGAGATCACGACGAAAGCCACGGCGTTTCTTGGATCGAAAGAAAATGTAGCCCCAAAAAGACAGTTGGGGGTCACGGCGGCGTCGCGGCCGAATGCCCATGGGAAGCCAGTGACGACGGCCGCTCCTACGGGAGCAACAGACGCCGCGGAGCGACGAAGAGCGCTTCTGGCGGAATATAAGCGCGCAAATGCCTCGGCGGCCGCAACGCCAATGAACCGACCTGTGAAAGCTGTGAAAACCATCGAACATGCACAAAAGTCGACTCTCCGGCCCCCAACAACGCACTTGTCAGATGTTGCCAGTAAGACGGCACCGCGGACTCTACGGGTGACGGGAAGAACCGTGCCTTCCCGCGTGCTGAGGACTCGGAAGCCTGCAGGTAAATGCTGGGGAGCGAACGAGCCATGTTTGTTCAAGCTTCGTTTTCTGATGATTTGCTCTGGGTCAGCGTAGAAAACGGAGACAATTCGAATTCACAGCATGCGCCGGCGAAGTTGAGCCAAGCTCGAGCGAGTGCGCAAATGCTGGCACAAGCCGCTGCTGTACCCTTGGTAAGTTAGGGTGAGGCATCTCCCTTCCATGACGAACCGATGCTAATAGAACATTAATCTCACTACGACGGTAGCCTACATCCCCGAACGTTCCAGCCCGCACTATCGTCCGGCCGCCGCCAGCCCGGCAGAAGCATGCCGTATCACAGGACTTGGCGAGAGCTGCTGAGATACCCTTGGTCAGCAAAGATTTGACCCCCGTGCGCTGTATGGTTTGGGACCACTTCAGGCGTCTTACATTCTCATTTGCAGCCTCCATCACCAGCACACTCGACCATCACTCGAACCGATATCCATCGCCCGCCACCACCTCAGACACGCTCGACCCCCGCAATCCCGGACGATTTAACGCTGGCGTTGCAGGCTAGGTTCTTGCAGTGGCAATTAATCCTGGCGAAGAGCCAAAACGCTTTTGAGAAGCAGAAGGAGCAAGCTGAGGTAAGCAAATGCACAATAGTCTCCAAGTCTAGCGTACAGCGGCTCCATCTTGACATTTCTTCATTAACAACCAGTCGCAACTCTATCGAGCATGGCAAAGAGTCATCCAGGCGAGGGAAGAAGTATTCAAGGAAGAGCTGGAGCTTCGACAAATGGAGGAAATTGTGAAGATCATGGAGCCATTACAGCAGCAGGTGCGAACCGGCAGTGGAAAGGCGGGATCAGACTTTTCGGCGATCGTAACGCATCTGAGCAGGAGGCGGCTCTAGCAGAAGCAGTGCTGGCGCTGGAAGCTTTCGATCAGCCAGTGTATCAACGATTGGCGCATGGAGTGCAGAAACGAGCTGCTAGATTGCATTTGGACCCAAGCGTTACGATATCTGATCCAGGTACAAACTTCATAGGGCTTGGTTATGCGCTTCTCGTGTGGTGCTCATTTTCTTACACCATCTCCGCTGGTCTAGAGGAACTACGTGATGTAATTGATCAAACGTCAAATCTGCTAACGTCGGCTATGCAAGATTCGGACGAGGAAGCTGCAAAGGTTCGTTAATCATACTTCGAAACATCGCTTACTGGGCATTACTAACATAGTATTCCTTCACAACAGATCGCCAACCTCGCATCAGCTCTCACACGCTTCTCATCCACCGTCAACGACACGACGGCCCAGTTACAGGAATGCCAGAGCCTCGCAGCACAGCTAGCCCGGTTGCAAAATGTTGAGCAGAGCTACCGCATTGGACATGAGCAGTTGAAGGACACTAATATGGGTGATGGGAAGACTTTTGTGGCGTATAGGAAGAGGGGATTGGCCTTAGATTGGCTTTGATGGATTAATGGATTTGCGCCTGTTGATTGTCTTGATTACGCTTTTCAGGCGTTGGTTCCTGTAATGCCATCTGCGGTTTTGAAAGTGTTCGATACTCGGATTGGACGGGTTTGAACCAGCCTTTCTGAAACTTCTTGGGCACCCGGTATGAATGTGTTCGGTTTGGGAAATGGGCGGATTCGCCATCGGGCTTTTGACAGAATGACTGACAGCGCCGCTGTCAAAAGTGCCATAAATGCCACCTGCTGGCTCTCCACATTGGCAGGTCAGGAACATCTGCACCCCCGATTGACATATCATACCGTGTGGGGTCCCGGGTCACAGCGCTAGTTGGAGATGGTGGAGCGCAGGGGGCACATTGAAACCAAGTCCTTCTCCACACGGGCTATCCGTCTCCCATTGATCTCTAATTTCTACGTATGTTCTCCAGACTCCATTTAAGAGGAGCGAAACCAAGTTCCATCTGCGCCGTCTCCCAAACACTTATCTCACCCGCAAACGAGCCTTTTGGCCAATTGACCTTATCCTGTTTCCGGCGAGACGTTCAGAAACCTTGCTCCAGCACTTGTATCTGCGAGTAACAGCACTTCGAGCCGCCAACGGGCCCATATTCACATTCCAAGAAACGAAACAAGCATGATGGGGCACCACTACCAGGTTCCTCCTAGCCATCCCGAGGACGGAGAGATGGCGCTCCCGCAAGTTACAGAGCCGTCGTTGGACTTGAACCTTACCCCGTACGAGTCTGACCCCGACACTGACCCCGACACTGACTCCTTCGAATACGTCCGCGACGAAAGCGATTACGTCCCTGACGTGCAGCCTTATAGCGAGCCTACTAGCTTTGCCAGCGACTATGTACAGGAACGTGTTCCTCCGGAAGATGAAAATATCCTCTCTTCCGAGCTACCCACCATTGCCTTCACCCATACCTTTCACTTGTTCCCTGATCTCCCGGGTGACAGCGCCGGACACACCGTCAGCGCCGTACTGCCAACCGTCACACTCGTCGAAGACGAGGTCATCTCGGGCCCTGCATTTATCCAGAAATATGACGACAACGAGGAGTACGCCCTTCAGAACCCCGTCAACCATCCCGCTATCGGCGAAGACGACGATAAGCACCTCGGAAATACAGATCTCTCGTCTTCCAGCATCGGGCAGCTCAAACTGGCCGAAGCGGTCGCCTCGGAACTTCCCAATGTGCGAACCATATCCAACGCGGATTCTGAACACACTGTGGACAGCGGCAGGTCTGGAGATCAGGAAGTCGATGCAGGCGATGCATGCGAATTGCCCAACATAGACGCCGAGATTGAGTTCAGCGCCGGGGTGAAGACTCCCGAGAGCGAACAGCATTTTTGGAAGATTTCTGCGGATGGCGTGGCCAATGTCCAAGGTACGCTGACTGACATGTCAAAGCTATCTTCACAGCATTTCATTTCCCGAAACTTACACAACCTGTCAGACGATGACCCCGCTACCACAGGAAAGCAACCTGAGAGGCACGATGTTCCCGATGCGACCCAACCTGAGAGCAGCCCTAGTGAAGTTGAGTCTCAGACTGCCAAGTGGAAAGAGTATCGCTCCTCAAGCGTGAGGAGGAACGAGGCACCATTGCAAGCCCTGAGTTTGACCGTAGCCATCGTAGGTGACAGTGGTATCGGCAAGGTATGTGTCCTCCCGGAGATCTCGCTGCCCCAAAGTTAGTCGAACTGATTCATCGCCGGATATTGCATTGCTAGACTACGCTTGCTAGGACCCTCGTATCCGCTCCAGAGGTTCTTCGCTGTGGCCTTGCCCCCGCAAAGGAGGGGGACCCGACAGTTGATATGAAGCTTTACCGTGCGAGCACGCTTCTGAAAGAGGATGTCAGGGACGGCGAAGGTCAATGGTACGTCATCCGCCATGCGAACATGTGAGATGACAGCGCCTCCTCGTCTCATCTGAAAAGCCAATCCTATGTACATCTTTCCCAGGAACCTCCACATTCTGGACACTCCCGGTTTCGGCATGCACCCAAACGCGCAGCTTACCATCACCAAGGTCCTCTCCCATCAACGTGCTCACTTTACTCGTCTAGACGCTGATTTCACCCGCGGCCTCCGAGCGGGCACCCTCGCGTCCTACGTCTGCAACCCCACCGCTCCTAAAAACTATCTTCGTCCCACGGATACTTTCATCTACACCTTGCTTCACCGCATCAAACCTGTCGATGTAGCTTACATCCGAGCGCTCACGGACGTCGGCACCGTTGTGCTCGTCCTTGTCAAGTGCGATGGGTTGGGTCCACAGAGGGTCAGAGAGATGAAGAGGGAGGTGTTGGAAGTCGTGAAGAAGGAGAAGTTGAGGGTTGAGCTGTTCGGACTGGATGTCGATGGCGCTTTGGCGATCTTGCAGGGGGATGGAGGCGGAGGAGATGCAAGGGTGGTCGTTTCGCCTTTTGCAGTCACGTTCAAGGGAGATGCCGGTTGGGGTGGTGCGGCGAAGGAGTCGGTGAAGGTCGAAGGTGAAAACAAAGGAGAGGTGGACGAAACCCGTGAGCTAACGACGGCCCTGTTTGTGCACGCCGGGGAGATGAGACAAGGAACTGCTATGAAGTTCGCAGAATGGAGGGAGCACATCTCAAAGGAAGAGAGAGATGGTGAAAGTCGTCGTCGCGACGGAGCTCCAAGCGACTCTTCCCAAGTGATTCAACCCGACGACACAGCTGAAATCCCTCCTTCCACTTCCCACAATGCCGCGCCCCGGGACGACGCCCTCACGGCGACGGAGGTCCTCTGGCTCGTTGCAGCCTTCAGTCTTCTTGCCGCATCGTTTGTGTTCGTTTCGGCCGGGGCTTTCTGTGCCAAAGGTTCACGCGTGGCTGCCGCGGCCTCCCACTGCGGTGACAGAGCGGCCGCTAGGGCGGCGACTCGAGCTGCCACTGAAGGCGCCAGTGCCGCCGGAATGCTCTGGGCCCAATGGAGGGGCTTTTAGCTCACTACGTCAATCACCTGAGTTCGGCCGAGGAAAGCAAGGAGACTGGGGAAATCTGCAAAATGCTCGATGGTTGGAGTGTGTTTCCAGCAGCGTCGGCCAATAACCATCAAGGCTATCAAGAAGTTCGAAGCCATAGCAAACTTCATTCTATTGTACTATACATATCCCCTCTCTCTAATACTCGGAGCTGGATTTTCCGGTCTTTTGTCGAAGGGATGGTGGGCAGGTTGGGAACGGCGTCAAAGCTACTGTAAAGGTTTTCATCTATATTTCTTTGTAAGAATCTGTTCCATGTACTCCGCAAATCAATTGAGTCAAGTTCTTAGACCTTTCAACAGTTTTGCAAGTGTTCATCCGTATTCCGAGATCAACAAATGATTAACCGGTGCATAGCGAGGCATTGCAGTAGTAACGGCCTGTCCTGGCACAAGACTTTAAGGTGGTATCATTCGATTTGGATATATTGTGCGCTAGATAAGTGACTTGGAAGCACAGCGAAGGCGCTCCGCTCTCTCGTCCTGTGTCTACATGCGAGCGCAAGCAACTCTTCGGCGCGTTGATCGTAAACCCCAAACAGCGGTTCATTAACAAATTGCCGACTCCTGTGGTGCCTTCTTGATGTCCCGGAGGAATGCTGTCAGTTTTCGAAAAAATCGACAGCGCGAAGATATCTGAGACGAAGCGAAGGTCCCCGCGGGTCACAACCAACTCAACGACTCGACATCATTTGAGGACGCTGTCAGGGCGTCAAGATGTTATGAGGCAGAGCGATTCAAAATCATCCCCGGACGTTCCTCATTTTCATCCTGAATCGAGTCGTACCTTATTTGGGTGGCCGACCAGTACTCAGTTCCATGCGAGCTCATGGATCGGGAGACAAAACGTTCGATCGCCTCCCGCTAGGAAGCGATTCGCCAAGCTCTGACCCTATCCATGGATGCACATGTAAACGGCCACACTTTGCTGAATCGCGAAATCACTGTCAAACGAGGGAGCGGATGTGCCAACATGGCTTTCTATCTAGATGAAAGATCGAAGTACCCTTCGAAGACGTTCGCTTGCCCAATGATGGGTGCCAAGGCGTACGCCACGTATCACCACACTCTCACAACTGGCTCCCACGAGTCAGGACCGAGGAGAGAGACAGAACCACAATCAGGCCTTTAACGTGTCGCGAAATAGGCACGGCACCGGACTGTGGCCATTCGGCAGGTTCTTCTGAATGGGAAAGTGCGTGAACGCTAACTCGAGTCTTTATTTAGATCCCATTAGGTGCAACAGAGGGAGCACAGCGAGAAACTCAAGACAATCATCGATCAGCTGGCTTTGGCGTTTGCTGTGCGTAAAACCCTATAAGAGTAGGGGAGGGCTGGCCGTCCCCGTTAAAAGTTCTACAGACTTTCACCCGACACAACAACTGCAGCTTCGTTATTCTGCGGAGGTTTGGCACGGCTATTTCTCGCACACCCGGATTCTTACGGACCCCCCAGATTAGAGCAAGAGAACGACAATGACCTACGAGACACCTTTCAACATCGGTGTGAACGTCGCGACCGTCGTCCTCAATTGCAGTTTGGTTCAATAGCCCGTCTGCATTTCGCTGCTCAGAGCCACCGCTTGACTCGATACCTTATCGCCACCTTGGTCATCAACGCGCTGTTCTGCTTGGGCAAAATCGTCGAAATCTACGCAATAAACCGCAACGCATCCATGCGAATCTTGGAACAGCCTTGGATAGCATCCGTGGCAAAATTAGCGGATACGCTGCCGGTTTATACCGCCATTGTCTGCCTCATGGAGGCGCTATTTTCTTTCAAAGGGTCGAGATGTTCAGGTTGTCCGTCGACTCATATCCTCGGTCGATCAAGATCCTCAGCTGATATGCCCGCTACCCGCATTCACCATTCTTGTCCTGTGGATCTCCCCTTTCTTCCTCGCCATTGCAGTATGATTTATATACCAATTCGATGCAGTCCCAAGCGCACTTTCAAGAGCTCGGTACCGGCTCTCTCTTTTCTACCGTTTGAGACTTGGTCGAAAGTGTGGGTAGGCGTCCCATATCTATGTGGTACGGGCACATGCCCGTGGACGTAACTTCCGCCAACACCTTCGTCCGAGCGAGTGCATGCAGAGTAAATGGAGTGCAATCAAGTCAATTTCAAGTCCGCAGCAGCGAGACGCGCAGTGACTTCACGCGCTTAAGGCCCAGCTGTCGACTTTCCACGCGCTCCGCCTCCCGCCCCATCACACTCTGACCCACTCCAAACTCATCCAACACACGCAGCAGCCATTGGACCCCCTCTAATTTCCTCCCGCTGGCCAGCCAAGAAGGATAGAGGAGTACAGCGTCAAATCCCGCTACTGTGGTCCTAAATTTGTTTTGCAGTCGAGCGAAATCGCGGTCGAACACCCCAAACGCCTGAACGCGTTTTCACCCCACTAAGTCCGTCAAAATGAACGGCTACGCAGGGAACCCGGTCTTCACCCGGACCAGGAGCAAAATGGCCATGCGAGGAGCAGGTGCTGATAGCGATTCGGAGCCGGACGATGATCCAGCACCTGAGTCGGAGCAGAGTTCTGTCAACGTGACACCTGCTAAAACGCACACGCACGGTGGGCTGGTTTTTGCTGGCTTAGCGGATTCCGAACCCCCTAACTTCCAGCTGGAAGGTATGTTGGTGGACGCTACTGACTCTGTTTTGATACGCTGAGCTCACAAGGTTATCCATCATTTGGATAGCATTGAACGCTTGTATGGCTTCCATCAGCCTTGATGGTGCTCGTGGGAAGGCATGCGTTCAAGGGACGTTGGAAGTGCTGGAATTTGATTATATGACGCCGATCCTCCCGTCTCTAGAGGACCTTCAGAGTTTTCAGCAGGAACAAGAAGAGTTTGTGACTGGTCTGTATTTCTGCATACGGTACTCCCTGTTTTCGATGGCATGAAAGCTCACATTGCGAAATGTTTAGAGTGCGATTACTATCCCAGTGATGACGAGGAGGAGGATGGTGTGCCGCCGCCACCCAAGGACTGGCGCCTCCGTGCTCGAAAGACATATAAGGAGCTCTTGGATGGTCACAATCATGCAGCCCATGCCCAGAACTTCAACATTCCAGTCGAACAACACGTGGTCACCGCCATCCAGACGCAGCCTGTAGCCGGCTTCCCACACTGGATGGCTAGAATGTCGCAGTATGACCCGAAGGGACGTCGCTTTGTGGATTTGGGACCTGTGCTCGTATATGCTCATCCCACATATCCGAGTCAAATATGCGCGGTGCAGATCTTTGGGGCGAAGCAAACGGTGCTGAACTGGCGGGGTGAGTGAGGCTTCCGAAATCAGTCCCTTTACCTGGGGGGAAGATCGTACGGTGCTGTACCAGCGGCTATACCCTTTAGCAGAGACAATCCCGAAGTGCAGTCCGGCTCACCCTGCTCTTCACAGTCCCCGAACATTTCCAGCGCTACGTCCACTTCGGCCGACGCCCCCACGAGATTACTTTCTCCACAGTGGGCCACAACGCAACGGGACTGGCTTTTGGAGGATCTATTTATATTCCGATCGCCGCTATTTACCCCGGCATACCCGTAAAAGAAAATATCACCGTCCAATCACACGTTGACAAAGTCATCACGACTCAAGATCGCTCCATTAGAACGATCAAGTTTTCTTTCGAAGGTATGTATACATCTCGAATGAAGGTGGATGCCAAAAAAAGCGCAATGATACCGGGTGTGCATGGGATTTACATTTCCTCTTCCTGCCCCTATTCCAGAAATGTATGATTGGGAGGCGCCGCCGACATACGACCTCCCGCCGCCACCGCCGCCCCGCCACCAGAAATCACCAGCGGCACTGCAAGCCTTCTGCACGGAGGTCCAAACGAGAGTCGCTATAAACCGAAATGAAAACTTCGAGCGTCGCCGCCCAACCTTTTTGACCCCGCAGAAAGTCAAGCTACCCCATTTGCTGCCCCATGTGGCGCCGCAGATGATCGAGGTTACTTCACCGTATGCGGATAGTCCGGCCTTCATTGACAGAGTGGGTATCATAAATTACAACCGAAGAACTTCGAGATCGGCACATCACAGAATACTGACATTCCCTCCCTCCATCACAGCTCGCAAGGTCCGGTTTCGTATACACGCCAAAAGAGCCCCCCTTCAAGGAAACTACCTGCGTGCACTGCTGGGCGGTGGTCTCGCAATGGGAGAATGACCTTGTGGACGTGGACGCCATCCACCGCTCGATGCCAGCCGCTACGAAATGGAAGTGCCCGTTCGCGTTTGGCGAATGAGCGAGTGCGGCCCGCGAGTCCCGTTCCCACCATCTTCATTCCGTACTCGGGGGTATGTTGACGGCGAGTTGGCTGCTTACATATGGCGTTGTTTTTTTCTTTCCTCCGACGGGTTTTGGTTTCGCGTTGGGTTTCATACCTTGGCAACGTTTTTGGGTGCAGGGAAACCAACGATGCATGTTTTGGTCAGTTTATGGTTTTGTACTTTGATAGCTTTCGCGGAGGATAACTCGAGTGCCCGTTCGTATTTGAGGCACAGGTCTCCTCTGAATGTATGTGCACATATTTAATAAACTTCAACCGCACCTTGAGCCTTATCGAGAAGGGTCTTGTATCATTAGAGAAAGAATGTACAATAAGGAAGGATTAAAGAGTACAGTAACATATCGCAACAGTAACATATCGCAACCGCGGGCGCCGCCTTCAAGAAAAACGGGGAAGCATATAATTCTGGCGGATGTGTTGTTTCGCGTACAAGGGTATATTATTTGTCATTGTCCCACCCTTCCCCATGTCATTGGAGGGCGATGGGGGAGCCAATGTCCGAAACGGCGAATAGGCTATTGCGGCTATTGCTCATTTCACGGTCAGGCAACGAGTCGAACGGTTTCGCGATCCGCCTCGTGGTCCCCACGTCGAGGTCAGCCTCGAGTTCCAAAAATGTCGGTAGAAGGGTCCGCTCAGACGTATTGGCCGTACGCCTTCCGACCTCCGAATCTCCTCAAGCCTGTCCCTCCTTGACCTCCTCCTCTTGGACCCTGCCCCGGATCCACGCAGCAATCTTCTGTCCATACAGCGCCGGAATCAGCGCGAGTACCGACATGCTTAACAATTTCAATAGCACCTCCGCCGACAGGATGTCCGCGAATGAGTCGAGCTGCGCCAATGTTGCGGCAGCCTGCACGCAGATGTAGTTGTAGGGCATCAGGCCAAAGAAGATGGAGAGAAAGAATGGTAGGACTGGTACGCCGACGAAGGGCGAGGCGATGTTCAGGAACCTTTTGGAAGAACATGGCAGGTAAGGATGACGTAGAAAATACAACAAATTAGACCAGAACAGACATACCAATTAGGAGAGAATGGGAAAAGCCTCAGAAAGAGCAAGTAGTAGAATAGATTGCCTGATTCTCGATTTATCTCCACCCGCCGCCGCAGGTATCCCAGCTTCGACCGGGCGAATCGTTCCACAACCATTTCGCCCACAACGATTTCGGAGATCAGGTAGCACAGTGTGGAGCCGATAGCGGTGAATAAGGAGACGAAAACAAAGGCCCAAAATCCGTAAAGAAGACCTCCTAAGATATTCTGCGTGATGAAGGATTGCGTCAGCAGTGGACAGACTTCACGTTCTCAACTCAAACGAGCAAGCATACCATCAGAGCGGACCCTGGTATCGAGAATGTTTGCTTGAATATATACACCGCCGTGAAGAGCGTCAGAACAGGAACGAAATGTGCGTTGGAGTAGTTTTGTCTTCAAGATGTGAGAAAACCGGTCAATCATTCCGCAAGACAGGCCCGAAACGAGAACGCTGTCTCATATAAAAGATCCACACTCACAATATAACCGACTGACTCTTCACATCGTCGAAATTCTTCGGTAAATGAATCTCCTCCTCATAATCCGGCAGGTTGTGTCCCATCTGATACAAGACGAACAGCCAGCCCCCAAAAATCGTCACCAGCGTCCCTAACCGCAGTATTACGGCGTTGCGCGCAATAGGAAACGCCGCCGCGTATGACGATTCTGCCGACAGAACCGGAAGCGCAAAACGTCCCCTCCTCCACCCCTGGCCCCCTCTTATGTCCGCCGGGCCCGGTAATAACATTCTTCTACTATCTGGCGTACTCGGCGCTGATGAATTCGTTCGTGTCGGAGAGACTGGGGGTGAGGTGTGCTCCGAGGCTGGCGCAAGCAGAGGCTGTAGGTCCGGCCGTTGTTCGTCCTCGCTCAAGAAAGACGACTGTGGGTGTGAATTCAATTGGCCCATGCGGACGGTTGTTGGAGGGAGGACGACTTTGGGTGATAAGCTGGAGGGCGAGAATTGTAGCTCCTGGTTCATGAATGAGAGCGAAGTGCGGCGGTTAAGTGCGACAGCAGACACTGCTGCAACACGAGGGATGGACATAAGGCGAGCTCGTTGTGTGCGGTGCTTCCGACCGCGATTTCTCGGCAGTGACCGAAAACAGTGTGGAAGGGCGTACGTAGCCTCCAAAGTTCGTTCGTGAGTTGGCCCTGTGGCGGTGACTACACAACACAATGTGGTGACGGCTTTCGTGACGCAGTCACCGACAGACTCCAAGGCAGTGAATTGTGACGACCTTTCCTCACTGGCAAGTCGGAGGAAACTCTTCTGACGTCGCCTAGATAGACCCTACTCCGGTGTACTTGCGCTACTGGCGTTCGATTTCCTCCTTGTGTATATTCTCGCGAAAATGTCGTGGCTCTTGCTTCTGAGCAGCACATAGAATATAGAATCAGGAAGACCTTTGCGCCCGTAAGTGTCGATGGCTCCTGGGGGTGCGTGGGAATGTGCGTGCAAGGCTTGGCTTACTCCACGCGATTTTGCCGAAAAACACGTCGAAAGTAGCGGGCGAGGAAAAGCGTGGCACTTGGGCTCCTTTTTGCCTTTTAATATCTAGGTTGACGAGATGCTCCGAAAGACAATTCCGACGCAGGTAGGTTTTAAGAGCATTCGAATGACCCGTTCACATTACTGTACTACGCTTTTGCAGGCGTGTATAGCCGACCTCTATACCATGACATCCATTATGTAGCCGCAAAAGCCCGAATTGGTTTTTTCTCCGACGCGAGGCGTTTGAAAAGTGAGATGAAAACTGGCGGCCACTCACGAACGGCCTTTTTGGTTAGTCATCGACGCGTTGCGAATTTAACCGCGGACGGATGTGTGGCATCGTGTTCTTCGGTTTCGGAAACGTTGTTCTTCAGTTGCGTGTCGATGTCCGAAATTCCAAATGCCGTCCGAATGCCGTCCGAAACCGGGCATGGCGAGCCTTCTTCCCACGAGGCTCCATGCAGCATCTTCGTTTTGACCATCTGAGCAGCGAACCGCCATGACGGTGCAGACGATCTTTCAGGACGCCGTGCGGTCGTCGGCCACACATCGGAAGAACTATGTCGCGCTTCGCAAACTCCACCTAAAACGCGGACGAGAGGTTGAGAAAGACATCCTGAAATGCGTCGCACGGATCGTCCCGCTGAAGAAAGGCTTTTTGGAGGCCGAGAGAGGCTTGAAGTTTCTCGACGTCTATTTTGAAAACTTTAGGAACGATGCGCCCGACTCTGAATGTAAGTGGTATGTTTCCACACGGGTTCCCAAGCCAACAAATACTTATAGCCGACCATATCAGCTAGCGAAAGGGTGTTGCTTGACGCGCTGCTCAATAGCTTGTTGCAGTTCTCCGCTAAGGGTCTAAGGGCGAAAGACAAGAACGTCCGATATCGATCTTGTCAACTGGCTCAGGTGACATTGAATCACAAGGAAGATCTTGAGTAAGGCGCGACTTCGACTGCTTCATCTCCGTCACGCGCTGAATGAAGTGTTTTGTTTCTAGGGATGACCAATTCACGATTATGCGAGATGGCCTTATCATGAGGACCCGTGATAAAGAGGCTAGCGTCCGTGCGAAAGCTACTTCAGCGCTGTCCAGGTTGCAGGATTCTGGGGACGAGGAAGATGACTTTTTGATTCGGCAAGTGATGCTGAGTCTGTTGCGGTTCGACTCACATGCGTAAGTATACTTTCGTTTTTGATAGTATGAAAAATGTTTTCCACAATCGAATTCTTCGCGTTGCAGGGATGTGCGACGATCCGCCGTGCTGAATATATCCGTGGACGACGAAACGCGTCCGTTTCTTCTCCAACGAGTCCGGGACGTAGATCCCAATGTTCGAAAGGCCGCTTATGATCAAATTGGCAGAGAGGTCCAAAGCGTGGACAGCTTAACAACCGAAGAAATTGAAGCTTTGCTCGGCAGCGGACTATCCGACCGGTTGGCACAGCTCGTCGAAGGGATGCAGCCGAGAGTCTTGCATATCTGACGCACCCATTGCTTTTCCCTGCAGCAACGCCAATGTCCAGAAAGCGTGTGTGGAGCTCATGTGCGACAGGTGGTTGCCGCAATACGATGACAAGATCTTACTGGTACGTGTTTCTTTGCTTTTATTCCTTTTCTTCTGGCTGACGTGCTCGGACCAGCTTCTTCGACAAATGGATGTTATGTCGGGCAGCGCGGCGGAAGCTGCTGCCAAGGCATACATGCTTGTGAATCCTGGTATCACCGCTGCTTATGAAGGTAAAATCACTCCCTGATCAGACTCTTATGCAGTTACGTGTTCTGATTGGAGTTCGTGTCATATCAGATGAAGCGTGGGATAATCTCGATGAAGAGGAGGCGTTTTTCCTCTGCGCTGCTATTTCATTCTTTTACGAAAACAAGGTAAGTTAGGGTAGATTGTCTGTGCTATCCCCCCTACGATATCTGAATGGCTTTGCCCAATCTCCCTAGATGGAAGATGAGCTCGAAAACGCCCTACCCCCACTCATCCGACATGCCGAGCTCTTGCAGAAATACGGCTTGCTAATGTCGCAGACTGAGAACCAGGACGAAACTATAGCGTTCGCTTTCATCTTGAAACAACTGCTTCTGATTGCCGAGTACCAAGATTTCAGCGATGAGATGGGAAGGCGAGAAATGCTGCTGGCTTTACGTAAGACAGCCCATCTCACTAGGGTCCATAACCGCAGCTGATTAGTTTACTGGGTCATAGGGGACATGGTCAGCACTTTGGACCTGTCTAAGGAAAACATTCTGATAATTGTGCGAATCATCAAGCGGCTCTCCACCAACGAGAGTGATTTTACCAGGTGTGCACGACGTGTCAATTTTCGCAGCGGGGTTTTATGATGGTTCTCTGACTCTTCTCACGCTAGGGTGGTTATCGAGGTCCTTTATACCATATACGACGCAGACCTGGCCGACAGCTCGTCCCAACCGATTGAAGAGTACCCTGATGATGAGCGAGCTCAAATGGACAAAATCGAGAAATCCTTGCTACTCCTCAAATGTCTGGACGTCATCAACTGTGTGTTGGAATGCACTGAAGAGAACCTGCAGAACAACGCGGCAATGACTGGGATTCTGGATAGCTTCATTCTCCCTGCCCTCAAGAATGAACACCCTGCGATCCAACAATCGGGATTCCACTGTCTCTCACTTGCTTGTCTCTTGGACAGAAATCTCGCAGAGACCCACTTGCAACTTTTTATGAGTGCATTCAATGATGCGAGAGAGGGCTTCTCGACGCTTGCCCTCAAGGTCTTCTTCGACTTGACGATCCTCTTTGGGACGAATCTGCTATTGGACACAGGACTCCTTATCGAGGTGATCCGCGGGACGCTACAATGCGATGACGAGAAGCTCCTTACACTGGCCGTCGAAGGTGTAGCGAAGCTGATGATGCTAGGATACTTGTCAGACGAGCTGATCCTACAGCAAGTCGTCGTGCTGTACTATCACCCGCACACGCGGAAGATGAACCGATTGAGGCAGTGCCTCAGTTACTTCCTGCCGGTGTTTGCGCATGCGTCCCACCGGAACCAGCTCCTGCTGAAAGCGATCCTAGTACCAGCAGTGCAGATCCTCGCCCAAGAGCACCACGTGAGCAAGGACCTTATGATCCAGCCGTTGCAGATCGCTCAGCAGTTGGTTGACTGGACGGATGTGCGCAAAGTAGTGGGCAGGTATGCATCTCTTAGCCCTGCGAGGCTGTTTCCGAAGAGTTTCTGTGACGCTCACGCCGAAGTTCATCTGCCGACAGCTTCAATCAGAACTCGACAGACGTTGACTCAGGCATCCACGCTGATCTCGCCATCGAGATTCTGCACGCTCTGCTGAACGAGGCCGAACCGTCCGTTATGAAACTATATGCCCAAATGTTGGGCAAACTGTATATTGGCCAGGACGCCGGGGAAACGCGTTTGCGCACAATTGGCGAGCTGGCCTCTTCTGCGTTAGGGGTACGTGCTCTTGATCATTCTCAGGAAACGCTTGATGCTCAAACCATTCGTTCTTTGCTTGCCTTTTAGATTGCGCAGAAGGGATCCACGTTCGTCTTGCCTCTGAAGCGGTAAGTGTCATCTCCGATGATCGCAAAGTCGGATGCATATTCTTCCAGATTTCCCACAATTTCCACGACCCGCAGGTTCGCGAACGCTGTTGCTGAGATCGAAGTAAGCACATCCGTAGCTGAATAAGAGCATGAACGTGGACGTGCTATCGGCGATCATCTTGGGGGCCGAGGAGGGACATTATGTACAATCAAGCTTTAGAGTAGGGGTCAAAGACATGGACGTGCGTCAGCCAGAGGATAGATTGGTCGGTCTTGATTGATTGTCTTTTTTGCGTAAAGAAATACATGGCGTATAAGCTGGCCATTCCGATTGTCCCGCTTTTTGGTGGTTCGAGTGGTTCAATCACTTGCGATTCATCAGTGTGATTGTGCTTTCAACATCTTTTTTTTCTTAAGTTGAATGGTCCTGTGTAGATACATATATTCACGTCTCAAGGCTTTGTTCCTATTCAGCAACGCGGCCCGAAGTCTCGGGAGACGGTAAATGCGACTGACAGGATGGGATTGGGCCGGTACTGTCAAGCGTCAACGCCAGACTGAATGACTCGACAACTTCAATCCCCTCCACAATTATTTCTCAATAACGAGACGTCAAATCCATGCGGAGGAACATCGAAAGCTTTCTCACGCTTCGAAAACCTTTCCAGAAAGAGCATACCCCTGCCTTCAACCGTAATGAACCATGTATGTAGACTTGAACGGCCCAGGCGGACCGTTGCAGCCCCCTCACCCAGGTGGAACCTCCGCCAGAGAGCTGTCAACCCTCCCACACCGCGAGTCATGGCGACCGACGGCCATTGGACTGAGACTACTCAACAGAGAGGGGTTTCAGCACCTCGTCTCGTGTCAACTTTTTTGAGTCGATTGATTGTCGTCGACTCCCGAACTGATGAGGTAGAACGTTGGCGATACCAGCAGATATTGACGAGAAGAGCATATCTGACGCATAGGTTAACTATGTCATAGATCGCACAGGAATTTGAAAATCAAACTACGGACAGAAGAATGTCGATTGTCGAACCCTCGGTCGAGAGCGCTTCCGACTCTAGCGTCGGCAATGCAACACCGGGGCCGCGCGGCCGCATCCCGCCCGGTCTGCATTCGGTGGAGTGCATCGATCTGACACGAACCCCCCGTCTTCAAGCAAAGGCCGACGCACCCACGGACAGCATTGACCTGACTGACGACTGGTGGGACGATAGCCTCGTGCACGAAGCGTCGTGTGCGGCGGTTGATTCTGCTGCATCAGACGTAGCTGGTGATGGTCGCTGGTCGATGACGACACAAATGTAGAGGACTATGAAGAACCAGAGTTTCAGATCGGGATAATCGAACCAGAGTATCCTGAGGATGACGAGAATCAGGAGGAACCAGACGCAGAGGACTATGAAGAACCAGAGTTTCAGTTCGAGATAATCGAACCTGGGGATTCTGAGGATGACGAGAATCAGGAGGAACCAGACGCAGAGGATGGGATGAAGAGGGACGCAGAGCAGTGTCGGCAAGAATTGGTTGACATTCCCTCGGTAGAAATCACGATCAGTGACCCGGCGGAACTGGAAGCTGAGACCGGGATGACCGGCGGTGCTGAACAGAAAGAAAAGGAAGAAGTAGCTACGAAAGATACCGTTGGCGGTATGAGCGCGGTGAACGACAGTACTGCGCGAGAGAAAGAGTCTGCGGACAACACTCCTCAACCGCCGGAACGGGTGCCAGACCGGGTCGCACAGCTCATCATCGCAGACTCCCAAATGGTTCTAGCTGCCGACAAATGGAACGCTTCTAAAGCCGCCGCCTGGAGTCTCGCGCAACCACCGCAACTCAGAGAAACTCTCGAGCAGCTCCCACAACTCGAAGAAACTTTCAAGGTGCTCCCGCAACTCGTCGAAAGTCTGAAGCAACTCCCGCAACTCGTCGAAGCTTTCACGCATGCAGCTCAATCACAGGCTAACATGGCTCAACATGCAGTCAAGTCCGCAGCCGGTCAGCCAGGAAAGCAGCTCGCAAACACAAACCATCGACGATCATCCCGAGCCGCGTCCTTCAAAGGCACTGGACAAACGAATGAAAGATACCTCTGCGTCGCCGATGCTTTCATCCGACATCCCCTCGCTCTTGAGCGTCCCGACGCACCACCCCTCCACAGCCGACAAGGAGTCTACTCCGAGCACCGCCGCACATACCGACCAAGTCACAGACAACCCCCTCACCGACCACGTCGAGTACCACATCCATCGCCTCCACGCACAACAACACGACATCCCAACATCCTCCCCCAACCCCAACAGCCCCGCTACACACCCGAAGAAAAAATCGTCCGCGTCCCGCGCCGCAACCACCGCCGCATCGCAAAGCACACGGCGTTCCTGGTCTCGCTGCACTCTCAGATTGACAAGCAGTCGAGGGTTATCCGCAAGCAGGGGAGGGAGTTGCAGGTCTTGAAGGAGAGGTTGAGGGAGGCGGAGAGGAGGGTTCGAGGGAAGGGCACGGAGAGGGAGGAGGCGGAGAGTAATGCTGGGGATATGGAGATGGAGGTGTGAGCCATGTGAAAGATGTCGGGAAGTCGGCGTTTACGTATGTGTGCAGTTGTAAAATTGTTGATATCGAGTGAAAACAAAACAGATTCGCAGATAGGGCATGGAATGAGAATTCGACGCCATGCGTTCGTTTGTACTCGGTACTCTGAAAGAAATGGAATTTTGGCGCCATTCTGCTCAGGTGTTTCCATTGGTGCTAGTATACATGTCTCCCTGAGCCTATAAATAAGAAAGCCGATGGGCGAACTCGCCAAGCTCTAGCTAAAGCATTGTCCGGAAGCTCTGCAGCTGGTGACCCTTTCTAGCTTGATCCGATCCGTGACCATTACCCTGGCGCATCAAGCGATGTTCTCACGCCTTTCCCTTTTTCTTTTTCGCAGGCCCATTTGAGGTGTCGCCTTTCTTTTTCCTCTTATCGTGCTTGTGCGGAGGGTGACCAGCAGCCTTGCGCAGCTTGCTCGTAGGATGGTAGTCGGGCAACTCGTCCACTAATGGAGAAGTGTACGGTCAGCTATCAGATGTTCACACTTAAAGCAAAGTCGGACGGCCGCTACGTACCCGACTCCGTGCCTAACTTGTTCAGGTTCGCCGCCAACGCCTCGGACGTGCCGTCGATCGCGTATAGACCGTTCGCCCCTCTGCTAGCCACTGCCAGCACCGGGCCTTCAGAAAGAAGACCTATCGCGATCCAGAGCTTCCCTTCGGAGTCGAAAGCAACATTCAGAGGCTCATCAGCAACATCCAGCTTCTGGACTTCCTTGACATCTTCGGGGTTCGATGCGTCAAAGATCAGGACTTGGTTGACGCTAATGATGGGTCATGTCAGTGATTCATGTTCCACAACCATACACGAAGATCCTTACAGTTCCAGCGTGACGACAAAGAGGCTACTTAATGGATGGCTGGTGATTGATGTTACGACGAAGATGAAGGGGTTGTCCTGTAATATGCATATTCATGAGATTTCCAAACATTGGAAGTGCTGACGGTGTTGAGCACACGGACCTGCGGAACAGATAGCTCAATCTTTTGAATGATCTTCCCTGTCATCCAATCCCATGTGAGTAGGAAAGGGTCACCTCCGCCGGAAATGAGTAAATTAGGTGCGAAAGATGGGATATGGATGCTCGAGATGAAACTGGAAGGACACAGGACATGATCTGAGCGCCTGTGTGACGGCGGCTGAACAAGATATGTTTCCGAAGACGTACTCGTTGTGGCCGAGACAGAACTGTAAGATGTCGAACGCCAGTGGGTATCGAGACACGCGAACTTTTTCGTCCCGATCCGCCGTGAGAAGATACTGCCCATCATGCGACAGAGCCTGCACATAACGGATGAGTACGGTGAAGACAAAAAATGCCATCAAACACATCATAGTACCATGTCCGTCAACATGGAGACATGCCCCAGTATTAATGCTTCCTTATCAGCGGAATCATTTGATTGAAAGCTGCAGGTTGCACGATCAGTAACATTCGGCGTGGACGAAGCGGTGCCATGCTGTAGGGCGAGTACCACACCTGTACACATCTCCAAACTTATCTCCAATAAGGAGTTTGCTACCGTCTCCATTGAAGGCAACACAGTTGGCCCTCTTTATTGTGACTCGGCGGCTCAACCTTTTCCAGGTCGCCACATCCCAGCAGACAAGATCTTTGTTTTCACTAGTAACTGCTAAGCGTTTCGTTTGCGGGTGGAATGCAATGGACCTAATGTTTCCATTCGGAAAGTCATCGTCTGCAATGAGGTTGGCTCCTTCGGTTCCAGGCAAGGAGGCTTTAGAGGCCGGGGCCACCAGCACTTTGCCAGAGCTTCAACGAAGAGACAGAGTCAGAATGTACGAAACTTCCCAGGAGCAGCCATGCAACCGCTTCTCACCTGCTATCTATGACAAAGAACTTGTTGCCATATGCGGCCACCACGGCGGTGGAGCCATGCAAGGAGTGGAGACGGTGGATAGGAAGACTTAGCGACATAGTGTTGTTTACGCGGCTCCCGCAAGAGAAAGACGGTTGGAGAGGTTGTCGCTCTGGCCGTCGCTTTCCTTCCCGAGTTCGACACTGAGTCCGAGAGCCCAAAGTTTTGCGCATTGGCAAATGAACAACGCGTACCTTTTCCCGCAACGCGTTTCTGCTTGGATCTGCTTTCGACTCAACTGGTAGCTACGGCTGCTACGGCTTATGCTCTCACTATCATGGCCGAGGTCCACATAATAGGGACGCTGGCGGGCGCTTCAGGGTTCCCGTCATCCCAGCTGCGTTGCAAATGGCGCATCGTTGCTGGTGACGGCTGGCGGCTTATTGAAGGAGATGTGGAGGGAAGTACACAGGTTGACATGCCCCAGGTCAGTGAGATTTTCTCGGTTCATTGGAATTGGTGTGATGCAGGTAATTGATCGCAATTTCCCCTCTTTCTCTTTATAGGCAAGCAAGTTTACAGCATGGAGCCATCCATTGGGTATGTGTTTCCCGTCATTAAAGAGCGGTAGATCCAGATATATATATAACCTTATTGGCTTTGAAACCAGATCTACATTACGCGACGAAGACAGTGACAGGTTGGCCAAAGATACAGGTCCAAGTCCTCCGGAGAGACTGGCTGGGGCGGGATGAACTATGTGAGTATGTCTCGCAATTGCTTCGAGTTGTTTGTTCCCTCGTTGATGTCAAGTTTTCGTCTTGAGTAGATGGCTATGGCTTCACACACATCCCAACAACACCTGGCGAGCATAAGCTTGAGATAGTCACTTGGCGACCTGCATTATCAACATTTGATTCCCTCTACTGTAAGTGCTTCGGAAGTTCATGCATTGGAAGCCCACCCCACTCATAGCTGGTTGGACAGCATGGATTTTTGGCACAACACCGACGCTAGTAAACACAGACCTGGTACACACCCCCACGGATAGATTCCGCCTCACAACATGCTCAATGGGCAAAGTGCATCTCAACGTTGGCATCATTTTGCGAAATTTTGAGGGATACGGAGTCGCGATGTAGTAGTTGAGGGTTGTTCTCCGTTTTTTTTTTTTGGAATTGTTGGGGACGGGGATGTAGGAAGGCGTGTGACAGCGGCGACATACGGACGATAGCTGCAACACGCGTACATGAACAGTGGTGACTGCCACGAATATGTGCCTGGTGCTTGGTAACGCCTTTCTTATTACGCAGCCCGCATGCGAAATGTGTATATGATATATATATGTGGAAATCGTCGCAATCCATGAACGTTTTCGCACGCTGGCCCAGTAGTACACCCCAGCTTCATCGTAATAGGTCACCTTGCAAGTGCTAGTGTTCGCATGGGGGCTGGCGATTGAGGGGAATCATCTTTCGGTATCGGTAGCTCTCCTCGAGTGGCGCGCGTCAGAATGTGCTGGTGAGTAGTGGCAGAGAGCCACTTCGAGTCATTGTCCGGTAGGGCTTTAGTAGACGGATGGGCAAGCAGGGCAGAGTGGTGCGCTCGGCTGGCAGGGGCGCTGCACACAAGCTGTACGTGATCGTATGTCCTCACAAGGGACAGGACAGCAGCCTCAGCATGTCAATATGGCTTATACCTCGCCTCCCTTCGTCCTTTACTCCCTCGGTCTTGCGTTTGTTCTTGCTGCTTCTCATGGGCTACATCCGGTCGTCGCTCACGGCCATTGATCTCGACGTCTCCGCTCCATCTCACGCCTCCTGCGGACCGCTCCGCATGACCGTGCGGTCTCGACATGCCCGGATTGAACTGCGAGTGATAGAACGATGAATCCTTCTCGTGGCGCGTTCGATGGAGCCCCGGGTTGAGGAGCTGTCCCGCTTTCAGTCGTTCGGCTGCTTCGCGCTGCAGGCGCTCCGCCCGCAGTCTCTCGATGGACGATGTAGTATCATTCTTCGAATGTGATTTGGCGGGAAGGTCACGGTCTCCATCATCCCGTTCGCTTCGCGTATCTCGATGATGTCGCTTGTCTGAGTCCCGCCGATCGTCACCCACATGCCGCTTCCTCACTTCGTGACGGCTGTCTCGCTTGCTGCCTTTCGTCGCTTTAATCACAGCGCTCAGTGGATCTTCCCATCGTTTCCTCGAGTCATCCTTCGCGGCTCTTTTCTCCTTATCGGCATATTTCTTCCTTACGGCAGGTGGTAGCTCAGGAGCAGGCCCAATTGGTTTATCAGCGAGGGAGACATACCACGGCGCCGCTTTCTTGCCATCTTGGGTTTCCCCAAGATACCAAGTAAACTGGTCCGGTTCAGGAATTTTTGACTTTTTGTCGCGTTTGGAGTCGGACGTAGACGTAGGTCTCGACACCTTCTGCAGCGATTTGTGTTTGAGATCAGCCTCGGCGTCGGCGAAGAGATTGATGTGCGTTTGGCCGGCACTCTCAGCGTCTAATCCGAACTGGGTGCTTTGTGGTTTCGGCCATGGCTTCATCTCTTCGGAAACGATGAGTCCTTCACCCGCGTCGTTCACAACGTTGCCTCCTTTCGGTTCCGCTCCACCCTCCGCCAGCCCAGTCCCCTCTCCATGACCACCCACTACCACCTCGGTGCCCAGGCCCTCTCGTCGCCTCTTAGCCTGTCGCCTGAGTAACCCGAGCCGTGCTTCGCTCTCTGCTTGCAGGGCCGGCTCGCGCTTCTTCGCCTCTTCAGCGCGGGCGGTTTCCTCATCTCGACGGACCCGTTCGCGGTTCTCGGCGTTGTAAACGTGCCAGCTGTGGGTAGGGGAGCAGTATAAGTTCAAGTTCGACTGTGGTGTAAGGAACGCGGAGGGGAAACCTCACCTTTTGTGTGGGAGAATGTTCAGCTTCGGCATGACGGTCGATAGCTAACAACGGCACACGAGGAGGTCGGAGCTGCCCAATAGAACGCTACTGTATGCCCTATAATATATGCAATAGCAACTAGAACCAATTGCTGACCGCCGTTCACTTGAGAAATGACGTTCAGTCCTTCAGTCTAAGCTATCGTACAGTATGAAAACGTCAAGGCCCAACGGACGAGGATTGGACTCTGGATTGGACTATTGGACGAGGATGAGGGAGACGCGAAAGCATTGGGCTCAATGCTGGGCTCAATGGAGCCTTCCAATTGTGAAGTTGAGTTTCACGACCGCTTTCAGTGGGAGAACACTCTTACGACTCGGAGAAGCATATTGAGTACAGCTGCACTCGCTCCTTCGTTACGGACCAATTGCAAAGCCACTCCAGGCAACGGACTCCTTACGGGGCGAAGATTGCTCCAGAATTCTCACAATGGCTCTCGTGCGGCCGAGCATGATAGTGGAGCGTAAACCACTCAGCCTTCCTCCCCCAGTCATCTTCGCCCCTCGGCCCGTGCATACAACGTTGCAGAATAGTCATCTTCGAGGGATTCACGGAGAGACCGCGCCACCAGCACCGCCCGTCTTCCTTCCTCCAACCCCGCCACCACCTCCATATGACCCTTCAGCCGCACCTCCGGCACTAAGTGATCTTAGGCAGAACGCGGACGGAAGCTGGCACGTGCGACGAGGCGAGCCGAACGGTGCTGCAAATGAGACGACTGGGCCGAAGGTGCCGATACAGGGCCCCGTGGAGGACGCTGGGGTGGTGCCAGAGTACAGTCAAGCACCGCCTGAGGTGCAACTACGGAGGGGCCCCCGACAGTTGAGTGCAGGGCAGAAGAAAGCACCTGCGTACGATTTTATATATGCCGACGAGGACACGTTCGAAAACGAGATCAACGAGTTTCATAACTTCCAGGACAAGCCGCAGATGCTGGAAGGAAGGGAGGTGTTTGAGGCATCCTTCAAGGGACAATGGAAGGGCGCGAAGAGGTCGGAGAAGGCAAATTGCGTCGGATGTCTTCTGGAACAGCTAGAACTCCGTGATCCAGAGTTGCGATACAAAGCCACTACCAAACTGCTATACATTGCGCAAGGGTGCTTTGGCGAGGCACAATCTCAGGAGGAGCATCTCCAGAGCATCCGAGATAACAACGTTCTGCTGTTCGAGCTGGGAGCACTTGATCATGTGTTTGCAGCACTGAAGGTGGTCTCTGTGACATTGGACTTACTTACTCGCGTCACGGACCCGCAGCTGCTCTCGAATGAGCGCCAGTACGCGATGGACCTTGCGACGGGCGAAACATCGGCGCACATGTGCGTGCTCTTTTTCTTGCTGAAGGTGAACGGCAAGGAGGAGGCGTTCTCGCAGGAAATCACGAACACGAACCCACCTCTAGCTGCCTTCCTCTTTGGCTTGGTAGCTCAACTAGCGGAAGGAAACAGGAAGCACTATCCGGTGAAGAAGCTCCTCCTTCTGCTCTGGAACGTGCTTTTGGTGTGCTTGGGTGACACGAAACGCCTCAGTGAACTGAAGAGCGCTTCTCGGACTCTGGAAGGCCTGCCGGCCTTCGACGAAAGCCTCCTCGTAAAGTCGGTTCCTCAGGACTATCTGAACTATCATACATCCACCGCCGCTCGATACCCTGCATACGTTACGCCAGACCCTTCCATACTTCTCCCACCTCGTAAGACACTTCCAGAAGGCATTCCAGGCAATACGCGTCGCAACGTCCAACAACCATGCCTGACGCAGCCATACACATCGCCGTATGATTCCCTTCTCCCGGCTATGTTCCAGGAAAGTGTCGACCTGTACAAGAAGCACAACTACACCTCGGCATCCTTGGTACAAATTTCGCGCGAGAAAGACCGGGTGGAGAAGGAAGAAAGCAGCCGGAAGTTATCGGGAGATAACGATCGGGAGCAAAGTGACTTGACGGACCCGGCTGATGATGAGAGCAATGGCACACCGAGCGAGTTTGGAAGTGAGAGACGGCGTGAGGTCTCGGTGACAAGTCGGAACTTGAAGCAGAACGCTCAGAGAATCCGGAAGGAAGACGCCGTTAGGTTGAAGCGGTTCGAGACTCTCTATGTGAGTGGAAGGATGGATATTCCGAAGTAGAACGGCGTCTTCAAGCAAGTTGCTGACCTATCTGTTTTATTTCTAGCGTCATCTTCTGCCCCACATGGCCACGCACATAGGCATGCTGATCCGTCTCCTGTACTACGTGAATCTTGGAAGCACGACTGTGCCGGGTGGGAAGCCAGATGGGGAGGGCGAGAAAGGCGGAGGGTTAAATGATGATCTGGATCCGGGAATCCCTTTCAATGAGATGACGCCAGAGGAACAACGGAGCCATCTCCTCCGCGTGGACAACAACCGTCATAAGGAAGTTGTCACGAAAGCCGTCAGTGGGATTTTGATGATCCTGCTGAAAGCTACCAAGTGTCATCGTAAGCCGACGGAAAATCACTGACTGGCACTTCCTCTGAATGTTTCTGATCCGGTTTCCGTTTCTCCAGATGCCTTGAAGTTCGAATACATCTCACAGCTCATGGTGGACAACAACTGCGCTATCCTTATCCTCAAGATGCTATCTGCCTGGCTACAGAATCCAACGATTGCCTCCCCCAACTATGGAGGACCACCGTTGCTCGACCCACAAGGGAACCCGATTCCGTGGGAAAAGCCCAAATCACCCACCGCAGCGCAGGCGGCCATGCAAGGAATGGGGGCTGTACGGCTGACGAAGAGAGACGAGCCCGCGGAATTAGATTTCTTCTATTTCGCGAGGAGGGATGAAACGGAGGCAGGATCTGGCTGTGGAAAAGAGCCCGCGGCTGATGACACCACTAAGCAAACCGTTGAAACCGATGCACCGTCGACGGCATACCCAACGCGCCGTCAAAGCTCTGACCTTTTGTCACCAGATGCAGCGAATGGGTTTACGGGGGATGACAACGGCGCCGAACAGAAAACAGCATCATCGTTCCGCAATTTCTACACTGCGATCAACCTTCTCCGCATTTTACAGAAGCTCACGAAGCGCAAAACGCACAGAATCCTAGCGCTGGTTCAATGGAAAGCCTCTGCGGTTTTGAAGCGCGCGATGAAGGTCAATCATGTGGGATTGCAGCTATATGCGCTGAAGCTGTTGAAGAGTCAAATCCCGTACCTTGGGAAGAAGTGGCGGTCCAGTACGTGATTCCCCGTCAAATGTTCGGAATCAGGATAGTGGCTGATGCATTTACCATTTCTCTAGGCAATATGAAAGTAGTAACTGCCATCTTTGTGCATTTGCGCCCATACTTGAGGGATGAATACTTGGCTGGAGATGTGGACGTGGACGTTGACGAGGCGCTGGTGGGTCCACAAGCAAAGTGTGAACTGCGATGCAAGGGTGTGAACTGCGATGCTTATCTATACGCTCTATCCTACTCACCAACCAGGCGCACGAACAAAAGCTCCGGTCTCTCATCGCTTCCTACCATGAGCACCGCTACAGCTCTCTTGAAGGCCTCTCACCAGCCCCAGCGACTCATAGTGCAGATGAGGAGTCCGCAACGCACTCGCACGTCGATGAGCTGGATCTCATCTTGTCTATTTCACGCCGAGCGAGCTATCAAGGGGCAACGGACCCACAGATTCATGCCATCGCGGCTGCCTCAGGAACCCGCAATGGCCCCCCATCGTCGACCTCCTCGACATCGTCCGGATCCGTGATGCACGCTTACGACCAGTTAACTCTGGATGCCAACTTTCTGGAGAACTATGAAGAGTGGTTGCGCATGGAGGTTTACGAACCTGACAGCAGCGACTCGCCCACCTCTCCCTCCGATCATGTCTGGTCACATAACGGCTCCTTTGACCCAGACTCGGCCGATGCAAACCAACAACAGCCACCGCGCTCCCTCTTCTCCGCGACGCAGCGGTTCAGCAAAGAGATGCTCAGCGACTATGACGACACAGAATGGGATCCCTCTAACAACGCCTACTATTACGAGTTCCCCGGTGACGATGTGCCAGGCAGTCAATGGGACGAGCCTGTCGACGTCACGCCGCGAGAGGCCCTTACCTGGTCGTCGTGGGGGGATCAGGACGGCGCCGATCATGCGTACGAGTACCCACCACCTGAGGAAATTGGTGATTACGGTTATGATGAGGCCGGCGGTGACAGCCCCCCCTCCACGTGGACGGACGATTGGACACAAGATGAGACTAGAGAGGCGCACTGGGTTGAGCCGGCGGAGGACTACGGGTATCGGGATGCGAGCGATGGATATGGTGGAGGTGGTATGAATTACACCGGCCGTGAATACCATCAGGAGCGGGACGAAGATACGGCGAGCGAGGGTGGAAAGAGGAAGAGACCGATGGAAACGGGGTCCATACCAAAATCGCATTCATCGGAAAACTCCGACTCGGATGAATCGGATAGATCCGCGACGTCATTCGCGAGTGCGGATAGCGGGGTGGGAAGCTGGGAAGATAAAGATGAGAGTAAAGAAAGGAAAGCGGAAGTGCGTCGGGGAAAAGGAAAGGCAAAGGGATGAGAATCGAGCTCACACATCAGATTCTACCGTCGCCATAATGGCCCGAACATTTATCTGAATCGGCCCAGGCGTACATTCACTCGCTCACTGGGGGCTCTCGATCCTCAATTCATTTACTAGTGTAGCAGCGGACACTCGTAAAAACTTGTGAGATACAATAACTGTTCTGTAATCACTATGCAAAATGGTTTCGTAAATAAAGATGGCCAAAATTGAACTGCCTCAAGGAATCTACTCTGATCTAAATAAATACGCGTGCGACGAATGGGGTATCAAAAACTTTCGGCTATTTTCTTCATGCATCCACATCCATCCCTGTCAGTTTGCTTATCGGATCGGCGGGAGGAGCACTTGCGCCATCCGCTTTCCTTACGACGACAGTCTTGATTTCCCCAATCCCGTTGTAATCGCCTTCCCACTTCCGCAGAGCAACGACGTTTTTTGGGTGCATCATTTGCGGTACCTCTGTTGAGAGTGGGTAACACCATTAGAAATCAACACAACTCAGACGGCGTGAATTCGACGAGGAACAGCTGTCTCACCAATGCCCGTGTTGTACTCCTGAATATCCTTCGATCGCAGCGTCTTCAACAACTCCAACCGAGCCGGTGGTGGACGGCCCTTGCGCATGTTCTCAGTCAACTCCGCAATCTCCAAGTCGTAGCGGTTGATATACTGTCCAATGATATCGTGCACCTGCTCCTTCGTCGCCGCAGTGAGTTCCTCGTCTAGGGCGTACTTGAACCACAGCATCCGTTCGACTGCCCGTGTCTTCTTCACGTCTGACGCAGACTTGTTTTTCGCGAGCTTGTCTTCGCGATTCATGGCTCGCCGCATTTGGACAGCTTTGCGGGAGTATGGGTGCGCCTTTTCGGACTGCTTCACCTTCGACATCTTTATGACTCGGTTGTTCGGCATAGTTGCTGTTCCGTCGTCCGTTCAGTTGAGGTTGAGTTGTGGGAGGTCGAGGGGTTTTTTGCGCTGTCTAGTGGTCAGGCAAAACTTCGGCGAATAGGCGGCGGACGTGGCTCTGGTATTTCAGTTTAAGGGCAATTGCACAGTGTGGCCGCAGCGATTCTGAACCTGTGTGGAAACTGGGAATTGCAGTCTTGCTATTGGACATGCCCATGAGAAAACGGGGAGCCAGAACTGTAAGTGTGGCGCAGAATGGCTGCCGACGTGGCTTGCGAGAGTATCTTTGAGCAGTGACCCAACGCGTTCCATACGCGTTCTTTTCCAACTCCGACTTCAACTGCCGAAGTTCCCAACACGCTGCAGGTATGAAGATATGCGTTTGATTCCGCTCGTGTTAAGAATGAAGCAGTGAGTATGTACAGCAACCAGAGCATAAGATAGATGCGTGGCGCAAGAGCGCAATGATATGTACAATGTGCAATAAGCGTATGTATGTGGGTGATTGTGCGTGTTGCACATCACATGAACTTGAAACAGGTCTCGATCCTCACCAACCCGGCAGTCCCCGCAGAAGCGATCCAGGAAGATGCGTTGACGTTGGGGTTCCACGCCACCTTCTGGATCGCGATTTCAGGGCCGAAAAAGTTGATGGGCACAGTCCGTGGGTTGTCTGCAACAATCTGTGAAAGTGGTAGGGGAGCGCGGAGTCCGCGGGGGTTAGTGAGAAAGAGAGTCGCGCAAGGAAGACGGAACGACCGAAAGGCTTACCTGAGGATTCAGGTCGTCGAAGAGAGTGAATGTGTCCGACGGCTGATCATATTCTAGCCGGTAGAGAAAAACCTGGACCGGTTTCTGAAAGCAGAGGAGAAGATCCGGCGGTGAGAAGAGAGAATCGACTATCACCAGAAAGTTGCGTGCGGACCAACTTACGTGAAATCTATTAGCTCCAGTCCGTCGCACAGTGGAGACAGTCACAGATCCATCAGCACTGCCACTGCATACGAAAGGTAGATGATCCGACCGCTTCACATGCTACAAAGCCAAAGATGTTCGGTAAGCACCGGCTTTGTATGCACAGGTACGGAGCGCCCCCTATCTCCACATACCCATATACACGCTTGATGCGCTGCGATGTAACTGGTCCTCTGCCGGTGATACGCTCCGGCATCATCACCATCATCCTTGTTCTCCTTCTTGCTAGGATTCTTCGCTTCCTCGCCTACGCGCATCGTCCGGAGCACGTTCTCACTATCCGCGAAGACGATGCGATTTTCCATCGGCACGTACGTCATGGCGGCCATAACCATGGGGAAGCGGGTAAGAAGTGCGGAGCTCCAGGGATCGCGGATGTCGCGCGTGAGGAGACGCCCGTCGGCGCCAGAGGTGAGGAGAGATTGGCCGATGCGCCCGCGGTATGGGCCGGTGAATTCAAGGGCTGTTATGTTGGCTTCGTGGGCGAGGATGTAGGCTAGGGGCTCTGGGTCTGGAAATGTTCGAGCAATTTTCAGCGGATGAGAATGATAAGCTTCAATATTTCCCGCGGCTAACCCACCATCTTCAGGCGACCCATCGCTGCCATCAACATACATTGCACTCTCCTCGAATGCCGCTCGTTTCCGCTCAATTGCTTCCCTGAGAGACCAGAGGGCGATCGCACCTACATAGTAAACATGTTTTTCATCAGCCGTTGGCCCAGAGGTTTGCGAAATCACTGCTACTCACCATTGCTGCACGTGCTAGCGAGCATGTCCGGGCCATTCCATGCCAACTTCGAGAACGTGGCGTCAGGCATGGATGCTGTGAGTAAATAGGTATTCGCCTTCACTGAATGACGCATGGATATTAGATTGAGAGGCACAGCCGACGAATCGAGCTCGCACAAGGCAGCGCACCATATAATGTCTGATCGGGTGCAATTGACAAAGATCTCCGCATGGCTGATGGATGCGGTATCTGCAAGAGCCTCAGGCTTCCGTCTCCGAATGTGACAGCGAAGATCCCCAGTTGCGGTAATGTCCCAGTGCCTGCGTCCTATGCGGGAGATGTCAGCATATTATCCTTCCTCGTCTCAGCTTGCACAAGCAACTAACCAAATTTGGGTCCTGATAATGTCCCGCCGGCGCCCACTTAATGTCAAACACGCATCCGTACTCGTGCAGTATACACATATCGAGCATGGGAGAAGCTGTGTCCGATTCCGATACCGTCGTTTTGTCATCGCTGAGATGTCCGGGGTTCCAGATCTGGATGCACCCTTTCGCGTCGGCGCCGCTCTTCGCGTCCTGCTTTGCACTTAGGACGTGGTGCTCCTCAATGGTCATTTTGTAGCCGCCGACCGCCAGGTACTGAGTTGCTGTTGGGATGAAGGATCAGCCCAAATCCCAATTGAGTAAGGAGCTATGTAAACTTACAAGCATCCTCAGGCAACGGACACCAATCCAAGCCCCAAACGGACCCGCCGGCATAACACAAGACGCGTTTCCTACTGCCACGCTTGTTAGCTATTTTGTTTTGGTTATTCGTTAACTACAGATCCGCCTTGATGAGCCCCCTGTCCCTCTGATAAGCAAATTGAGACTTACAACAGGGTACAGTCTCGAACTTTGCGAGCGTAAAAGGGTCGCCGGCCGTGCCGCCCAGGTTGATTTTGATGTTCACTGGTCCTTTGGCGGGTAGGTATTCGACCCCTTTGCTGTGATATGCAAAAGACTCTCAGAACTGCGTGGTGGCAGATTTTTCAATGCGCACATCACCTACTCGTCAGAAACAAGTTCGAAATCTCTGAGATATATCGGCGCAGGCGTGATGTCAGGTAACGCCGATCGCACCACCGACTCCTCTTCCTCATCTTTCATTTGCGGATGCGGCAAGTAAGAAATCCATAAATCGCCTTGTCTGATTCCTTTCCCCTTTGGTGACCCCACAGGGCTCGACGTGGCGGTCTCCCCGCGCAACTTCTTGACAGACGCCACAGGGCTCGACACAGTGGTCTTCTCGCGCAAATTCTTCAGAGGAAGCCTTTTCTTCCTCTCCAGTGAAATTACTTCCTTCTGCTTTTCTCTTAGTCGGGCGATGCGCTCTTTCGAGACACCCATCTGGAAGGCAAGCGTGGTGGGCTTCTTCGCTCGTGGGATGTAGGTCTCGTAGGTATCGATGGATATCGGCCAGGAGTCGAATGGGATCTCGTCGTAGAGAGCTATTACGTCCGCTCTGACGCCTTTTTCTTCGGATGCAGACGATTCCTGGTTGGCGTCTTGTGTGGCCGGGCCGCCGCTTGGTGGATCAGCAGTAAGATCGATATCGGCAGAAGGCCCGTCTGCTGACACGGTGGCTGGCCCGCCAACCTCTGTATCGCCTCCGGGAGCCGCAGACGCATCATTGTGCACGGCGCCTTCTCTAGGCTGTTCGGTTGCAGCCGGTGTGCTTTCGACGGGATACGCCCATCGCAGAAAGTCCAACACATCATGCACATGGTTTCCGAAGTGGTAGCGAATCCCAACAACATTGAGGAAGTCTTTATCGCAAGAGGGAACGCAGCACTTGAATCGCCCGTTGTCCATTCGAATGGGCAGCACGTACCGAACAACCTCCACTTCCTCGACGACCTTGGCTTTCTTGCTGGCTTTCGTGGGTAGGCTTGATGCTGCTTTCCGCTTTGCTGGCTTTTTCGCGCCAACTGTTGTATGCCCATTGTGTTCCTCTTCGTCCCCACCAACAGCTTCCGCCGCCGCCTGTGCTTCGCGTGCTTGGATCTCTTTTTTACTGGGCCTTCCCCTCTTCTTCCTGACCTGACTTTGTGCGCTCGCCGATCCACTTTCAGGCACATCGACATCGCCATTAGCAGGATCACAATCTGGGTCCTCTGCGGCTGCGCCCTTCTTATTCCCAGGCTTTGCTTTTGTCTTCTTCGTGCTGGGCCGCCCAATCTTCTTCTTGGCAGTACCCGTATTTGTGACCTGATCTTCGACTGAAGTGTCCACGCTGGCCTGCTCCCCCCCAGCGGCTGTTCCTACCGTCTCGGTTGCTTTCTCTTCCCCGCGCCCACGTTTGGCTGGCTGCGGTGTTGAAGGCTCCTTTGGTGTCTCCGCTTCAACGCCAGTACTCTCTGCCCCGGCCTGTCCTGCACTGTCAGCGCCCCCCTCCGCCCCATTGGTTTCACTCTGCTCTACTCTTTTCTTCCCAGGTCTTCCGCGTTTCTTCAAGACCGATTTGGATGGCGTGTCAGCCTCCGCCGCGAAACTGCTGTTGACCTCCAACATCAACTCCGGGGTGAACGGCACGAGCGCTTTTTCTTCTAATGCTTTGTTGAGGAGTTCCAGCAGCTTTACTAGCGCTGGATGCTGAGCATCCAAGTCCTCCGCCTGTGCTTCTGGGTCCGGCTGCGAGGTTGATGGAGCTGACTGAGCGCTATTTGCCTGGAGCGGTGTGTCTGGCGCTGGCTCCTGTCCATTCTGACCGTCGTCGACAGTTCCCTCTTCGCCCTCTTCACCTTCACCAGCATCCACGGCATAATTCCTTCTCGTTGCCTTCCTGCGAGGTCTGCTGGGAGTGGTCATCGTTCCTCTCCCCTCTCCCCGGCCAGAACGGGCTCGTACTAAAGCCTGGGAAAATGGGGAACTCCGTTGCTAACGCGGTACCAGAGGCGTATATTGAGAGTGCTATGCTCGACCAGCTTGTCCTAAGCCCTGCCCTTCTACAGCTTGGAGTTGCAAGTTTCTGCGGAGACTTGACCGAAAGCAAAAACAGAATAAATCGGCGGAGCTCGGTAAAGACGGGCCAGATGATCAGCCACGCCGAAGGAGAGCGGCTAGAAGACTTTATCAAGCAGCGAGTACTCTGGAAGGCAAGACGAGAGTCTAGCAAACGGTAGCTTGAAATAGCATGCACAAGATGTGTTTGCTGCAGTGGGGACTTTGAGCCCCAAGCCCAGTTGCAGGACATGGACATTTCTGGACAGTTTCGGACTTTCCAACGCGTCCTTTTGGCCACAGCCGTAGGTACTGTACAACAGAAGTTCAGTGCCCATAACAAACTACGCAAATCCTGACTGATAAGATTGGATCAAACAAAGCTTGGCCATATTCGGCGCTACTGATCTATCCAACGTAGAGAACATCGCGCTACTTGACGTCCTCTTTCTAAACCCATACTATGGAACTACCAATGTGCTGATTTCCATACGCCGGTCCTCTGTAAATAATGCTTTTGAAATGATGTGCCGTGTCATGTCACTGTGATGGAGGTAGGAGGTATACTGCTCGTTCGCCCTCGGCCAAGAGCGGAGCGCCTCGGCATTCAAGCCTGGCTGTGCTGCTTCTCCAGGTACTTGTAAACACCGAAAGCGATGACAACAACGATGGGAACCAAGCTGAACAGAGTGCTGCGGGGGGAGGAGGTATCAGTTACGGTAATGGCATGCTGCCGAACAAACTTTCTCTCCAACTTACGTCGCTCCGCTAGATTTTGCTTTGGGCTTCAGTGCGTCCTTGACTGCTCCAGCATGGGCAGCGGTTTTAGCAGCTGCGGAGTAGGGCTGCAGGTGTCAATAAGGGAAGACATCAGTCCGTTTGTGATCCCAACAACAAATGAGATGTAAAGTTTGAGGAAAGCCTGGACACTAACATTGGCCGAAACGGGCAACCGTCCGACGAGAAGAGTTTCTAAGAGTTGCCGTGCGTCATCGGAGTGTCCAATCTCCTCGAAGGCCTCGCTGGCATCCTGGCCTGGGGAAAGGGAAGTAGGAAAGAGAACGATAAATTTAGCAAAGTTACAGGTGACTGAGTTGCGAACGAGGGTTTCCGCCAGCCGGCCCAGCTCCCAGGGCAGGACGCTTCTCACAGAGCGGCAAGGTAAGGCAGGATGGGACACACCAGCGAGCGAGAATACTCACCGGCGACCTCGACGATAACCTCCTCGCCTCCAGGATGCTCGTCCAAGAACTTTGTGCAGTCGTAGACCTTTCCGTCAACGACTATCCACAGGTCGTCCCTGGTGTTGTGGGCAGCGAGCTCGCTCCACTCGACGGTTCTGATAGTTGCGGCAGCTGCGGTGGCCATGGTGCTGAGTAAGTATGAGGGACTCTGAAGCGGGTTGTGAGCTGATGCAAGGTGAAGAGAATGTCAGCGGAGAAGGAGCGAGATATCGACTGATGATGATGGGCAGATGCCAGGCATCTGCTGTGCGACGGCCCAACGCGCAGGCGTGACTCAACAAAATGTTGTTTTTTTGCACGCTGGTGAACGGCCAAATATCCAACCGGCCCGCGGGCATTGGCGGAGCGGCATCCCATAGGAGAACAGCACGAATGGGGACAGGATTTGGCGGAACACTATTCCGGCTCTCTCGGGGTCTCTCCACTGCGATCCGCTCAGAGGGCCAGAGGGATGTCTCAGTCGATATCTCACCCCCTCTCCGCTGACATTCTTTCACCTTTCACAGTATTGTTCAACTTCAACCTTGAGAACCGGGTCAACTTCAACCTACCTTAAGAACCGGCCTCGGCCGCCAAAGCAGGAGTCTTCACAAGCCAGAGAGAGACAAACTGCCTGAAAAGGGCAACGACATGCATTTGAATGGTGAAACCGCACTTTCAGCAAGTGTAGCAATGGGAACTTGTTGCATGGCGCTTCTATTTGAGATTCCAGTGAAGCAGACAGTCTTCCCTGGGCTTATGATGAACTGGCCTCAAAAATACTGGGCTGCGTTGCACTGCTATCCTTGCATCGAAGTTGTCAAGGCCAAGACGTATATATAGCAAATTCAGAACTCGGGAGTCGGAAGCGCTCACGTCAATGGGTTCGCAAATTGCAGTTGCACGCGTTGAGTCGTTGACCCTCTTTGCGCAGACCTCCACTTGCAACTTTGAACCCTTGCCTCCCATCGCCATCCGATAGAGAGAGTCTGAGAGACCCGGCGGCAAGCAAACGGCGCTGGCGCTCACCCTTCTATTTAAAGGCTCACTCAGGTCCCTTGAGGGAGCCTCGCAACCAACTTGTGTTCATCGAGGCGGTTCTTCCGGATGAGATGACAACCGACTACCTGACATATTTGGAGGACTACATCGGAGGTAATTTGAAGGTCATTGCGAAACTCATGCCCTGTGCAGCCAGCGCTCACACTGGTTCTGTCTCCGAATAGCCATAGAGAATGTCCCGGCGGATATCCAGCACACCCTCTATGAGCTCCGGTCAAAGGATGAGGAGTGCGATGGTATGGGACGGTTTTTTCTCGTATGTCGGCATCGCATCCCGACCTGAACTTTACAGTGCTCACTTGCAGCCCTCCGTCGAAGCATTCGCGTCAAGCAGAGCGATCTCTCTACGCGCATGGAGGCAATAGTACGCACGCAGGTCCAACTCGCGTCCTCGGTAAACGGTTCCAGCTCGATGCAGCCGCGCAGCTATACGGACCGATTCAGCTTCGAGTCGTTAGCGGAGGTCGAACGAAAGCAGCTGGTGGATGATTACCCCGACCAGAAGGAGCTGGTGGATAAGATCAGGGCAGAGTATGACCGCTGTGTGCGGATATCGGAGGAGAAGATGGCGATCGCGGCGCGGTCGAAGGAGCTGGTGAGGATTAGATGCTGTAGCAATGATGGCATACGCATGGTTGATCTCTGAAGGATATCGCTAATATCCTTCCCGCATCCTCGTACAGATAGACAGATACCTTACGCGTCTTTCCGAAGATCTGGACCGCGCCGACTCGCCCGCCAGCAATACTGGCAGCGGCCGCTCCAGTGTCATTGGGAGCACCTCATCTTTAGGCGCAACAGCTGATATGCGACCTCAAATGACGCCATCCTTTTCTCGAGAACAGACTGGGAGCGGGACTGTGGCATTGCTGATGCGGTCTGCGCCGGGCGCTGCAGTCTTTTCGACTACGTCATCCATTAAAACTCGACCAGGTCGACGGCCGGCGGCGCTGAACAAACGCATCACAAAGCGAAAAACGTATGTTTAAGTCGCGTCTCTGCCGGATCTTCCTTCCCTCGCGCAACCCTCAAATCCGGCTGCTAACGCCCGTCCCTCCATCTCCCAGCTTCAGCCTCTCAAACGATTGCCCTTCGCTCTCACCTCGGCTACGCGGCGCCTCCCCCGATGTCTCCGACGACCAAGTCTACTGCTACTGCCAGCAAGGTTCCTTCGGCGAGATGATTGCGTGCGATAACCACGTAAGTCTGCGTTTGAAAGAATATCCGTAGCGAACCATCATCATCAGCATTATGCCTTCCCCCGACTGAAACTCCCTGAAGCACTGCGAATCGTGAAAATGGTGATGACGTTGGCTTAATTTCACACAATTACCCCCTCCTTACTTCATATATCCGACATCCCTTCCTCGACAACACACACCACACGAACGACCACCGTGCCTTCACCCATGTGCCCCATCCTGAACACCTTACGACAAACGCTTTCTATTGCACAACCATCATCTGCCACTCACCAACCCACAGGACTGCGAACACGAATGGTATCACCTCGAATGCGTCGGCCTATCCGCGCCACCCGCTGGCGGCTGGATGTGCCCGACATGTAGCCTGGCATACGAGAAAAGCAGCAGCAACCCACGCGCGGAAGGCCTTGCTTCACCCCCCAAGAAGAAGACGCGGGTTATCTGAGGGTGGATTGGGCGCATGTGTGAGCTCGCGTACGTTGATGGCTGGATATGGACGTTGGGGGCCTGGTTTTGGATGGGTTGCCGTGATGGACATCCGGAGAACTACAGTCATTTGGTCACGGGGAGAAAAGGACTAGGGCGGTGGTGTGGAACTACTTAATATTTTTTTTGCGTGTCTTTAGACATGGAGGCATTTTGTTATGAGAAAGTTCCTTGGATAGCCCTATGTACAAGCAATTTGTCTCATCTGCTCACAGTAAACGTTGTAGGAAAGATCCGTCGGTCTTGAGGCAGTCCGCGACTCTCAACGGGCGAACTCATCGGTGTAGCCGGCTGGCAGGGCCCGGGAAACCCAGGCATCCACAGTATCTTCCGTCGCAGCGCCGTTGACCACTATGGCTGGAAAGAGACGATGGGCTGGTCGGACGAGGAGATTGATGAGATGTGGGCGCATGTTAGCGATCAGGCTTGGAATGGGACGTTTGCAGAAGATGATGCGATTAGGAAGCAGGTTATGGGCGATGAGCCGCACTGGTATCTGGCGCCGCTGTTGACGTTGCCAAAGTATCAAGGGAGAGGGGTGGGGACGTTGTTGCTGAACTGGGCCATTGAGCAGGCGGATTCGACGGATCCTGTGACGCCTATGTACCTCGAATCTGCGCCTCAGGCCAGGCCGGTGTATATGCATCTTGGGTTTGTGCCTCAAGGACCAAAGAATATGCTGCGAAGGGGTCCGGCTATCGTCAAGGGTCTAGAAACGGAAGAGGAGATCAAGGAGAAGCCTAGTGCTGAAATTACCGCTTAGGCAAATTGCGCCTGATCTTGCGGGAGAAGCTTCGTGTCGTGGGAGTGTGTGGTTCATATAAAGGGATGATTACGTGATTGAAGTTAGCAGCAAGGGATAGAGGTAGAAATCTGGCATGGCGCCAGAGCACTGATACTTTAGGGACATCAGAGTTCGAATTGAGGACGTTTAATTCTCCGTCGTGTAATTGAAACGTAGCAGTGTGTGCAAAGAACGGATGTTGATACATCTGGTGTCAGCCCCAGCAAGGATCGTTGCAACGAGATGGCCAGTGTACATCAAGCCGTAAACAGTACCAGTTCCAGAAGACGGGTGCGCTTCTTCCGCAACTGTCACGTTTCGACGTCCTTCTTTCCTCAAAGCACTTCGATGAACAATGTAAGGGTGCAAGCTCCTCCGCGAAAAATCTCCTGATTTCGAGGTACTGTTCGCTCAGGCTCTCCTTCAGTCGAGTCAAAAATCCATGATGTCGTACAGGATAGGGTAGATACTCGCTGCTGAGATGAGCCAGACAGGATATATCATCATGGCGCGGCGGACCCTGCCAGCAAGACAGTGGACCTCACACCCGGTAAAGGTGGTGCTTTTGGAAACACTCTCTGCATTGGATCTGTCGAGTCGTGCTACGCAATCTCCGACCGCAATCCCATGCCCCTCTTCGACGCGACTGTAAAAAATTGAGCATACAAGCTCTGAACCAATCGGCGTGGTGCAGGCACTCGTAAGCATATGCTTCACGTCAAATACGTCGTAATCCAGAGCGAGATACTCGTCTTGAACATCGTAATCGACATTGATCCGCGTCTTGCTCCGAAACAACAGTATCTCGCGCTTCCCCAGCAATCGCAACGTCCGGCAAACTCTTAGCATTCCATCTATCGGAACTGTTCCAGCTCGTTCCTGCTCAGATCGCCAAGTGCCAAACGAAGCCGCGTTCCTATGTGACTGTGGTTGGCGACTGGCTCGTTGATTTGGCACTAGAGTGTTCTCTCGTTCTATTGTGTCGAGTTGCCTTGTGAGCTACGACTTGCTCGTTCCTTAACGGGCTTCGGTGTTGGGGATAGGGGTTTGGGTAGCGACTCGGATAAAAGAGTACCGGTGTCCACGGAGTTTCACTCTGGATATCCTTGAGGGTTAACGACATTTTTCAGGTTTCCAGCCGGGTCTTGGTTTGTTTCTCAGCACCGCCATGGAGGTGAAGGTGGCGGTCAGTGGACTCCGTCACTGCGAGGGCCCTGTAATTTATCGTCGTAATGGCTTGTTGTTATGCTTCGAAGGTGCTGCTCCGGTGCATGTACTAGCAACCCTTGTCCCATTTCCAGCGTATATGCTTGTGCAGATGCGTCTCTGTTCGAGTCGGACAATGGCAGCGACGATTGCGCTTTGAACGCTTCCAGGTGCCGACAAATCGTCCTGATCGGCATTCGGAACCAAGACATCGGTGTTCCAAAGGCGCTAATATCCTCATTTAGACGGACAAGAGTGTGGGCGCCATTGCAACCGTCGTGCCGGAGAGTAGGGAACGCGATCGGCACAACGATCTTCATCATCCCAGACGAGCCGCAATAGACGCCTCGCTTGATCCTTCACCGTCCGTGTCTTCAAAGGCCCCATCCGGTATGACTTTCCCAGGAGCCCACCACACAACATTTCCATCATATCCGCCAGTGAACACTTCGGAGTGAACGGGCGTGTTGCTGCCGTCACCAATATCCCCTTCCACATTTGGCTCCACACCGCCAGCCCTCGGCCTTCGAAACCCGACACAAGCAACTCTCGCGCTATGACCCTTCAACTGGAAAGCGAGGGCTCCAGTCCTCATTTCCATGACACACGTCATCCGATTGTCGGTTGGGTGAAACACCAACGGCGGGTCGCAGTCTCCAAGGGGTGTAATGGCCGGTGAGAGGTTCTGGTCGACCTGGTTTCGGATGTAGGGTCCGTAGTTGGTAAGCGTGTTACAACCCAGCAGAACGTCCCAGAGCCGCGGGGTCTCGTCATGCGATGTGGAGAGCAGGTTGAGGCCATCGGAGGTAAAGGTGAGGCCGTTCACGGGGCCGTTGTGAGATGTTGTCCCGCGTTGTCGGGCGAGGTCGGGGGCGGCGGGGTTGCGGTCAACGCCTATGTTGCCTGAGGGGGTCAGGATGTTGAATGAGTCGAGGGTTACGTGTTGATCGAGTGTCATGAGATGTGGGTGGGCTTTGCGAACGTCCCACAACCGGACTGTGTGATCGGATCTGTGATAATAATAAGCGAGAATCAGCTTAGAGGTTCTCTTGCAATAATGAACGACTTAAACTTTCAAACAAGCGACGCACCCTCCGGAGGCAACCAAAAACTCATCTCTCGGTGACCAGCGCACCGCCATGACTTTTCCACGATGCCCTTGCAGCGAGTGAGTGAAAGCGCCCGTACGCAGATCACACAGGCGCACGTTCTGGTCAGACGTGCCAGTGGCAATCAGATTGTGCGTCGTGCTAATCATCGACATGTCTGTCGCATAGACACGCTGTTCGATATCAAATGTGCAGACGCTTTGCATGGCGTTCGTATCCCATACTTTGACGGTGCTATCCATTGAGCCAGTAATGAAGAGACCCGTGTCCGTGGGATACCATTGCACGGAAGTGACCGCAAAGGTATGGGCACGCGTGCGCTCAAGCGTTGCAATGGGCCGGGATACTATAACGCCGTTGTTGGTTTGTAATGCAGGTATTTGTCCGTTCAATGTTCGCTCACTACGTGTATTCACCCGATTCCCACGTCCGCCGTCTCTTCCAGCGAGCCGATCATTTGGACTTGCTTCCAAATCGTACAGATGTACGGTGAAATCCGCGCTGCCTGTCAACAGAAAGCGGCTCTCCACATGATCCACCTGCAGCGCATTCACCGGCGCGCATCTTCTTCTCGCAGCCGATGCGCTCCCTCCTGCACCGCCCGCCTCGTCCCTCGCAATCGCTCTAGACTTATGCACATCGAGGTTCCAGAAAGCCGTTGAAGATAGGCGGAGCGGAAGCGTCAGTTGGGGAATAAATATGGATCGCGCTGAGGTTGTTGAGCGGGATTCGCGGGCGCGTAGGAGGGAGTGAAGCGAGCCAGTGGTAGACGGTGGCGGGTGGTGGTTCGAAAAGGACATAGGAGGACCGTAGGAGTGAGAGCGGTCGGACGGCGACGCATCCGGTGGAAAAAGCAACTATTTGTACCCTGAAGACCTGCAACTCATGGTCGACTCTCATGGGGGGCGTGTTCTGCAGTGGTCGAACAACGTGAATTCGACAGCGCGTAAACCATCTCCGCCCGGTCGTTCTAGCTCTGCTGTACATCTGCTCTCATATCCATCGATCTCTACCGAGTATCAGTCATCCACACCATCGTCATCACCGGCTGCGTCTTTGTAACAGCTCACAAGTAAGATAAACGCCGCCAAGACGTAGAAGCGCCTCTTGTGATTATCACAGATATCACAGGCTTTCAGGCATCTCCACCAGCCGGCCGAGACTATCGCCGCCAAAGAAAGCCCCCAGTCGCCCGCATAAAGTCAACATGAGCGATACGACTGCCAGTCCCACGGAGGATCCCACCTCCTTGCCCAGCGCCACGCCCACCGAGTCATGTCTGACCGAATACGACTATAATATGGCCGTCTCGTGGGAAAAATACGCATTTGGCGTAACGACCTACATTTCGACCCAATTCTGTACAATCCTGCTACACGTTTACATGCTGGCAATGCTTGCAGATCGCGTGCTGGCTGTGAAGGACAGGAAAACGAAACAAGTTTTTTTTGCGGCGGTCATTGCGAACGTCTGCAACGCCATACATGTCATCTTAGGTGAGGAAAAGGGTCTACGCTTGTTAAAACTGTTTCCTGCGTTACGAATAGTTTCCCTCTGTTTCTCCAGGGAACACCGTTAAGTTGTACTTCACGGTACCCGGGAGCATTTTATATTATGCAGTCCGAGCCCTGATATTCACATCGCAAGCGCAATTGGCAGTATACCTCAATTTCTGCCGGATCGAGCAAGCACTGAGACGGACTGCTCGCCCGAGGCTCGTCCAGATATTTACATGTGCAGTGTTCCTCCAATTCCCCATCACCTTGGCGAACGGTATGTATGCGTGCTTACACCCTACCCTGGCAAGAAACTCATACACACTCCCACTTTTAGAGATCATCCCGGGGGCGAAATACTTCAACTCTCTAGTCGACGAGAATGCCGTTTACAATATGACAATGGTCAACGTCGAGTGGGGTGAGTTCGGACCTAGTTCGCACGTATACAAGCGTGCATGACTCATACGTATTTTTGCCGACTGCGAACAGTCTATGGATTTCTCCTGGATGTGGCGATCGGCGCATACACAGCTAAAGCGTGAGTTCCCAAGACGTGGTAAACCACGGTGATTGATCGGTTCATTCCACTAACAGTTCATACCCACATGGTTCAACTGCAGGCTCTACGAAACCGCAGCACACAGCAACGCAAAAGATCACCTTCATTTCATTATTGGACATATGTTGCGAATGGCGCTTTTCCTCCTCTACGATGTCCTCGCAGCCACCGCAAACAACTACCCGGGGAACGACGATTTATCGCTCATGGCTACGGTGCTCTGGGCTCTGAAAGCCCTGTATTTGAAACCATACCTGCTGATAACGGATATGGCCCGCGTACGGGCCATCGGTGAGGCCATGAGCGATCCTGGGCAAAACGACAACACCTATGCAGGAAGTACAAGTACAAAGAACACTTCTCAGCGGAAAAGCAAGAACGGCGCGCAGAAGAACATGGAGGCTGCGGGTGATGCAGAAATTGAAAGGAGCTCATGGGCAAATCCCGCCGACGAGGACATCCATATATAATTCAGCTATAAGCGGTCTGACAGCTTTCATAAAACCATAGGCAGAGTAATCTAGCGCACCAAACTCAACTTATGGGAATCGCTAAACACAGTTTGGTTTCCGCCTCATCCGCCTCAACCAAACAAGTTGCAGCCTCAAAATGAGGGTATGAGACATGCCAGCGATCTCTGCGAGTCGATGTCACAATGAATGGATACTCATGATATCAGCGCTATGCACGCTAGAAGAAAGATTGCAATCCCGACCCGATGCTGCAAGACGTGGGTATACACGGGTCCGGACATGAGTTTTTTCAGACAAGTGAAATAGCGCTATCCCTCAGATTATCCCGCGCAGATATGAAATCCTTGATCTTGTCAACGTTATCTGGGTGGATAGCAAAAGCTACACGACCGGGCGAGCGAACCGAGAGGGACCGTGGTCGTTTCAGAGGGATGTGTTCGCCATCGATGAAAATGTAGGTTTCGCTCAATAGCTACACGATGAGAGAGGGTCAGTAACATCGCTCTACCATCATCCTCATCCTAGCCTGATCGAGCAGATGTCCGATTCAAACCTTCTTGCTCGTATCAAACTCGACGTTGATCGGCAGCTTCACCTGCCCAAGGGCGTCGACATCACTGCTGACTCCCAAAGCGGCGTGCAAGTTATTCAACAAGTACCGATGCTTGCAAGGGTAAACGAACACCTCGCACTGCCCATCGTCAACTTTCTGCGGGCACAGGTTATCGTTCTCCTTGTTCTCGTCAATGTCCTCGCTGGAGTTCGAGTTCCAGAGGGAATGGTCTTTGTTGGCCGCCGCGGGGATGTTCTGGATGTTGAGCTGCACGCAGGGGTGGGAGGCGATTATGTGTGGTCGCCAGCCGGGGGATGGAGACTGAATCGACTTGATGACTCGTTCGATGTGTGGGTGAGGAACAATGAGTTGCTGTTGAGGTGGGAATGGAAGATGAGGTGGTGTTCCCTCTACATCAGTGATCAGGTCGATGTGCCGACATACCCGGATGACGTTCATACTCGAGACGAACATATTACATAGCCGATTGCTCGTCCTATGCTTCTCAACAAACCTCGCCAACCGCGCTTCAAAGCCAATGCAGGCCTGCAGCATCATGAACCGTTTCTCCTCAACATCATCCTGCTCCTCCCCACTACTTCGGGACTTGTCATGATCCTTCTTTTGGGATCCTTTCTCTTTTCTTCCTTTGTCGCTGAACTCCGGATCCCGCGCGCCAACGACCGTGACCTCCATCACATCTACCATCGCTACCGGCGCGCTCGCCAGTCTCCCAATAAGCCCTGCCAGATCATCCGCGAAAGTTTTGTCCATTGTCGTTCCCCAGCCTAAGAAGCGGGACAAGATGTTCGCCGTTCCGAAAGGAAGAACGCCGAAGACGACTTGAGAGTTGTTGAAGACGGGGACGGATCGGGCGTGCAGAGCGGCTACTACGGCCGGGATCGTACCATCCCCTCCGCAACTCAGCACAATACACTTCGGCCTTCCCTGCTGCTCACTCCCATGCCGAGGCTCTTGCGCAACCTCGACCACTTGCTGCACGTGGCTGACCCCTTTAACAAATCGCTCCTTGTCCCTCAGATCATAGCACCAGAGTTGAAGGTCATCTGATAGCTCGACCGGGTTTTGCAGACGTGAGAACGACTCCGCACGCTGAGAGCCTGAACTGGTGTTGTAAAATGCAATCACGGGTATCTTTCCAGATCTAGCGACGGTTGTGCTGGCGTCGGAGTGATGGTCTCCCATTTCGCAGGTTTCCAGACTGAATTGGAGTGAGCTGGAGAAGAGGTTTTAAGGATCTGGTGCAAGCGAATGCAATACATATGTAGGCCCAGGACTTGTGGAGAGCTATGGGTCAGCAATGCCCTCCAAACATTTTGGTATGCGGGCCTCAGCGTGTTTTTACGCGAAACCTTAAAACTAAACGACTGAACTCGGATGACGTATTTAGATACACAAAATTGTGGGATATTCAAACATGACAGTTTGCGGGAAGAAAGGCAGCGTAGCTAGGTAAAGATCCACTCCCTTTTCACTGACTCGCAGCCAGCTTGCCGTGGGGTGGGTATCGAGACATGTTCGCGCAACGAGAGGGGTGGCGGGGAGAGTTTACCGGTTGCCCATGCGTAACCGTCGATCGTGGCCCCTAACCGGGAACTTCCACACTTTACGTTTGGAAGTGTCCTTATCCATATTCAACAGGTTGCACGCTCATTGAGCTAATGGCTTGAGACCCCTGGCGGCACGCTTGGTCTCCCAGTCCTTCACGGCCGACTTGATCGCATCTTCAGCAAGCACTGAGGGAAAAAGCGCACGTCAGTAAAGCCTCACCCAATCATCAATCCAAGGACGACCAAAACTCACTTGAGCAATGCAGCTTGACGGGTGGCAGCGACAACTCCCTCGCGATCTCAGTATTCTTGATCTTTGCCGCATCCCACACCTTCAGACCCTTAATCTTCTCCGTCGCAAGCGAACTGCTCGCAATCGCAGACCCGCATCCAAAAGTCTTGAATTTCACCTCCCTAATCTCTCCCGTCGCCTCATCCACCAAAATCTGAAGCTTCATTACATCTCCACATGCAGGTGCTCCAACAAGCCCTGTTCCGACATTTGGGTTGCCCTTGGGGAGGGATCCGACGTTGCGGGGACGTTCGTAGTGCTCGATTACTTTTTCGTGGTATGAGCGGCGAAAGGGTTGTTGTGGTGTTGCGAGGGCGAGACGAGGTGCGGCGGATGGAAGACGAGCAGTCGTGCGGAGAAGTGCGGATGATATGCGTGCGGACAACATGGTGAAGTTATGTACTGGTCGAAGTGAGTCTCTTCGAGAATGGGTCTATTTGAAGCGAGGCGGAGAAACCAGAAAGTACGTAGATCGCTCGCTATGTAGCGGGAGTGATTATCGATTGAGGCGAAGTGGGTGAGCTTGTAGAATAAAGAACGAGTTCAACGCTGATCTTTTTCGGTGGACAGTGCGGTAAGTTGCTTTGAGGACGATGGAATGTTGAGAGAGCGCTTGAAGGGCGGTTGTTCTCTTCTGCGTCCCAGCCACACAAGAAGAGACGGATTTTTGGATCAACCGGAGGGAATGGGCGAGTGACGAGCGCTGGCTGTGGAAGATGATGATGCTTGAACTTCCTCTTGATGATTTGGAATCGCCCCGTGCTCTCTGATTGGCCGACACTTCCGGTACCCGCATGTCGGCTTCCCTCAATGTCCCGGAACTTGGTGCTGTCGATCGCTGTCAGCGCAGAAACTGTCAAAGCGCCCAATGGCAACCTGTGCAGCAGCCAAACTGAATCTCAAACATGCAAAGCACCAGTCTAATTTGATATGCAGAAACCAATATAGTAAGAGGAAACCCATACGGCGTGCCTCGATATACAAATGAGAAGAAGACAGGTGAACGAAAAACAGAGGATGAAAATGGTATCGCCGAACCACAGTCCGGCGAAGAAGGGCAATTACAAAAACGCCATTCTACAGTGGATTTCTCTATTCGGCGGCAAGATGCAGCTTGGTGACCTTTCCAATCGCAATCGTTTTGCCCTCGTCACGCAGCGTAAACCGTCCCAATTGCGCGTGCTCAGCATATGTCTCCAAGCACACGGCTTGAGTGGTCTCCACCCGCACGATGGCGACATCGCCCTGCTTCAGGAACTGCGGTGGCCGCTTCGTCTTCTTTCCGGTCTTCTTGTCGACGGAGTGGAGGAGGGCGGAGAGAGTGACTTCTTCGACAGCGGTGTGGGCGTGCATGACGGCGGTGTAACCCGCGCACATGATGTTCTTGTATTCGATGATGGCCAGTTGAGCGTCGAAGCTGACGACGGCGTGGACGGGGTTCTTGGGTGAGCAGAGGACGAATCCTTGCAAGATGTCCTGAAAGGGAGACGGGAGTGGTAAGTACGTGTCAAACACAAAAAATAGGAAACCTATGACGACGCCGTCAAATTCGTCCCCTTTTCATACCTCCTCTTCGATCCCACGCAATCGCAAGCGGACATTATCACCACTCCTGGCAACATTCAGTTCCTGATCTTCGGCCATGATAGCAGAGATCTCGCACTTTTGCTTGTTGGGCATGAGAACGACCTTCTGACCCTTGCGCACGCGTCCAGATTCGATCTTGCCCGTGACTACGGTTCCCATGTCCTTGAACTTGTCGGCCACTGGCATCATGAAGGGCTTGTTGTAACCACGGTCGGGGATGACCATCTCGTCCAGCAGCTCGACGAGGGAAGGTCCTCTGTAAAACACAGAATCCGTCAGCATGGGGTTTCACGTCTTAAACTAGTTATGCTACGTACGAGTAGAAAGAGCAAGTCTTGGGGTCCACACGATCCTTCAAATTGGCACCAGTGAAACCAGACACAGGCATCATATCCAAATCTAAGGATTTCTGTCAGCACGAGTACCAAAGGAACATTGACAACCTCCGAAATGTAAACCTACCAGTCTTAGGGTTGAATCCGACCTGCTTCAAGAAAGGTAGGATCTTCCCTGTGATCTCATCGTAACGTTCCTGAGACCAAGCGACAGTTGGGTCGTCCATTTTGTTCACCACTACGATCAGCCTCTTCACACCAGCCGTCTTGGCCAACATGGCGTGTTCACGGGTTTGACCTCCACGGTCGAATCCAGTCTCGAACTCTCCCTTACGGGCCGACAGGACAAGCACGCCCACATCTGCTTGCGAAGCACCACCAATCATACTCGGCACAAAGTTCTTGTGTCCGGGAGCGTCGAGGATGGTGAACCGCCTCTTCTCCGTCTCGAAGAACCCACGACCGTATTCGGTGGTCTTTCCCTTGTTACGTTCTTCTTGGTTCAAGTCCAGCGCCCACGACAGGTACCAGGACTCTCGTCCAAGCTCCTTTGCTTCCTTCTCGTACTTCTCCATAGTACGCTTGTCCACCATTCCCGTCAAGAATCTACATGACGGCGAGACGTCAGAGCTGCGATCGACGGGATTTCCGTACTTCACTTGTTGAGATACTTACAGCAGATGTCCACCCATGGTCGACTTCCCGGCATCGACGTGTCCAATGAAAACGATGTTGAGGTGCTCTTTGCCTTCATCTTCGACAATCTCCTCTTCCGGCTCGTCCTCCGGCTCTTCTTCCACCGGAGCCTCAGGCTGAGGCTCAGGTTGAGGTTCAGGTTGCGCCTCCGTCGCTGCCTCTTCGGCGATGGGTTCCTGCTCTTCCGACTGTTCAGCAGATTCAGCTTCCTTGTTGTTGAAAGGCGCTTCCTCAGGTTGTTCCTCCGCTGGCGCCGGAGTGACCTCAGCTTTAGGCTTCTCCACTACTGCATCTGCCGGTGCATCAGCTGTGAAATCTCAAGTCAGCTATCGGAAAGCTATCAAAGGAAAGTTATCTTTGCGTACCTTTAGGCTTAGGCGTGCCACCAATGGAGATGGAGACGGCCTTGGCAGGGGCCTTTGCGGGCGCTGGTGCAGCCGGGGCATCTGCATCAGATTATCAGTCACTTGGATCATAAGAACCATCAGTGAACCGCCTGAAGCACGTACCCTGAGTCTTGGACGGCCCGCCGATGGAAATGGACACCACTTTAGCCGGTGCAGGTGCAGCGTCTGTAATAGCATTCAATATGATAAGAAAGACTTCTTCGCACTCATATAGCCAAGTATCCTCCCGTTCGTACCCTTAGGCTTTCCCCCAATGGAGATGGAAACCGCCTTAGCGCCTGGTGCACGAGTTCCAGCAGCAGATGCCGGTTGGGATCGTTGAACCGGTGCCTGATAAGCTTGGTAGGCTTGCTGTTGTGGTTGCTGCTGCTGCTGTTGATTGTAGTTGTTGGTTTGACGCTGCTGTTGGTTGTAGCCTCCTCGCTGGTAGCCCGCCTGCTGGTTGCTGTACCCTCCTTGCCGTTGGTTTTGGTAACCCTGATCATACCCACTGTAGCCTTGCTGCTGTTGCTGGTATCCTCCGCCGTAGCCTCCCTGCTGATAGCCCTGTTGATAACCCTGCTGGTTGTACCCTTGCTGGTAACCACCGGCATATTGCTGATTGTAACCCTGCTGGTAGCCCCCGTAGCCCTGTTGTTGCTGGCCATATGCGTCCTGGCCACCCCATGAAGGGACAAACTCTGCAGCGCCGGTGTTGTACTTCTTGCCACCACCAAAGGACTGAGATGGACCTCCACCCCCACCCGTGGCGCCGTTGTTGTTGTTGGATCGTCCACCGACGTTCATTCTGTCGAATTGTTGTGGCAGGTTGCCGTCTTGTTGCTGACCGTCTGACATGCCTGCGAGTGAGTAGTGATAGGCGAGTGTTGATGAAAAGTCGTTGCTTCTTCACACGGGGGCGACGACTGACGCTGCTCTTGATACAGTATATATACGGACTTCCCGTTGTCCCGTTGCGATTCTGCTGTTGTGATCTCGGGTCAGAATTACAACCTTTCTGGTTGATGAGGTTTCCAGCGTCATGAAGAACGTGGCTTGAGGTGGCTTGTGCAACGGTGACTGCGCCATGTTCCCTTGTCCACACAGCTGTTTACCAGTGTGCAGTTGTTCTTTTTGGAGGCCAAAATTCCGTCGCTGTCAACCTCCTCTCCGAGCTTGCCCCCTGCTTTCACACTTCACGCCTGCTGGACAGCTGAAACGAATAGATAACCATTGGTTCGCAAAACGTCAAGAGCTTCCTGAGCCAGCACCATGGCGTCCACCGCAGCACCGCCGGCCGGTCAAGTCCCCATCTCTGCTCCAGCCCAGATAAAAGCAAAAGATCAACATGCGAAACGCGACACGCCAAAACCATCCGTACTGGTCCACTTTGCCGCCGGAGGGTAAGTAATTTGACACTCGGAGTCGCTTCCCTTGTTGATATGGTCTCGTTCCGATCGGTGACTGGGGCACTGACGCTCACACCTTCATACTAGGTTTGGAGGGACTGGTACGATGTTTCCCTTGAGGTGGCACAGGTCGAACACACACTAACGCTGTCACAGTCGGAGCAGCGATAACATGTCCTTTAGAGGTCGTAAAGACGCGGCTGCAGTCGTCACTTTACCGTGATACGGAGAAGGTCGTCAGTTTGAAGAACCCTATTCGAGCGACATGGATACATATGCGCGAAGTAGTTGGGCTCTTAGGGTACGATTACGGATACTGTTTGTTACTTTCCACGCGGCAGCTGGTCACTGAAGCTGGGCATATCCCTTTCTAGGCAAATCAGGAAGCAGGAAGGGATTCGGGCGCTATGGAAGGGTCTGGGGCCCAATCTCGTTGGAGTGGTGCCAGCGAGGTATGAAATGGGGCATCCTCGAGAGATATGAGGAGAAATCTGCGATGCTTAACGTCGTGCGGTCTGGCAGAGCGATCTACTTTGCAACGTATAGCCAAGGGAAGCACTTTTATACGCAAATGAACAAAGGACGGGAAACGCCGGTGGTGCACATGCTTTCCGCCGCCACCGCAGGAATAGCGACAGGTTCAGTCACGAACCCCATTTGGTTGATCAAGACGAGGATGGTGGGTTGTCTGATATGGTAGCATTCAAACGGAGGCGTGCGGTGATCTGACATGTATTGTTTCTGTCACAGCAACTACAATCGGAGAGGAAAGATCTGGCCGCTCATCAACGCTACAGAAACAGCTTCCATTGTCTGACGACTGTGGTTAGGGAGGAAGGAGTGAGGGCTCTATACCGGGGTCTTTCAGCCAGTTTCTTAGGTTCGTGTCGACGGTCGACGCGACAGGTTCCTGGTGGTCGCCCCATATTGACGGTTTGCCGTCTTGCAGGAATTGGAGAGTCGACGCTACAATTCGTAACCTACGAATACCTCAAAAAGACCTGGGTCGAAGATCGCAAAGCGCGTCGGTTAGCATTATTGTCCCCGGAGGAGCGCAAAGAGGCGTCGCTGAGCAACTCTCCGGCTGACTGGTTGGACACGTTCGCCGCCGCGGGAGTCGCCAAGTTTGGAGCTGCCATTGTGACATATCCGCACGAGGTGCGTCAGTCCTTGCGTTCCATTCGGTCTGGAGTGGCGGTTCATTGACACTATCACTTTTTCCACGACATTTTTTAGGTCCTGCGAACGCGACTCCGACAAACGCCCGAGAACGGGATCGTGAAGTACACAGGACTAGTGCAGTCTGCGAAGCTGATTTACAAAGAGGAAGGCATGGCGGCGCTCTACGGAGGCATGACGGCCCACCTGATGCGAGTGGTGCCCAACGCCGCCATCATGTTCTTCTGCTATGAGCTGGCGGTCGCCGCTGTTACGAAACCTGTTACGCCATAGAGAAACGGTGGAGCGATTTCCTAAGGAGTATCGACGACGCGGGCTCAGCTAGGGAAGGCCGGGACGAATGTGGAGGCGAAGGATGTTCGACGAGAGTGCATAGCGGATCAGCGACTGACGCTCCGCCGGACCCCACCCTTTGGAATGCGAAACCATCATGGGCGACGTGAGCGGGATGGACAACAACGCCCAGCGGCGCAGTGCAGGATACTTGACGACGAATTAGCTCCCAGTGTCTGAAAGACATGAAACATGGCGCGCACACAATATCTCGTTTACTATAGAGTTGCTTTTCCATAGCTTTTTGGAACATCATTCTCTTCGTCCTTTTCAGGACGACCTTTTCAGTGTTCGGCACTATATATATAGTCCCATCGTATGATAGGTTCTGCTAGCCTTGAGTGGTCGTTAATTGCCATGCGTGGACCCGGTCTCCCTTGGAGTACGCCGCCAACAAATGCTCATAGGCGCGTAGCATAAGCTGCTAGGATATGTGATTAGATGAGTGTACTATGAATCTGATTGTCTTTGCTGGCAAATGTCTTTGACGTGACAGGTACAGTATGTGTACATCCAAATCGCAATTCTATTATTAGATGTAGGCCCTGCATGCCTCTAAGCCTTGGCTGGGGTGCTGGCTACAGGTGCAGGGGTAGCTGCACTCTTGACGGCAGCAGCCTTCTCCTCTTCCAGCAACTTTTTGTAGGTCGCCAGAGCTTCCTTAACAGGATTGATGATGGGTTCCATATTTGGCAGTACCTTGGCTGCAAGTTCGTAGAGCGGGACGAGGACGAACCCGATGAATCCGACCTGTGCTGAAGCCTATGAATGCGGGTTTGAGTAAGGAACGACGACACCGAGAAGGCGTGAAAGATGCACCCTGCAAACGACGGTTGACTCACCTTCGTGACCTTCTCGCGATCCATGAAAGGAGCAAATGGCAGCCCCTCCTTTTTCTCTCTATCAGCCTGCTCAAAGAACTCCTCCAGCAAGCAGTCCACCCACGGGTCAGCCACCTCCGGCGGGCGGACCTCATTGCTCACATCCGCACACTTCGTGATGACTTGCAGTAGTAAGCTTTTTTGCTCGGGATCATCATAGCTGAACCCCTCGTCGGCATGTTTCTTGAACGCCGCCAAGATGGGTCCGTGTTGCGCCATGTCCGTTGCGAGGATGCAGCGGATGATATTTTTGCGGACATCCTTGAGCAGCGCTGGTGGGAGGGTCGAGAGGATGTTCGTGGCGGGGTCTTTCAGGATGGTGAAGAGGACCGCAGCGTGGTGCATCTCGAGCGGGGACTGGTCGTTGTAGATGATGGCGAGATCTGTATGGGCATTGATCTACACTCAAGTAGTCAGTATGTGGACGCTGCGAACATCGTGTCCATTAGACACCTACCTGATAAGCGTTGTTATACCCGGGATGGTCTAGATCATGCCCAATGCAAGCCGTCAGAAGGACGAGCTTATCCACGGGTTGTAGCTTCTCTACCACGCCGGTCGTGTAGAGGATGGCATACGCCATATGCGCCACGCAGAAACAGTGCCGGAAGTTGTGAAAGTACTACAATTCCGCGGCATGTTAGTCGCGCAGCGAACCATGAGGTTGCGCCAACTCCTTGACAAACTCACATTTGACTGATAGCCATCTCTGACACTCCGCAAGAACCGCTTGAGGATCGGAACCTCCATGTTGAACTCCTTCACGAGACCCAGATCGAAGAACATGAACTCCAGAAGGGCCATCATCTCGTTATCCTCCCAATCCCTATCCAAGTCGTTCAGTTCCCATTTTGGGGATCGCTGACGATTAGACTTTGTGCAAACAATAATGGTCATAGAACGCACCATGGATCAAACGTCGGCGTCTTCAGCATCTTCTTTGTGTCTTCGGTGAATTGATAGAGTGGCTCGCTCTCACAGCGCGGATCAATTCTGGTCACTCGCTTCACGGCACGTCTCGGAGTCCTGTTGTTTGTCAGGGCATTCTTTTGCAGTAGCGATACCGAGTCGAGTTGCGCGCGCAGGGCTGCAATAGTCTCGTGAATGGCCTTCAAATCGGTGGGCGATGGAGCAACGGACAAGGATGTGGAAGGGTCTTCTGCTGTGTGGGAAACATACGTTTAGTCAGTAGCATAAAGTACCATCCACCGATGCAGCTAGGCGATGGATTCATATTCTCACACACAGAGGAAAGTCTTATTTTGCCACCAGTGCAAACCATGAATCAAACCTACCCGTCATAACGATGACTTCCACCGACAGCTTTCCACCCTCCGACGCATCCCTCATCCATTTCGCTCCGACCGGCAAAATGGTTCCGTCAGCGCCTCTCACTTTCAGCACGGCCCCCTTCGCCTGAGCCGGCGAGACATCTGCTGCCGCCAACAGTACCGCCCGGACCTCATCTGGAGACGCGGATGGTGTAATGACCACCGCCTGTTCCGACTCTTGGGTGGGCGAAGCTGGTGACGTGGACGCGTGGGAAACTTTGATCCGCAGGTGCACGACGCGTTCGTCGTGCTGTGAGGACATGATAGGGGTGATTTTCGATGTTCTTTTAGATCCTGTGCTCTGAGGTTTGCGAAATTTGCGAAATACGAGCCCGTTGAGATTATGTTGGATGCGAGAAAGGATGCGAGAAACGATGAAGCGAGATGAAGCAGTGGTTTGGCCGTCGGCCATCAAAACGTGCAGGAGACGCCGACTCCTCGGCGTGCTCCGATATGAGATGGAAGTAAGCGAGATGGCACGTGGATACGTCGTCGTCAATGCCCACCGCTTTTGTTCGGTTGACAATAGAAAAAACTACTGAAGGGGTGATGAAAAACACTGAAAGCGTGGGATGCAGAATGGAACTTAAAAACAGTACTCCGATGGCTGAGTTCGAGAACCGCCCCCTTCAGCCCTCCTGTTGCCTACCTCCGCGCTTCGGAGGTCCCTCATTGTACTCACCACCGCATCGTCCCCTTGACACAGAAGACTTATGTCGTACAAGGTGTTGGCGGTCCACCTCCGACAGGGAATTAAGGGAATTGCTGAAAGGATACCCTTTTTTGACGACACCCACTTGCTGACGTCCGCAGCAAAAATCAGCTACAGACAGTAACAGCTTGCGAGCGTCGCAAGTCGTTTTGCAATTGCGAAGCTTTTTCAAAAGCAAGGGATCTGCAACTTGCCATCACTCGCTTGAGGCTGACTGCATTGGGGCGGCCTCGCAGTGGTTTGACTGCATTGAAAACTCCTCTCTCGGAGGTAAACACACGTCCAATTGGCAAGTCCTTCCAGAGACCTCGAGTATTGGGTGATGTCGGTTGTTGTGACCAACATTTGCCGATATAGACACCTCTACAGGTAAGAGATGGTTCTCCCAGTGTGGCGCTTGCAGCCCATATGACTTTCCAAGGCAGCCGTTCACTTTCAGGGAAAGCAACTGCAAGCATCTCGACACTTGGCATCGCTCAGCCTACCACCCAACCATGGAAGCCCTTATGGAGTACTCCGGCTCGGAGGGAGAAGGAGAGGACAACAGGCGGGAGCACCAGGATGGGAGCACTGGGACTATGCAGGAGAATGATGGGGAGAGCAACAACCCTTAGTTACTGTAGGCTCTCACTGTCATATTTAGTTTCACAATCTCTGTTAACCCCGCCAAGGCCATATCCTTGTGGAGAGTAGTACGCTGCAGTGGGAACATAATTGTATGCGGGTGTAACTTGTCTGCAATTGCAAAAGAGGTCTCGGGTGCTAATAAGAGGTGTCGTTTTAGCTGTTCAAAGCTGGCTACACCCTTGGCGTTTTGGCATTTCCAAAATTAGCAAAAGTGTTTTCTTTTTCCAGGTCTCTTGCGTCCGAGCAATGGTGGTTTAGTGGTATACCCTTCCACCGCTGCTCCGCCTTCGTGAAGCTGAACCACCCCGCTCCTGGTTTGTCTGTCTATGTATAGTGTTCGGGTCGGTCATTGACCCCTCACCACCAACAGCCAGCATCTTACCCAACACATTTCTGCTGCCCCCAGGAAGTGATGTTTTCCGAAAACTGCTTCTACAAGTGCAAAGCCGTTTTCCCGGCCATCGTTAATCAGGACTCCCCCAAGTCCTCAACTTCGGACCTGTCATCCGCCGACCCTGACAACCTTCCCCTTGGCGAACCTCTCCCCGTGACGACCGATACCTCATTCTGGTTTGCCTCAAACACCCCGGCCGAACCTTGTGGCTGCTTCGTTGCTAAATATGATCCGGCCACGTCAGAGGCCATTGTCTTCTTGGCAACCAGTCGTCCGCAACAACCACACCGCGGTCTACCAGGGTGTGGAAGAAGACCACATAGCAGGCCACCTCACCACGATTCCTCGCTATGCCCCTCCAGGCGGTTTCTATCTGAACTATACAACACCTATTTCTGTGTATCTGTATCACTTGCCTGCCAGTCGGTCGCTTAATCAATTTAAGCACGCACGAGATTACCCACATCCACCACCCACGACGCAGGGTGGTGTCAAAAGCAAGGAAATTGAAACCGGATGTGAGAACTGTGAGCACGCCCGGCGTAGCCCCCAACTCAGAACTGTACAACACGCCAAACTCGCAACCGCGCGTTGTCACTAGTGCGGGGTCACGTGACGTGAGATTCAGCAGCATCTTCGGATGTCGAGGACCTTTTGAAATGTTTGTCACCACCCTGCCCACGACGATACCGGCAGTTGGATACTGCGTCGAGACGCACATTTTGGGAGGCACACCGCCGTTATCACGCAGAAACGTTGAGGCGACAACGAATGGCTGACAGGGAAAGCGACTCAGAAGGAGGGCCTGGGAGTGATGGGGGAGATCAGAACGGGAATCAGTTGGGCAACAATTCTTCGGCAGGCCTTCAACCTACGGGACAGACCGGTGTAGCAATGGTCGCCCCTCAGTCATCGAACCAGCATGCGAACAACCCGCCGACGGCGCGGCACGGCAGGAGGGGGATCGACTATCCGATGAGTACCGAGCGCCACGACGATCCCGAGTGGGACGACGACCGAGTAGTTGAACCGTACCACCCCGTTGTTGATGTCTCGATGTGCATACCTGGAATTCATGTGCCGTCATCTTCGGAATCACATGATTCGCCTGAATGGGACGACGAAGATATACCATTCAACTGGGACGCCCTGAATCGCTTTGTCAAGACGGCAGTGGACGAAGAAGAATCCGAGGCACGTCGCCGGAGCAGCGTTATTCGCGAAGCCATTACAGTATGTAGCACGGCAGGGATAGGGAGGAGGGATGCAGTTGCGTTGTAGCGGTCGGCTTCGGAGGAGCAGCGGCTTGACCTCGACTCGCTGGTGGCAGATTTGAGGGCTTGGGGAGTGAATTGGCTTGAAGGCTTCCTTGCCTCTGAGCCAAAGCAACAGCAATGTTGTGAATCTTGTGGGCAGCCGGGTGCCAGGTTGAGGGGGAGGGCGGGGTGCGGGTCGAACGGGGGGGCGGGGGGCGGGCGGAGGGGCGATGGGTGAGGCGGCGAGCGGTGGCGGTGCTACCTTATCTTGTAGCGGGCTTCTTGGCAGCCGGCGCTGCAGGTGCGGGCCTATCTTTATAATTACTTTATTACCCTAACGGCAAACGTCGCAAGCATTAGGGTAATAAAGTAATTATGAAGATAGGCCCCGCGCGTAATTCACACCCACGCAAAACTCACCAACCCGCGCCAACTCACTAATAACCCCAATGGAGACATGGCCCCTGCTACCGCCGTGCCAGTAACTTCTTGAACCCCGATGAAAGTACGGCTCCCCCCCCGCCCCCCCCCCCCCCCCCCCCCCCCCCCGAGGTTGGCGATGACAGGTGCTGCTATCCCCGCCAAACTTGCGAGAGGTGCCCTTGTCGGGGCGAATCCAGCATTGGGGGGTTCCTTCTCGCCCTTGGGGAGCTCCTTCTTAGATTCTGCAGTGGCCTGCTCGGCTTCGACTTCACGGGCCTCCACAACAGGCGCAGCGGTCTTTTTCTCGTCAACGACGTCGATGACGGGCGTAGCATTCCGTTGGTGCGGGACTTCAGCGGAATTGGCAGGGCTATCAGAATCAGCAAAAATATCTGAGAAAAGTTCCGAACTGGCTGGGTTATGGCAGGTTTTGTAAGGTCCTTCCAGATTTTGGGAGGAGTGCAGTCGTACACCGCACAACGTCTGTACACTCATGAGGCGTTACGCTCTCGGAAACTAGAGTACAAGGAACAAATAATTATAATTGCTCAAGGTGATCTGGCTTGGATCAGACATGGTACGGGTGTACGGACCTTATACCTGCGCCTCTACGTTCACAATGCCTTATGGCCAGTCGATATGAACGGGCACGGTTTGTCGGCGGTAACGACGTATGACATGCCACCCCATCGGGCTGTGCCGTAGACCGATTTTAGGCCGTTCGCCTTCCTTCTCCTTTCTCGCCCAAAGACTTGCTTTCCATGTGCGCCTTGTTCTCCCGCGTCGGAGTTGGCAAAAAGGAAATTGGAAAAAGAGCTGATGTATCGAACATCAACTTTTGAGCATGGATGCGAGGTCCCCATGCACCATAATCGATTGGGAAATTTTGCAAATGATTCCTATCTAACCTACACTAGTCATGTCCAGCAATCTTGCCCAAAAAGTAAAAAGAACTGTTCGCCAAGAACTACGCAAACAAAGTATAAGGCGGCGGAGCCTCTCCCTCCTGTACATCCCACTCGTCATCGGCGGCCTGCATGCTAGCATCATTAGCGCCAAACGCTTCTTGTCCATCCTGCTCCCTGCATTCAGCAGCAGGTGCCAACAGTGAACCTCGACCCACTTCGTGGTTCTCATTTTCCGCCGGGGCAGTGGGTGTGAAAGCGAGCGAAATCACAGACGGGGCCGCGTGCCTCGGCTGGGAAAAGCTGGACGACAGGGATGGGGACTGCACCGGTGATGATGAGAAGTATGAAGATAGTTCATCGTCTGCTGGGGGCGACGACTGTTGCGAGTATGGTGTGGACGGCGTTGACGGCGTAAAGTTCGACGAGTTGGTGTGACGTGGGACGATGGCTGGCGGCGGAGGGTACATAGGGCGACCCCCTCTGATTTTCGTGAGGGTTGCAGCTGCTATTGTTGACGATGGGGGTGCATGTAATGGTCGAGTAACAGCAGGCTGCGTGGTGCTAGTCGCACTAGAAGCCTCTAGAGGTATCGGAGGCAAGGATCTAGCTTGGTGTGGAACGCGGGGCATTATTATTGGGGGCATAGCTGTTCCCAGACTTGTTGGAGACAAGTTGGCGGTCGACGCGATGGCAGATTCACTGACCGATCGCATGAAGGGCGCCGGTGGGGCGCTTGGGTTTGGTTTCTGCATCACAAACAGTGGTGGAGTAGAAGGTGAGGGTTGCGGTTGCGGCGGCATCGGCGGACGATTTGGGAGCACAGGAGGCGCAGGGACAGGTCGGGGTGCGGGAGGCGGGGCATGTGGTGGAGGATTGTACAATCGTTCCTGAGGGAGCGAACTCGGCTCGTCGTCGATAAACGGAACATTTCCGATCGTAATCGGGAAGCTGAACTGCAGCACCTTTTTCGACCCACTGAGGGCCCCATCCAGAATGGATGCGTCGCTATCACTTCCTTTTTTTGTGGCCACCAGGTGCGTTGCGTCCGTCGTCAGATTTTTGCTTGATGCTTTCTCCTCCTTGGCACCACCACTGCCTCCAATTTGAAGCTCAACAAGAAGCTGATACGAGACGTCGACGGAGTTGTCTGCAGTCGGGTCGGTGCTCCAAGGAAAGAAATCTGAATGATGCAGAACCGGATTGACAGGCGGAGGGAGCGGTTTCCGCGGTTTTTCATGCGGAGGGCAACTCAGCGGATCTAGGTGATAATACGCTTTCATATCCACATTCACGGCCCCAGGTTTGATGTCAAGTTGCAGCGCAGCCTCCCCAATAGTTGCAGCACTATACCGAGTTTTAGCGCAGCCCGAGTCTGGGGGAGCGCACATTGCTGCATGTAATGGATTGACTGTAGCTTTCTTGCAGACCCAACGGATTTCCCGCTTCAGAGCAACAGTCGCTTTGGTCACACGCTTGACGTTCGCTAAATGATTCATTTGCAACCGAATGGGAATCCTATCACCTATGCATCGGGAAAAGACGTTGGCCAAAGACAATCTCCGGCTTCCATCAAGAAAGATGGTTCGTACCTTTGCAGTAGGCGCTCCTCGGAATGGAAACTCTCGCTTCTACGGTCCCCTTTTTGAACCTCCCCAGAACTCCTACATCACAGTCCCTAGAAGCCGATTGCGGGATCCGATACAGCGGCAGATTGGTGTCGTGCCTTGCGGCAACTGTGAACTTATGATAGCGCATCAAGTTCTCCCGCGGCCACGATCTCAATAGCGTGAGCACAAGAAGGTACGTGATGGACAAATGTGTCGTCTGCGGAGGACAGGACGTCAATCACGCCCGGCTGCAAAAAGTTTACACCTGAAGCTAGCACTTACGTTGATGGACGACGGCAGATAGGGGTCCCCAGTTGTCATGACCAGCGGGAAGTTGAACGGATAGAATTGTGAACCTTGGTGCACAGGAAGTGCCATGACTTGTCGGAAAAGAACATGCCTAACGTCCTCCGGGGTGGCCGCCTGCTTTACTATAGTGCCTCTGTGAAGTAAGAACCAGGCCCCGATTAGAACCCTTCTTCAGCGGCGAAAAAGTGCTTGCCCAGACAGTCAATACGTACAGCGGTAGATTGGCGGCGTTGGCGAACTGGATAACACCCAAGCACTGCACTTCCATGCTTTTGATGGTATTGTCTATTGCTTCAACTTCCAAAAGACCTGAAAGAACAAAGTTCTTAGTGCTTCGAACAGGAGGGAATGCATCCAAAGACGTTGCCTGCACACACACCTGTGAGAACATCCCCTCCATACACCGGTAAGCCGGCTTTCTCCAGGTGGAAGGCTGCACGGGGCTTCATTTTTTTTCGAATCGAAACTGCTGGGAGAGAGGCACCGTGAAATATGGAACTTCGATTTTCGACGGCAATTTGCCGGCGGTGAGTGGAGCTGGGTGAGATATAGGTAACAGAAGACGGCGGAGATCAGGATATGCCAAGTAATTCCTTTGGAGGGTTCGGCGGCCGCTTTGCAAAGGGCCATACACTTCAGACGTTCAGCACGAGGCAGCAGGACGGTCCATTGCCGAAGTCGTCCGCCAGGCCTTGAAGAATGCGCGGTCAGAGGCGGCAACCGCAGAAATGAGAGAATTCTCAGAGAAGTGAGCGTCTTTCTCTCCTACCGGCTTCCCGGGTGGCGGTACCCGGGCTCCGGCGCCGTGATCTTCGCCGCAACTTGGCCCTGCACGCCAAATTTCAAAGGCTGTGTGTCGTTGAGAAGTCCTTTGCACGAAAATGGAAAACATGCCCCACCGCACCGACTTCCCCTCAACTGACCCGCCCTAGGCACATATACGACTCCTTGGCATGAAGGAGCAGATGCCAATGCCTCATAGTATGAGACTATGAGAATGTGGTACAATGGGCAGATACAGTCCCAGGGACTACCATATGCTAACTATCGTTGCCGGACCTATTAGCTACGTACGCCAAGATGTCAGCCTTCCCAGCAATTGCGCGTCGAAGACTCGAAGGGCCCTGCGTGACACTAGCCTATCTGACAGGAACGTCTGCCTATTTCTTCTTAGAAGACGATGCGTTAGCCTTTCCTCTGCCCTTCGCAGCAGCCGGCGCAGCCGCCTTTGATGATGCCGCCGGCGCTTTCTTTTGCTTGATCATTCTATCCGTTGCAATATCATCCTCATCCTCAGCTTCGTCGTCTTCCTCCATGTCCGGCTCCTCGGCTTCTACAATGTCCTCTAGATCTGGTGCAGGGCCCGCGGCCGCTTTGGTTTTCCCTTTCGAGACGTGAAGGCTGACCACCGCTGTTGGATGGGTTCCTTTGTTGTAACTGCAAAGAAACGGGATATGATTAGACTAATGGTCGTGATACAGTGCATCAACGACGCTCGCCTGGATAGACAACATACATCCTCGTGAACGATGATTTCACAGCGGTGGGAATCTTGTTAGCAAGCTTGGCCATCGACAGTTGACCTAGACCCAACTCCATGACTGAGTCCCAATCTTCCTTGTTGAGGTAGTAATCATCCATGACTTGGATGACATCTTCAATGGCATCCTATGACCATCGTCAAAATATGTCAGCAATGACTACAGTTTGCCGGCCTTCTGACACAATACGCACCGCTCCTTGCTTGATCAAAGGTTGAGCCAGGGCCGGGGCCAGAGCAGGCAGGTAGCTGAGTCGCACCTCCCGCTTATTGCCAGAAATGTGGAGCCGCATGTGACTTTGAATCTCCCGCAGTTGTCGTGTGTTTTTCATCTGTTTCGAATTCTGACCCAGCCAGCTGCAAGACGGAGTTCGCCGTTGACATAGAGTCCGGAGTTTCCAGCCGACGAAAACGCTGCTACGTACCTAGGGAATCCAGTAGGGCCTCCAATGGACCCATGTGTGAAAAATGCGGGCCGGACGGTCGAGAGCACAGCGTGCAACGGCATGAGACTCCAGCTTTGAGTGCTGCAAATCATCTGCCATCAGCAACCCCACATAAACCGCAGCGTCAGATAGCAGCCATTCCCATACCTTCGTTGAACGTTGTCAAGGATGTCAGCCTGTGATATCGAGTCGGCCGCATTGGAAAGGCAGAGCAAGTGCTCCAAAGCAACTTTTTTCGGATTTGCTCCGCCCAGAGACCTAGCTATTGCGGGTTGCGTCTTGATGTATGATTCCTGCAGTGTCCAACGTAAACACCATTGATCACCTGTTTCCTTCAGTAAAGGAGAATTTCTTTCAACTACTCACCTGGATCATGAGCGGCATCAGGCTATAGTCGTGGAAATACAGCTCCATCTTCTCGTAGAATCGCATGTTATTGAACGACCCGCCGCCGAGAAGGTTCGCAGTGGCTTCAAATGGGGATATCGTTGTGTTCTTCTCGGCAGATCGTGCCCTGGTGGTAAAGCATGATCAGACTATCGAATATCAAAATACCGCAAAACACATTCCGTACAAGTCCTTCGATTGATCGTAGTTCATCACTCCACTTCCTAAGCGGTAAGTGGAGAGCAGGTTGAGGATCTGCCGGATATCCGCTCCCGTGCTGCTCGTCAGTTCGGTGACCACATTGGGCTTCAACTCCAACCCTTCCCTATTGATATTGTGAGCACATGCACTTTCCACGGGGAATGAGCACCTGACTCGCTGAACTCACGCTTGTGCAATAGCTCTGATGCGAGGCTCTACTTGCATCCCTGTCGGTCTGGAAAAGGCCAGTTCGTAGCGCATAAGCATGTACAGTTTACGAGAACCAGCGTTAAAACACTTCCGCCCGCACCTTCGGAATCTGAAATCAGCACAGTAGTTGGCCAGCGACTTGACCTTGGCCGACTGCCTGTCATTGCAGATGCAGATTATGGGGACCTGAAGCAAAAGGTCAGATCCGCCCCGAGACTGACAAGGAAGGTGATATCCCGAACCTTCGTCTTTTTGATCAGCTGTATCAGTTCCGCGCTACCCCCTCTGTCGCCACCGGACATGCCATCCACTTCGTCCATGATCACAATCTGCTTCTTTCTCTCGACGGGCGCAGCCTGTTCTTTCACGCTTAGCCCAAGATGTGGGAACAAAACCCGAACAAAATCACAGCCTTTACCTGCTTCGCTTTACCCTTTCCTTTGGGCGCCTCATCAGCCTGGTTCTCTGGGAGGAAGAACTCTGTAACGGCGTACGTCCCTAGTGTCTCCTTCAACATAAGCTAATCATGCACAAGGATATTAGTACTCAGTCCTGACATTCCATGCGCTTTGGTGCTATCGCCTACATCAAGCGCCTTCTTATTCCTGGTGTCACTAGCGTTCAGCTCCAGCACATTGAAGCCCTCCATCTCAGCCACTAGATGGGCGGTGGTAGTCTTCCCTATACCGGGAGGTCCGGACAACAATGCCGCACGGTTGGCGGAGAACTCTTGCCCACCCATTCGCTTGAAGCCGTTCTTCCGGTTCTTTTCCCTGAAAGAATAAGGAAGTGTTGGCCACGCGTATATGTGCCTGTCCGCGCGCTCCGTTTTGCATACCAGTCTTTCAGCCATGCTGCCAGGTTTTGCACGAGGGTTTTGTTTCCGATGATATCCGAATATGAACGAGGTTTGTATTTTGTCGTCCAGAGCTGCTCGTTACCGCTGTAAAGGGACCATTAGCTTTGTATCATCCCAATCTGAAGACAACCCTCACTCACTCTAAGGGTGCGGCTGCAGGTGTGATTTTCGAAGCCGCAGCTGTCGCCGCGGCAGATGTTTTCGCTTTGCCTTTCGCCGTGGATCCCTTAGCGGGCGAGCTAGATGCGGCTGGTCGCGTCCGGATGAGATCGAAGAAGCCGTCTTCATCCACCGTCTTGATATTATGTTCTTTGACTTTCTTCATTTTCGACTCCCCAGGTTCCGCTCCAACTACGACGTATGAAGTTCGGGAACTTGCCGCAGTGGTTGTTTTCCCGCCATACCGCTTCACCAAATCCGTCGCTGTATCACGCGATATTGAGCTGAGGTCTCCCGTGAAGACGAAGGTCAAACCCGCCAAACAGTTTTCTGCGCCTTCCGGAATCTGTTTGCTTCCGAGTGCTACCGGCCCTGCAGATTTCCGGGACATATATGCCTGGAAGCCGGACTTTTTCTTTTCCCCCGTCTCTCCCGATGTCGGAGTCTGCGGCTGTGAAGAAGCGCCAGCTGGCTCTTTCTTCGCAGGTTCCGGTTTGGCTTTTCGCGTGGTAGATGGAGTCGCCTTCTCTTCCTTCGTATCAGCCACACTAACTTCCGGAAGCGTTTCGTCCTTTATCTTTCGTGCGGGAGCTGCTTTCTTCTTTCGAGGAGGCTCATCTAGTTCCTCGTCTATGTCAGTCGCATCAAAGTCGTCTTCATCCTTTACGCGACGTTTTGCAGGGCGCGCTCGCGTTTTAACCGGCGTATTAGGTTTTGGTGAAGCGCCCTGTGCCTGCTGGAAGAATGTCAAGGAGAGCGGTGCTTCGCGTAGCGGCATAGAGCCGACTCACCTCTTCCTTTATTTCTTCTTTGACATCTGCTTTGGCTTTCGTCGCGGCAGTTCTTCCAGACCTTCGATTAACGGGCTTCGTTTCGAAGAAGGAGTCGGGATCCACTTCCTTTGGAGGATCGACCTGTTTCGCTGGCGCTGCTGAGGCTTTTGGCTTCTTCGCTGGCGGGCTTCGCAACATCAGCTACTCTTGATATTCAGAGAGGACGTTTCCCTTGGCTGGCCTCACCTCGTCCTGTATCGGGTAGCTCCATTCGATGGTGCCACCTCCGACTGCATCTTTACATCATCATCTTCTTCTGAGGAATCTACTACTGCCCTCCCCTTCCTCTTTGTTGATGTTTTGGCAAAGTATTTCGACTCATCCCCTCTACAGTCAACAGGTAAGTGCCTTTCCGCGGCTGCATCGCGAGGTGTACGTACTGCGAAGTATCCAGAGATTCATCTATTACAAATTGACGCCGTTGTTCAGTAATCAGTTCACAAGAATATCAGCGACGAGGTCGGGCATACCCTTTGCGGAGGCTTTGGTGGCTCCCGGAGCCTACGGGAAAAAAGGCTCTCGCTTAATATTCGGAAGACAGGCGAGAACGACGATTGCCTGACTTACGAACCTTCGCCGTTGGCTTGCTTGTGGCAGGCGCAGCCGCCTTCCCGTTCGCGGCGCCGTTCTTTGGTGCGAAAAAGCTACGAATGTCCTGAGCAAAAGGCGGGTAAAAACGTCACTTTCTGAGTGATCTTCCCTCATCGCGCGAGAGCCGTGGCTTACCATTCTTTCGACGCTCTAATTCTCGGGAAGTACGTCTCAGGTGCGGCTGCGGAGAGGACTTACGTTGAGTCTGTCCCCCTGTGAGAGTTCCTACTCGATGTTGGGTGTCCCGGGACCCGTCGGATGCAATGCAGCCCTTTGACCTCATCAACATTAAGATAATCGGACACACGCTGATGCGGGGCTAGGATGCTTCGGACACACGCTGATGCGGGGCTGGGATGCTCATCAAAACGGTCAGATCAAAGTTGTGATTTAATCGAGCTGTCCACGTGATTTCGGGAAGAATAGGGAATAATGGCATTCGCATGGGAACATCTGCCTTGTCCATCAGCTTGTCCATGTCCAGCAGTTTGAGGTTGATAGGCAAGCAGCGAGAAGTCCACCTCAAGAACAATCCCAATACCCCTCGCTCCTGCATTTAGGAACGCAAAACGTAAGTACCAGGGTCCCTCGGGACTAGGTTCTCGGTCGCTTCTAGATTTCCGGGGAAGGGAAGTCCTCGTCAAACGGGATCAGACCGTGCTAGATTTGCATTTATTCCGCTCGCCGCAAGACGTCCGGATTCTCACGTTTTGCCCTTCAACTACTTCCGTTTCTCACAGGTCATGTCCGCACGCCTCACTTTCACCGCTCCTCGGCTGTCCGTCGCAACGCTCATTAGGCCGAGTGTGCCTCCGAGTGTGTGAGGGCGATTGTGCACCGGGAAGCTCCGCATCTGGAGCAAAAGCTGCTCAATGATTCTCCTCCGCCGGGGGCTCCATCATGACTCTGTTCCTTCGCCTTCTCTTTCCCTTCCGCCGCATTCTCCTCGGGTACACTACTGCCTCTCTCGGATCTCAGCCCCATCATGTTCATCAGTGTGCTCAATTCCGTCATTGGCGTGATGGTGCTTGTAGCAGAGGGAGATTGCTCGTCTTCATAATCGTCACCATGCACTACTGGTGATTTGAGCGCCATGGATTTCAGCTTGAGACTCAATTCTGTCATTGGCGTTAACAGTTGTGATGCTGTTTCCTCGCTTACAGACGATGCGTTGAGACAGGATGGGACGCGTAACGGGGGCGGTTGAGAGGGTGGGTTCTTCGGCTGAGCTGTGTCTAGGTGGGCGGCAGGAATTGCAGAATCCACCTCGGCCGAGAAAGTGACGGATTTCTTCCGTTCTCCCATCGATTCGCTCCCAGACCCAATTTGCTCTGGCTCACTGGGATCCGTAGAAGTCGAAATCCCAAACTCCTCTTTCTTCTTCTTTCCCGGCTTTGTGCCCGCTTTCGTCCGCGCAGCGGCTCTTTTTGATTTGATCAATATGATGACGGCCACTCTCCTCCTCTCCTCCAGGTACATATTCATCGCTTCTTCTCGCTTTGTCGCCAGCGCCTGTATATCCTCCTTCGTGGGTATGCCGTGACCCCAGGCGACGCTGCAGGTTTTATTAGACCTACACGTCAATCAAAAATTTAGTCTTCCTGCAAGCTTAAGCAGCTTTTTCCATAAGATACGCACCATTCCGCAACAGCACCGTCACCTCCTCATCCATCAACAACACGGGCAGTCCAAAGAAAGTGTTCTGCAGCGGCATCTTCGGCAGTGTACCGACCAGCGCACCAAGGACATGGTATCGAGTACGCAACGTCAACGCGGCTACTCGAAACTTGAAAGGGGCGTAACGTAAGTCTTGACGCATCGTGGGAAACGTGATGTGTTTAATATCATCCTCCGAAAACGCAAAAACCCGAAACGGGAATGTCATCAGCGCGTGGCGGAATCGAGAACGGTGGAGGTATACGGAGGATTGCACACTCGTCAAGCCCGGGATATGGAGGGTCGCTCTGAATCGTTGCGTGGAGGGAAATGCTCTTCTCTCTTTATTTAAAATAACACTCTGGAAATGCTCACATTCCCATCGCGCAAGTGATATCACAAACATTGGAGGAATATATCTACGTGTCGTATCGTCCCCACATGCCTTCTTTATCCTCCTGTCCAGAGAGACAATGACGGTAGAAAAAGTTTACGCAAAAACACAAAACGTTGAAATGTTCGATGCTCCCATTACAGCGCTCCACGCCCCTCTTGCACCCTCCCACCACACCACAGAACCTAGCCGCCTCACTCCCCCTTCTCGTCCTCCTCATCCCCCCCACCCTCCCTAATAATCGGCTTCCCATCCAACTTCTTCAACTGCGGAAACCTCTTTGTCATCTCAGCAACCCACACATTCTCCCCCGTGGCCTTCTCCTCCACGGGATTCCCCACAAACAGCACCTCGACACAATGCGCCAACCCGCCCAACGGCTGCAACCCACTCCAATCCTTGATCTTATTGTTGCTCGCATACAGCACCTTGAGCTTCTTACAGCACTCGATCCCATTCAGCCGCTCGATCTGGTTATAGCTGATCCAGAGCTCCTCCAACGTATCGGCAACAGCGTCAAGGCCCTCGATCTTCTTGATGTTGTTGCGGCCGAGGGAGAGGATCTTGAGGGAGGCGAGGCCGTTCAGCGAGGAGATCTTGTCGATCTGGTTGGTGGACAGGGCGAGGTGCTCGCATTTGGTGAGCTGTGCGAGGGAGGCGTCCATCTTGGTTAGGAAGGGTTGGGAGGAGATGAGCTTGATCTTGGGACTGTCGGCCGCGACAAGACCGGTTTTTTCTTCCCAGGCCTTTATCGCGTCTTTGAGCGTGAAGCCTTTGGACATGGTTGAGGGGTGTCGTGCGGGGTGAGATGCGGGGGGTGCGAGGGGTGCCTGGGCAGTAGCCCGTTCGGTGTCGGATCTCTAGGTTCCGCACTCTGCGAAGTGTGACGACTGAAAAAGGCGGGTTGGGAGTAGATATGGAGCGACCGGTCTCTCTCACGCCCTTGGGGTTTGATGATAGCTGACCCGGAATGGGTCACAGATGTATGTAGTCCTGCTCTTTTTTGGCCCCTGGTTTATGTTGCAAGCAGTGGCTTTAGGGAAAGGACTGAACGAACGTAGTGTCGGCGTCCCAGACGTATCCTTGGCCGTTGGATATGTACAGTACACAGTTGGAAGGTCGGGAAGCGGCACCGTCGAGGGTTTGGGCAGATCGGGCGAGGCAACTTGTCGAAAACGCGTCCACAGGTTGCAGGCTGAGCTTTCTGGCATCGGCCCCTTTCTCGGACTGGCAGTCTCTCCTGAAGCCCTCCTCTTTGTTGCACACCTTTCAGAACACCTCGATCGAAGCTTCATAGTCGGCAACGGCGAATAGTACAGTACAATAAAGCTGCTTGTTCTTTAGAGACAGAGGCCTAGACTATCTTGTCGTCCAACGAAAAAGTCACTCGATGTTGACCTCACAGACGGCCTCTGAAGAACCATCCACTGGGACAGCAATGACCGCCGCAAAGGACGACGCTTTCAGCAGAAAGCTAAAAAGTGTGCGACGCTCCTCTGCCGAGAAGCTCGATCTCGATCTGTACAACGACCCTGCGGTGAACCACCGACTAGCGCCCACCTCCAGCCTCGCATCCGAAATGAAAGTGACGAAAACAGTGTCGCAACATACTTCCTCAACACATGGGATCAGCAGCTTATCGCCCACCGACGAATCCGTAGCGATGATGTCTCAGGTTTTGCCCCTGCGACAAGAGGCGAGTGGACGTTTGTCACGGTCGCCAAGAGGATACCCAGAATCTCCAACCCCGGCACCTTCAAAACCAAGACAAGTACGGGCAGCGGACCTGATATCATCCACAAAGCCGTCTGCGAGTCCTTTATCTCGTGAGCTCCAGAACGCAGAAGCTTCTCACCGCAGTCGTTCAGCGCCAGCCGATGAGCCTGTCACATCAGAGCGATCAATTGGAGACGAAACGATTGACAATCTCCGCAGATTATCCGAGATCAGCGGTCCAAGTCCTCGGAAGAGAGTGCAGTCACAAGATCGGGAGGTGGATATCGAGGGGGAGGAGGGCGGGGAAGGATGGGAGGAGGATGCGCTGAATCTGGGACTGTCGCTGGATTTGGGGATGGACGACGATGAGGCGTATGCGGTTGACGAAACGGCGGAGGCTATGGAGATTGAGACGTACCTGGAAGAGGAAATGTACGTACGCTCATCCGGATCCGGTTGTGACTCCGCTCGGCATATGGGAACCGCACAACTCATTTCGATCCCTCCTTTCGATCTCCAGAGCTCGAATGGAAAACGCGAAAATAAGTAAACTTGCGCCTCTGGCCGCCGAAGAAGAGCGGAGGCTAAAGGAACGAAACGAGCTACTTGACACGGTGGTGAGAATCAAGGGGTTTGGCGTATCTGGAGGTTCGCGAAAGTCTGTTCTTATGTGTGTTCACCCACCAGTTGAACCGACTTCGAGCACAAGAGAAGGAGTTGAAGGAGGCGAAGGAGCGGTTGAGCATCCAGTTGGAGCATCATCGGAGATCGCTGTGGATTCTTGCGGATCAGCGTCAGAAGGTTGGTTGGGGAAGTTTCATGATGGTCGGAATCTTCAAACTACAGCATCTGACCTGACATTTGAGCTGTTACAGCTGGACGATGAGCGGGCTTCGGCATGGTGGGCCACTGGCATCTTCGACATTGAAATGTGAGTCCTCTGTCGAAGGACCCGTCGGACTCAGATGGACCTTGGGACTGAGCATCTTCCACCCCTCTCAAACAGAACAATCCGGAAGCTTTACTACCCCGCCTTCCTCGTCGTCTTCCTCCACGTATACCTCGTATTCATCGATCATTGGGTGAACTCCAACTACCCACCACAATGTTCGTAATGTACCCCAATCTGTGAGGACGCAGGGGTCTGTACCTAGTACGGGGTCTTTCAGGCCCTCCCATGAGAATCACCTCATGCCTCCGCGACCCACATGAGGAGGAATGAGACTGTCTGGGCTACCAAGCCTGGAAGTGGGAGACGCTCTCGGCGGAACTCAGGACACGTGCAGAGTGGGCTTTCAACTGTGGAAATGGCGTTCATTCTAATCGGACATGGAGCGATAAATATGCCGTCTCTTCTCCCTCCTTGGGCATCTTGTGTATGTTACGGGACTTGGGTTGCGGGCTATTCCCTTTCCCTCAAGCCTTGTATATAAACGCGAATGAAAGCCACTATCATTCCCATCCCGAACACCTTTAGAGGACATTCATTGATCAGCTCTGTGCTCCGTGATCTCAGATCCACCGTGAAGGCCGCCCCGTGTCCGATGGCAGGCGGTTGGGCTCTTAACAGTGGTCAGCGTAGCCGTTCTTCCTGCACACTCGGTGCCTTTACATTTGTCGACACAGCTATGTACATGAACGTAAGCGAGAGCTTCACATCTGGAAGGTACGATCCTGACCAGCCGAGCGTACGCCGCGTACGCCAATGCAGTCGTTGGTACGCACGGAAGGCATTCCAACTCCAAATCAACAAGCGCGTATAGCATGTGCGCCTCTCCTATGGCTACTCCCCGAGCCCCTACGCCGGCAAGCATGCCATTCAGAATGTATGGCCACGGCCCCGCGATCCCGAATCCGGCAATACCGTCGTCTTCACCATCCCGAGATAGGTCGCTAGCGTCTTTACTAGATTCGTATTCTTCTTCTGCTTCGGTGCCGATGGGTCTACGATAAAGGCTACATTGTCAGATCATCCAAGCGGTGTCACATACGTCCTCGAATGCTGCGTCTTACCGAAATTGGGCAAAGTATACTCGTTCGCGCTCAGCGAGATGAAGTACATGAACGGGATGAGCCACACAATGAGGCCGAAAAATGTGGCGATCTCCGTGAAGCTGTGGTAGTGCTCCGTGAAGTAGAAGAACCAGATGAAGTGGTCGCTTATCACGAGGACTGAGATTTACGAATGCGTAAGTTCGGAAAAAGGTTTGAAGGTAGCCGAACAATCCCAACGAATGTCGAGATGTTGGGATAGTCATGATGGGACCTACCACAACTTATTAGGAATGCTGGGCTGGCCAACTCGATATTTGGGAACTAGCATGTAGGAGAGTTTTACAATCAGCTTGATACAAACACATGCACATGTTTATGAAACCACCTACATTTCGTAGCAGCTGGCTATACCATGCGTGGCATAGTAGAGAGAAACATATCCGCTTGAATGAGAGGCCATCCACTAGCCATAACAGTATGTGCGACGCGAACGTTATCTGAGTGGAAGGATCAAATCGAGGTCAGACGGCGTCTTCAAAGCTTCTCAGCGTTCCATGAGTGTAGCAGTATGGGACAGTCGATGGTAGGTCCCCATCCGGCTGCTGTAAGCCGGCAAGGTTTTCCCCTAGAGCATCCACTTCCAGCCATGGTGCATAGATCCATTGCAAAAGCACGAGTTCCGGCCCTTTCAATAGACTTACAATCGTTGTATAATATATTATCTTTTTCGTTAACACTGTGTATTCCTGCATAGTGAAAGAGGTCAGCTCCCATCATTCTCTTCGTGCTCCTCAGACGTCCCAGGAAGCTGGAATGTGAGAGACGCGAAACTTAGACTCCTTACCTCAACCAACTCTGCCAAGTAGTATAGCCCGCACGCTGCACTCATTGTCGATTGATTAGATCAGTAACGGACTCTTTCCTCGGCTTCGAGAGTTGCGTCATGACGCTGCGCCCCTTCTCTCTAAGACCATTCTTACCAAGACTAAGCGTTACGAAGCCAAAGCCCAGGAGGGCACCGAGGTATGTCAAAAGCCCTAGAAAGATAGGCATCGTTGCATCCTTTTGTTCCAAGGAGTTACTTCGTCGAAAAGATGCCGACGATTTGGACCTTCGTGTGGTGAGCGGCCTTTCAAGGACGTCACAGCGTCACTTCCTGATCCAGCACGCGTCGCATCACCTCCGCGCTGCACTTCACACCGTCGACTTCTCGCCCTGCTTCTCGCCATCGCAGCCCTTGCCGTTGCTCGACAGGGTTTCGGGACATGCGCACCTACACCATTCCGAGTTGCTATGTATGGGGTAAGGCAGCACTCATCCCGACCCCAGCGCTACAGGATATGGCTTCGAAATGGAGCTCCGCGCCGGACAGGGGTGGTGCAGGAATTACTGTCCGCGGATGAATAGCAGGTTTTGAGCGGGCGACGCATCCACCGTGCGAACCTTGCCCACTCACGCTCCATGGTCAGGTTCAGAGCAGACTCGCATTATTCCGCCATTCTGGTTGTTGGCAGCTCTTTCATCTGTCAACCCCCACGTCGGCTTCTCCGTGGGCCGGAAGTCACCGGCTTGCACTCTAGGCAAATGGCGAGAGTGAAGGGCCGATGAAATACCGCGCGTGCAATAATCCGTCGCCTCGCAGTTGAGGAGCGGCAGACCCAAAAAAACGCTCACTGCAATTCTGAACTGGCCCACCATCCCTCCACTTCCGAGGTTGTTAATAGGGGCCACTTACTGCCAACCTCTTCCCTATATTCGCTTTCAACTACAAAGAAAGACCAGCGAGATATCCCAAAGGAGGAGCATAGGCATAGAAGATAAATTCACCACAGTTCAAGCGAGCGATTACCAACCGAAAATTTCCACAGGTCATTTACAGACGTCCATACCATTCACTGGAGAATCGATACTATCCGAAATGGCGAGCATACCAGCGGGACCCACCATGAACAGCGAGGAGGGCCGAACTAGCGAGGGCAGCAGAAATGGCAGTACCACCCGCAGAAACAACAAGGGGAAGAAGAAGGGAGCTGGTGTTGCGGGCCCCACTGCGACTCCGCTGCACAACAATGTGCCCGTAGTACCCCTGCTGTCCACGGCCTTACCGCTAGCCCCGGGAGGGACAGCGACAGAGGAGGAGGACGGAGAGGAGCTTTGTTTTATTTGCGCCGACACAGTTACGTGGTATGCAATTGGGGAGTGCAACCACAAAGTCTGCCACCTGTGTTCGTTGCGGTTGAGGGCTCTATACAAACAAAAGTCTTGCGCGCTCTGCAAGGTGAGTGATCCCTGCTGCGTTTGTGTTTATACTCACTATATGAGTCCGATCCTCAACTCGGTACCCCATCTTCAATTCCCCTTCGCAAGACGGAACTCCACGACGTTGTGTATACGAAAAACCCGGATGCGCTGTTCCAAGATTTCAATCTCAGAAAAATGCCCGCTTATGATCATCGGCTGAGGATATATTTCGAATCGTCAGAAATCCAGGAAGACGTCATGATTTTGTTGCGGTTCAACTGTCCGGACCCCTCATGTGATGTGTCATGCACCGGTGGTTGGGGAGAGCTCAAGGAACATGTAAAAAAGGGGCATGGGATGCTTATGTGGTATGTTCCATTGCGCGGGCATTTTGCAGGTTTCTCGAAAACGTCACTCATTTGCGGTTACATCCAGCAATCTCTGCACACGCCATAAGAAGCTTTTCACGCACGAGCACACATTGTATACGAAGGCCACCTTGGACCGGCACAATAAGCTGGGTGATCCGGACGATCCATCTTTCAAAGGACATCCAACATGTGGTTTCTGTCGAAACAACTTCTACGGACAAGACGAACTCTTTGAACACTGTCGGGAGAAGCACGAGCAATGCTTCCTCTGTCAGCGAAATGGTGTGCGAAATCAGTACTTCCAAAACTACGCGGAGCTGGTAAGTACGATGATTGTCTGTAAGATTATCGAATATCGCATGGAGCCTGACTGCCTTGTTTCAGGAATCGCATTTCCGCTCCGATCACTTCCCATGCTATGCGCCAGAATGCTTGGAAAAGAAGTTCGTCGTGTTCAATTCGAACATCGATTTGAAAGGGCATGAGGTATGAGAGCTGGATTTCTAAGATGCGTTTTGTCCGGTCTCATTTACTGACTCGTCCTTGTTATCTGATAGCTGGAAGAGCATAGTTCTGGGAAAGCAAAGGCGAAGGGACAGGCGATCGAGTTGAACTTCACATACACTGGTTCGGCCGAGAGGGACTTCGGGCGGGATCACTCCAAGCGGTCTTCCGCCAAGCGTGGGGGACGACAGGGCAACGATAGGGATGGTCAAAGGGAGGGAGAAGGCTCGTCCCGAAGTGGGGCCAACAATTTCGGACCAGGTAGCGCTCCCGACCATCAGATTGGTAACGGAATGCAGCGTCTACGACCGCCGCCTGGGTTTGGGTCGAAGCTTTCCGAACCAGAACCACCGGCCCAGGCTTCCTCATCGTCGCCTACTCCGCATCCAGCTGCGTCCCCACGTCCGCAAATCCCAAGCATGCCTACACCGTCTGAAGCAGCCGCTGGTTTATCAGGAGCAGCTAATGCATTGTCCCAGCCAACTGGATTTGCCATAGGGCCGCCTGCAACCGTCGAGGGAGAAATCATGCAAAAAGTTCAACAACTCTTCCTCTATTCCGCCACCAAGATCGCCGAGTTCAAGTCTCTCGCCACATCGTACCGCCAGTCGCTCATCAACGCTGACGAATTCGTCACCGGCTTCATGTCACTCGCTGCTCAAAACAAGACCGGAAAGCACAAGAAGGACGCCGAAGCAGAAGCCGCCAAGATCTGGCGGCGGATGGCGGACACGGTCCCGGATCCCGAGGAAGAACCCGAGGCGAACGTTGGCGGGAAGGGTAAAGGAAAGGCGCGCAGCAAGGGCGTGCCATTATCCCTCGGCCCACGCACGGGAGGTCGTCTGAAGAACGACATGCTTCGCGCACTGAATGACTGGAAAGTTTCTTCGGAAGAGTACCCCCTCCCTCGGCCGACCATCCCATCTTACGCCAATTCTACCGCCACGCCGTCCGCGGTTCTCCCGCATTCTACGACAAAGATCCCGGCATCGGCCGCTGCCCGTGTTCTGGTCATCAAGAAGAACGCCACAAAGCAGAGAACTGCGACACGGGGCGGTGGTTTTGGTAACGCATCTTCGGGAGCGACTGCCAGCGCGAAGGACTCGGTATGGGAGCGGGTGTCACACGTCCCTGGGGCAAGCGCGCCACCAGATAGTAACAGGAGCGCCACGCCCGTGACGTTCGCGGGTTCACAAGCGGGCGACGACGACGATCGCCCTGCAACTCCGTCTGGTAACACGACATCCACCCCGTCCGTCGCCTCAGCGTACAGCCACCCGACCTTGCAAGTGAACGACCGTGCCGCACCCGCACCGAAGCCCGCATTCTCCAAGACGGTACAGTCTGGACGTATAATGGGTGGCGGCAACCGCGTCTCGGATAACGAGTTTCCCGGCCTGCCCAAACGCGCACCCAAACCACCACCGCGCACCATCAATGGCCGGATTGGCGGCAGCACGGCGTGGGGAGAAGACAGCAGTCAAGGATCCGCCAGCGGTAGCGGGACCGAGAGTGGGAAGAAGAGCAAAAAAGGCGTTACGTTGATGCATTTCGGATAGAGGACTGTAGATTGTTGTCATGAGTAAGGGTGTGGTCGTATCTTTCCCTGCCCCTCAGCAATTTGTACAGTTTTCCTTCGTCTCCTCACTTCCATTTGCTACATATGATGTATATCCTACATTATTTACCCCGCTGCATATGTATCTACATACATACACCTAGTTTAATCTTCTTATCGCCACATGCATTTCTGCTGGGAGTAGACCGCTAAATCGATCTCATTATTAATCAGATAAAAAGATCGTGATCAAATGAACGAGCTGGCTATTTGGGCTTTTTTTTCTCCGGAATCGTGCCTTGGGCTATTGGCGTGAATGACTCCTCTATGTCCCAGCCGGGATGCAACGCAGGGATGCACAGCCGAATTGAATACCCTGCCTCCCGCATCAACCTTGAACTTTCCTCTCAGAGACTTTCTTACGTGAACGGAACCCACGCAAGGTTCTGAAATCCAGGTGTGACATGACATCAGTCTCGCATCTCCATCATAGCTGGGCTTGACACAGCATCGCTATCGAATCCCCAAAGTACGCATCCTCGTCGTCACCCAGTGACTCCCATACGCGCCGGGCATGCGATGACCCCATCATATGCAGCGCCATCCACGCTGGTGCGGTGAACGCCCTGTCGCTGTAGTCCACGTAGTGTTTGCCGTTCAGTTTATCTAAGCAGGGAGATAAGAAACCGGGATGAGACGCCACATAGAAAAGAAACAGGACGCACAAGGGACGAAAGGAGACTCACATCCAGCGTGAATCATCTTCTGCCCCTCAAAGAACCTAACCATCCCCTGCAAAATAGGCAACAACCTCTGGTCCCCCGACACCTTCAAATACGCCGCCAGCCGCCACGGGGTCCTGCAGGAATTGTAATGGAAATCGCCATCGTGCTTGCTTTCCAGGACCTGTCCATGCACGGCGCGCCAGTGGCCGTGTTTGTATTCTGCGAAGTCGGGGAGCAGGCCTATGGGGTTCTCGGCGTGAAGCTGGAGGAGGCAGGTGACTAGGCCTTGGCGGAGGCGCTCCCACCCGTCTCGGCGGGCGACGTCTTTGGCGGCAAAGGTGTGGACGGCGGCGAGGATAAAGTCGGATGTTCGCGTAAGGTTCCAGAACTACTCGACAGCTAGGGATTGTCAGAAAAGGACATTCCCGAGGTCATGGGGCCTGACAACAGAAGCTTCCTTCACCTTCTGATCGCTCCGATCCACCCAATCGCCCAAAGTGAAGACCCACAGGTCCTTGTTCACAGTATACTCAAAAATGGCACCACACAGATTCACAGCCCTCTGGAAGTACTCGCTGGGTCCCCGTCCATCAGGAGCTCCCGGCCATTTATCAGCAGCCAAGAACAGCGCGTGAGCGATATCGATGTCGCCATCGGTCGCCGAACCGGTCCCATCGGTGTCACCGTCTTTAGCAGGAACGATGTTGTTGTGCCTGTCTCGTTTCTGCTGCCAGCCCATCAGGCCTTTTGGATTGACGAATAGGTCAAAGTAGCGCACGAGGCCGTCAAAGTCGTCGCGGCAGTCGTGGTAGACTGCCAGAAGCATCCCTATTGCGGCACGACGTAAGGCGGGTAAGTGATCGGACGGAAACGGACGCGTATGTCTAGAGGCGGCATCACCGACGGTGACATCGCCAGAATGCAGATAACGAAGGTGATGGCTTCCCTCACGAGAGAGCAGGCGACCGAAGGGCAAGGACGTCATCGCGCGCATCATGACCGCTATCGCGCGGGATCACCGGCCTCCGCCTGCCTCGCCGTTCCCAGGCGTTCTAAGTCGTGCTCAACTCACCATACCCATGTGCCTGAAAGTTTCCACAGTGAGATTGGAAGCGTCGCAAGCTCAGCCCAACCTCCAAAAACGCACCTCAGAAACCGTCAAAGCGTCGCCATTATCCTTCTTCTGGTTATAGTCCACGTAGTATGCGTTGCCGGCTCCTCTGAGGTAGTGTGTCCTCCAGTTCCCGTAGTTGCTCATTCCTGACATGGTGGTGGTTGGGGTGTTATCTGTGTGAAGGATAGCGAGGAGTAGGTAGTAGGAAGGCCACAGGGAGACGACGTCAGAAAGCACTCGCACACGTCATCCATCGATCGGTTCACGCGCGTGTCGCTCCGTGAAAAAGGCCTCCATACTATTCGCAGTGTTCGCGTGCATGCAGAACGTCCCAGGAAAAGAGAAAAGGGAGAACAACAACCCCCCCTGCCGGCGCTTCAAGCATAAAAGCGAGAAGCTGTCCGCCCGCAAGCTCAGCAGTCCCGGTTCCCCAAACTAGACCTCCAGATCGTGCTCCATCCTGCTCCGCTTCTTTCAGGGAGCCACATCTGCTATACCCGTCACACCTCGGCCTCAGCTCCTGCACTCACACTTCACAATGTCACCAACGACCCACTCGGCAAAGACTGCTGCCAACGTCCACAGGCCTGTCAACGGGAAGAAGTTTCCTACCTCCACGTATCGTGTCCAGCTCAGGAAAGAGTTTGGCTTTGAAAAGGCGGAAGCTCTCGTCGAGTACTTGAAGAGTCTCGGTGTTACTCACTTGTACTGCTCTCCTTATCTTCAGGTATGTCGGACGTCTTGTTGTTGATGCAGCCCAGAATTCAGACCCCTAATCTTTTGCACGGACAGGCCACGCCCGGATCTGCTCACGGTTACGATGTCGTGAACCATTCCATCATCAACGAGGAACTTGGAGGCGAGAAGGTGTGAATTTTGGTTGTTGAGATTCTTTCCATTATTTAAAACAAGAACAAATTTGACAAGGTCTTTCTCCCTAGGGCTTCGAAACTTTGATCAAGAAACTCCACTCTCATGGCCTTCGCGCTATAGCGGACATCGTCCCCAACCATGTCTCCGTTGCCGACCCAGAACACTTGAACCCTTACTGGTGGGACGTTTTGAAGAACGGCCGGAATTCAAAGTATGGTGGCTATTTTGACGTTGAGTGGGACCACCCACAGCTAAAGGGCAAGATCCTACTCCCTGTGCTCGGTGGTCAGCCCGCCGATCTCGTCAAGAATGGAGAGATCAAATACGAAACAAAGGGCCCAGATGGGGTTGACGGTCCTGTCATTCGATACTACTCGCACGTGTTCCCTGTTAAGCCTGGAACCGAGAACCTGAAGCATAACATTGAGCAGCTTCTGGACGCACAGAACTATAGATTGGCCTTCTGGAGGGTGACGATGGACGGCCTGCTCAACTACCGCCGATTCTTCGACGTGACCACGCTCGCCGGTATCCGCGTCGAAGACGAAAGCGTCTTCCGCGAAAGTCACAAAATCTTCATCCAGCAAATCAAGGATGGTGTGTTGGACGGTCTCCGTGTTGACCACCCGGACGGTCTGGCTGACCCACAACAGTACGTTGAGAGGCTGGCGGAAGCTACGGATGGATCGTGGATTGTCATTGAGAAGATTTTGGAAGAAGGGGAAGAGCTTCCTGCTTCGTGGCCTTGCGCTGGAACCAGTGGTTACGACGCCCTCATTCGGTTGAACGGTCTGCTGGTGGATAGGAAGTCGGAGAAGGCGCTCACTGACGTGTACGCCAAGTTCACCGGTCTTACGGGTGATTTCAACTCGGTCATGAAGACTTCGAAACATCTTATCCTCGAAAAGTCTCTTCGTGCTGAAGTGGAGAGGTTGATGTCACTCCTTGTGCTTGTGCAGCAGGACGACGCGTCTGCAAAGGCTCTCACCAGGGAGAACATTCACGAAGCGCTCGTCGCGCTTCTCGTTGCCTTCGACGTGTACCGTGCTTACATTCAACCAGGAAAATCGATCCCGAAGGAATCGCTCGTTCACCTTAACCACGCAGCGGAGAACGCTAAGAAGGCTTTGAAGGGCTCCCGCGACTCTGAGGTCGACTTCATCGTCCGCGCGGCCTCCTTCAAGGTTAGCACCTCCGACCCGGCCCGTGAGTTTGTGTCCCGCCTGCAACAAACCTGCGGACCCGTCATGGCCAAGGGAATTGAGGACACGGCCTTTTACCGGTACTTCCGCCTCGCTTCATTGAACGAGGTTGGTGGCGACCCCGGCGTATTCGGCAAGAGCGTGGATGAATTCCACAAAGCCTCTGCGGCGATGCAGAAAGACTGGTCCCTGTCCATGACCACCCTCTCGACACACGACACCAAGCGTTCCGAAGACGTCCGCGCTCGCCTCGCCGTCATCTCTGAGCTGCCCACTGAGTGGGAAACGGTCGTCAACCAATGGTCCGCCACCGCTGACCAGCGCGGATACCGCACATCCGCCGCCCTCCCCGACAAAAACACCGAGTACCTCTTCTGGCAGACCCTCGTGGGCGCCTACCCCATCTCCATCGACCGTCTCACCGCATACATGGACAAAGCTACCAAAGAAGGCAAAGTGCACACCTCTCACACGGACGCCAACAAAGATTTCGACGCCGCCGTCAAATCCTACGCCGAAAAGGTTCTCGCGGACACCGACCTGATCACCTCAATCTCCACCTTCGTCAACCGCATCAAACCCTTCGGCCGCCTCAACTCCCTCGCCCAAAAAACAATCCAGCTCACCATGCCCGGCATCCCCGACGTCTACCAAGGCTGCGAAGTCGAGGACTACTCCCTCGTGGACCCAGACAACCGCCGCGAGATCGATTACGAGGCGCGGAAATCCCTCCTCGCGAAACTGGATAGCGCGGCCCCGCAGCCGCCAGCGGACGCGACGGACAATTCCGGCGCAGGCAAGATGTGGGTCGTCTCCCGCCTGCTGAGGTTGAGGGAAGAGCACCCGGACGTGTTTGTTGGGCCTGAGGCGTCGTATACCGCATTGGCTGTGATGGGACAAAAGGACGTGGACAACGTGGTGGCGTTTGAGAGATCTGGGAAGGTCGTTACCGTTGCGCCGAGGTTCTGGGTGGGTGTGAAGGAGGGTGGCGCGTTGAAGGGTGTTAGTGTGAGGGTTCCCGAGGGTGAGTGGAGAAACGTGTTGACGGGCGAGACCGTTAAGGGTGGTGTAGTGGATGTCGAGAGATTGGTGCGCGCTTTCCCTGTGGCTGTCCTGGTCAAGCAGTGAGATTCTGTATCGGCGTATCTCTTAGAGTTTTAGCACTAGCTTTTGCGTCCGCTTGTTGACGGTTACCTTCTCGTACGCAGCTTTTCGAGAATTTGTTCATAGCTTCATATTATATCTTGTAAATAGAACGCCATTCGGTTTCAACATCACATATTACCAGCTATGTGTCAGCTCAGTCCATAGTCACCCAAAAAGTGTTTCATTAAATGTCCATAAGAGGGGGCAAACTGCCTTCTTCATACACCAATGATTAGCCACACACAGGTAATACACCTGGGAGGGAAGGGTTTAATGAACTTCCGAAAAGGGAAGAGGGGAAAGGGTTTCGGATCCGCCGAAAGACAGTGATCAGCCAACTCTCGGAAAACAACAACTACTAAATGCTGTGTAAAATAGGTAGTCCAAAAAGGGAAGGGAAAGTGGAATGGTATGCGTCAGGGGGGAATAACAGGGGAGCCAATGTGAGTGTCAGCATAAGGCTAAGCTAAAGCGTCAAGTGTTCACGTCAGAGATCCGAGTTAGAGGTCCAGGTAGTGCTGTGAGGAGTCGATAGCGCAGCGCACGCATAGTAGGTATCTGTGGGGAGCGTCTTCTACGCGGCGCGGGATAGAGCGCTCTGCTACCTTCACATATTCTCGTTGGAGTAGCTTCTGAGGAAGTCGTCGACTGCTGCGTGAATGGCTTCCGGCGAGGCGCGGGATCGCATGAGGGCGTTCCAGAACTTGTATGTCAGGTCGGGGGATTCCAGCTGTCATGGTCACATTCAGACAAGTGCGTTAGTGTTGCACGTACGCGTTCACGGTAAACCTTCTCTCCACTTACCTTGATTATGTAGTCAATGGGGATGTGTTCAGGCGGGTCGCTAATGCGGAAGCAGACTTCTTTGCCCTCCAGCCTCATGTCGAGGAAGCCGGATACGAGAAGGTTCAGAACCTTCTTGTCGCTAGCGTCGTCGTACATGACTATATTGGATTGCGGTCGGATAATAGGTTATAGCGGGTGTCGTTCGCGGTTATGCTCAAGATTACACAACATACCCATTCGAACGCTGTCTGGTTTGCCTGGGAAACCTTTGATTGCAATCGTACCGCGCTCACATTCACACACTGGTTCACCCGGAGCACTGGGGTCGGCTGAGTACAAGCCAGCGACCGCCTGCAGATATCAACAGGTGTCAGCATGTTTATTCTCCTCACTCATGCATCGTAACGGACGGGCTCACCTTGGCCAGAATGACTTCCTTCGCAATCTCATGATTGACCGGCTCGCGGCCCATCTCCGAGTGCAACGAGGATTGCCGCATGAACCCTCCATTGGGATGGGGCGGTGGATGGAACGGGTGCATAGAGCTTTGGCGGGCCATCATTTCCTGCGCGTTTTCCATCCGTGGCGGCATTGGCTGGAACCGCATGTGGATGGGCATGTGGTCAAATCCCATGCCACCCATGGGGTGCGGGAAGCCGTGGGATGTGGGCATCATCATCGGCATCGGCATGGACTGTGTGGACGGCATCCTTGGGAGATGGGCTGGAGCATCACGGCCACAGAGACGAGGGTCAGGGACAAAGTTGCGGATTCTTACAGTCTCGCATCCGCTTTTCCTTACCCGTGTGTTTGGGCTGGCTACCCCATTTGTTCTCCGATTTCTTCCTCTCCGGGACGGGTTCCAGCGTCGGCATCTTGTCTGATGTATCGACGGGGTAGTCCTACAGCATCCTCTCTCCGTCAGAGGTTGTCCTTAGTAACATGCCAGTACCGCACCATTTACCTCCACAATGTCAATATGTTTCGTGACCTCGGCCAAAGCCTCCGGAGGAACTTCGATCTTCATCTTGGCCTCCAGTTTCTTCTGCTCTTCCATCTGCTTCAGCAGCTCCTCATCCACAGGAATAATGGCACTCGCATTGGGATTAACTTCCTCAACTTCTTTGCGCCGCTCGACTTCCGGCGATTTGGTCTTCTGAGGGGGTCCGCGGTCCGGATACTTACGACCGACCCCGCCGTTCGAGCGCGCGTTGTGATCTGGCCCCAAATGACGTTGGGCTGGCTGCGACTGTCTACGGTATCGGTTATCATGCCCATTGTTCCTCGAATCAGCCTCGTTCCATGAGTTGATGCGGTTGCGTGGCAGAGGACCGTTTGATGGTTGTGCACTTCCATTCGAATTCCGCCCCGTGGTTGATTGCTTCTGCGCGGTCGGAAATCTTGGATCATGTTGCTCCCCATTCTTCAATAACTCGGACACGATCTTGTCCAGCTGTTGCAAATGTTTTGAATAATCTTTGGGTCCGGCGAGATTTCCAGAATGTAACACATACCTGGCTATATGCTTTTTCACGTTCTATCCGCTCTCTGTCAAGGTCACGACGCAAAGCACTCAAGTCATCCTGTTGTTTCTGCATCAGGTTTGCGTACATAGTGGGGAAATCGAAACGACGATGCGAAAATGACCTGAAAACGAGAGCGATCTGTTTCATGTTGCTTCTGAATCTTATATAACAGATCTGATTGCTCCGCTAGCTTCGCTTCCTTCTCCATCATTTTGGCCTTAGTCTTTTCACACTCCAATCTTGCGCTCAAGCATTGATTCTTGGCCGCAAGGATCTCCCCTCTAAAATCATGAATCAGCGCTCTGCTTCGTGTGAGGTTTCCGCGCCAGAATCTGAGTGAATCATACTTCAGAGTGTTCCATTCGCGGTCTCTAACATCCCCTATTGTGTGCCGTATTAGAAACCTGCCACTACAAGGGCAAATGCACACGCGCCGCTTGCCTGATGACGTTCGTTCTCGAGAATGTACCCTTTCGCCCCTATATTCATTCCCGTTTCCGGAACCTTCATGATGGTCCCGGTTGTGATAGTCCCGTGGTCTATCTCCATTTGAGCGTCGCTCATCACGGGAATCACGAGGTGGGAAAGCTTGTTCATCTTGGCTACGACTACGAGACGTCTGTGTATGCTGCTGGTCGCCAGATTGACCTCGAAAGCTATTGGACTTTCGTGGGAAGTCATCCCCATTCTAGGCCAGGTACTATCTTAGATGGCGCAAAAGCATCCAACAGTGGTCCAGCGCCACATACCCTTCCAGGACTGTCCGGATACTTCCTCTTCTTGCGCAAATCGTCCTCACGGAGTTGCATACTTAGCTTATCACCTTCAAAAGAGCCTCTCCGATGGGTGTCTCTGTCTCTATCCATGGGAGCTGCTTCGTCGGTTATGAGAGCTCGGTGTTTGTGGATGGCTTTCTGGGGGTAGCTGGGGGTGGAAGTGTGCAGCTCGACGGAGGGGAGTGCCCTGCGCCACCTGATGACAGCACCTTGCAAGCCCAAACTCAGCCGATTGACAGGTGGTCAACAAAGCTCACCCATGAGCGATTACGCTACTGACTCGGAGGATTCAACGCACAGGGGGTGGAAGAAGACTTCAGCCAGAAATAGAAGTACCTCCTGCTTGTTCGCGTCAGCACTTTGTCGACGACAAGATTAATGTTATGCAAGGCTTTGTCGAGGACTTGACAGCTGTCCGTTGCCAGACAAAGCTTCGGGGCTAGATTTGTGTTACATCTGACAGCTTGGCTTTTCCATTCGCTCTTTTTCCAACTTTGTGGCCGAATCCAATTTCCGAACACTAGCATACACGATCTTTTTTAAGCCATGGGTAGGTTCCTCCATTGAAGTCATCTGGAGATGGAAGGGACGAAGCAAAGGATGGAATGCGGGGGAAAGTTGCATGCTATATCAATTGTCCAAGAGTCGGAGGACAATCTCGCCTCGCTGTCAGTGAAGCGTCGTACCTCTTCTCAGTTGTTTGGCAATTCCAGCAGCATCCTTTGATCGGAAGAGCCTCCTCGAAACAAATCCGCTCACGCTTTGTGTCTTGCAGGTCAAGGTGATCGCACATTTAACAGCCGAGGGCAAACCATCTATGACCAGGTGCAAACCGTCCTCACCGTGCTCTTTGTGGGCATCATGATTATCTACGCCGGTGTCCGGGGACACAAAGTCGTCACTCAGGTATGGAGATATCATCCGAAAGATAATTTCAGAAATGTCGACTCCTCTTCTGTGAACGTCCCTTTTTCAACCTGTGTATCTCGTTCTTATATATTTTTTCGGTTCAATTTAGCTACCCGCAACGTATCGTACGACAGAGGCACCGAAGACTTTCACCGGCGAATACCTAAGTCGTGTATTCACCAACAAGCTCCCGGAGGCCACATATGAATTTCCGGCGATGACCTTCTGCCCACCCGACAAACACACAACCGTCCAATTCGTCTCTTGTTTCCGGAATTCCACTGGTGTAATACAACCGTGCTCTGCCCATTACGAGCGCACGGTGACGTTCGAGGGCGACGATCTCAAATGTACCACCGTCAACGACCTTCCAGGCGACGTTTTGTTCGCCACTTCAGCGGATGATGTGTTGGAGGTTGCCCTCGCGGTCACCGGCACCGCCCCTGGCTCACCCCAAGGGACATTAGTGGCTACCCATCGGCAGATCGGCCCGCCAAATACAAACGCTGGCCGCAGCCAGAAGGAAGAAGGATTCAATCAATGGGGTTACGACAATTTCTTTGGTGCGTCGGCGTACACATCGACCGAGATTGTCGGGAAGAAGTTGTACCAGGTTCAGGAGGACGGGACGTTCGACGTGAACTTTGAGGTCAAAGCGAGTAGCTTGAGGATGAAGATGGACGTGGCCACTTTGGAGGCGGACCCGACTTTCAAACCTCCCGTGAGAGTCGAGTTCAGATATCCCAAGCTGGAAGCTACTTACGAGAAGCCGTTCCTTGTTCTGGACATGGTGAGTTCCCGCACGACCACCGCCTTTAAGCTGTGCGCTGCATTTCATATGATAATTTGCTTAATCCCACATCTATAGAATAACTGGCTCGGCGAGGTCGGCGGAGTGTCCGCGCTCCTCTACTTCCTCCAAAAGGTCGTCATGCTCGTGGTGTCCTTCGTCCTCAAGCGATCAGACTCCTTCGCTTACACAGACCTCGGCAAGGAGTTCAGGTCCGAAGGTTTCGCTCACTACTAGTTAATTCAGTTGCCTGCCCATGGGCCTGGGGGAGGTTGAGACGGTAGTGCAGGACCAGATACTTCGATAGACTCCGCCGACGTCGCCGTCGGGCCAACCAGCAGTAGTTTAAGCCCGAACGATCTTACCTTGTCGCTTGTGGAGAGTTTCACGTGTATGTTTAATTGAGTCCATAGTTCGTCGCTCCGGTCTTCCGGCCATGCAGATGTACAGTAAGGTCGAGCTTCCATGCAGGCTTAAGGTTAAGAATCAATACTGGTGGCAGCAGACAAGCACTCAGGCCGGTCAAAAGATATATTTCACAGTTCAGAGGTGGGGACTAGATACAACTGTGCGAAATGTACAAGGACAAGCTTGACAAAGCTCCGAACGAGAAAGATATCAGTATATACAGTACAAATGTCAGTGAAGCACCGCGTCGTAATATATATCCAGTCTCGCGAAGTCAACAGTTTACACCCTGATTTCCTCATTCATCTCGGTATACTGGCCCGGATCCCGGCCGCCCAAGAGCTTCCTCCGCATGTGCTGCCTATACAACATCTTGACCAGCTCAATGAGCGCGGATTGCAAGACTACGCAAATGAGGACCACGGCCCACCCAACGCCTCCAATATCGACCAGCCCCAGCACCTGGTGGAAACCAGGCAGGTACGTGCCCAGAAGGACGCAGATAAAGGAGAAGACGTAGGCATAGACGAGGATCTTGTTTCCCCACAATCCGACCTTGAAGATCGAGTGCATGACGGAGCGCGAGAAGAAGGACTGGGTGAGCTGCATCACTGTCAAAACGGTGAAGGCCAGCGAGCGTTGGTGCACGAGTCGTTCGACTGGGTCATCCGAGGCCCCAGATAGGGTGAGATGGTTACGATCGATCATGTAGACGCCGAACGTCATGAGTGACATGACGAGACCTTGAGCCAAGACCAGGAGGGAGGTGGACATGGTGAGGACTCCCTGGTTGCGGGATCGGGGGCGGCGGGACATGATGTCAAGCTCGTGGGGCTCGACTCCGAGGGACATGGCTGGTGGGACATCGGCGATGATATTGGCCCAGAGAATCTGGATGGTGGTGAATGGAGGCTCCACATTGATGACGGCAGTGCTAAAATATCAGCAGAGAATTAGCACCATGGCGAAGGCACATTTTCGATCGAAATCGACAATTACTCACATCAAGAAGAGGAAGATTTCCGCAGAGTTACAACTCAACAAGTACACCACGAACTTCTGAATGTTATCAAACACTCCACGTCCTTCTCTAACAGCTTCCACGATGGTCGAAAAGTTGTCGTCGGCGAGGACGATATCCGCAGCTTGCTTCGTGATCTCCGTTCCGGATATACCCATAGCAACACCGACATCAGCCTGTTTGATCGCAGGGGCATCATTGACACCGTCACCAGTCATGGCAACAGAAAACTTCTTAGACTGAAGGGCTTTGACGATTTTGAGCTTGTTGTCGGGTGAAACACGGGCAAAGACGACGGGGAAGGGATTCAAAGCAGCGAGCTGTTCTTCAGAAAGAAGGTCAATTTCGTAACCTTTCATGGCCCGGGATGTCGACTGGCGCGCAGGGTCAAGGATACCAAGCTGCTTCGCGATCGCCGACGCAGTGGCAATATGATCGCCGGTGATCATAATGACACGAATACCAGCGCGTTTACAAGTTTCCACCGACTCCTTCACGCCGGACTTGGCAGGGTCAATCAATCCGATCAATCCGATGAAGGTGAGCTTTTGCTCCGCGGCGCTTTCTTTCTTGGCCATGATGATTTCCTGGGCATCCTCTGGAGTAACACTGCGCATGGCCAGCGCTAGCACACGCAACCCACTGGAAGCCATGACAGACGCTTTGTGGGACACCAGCTCAACAAAATCTTCGTTGATCGGCTCGGGATCGAGGTTTTGGAGGAAGCTGATTGGATTTGAGATTCCGGTGGAAGGCTGGAGGTAGTGCGTAGAACGTTGTAAGACTCCTTCTGGCGCGCCTTTAGTGAACACAAACGAGGAGTTTTTTGAGAAGGGAGTCTGGAACTCGGACTTTTCGGCTTGTTGGTAAATGACACTCATCAGCTTTCGATCACTAAGAATTGAGCGTTTGTTAGTTGACATCCTAAAGCGCACACGATACGCAAAGTCATTACTCACCTGTCAAATGCATATTCACCGAGCTTCTTCAATCCGAGCTCATTTTGGAACCACTCCCTGGGGAAGCCGACTTTCTGAGCAGCGATAATCATAGCCACTTCGGTGGGATCACCAATCATCTTCAATCCACCCGTCTCCTCATCTCGTGTGATTGCCGAGTTATTACAGAGACTGTATGCCATTGTAGCGATGAAGAGATGACTAGGCATGCCCTCGAAAGTTTTTGGCAGATCAACAGCTTGCTTTTTCGCCAGATCGTCTCGTGTCGTGTCATTGGGGGCAGCTAGGGCGTCGGAAAGCGGGATTGTCGTGCCTTGTTGAGCATTGCCGACGTTCGGATCCATGTTGGTGGAATGTGTGAAGGTAAAGTACGAGTTATCACTAGTCCAAAGTTCGGCAGTCCCCATCTTGCCTTCCGTCAAGGTACCAGTCTTATCCGAACAGATCACGTTAACGGATCCAAGAGTTTCTACGGACGGCAGCTTTCTGACGATCGCATTGCGCTTGGCCATTCGAACCACTCCCAAGGCCATCGTCACGGTCACGACAGCAACCAATCCTTCAGGAATGACACTGACGGCAAGGGAAACACCGATCTTGACGACTTCAAGAGTGTCACGCTTGTAGAGGACTCCAATGACGATGATCAGTGCGCAAAGTCCGATGGAGAGAGCGACTAGCCATTTGCCAAGCTTGGCCAATTTGATCTGGAGAGACGTCTTGCGCTTGGGAGCGGCGGTGATGGCACTGCTGATTTTGCCAATCTCGGTGTTGTCTCCCGTACGAACGACGATACCCTTCCCACGACCGCGGGCAACAGTAGTCGTCATGAAAGCGTTGCCTTTGCAGTCTCCAAGTGGGAGGCGACGTGTGCGTTTCCGAATCGTGTGAGACGACTTGGAGACACCGAGAGCTTCACCGGTTAGGATGACCTCCACGATTTCGAGCTGGGCCACTTCACAGAGACGCAAGTCAGCCGGGATGGCGTCGCCCTCTTCCAACACCACCAAATCACCAGGGACCAGTACGGCGGAATCGACGATTTCTTTCTTTCCATCGCGAATAACGGTTGCTCTGGGTACAGTGAGTGACAGCAGGGCTTCCAGAGCTTTGTTGGCCTTGTACTCCTGTACGAAGCCGATCGTGACGTTCATGACGACAACCACCAACAGAACGATACCGGCCTTGATGTCATCGGTGGCGAATTGGGCAGCAGCGGCCGCAATAAGGATGAGAACCATGAAGTCCGTAACCTGGGCCCAAAGCATCAAGAGAGGCGACTCTTTTGGCGGGGAGGGAAGCTTATTGCTTCCATAGTGGTCCGTCATTTCGGGGATACGGGCGCTGGGGAGACCCGTTTCAAGGTTTGTGCCAAACATCTCCGCAAGCTGCTGAACATTTTTGTCAAAGTAAAGTGTTTGTGGTGGCAACACTTTGTCGGCAGGTGGCATCGAAGGCTCAGCGAATTTTGTCTCAAACTCCTTCATGAGCTTGAGAACATCGTCATGTTCATCCGCCTCGACGAGATCCTTCCAATCGTGTTGCGGACAATAGCGCATAAGGAGCGCCAGAACACCAGCAGCGTCTTCACGCTGCTCGGGTGTGCTCGAAGGCTGACAACGACGGTGGATCTTCAAAGCATGGCGAAGATCGGTGGCGGACTTCTTATTGACCGCCGTGCGGAATTCTTCGACTTCTTCGAGGAATTCTCCAAACAGCACAAAGGCAATGTCGGCCTCTGGGGTGGGGCGAGAACGAAGCAGGTTTCCAGTTTGATGGCCCATATTTTGCAATAGGCCACCCAAGAGCCTCTCCATCAGTGCACCATCAAGGTGTGACATTTTGCCACCCTTGATGCGGTATTCCGTGACATATTTGAGACCCTGGAGAACGTCGTCGAGGGAGATGTCGGCATTATCGGCAGCGTCCACGAGATCAAGTACGTGGATGTCTATCTGATGCTCGATACTTGCTGCAAGAGGGAATTCGCATAAGAATAAGTTGGAGAAGTGGGTGTAAACGAGAGGTGGCCCGTTCTTACCTCTGCCGTCGAGCCTTACAGATACAGAGCGCAACTCTGCTTCCGAACCATTCGGGTCGTATGCCATTCAAACGCGAGAAAGGGTAGCACTATAGGACAAAGAAAGCTAAAGGACGCGATTCCGGATATAGAACGGCTTATGAGAAGTCCACGAGGGGAGTCAAGGAAACCCGGGGCTTTTGTATGTACGGTGTTGCGAGTGTGGACAAGCGCAAGCAAAAAGGTAGACCGAGGACCAGCATACAGATGTCGGTGAAGGCACAGCCGACTTGGCGTCGAGGACATCCACACTTCAAAGCGCCTTGGGCTTAACCTCATGATAAGGGTCATCCATAACATAGCAATAAGCCTTATGTACATTGCACACAAATCGCGGTAGGCATTAATTTGCAGGATAAGGTTTGAAGGTTGGGTGCAATTTGGTTGCAACCTGGTTGCAGGTCGTGCGGCTTGGGAAAGTTGGAAGTTGAGACGGTTGGTCTGAATTCACCGACCGGCGACCGTCCGATGACGAGTCTCTGAGACCACCTCGCCGACAACTGTACCCGATCTCAGATCGGGAACTTAAGCATGCATTCTCTCCATATCATATGCTATATTTGTCTGTATGTACAGTATATGTAGCAAGCTCAGAGAAAGCCAGCACCGGCCCCAACTCCAAGAGTACGTTCCAGTTATACACACCCTGTCGGACGAAATGCAGGATTAAAGGCGAGGGATAGGAACCAAAGCTGTAAAACCATTGTCTTGCGGATATTGGGATGTATATTCTTCAACCATCGTCTCCAGCTCGTGCACGTCTAGCTCCTTTCGGAGCGTTGAGCCTAAGAGCACCCTTGACGCAGGTTCGCAGCCAGCCATTGCAGCGTCGGCGTACGAGACGAGGTCCCAAAATCTGAAACCCTACCAACGGCGAACATTTCACTTTATGAATATCTGCTACTCCCTGTCTTGTTGTGAGCATGAACGGTCATCCATGGACGATAGGGGGCTGGCCGCTGGAGACCTAGGTGGCACCGATTAGCTGGAGATATGACCTTACATGATCGCTGGCATAGGGCATGTTCAGACTAGGGCTTCCTCTCCTTGCGCATTGTAGAGGCCATCGACGTCATGCCAGTGGTTCTGCTTTCCATATTTCTTGCGTGTCGCGTGAGGACATACCCCCGACACACGTCAGACATGCATGCTGTCGAAACAATGTGTTCTGCTATCCCCCGACACCGTCCAGAAATACCCAACTGGGCGGCAAAAATGACGGGTGAAGGAAGCTGTGTATACGTATACTGGTTCTCTCCTTCCGAGATCTGCAACTTTGCGCCAGGATGTATTGTGGATGTAAAGCGGCACCAGAGGCACCAGAGGCAAAGGCAAAAAGTGGTCGTGTATATCCACAGTGGTCGACTCTTTTCTCACTTGGAGAGCTCAAGGATTTGTCAGCGACGGAGATACCAAGATCCGCCTTCAGAGCATCACGCCCGCAAATCTGTTCAAACAACCTTGTCAGGAGGTCGAGAGAATTTGAGAGTGCAGGGCGGAAAAGACCTTGAAAGTTTCCGGTGTTTGTCTGACGTCATGTGAATCGCTCTTCAAACTGAACAATGCCGTCGGAAACAGTATATTTGGCTATGTGCATTGGCTTATTCTTTTGGTCTATAGCAAAATCTGGTGTGCATTATTCAGCGACTCGCTGTGCATATAATCTGCGTAACCTTGGAGGTTCTCAAAAATTTAACACTCGCAATAAACCAGTCGCAATTCAAACGCGAAGGTATGTACGTAATACGTAACTGGATCGTGTTGATACCACGGGCGCCGCGAATGAGCGCCGCGGTATCGGATAAAGCCACACCCCTCTGAACGTGCGGGTGCCGAGCCGCCGTCTCACAAAATCACGAGCGTTTTCGCATGAGGACTCCGACCTCCACCCAACTCGGGTCCACATGTGGGCATCCCCATCGCCCATTGGAGAGATGATGGGGGGGGAGGGGGGAAAACAGGTAGTAGACTGCATGGATAGCACTGTATCAGTCTACATGGACCATCTCGGGCGTGGCATGCACATGCATACAGTCGGCCCCGGCCCCTCCCTCGGGACCCGACATATCTTCTTGGGGCTGATGAGCCTGCCAGAGACCCGTCCGTACTTGATCGTGAACGCCAATGACCCCATGGGAAGCACGTTTCCTACGAGTAGTCTACTGCGACGGCCAAACGTGAGCGCAGGACAATGTATCTGGAACTAGGTGGGAGCCCTATCTCGCATGATGCCTCCCAGTCCTCGGCCCTTCGATTTCGAGTTGTATAAACGGTGGCCGTGGGTTTCAATCCACATATCATAAACAAGTCATTCCAGACTGCTGAACTTCGAACGCTGGAGCCATCTGAGAAATTGCTTGGTGTTGGAGCTCGCCGTATTCGTGTCGGACGTAAGATAAACCCGCTCGTCATCACTGACTCATCAGTGATCACTTCTCTGTGTTGCAAGTTAAAGCAAAAGACGCCTACCTCTGGTACCACGACGGTGACTCGACCGATCACGGAAAGCTTATATTGAATCCCGAGGCGCACGACCGGTGCATGGGCACCTGCACACTGTCAATTCAACATTCGCGGTTGGAGCTCGCACGTTGTTTCCGACGCCGTTGAAAAGACTCAGATCAGAGTTTGCAGCTTGTGCCTTCGTTTTGTGCTCGCTACCATTGTGAACAAGTCCCCACAGGTGACCTCGTTTTTTTCTCGTGCGGTGCAATTCGACCATCAGGATAGGCTTTTTCGAGCTCGCCGACGTGCTTTTCCGAGACGTCGTCATCATTTCTTTCCTCTCCCCAGTCCGGACCGTCCGGCTGCCCCGGTCGCTTTCCGACACCCAACGGTTATAAAAGCACTGCGAACTTCTGGGTCCCCCCAATCTTCACCCATCCTCGTCCCTCAGTTCTCAACAATCTGGCAGGTTCCAGTCTTCGGCAGGCCCGTCGCATAGAAGCATAAATTTCCCTCGTCTTCCGTACATATTCATTCCAGCAAGATGAAGTTTACATCTGCCCTCACGGCGTTGATCGCCGCAACCAGTGTCATTGCCGCGCCTGCCATCCCCCGTCGCGGCATCGAAATCGGCGATACCCAAATCACATTCGTCGACCAGATCGCCTCCCCCGTCGGGGCCAACTTCAACGTCAACTTCAAGGGATACGTGACTAAGACCGTCTCCCAATCCACCGTCGAGACTGTCTTCCGTCTCCTCGCGTTCCTCTTCCCCGGCGAGCAGGACTCTGAGATTCTCGACGAGCGCATCAAACTTTTCACGCGTGTCGGTCTTCCTCTCACCCAGGTCGACGTCTCTCTGCCCTTGGGATCAGGTGCCACCAGCACCGTCAATGTCGGACGCACCGACCAAACCGGAAAGTTCTCTGTGGCTAAGGTCCTCGACCTCACCGCCGCCGATGAGACTGACGGCCTCATCGAGTTCACTGCGAACGGTTTCTCTCCCGCCCAAACCATTGGCGGACGCACCTTTGTCCTCAAGGCCAACGGCGTGTCGGTCTTTTCCGACATTGACGACACCATCAAGTTCTCCGAAGTCAACAGCAAGACCAAGCTCCTCGAGCACACCTTCTTGAGGCCCTTCACCGCCGTTCCCGGCATGGCTTCTCTCTACCAGAAGATCAACTCTGAGCTTTCGGCCAAGAACTTGAACCCCACCTTCCACTACCTGTCCCGATCCCCTTGGAACTTGTTCGCTCCCCTCGCCCAGTTGCTCAAGGACAACCTCTTCCCCCAGGGGCAGTTCATCCTCCGCGACCTGTCCGCGTTCGACCTCAGCCTCATCAAGTTCATCACCGAGGGCGCTGACTACAAAACTGACCGCATCAAGGAGTTCTTTGCTCTTTTCCCAACGAGGAAGTTGATCCTTATCGGAGACAGCACCGAGCAGGACCCCGAATCCTACGCCGCGGCCTACAAGCTCAGCCCCAACAGCATCACCTGCATCGCCATTCGCATCGTCACCGGCGTCGATGCCAAGAAGGAAGCTGGACAGATTGCACCTAGCCGTTTCGAGAATACCTTTGCTGGTATCCCTCGCTCCAAGTGGATCACTTTCACCGACCCCAGCCAGATTGACGCCGCCTTCCTCGCCAATGGCAACTGCCGCAAATAGATTGCGCGTTCTGATGTAACATATTCGAATCCATACCATACCCCCCCGCGGAAGACTCATATACAGCTCTTAGGTCTCCATAATCCCTATAATAGCTAATCATTCCATTCCATGATATCGAGCAAAGTGCTATAATGTATAGAGCCTTGCACTCTCGTACGCTTGGTAGTACTGTATCATAGAACCCCCAGTTCATTCACCTGTAACTGTAAATACATATGTGATTCGGCCCTGACACTCGTGTGGAATTTGTGAGGCCCTCGATAGGTCAAAGGAGCCCTCGACGTGATTCCAGGGCATCTGTGATCCAAGCGTCGTTCCCTCGCCTCGTTTGGGGGAGGACAGTTCAACCACATGCCCCCGTAACCAATCGGACCCATTTCCCAACATGAGAAGCTCACGCACGCCTCAGCATCTGCTATCGACTTCGATACCGACGCGTGCCAAGTCATCGGCCTCGTGAAGGACAGCGACGCTCTCTGCAGTATTGACGTGAACCCTCCCGCACGTCGGCTAGACTTCCCCAGAACCTCAAGCAAAGATTTCCCGTTTCGCTCGCGCAGTTGGAGAATCGATACATATACGGTGCCCGTAACCCCGTGCACGTTCCTCGATGTAAATCTCACGCACCGCTCACCACCCGGCATCGACGGCGCTAGCGACGCGTGCCGAACACCCTTCTTGACACAGGACTTTGAAATCTTCTTGGCGCTCGCACGCACTTCATCTTCATCTTGAACAAAAGTTTTCGTCGATCTTCGACACAACGCATTCAGAAACCCCCCAGTCCGTCGCAAAAAGAAGCTTCCAGTCCGGGAATCGAACCCGGCTCTTCCGCGTGACAGGCGGAGATACTAGCCAATATACTAACTGGAACCACGGGTTTCGGTGTGGATAACGGAATCTCCATTCCAAAAGTGGCAAAATTTCCTGTGATTCGCGCAAACGCGCCATTCGTGTCGACGGTGCGCCATGTGCTGCGCTGTGTCCTGTCGTACACCGTAATACCCCCTCCGAGTAACTGCATTGCATCCCTTGCCCTTGGCACTGACTTTCTTCGACTTTTGAGGTTGAAGTTGGAGAGAAAATTTGAGGCATACCGGTGATGTTCTGGAAGGCAGGCACCGAACCAGCCAGCGAAAAGACTCGGGATCCTCCCACCCGAGCTTCCTGTCTCCATGTCGTCTCCACCTGGTTCGTCAGTTCATGATTCCTGTGTGTATTTATGTGTCGGATACGGGATGTTCTTCCATGGGTGCCGCAAGAGCCGTCTCCACATCGGCAAGAAAACGCATGTAATGGATGAGAGCACCATACGTGGCCCGAACCCGTCTTGCCCGCCCTAGATGTCTCTGTCTATGCTTTTGGAGAACAAGGCCGAGCGTCCGCCGCACATGGCTGATGGAAGAGTTCGAAATGGCGAGCGCGACACACTCCTGACAAAGGATCGTGCTGTCGGACGGGGAAGCGCCTAGCCTGTTAACATAAGTGCACGGTCAAACGAATTGAGATTGTAGCCCGTTAGGAAACCAAAAGTACCAATGGTGTTCGGCGGCAACTTCGGGGGCAGCAGAGCCGATGGGAAAACCCCAGACGAACGAACATGGAACTCTTGACCACAACTGCCGAGACCTGAGAATGTCGAAGCAAAAAATACAAAAGAATGTGGAGAATGGGGGTATCGATCCCCCTGCCTCTCGCATGCTAAGCGAGCGCTCTGCCATTTGAGCTAATTCCCCGGTGACGTTTCATGGTACAATTACACAGGTATTACCATATAAATTATTCCTTGTGCGTTTCTTGCGACTCGACTCTATTTGTGGCGACCTCCTGCCATCTCGGCAAATCGGATAACTGCAAAAGTGAGCGGTCCGACTACAGTGTAGTCTCCATTGCGTGCTGTGCGTAGCCCTGGTCTATGAGGGTTCGAAAACCTACACCCGCACCTAAGCATTACAGTCAGTGCAGCATGTTCGAGGTATCAAAAGCGTTCGACGAAATATACAACTCCATCCCGCCACCGCAAAGGGACGATTGTGAAACCCCTCAACGATCACGCTAGCTTCTGGAAACGGTGTCCGAACATTCGATTGATAAGCCTTCCATCTCTCGTTACTTCCTTGCCAAACAAGCAGCAGTTGTTTACGGTTTCGAAATATCTGGGCAATTCACTTGACCATTCGAGTCGCAGCGGGGATAACCCCCACACCTGGTGCCGTCATCTCCGTGTCCCGACCACCGGCAAAAAGGGGATCAGACGTGGCTGTTCGGGCGGCAAACACCGGCACCGTGGCGGTATTCAGATTGGGGTTTCCGTGGGACGCCCTCTTGGGGTGCGTCACACGTTAGAACCCGTATAGTTTTCGCTACGCAACCTTCGGGTAAAGAGCTTCCGAAACTGTAGCATCACCATATCGCAAACGCTAATCGCTTTTCTCCTGCGCACGGCGATTCTGGCAGAACTTTCGATAGTATAATGCGCATTTTAGCACCGAACATATCTGTTAACAGAAATCAGGTAGACTCAATCGGCAACGTCACCAACGTGATCACGTCGACTTCAAGTGCTCATAACGGTTTCGTGAGCTTCCGCTGGATATTAAACTCTTCGGCTGAAGAAGGATGTATCTCTTCCTAACTGACGGCTAACACGCTGCGAAGAACATTGTCCGCCTCGTCCCGCATTTCCTTAGTGGCGCATCGACTGTCTGGACCCGAATTGGCACCGCGGCGATGCGATGGCCGCCGAGCGCTTTCATGCGGGCGGTCAACACCCGGCAATGGACGTTCACCTGCTCTGTGAAAGGGGAACCGATGACTCTGGCGAGTTTTTTTTTGTGCACAACTCGGCCGAATACAATCGTTAAGTTTTACAACGCCCTGAATGAAGGTGGAGGCCCTACGACGACTGTCGACGCTGGAAGCATGGCTGCGTGTCTGAGCAGCTTGAGGATGAAGGGTGGGGTTTGGAAGTCGCTGGTGCCTACTACAGAGGTGGGAAGTTACTGGTCATATGCCGTGGGCCGGAGGTGGTTGCGTGACACCAGCCAGACCTGCGGTGTCCCGCAACCCCCTCAAGCTGATGAGTCAGTATCCGCAACAATAGACGAGACAGACGGCGGAGCCAAAGTAGCGCTGGAAAGGGGGTTAATCCACACGCTGTATAGTTGCTACAGGCACGTGTGCCACGAGTGGGGACAGATTCGTTTCAACGTGCGACGGGATTTGCTAACGCGATAATGATGTAAAGCTAGAGTATGCCGCCAATAAATTACCCTACGCTGCCTTACTCTATCTCTAACGCCTGCTAAACCTCGCCCTCCCCATCGCCTTCCTCTTCATCCACGCCGTGATCAATCACTACGGCATCTGCATCTGCAACCTCATTCTCTCCGGCCTCATCACCATCCACGGGCTCGGCGGGTGTCTTCTTGTTGTCGAGTCCCTCGTCCTCGGGGAGGTCTTCGCCCGTGAGACGATGCATGAGCGATTTGCGCTCGGCTTTGTTCATGAGGAGCGAGATGCTGACTGCCGCGCGCCAGATGGGGAGGAGGACGGGTGTCCGGACACTGATGAGGTGTGGGAGGAGGAGCGGTCGAGTCAGTTTTACGAGGCCCGAACAAATATATGGGGATGGTAGACATACCTTCCACTATATCCCGGCTCTGTCGCTGGGTCAAACTTGACGATACAGCATCCCACAGCTGTACAACAACTCCGGTGAATACAATGTTCCAGAAAATCCGGAATCAAAATCGAGCGGCTTGCAACCACTTACGCAATTTCTCGAAAATCTCCCTCATCTCGTCGCTGAATTTCGTAAACTTCGGGTAACTCATCGGCAGCAAAACCTTAATATCGGCCAGTGATGCTTGGATGACACACTTGTCGGACACAAAGGGTGCGATCGTAGACAGGCCGTCGTTGCTGAGACGAAAGGGGCTGCCGGCACCTCCGTCGTGTGCGGAGTTTCGCGTAAAGGTCACAATTCCGCTGTTTACGATCTGTGAAGAGAGATGGAGCGGGTGAGCCATGGACGGTGCACTTTTGTATGCTAGAGATGCGATGATGCAAACATACGTTCAGGCGATACGAGTTTCCGGCTGTGACGATATTGCGGACAGCTGTCGAAACAAAGTATACCGTTTTCCAAGAGTCGTTTTCAGACCGGACGACAAAGTTGTCCTTGGGGAATTTGTCGCTCAGTCCGTAGTACTCCCTGAAACGAAAGATCAGGGGTCAATGCCTACATGCACTCACGAACACCATCCTGGACCCCAGACACGGACCTAATTGCCAGCAACTCGGGATCATCTCGGTTCAAGAATACAAAGGGGCTCTCGCTTCCTTTCCACGCCGCCTTCTTTTTCTGAGGCTCGACGGCTTCGTCTGAAGAAGTAGCTTTCGAGTGACCATCTTCTTTAGATTCATTCTCTTCAAAATGTATCCGCTTCGCTTCCCGTTCGCTATAATACGAGCAACAATGAGACTTCCAGCATTTTGAATGACAGACGGTAACCCATCCCAGGCAGCGCACCTGTCTCCTTCAGACACCCGCTTTCTCGCGATGCTGAGCAGACGAAGGAGAGACATCAACCATCTGCTTCCCAACGGTTATATCCAGTCACGGGCTGTACCTGTTATCTTTCACGTCTGCGACAGTCGTAGCGTCGTTCGTTGCGGCAGCCTCTGCTTCCGAGATTGGTGCTCCTTTGCCTTCCAGCTTGTCTAGGGCACCGTATGGGGCCACCTTTTCCAGCACAGCAACGAAGAAACCTCCCGTGTTTTGATCGTGCGGGTAAACGCGAACACTGCGCGGCACCAGAAGTCACGGTTAGTGGTCACCCCATCAATTCGTAAATCAACGTGCCTCATCTTACCATCGTTCAAGGTTCATCTCTGCCGCGTTAGCTGGTGGGAAGAGTGTCTGCACCATCTGGTGTCTGCTTGCTTCTGGAATGTTTTCGTACGACTCGTAAAACGTGCCGTCCTTATGTTGAACCTTCCAGCTTGTCATCCCTGGTCGACGAATGAGGCCAGGTAGCTCTTTCGATACATCTACGAGCCGGAAGGCCCCACCGCACTGCGAAATGGCGGCTGCCACCACGGCTTCGTTTTCCATCGGGTTAAAGGAGCACGTCGAGTACACGATACGGCCCCCAACCTTCACCAGAGCGCATCCTCGGAGCAAGATCGGCAACTGGACCCGGTGAAGCGCGTTTCCGTTGCCCACTGTCCATGTCTTCCAGATGTTTTTGTTCTTGCGGAATGTTCCATCACCACTGCAAGGCACATCAGCGAGTACGCGGTCAAACCGTAGAGTTTTTGCTTCCGGCAGATCCTTTGGTGTGAAATATATCGCCGGGAACTGCTGTGCGTCGTGATTGGTGACCATTAAACAGGGACTCTGCAGACGCTTGGCCTGCTTGACCAACATGTACGACCGAGCCTGATCCGCGTCGTTGGCGATGACCAGGCCATCAGGGATCGCCTCCGACTCGTCAGCGTGAACTGCCTCCAGAATCTGTGCAGTTTTGCTTCCGGGCGCCGCACACATATCCAGGACCGAGTGATTTGGCTTTACGTCCAACAATTCGACAGGAATCATGCTCACCACTTCTTGCCGACTAATATTGCCCTACGTAAGGAATTAGGTTTATCTTTAGGTACATTCATCGAAGATGTACCAGCTACGTACCACTTCAGTCTCCGCAACAAGGAATCGGTGGAACTTTGCTAGTTCAGCGGACTTTCGCAGGGCATGTCGGGAGATTGTTGAGACCCATGCAAGCTGATCGGGGTACCTTTGAGTTCTTGGTGAGCCATCCTTCTACGCACCCATATACACATGTAAACAGCCTCTTGTCTCACCACGGGAGTGGCTTGGGGACCTCAACCTTTTCGCCGTCAACCTCGAAATCTTCCATAGACGGAAAGTATTCCTTGATCATCAAGTCACGAAGCTCTTCCGCATGGCTATCCGATGAGCACAAACGGCGTTTTAGTTATCCGACGTTCCTGAGACGTTTTGGAGAAGGCAATTTGTTCCTAACCTGCGACTTCCCGTAATTCTGAAACTCGTAGGAAGAACAACCTTCAGCGAGTCTACGAACTTGTCAAACTCGTCTTCGGCAAGAATACCCTGCGTCTGTTCAGAAGGGCATACGTTTCAACTTCCCAGAAGACCGCACCTGTGCAGCTACGACAACATAGGATACCCACCTTGTAATAGTGCTCGAACTTTTCGTTTTTCTGGACAATGTCTCCATATTCGCCGGTCGACTTCTTCGGGCCCTTTCTCTTCTCGAACTTTTTCTTCTGATAGCGAGACTTTTTGCCCATGATGGGCAACGTTTATGTGTTATTTGTGGTGAATAGTAAATGCGAAAGCTTGTGCCATGGGGTTTCCCAGCTGCCCCAGGGTGTTCGAAAGCTCGAAACGCGCGAAAAGAAAAGCTTCAGAACTCAGCTCGCTTTCGCCATTTGCTCCCCCTGTCCCGAGAGCATTGGCTTCCATATCTCACAAGAGACCCCCACATATCACACTAGGGTACTAGGGCAGCACTCGCTGGAACCTGGACTGTCTGTTGGTGTGTGTTGGAAGCTAGCAAAGCGGCCCATTAAAACTCACAGACGCACCCGAACCTTGCAGGTAAGCCTTGTGGCAGTTTCAGCACTGTTCCTTTGCTCTTCCCCGCAGCCGAGGGGAAAGGTACTCTCGTAAGGTTGCCTGGAAGCGGTACAGGGGAGGCGACGCCAGTGGCGTGGATTTTCTCGAAAAAAGCTAACTTTTCGACCCATTTCCGGGTAGTGTCGTGAAGCATGGGCAAACTAAATCCAGCGGGAGGAAGCGGCGACAAAGCGAAAGCCGGTAAAGGTGGTTCAGCACTGAAGCGGCTGAAGGCTTCACTGAAAGACGCGGGCGTAATCGGAAAGCACCAGAAAATATCAAAGAAAAAGTCAGCAACACAACGTGCGGCGGCTTTGTCCGGGCGGAAGGAAGCTCGTGACACTCTCCGACAAATATCCTCCAAAGCAAAAGATAATAACCCTTTCGAGCTAAAGATCAACCGTCAGAAGCATGAAGTCATAGGCAGAAAAGTGAAAGGTGCTGCTCCAGGAAGGCCTGGGCTTGTGCGGAAGCGCGGAGAAGAGAATCGGATGCGGACGTTGGCCGTGGAAATGCAGCGAAAGAATAAAGACTCGGCTTTCGTGGATAGGCGTTTCGGAGAACACGACGCAACCATGTCTGTCGAAGACAAGATGTTGGAACGTTTCATGAAGGAGAAGTCGAATAGGTCTTCCAAAGGGTCCATGTTCAACCTGGACCAGGATGAAGATCAGGAGCTTGAACTCACGCACATGGGTCAAGCTTTGAATGAAGACGCCTTCAATGACGCTGGATTGCACAGAGTCGGCTCGGACGCCGAAGACGAGCCGGGTCACATCGATAAGGACACCGTCAGGTACACCCACTTCGGGGGTTTCAGCGATGAAGAAGGCGAAGGGGAGGACGACGGGACCGGAAAGCGGAAATCGAAAAACGAGATCATGAAGGAGATCATTGCAAAGAGCAAACTGCACAAGCGAGAACGTCAGCAACAGAAAGAGGAAGATGAGGATCTGGCTGACGAGCTGGACGCTCAATTGGATGACATCCGAAGTCTTCTGGCGCCGCTCAAGGATGAGCCCAGGCGCGGGGCTCGGGATTCCAAGACGGGAGCTACCGATTCCAATATGGTTCCTGTTTCGGACAAGCGAGGTCGGAACGCTTCGACGGCAGAAGTAGTCGAGGAAGAGAACAAGGTCGCCAAGCCCGCAGCTGACTACGACGATTACGACCAGTTCGTGCGAGAGCTCGCATCCGAGCGTCGTGCGAAACCTACCGACCGATTGAAAACCGAGGAAGAGCAAGCCGCTGACGAGAAAGCCCGTTTGGAACAGCTGGAGCGTGATCGGAAAAGGAGGATGATGGGTCTGCCCACTGAGCAGGAAGAGAAGGCTCAAAAAATGGCGGCCCGTCTTGAGAGGGAATCGTCTGGAACGAAACGCCCTGCTGAAGCGGATGATCTTGGCGATGACGATTATGTCACTGCTGTGGATGAGATGGTTGAGAACGAGGAAGAGATGCCCCTTACGTACCGCGATGGAAAGCTGATGAACAAGGAGGTGTTCATGAGAAAGAAGAGGAAGCTAAATGACGACGAAGAGGAGTCTGAGGACTCGGATGATGAGGACTCGGATGATGAGGACGATGAGGACGATGATGAGCATGACGACAATGAGGGTGAAGAGGAGGGTTCCATGCTTGAGGAAAGTGAGGAGGATGATGAAGAAGGCGAGGATGTAGATGCCGATGGTTTGACAGAGAACTGGGTGGTCGAAGACATGGTCAACATGGGTGATGAACCACCCAGCCCGGATTCGGATGATGAAGCAGCTCCTGCGTCAGCGCACAAATTGCCATTCAAGAAGGATGCCGCCGCGCCAGGCGCGGCTGCAGCCGCCAAGGAATTGCCGTACATCTTTGAGGCTCCCACAACGGTGCAAGACTTCTCGAAACTCATGGAAGACCGGAACCCGGAAGAGCAAGCGACGATCGTTCAGCGTATCCGTGTCTTGCACCACGTTAAACTCGGAGGAGATAACCGCAAAACGTTGGAGAATCTGCTGGACATTTTGTTCAAGCACGTATCTGCTCTGGCTAGCCCGCAAGCTGACCGATCCACAACGGGCGCCGAGGATCTCAACAGCATCAACGCCCTCTCGGTCCACATTATCGAGCTATGCCATCAGTTCCCTGAGCAAGCCAGTACTCACTTCATCGAGAGGCTTACCAAGCTGCAAAAGCGGCTCGTGAAAGATCTGTCATCCCCTTCAGCCGCGCGACGGAACGGTGCGTGGCCGTCACTCGATGCCCTGTTCACACTCCGCTTCATCTCTCGAGTGTTCTCCACCTCCGATTTGGTTCACCCCGTCGTGACACCCGCTCTCCTGCTGATGGGACAATATCTCTCCCAGTGCCCGGTTGCGGGCTTCCGTGGGACGATTGCAGGACTCTACCTGTGCGATATTGTCCACGAGTTTGAAGTGTTGTCCAAGCGATATGTGCCTGAGGTCATCAACTTTATCGCGACCACGCTCGCCCTTGCGCTGCCATTGACCAAGAGTGAGGACGCTGATGAAGAGGGTACCACCGTCTTCGAGACCGTCCCCATACTGGAGGCGCGCGCGAGTTTCTTGCGCATAGAGGATTTTCCGGATCTGAACGCTGCTGAAGTTGCGCCTATGTCCTTGAAGCTACTCTCCACTGACAATGTCCCCGTGGAAGAATCGATCGATCTATCGATGCGCCAATCCATTCTCTTTACGGCTCTCACCATGCTCGGCAGATTCGCGCGGCTGCATATGAACCAACCCTCCTATATCGAAGTCTTCACGCCCTTCGCCAATCTCCTCGCCACCGTCACAGACTCCCTCCCCACTGGGGCGATCCCAGCCCTCCTCACAAGCACCCACAAACAACTAACCACCCAATTTGCAACCCACACGCTCAAACGCCGCCCCCTCCTCCTCCAAAAGTTCAAGCCGATCCCCATCTCCACTTTCGTCCCCAAATTCGATACTAACTACTCCATCGACCGCAAATCCCGCTCCTCCGGCGCCGCGCGCGACCCCAACCGCGAGCGCGTTGAGGCCGCCAAGCTGAAATACGAGTACAAGCAGGAGTTCAAGGGCGCCGTCAGGGAGTTGAGGAAAGATGCTGCATTTGTGGCGCGGAAGAGGCTGGCGGCGGTTAAGGAGAAGGATGTTGAGTATAAGAAGAAGATGGATAAGATTATGGGACAGTTGGCCAACCAGGAGGGGGCGATGCGTGGGTACGAGAGGGATATGAAGAAGGCGAAGGGGAAGAGGCGGTAGATTGGGGGTTTTCGCAACTGGGCACACTGCATATGTATGATAGTCATTATTTGTAGATTAGCGTAGACATCATGTCTTATTTAAGTTTTTGAAACAGTAATCCATCATTTTTATCCGCATATGAATTCGCGGATGCATCTGGAGTTGCGAAATCCAGAGTTGCATCTCCAATCCAGGGTTGCAACTACACAGGTTCCATCTGGAGTTGGAAATCCAGGATTGTCATGGCGGAGTTGTTAACGGGGCCGCCCCGTCAAAAAAAGCCACATTTGGATTGACAGGGTTTTTTGCAAATCGGTTTTCCTACCCCTCGTTGCCGAACTCCTCCTATTACTCGATAAGGTAGTGCCCTAAAACTTTGTGCCCACATGCTGTTGGATATCTCACCAGTCACAAACATCGAAAGACTGACAGTCAACATCGAGGTCACCTCTGCATAAACCAACATCAACTACAAAAATGGTCGCCCGTAAAAAATCGGCAAAGTCCCACAAACGAGACAAATCCGGCTCCCGCGATGCATCGGCCGCAGCCTCCACCAGGAAAGTCACCGTAGGCACGCAGATTGCCAAGCAGATCATTAAAGGCCAGACGGGAGCCCCGGGGGAGTTTCGGTTGGAGGATTTGAATGAGGGGGTTTTGCAGGCGAGGTGGGTGTAGATTTGATGTTTGGGATACTTGTGCATTGGGAGCTAAGGCTACTCCTATCTAGGCTGGATACGTTGGAAATGGAGCTGGATGACTATAAGAGGAAATGCGAAGGATTGTATGTGCACATCAGCCAATGTCTTGTGTGGAATGCATTATGAATATTCATGCCATGAAACATAGAAAGAAAGAGAACGACTGGTACCGAACCGAAATCGAGTCTTGCCAGCAAGATACGGTGAGCCGAACCATGCAGAGTTCAGAAGCCATCGCACAGTCTCGCTAACCCTCCGTCTTTCTGGGATTCTAGGCCGAATACGTTACCTACCTCGAATCCAAAAAGTCTGAAAAGCAGTCCGCGATCGACTCGTTGATCGACGGCAGCAAAAAGGATTTCGAAGCGTTTCTGGAGAGGAAGAAGGAGAAGGAGAAGGCTAACCAGGCGCGGATCGATGGTAGGTGTATGACCCAAAAGACAAGCTATATCACTCCACAGAACTGAATGTGTAAGGTCTTCTTTGCAGAGCTGAAGGTTATGATAGCCGATCTTGAGGAGAAGATCGAAGTCAAACAGCAGGAGGTCAACGGCCTCTCAGATGTCATGGTATGGGCCATTTTCTTCGCTGAGCCGCCCGCAGCAGTTTCAACATGTTTGACTCTGCAGATCTTGACATAGGCACATCGAGCACGGCACGAAGCGGAGATAGCGAGCGTGCAGAAAGAGATGCAGGAGTCCGAACGGCAGCACCGGGTACAGATGCAAGAGTTGGAACGGACGTTGTTGGAGGAACGGATCAAAGTGCAGAAGGAGACGGATACAAGGATTAGGGAGATGGAGAGTGCTGCTCATGAGGTCTGTGCAAGGCTCTTTCATTGTGGAGTCAGTACTGAACGGAGTGACCCCATAATCGGTCTAGAAAGCACACGGCTACCTCATGTCGCACATCGCCTCACTCGACGCCGAAAACGAAACGCTCTCAACCCACCTCCGTCACATCGTCCAGCAAACCGAGCATCTCCTCGCGCAAAAGCAAGAGTTAGAGCAACGGAACAAGCAGCTCGCGCGGGACGCCATGGTAAGGAGCGAGATGGTCCAGCTCCGACTCGCCAAGGTGCAGGACTATGAGCTTCGGCGAGGACGGGGCCGGGAAAAGGAGAGGAAGTTGACGAGGGAGGGGCGGAAGAACGCGATGGTGAAGTTGGCGAGGGCGAAGGAGGTGGTACAGGCGGGGCTTGGCACTACTGCGAGTGAAGGGTCAAGGCCTGGCTCGTCGCTGACGACGATGAAGGCAGGGTCGAAGAAGCCTGGGGTGGTGGCGGAGGTCATCTTCAATACGTCGGCGTCTCAGGCGGGGCAGAAAGCGTTGGCGGAATTGACCGTGGACGAGGCGGATTTGGACTGGTCGGATGAGGAGGACGATGAATATTTGTGAAGTGTGGATGATGATTTGAGACATTCAAGATTAAACGGCTGCCCGATTACAGTGCTTGTATATACTGTGTGGAAGAACCTATGTAACGCAAAGTGCGATTTGCTTTCTTCCTAACTTCAACTAGCTCACACTTCCCATGGGATCCGGTCCATCGCGGGCTTCACCTCGCATTCAGAGGAGCGCTTCGCCTGTGTGGTTTACAGAGACGTCAGGTCTTGAATGTTCCCACATGTGGTAAGCTAGGTATCGCTGTTGAGTGCATGATGAATACTCGAGAAAAAACTCGTCGTTTTTATCTACTCCATCGATACTTCGGTAGGCGGGAACATCAAGCATACGAGGCGCACCGGCGTCAGGATGTTGGCCTCCCAGCAGTCCCTGATTGAAGCTACTGTCGAATGCCGGCCCCGCGGTTCGTCGCTGCTGCATCAAAGAGCGGAAGGCGGCGAGAATACCGGACTCGGTGGAGGCATCGGGATGTGGGCATTTAAGTCATCGACATCTACCAGTTTCACCTCATCAGAAGCCACACGGTCGGTCTGCGTCATGCGCCACATCCCCCAGATTCCACTTCCTTTTGCTTTCCCTGCTTAGTCCAACGCTCTAGTGATCTCCTTCACCTGCTGGCCGCATCGAAGACAATGGTACGACGAATCAACCATCATGCTCGTCCTGTGAAGTGACACTGCTCATCAGCCTTGGTTCATCAAGTGAATTGCCCTCGCAGTTACGTACTTGATGCAATAATAACAATACTTGTGACCACAGTTGGTGATATAGGGAACCTGTATCACCGGTCTATTCGCATTGTTGGCGTGACAGATGGCACATAGGTGGTCGGGAAGTGTTACGATGGTCGGACCCGATATTGACTGACTTATCGTGTTCTTGATTTTCTCGATGTTGACGAGTGGAACCAGGAACATCAGGAATTCCTACGAAATTAAAAGTCAATCGGGCGCGCACCATCGACAACCGAAAAGAAACGGCATCGGCGGCAAAGCGAAAGCGGGTACATACTGTGAAAGCCTGCCACACCAGTTGCCGATTCATGAACTCAAAGCTGACTTGCCGCGACATCTCCCGTTGCTTATATACCAGGCGCATCCCGAGTATCCGATCTACCAGGGAGCGATACCTGCGGACCGCGTCAGAAAAATGTCGCGCGCAACGTCGGATGCAGAACGCTGGCCCTACCTTCCGTTATACAGGAACACCAACAAGTTCAGTAGGGACAGTCCTCGATACCAATTCTCAAACTTTTGCAGAGAGTGCCAAATTTTGTTGTACCAGCTCGCCTAACAATCAGCCTCTGCTCAGTATGGGAACTGAAAGCCAATCCCGAGTACAACCGTCAATGCTACCTCGTGCATCTCGCTCCAACCCTGCGTTGTCGCGTATCTGTTCAGACGTAGCCAGCCCCACGGTCCAACGATGCACAACAACGCATGCAGGAGCTTTTGTCTCTTGCTCAGCGGAGCATCAGCGGAGGACACCTCAACTTCAAAATTGCTTCATCAGCAGCGGCCTGGATGGTCGAACTAATCGAGAGAAGACTCACGTCTGCCTTTGTGCCGGCTTTCGTCCCTGTATTTCAAGTTCTGTAGCTGCAGACCATAGGTGGCGCCCGTAGAATAGATTGACAGCTGATACATCACGAAATGCAAGAGTGCCATAATTTCAGGCTCGAACTTCTCTTTCACTGAGCTCTGGTGATCTCCAGTTAGCACACACACACCTTGAGCAGCTCGAAACATAACGAGCACTTCGCGCGACGTACCTTGAACAGGGAGAACACGCTTAACAGCTGGTCCCGAAGTATGCCGGTCAGCTCTCCATCAAGCAGCTCGGCATCCAGTTGGCTGACCCTCAAAACCGTAAGGGGTTGAGGGACTGTCATCGATAGAGCTTTTCGAGCGACCTCAGCCGCGGCTGGGCTGACATTCTGGCCAAGGACCCCTGAACCATTGTGAGCAGGCGCAGTTTCTCCAGCCCCGCCCTGGACCCAGAATGCGCCAGCGTCGGGTACTACGGGCGCTGACGGTGGTGGTGGTGCCTCCTCAATGGCCATCGGCAGGCGGAAACGCGGTTTCGAGTCGAATTGCTTGACGACTTGAGTTCCATTCCCGCCTGTTCCCGCAACCGCCTTTGTCGGAGTTTCCCGACAACAAGACGGACATCTGAGAAGGAAGCGAGACTACATATACAGACTTTCCGCTCTTGGCTTCGCTAGGATTTATCACCCGCGTGGACTATATTTCCTGCTTTTAACCCTTGTGGAGACGAAACCCGACGGCATGAAAAAGATCTTCCACTTGGCTCCGCTCTCGGGCTTTCGGTTGGGTTCAGCTTGCCAAGGGCCTCGCATAGTGTCGCATTATATTCCGTCGATATTGAGACGAGCAGCCTTCCAGCCGGTGGCCTCGTGTTTGCGATACTCAACAGCAAAAGAGTCGGAGTTCAATGCTCAAGAATGGCTATCGACGTTCTCGAGAGAAACCATACCAAGAGGTCAGTGGGGTCGGCGCTTTCAAGTTTCGGTTTGCCTTTGTTTACCAAGCTTCATCTGTAGACCAGTTTGAGATCTCGTTTGCCAGAAGCGGGGGACCTGGAGGGCAAAATGTGAACAAAGGTACGAGGCGTCGCTCTCTTCTCCAGCACCCCGACTATCACTCACAGCGCAAGCCCTTGTGTTCGCATCCTTTAGTGAATACGAAGGTGGATATGCGTTTCGCCTTGAAGACAGCTACATGGTTACCGGAAGAAGTGAAAGCAAATTTGCGAACTAAGGTATGTAGAGCTGGAGTGACCCTGGGAAAATCTCAGCTTGGTCAAAGCCATGCTAAACTAAAGACATGATTTGTTGCCAGAGCAGCATTCCAATAGGATTACGAAGCGGAATGAGTTCTTCATAAGTTCTGAACGACATCGAACGCAACATGCCAATATCGAGGATTGCATAGATAAAATCTTCGAGATGGTGAAAGAGTCTGCTGGAGAGCTCGTAGAGCACGAGCCATCGGAAGAGCTGTTGGCGAAGATCGACGAATTGTGAGTGTCTTTCCTTTTATAGGTGTAGTGTGGGAATTCAGGATGAGGCTCACATGTGCGTGCCTACAGCAAAAGGGTGGACAAGGAGAAGAAGATGAAAGCCAAGGAACGTCTCGGATCAAAGAAAGCCAGTCGGAAACGAGGTCGCGACGATTACTGAGGCGATACACACACGATCCGATGAATAGAGTATTTATTTAGAACTTATCATTTTGGATAGCTCCTCAGCCCCGGTGGATAGGGAACGCTACTTGGTTGCGGCTGGGAGAGGCGTATTGCATCTCCGCGTTCGCAGTCGAACTTCTGCATCCTTTTTTTTGGCATTGAGGGAATCTAGAGGCGTATTAGAGGCAATGGTGAAGGAACTCTTGAACATTGCATTTTTCATTCGTGGATGGAGGATAAGCCGAGGGCAGTGGTAGAGCACGGCATACACTATTGCATGTCAAGAAATTTTACATATGATCGAAGCATTGAAGAAAATATGTTTCTCGAAGTGACCATCATATCGTTGTTCCTTCCCCGTTGTTTCTTCCCCAGTTCAGCGCATGAAAAGTTCAAAACGAGGCACTCAAGGGAAGGAAGGCAGAAATGACGGGAAATGACAGTGGTGCTCCTTTGACGCGAGATTTCGCTTTTCCCGGTTTTTTGTTCGTAGACGAGTTACGTAGAACATTACGATCTCTGAACGACCCCCCACCGAACGGACACAAAGGCAGCCATGTCCGAACCAGAGGTTGACGCCGCCCTACTCCAGCGCTACAAGGAGCGCCTGCAAGAAGTCATTGGCACCACCGAAAAGTCCCTGCAACACTGGAAAAAGTACGACGAAGACTACGCAACCCTGACACAATTCCTAGAGGGTGCAGTGAAAACAACAAAGAAGGACGTGATGGTCCCTTTCGGACCGTTTGCTTTCATGCCCGGCCAGTTGGTGCATACGAATGAGGTCACGGTTCTGCTAGGAGATAACTGGTTCGTGGAGCGCTCGGTTGCAGAGGCGGTGGAGATCATTGGACGACGGAGGGAATACACGTCGGAACATATTGAGGCATTGCAGAAGAAGATGGACGACTTGAAGGCGCGGGCGAATGTTGTTGCGGGCGACGATGATGCTGGCATCCAGCTGGAAAAGTCCAGGGTCGATGAGGATGGGGATGAAGTGAATGAAGAGGGTCTGAAGTATGTTGAAATCAGGGAGGAGTACGATGAAAACAACACGGAAGTGACGAAGAGGGATGGTGTAAGGCCGTCGGCAGGTCGGAAGCCCGTTCAAGAGATCAAGAAGGATGTCAAGAAGGACGCGCAACCCGATATATCCTCAATGGGAGCATTTGAAAGGAGACTGTTTGCGAAGATAGCACAGTACGAAAAGGAGGAGGAAGAAGGGGACGGTAGTGACTGGGAGGATGGCGAAGAGGACGAAGAAGATGTTGAGCAAGATTCGGAGAGTGAGATGCGGTTCGAGGAGATGGACGACGATGATGACGACTACAACGACTTGGTGCAAGGAGAACGCACGCTGAAGCCGTCACTGAAGAAGCAAGACTCTCATTCGAGTGTCCATGATGACTTCAAGCCTGTACGGAAAGCGGTCAGCTTTGCCAATCTTGACGGTGCGGAAGCAGAGCAGAATATTGTCCCCGCAGCAGCTACGACGATCACAAGTCCAGCGGATATTTACAAGCAGATGTCGGTGCGATCAGTTCAATCAAGCGGGAAAGCCCGACCAGATTCCAGCATCGCAGATCCACATCGGCCCAAATCGTCGTCAACACTCAGCGACACTGTCGTTGAACACGAAGATCCGGACGTCATGTCTGAAAGCGAAACGGATGACTTCCTATTTGGACGAGAACTGCAGGATGAATACTTCCGGAAACGGAATCGGATTTTGCAGGCTCAGACAACGGAGCCGATTACTGCTGAGGAGGAGTGGGTGAGCAGAGTAAGCATCCTTTGTTACTTCATTTCGCTGACTGACCAAACTATTCTTAGATTGCAGAAGAGGAGAAAGCGGGGGCTAAAGAGGCCAAAGTGTCGCGGTTCAAAGCCGCAAGACTTGCTGTGCACCAGGCGACGGAATTCCCAGATACCATAGGGCTTCGCACGGTATTGCTGATTGCGATGGTTGCTGAACCCTGTGCATGTCGCTCACACGTAATTCATCCTCATGCAGACGGCACTGTCGAAAGAGACACCAACGATACCGTCTATAGCATCCGCCTCAGCCAGCGACGATTTCACAGTACGGACGCCAAAAAAAATCGTGCCCACTGAGAAAGCAGCCAACACGCAGCGTGTGTCCCGGTTCAAAGCCGAGCGGTTGGCTGCGGAAGAAGCTGAACGGTCAGAGCCGACGAACCTCGTCGGTGGATCTCGCGATCGTGCAAAGGAAGATGATGCGGAGGAGGAGGAGGTATGGTTTTGTCCCGGTTGAGCACAAACTGTACGAAGCTTGTAGCTAAAATGTTACTCGCCTGGAAATCCCTCTCCGTCAGCCACTGGTCGACGCCTCCTTACCGCCACGGCGAAGCAAAGCTCCACCTACTGTCGGCACGGCAAGTCCCAAAGCTCACACGCCTACCCCAATCGCCGTTCCCACATCGCGATCTTACAACACATCTCAGCCTCCAATTACCGAGCAACCGCCAGTAGATCCACCTCAACAAGCTCCAAAGATGTCCCGGTTCAAGGCTGCCCGACTCGGCCTGCAGCAGGACAAGTGATCTCTTCATTGAGGTTCTACATTCTTTCAAATGTACATAAGGTCGTGCCACCACACATTAGAACGCACCACATCGTAGAAACACAACGGCATTATCATTATATCATTAGTCAAATAGCTTTCCACCCCAGTAGACACCGTCACAAAGAGATACAGACAACTTCTGTATTCATATACACCTGACACCTGAATACACAGAACAATACCAGAATAGAGGGTACAGACCTCTCAACACGCGCTACCATAATGGATCGCATCAAAATTTGCCCTTCAACCACCCGCTCCATCTCCTCTTCCCCATATCCGACTGCGTTTGCCCTACATCCCATGTCTTTGCCCGCGTCGTCACTGGAATGCCTACGCCAATCTCGTTCCTATAATCGGGGCCATTGCTTCCGCTGACGGCAAGGATGGTGCTTCTCAAGACGCTAATGGCGTCTCTAAGGGGATCCATCGAATTCGGATTGGAGTATGGGGATGACAATGAGGGAAAGGTGGGCCCAGCTGCTGCATTCGCATTGGAGTCGGAGGATAAGGGAGCTGCAGCAGAGAGCGGGAGGGATGTCCCCGAGGCAGATGCCACGGATATGCTGTGTCGTCGAGGATGCGGGGAGATGCTCATGCGTCGCGGTAGCGGTTCAAGGGCATTGAGAACCGCTATCCATTGCGCCATGACCGGTACGCTCTGCGCCTCGCGGATCATAGCCGCCTGCCGCGCGACAGCCGCAGCGGGTAACGCGTAGAGCAGGCTCGGCGCCAATGTGGACGACGATGACGGGCCGGCTCGGAAGTGGTGTGGTTCCAGTGCGCATCCGAGATCCATGAACTCGAGGACAAGGTCGCCGATAATTTGCGAGTTGCCGATGGTGCTTTGCTTCAAGGCGTTGCTGGCGGCGGCGATGTTGACCGCCGATGTGTTGGACGTGCGGTACATGTATCCCAGCATCGCACTCGGAGGTCGTTGGTCCATTGATGTGCGGGCAGTTGCCGCTGCGGAGCTGTGAGACCGATGCGGTAGATGCGGGCGACTCTTCAACGTGGAGGCGCCGCCGGACGCTAAGCCAATTTCTCCAACATCATTGATCCACACGATAAGATCATCGAACGCGGCTTTTGCGAACTTGTGAGAGGGGCCAAAGTGTTGCACCATCCACTTCCAAGCTGGAATGGGATACTGTTGCTCGTAGCAACGAGTCCGATACGGTAAAGCATTCGTTGGATGAAACAGGATAGTGCGCAATACGGCGTCTGAAATGCGCGAAGTAGATGCTATGTTTTCGACAACGGTGGGCGAGAATGCCGTTGTCGATGGGCCAAGGTGATCAGCCAGAACTTGGGTCGAGGCTCCCAGGAGCACCGATGGCGATACGTGCCTTTGCAGAATCGATAGAACTTGTGGCGTTGGGTTGTTTCTCATTTGGCTGAGGACGACAGGACTGGTGAGCGTAAACCCTCGGGCAAGGTAAGGCTCCAGCATGCTACCAACGGATTTTTCACTTGCGGGCTCCGTCGCAGATGAGGAATGTGCCGAGCACGACGTCATGAGATGACCGATGAGACTATCATTGATCAAGGATGGCCATAGACCGTTTGCTTCTATCAATGTATCAAGAAGCGTTATGTCCGTTTGTATCAACTGGGATAGTCGAAACGTGGCTGTTGGCGTGATGCTCTCCAATGGAACAAAGTGGTATCGCGTGATGAGGTCTCGAATGGCCGGCAGGTTCCGCAAAAGATCGTTGGTCAAGTACTCAAACGTAAGGATATCATCCTCAGCGCTGAAATCATGGTTGTGAGCATAGTACATCTTTGCTTCCTCCATGATGCGCTGCTGTACAGCCGTCAGGGGCAACCCATCCCTTTGTTGCTCGTTGGTGATCTGTTGCACCATGAAGCGTGGGATGCGAGCTCCGCCGCGGAACAGAAGACTAACGAGCTCCGGGTCCAAAAGCCGGCGGTGGCGGACGTAGGAGAGGTACAGCGACAGCCGAATTCCGTACTTTCCATACAAGCAGGCACGGCGAACGTGAGGGTTGCCCAGCAGTGTGTGTGAAGCTTTGCTTGTTTTGCTAAAATTGTCCAGGTCGGCGATGTATGACACTATCCGCATCCAGATCTATACGACAAAGTGAGTACAATCGATGTTAGCCAGCAAGCAACCTCGATCCATGCCGTGACAAAAAGCAACTGGGATAACAAACCTCATTGGGCAAATGCATGAAAGCTTCGCCGGTACCCTCAGTTGGCTTGGCCGCTGCTCGCTTAGCATAGAGTGTTGGCAAAGCCCATCCGTGACCGCGACGCACATTCCGCCACAGGGAGCTATCTGAGCCACTGCGCAACTGAAGGGTTGGTGTTCGAAGGCCGCTATGGAGCACGAAGCCTTCGACGTGGGTGATTTGGCAAACCGACGCGCTGCTAGCGGTACCATCGTCCTCCCCGCTTCGTGACGATTGCTTCCTGCCTTTCTGGCTCGGCTGAAAGGGAGCGATATCTCTTTCGACGGGAGCACTTGACCGTCGCGAGCCGTTGCGACTTGCGACAGCATTGTCTTCCCTCGCTTCCGTGAGTGTTGTGGTTGAGTCGTGACGCCGATGCTGGGTTGACTTTGACTTTCCGGAAGAGAACCACGATTTGAATAGCCTCAGTGGGGTGGAGACCATGGATAGCTTTGCTGGGTGTTGGCAAGATTTGCGCCGATGCTAGTATACGAGGACTTTATACAGGATTCCAAGTGAGAGAAATGGCGCAGCTTTGGAGACACAACAGAATTCGATCCAGGTTTCAAGAGACGTGGCGGAACGAAGGTTGGCGATATATATGTGGCGGATATTCCTACTTTATGGTTTTGCAGGTGAGTGTATTAGGAGTGGGGATGTTGGGCGAGCGTCAGGGGGCTGCTGTTGAGGCCACAAAATGCACAGAATGGGAACTTGACAGGAGAGTTTTATGCTCGCTGCTGCTCCTCCGCATAATTCATAATCCGCTCGAAGGGACGCCGGCAGCAGACCGCACACCACGTTCCTCTCCGGAACCCCTTCCGACCGCTTGTGCGCGGATCCCTCGAACAATAAGGCAATTCACACATGCATGCCATTTGCGGGCGATCCTTGTAGCGCATCGGCAGCACCCCTGTGCTCTCGAAGCACATGCACCATTCCGCCGTGGGATTTGCCAAGGCGACATAACCTTTATTCGAAAGTTTCGGGGGGCTTCATCAACCTCGCGCGCGAAACGCCAGCACAGCCCCGAAGGAAGGAATCTCCGAATTGGCCACAAACCGTAAAAGCTACAGACGGAGGCTGATGCAGGAGATCCCCGAGTTATCCCACAGTTCGTAGTCATTCATATGGAATGAGTTTATGGTTTGTGGTGGTGGGGTGGGTCGAGAGATGAGGCTGAGTTTAGCTTTCGGACGATCTTCAAAGGGGACTTGCCACTGAACGTTCACCTTGACACTGCAGTACCTTCACAGTAGGGCCAAGAATCACGTGCGTTCTTTGACGCGTGACGTGTACCAATTAGCCGCCAAACGCAATCGTTTTCGTGCAGGCCAGCTTCTCGCCACCGCGGTCTTCCTCAAAAAAACCCTGAAACTTCTCCGTTCGATCACCTTTCTGATCTCAAACCCAATCGACTTCCTGCCCGCCCGTCCCTTACCACTGCTATCTGCTCTCCCAGCCCTTTAAACTCGACGAGTGTTAATATGAACGCACTCGAGTCAGCTACCGTTTGGAACGCTTTTTTTCCACTTTCATCTCGAATTACAACCGTGCATCCCCCAAAAACGGACAATGAGAGTATTCAGGCGAGAACGGGTTGATGGGTGGAGCCAAAAAGGATTGTATTCAAGAAAGATACCAAGGCTTATGCACTACACGAAGCAACACGAGAATGAACGAGTATGATGGGTGAAACAAGTATGAGGGGGAGGCGAGTGAAAGCGGGCTCCCTCATGACTTAAGAGAATGAGAAGTGCACTGCGTACTCGGCGGTGTCACGCCTAAAGAATGAGAGAAGACACGGAGGCGATCAGAACCGGCATGCGTCAATACACCGCAGATGCGCTCCAATCTCCGCGAACACAACAGCAGGGTTACGTATATCCCCAAAGAGTTTATGAACAGAGGAGCCAGGATGTGCTCATAAGCACAGGGTACAATCGCCCACCTCAAGGTCTTGCTTTTTCAACACACATCGCCGCACCCAAGCCTAGTAGCTTTTCCACGAGCCCATGACACTTCCATCGCGTGCCCACCTCTGCTCAGTTCCATAGTGCGCAGTGGTGTCTGCATTGTGACGGTAGCTAACCGGGCGGGTTTGCAGACTGCCCGGGTTGGCGTGCGTGTACCTGCTGTTGGCGAGATTGGAGAGACTGCCTGGGGCACGCTGCTGGGTGCTGTCCCTGCGTGTCACGAAGTAGGCGGCGACGGCGCCTAAGCCGGTTGCGGCGACGATGATTGGGGCTGCGGGAGCCATCTTGATGTTCCTTCGATTCGAAGTTTCTAACGAGGACGGTGTGCGATGATTGGAGGGTATGGACGTTTGTATATGCGGAAGAAACGGTAGTTTGGGTATGTACGCTGGTGATATACAGATTTTGCGAGATACAAGTATATGCCAAATTCCAGTTTTACAGTAAGTTGTTGTTTACGGAAACGATTCTTTGATTCGAGGAGCGACTTTCTTCGACAGCCGTGGGTTATATATTCAGACTTGGCAGCTATGCACGTTCGTCCCCCTTTGCGTTATTGAGGGAATCAACAGAGATAAGGCACACTCGGATCCATCGAACACTTTCCCTCCATCGCCCTGATGGTGATTGCACAATCCGTCAACAGTCTGCGGTCATTGATTTTAATAGGGAATCAGGCAGGAACTGTCCCCAACCTCCGCTTGCATTTCTAATCCGATGACCAGTGGATGCAATTCCACCAGGTCGGGCTCCGGCGGGGGGATTGCGAAGACGTGGCGGCTTAGACAAAGAGCCAATATTGGGGGGTCCTCTCGTCACGCGCTGTCACAATTGTGGTGAGTAAAGGCTCGTCAATAATGTCTCAGAAGGAAGGGAAATCAGGGTAAGCTTACTTTCGGCGTGTCGCACAGATTGAGGAGGGCTTCCGTTCCCATTTAAGCCCTGTAGATAAGAACCGGAGGCTGAGAAAGCGGGCATTTTGCTTGATGTTCAGACTCGATCTGATGCATAACCCCGATTTGTGGCTCAAAGGAAGCGCAGGGATAATCCATGAATCTTCCCAACCTCAAGAGCGAATCGAGGCGCAGGGAAGCTCGAGGCAGGGGAACCGTGGTCGGTCTATGGATGCGAGCTGTGGCCTAGCGAGGTCGGCATGTGCACCTTAGCCCAAAGCGTACAGGGAAGTGTATATCAGGGAAGAACAAGGGCAAAAGTTCAACCAAGCGAGAGCGAAGCGAGCATTGCGCTAAAGGTCCAATACTTCCATAATAAACGGGAATCAAAAGGGACAGGTGTCGCGGGAGCGAAGCGAGCGCTTACCGCATTGCGAAGGAGCACGGATCCCATGATATCGCACCATAGAAACCTGTCACATTTTGCAATACTGCTTGGGGTTTTCAGTCAAAAGTTCAAAGGCAACCTCAAACGCTCGTGGGTAACGCAACCCATCCCCACGGACGCGGGAGCAGGCCGAATCAACCGGTCATTTGCGAAAGGAAGGATAGGGAGTCCATCAAAGCGATTCAGAGGAGCGGTTTTTGGGAGTCCACATGTGACAATTTGACGAGGTTCCATGTCGTCCAGATGGGTCAAGGATTCCCATACCACCAGGCCGCTCCCACCAGAAGTCACTGGCATTGGTCTGTTCCGTAGATCTGAGGGATGCACCATAGATGCAGGGTTGCTTCGGGTTCCTTAGCGCCTCGATGTCGTTCATGGCCACCTCCACTGGCTCGAATTCGCATCATGGCCAACAGGTACTTTACTTCGCATCATGAAGCAACCATGGTACTTTGCTTCATGGCCAACAGTCGGACCCGCTCGCACATGGCCTCAGAAAGAACCTTGGGCATACTCGACCGGTAAGCAGCCCTCACCTCTGCCTTGATCTTCCGCTCATGCCGCTTGTGTTCATCGGTAGGACTGTGCTCAGCGGTCAAAACCTGGGTCAGCCGATCGGTCACTTTGCTTATGCACTCGCGCGTCGCCGGAGCCAGATTCACGACGTGGCGGAATCCACCCACGGCACAATTGAGGGCGCACGGTCCAAGAACCAACCTCACCACCGCTTCCACTTCTGCCACGTCTGGATCCACGCGCTGCCAGACCGTCGGCCCGGCCCAGCTGCGTCCTGTGCTTTGCGCTTCCTTCTCGTCATCCTCGTCATCCTCGTCTTCATCGGCCGCTGGCGTCTCGACGGACATGACTGTGTACGTATGGTACGACACTAGCGCTCCTGCCGCTTTCGCTTCCCGTGCCAAGACCGACACGCGCAGCTCGTCGTCATCCACCTTGCGGCCTTCAGGGGACGACGCCATCGAACAGCCAACGTACAGCAGCGTCAGCGGTCCGACACCACTGCCCGCCCAGCCCAGCGTCCGCAAGAGGTGGCCAAAACCGGTGTCGATGGGGCGGAGCATCTCGAATCGCTCCAGCGATTGTGCCAAACCATCCCCGTTGGAAAGAGTCAGCGCCCGCACGTACATCCGGTACTTGGTCCCACTGTCCTCTGCGTCGTCGGCTTCGTCGTCCCGGGGGAACACGGCAAGCACCTCTTCCTCCACTGTGGTCGGACGGCCAAGGCAACCGTTCGTGGAGACGACTCGCCTTAGCAGCGACATCAACTCTGGACACCTCTCTACCCTCCGGCATGCCTCTGAACAAGGTATCCCGCTATTCCAGGGCGCGTTGCGGTTCCGGCTCTCCAGGAGCGCTGCCAGCGCCCCGCCGTCCGCAAACGCGGCCCGTCGAGCAACGTCCTTGGTTCGATAGTCGTCCGCACTCGCTTCTGCCATCCTTCTCAACAGGTCGACACCTTCCACCCCCTCGGGCAAGTCTGGGTATGTGTCCATGATCCTCTCCGGTTGCTAATCTAT